GGGGGGGGGGCCATGGCATGGAAATAAGAACAGCGAGGGAGGGAAGCACGGGAATGATCGAGGAAATGCACGATGATGGGGAGGAATGAGAGAAATGGAATCATCGGTCTCACCTGTGGTCACCTATGGCCGTGTAGTGTTACCAGTATAAGCTTATCCGCAAGTACGTACTACTCTTCTGTAGTCGGATACTAGTACAACTGTGCGATCTGGGTTACGATTCAGACACAACGCCAGACTATTTACCTGTTTACCTATAACGATCAAATCAATGCGTGCATGCAGGCACCGGCCAGACAGTCCAGAGAATATTAGAGGCTGTCCCATCAGTCCTATCGAGTCCCTACCGCCCAACCGTCCATCGCTCTGCAAGGTACAGTATACGGCCATTGTGGAAGCACCCCCCAGGAGTGCTTCAAGCTTCAGGTGAGAGAACGCCCCGGTACCGTGTATATATATGTATATACGCACCGACGACCAAGTATCCCCCTTCTGACGGAGCACACAGGACACAGGATCCATCATCGGTCCCGTAGGCGGCGGAACCCTGGGCCTCCTCAACCCTGGAACACAAGCAAATCCGTTACGCACCAAACGACGCCGAGCGATCCCCCCCCCAGCAGCCCAGGATCACTTTCGCTTCCGCCCTTCTTCTCTTCCTCGACCTCTTCAAATAATCACATCAAACCCTGCCCTGTCAGTCTTTTCCTCGCTGGCCAGCCATTCTCTCTGCATTGCTCTCCCGATCTCCCTCTGTCTTTCGCCCACGCGCTCGCTCTGTTCCCTCCTGCCCAAGGTCGCGTCCTCTGCTCTCTCTTCACCCGGACACGCCCTTCTCTTCCTTCGTTCAGAACAGGGAAAGATCACCTCTTCCGCTCGTTACTGCGCGCCCAGTCCATGCATTGAGGAACGCGCATTGCCCAGATCTTCTCGCTCAACATCCGCTGTCGACAGGCCCGAGCGCTACTCCGACCTCCTGCGCATATATCCCGCGTCGACACGCCAACAGCACTCGAACATTACCAACCTGCCGCGCAGGTCGGTCGGTTGACATCTGTTGGGAAAATCTTCTACTGTCCATGTATATGGGCGCTTGAGGGAGTTACGGCAGAACGAGCAATCCATGCATACAGGCACCACGTTGTGAGCAGTTCAAGGATCCCGAAACGGCCTCGACACAGCCAGCCATTTCCACCGAACCACTACTCCCGTCAGCCCGACGACGCTTGTGAAATTCCACGTCCCCACTGAATGTCCGATAACCTGAAGACGAGTCCGGGCAACGCGTCAACATTGCCATTGTTCCCTGACCAGATCGGGGCCCCGCTCTACACGGTAACCTGTGCGTGACTCCCAAGAATTCATCCCAATCGGCATCCTCTGTTTGGGTTCAGGGCTGATGATTGTGTATCCAAACAGATCCTATCCTCAGCTCGAGTTCCTTCGTTTAGGTACCGGTCGTTACAGTCGTTCATTCCACATCGAATTCGATCCCCAACAGAAATCTGGTCGCCCCCGTCCCCCTTTCAAAGTACAAGCTGGAGACGCTCAGGTCTACCTTGTGAGCGTGCTCACCTACAATTGCCGTTGTCAGTTCAATTCCGATGCTACGTGCTCAATAGAGTCGCAACACTGACTTCCTGGTGCTAGACACGGCTTAGTGTGAGGACCCCGACACCATGAACCGCTTCAGGACGAAGAGGAAGAACAAGGAGGCGGCAGAAGGACTCGGTCGAGGCTCTACAGATTCCGATGCACCCTCAGTACCAACCACGAAGGTTTCAAAGACCTTCCGACTGGGAAAGAAGCAGCAGCCTCAACCGGAGCCCAAACTGGAACTGGATCTGGCCAATGCCCTTCCGCCGTCTGATGATTTTCGGACGAGTCTGTTGATGAGTGGACTATCTGCACGATTCTCTATGCTACGTGAACAGGACGATCCAAACTCGAAGATTGGGAAGGCGAGCGATGACAGTGTTATATTCTCGTCCAGACGACAGTCGAGGTTGAACGATTTTGGCTTTCCATCACATGGACTATCAGATATTGCGGAAGTTTCCTCCATCAATGGATCCATCAGACCTCCGTTTGCCGCTACGAGGGCAGACTCTTACAAGACCACTGGGAGCACCGGGACGGACGAGGACTCCCTACACAGTGGTAGCATAATGAGCCGCCCAAAGCCCGGTGAAGGCAATAATTTATTTGGCGGCCGTCAAAAGATCTACAAGATCCCAGTTGACTCTTCTGGAACGGCCAGGAGTTTTTCAGACGGTTCGTCTCCAGGAATGGGAGGTCGTGCATTATACGAAAATGATGTCAGTCTATCTGCCTTTCAAAGGCTTCGGCAGCGTGAGAAGGAACAGCAGGAAATGGAACGAGAAGAAGCAGAACAGAATGCGCGGTCAGGGTCTCCTCCGCTATCTAACTACAACCGCAATTGGGAGACATCTTCTACTACTTCGTCGGGTGGTCCTTCGATTACTCGGACGTCTACTGCTGCAACATCGGTCACCTCTCAAAGAACGCCCTCACTCAGTGGATCACATACTCCTGTTACCCCTGCCGCAGCTAGTTCAACTAACCCAGGGGTGGAGAGATCTACGACCAAGACACGACGTTTATACGAGACTGGCCTCGATCAACATCTTCACGAGCAACAGTTTTCTGCCATGAATAGGATCGATACTCTAACCAAGCAACGAACGCTAGGAGCCCAAACACCACCGCCAGGGCTCACTTCGCCAACCAGTCTTCCCCATCCCGTTGATAGATGGGACCGGACTCAGATTACAGCGAAAGCAAGCATGCCTAATCTGAGGTCCGCAAGCCCGCCGCCCACTGCGGCTGCAAAATCAACCTTTGGGATGCCACCCTTAAGTCCGCCCATGAGCGATAATGGTGACTATGCTGTTCTTACCGTCCAACCAAATGACAGGGGCAAAGCAACCGCCCTCGGAGCGTTTTCAAAACCTGCTCAACCATATGATGAGAACAAATATTCCCAGAGGCAACTTCAGATGCAGCAAGGTCGGGAGACACCACCACCCCGAAAGCCTTCGCCGCCCGGAACCTTTGTCTCTCGCCAACAGCAACAATTGGAACGCAATATTGCTGATTCAAATACCACGTTTGCGCCTACCAAGTCAGGTTCAAATTCTTCGGCGCCAAGACAATTCCTTCCTCGAGACCGCATCCAAGAGATCACCCCGGAACCTGAGCCCACCGTTGCAGAAGAACAGGCGATTAAATCAGGGACGTTTTTGGCTTCTCCAGATAGCGACTCGTCCGGAAGTGGAGAACCTGTCAAAAGCCGTGGCAATATGCAACCTCGTGATCTGGCTAGCATGTATCGCCGAGATCAGAATACGCCTCTTGAACGCCCTCCGGAATCACAACATCCAGCAAATAGACAGCGACCTTTTGAGCCGCAGCAGTCACCCCTAGATAGTTCGACACGCTCATCGCCCCGGAAACCTAAGTTGCAATCGAATCCAGAGGCATTGCTCAAGCCTACAGTAAACATTCAAGCCGCGCCAACCGAACCCTCAACACTGACTGTTACTACCGACTCGAGAAGATTGAGCGGCATGGTTCGCCAGCACCTGAGAACAGATAGCAACACTTCCTCGGTGTATGGCGCCCCATCATCCGCCGGTCTCGTTTCCCGCTTTCCGACGGATTCCACGGAAACCTTACCACAAAATGAATATGCAACAAGGAATGAGCCGTGGGAGAGAGATGATTGGGACCAACGTTCCTCCAGCGAGAATAAATCCAGCTTGGATATCTCAGTGAATGGTACAAAAGCCGATGGCGTCGTGCCACCACCTCTCTCGGTACGGTCGCCCAATGTTGACGGGGCTGGAATCCAATCTCGCAAGTCTTCTTGGGAGAAAGAGCTGGAGGCGCATCACAGAAGAGATGGAAGTTCAGAGACCCAAAAGGAGAGACAAGACTTCAAAAATGACCTGGCAGCCCGTCGAAGGAGGGTCCAAGAGAATCTCAAGAGTTTTGTGGAGACTGAGAGTAGATCTGCCAGCCCGTTACCTGGAGTAGAGCGGACCAAAGACGTGCTCGCAAAGACCCATGCATTAGGACTGTTGAAACCCAAGACAAGTCGCACCTCCTTGGTGGTAAAATCTAAGGAGTCCAAGCCTGCGAAGGTGTTCGGAACCGGATTTCCAATCAGGAGTAGATCCCCATCTTCGGGCAAGACGAGCTTTGACGAAAATCCTCGCAAGCAGGAAGAAGGGATGGAACGCGTTGACGCAAAAGGACCTGGGTTTTCTCCACCGAACAAGGCCTTCCGACAAGCACGCAGAGATGCACAGCGTGATCGAGAACGCCAGCTTGCACAACGGGTTCAGCAGAGATTGGGAGCAGAGACTGATGGGCTCGAAGGATCAGATAGGCCAGTTGCTGAACAGAGAGGACAAAGTCGTGATAGAGCCCCGCCAAATATTCGTACACGCCAGCGTTCCCCATCTGCATCGAGACCGGCGTCTCGCGCATCCGGTGATCGATCAAGCTCGGATACCTCGGCGGATTCTAAAAGCCGGAATGGTAGATATAGGGACGATCTGGCCAATGCTATGGCAGAAGGGTCATCCAATTCCACCATGACTGTATATGAAGATGTGGTAGCATCTCAATCTGCCACTGTTTCAGATGCTCGATCCAGAAGCCGAAGCAATAGCAGGTCAAACCCTAACGGTCATTCTGAATCACAGATGTTGCAATCAAATCAGATGGGCGCAGGAGTGGATACTGGGATTTCACCAAGACCTTCCCCCATCACTCCATTTTCTAACTATTCCTCTTCACAACCCTCACCTGCGGGTTCGGGGACAAACAACCCAGTAGCTCAAGGATCCCAGAGCCAACAACGCCTACCAACGACCCGTAAGAGATCTGTTAATAAGTCGGACATCTCTGAACCAAAGTTCGTTTCAGCCACATCAAGAATGACTACCGTCAACCTTCCGTCAGGGGCGTCTCTTCAGAACGGCGTCGAGGCACCTCCAATCCCACCTGTCAACCCCAGACGCAAGGTCCGTCCAATGTTTGGATTTGGGAAGAAGGAAGACCCCAACGATTATCCTCTCTCTTCTGCTACGCACTCTACCGAAGAAATGAGTACCTTCTCAGATGATGGCGAACCAAGGCCCAGTGTACGCCAAATGTTGAGAAAGGCCGCAAGCGAAGGCGGAAACCTTAATGCCAGAGCGCGACAGGCCGCTCTTTCAACTCCAAGTCCGGCGATGCCTGAGATTGCTCCAAATACAGGAGCCAGCCCTCCACACCACATTGAGGGCGGCATGTTTTAGCTTTTCCTGTTGATTACAGTCACCTCCACGTGACATTATTTATCACTGCCATATACCCATTCTTCCCTTCCGGCACGTGTAAGATGTGTTCTTTTTTATGATGCATTTCCTTTGTATATTAACCTCACGGTGGCCAAAATTTAAAGGAAGGGATTTGGCGTTCTGGGAGTGCAAGATTCGGATTGCTTCTGGGCCCATGTGGCCGCGTTGGGATTGCTGCTATTTTCGAGAAACCGAGGGGGAGGAGCGTTTACGATATACTGTGTTGATTGATTGATTTGTCTCTCAGCAGGTCTGTGATGTCATGGGCGGATATCTGTAGTTGATGCCGAGGAGCATTCTACCATATATAGATAGAATAGCTCGCGCAATAATCGCTTGAGCCTTGATAAAGAAAATGTATTAGAAATAACTCACTTTTACTACGATTCATGATGGTTCCAAAGTTGAAATATTGAGCTGTCTATCCACGCAGATAGCATCAGCTACATGCTACATCTCGAGTCCTTGAGAACCTTGGAAATGAGGGTCGGGGTACTTGATTGGATTGCACTAAATTTGAAGTCCCTGAATAAGGGTCCTAAGACCTAACCAGTAATCAGCAGACGAGATGATTTACCGGAAGATTTCCGATACTGTTATCTTTACACACTCAGGAGCTGTATATAACAAATAATAATAAACACTTCTGACTTTTACACTACCCACTGCCTAGGTCGACCTCCTAGGTACAGAAGAACTCCATTTCTCGTAATGCCCCAAACCAGGTATATTTCAACGCCATATAACCAAGTACCATCCCGTATCCCCTAAGCCTACTTGGGTATTGAGTATCCTCTCGTCATAAAATCGCCCCCTTTTTGCGTCTGGGCATTGTAGCCCGCACTAGAGAATATACTCTTCAGATTATCGTTGAGGCCCAATTTCCGCCTCTTGTTCCGCTCCTCTTGCTCCTCCAGTACCTTGGAAGTCAACGAGGCCGTAGCAGCGTTCTTGATCCCCGACAGTGCTGGTGTGGAAGTTTCGGTTTTCGTAGTTGTAGTCGTGGCCTTGGTCTCCACCTCGGATTCTCCTCCCTGCTTCTTGCGCTTCTTGCCACCAGGTGCCTTCTTCAACGAATGCGTCAGGCCGGACTCCTTAAGCTTCGCCGCTCGAGCTGCCAGCCGCGCCACATCCTCCTTCGCAAGTGGTAATATGGGAATCACGTTCTCGGCGGTGTAGGGCTCATTGCACTCTACGCAAGTCTCCCCCGCCACCTCTCGAATAGCGGCTTCTGAGAAGGCATGGCCGCACGGCACCAGGTATACAGCTTTAGTATTTGGACCCAGCTCCTTGCTCGTAATGGGGCAGATCTTCTTCTCGTCCTTGCCCTCTTTGGAGATGGAGAATTTGACCTCGACGACGTCGCGCAGGCTCTTGACGCGGCCCTGCAGCAGATCCTCCTTCTCCTTGATCAGCGCGGCCGGCACGTCGTCGGCTTTGGGGAGCAGGTGCTCGAGGATCGCGTCTTTGTTGTATAGCGTGCCGGCGCAATCGGAGACGATGGGCGCGCTGAGTGGCCGGTTCGAGAGAGGGCAGGTGCTCCAGGCGTGGGTTTGGGCTTCGAGCTGCGCGGCTTTTAACTCGGAGGTGTTGGGGTTGCGGGCCGCATTCTTGACCAGCTCGCGTCGCGTTGGGATACTCCCACCATCATTACCCATCGTCGGGTAGAAGTAGTAGAAGTAAAGTTGTGTTATTTGTAGATGCGTCAAGACGTGGTCGTGAAGGAATGAACCAAGTGTTTCTTTGCCGCAGAGGAGGCTCTGGATAAGCTTCTTATCAAGCGACGCTAACGATCTTCGCACTAGCGCGGTAGCCGAGTAAGCAACCACTTTCGTGAGCCTCAAGTGCACCGCCCGTCAGACGATCAACAGCCCGCGAAACCACTTACCCAGATTTTACTTCAACGCCGCCTTCGTTGACGCATATGGACGAGGATGGCGTGTGCAAATTAGAGAGGAAGCCGGCACATGCAGCAGAGCGAAAATGTCGCAACAATCCCTTGAGACGCTGAACCGGCTGGTTTTAGAGCTGAAGTCACGGTTAGTTCGCCCTGCCATCGCAGCATGAAGGAGAGGAACTAACAACGGGGGCTCGCAGACACGATGATACACGAAAGAGAGCAGCATTGGAACTGAGAGAGCAGGTGGTAATTGCAGCAAGAGGTGTGCAGATGATCCTCTCCTCATTCTATAATGGATGACGATGCTCACGAGACCCTAGATTTCCCACAGGAGCGGTTCTTAGAGTTCTACAATGTTGTGAACTCCAGAGTTACGAATCTTATCAGTCATGGAAGCGATCCTTCAGAGCGTCTGGGAGGCATCCAGGCCTTGGATGCCCTCATCGATTTCGATGGCGTCGACGTTGCGCAGAAGACAACCCGGTTTACACAGTCGCTCCGGACTGTCTTACGAGGCAAAGACCTGGTTGCGATGCAGCCGGCGGCAGTAGCGCTAGGGAAGATTTGCAGACCAGGTGGCTCTCTCATATCTGAGCTTGTGGAGGCCGAGGTCAAGACGGCACTAGAATGGTTACAATCAGACCGTGTGGAGGAGAGACGGTACAGTGCGGTTCTTGTTCTCAGGGAGCTTGGCCGTAATGCACCGACATTGATGTACACCTTTGTCGGTCTTATATTTGACCAGATATGGGTGGGCCTGCGCGATCAACGACTCCTGATTCGGCAGACTGCGGCGGAGGCCATTAGTGCCTGCTTCCAGATCATCAGAGAGAGAGACCAGGCCATGCGGCAGACATGGCAGGCAAAGATCTACGATGAGGCGATCCAGGGAATCAAACAAGGCTCCGTGGAGTACATCCACGGTTCTCTGCTTGTGATCAAGGAACTGCTTCAACAAGGAGGCATGTTCATGCACGAGCACTACCAGGAGGTATGCGATATTATATTCCGGCAGAAGGACCATCGAGATGCACAGATCCGCCGCACGGTAGTGTTGCTGATACCAGAGCTGGCCAACTATTCGCCGGCAGAGTTTGCACAGTCTTACCTCCACAAATTCATGGTATTCCTATCTGGCATGCTGAAGAAGGATAAGGACCGAAATGACGCCTTCTTGGCGATTGGAAATATTGCAAATGCGGTGAAGAGCGCGATAGCACCATATCTGGACGGGGTGTTGATCTACGTGCGGGAGGGACTGAGCCTTAAATCGTAAATAATGCATCTTCTTGAATAGTTGAGGATAATGCTAACGATGAGTAGGAGACGAACTGGCACGGTCGATCCGGTTTTTGACTGTATCAGCAGACTGGCTGTTGCAGTGGGCCAAACCCTGAGCAAATACATGGAGGCCCTTCTAGATCCCATTTTCGCCTGCGAGTTGACTCCAAAGCTTACCCAGGCGCTTGTAGATATGGCATTCTATATTCCGCCAGTCAAGCCAACGATTCAGGAGAGATTGTTGGATATGCTGAGCAATGTGCTCTGTGGGGCGCCATTTAAGCCTTTAGGAGCGCCAACTGCGAACACTATTGTTACGGCACCCGTTATTCCCAAAGATTCTAAGGATCCACTTGCATATGAGCATCGTCAAGCTGAGATCAAGCTGGCACTAAACACATTGGGAAGCTTCGATTTCTCCGGGCATGTGCTCAACGAGTTTGTTCGTGACGTTGCAATCAAGTACGTCGAAGACGAAAACCCCGAAATCCGAGAGGCGGCAGCTTTAACATGTTGCCAACTTTACGTTCGCGACCCTATCGTCAACCAGACCAGCTACCACGCGATTCAAGTTGTGAGCGAGGTCATTGAGAAACTCCTCACAGTGGGTGTGGCGGATCCTGATCCTGGCATTCGAAGAACTGTACTCGCAGCTCTGGATGAGCGTTTTGATCGTCATCTTGCCAAGGCGGAAAACATTCGTACTTTGTTCTTCGCCCTTAATGATGAAATATTTGCAATCCGAGAGGTTGCTATCGCTATCATCGGTCGGCTCACGCATGTGAACCCGGCCTATGTTATACCTTCGCTCCGAAAGGTCCTAATACAAATGCTCACCGAGCTTGAGTTTTCCGATGTCGCGAGAAACAAGGAGGAGAGCGCGAAGCTCCTGAGTTTGCTTGTACAGAACTCGCAGAGGCTAATCAAGCCATACGTCGATCCTATGATCTCTGTCCTGTTGCCGAAGGCTCGAGATCCCAGCCCTGCAGTGGCTGCAACTATTCTCAAGGCCATTGGCGAGCTTGCAACAGTCGGCGGTGAAGATATGATGCCATATATTGATAAGCTTATGCCGATTATCATTGAGGCTCTACAAGACCAAAGCTCTTCTGCCAAACGAGAAGCAGCTCTCCGAACCCTCGGACAGTTAGCAAGCAATTCAGGTTATGTGATCGATCCGTACCTTGATCACCCACAACTTCTCGAGATTCTCCAGAATATCATCAGAGGTGAACCTCAACGAGGTCCACTGCGTCAGGAAACCATCAAGCTTATGGGTATCCTTGGTGCTCTGGACCCCTACAGACACCAGCAAGTTGAAGAACGATCACCAGAGATGCAGCTGCGCCTTGAATCGAATCAAATGACGGATATCTCTCTCATGATGACTGGTCTCACACCATCGAGCAAGGAATATTTCCCAACTGTTGTGATAAACGCGCTTCTCCAGATTTTGAAAGACCAATCTCTGGCTCAGCATCACGCGCTCGTCATTGAGGCAATCATGAATATATTCAGAACATTAGGTTTGGAGTGTGTCTCGTTCCTCGATAAGATCATTCCCGCCTTCCTGAGCGTTATTCGGAGTTCTCCTACTAGTCGCCTTGAATCATACTTCAGTCAATTGGGCATTCTAGTTACAATTGTCCGACAACACATTCGGAACTTCTTACCCGATATTGTGACGGTTTTGCAGGAGTACTGGAACGTGTCTCCGACTTTACAAGCGAACATCCTTCAATTGGTGGAGGCAATTTCGCGATCGCTTGAGGGCGAGTTCAAGATATACCTGGCTGGTCTGCTTCCACTCATGTTAGGTGTGCTGGAGAAAGATGTTTCAACGAGACGTCTACCTTCCGAGCGTGTTTTGCATGCCTTCCTGGTCTTCGGATCTAGTGCCGAAGAATACATGCACTTGATAATCCCAGTCATTGTCAGTGTGTTCGAGAAGCCGCAACAGCCATCTTTCATCCGGAAGTCTGCAATCGAGACTATCGGCAAGATCTCGAGACAGGTCAATCTCAATGATTATGCGTCCAAGATCATTCATCCATTGGCGAGAGTGCTGGCCGTCAATGATAGTTCCTTGAGGATGGCTGCGCTTGACACCCTCTGCGCGCTAATCTTCCAACTTGGGAAAGATTACCTACACTTCGTTGGGACCGTCAACAAATTTCTCCAAGCACAAGGTATCCAGCATCAGAACTATGAGCTCCTAGTAAGCAAGCTGCAGAAAGGAGAAGTCCTGCCGCACGATCTGAACGCCGAAGACCGCTATAACAACAACATCGACGAAGCGCAGTTCGCAGATGTTAATCAGAAGAAGTATGATGCAAATCCCGTACACCTTAAAGCGTCCTGGGATACCACTGGCAAGTCGACGAAGGAAGATTGGCAGGAATGGATGCGCCGCTTCAGTCTTACTGTTTTGCAGGAGTCTCCTAATCAAGCACTCCGATCATGTGCTTTTCTGGCAAGCGTGTATCCCCCGCTGGCAAGAGAGTTATTCAATTCGGCTTTTGTATCATGTTGGGGCGACTTGATTGATCCGTATCAGGTAAGTCACACACCGTTCACCCTCTGAAGCTTGGCTAATCTTGCTTGAAGGACGATCTGATCCAAAACATTGAGACGGCGATTCGATCTCCTCACGTTACCCCCGACCTTCTAGGTATCTTGCTAAATCTGGCTGAATTCATGGAGCACGACGACAAGGCTCTTCCAATTGATATTCGAGTTCTAGGCCGCGAAGCCGGTAGATGCCACGCATGGGCCAAGGCCTTGCATTACAAGGAACTGGAGTTCTGCCAAGATCAGACCAGTGGTGCTGTTGAAGCGTTGATCCAAATCAACAATCAACTGCAGCAGTACGATGCTGCTATAGGTATCTTACGAAAGGCCCAGTTATACAAGGATGGCATTCAGCTGCGCGAGACTTGGTTCGAGAAACTTGAGCGCTGGGAGGAAGCACTGGATTTCTATCAGAAGCGCGAGAAAGAACACCCTGACCAAGCAGAAACCTTTGATGTTATCATGGGAAAGATGAGATGTCTACACGCCTTGGGAGAATGGGAATCCTTATCCACGTTGGCTCAGGACAAATGGCATACTTCTACTCTTGAGATCAAGCGTGCTGTTGCACCTCTGGCTGCCGCTGCGGCCTGGGGCTTAGGCAAATGGGATCTCATGGATGACTACCTCAGTGTCATGAAAACCAACACTCCCGATCGATCATTCTTTGGTGCCATTCTTGCCCTGCACCGCAATCAATTCCGGGAAGCAGGCCTTTACGTCCAAAAGGCCCGAGAGGGGCTGGATACAGAGCTAAGCGCTTTGGTCAGCGAGTCTTATAATCGAGCGTACTCGGTCGTCGTTCGCGTGCAAATGCTGGCAGAACTTGAAGAACTTATTGTCTACAAGCAAAGCAACAATAATCCCGCCAAGCAAGAGACCATGCGGCGAACTTGGGAAAAGCGACTTCTTGGCTGTCAGAGGAATGTGGAAGTGTGGCAAAGAATGCTGAAGTTGCGCGCATTGGTTATCTCACCCAAAGAGAATATGCAGATGTGCATCAAATTCGCAAACCTCTGCAGAAAGTCGGGTCGGATGGGATTGGCTGAGAAGCATCTGAAGATGCTTATTGGAAGCGAAGAGAGCCTGGACATGATGCTACCTTTCACTGAGAGTGGCGAGTTCCGACGCGAAGGCCTAGCTGCGATGAAGAGCATACCGCCACAGGTTAATTATGCCGTGCTCAAATACCAATGGGACTCGGGAAAGCAAACCCAGGCTTTGGAGGCTCTCAAGATGTTCACAACAGAGATGGCAGATAGACTGGATGCTGCGCAGATGGCCGCTCAGGGCATGAACGGTGGAGGCGATGCCAACAGTATGAATGGCAATATGGGGTCAAGCAACGGTTATGGTGGCCACCCCATGTTTACACCTAAAGGTATGGCCGAACATACAGTGCTCCTTGCCAGGTGCTGTCTCAAGCAGGGCGAATGGCAAATAGCAGAGAAGAGAGGCGACTGGCAGCATGATCACGTTGACGACGTTCTATCTTCCTATCGCGCTGCAACACATTTCAATCCCAACTGGTACAAGGCATGGCATGCGTGGGCGCTTGCCAATTTTGAGATCGTCCAGGCTATAAGTTCACGAGATCAGGCCACTGTACCACCAAATATTGTTATCGACCACGTCGTCCCTGCAGTTCGTGGATTTTTCAAATCAATCGCACTTTCAGCCGGGAGCTCTTTGCAAGATACCCTAAGACTTCTAACCCTGTGGTTTGCTCATGGCGGTAGTCCAGAAGTAAACGCGGTTGTGACTGAAGGCTTTTCTTCCGTCAGTGTCGACACTTGGCTGGAGGTCATTCCTCAACTTATTGCCCGAATCAATCAGCCAAACACCCGTGTTAGACAGTCGATCCACAACCTGCTTGCAGATGTTGGTAGAGCGCATCCGCAAGCTCTTGTCTATCCGTTGACAGTAGCAATGAAGTCCGCTCCAAATACTCGGCGATCAAGGTCTGCTATGCAAATCATGGACAGTATGCGACAGCATAGTGCACGACTCGTTGAGCAGGCCGACATTGTAAGCCACGAGCTTATCCGAGTTGCGGTGTTATGGCATGAGCAATGGCATGAAGGTCTCGAGGAGGCGTCAAGGCTGTATTTTGGAGATCATAATATCGAGGGCATGTTTGCCACCCTGGCTCCATTGCATGATATGCTCGACCAAGGCCCAGAGACGCTTCGAGAAATATCCTTTGCCCAAACCTTCGGTCGCGACCTCCAAGAAGCCCGTGAATGGTGTTACACCTACAGACAGTCAGGCGATGTTGGCGATATCAACCAGGCATGGGACCTTTACTATCAAGTATTCCGAAGAATTGCGCGCCAACTGCCGCAACTCAATAATTTGGAACTGGCATACGTGTCGCCCAAGCTTCTTCATGCTCGTGATCTGGATCTGGCTGTTCCCGGAACTTATCAAAGTGGCAAACCAGTCATCCGGATCCTCAACTTCGAGTCGACGTTTACTGTCATCTCTTCTAAGCAACGCCCTCGAAAACTTAGTCTCAATGGTAGCGACGGTACTGCATACGCATTCGTTCTCAAGGGCCACGAGGATATTCGTCAAGATGAGCGTGTTATGCAGCTGTTTGGCCTTTGCAATACGCTATTGACCAACGATTCGGAGTCTTACAAACGACACTTAAATATCCAGAGATATCCTGCCATTCCACTGTCGCAGAACTCGGGTCTGCTCGGCTGGGTTCCAAACAGTGATACCCTGCACGTCTTGATCCGCGAGTACAGAGAAAGCCGCAAGATTCTGCTGAACATCGAACACCGTATCATGCTGCAAATGGCTCCTGATTATGACAATCTGACCCTCATGCAAAAGGTTGAGGTGTTCGGATACGCTCTGGATAACACCACTGGCCAAGATCTTTACCGAGTCTTGTGGCTAAAGAGCAAGAGTTCGGAATCTTGGTTGGAGCGTCGGACCAATTACACTCGATCTCTTGGTGTAATGTCTATGGTCGGATACATTCTCGGTCTTGGCGACAGGCATCCATCGAACTTGATGCTTGACAGGATCACCGGCAATATCGTCCATATCGATTTTGGTGACTGTTTCGAGGTTGCTATGCATCGTGACAAGTATCCGGAGCGGGTGCCCTTCCGATTGACTCGAATGTTGACCTACGCAATGGAAGTTAGTAATATCGAGGGAAGTTTCAGGATCACTTGTGAGAACGTCATGAGAGTGCTGCGCGACAACAAGGAGTCTTTGATGGCTGTTCTTGAAGCCGTAAGTAATTGCCTTGCTCTTATCTTGCTAAATTCTAACAATCAAATAGTTCATACACGACCCTCTCCTTAATTGGCGTCTCACCGGCGACACTGCCTCTCCGCCAGGTCCCCATTTCCGTGGGGAACGGGACCGCCGCGAGTCGCACATTGCCAATGAAAATCGCCGACCCTCGATGATAGACGGCGATCCATCAGCTCACGTGCCTCAAGTTCCTACTACAGCCCCTGGGGGACCACCATCTTCACGACCCCGTGCAAGAACAAACTCGACTGCTCTCGGAGCTGGAGGGCCCGATGTCGACATGGCAGAAACGCAAAACGAAAGGGCGGTGCAGGTGCTGAACCGGGTCAAGGAGAAGCTGACTGGCCACGATTTCAAACCCGAAGAAGAATTGACGTACACTCTCCAAGTTGACAAGTTGCTGGTTGAGGCGACGAAGCTGGAGAATTTGTGCCAGCACTACATTGGATGGTGCAGTTTCTGGTGAGGAGAATTTGTGTAGCTAAGTTGCGAAGGCAGTTTGCGCTGGTTTTAGAGAGATATCTCTTTTATGATGGATGGCTGGCTGGCGTTTTTTGAGCGATGCTCTTTGTAAAGGATATGGAAGAAGGCTCCGTAGCATTATGGAGGAAGCTACAGCGCATTTGTGCATATTCTGAAATCTTCCATAGCGGCACTGATTGCACTGGAAAAAGGCGTCACTAGGGCGTCGGCGATGAACTAATTAATTACGTTGCATACACCTTGAGCTTTCTGGCTGCTGGGTTGTTTCTAGTGACCGGTGTCAATTTTTCGTTAATACCAACAAGTAAATATATTGGGGTTGAACAAACAAAAATGGAATAGCAACGCCATCTCAGTGCTGACTACAGGTACTCGGTCAAGATGTCACTCACTGCGAGGCTGAGAAGTTGCCGTGGGCGGGACATCGGAGCCGACGCTACGAAGCTTGTCTTGTAATATACCACCCTGTATTAACCCCTTTTGTGTGATAGTGATACGAGGAAGATTCGCGTGAGTGAGGCGCAGATCCTTGGCATGTAACCATGCATCAAGTTATCAAGTTATCAAGATCCAAGACCCCTTACCTTACTGTACAGATTTATGCCCAGGGTCCAGATCAGCTGACCAGATTCTTCGTCAGCAACGGTCTGATACACGGAGAGATTTCCGCATCAGGCAAGCAGCGGACAATATCCAATCATAATCGACGACTGTCGTGCCAATAAAGTTTTAACCATGCCCTTATTGGGCAAGCACTTTTACCCCTAGTAGGACTAGCGTCGTTTCTGGTTTAGGTGGGATAGCTCGTTTTCCTTGGACATCTTTGCTCATAGGCCGTCCGTCTTCAACGCTCTCTTTCTTCATGCCTCTCTCTTGACGCGTTCCACCAGGGTCAGGAGATATAGTTAACCATCTTCGTAGCCTCGGCGTGTCAAGGTCGCGGCCCGCTATCCATCCCATGTTGAATGGTGGCGCAGCTTCAAGTCCCTGTTTGCACTACTGTATTTGTCTGAATATTCCTCTTCAATCTCGAAGAAAAACGAAGGTTTCAACGCCGAGATGTCCGGCGAGGTGCCAGATTCTTATATAGACGGCGATTTGCCCGCAGATGGTCTGCAGCCGGACTACGCTGCTCCACTCGGTTTGCCAGCCGCAAGGCCCAGTGATAATTCCCCTATGAACTATGTTTCCAATCCCAGTTCATCAAGTCTCAATCTGTCGGCCGAGCAGAATGTGATGAGGGACATAGAAGAGATCTTCCGATTGGAGGAAGAACAGCCGAAGGAGGGTCAAGAGATGGGAGGCGATGACGAGGAGGAGCAGATCGATCTTGAGGACCAGCAGAGGAGGACAGCGAAGCTGAAGGGCATTTTGCCAACGTTAGCCCAGCTATGGTGGTCTAATTCGGAGCAGATCGATCCAGCCACAGAGAAGCTGGCGGATGGAAGTCGAGATCGTGAGTCGAAGCTTTTTCAGCAGCATAGGTTTCTACATTTGTTTCATATTTCTTCCGTACTTGTTTTAACTCCGGCACGTGTACTGAAATATACTCTTTTTCTACGTATCTCTCTATTCGTGTTGAGCAATCTTCAAATGTCTGACAAGTTTGATGCCTATTCATACTGATCATCTTCTCAGCAAAATGGCGAATACCTCTGGGAGATTCTGGGATTCTCAATTTCTTTCTTGAGCTATTGAGTGCACATGAACTGAGGAGTACATTGAAAATCTATGTTCTACGATTAATTGGCAACTCATGTGCAGATACCGGTAACATCCCTTTCTCTAACCTGTGTGTAAAAAAACAAGCTGACAATCAACAGACGAGAATCGGGCGCGTGTAGTTTCTTCAAACTACTTGCCGACAATCATATTGCAATTGAACGATTCTTCAGCACTCCCTTTCGCAATACCTGTTTTGTACAACATCTGTATAGACTATGGTAAGTCCCAAGCTATCAGAGACCAAGGATGTGTTACTGATATCTGTAGAACCTGCTCAGGAGCAAGCATCGAAATCATTTTTGACTAGGGAGCTTATTGGGCTAGTCACGGGCCCAAGAAGGTTGGAGGCCAAACCCTTCGTTGGGTATATATGTAAAATTTTAGAACTTCTCAGCACTCAAGGTACGTATGAAAATATTGGGTCTACTACCTGGCTAATTCTGGCACAGCTTCTGAGGCTGAGCTCGCCCCTGCGAATACCGCCACTATTCTTTTGAAAGTAGCTGCATATTCTAGAACCAACGCACCAGATGTAGACGAGTTTGTTAGTATCGTCAACACTGCTGTAGCGTATCTACAACATGAGAAATTCCAACAAGATCTGATTTCAGGGAGTGCGCTCGACTCCGCTCTTACGGTCTTGGTCAATTCCTATACACGGTTTGACTCCCATCCTACAACCGAGACAACTGAGGGTCCTGCACCAGATGAGGATGACGCAAAGCTGCTCCAACAAATGCGCAGCAGTCTCAACCAAGTTCTATCAGATGTTTCGGCATTGCCAGAATTTAAGGAGGCAGTTCCTGTCGTCTCGCCATTCAGCAGCTCCCTCCGACGCTGGCTGTCAAGTCCTCAGCTGCAGTTACAAGTATGTGCATGCATTATGCTCGGGAACCTAGCCCGCTCAGATAGTGCTTGCGAAGAATTTGTCCACACTTGCGCAGTCCACAAGCCTCTTATAAAAGTCATCACAGACGCAAACGACTCCCAACTCCTCCATGCCGCTCTTGGCTTCCTCAAGAACCTCGCACTCCCAATCAAAAACAAAGCAGCCTTGGGCGATGCCGGCATATTTGATGTCCTGCCCCGCCTCTGGCTACTCGACACCTTACCACAAATCCAATTCTCCTCGATCTCGCTCGCTCGCCAACTGGTGAACGGCACTTTTGACAACGTCCGACGGGTCTGTCTTCGTCTATCCGAGGACCCCGATTCCCCCGCCTACATGCGTTCTAATCTCTCCCTCCTAATAGCGCTCTTCGATCGCACCGACGTCGAGCCCATCAAAATGGAAATCGCACGACTCATCACCGCTGTGTGTCGCGTCTACAACACGTTCAAGGGGCGCGACGAGGCGGAGATGGAGCGCATGCGCAAGAAATTCTTCGCCATGCACCCCGACGCCGGTCGACCGCTGGGCTTCATGGTCTCCCAAGACAAATGGCCCGTAGTACGCAGCGAGGGATGGTTTACCTTCGCGCTCATGGCGAGATATCCGGAGGGCGCTCAATGCATCAGTGATCTGATGCATGACGTGGCCGTCTTCCAGCCTCTGGTCCATCTCCTCACCGGCAAGAACCTCATAGACTATAAACCGGCCGCACCATCACCCGACGAGACCTCTCCCGCGGAATCATCTCCTGCATTAGGGACGCCGGCTGGGGTGCCGCTGGAAGGGCAATCACCCGAGAGCGTGAAGCCAGGCGCGCAAGCAGCGGAGATGGCGCGAATTGATCGCGAGAATGCCTTGGTGCTGGTGAGTGAGCTGCTGAAGAACCGGGGGAGCGAAATGGCGATAATGCGGCGGGCGCTCTTTGAGGATCTGTTGAAGGGAGGCAGCGCGGCGGTTATGTCGTACAAGGAAGCGAAGCTGGGTGAGAATCCGCCCCCGAGACCCAAGGATGGGAAAGGAAGCCATGATGTACCAGAGGTGGCGGAGCAATCTGTCTATGAACTCTCCTAGATCCTAGATTCTCGAAATGAAAATATAAAATATATCAAATAGGAGTGAGTGGGTGACAGGTAGAGAGTAGCCGAATGCTGGATGGAGGTCTGCGCAAACGTCGACAGTCTCTAAAGAACTGAGCGGATATAAATAAACTCAAGATTCTGATAGGAAGATATCTAGATAGCATGTTATTCAACTACCAAGAAACAATCTCCCACTACTTCGGGCAGGAAGAACAGTTCTACGGGATAATAGAGCGAGAACAGCGGCCGCTTGAAGGAGTTGTCAAGAAGCGTATTGATATCACCATTCGCTACATCAAGAATAGCTAACCTAAGGTAAGGTAAGGTACGAACCATATCACAACTGAGAGAAATCAACTGGCCCAGTCAACTATCGTATTATCTCCCACTAACTACACCTGATATATTTGATCTACTGACTTAACTATCACTGGCTTCTTGCCGCCCGGAAACACATAGTTAATGCTCTCTTTCATTCCGAGTCTGGGAATTGATTGGTTTCGGGCACTTGATCAAATAATCCGCTGCATTTATACAGTACCTGGACGATGCTTTGGGGCCTTTTTCTCAAAGTCGGTGCCTATAGTAGAAGTATGATTTTCACAGCGGCCGTGGATGGACATACACAGTAGGGAATCTTTCTATCTTATCCAGAGGAACTACACGAGGATCGGAGAAATTTGATTATATATCCTCCTATATACGAACCCATCAATAGCCCCTCTTTCGATCCACAACATTAATGAGTTTCTTCCCCTGTTCCAACAACGTCAGATTCCTCTCCAGAATCTCAAAACTGCGTTCCAGATACATCGTTCCCATTCCACTGACATGCGGCGTGACCGTCACGTTCTCCATATCCCATAACTCGCTGTCCTTATTCAACGGCTCGGGATCCGTGACATCCAGCGCCGCGCCCCTCAGCCCGCCCTCTTTCTTCTTCAAGGCCGCAATCAACTCATCTTGGACTACGATACTACCTCTTGCTATATTCACGACGAATGCGTTTTTCTTGCCCAGGATCTCGAATTCTTCCTTCCCGAGGAAATGCCGCGTTTCGTCTGTTAAGGGGACGGCAATGAGAAGGACGTCGATATCTTGGGAGAGGAAGTTGTGCAGGGACGCTTTGTCGAGCCCGCTATACCATGCCGAGGGGATAACGCCATCTGGATCCCCGGTTCTGGGGACAATGTAACCGGTGTCCTTTTTGCTCTCCGGGGTCGTGCGCGGGGATGCCGTGTAAGCTATTACGTCCATGCCCAAGGCTTTGCAGACATTTGCAGCTGTGATGATCCGTCAGCATTGAAAATAAGAGAAGGAGGGGAACATACTCTGCCGGCCAATACTCCCGTATCCTAAAACACCAAGGCGCTGACCAACATAATCTTTAAGCTGTCCAAACTCGGAGTGCTTCCCCCACTTATGCTCTTTCTGGAGCTGTAGGAGCAGCTTCTCTTTATGCGCAAAGCTGAGCATCTGCATGATGACCCATTCTGATATCTGAGGGCCGTGGATTCCAGAGGACGTCGTCAATGGGATCACGGTGTCTTTGTATATGGGAGTGCTGCGGACGTGATCTATGCCAGCGCTGAAGAAATGGATGAACTTCAGATTCGGGACCAGTTTTGGATCGGAAGGCAGCGAAGCTAGAGTACAGAGAATGGTCGCTTTCTTGAAGGTCTCTATAGCAGGGTCAGTAGATTGCTTGTGAGAGGGCAGCAGAATCGGTACCGTCGGGGATATCCTTCGCATCCGTGTTCCAAGCCCTGCTCGCCGTAATTGGCTGCAAGATATAGGTGAATTCAACCTGGGGGTGCTTCTTTTGAATATTACGAAGGATTTCTGTCGGCTCAGGAAATGGCAGGATACACAGAATGTGTTCCTTCTGCACGCTCGGCGCTTCCCCCATGGTGGTTGGTGATTGTGTGTCTGAAGCAGATAACGGGATCAATTGATGAAGATGAGAAAGAGAGGCTGACAACAAGCCCTTCAGGGATACTTGAAGATGTGCAAGGAATACTCCGAGGTGGGGGTGTTGGAGGGGTTAAATAGATAATCCGTTTGGGAATGGTAGATGGTTGAGGGCGGGATGTCGTCTTTCGCGCCTGGAATGACGGTTGTCAGATGGATTATTTTGACAAACCCCCACCAGGAGCAAGAGGCGCTAAGATAAGAGCGATAAGGTCACCGCGGCGTTCGTTACTGTTCCATTGCTTGTGCCGCCTTACATATTTGAACGTGCTTCCTAAAAGGTGCGCATTGCATTGCATCGCAGACGAATATCGGAAAATATATCCATAGCATCGCATTTTAAAATCTAGCGCAAAATCGACAAGTTCCGCGTCCAACGCTCTAAAGCACCATCTACTTACTCGCAGCTAACTGCTGCTGTCGAGCCAACTCATCGTGCTCCTCAATATCCGTAGCCTCCCAAGGATAACAAATCCAAACATCTTCCACTGTTCTAGCTGCCAAGTACCTATTCTCGTTGAGCATGTCCTCTGGAAGACGGCCTTTCTTCACCTTGTTCTTGTTCTGGAGCGAAAACGGTCAGCGCATGTTCGAGAGCTTCCGAGACTGTCGCAGAGAAGGACTTACATGCAGAACGAATATCGAGAAGATGGTCTTCTCCCCCTGGTAGCCCAGTTTCTGTCTGGCGAGCTCAACATCTTTCTCCAGTTCCTTGACCGCGTATTCCAACGTCGTCCTCGTATCATCGACCTCATCCACGATCAGGATCCGCTTCCCGACCAGGTTCTCCATCTCCCCCAGACTCGTCAGGTCGACCCACTGAGTTCGAGTGACTTTGGTCCCGGGCTGCTCGACCTCGCCAGGAGTGTTGGAGGCAGACGGGTGGGTGGAAGGGAGGGTTTCGTAGAGGGACAGGCCGATCGCTTGGATAGGGATGTTGGGGGAGCCGGGCTGCTTGAGAAAGGATCGCAAAATTCGAGCAGGCACGTAGCCACCACCACCGATGGCGATCATGAGCTGAGGTTGGAATTCTTCCAGAATGCGGGGCGCGGCCTCCTGGCACAATTTGTGGACCTGTCGCAAAGACGTTAGTTCTGCCTAGACTAAGTGAGGGGCAGAACTGACCTGATTGTAGGTCACATATTCCTTGACGACCATTTTGTAGGTGGCGCGACGTGCCCTCCGAGCTTCTGTGAGAGATGAGGTATCCAAGGGTTCTCTTGGAGGTGCAAAGCTCTGCTCTGGAGGGGGGGGAGAGGGAGGGTTTCCAAATATTAGAGAAAAAAAGAATCAAGCTAAGGAAGGTCAAGAGGCAGAAAAGCGACTGGCCTTCGCTAGCGCATCTGATAGCTTCACTCTAATCGCTATTAAATCTGAGAAATCTCCGAGCCCTATGGGTCACTTGCGGGTGTGTCTTTATGAGATTCCGAAAGACTTCTATCATACCCCGCCATGCGCCGATATCCGACCCAGCCTTGTCGGCAGCCTTGCACGATGTCAGTCTTCGACCCCGCCTCGTGCTGTGAATACAATCCTGCCACCGTCCCTTGCTCAGAACTATTCTCTGTTTCTTAAAGTGAACTTTGGCCTTGAAAGTTCTAGGGGACCATCATCTGCTTTGAGGAGAGTAGTCTATACTTTGCCAAGTCAACATCAAGCGTTAACCTCAAGCGGACCAGCGGTTCACTACGGGAACATGCCTTCCATAGTCATATCCCGCAGTATAGACGGCGGTTGGAAAGGAGTCTTTTTTGGAAAGGGCACTAGGGATTACTCGGAGGAGAATGGGGCGAAGAGGGAGGATATTGAGGGCAATTATCATCTGGAATCGCTGGCATTGCTATCATACAAAGGGCCCGTCAACCTCTGACAAGGAAACTGAGTTGATTGCGGGACCTGGGTTTAGGGAGGGATTTACACCTAGCTATTCTTACAGCCGGATATACCTATCAAGGAACATAATTATGAGGGTTGGGAGCTAAGGAGAGATTATCTCTTGCAAGGTATTCATTGAATCATTGATAACTGTCATATTGTATCTATGCTTAAGTATTCTAATGGCTACAATGCCTACTTCTTGGTGGACAAGTCATGTTGCCAATCTTAACTCTTACCTACAGCTATGCTCTTCGTTCCCGTAGATAGACAAGTCCCCTCCCTAACCCCCTCGATCGGGGCCCCAAAAAAACAATCAAATTCACTCACCTCCCCCCAAGGACCCAAGTCCTTATATCAAAATAAGCAAAAGCATTTTAACGCAGAGCGCGGATGGTGCTGTTGTTAGGTTCCAGGCGTGTTTAGGGTATAGCATCCCGTCCTCTCTAACACCCGTTCAACGACTCATAAGACGTTTTCCTTTTTTTTTTTTTTGGCTATTTCTCCCCCTCCTTTGACCATTCATTATCCTTTTCTTTTATTCTATTAAACTCCTTTTTTTTTAACACTTACTTCATGATTCAAAATACAGTTCTGTAGGGAAATATCTCACATATAATGCGAAGGTTGTTTAAGGGCTAAAAGTGAAAGTGAATATAAAAACTCCAATCTTGCAAATCGGCGCTAGCGCCCCCCTTTTCCCCATCCCCATCCCCTCCCCCACAAGCCCATAGACTTATCATTCGAAATAAGCAAAATCATTTCGCGGCAGAGCGGATAGCTCTGTTGGTTAGGTTCCAGGCGTGTTAAGGGTATAGCATCCCGTCCTTTCTAAATATTCTAAACCCTGCCGCAATTCTTTTTTTTTTTGGCCCTCCTTGTTTTTATTATTATGGATGATGGTTTTATTTCAATTCGAGTCTTTTTTCTATTTATTTGATTTTTGAGGAAGGGAAGAAGACGCGTTGGCGGATCAGTAGTAGGTTTTAAAATCGAGAGAGGGGTTCGAAAGATCGATGTTGATATCACGTGGTAGAAGAGAAAGAAAGGGGCAGTTTCACTATACTACCAGCATATTGATTCCTGGGATCTGATTTCCACTTCTGAATGATTTGTACTTCTTCCCTTGATTACTTATTGCAAGCCAGCCTCGGTCCATACATTATAAATATGCTTGTGAGCTCTTGAAGAGTCTCCTTACACCTTTCTCACTCCCCTTTTCTAAAGTACCTGACATTACTTACCTGCTGCAGCTCAAGATGTTTCAGTTTTCAACCGTCCTTCAAGCGGTTGCCCGAGGGGATGAATTGTGATGGAATGATGATAGGTAAGATTAGATACTAAGTCTGCATTATACAACATATTAAATACATTATAAGACTTTTCTTCTTTTTCTTGCCAGTCACCTCACATCGCTGCTCTTTTCTCGTCCTCAATCCGCTTATCCTCCTCCGCCACCCAGTCCCTCAAGCCCTGACCTCTTAGAGAACTAACACCTCTCCTCACAAGCCCACTACGGATAGCCCTAGCATCCCTCTCATAGACCACATTAATAACCATCAGACTCGCAACGAACAGCCCTACATCCCCGCCCCGGATACCCCTCCACCAACCCCGCTTCTTGCCTACCTTCCATAGAGAATCCAAGCTCGCTCTCGCACCGTATAGGAATTCGCTTCTTGCATCCCGTCTGACGATCAGTCCCCACAGGCCCCCAAGAATACCACCCAAAAAGAATCGTTGGGTTGAGAGGAAGTGCTTGGGGAAGAGCTGTTGGAACAGGCAAATAGAGGCCCACGAAGTGCCAATTGACCCCGCGAGGAATGTAGCGTAGCGTAAGATGCGCGATGCCAGCGAGTTAAGGGTCAGAATAGGAGAGCGGTAAAATGATCGGTATTTCGGGAGGGAGAGCACAACAAAGATAAGAGTGAAGAAGCGGGTTAGTCGCGGAAAGATCCGGATCCAGTATGTGAGGTAGGCGCGGAGACAGGAGGGGTCAGAGGGGTGAAGTGTGGCGCAGGTTAGGGATGTTATTAAGGGATGTGCGGGAGAGGTTATAGGGGAGACAGCGGCGAGAGCGCTGGGAAGAGTGGTGCGGTCTGGAAAGAGGATGGGGGAGATGAAGGGTCTGAGCCATCAGTTCTGATTCGCAAGGAAAATGGAAAGGGGGGGACATACGGATATTTGAGACGGGCCATGTCGCCCAGTTTGTCCACCACCTCATCCGTGCTCGGCCAAGGAAGATTAGACGGGTAATCCGCCGGTCTGAAGTGAACGTACTGCGGGCTGTTCTGGAGTATGAAATCGCCATACGCCTAGGTTCGTTAGCCCAAACTCCTTCTCCCATTCCCCATCATGAGACGTACCTTAGGGAAACAATCCCTATCAAAAACAAAGGCATGCAACAGCTGCCCACACGAGAACGGGAAGAGCATCCAACTTCCCCACCACCAGGGCCGCTCTAGTCCACTCCCCTTTCGCCCCCAGATCCAGCCCTCATCTTCCGCGTGATTATACGCAAATTCAGCCGCTCTGCTTAAAGCATATATAGCGATCGTGATCCTCAGCTGATCAGAGGGGTAAACCGCTAGCATGACCCCTGCCAAACTGGCACCAACAGCGGGCGCGAGACTTGAGGTCAGAGTCCTGCTCGTCCTTTTATTCCGCTGTCGAAAGGGGCGCGCTTCCGGGGTCAAGAGATGTGCACGAAGGCGCGTGAAGAAGCGGTAGAGGATTCGGTGGAGGAGGAGGATTGTGGACAGCGATAGTGAGAGCCTGAAATTCGGATTCCGCCATAATGGTATCTTCTTCCCTCTATACATTCACACCCAAATATCAGCTTTTTCTTTACCATTAAACAAGAAGGGACATACCGTGAACTCTCCAGTCCCAGCACCCTCTCCTTGGCTAAAGACCAGAGCTTCAGCCCTGCCCCTGTTGCAACAAAAACCCTCAGAGCTGCCCTTACAGCAGCTGCATTGTAATCATCGCGTCCGTGTCTCTCCACCAACTTCTCTACCTTGGCTACGCTAGGCACATTCCTCTTCAATACTTTCGAACGCGAGGTTATGTATTTGTGCAGGGTTTCGTATTCTTTCGCCGAAATCGTGTAGCGCAACGCGTTGCGGAGGATGGGGTCTGTGGTTGATTTCGCGGACACACGTGGGCCTTTCGAGCCTTCGGCTGAGGGAGACGCCATGGCGATTTGGATGGATATGAGATGAGGTGTGGTGGTGTTGAAGCTGATCGCGCGAGATGGCAGGTTGAGCTATCAGCACGTGAAAATGACCTCGGCTGTCAGGAGGCTTAATGTGAGAGCGAGTTGAGGTTATGATAGGCATTCGATTTATCATACAGAAACCAAGAATTAAATCAAATTCAGGAAAATGAGGACTGAATTAAGTATTATTATAAGATCTAATCATAAACAACATTGAATAATCATACAAGCTGAAATGCCTCCCGGCAATGATCCACTCCACTCATGTGATCCAACCTCACCAACTCCGAGAACCCCTACTAAACACCCCTTGTACTACACCGAACTCAATCAATGTCCGTAGGACTCGTAGGCTCACCCGCTGGGATCCTGTCCCTTAACCAAGTAAGAGTAGCTTCCGTGCCCTTCTCTAGAATGGTATATTTTGGCACTTTAAAACGATTGCCAGTGACATCCAATCTCTCAAGTCCACCAGGTCCGCCGAGTAGACCAATACGGGCATTCAGACTGCTGATATCATTGCTGCTGCAATCCACAACCTTCAGTCCCTTGATCGATTCTGGGGACAGTTCCTTGATTGTGTTGTTGGAAGCAAAGAGACTCGTCAAACTTGGAAAGTGAGGCTTCAAGGGAGGCAAGAACGTCAGTCGATTGAAGCTGATGTCAAGCTTCTCCAACAGCGGCGCCTGTAGACGCTGAATCAACGGTTGGACGGAGTTGAACGTGTTGCAGCTCAAATTCAACTCTTTCAAAACTGGCAATTCAAGATCTTCCTTCAGGAATGTATCGCTGGTCAGCTCGTTGCGAGCCAGACTCAGGGTCGTCAGAGTTGCTGCGAAGAATGCAATGGAACTTGGAATTTCCTTAAACACATTGTGATGCAGCTCTAAGACCCGAATTGTGTGGTTTGCTGCGGCGTGTGCAGCTGCCACAGGGTTCAGTGAGTAGGACTCGGTATTTGATCGATCAAGAATACCTCCGGGTTTGACTAGCCAATCTGTTGACGAAGGTCGCGACGATACAGGAGACCCTTGAGCAGAGTAAAAGGTGCCGTCACTCGCCTCCTTCTCGACATCCTGCTCAACCGGCGCCATCCGTGCTTTGAGAGCTCGCTTCAAATCTTCCGTAGTCATACCAGAGAATTTCTTGTCCCTTAATGGATTGCCACTAATGCGGAAGATATCCAAACTGTTCATGCCGCCAATATTGTCATCTAGGACCTTGATATTGTTACCACTGAAATCCACATTCTTGATTTTGGGGAGAGTAACAAATCCCTCAGGAATGGATGATATATTGTTGTCTTCGGCTATGAGAGTAAGTAGTGATACCCAGGACGTCATATCGGGAAGATCAGTGAGTCTGTTTGATGAGCAGCTCAATTGGTGGAGTACGGGAAGGCTCAATCGAGTCGACTCAGTGATACGGGTCAAACTATTGCTGGTAACGTCTAGAACTTGTAGTTGCGGCAGCTCATCGACATCCTCAGCAATCAGAACACCGGATAGTTTATTCTTGGCCGCTAAGAGTTCCATGAGAGGCAACTGACGCAGAGACTCAAATGGTAGGGCAGCAAATTGATTCTCTGTAATATTGAGCACTCGCAGACGTACGAGCTCTGCCAACCCATCAGGTAATGATGTTAGGTTATTGCGTTGAAGGTCTAGAGCTTCAAGATTCTGGAGGTTGGTCATGCTTGCATCCAGAGGACCAGACAAGCCGTTCCCAGCAAGCTTCAGATCCCGTAATGATGGTATTTGGGAGATAATCTGAAAGCAGTCATTCCCTAGCTTGTTATTTGACTGCGATGGATTAGTATAGATAGGATTGCATTTTATGAATGACTCACCAGGTTCAGAGTGGTAAGAAGTTCGAGTCTCCTCAACCCAAGAGGTAGCGCAATCAGGACATTCCCATGCAAATCTAATGTCTCAAGTCCGCCGAATTGATTGCCTTTGAAATCTTCGTCCTCCGCGCCTTCACGTGGATCTATGTCTGGGAAAACGTCATCATGGATCAGCTCAAGTTCATTATCTGCGGCGACAAGTCTTTTGAGGTCAACTGATTCCGCCCAAGATCCGTCCTGTGTCCCGATGGATTCAAGACTATACATATTCAAAACCTCATCCGGTATCTCTTTGAACCCCATCGCGGCGATGTTAAGGCGCCCATCAGTTCGAGCTGCATCAATGCGCTTTCGCAGGAGGCCCTTCATATCGTTCTGATTGACCTTCTGGTTGAAGGGATCATCGTGAAGGCCAAAATCAAATGTGCCTGAAGGGATAACCGGAACCTCTTCCTGATCGGCTGGGTTTCTGGGTCCCAACTTTGCATCTGCAGCACGCTTGGCCGCCTTGGCCTTTGCTATTTGGTCACGTAGCGCAAGCGAAGACTTTCGCGGGGTACCAGTCTGGTCATCCCCTGATACAGAAGTCGTCGTCGTCGTCGTCGACTTAGATGCCTTTGACAGAGTAGAACTTTCTTCTGAAGACGTATTGGAGAACGTAGTGGATTTCTTCTTTTTCACGAAGCCAATCCTGTCAAGCTCATTCGATTGATCTAAATTTGGCATGGAAGGTTTGCGGAATAGGCCATTTACAGAAGCGCGTGGTTTCAGTGGCCGAGAGGAGAAAGTCTTGCTACCCGACTTGATTGTTGGTATATCTGCGTCAGTCTTGAACGGGCTTGGCGATTGCTGGCGAAGAGAAGCGCCGAAACGAGGAGATGGTAGCTTGGAGGCGCTTGACGCAGGCTCTATAGCACTCCGCGCACTTGACGGCGTTTTGAAAGACGCAATACTTTGACGCTTGACTGGAGTATGGGATGGTAGGGTCGATTGAGCGGTTCTGAACGTGTTTGGAGAGGCTCGAAAATCCAACTGGTTGGGCTTGTCGGGACCTGAGCTTGAACTCGGCCTTGAGCCGAGTGAGCGATATGGAGGGCCCATTGATATCTCATTTTGATGTAGAGAAGCATGTCTGGACGAGGGAGACGAACGCCTCGGGGTTTCAGAATTGAAGAAGCTTGAATTCCTATGCCTTATGGCGGGGGACGACGGTATATGTTGGAGAGTCTCCATTGTTCTCTCCGATAAAGATGGGTTCCGACTCGATGCCCGTTTGTCAAGCTCTCCCCTTGCAAACGTTCTACCCTCACGCACGCCCTCATCCTCCGATAGATCTAGCTCTGCGTGATACCCCTCCACTGGTCGATCTCGGGGAAGAAAGTGAGTCGAGTCGCGGGATTTCGTAGCTGTAGGAGTGCTTCGAAGACGAGGATTGACAACGTTGGCATTGGGTTTGGCGGGTCGCTGGAGGTTTTCTCTCGAAGCAGCAGAGCGCAGGGCGGTACTTGGCACAGGAAGCCTCGAGGGACGAGGGATTCCACTTGGCCTGGGAGTTGATGGATCCATGACTGCGATTCGCGATTGCACACGGGGGAAGCAGGACGATGTTGCTAAACGGGCTTAGGAATTGAGCATAGTACTGATGCTATGCATCAACGCGGACGTGTGAGTTCCTCGTCGACTATCACCGTGCTGTGGGATGCGGACTCGACGAAGGGTTGGAGGAGAGACAGAGGGCGGGAGATCGGTCTCCTCGTTTGGCAGCTGAACGTAAATTGCTTGAACTTTGAATTAAAGATTGCGCGGATTCGACGCTTCCTCGCTCTTCCTCGAGCGATGGCACACTGCAGGGACGATCAGTTCCTAAAGCAAGACGGGTAGGGAGGTGTAATTCTTTGGTTTTATTATTTTTTTGAGCCTCTTTTCCCGGAGAATTGGCACCAACGGGCCAAGCCCAATCAGGTTGGCTCCAGGGGTCGAGCTGCATGTATATGTGGATATCAGACTGCGTAGGGGATGTATATATTAGTAAACCATTTCTTCTTCTATCTGTACGGAGTAATATCCGCCTGTGCTTCCGCATATCATATATATAGATACGTGCCACAATATGCCCCGAGTAGGGGTCTCCATAGGTAAATCCGAAGTAAAGAGGCGCGGGGCTTGACCTAGGACGCCATCCTCTGTACATATCCGCACATATGTAGGCATGTAGGCATGTAGGCATGTATGCTCGTATGTATGTACGTATATGGACCTCCACCATGGCCAGTCCGCACTCCGAAAGTAGCAAGTCCTCGCTGCTTTATCAACCCTGAGATCCGGACGGCGGGCTAAAGGCGGCAGCGGCCACCATTCCGGATCGGGCCTCCTTTCCATGATTCCCTCGACAACCAAGCTCGCGTGCACGGGCCGCATCCTGGGCCCTGCCACAAGCCCACCAGCCATCTTTGCAACTCCATAACTTCAACACCAAGGCCTCCCCCCCCCAGATCCCCACATCGTCACAACTTGCGCCCGTCATCCTCGCATCTTCTCTCCACAAGCCATTGCATTGTACCCGCGCGGTAACCATACACAAATCTCCAATTGTATCTACAGCGCCATCATCCTCTCTCCAATCTCGAGCTGTTGCACCCCGTGAGAAGGTAGAGCATCGAATACCTTGTGCACCTGTACGTTAAGCTGATTCAATCCACAGATCCAACAGATCCATTCACAGTTATACCTCGAGCTTTGATCACTACAGGCGAACACATCTGCGAACACTTTTCCATACCTGTACGCAATTGCGCATAGATGCATACCTGCGAGGGCCGAGGGCTGACCAACTCACAGATGAAACAGGAAGCCTGCTGCTCACTATATCCTCCTCATTAGCAATGGCCTCTCCAAGCTCCGTCGACAACTTGTCTTCACCCTCCACTTCCCCATCGACCCCCCAACCTCTCAACGCCTCCCTCCCTGCAGGTCAAGACATCCCTCGTGCCATGTCGACCTCCATCTCCGTGATGGCTGCTCCATCCTCCACCTTCCAGGCCAACGAGCCTTCCATGTCGCAAGGCACTATTACCCCACCGCCATCCTCACAGCCTGCCATTTCTCGATATGCGGCTGTCTCTCCCAAATCTACACTTGGACCGTCCATGCTATCCTCCCCGCCGCCAACTGTCACCGCTATCAAGAAAGAGCTCGGGAACGTCAATCCATTCACCCACGTCACCCCCGAACAACTCTCCAATTCTAGCATCGAGGAGATTGTGAGAATCTTCCACGCTCTTAAGTCGGAGAACCAGGCACTTGCGGCTGCAGCTGCCGAGGCTCGGATGTCTGCGGCTCACCACAAATTGCAGCACAGCCTTCTGACCATTGAGACAGAAGAGGCTGCTCTGCGCGCCGAGGTCGAACATGAGATGACGCGACGTGAAGTCCAAGCCCTGCAGCGTATGATCCAAGGTCCCGAGAGTCAGGCAGGCCGCGAGTACGTGACGAGATTGAAGGCGTACTGCCATATTATGCAAGACAAAAATCAGGACTTGCAGAAGCGCCTCATGAAGGCCAAGAAGCTGATAACCGAGAGAGACGATGAGATTAGTATGTTGATGGAGGAGAAGAAGATGTTGATGACTCGCCTCCGTGAGAACCGTGAGCATATGAATTACTTGCGAAGCCCAGGCGGTATTTTCCACTTGGCTACCCCGAAGATATCAAACAGCAGTTATCCTGCCACTCCCCAGCAGCATCGCAACACGCCTAAGCATACCCCGATGACTGGTCATTCCGTGCGTCGGGACCACAGTCAGGAACCGTTTGCTGCATTGTTACTTGCGGACCGGGTCCTGAGCCAAGAGAACAATAGCGCTCCCTCGACCCCTCTTGTCGGTCGTCGTGCGGATCCCCAAACTCCAATGGGGCACAACCGTGGCGTTCAGTCCATGTCCTCCATCCCCAACACCCCCCGAAGTGCCAGAACCGGGCCATCCACCCTCCTTCCATCAGCCCCGATCACCTCTCATGCCGAAAAACGAGCAAAGCACTCGACCGGGCAAGAAAGAGGAGTTCTCCAACGCCGCCGCAAATCGCGTGACAGCACCATTTCCCTCTCCGATACCGAGGAGATCGCCCGGGCTGCCATGTCGTACCGAGAGGAGAGCGAGGAGGTCCAGGAGAGCCGGGCCAGCCAGAGTGCGACAGAGATGTTGCGAATTGATCCCAGAGAGTCGTTCGAGGTGGCTGCCTCCCGCGCCGCCACTCCTGCTACCGAGATGGTCCAAACCAAGATCGTAGGTGCTGTTTCCAAGAGGAAGCGCGACGAGGAGATTTATGGTGACAATAAGAAGTTGAGATCAGCTGAGGCTGTAGGCTTGGGAATCGGTTATGGTAAATAGGGTTCGCATGGGCTGGGACTTTATGACTTTTATGTTGGCGCGTTTTCTATCTGGACTCGGGAAGACCAGGTTATGCGGTGGTATCGGGTTTATGGGTGGGTTCTTAAGGTAATTAGGTAGCATCCGCAATGGCACTTAAGGTAATTAGAATTTGCAATGGCATTTTATGGCTATACTTGACTGTCTACTCATCAGCTGCTGTTTTTGTGATGAACCATTCAACCCCCCTCCCACCTTCCACTCCCGAACCCCCCGAACAATCAACCAACCCACAATATGGCCATATCATATCCAGCATCTCCAGAACCCAAATCCTCAGACTCGTGTCTAGAGCTATTCAGATAGTACTTTACCTTAGGTAGTTCATGTCCCAGGACCTATCTGTGGTGGATTTCGATTTGGATCGGTAAGTGAGAATGAAGGTGGGAGGTATAGCTGTGTATAAGGGGGAGGAGGGAAGAGGGGGGGTTTTCTTTCTTCTTTTTTCTTAAGACCCTTTGTTAGGTAGGTAAGGGGGGGGTGGGGTTGGGGAATAGGAAGTAGGTAGATATTTGTTTAGGTAGGCACCCGATGATGTAGTTGTAGTGGTGCTCTTAGAGTATTTCGATAAGAATGAGATTGGAGAGGAGAGGCAGTTTAAGATATGGGGAGCTGAGACACCATTGTATTTTTCTATTTAAATCTGATGCATAATGTGTTGATGAATAGGACTTCTTATATGCTAGCTAGCTAGAAAAGAAATCAAAAGGATTTATTTGATTTATTCATATTCCCGTACGGTGGCTACAGAGAAGAAAGACCGTGTACTTCTAGGCAACAATGGTATACTCATTGGCGGTCTTTGGGCTAGAGCCCCTGTGGCGAAAGACTTCCCACGATCTGGTATCTGGTTGGAGAGTGGAGACCGGATGGATTCATGTGAAGGCGAGAAGATCAGCAGCGACGTCAAACAAATGTCACCGCATAGGATAATGTAGAGTCACCTCGAACCAGGCTGCTCTTCTCGAATATCTGAGGATCCGGACGTGGCCGAAGGAACTGAAGGAAGGATTCGAGATCGCAGCAGGGTTCTAAACCTAGGAATTTGCCATCAGAAGAGTCATAATCCGCAACGTAGGAGCGCCCTGGAGAGAAGGGGGTAGTAACACTATCCCTTTTGCAGTGATGATTTTGGCAGAATAATGTGAAGTCTGGTCTGGGGGTATATTGGACTGGATTTTCGGCGGCAGCGCTCACGAAGGATCGCGGCGATCCTCCTACCAAAATGACGACCGACGAATCCAGATGATAATGTAAGATGTCAGAAGTGACCAAGTTTGAGGGATAGGTTGGGTTGGACTTGCGACACAGCTGGTTCGTTAAGGAATGTGACTCAGAGATCTGGTTGGGATACCAGATGCTGTAGGCTGGGATTTTGCCTCTCTATGCTGAGGCAGTCTGTGTGGTTGAACAGGAAATGGACTGGCTGGAGAAGGTGTAATAGCACACTGGAATAATGCCATGGTTAATCGACGTCCACATGATATTCGTCGGACTTGGACGACTTGCAGGATCGCGAGACGCGAGATCGAAGGCTGACGAGTACAGGCACTGGCTAGACATTTCATGGAGAATATGAACTGTGAATCATAACTGTTGATAACTGTTGACAAATGAGTGCGCAAGCCGAGCAAGAACACATCGGTGAAGTCCGATATGCAGTCGGCGATGTTTCTAAAAGCAAAAGCCTTGGTATAAGGTACCTTAGAGATGGGAACGAAGAGACGGGAGGCAAGGCCACCACACGTGACTCTGCGGGAGGCTGAGGTCGGATCGTAAAGGTAGGTAAGGTACCTTAGCCTGTAGGCATATCATAGGGACCAGAATATGTACCGTACGGTATGTCCCGATGTAGCTATTAGATACGCTGGAAAAAGGAACAAGAACTCTAAAACTCAGACTGACTCGGAACGTGAGACATAGCGCCACCTCTCATTTCCTTCACCGTGCGTGCTCGCGGCGACCGAATCTCTTGGCTGGCTATGTTCGCTATGTTCGCTTTCAGGTATTGATTGGGTTGGGCCCCTCGGAAACAAACAAACAGACCAGGCACACACAACTCTGTTGGGACAGGATGTCTCTCATGAGGCTGACTATTCAGCCGTCGTCACATCTGCGCGGGTCGCACGATTGGCCCCGTTTGTGCTCGACTACCACAAGTAAGCGCGCCGCCCAACATCTGATGACCAGAAGGCCGGTTGGCATTGGACGCGCCGAGGCCAGTCTAGCACACCAAACGGCGCGGCGGTCGAGTTCCCTCTTGGCGGCAGAGACAAGTTTACAAGAAAAGAAAAAAAGAAACAAGAAAGCAAATACCGGAGACCGATCTGGAGACAGAAGATTGTGCCACCCTTGCCACCTGTTAAAGGATGAGAGACAAGAGAGTTGCGAGAGTGGGAGAGTTGGGAATGGAAGCTTTGCCTCTGGGAACAGAAGTCCAGAACAGAAGAGAGGAGCCTTGCGCTACGTCACTCTCTCTTGCTTGACATCGGGCTGGCTGCTCCTGCTGATGTACGACACGTAGGAATGAATGCATTCCCTCCCCACCTGCTCCAAGGACTCTCAAGGCTGGCCTGGGCTTCAAGGAAGCAGTGGGGACAGTGAACACTGAACCGCCGAACGACTGAGCAGTTGATGGTTGAGGGGACTGGTATCCCACTATCCGCCTGCATATCCGCCAGCCCTTCCAGCCAATGCTGTGCCTATCACCAGTGCACCGCCGTCCGCTGCTACCACTAGTCCCGTCCTCGCAGCGGATGCGGGAGGGTGCGCACCGCGTGGATGTGATGCACTGGATACCTTTAGGCATTGTTCGAGACCAGACCTGAACCTGACCAAGGGCAAGCCTTCCTCTGCGCTCTGATCCGGGATTCCTGTCCAACGTGGTGCCGACCAGGCCCCTCCACGAATCACGTCGCCCGCGCTGCGCGTCGCTTGCCACTCATCGATACACCCCCCCATGCGAATCGGGCCCCAGGGCATCATGCAAACCAGCGAGGCAAGGAGCCCGCTTCCGTGCTGCCCTGGAGAAGAAAAAGGAGCAGCCAAAAAAGAAGCAAGGAGCCGGTGGTTCAGGAGAGAGAGTCGGTGTAGATAGGAGGTCCTGGACCGGTGTCGGGAAACCTGGGAACTTGGAACTGGGAAGGGGGTTGGCGTGAAAATTCTGCAAATTGGAAATTTGATAACCTTCCAGGGCCCAGGGGCAGCGAGATGGATCGTGGAAGGAGGGACGAAAAAGAAATCACGATATGGCAGAACGCAACGAAAAAATACTCCCCATTCTGGCCAAGCTCCGAGGATCCAGGCTTACGGGATATGGAATATGGGCTACAGTCTACAGAGGAGTTGTAGCTTATCACCTCCGATTTATAGTTGAGAGACTTGTACAGGAACAGCCGGAGGAGAGGACGGACCATGGGTTCAAGGTTCGATAGTGCTTGCTGTAAGTACAGTCTACGCAGTACTACAACCTACGAGGTAGTACCTCTTGGTGGTGCTGGTAGAGCTATTTGCTAGATCATTACAGCGTTATTGCCAGCCGATTTTACTTACTATTTATTGCTGCAAGCAATGCAAGACCTGGCCGTCGTGAACTGCAAAATGCAAACTGCAAACTGCAAAATGCAGAATGCTACAGTAGGGCTAAATGCTGGTACTATATGGAGTGTTATGCTGGCGAGTTGCATTCTTCGCCGAGGCGCATGGGTTCATATCTTCCGCGCAGGCTACGACAGACTTACCTCTGTACAGTATGGGCCGAACCATCGCCGCGGGATGCGATAGATGCCGGAAATCCACAGCCTACAGCAGCACAGCTACGCTACTACTGTACGCACTACGCAGTAAAATCGAGAGACAGCACGCAGTAGGGCCCGAGGTGGATTCCGGCGTCGATAACCTCTTACCCGGTAGCCCTGCAGGCTGCAGGGAACTAGATGTCTCTGATCTCTGGAATCCTGGATGGTCTTGAATAAATGAGTCGATTCAGTTCGAATTTTCGACCGCGGCCGTCCTACGCAACCGCTGAGGCGTGTGCGGTGAACACTGAACATGGAGGAGACGGGACTTGCCTTTGCAGAATTGATTGGAGCGACGATTGCCATCGCGGTCCTCGGTCTGCGTGAATCCAGTGTGATACACAGGATCAATTGGCGATCGCAACCCCGTCTCAACGTCGTGTGATATGAGGGGGAGGGGGAGGGGGAGAACGGCCGAGAGGAGGAAGGCGGCGTCGAACTGAGTCTCCTCTTATCGACAATTGCTTCCTTTCCACAGATTCACAGAGCCGCCGGATGGAGGGTAAGAGTGTGACTGTGACCTCGCCGGCGAGACGAGAAGGCTCGGGAAGCGATATGTAAGATGTAAGGATACGACTCAAGGTCATGCTCCTCAGCTCCTGCGAATGCGAAGGTTGCCGCGCCGGCCCCCATGCTCGAGGATCTGGGTTGAGGGAAGAGGGGGAGGGGGTTGAGATTGTGAACGTGATGTTATGAGGGGTGGCACACTTCGGCCAATCCAAGATTCCGCGATGCGATGATTGATTGCAATTCCATTTGGATTTGGATCCTGTGTATCTGGAGATGTATATGTATCTATGCGCCGTCCCTGATCGCTCGGTCGGTCGGCCTGTGCTGCTGTGCATGATGCCGCGAGCCTGTACATTGATTCCCAGGAGATGAAGACCATCACCAACTGCTCTATCCGTCCTCTTCGCCCATCTCCACTCCTCCTTTCGATGCACTGTCCTGTGTAATCCTACACAGACGGTCAGACCACGTACGGCGTACACAATACTGCCCGCAACAAAAATCGCATTGCCGTCAACCAACTTCAACGGTCAACCAGCGCCCCTCTCTTCCCAACAGACTTTCGCCATTTGTCGCGCCGCGCCCCTTTCGCTGACCACTCTGCGACCGGCGCAGCGTCCTTGTGCTCTCTATTCGACAGTTGTACATCAATCGCTCCAGGCCAAAGCCCCCTTGCCCCGCTGAAGGCTCTGTCGCCAGAGCATTTCCGGGCCAGTCATCAACATTTTCATTCCGTGACTCAAGTCTCAAGCCAGCTCGGGCTGCTCGGTCGCAGTCAGCGCTCCCGGAGCCTCTCTGTTTTTATTCCCAGCTACTGCCCCTGGTCGCCTTACCAGACGGAGGGACTTTGCATCGACGGTATCGTGTCCGGGTCCTCAGATAATCTCACAAGTGCCAAGTAGCCCAGGTACCAGGTCCTCCTGAGACCACGCTTGTCTAGCAGATCCAGTAGTCTCGACAGACCGCCCGAATCCACCTCCTCGGTCCCGCCTGGCGGCTCGCGGCAATCAGGACGGCCTTCCCCGTAGCGATTTTAGACCCGCCGAGGAAAGGCTGGCGGTGGAGTGTTGGAACTTGGAAGGCAGATCCGGGAGAAGGAGCCGGGAGACGGCGACCACGGCATTGTCCTCTTGTCGCGGTTTGTAGCCCGAGAATCTCAATCTCGCTTTGAAAGATGAGCCTCGCGTGCCCGGCCGTGGCTTTCCTAGGATAATCCAGGGGTGTGGACGTTGCAAGTTTTGCACCGACGGGAGAATAGAATTCCCATGCGCGACGACACCATTATTACCTGAGGACGCTGTCTATAACGAAGAGAACCGTGGACAAAACAGAACGCTTGGCCAGCCTGTGGAAGGGCGCTATAGCGACCGTACTGTGCCCTGCAGGACAGTATCAGCTATAACAATAACGATACACGATACACGATACATCATACACGCCGCCTTCTGGTAAGTGCCTCTTCTGAGTCTTCTCTCTCCCCGTAACGACTCAAAACCCCCCGTCCTTGATACATAATCACCCACCGCCTTTGTCACGACCGGGCCATCCTCGCACATTCCAGAAGAACAGAGCCCCCTGTCCGTGCTGTCATATTGTTTTTATTCGATATCCAATAACAACAATAGTCATCCCATTCTCGGGATAGGGCGAACCTGCCTCTATTATTATACTCGACACGGCTACACTGGTACCCAAGCAGCGTGGTGGCTAACAGCTTGCAGTAATAAGCGTGCGACAGTGTGGGCCGGCCATACCATCATACTATCCCTTGCCCCTGTCCTGCGCCAACGCACAATCAATTTCCACGCGAAAAAAATCCCCCGTCCATCCCCCCCCCCGTCCTTAAATACTCTCGCTCGCCCCCCAGCCACGCCCTTTCGACTCCCTTCCGCCTTTACGGATCCATATCGCTCCCAAACAAACCGATAACTACCATTCTCAGTCCCAGTATTGAGCCGGATCGTGTCGTCCAGCTCATTCCAGAAGATCCTCCCCACCGAAGTCGAGCGAACTCGACTCCGACCCCCTTCCACATCCTCCGCGTGGGATATTGCAGACCCCGTCCTTGACATGTACGGATCAACGACTACGGCTTCCCCTCTCTCTTCTCGTACCGACTACATACCACGGTGACGGGCTCGTCACACTCTCCAGCGCTTCGATCGATCCACGGCGCGCTCGTCCTTTGGCTTTGCTTTTTTTCTTTCGTTTTAGGGTGTCGGGAGGACACCGCAGGAGCTGCAGATCATGAATACCTTTTCCCCATACAACACCCCGCCAGGAGGATACTACCCCTTCAGCGCCAGCCCTTCACCGGTGGCATCACCATCCGGAGTCCACGGATACTATCCGCCCAGGCCGGGACCCTCACCACGACATCACTCACGACATACAAGTACTGGGGACGCGTATGGGTATTCGCCCAGGGGCGCCTTCTCTCCCAGATATAATTCCAGCGGATACTACGCGACTGCTGCCAATGTGAGTCGAAAACAAAGTTCTTGGTCGGCGCCACCTCGTGAGGCAAAGCGACGAAATTCTTACTCCTATCGAGCCTCTCATGGGGATTCCGACGAGGATGAATATGAATATGTAAACTATGTGGTCGACGAGATGACCTACCGAGTGCCTGCTCAACGGCCGAGAAAGACAACTTACACTTATCGTGGGCATGGCACTGATCGTTACTACTATTCCCAGGCTCAAGTTTACGTCCCATATGACACTCCAGAGGAGTCACCACACTACGAAGTACCACCAAGAAGACGTCGACAATCATCCTCGACGCCTCAGCGACCCAATTCAGCTCGCCCCACAGCGTCACCAAAGAAGCCGCCACCAATCCCCAAAGCCACGGAGGCTGATGCGCGCAAGCACCGCATCCCACCGGGATACTCCCTCAAGAACTGGGACCCTTCAGAGGAGCCGATCATGCTCCTAGGGAGTGTCTTCGATGCTAACAGCCTTGGCAAGTGGATCTACGACTGGACGGTTTACCATCACGGCCCGGCAACTCCCATCGCTGATATGGCGGGCGAGCTATGGTTGCTCCTCATTCAACTCGCGGGCAAGGTCAAGCGCGCCGAGGAGTGCATGCCTCGAATCCGGAAGGAGGAGAACAGAGATATGGTTGAGGATTTCATCGAATCAGGGGAGAGATTAACCGATAAATTAAAGAAGTTGTTAAAGGCGTGTGAGACGCCGATGTTGAAGGCGGGCAGGAGGAACGGCAAGGATTCGGCGCAGCTGGGCAAGAATGCAGGGACAGAGTTTGTGGACTCCATCTTCGGACGAGATCGACAACTCGATGCCACCGAGAAGTTCATGGCATCCATCCGCCTATGGAATCTACGATTCGATGCCAACTGCGAGGAGATTTTACGACGACCAGGTCAGTACGAGTAGGGTCTGGCCAGACATCACACAACAAGGTTTATCAGGAGGAGTTTGCTTATTTCTTCCATCATCGCGTTTCTTACGGACTATGATACCCGCTCTGCGTTCCTACATGCTTTCCGGCGGTGGCTTTTGTAAGATATAAGAACGGCACAGGGGGCTACCCCGATCTTTCCAGTTTGTCAGGCATTTGGTAGATAAGAGGGATATAGGCATCATGGGCGGAGGAAAAGTTCCAGTTCGATCTGGGGGGGAATTGCATCTGCGGTCTTTTTTTCTTCTAATTGCGCGCGTTCGGACATTTGGTTTAGGGGGAGTTGCGACAGCTTTTCGGGGTTGTAAGTGTAGTTTCCTATTCTCTGATGGCATCTGGGGCCGGCGTCTTGTCTTCCTTGGGGTCGCCCTGTTTCAATTTGCGTCGTCGGCGGAATATACCCTTCGTAGATTTTTATTACAATAGGTACGGATCACATTAAATTCGTCAAATGTCTACCTACATTGTTACCTTACATTAGAGACAATAGAAGAAGAGTCGCTCTGGCAGGCGCAGTCATTCCCGCATAGCCTCTATCATCGCCCTTCCCTCCCTTTCCCTCCCTTCCCTTCCCCTCCTCACATCCGAACATCTCTCGTAATCCGCACCCCCCTCCCCCTCCCCCTCTCACCCCTCTCACCCCTCTCACTTACCCCTCCCCCTCCCGCCTCGGCCACTCAACCGCAGCCGATCAAACCCAGCCAATCCCCAGAACCCAACCCAACACCAATAATAATAACCCATCATCCAACGCACAGTACATCTCCAGCCGCGGCAAAGCGATCCCCCCCCGCCCATCACAATGGTTCATGCACCTGTGCTGTGCTGTGATCACCGCCCACGCCCGACGCTTCCGAATGGACAGCGGGCGGCACGGTACGTAAGGTAGGTATGTTCGACCTTACCTTACCTTACCTATCTCATCTAGTTAGTTATATGTATGTATGTGCTCTGTATGTAAGGTATGTAGGGGTAAAGGAAACAAAACGCGGCGTTCCAGAAAACTAAAAACCAACCAACTCCACATGTCTGCCTGCGAGCCGCCTTGCTTAGGCACTTAGGTATCGAAACGAACGAACTATACATTACCTTACCTGCCTGCCTCTTTCCGCGGCTGCGTGCCTGAGTACTATGGTGCGGAGCAGCGGCATCTGACGTTGGAGTTGGCGTCTTGGGGGATGAGAGGGGGTTGGGTTGGATCGGGCGATGGTTTGTTTCCTTTTCCTTCATGGGCTTTGCTCTGCTGGTTGGTTTTCTTTGAGCTTTCTTGCTCCTATGCTTGGTTCTGAGAGTTTGGCAAGCGGCGAAGCGGCGTACGGTATCTCGGGTTGGAATTTGGTGGGGTAGGTAAGTTTGGGGAGAAAGGAGAGAGGGGGGGGGGGGGTCTCAACGGCGACAATTGTATTCTTTGGGAAAATAAAAGAGTATGTTGAAGCTGGAATGCATATTCTTTTTTTCTCTTTTCTCTCTTTGCAATATACTCTCCTTCCCTCATGCTGTACTTAGGTATTCCATACTGCTGGCTCAAGTCTCGCTTCGCTCCCTTGCTTCCCGACCCCGCTAAATTTCAACTTGAAGTCTCGAAGCCTTCTATCCTTGCGCACCTCAATATCTCCCTACATCACCACCCTCCCTCCACCATCCAGGTAAATACCAAAACAGGTACCGGTGAGCGCCCCAGCCAGCATCGTATATAACGCCCGGCCTCCTGCATGTCAGCAACCCCACCCCTCCCACACGTAAGCAAGCACCAGCCAACGAGCGCATACCTACAGTTCGCCATCTCGAGGTCTTATCTCATCTTCTTAGTCGGGCCGCCTGCACGCACGGCACAGCCCAGAAGCCGGGACTAGAGAGAGTTGAGTGCCCGGCGCTGCGTTCTGAGACTGGACTGTTCTGTTGGGTCTGGGACGGGATTGGAGGACTTGCTCTGGAAAAGCTCTTTCTTCCCTGGTGCCTCGCCTGTGCCTGAAATAGGGACTTTCAAAAAAGACGAGAGTCGCAAGGCTGCAAGTCAAGTTGGGTTGTCGTCAAGGATCGGATTTGATCGCGGCATAGAAGTAGGGCTGAGGCTGAGCGCGGGAAGTACTGCAATCGGGCTCGGGAACTGTGATTACGGCCTAACCGCTTATTTTTAAACGCGAGGAGGCTGGATGAGAAGTTATCATCTCTCTGGGACGAGGCTGTGTCGTTGGACTTCCAATCTTGACGTCAAGGAGGTCAAGGCTGGTGGTTACTTGTTGGTTGAGAGATCTGAGCCTGCCTACTTCGTCTCTTCTCTAGGCTGCTCTTCATAGCAGAGCGGCTCTCGATAGACAGCACTCCGAAGAAGTTGGTTGTTGAGGCTGTGTCGCTGTGTACGACAAGGCTAAGGCACCTCAATCGGTTCTCCGAAGCTGCGTTCAGGGCTCGGCGTCTACGAGGGAGGCGTTAGGAGTTGAGTGACAGGAGAAGTTTCTTTTCCAAGGCTGCGCTGCCGGATTGGGCTTGGCATCAAGTAGGCCATTAGAAGTTCTTGAAGGCTCTACCGGACGGTACGTGCTCCCGGACAGCTGAAGTGCCGTGAAGAGGTCTCAGCTCCTACGACCGGGACCAGCATCGGCTTCGGCTGCTACGAGGGACGGAAGAGAAGCCTATTAGGACGAGTTGGTTCTGCAAGGCTGTATCGCAATCCCGGGTGTTGGACTCGAGGCTGGCGGCTAGGGGTTGCCGTGCTTACTCCCTGGAGCGCTCGACAAAGCCATATCATTGGTTGTACGTTGAGCAGCGGAACGGAGCGCAGAAACCCACCACTATTCTTTCCATCCCCAGTCAGCCTTGCGAATCTTTTGCAGACCCCATCTCAAGTTCAGGTTGTTGACAAGGCTCCATCATGCATTATATACGTTTCCTCAAGTCTCCTCGGCTACTGCTGAATTCACCTCCTGTTTTGAGTGCGAAGGTAACTGTTACTACGGACCTTGGGGAGTCGTTCCTTCTGACAGACATTGCACTATTTGTGGAGCTCGAGTCTGAGGATGGGTCGAATATTCTTGGCCCTGGGAAGGGGAGGGAATACATGTGGAAAGGGCGCAGTGGTATGAGGAGTTTGGAGGTCTCCATACCTATTCCCTTGTCTAAGAGCAAGGGAAGAGGTGGAGGAAGGATGAGGATGCTGGTTCGTCCAAAGGAGGACAAATATAATGTGGATACTTTGGGAATATTATTAACTGGGAATAATAACCCCAACGAGGATGAAGGCCGGGTCCTTGCTGTCCGGAGCATGAGTCTCGATAACGGTCAGCCGGCCGAAGGGCAAAATGCAGGTGTAGGAATGGCGAAGAGAGTCCTTATCTCAGGGAGTAAAGAGATCGTCGTCTGGGAAGAGACTGGGGAAAGTATAGCACGACATATCTGGTATGATTGGACAGGTACGTCCACTTTCTCTTCCATTTGACTAACGGTATGAATAGGGATGCCGGGCTTATGCTTTCGTCATATATTGCTGCCATCTCGCCCTCCAACACCCCACATCCTGAATACCTCCATACTCTACCAGAATTACCAACGCTGGGAAAGATACTATCTCTCAAGGATTTGAACATCCTAGAACTTGGTGCAGGCTGCGGCATCGTCGGCATAACACTCTCAAAGTTCCTCCCCAGCGCCTCACAAATCCTCCTCACCGACCTCCCTGAAGCCTCCGAGATATTGGAGCACAATCTCTCTCCCTCCATACTCCTCCCCCAAAACAGAACAAAAATCACACACCAAGTCCTAGACTGGGCATCTCCCCTTCAACCAAACATCAAGGAGACAGACTGGGATCTGATCGTCGTAGCGGATTGCACGTACAATCCCGACGTCGTCCCGGATCTAGTCTCAACGCTGAAATCCATTACACAAGGTAATAAGAGGAAACATGCGCTGATATTGTTGGCTATGAAGGTAAGGCACGAGAGCGAGATGGTCTTCTTTGACTTGATGGCCCGGAATGGGTTTGTAATTCAAGAGAAAGCAGTTCTGCCGCTGCCCGTCTTGGCGGGGGAGGGGGAACAGATTGAGATTTTCGGATTCATGTTGAGAGATGCGGGGGATTAGACTGAGTACACTGGAGGAGGTTTGTTGATGTTCTTTTCTGTTCCTTGACCGAAAGACACGTACTTCCGTGGTTCTGTACACAGATACCAATACCGATAGGGTGAACCCCATGCTCGATTGAGAAATCAGTTACGGCCCAAGCCCCAGAACCAAAATGCAGACAAGAAAATAGACAAGCAACATATCTACTCTCTTCTAGGAATTTCTGGAGCGTAAGTTTGCGCGTATAGAAGGAATGAATGATGCGGGTACCTCAAGGCGTTGAAGGTTCCTTGGTCTCTCAAAGTTTGTCACGCTATTGAGCTCAAAACAATAGGCTCTTTTGAAGACCTTTATCCCGAGTACTTTCGCAATTTGGTTCAAAGAATGTTGAAATTTTCTTCCCGAAGCACACACTCGTCAAAGATATGGAAAGCCGACGCTAGGTCGCCTCCCTTTCTCTCCGAATAAGCGAGGCCCCCCTTTTTTTCTTCAACCCCTCAACCCATTTGGCCAATCTCGAAAGCTCTCCATAAGCCATATTCTTCTCACCATCAGCTCAACGTATAATTCGTTGGAGCCCCAAAATTCCTTTCTATTGTCACCATATGTGGATTATGGATCCACGAGGGGCCCTCTACGATGGCGTCGGCGTGGATGAGCTGCATTGATTCGACCATTTTCAGGGTTGTGGATCGTACCTTTCTACGGTAGGTACCGCCGACGCTATGGTATGGATGTCTAATCATCATTGAATGGATTTATATGGTGTTGTCGGGCGTCATCACTTAGCTCTCGGTAGTGTCCGTCGTCATTAGGCCTCGATAGTACCAAGCGTACAATGGGGGACTTCTGCCTATATATATCCCCCAATGTCCAGGACCACCGCAATCTCCAAGCTGAAGCATTCGATCTTCTCAAATCACAATCTCTTCTCAAGTCTTCTCAAATCACAATCTCCGCTCGCGTCTTCATCGCATCCCCACTTCAACACACTTAGTGTTCTTCACTTCTCATCATCTCCAAATCTCACCATGCGTTTCTCAGCCGAGCTTGTGGCCCTCGTAGCCATTTCCTCCTTCGGTCTAGTTGCCGCTGCTCCTATCGCCGAGGCAGAAGCGGACCCAGCTCCACTCTTTATCGGTGGACAGTATTATGGCGGTGGCTTCGAGTAAGTTTCCTTCTTCCAAAGCGCCGTTCCAGATCATCATTCTAATATGGTTTCTACACAGAAAGCATGGTGGCCACGGCATCAAAAGAGACCGCTACAGGGAGAAAGGCCACAAAAAAAGCCATCACCATGGCTACAGAGAGCGAGAGCGAGAGCATGAGCATGGCCATGGTCACCACGAGCATCATCTGGGAGGGCATGGAGGCTTTGGAGGCTATGGCGGCGGTGGCTATGGCGGCTATGGCGGCGGCTATGGCTACAAAGAGCGTCGTACTGACCCTAGTGCCCGACCCGCATCCAGCCACGGGACCTACCCTGGTGGGCACTGGGATGGAGGAGTCTGGGCTGGTGGCTCCTACAAGCGTAGTGTGGTAAAGCGTGACGGGGCTCAGAATGAGGACGGTAAAGACGATGGCTGTTAGTATTCCCCATCCTGATTTTCATTTCGCATTGCCCCTTTTGAGATAGGAGCTGACATTCCTCAAAGACGATGATGGCTATTACGACGATGGCTATTATGACGATGACTACTATGACGATGATAGAGACGGAAGAGATGATAGAGATGGAAGAGACCACAGGGATGGAAGAGACGATAGAGACGATAGAGATGGGAGAGATGGAAGGGACAGGGGTAAGTCCTCATATCAGATATTTGTGGGATGTCAGAGCTGATAATCCGCATAGATGACCGCGATAACCGTGACCATGAGGGACGACACCGAGATGTCAAACGTACGGATGGCTGTAAGTATAATTAATCATGTTATAACTAGGTCACTAATCAAATCCGCAGACGAACACGGAAAGGAGCATGAGAATCAGAAGGAGCATGAGAAACAGAAGGAACATGAGAAACAGAAGGAACATGAGAAGCAGAAGGAGCATGAGAAGCACCACAAAGAGCCTGAGAAGGAGCACAAGAAGCATGAGAAACAGAAGGAGCATGAGAAACAGAAAGAACACGAGAAGGATCACAAGAAGCACGAGAAGCAGAAGGAGCCGAAGGAGCACAAGAAGCAGGAGAAGCATAAGGAGCCTGAGAAGGGTCACAAGGAGCACGAGAAGCAGAAGGAGCATGAGAAACAAAAGGAGCATGAGAAGCATGAGAAGCAGAAAGAACACGAGAAGCAGAAAGAGCACGAGAAGCAGAAGGAGCACGAGAAGCAGAAGGAGCACGAGAAGCAGAAGGAGTATGAAAAGCAGAAGGAGCACGAGAAGCAGAAGGAACATGAGAAACAGAAGGAGCATGAGAAGTTCCATCACAAGGTCCATCACAAGGACTATTAAAAGGTCCATGGAAGGTCCATCAGAAGGGCCATTAAAAGGGCCGCAAGGATCATCAGATTCATCACAGGCGACACTCAGCGCCTTACCCGTTTGCTCCTATACCTGGGGCTAGATAATATCTGGCGAACTGTAATAAGTAATAGGCTATTAATCACTGTTAGAATTTACTTTTATTTTTCTCAGTGTGTGCTTACGAGTGAGGATTCTAGAATGTTTAGCTTGAGTTTAGAATGCAACATGGGCAGGGACGATCTGATTGGATAATTTCAAAAGCTTCAACGGCATAAAACTATGAACTTTTGAGTAATAGGTTAATCAAATAAATGAGTGTACGATACCTAGGTGGAGTAAGCTTTGAACTGATCTCTACGCAAGTGGAAATTTGAGGTCACGTGCAACTATTCAGGGGTGAATGGTATTGATATTTTCATCGGACCGGTTAAGCGAGAGTGACAAAGGGGGTTTCCCTTGCCTTGCTTTCCTCCTTACCCATAATCTACTCCATCACTGATATCTGCTTCTATATTCCTCTAATATCGACAACTTCAACTATCCTCAGATCATGATGATGTGACACTTGCTGGCAATCAATAAGAGCACTCCAGTCCCAAACCCACAGCTGAAAGAAGCTCAAGCTTAATGAAGCCAGGTGGATGCGATCATACCGTTGCAGCCGGCAAAATGATGGAAGTTGACCGAGATGCTTTCCCTCCTCCCCGGCCAAGCCAACAATATCCCCTACAGAAAATACCAGAGAACGACTAGGGAGAAATTGTCGAAGTGACACGACAGAGTTGATGATGATCGAGACATTGTCCATCTCCGGCGAAATGTCAATATACCCGGCATTAGCTCCCAAACTTCTGCGGTACTTCCACTGATCCGCCCAACACTATGTAGGTCAACGATTTCAACGGATTCGGCGCCGTGATCATCGCCCTGCTCGCCTGGGTAAAACCAGACTCATCGTGCTATTGGAGCGTTTCCATTGTATACAGATGCACGGATGAGCATTTCCCCGCACATCTATAGCTTCATCGTGAGGCTTTGCAGTCCTCGGGGCCACGGAAGCGAATCCTCCGTGTGGTCTTCCCCGCCTGATGTTCTGAACCAAGATGATGCGCTTCGATTAATTCACACACGGTAGCACTCACTACCGGTCCTTTTCCCTTACCGCTCAGCTCTAGGTATGCTGATCTTATATCATGATGGGGGCCCGCTTTCATCTGTTGTGTTTTTTTCTTCCACTTCCAAAAGCATCATCAGCAGCACTTGCATTCATTCTACTTAGCTGTGCTAATTGAATCTCTTGAGCCTTGGAAGTCAATTTGCCTTTTCCTCTCAAATCGTAAATATGCTATTAAACCGGCCTTTTTGGGTAGCAATAGCGCTATGTCTGTCGTCCAATGTCGAAGCAGCGTGCAACCATGATAATTGCTTGAGAGCTTTCATCAGATCCTCCGCGGCCGCCTCATCTTTCTGCGCAACCTATACTCCAGGCTCAAGTACACCAACGCGCACGACCGGACTTCCAAGATTTGTGTCTGCCTGTCAGGATTCTCCAGCCAGGATTTCAAGTGCATGTGCTTGTCTAGCCACTCCAACACCAACTACAGCGACCAGTTCACCCACCACGAGTGTAACTGCAAAAGCTACTTGTGCCGCTACACAATATTGGCCCGGGTGGGAGAACATCAAATATGCGTTTGTCTTGTGAGTAACCGATGTTTGATGGTCAGGGTAATTAACTGATCTGATACAGCGGCGATTCATACTCAAGTACTGAGTTCAATGAGACTGGTGTCCAGCCATCGCCTACAAATCCACTTGGAAATCCGACATATCCAGGGTTTACCTCGGCCAATGGTCCTAATTGGGTTGACTTCCTTACCACGAAGCACAATGCATCTCTTCTTTTGACCTATGATATTGCATGGTCAGGAGCAACCATGGATTCTGCTCTTGTTGCACCATATATACCAACTGTATCATCTATCGCCGAGCAAGTTGAAAACTTATGGTTCCCAAATTATGCTTCAAAGCCAGCCTCAGCTCCGTGGTCTTCGGACGATACTCTTTTTGCAGTATTTGATGGCATCAATGACGTCGGAAATTCCTGGGCCCAAGGGGTACCAGCCACTACGACGCTCAATGCCGAGATCTTCAATGTTTATCATGGCCTTGTCGACGAACTCTACTATGCTGGTGCACGCAACTTTGCGTTTCTGAATGTCCCACCTGTGGATCGTGCCCCCTTGACCTCCGAAAAAGGCCCAGAGAGTCAGGCAGAGGAGAAGGCAGATATCTTGGATTGGAATACCTTGCTTGCCGGTATGGCTCAAGACTTGAAATCGATGTTTCCGGATATCAATGTCTTCGCCGTTGATGCCAGCCTGCTTTTTACCCAAGTGTTGGACAATCCAGCCAGCAATCCTATCACCGCTGGCTACCTAAATACAACCGGGTACTGTGATGCGTATGCCAAGTAGGTGGATTCACATAATTTATTGTTCGGACTCCCAACTAATTCTATCGCAGTGGTACCCCAACAGAAGATTACTTTGACCCCACGTGTGGGATTCCAGTCAACCAGTACTTCTGGCTGAACAATCTTCACCCAACTTACCCAATGCAGGATGTACTTGCACAGGGAGTGGCAGCGCAACTGGAGGCAGGGCCGAACGTCTGCTGAACCAACTTCTGGTAGCATCAGCACGGATGTTGATTTCTTTTATGTTAGGATCACATATCTCAAGCTATGGCCCTGGAATGACCTTGTCAACCCTGCAGCGGGGGTTAAGAGGTTCACTTCTAAAGAATCCCATCTATATACAAACCAAATAAGAAAAAGTTTACCAACAAATCGTCAAGTGCCCTTTTCATGACCACGTGACCACAGATGGGATCGCTTCTGAGTACCTATTAGGTAGTCTTTCGTTCTCGAACACTTTACGTAGGCTGATTTTTAACAGCCTCTTCAATCTTCAGGAACATCCCCTTTGCCATAGAAGGATTCCGATACTCGAATGGGACAAGACGGATGAAGACGAGGGGCTCAGTCCAGTCCCTGTCTCCCCGCTATACGCTAGACCGTATCTGGGCATAGAATCCGAGATATTTCTTATCAAGTTACCTATCAGAGCGATTATCGAACCAATGCCGCAGTTATTCGCACGCCAATTGTCAAGTCTTGACAGCTGTAGGAGACACAACGGTGATTTTTTCAAAGCTATCGGCATGCCGAAGGAGGGGCTGCGGGTCTGGCCATTGAGTACGAGAAGAGCTTCACCACAATCAAAATCATCCATTACCTATCCCACTGTTCCGTGCTCTTGACCGAATTGGAATATCAAGTCCCGCGTGCTTCCTATATCATTGACTGCTCTCCCGGTCGAGATTGACTTCTTCACACTGCGACTTTGCTGATATATACGAGAGCGGAGATTCTAGAGAAGTTCTTCCAGCAAACATTCTTCGCACAAGCATAACAACCATGGCTCTCGACAGACTCAAGTCCGTTGCCCAGCACGTCACTGGTAGCGGTCCTCCTCCTCACCCGTTCGACCCCCTCTCCAACGCAGAGATCGAGACCGTTGCTCAGATTGTTCGCAAGGAACATGGCAAGGTCAACTACAATGCGATCACTCTTTCAGAGCCGCGGAAGAAGGAGATGATGAAATGGCTCGAGGACCCAGCGCACACCCCCAGACCGGCAAGAATCGCAGACGTAGTTGTGATTGCGCCGGGTGGAAAGGTCTGCGAAGGATTGGTGGATATACTGCAGGGAAAGATCACAAAATGGACGGTGCTGGAGGGTGTCCAGCCTTTGGTGAGTTTGTGTGTTTAACGATGGGGGATTCTGGACTAATGAAGACCGCCAGATCACGATGGAAGACCTACAAGCTGTAGAGCATATCTGCCGGAAAGATCCAAAAGTTATTGAACAATGCGAGATTAGCGGGATTCCAAAGGAGGACATGCACAAGGTGTACTGTGATCGTATGTCTTCCCTACTGCTAGCAGTCGCGCGCATCTGCTGACCTTCATAGCTTGGACAATTGGATATGACCACAGATTTGGAAGCAACCGCAGACTGCAGCAAGCCCTGATGTATTATCGGCCGCACGTAGATGACAGCCAGTACTCGTTCCCCCTCGATTTCTGCCCTATCTTCGACGCCGAGAAGCAAGAAATCATCCACATCGATATCCCTGAAATCCGCAGACCCGTTAGCAAAGCAAAGCCAAACAACTATCACGCAGCGAGTGTCGAGGCAGAAGGCGGATACAGGACGGATATCAAGCCCATCAACATTACTCAGCCCGATGGAGTCTCGTTCAAAATCGACGGAAGAATCATTGATTGGCAAAACTGGAACTTCCACGTTGGATTCAACTACAAGGAAGGGATTGTGCTCAACAACATCACATACAACGACAAGGGCAATGTCCGGCCTGTTTTCTACAGATTGTCTCTGGCGGAGATGGTGGTTCCTTACGGCAATCCCGAGCACCCTCATCAGAGAAAACATGCTTTCGATCTTGGCGAGTATGGTGGAGGATATATGACCAACAGCTTGTCTTTGGGTTGTGATTGCAAGGGTGCTATCCATTACATGGATGCTGCATTTGTCAACAGAGCAGGCGAGAGCACAACCATCAAGAACGCTGTATGCATTCACGAGGAAGATGCTGGCATCCTTTTCAAGCATACCGACTTCCGTGACGAATCTGTCATCGTTACCAGAGGCCGAAAACTCATCATCTCCCAAATCTTCACAGCGGCGAACTACGAGTACTGCGTGTACTGGATATTCCACCAAGATGGAACCATCCAGTTGGAAATCAAGCTCACTGGAATCCTGAACACCTACGCCCTGAACCCAGGTGAAGATACCAAGGGCTGGGGAACGGAAGTCTACCCCGGGGTCAACGCCCATAACCACCAACATCTCTTCTGCCTGCGAATCGACCCCAATATCGACGGACCCAACAACACCGTCTTCCAGGTCGATGCCACGCAAGGGCCAGGCGAGGTCGGCAGCAAGGAAAACCCATACGGAAACGCTTTCTTCGCCAAGAAGACAAAGTACAGCACCGTCAAAGAGGCAATCAGCGATTATGACGGCGTCACCTCCAGAACTTGGGATATTGCAAACACCAACAAGTTAAACCCATACAGTCACAAGCCCGTCAGCTACAAGCTCGTGAGCAGAGAAGTACCAAGACTTCTCCCCAAGGAGGGATCACTGGTCTGGAAGCGCGCAGGTTTCGCCCGCCACGCTATCCACGTTACTCAATGTACGTTCTCCCTCTCCCACCCCCTAATCACCCTTACCCTTCCTTACCCTATACTAACCCCCTACGATCCAGACTCCGACGACCAGACCTGTCCCGCCGGCCGACACGTGCCCCAAACCTCGGGCGAGCCATCCCGCGGCATCCCCGAATGGATCGCCAACGGCGACGCGTCCATCGACAACACCGACATCGTAGTCTGGCACACCTTCGGCATCACGCACTTCCCCTCGCCCGAAGACTTCCCCATCATGCCCGCCGAACCCATGACCCTGCTCCTGCGCCCGCGCAACTTCTTCACCAAGAACCCCGCGCTCGACGTCCCGCCCAGCTACTGCAGTACGCCGAGCCAGGTCGCCGCTAAGAGCGGCGCGCTGGATGCCGCGGATAAGATGTCCAAGTTGGTCGTTGCGGGTGGAGAGGCGGCGACAACGTCGTCGTCGTCGTCGTCGTGCTGTAAGAAATAGGAGAGAGAACACGCATATTAACAAATAAAAAATAAACCGGCATTTAGCGGGTGTTGGCTTGTTTGATTGGTGTCTTTTTTATGGTCTTTTTTTCTTTTTTACCAATGGTATAGTAGCTAGGGGGGTAGGCATTGGATGATCTGTAATGAAGCAATATTATTTATCCACGTTCGTCTTCGATCTTTGGAATGCGTTTCTTGCCATGATTGAGTGCTACCCCACACATCAGGGGTCCAAATAAGGTTGTCGTGATCTGCACTGTAGCATCCACCACATACCTACATAACTTCTTATTAGGGCAATCTACGTGCCGGCAAACCACCCGTATTTTGATCTTCATCACTTCCTAGCATAGTAAAATTCCAGTACCCAGCATTGAAAAAGCCAATGCAGAGAGAGAGGTCTGCTGAGAAGAAATCGTATCTTAATTCATAGCTCATCCCTATGTAAAAAATTGCACGCGTGATCTCATAATTGAAAAGAAAAAGAACGGGTCCCAGACGCAAAATCACCATTTCCTGCCCATATGAAAAGGAGATTAGAAACCATCCTGTCGATACGCAGTTTCCATGAACGACACACGCCTGCTCTTGCGCCGAGTGCTAGTTCTAGAGTATACTCCCCGCCGGCCAGTCGACACGATGCTCATCCATACTTTAAGTCAGAGTAGCCAGCATAGCTCTAACCAACCTAGGAGGCGGCCCTAAAACAAACAACGAATCAGCCGAAACTCTTACAGAACTCCCAGCCAGGGCCAAGAACCCACCAAAGGATAAGGATCGTTCAGATGTATTTCGGGACGCTGATTGACATCCTACCTTTTCTGTCTTTCTCAATCCTCACTGTTGCTTCAGGTTCAAGTCTCTCTCGTTTAACCAGGGTAATTTCCTCTCCGGGTCTCTCATACGTATCTCTCTCGTACAGCACCAAATCGGTTTCGGAAACGCGGTGACTGTGACGGCGGCCTGAGCGGCGGCGTCGTCTCTGAGCTCGGAGAGCCTCTTTCTCTGCTTCTAAGGCCCTGATCTCGGCGCGAATTGCACGCTCGTCTCGCAAGCCGTGTCGGTCGTTGGAAGCTGCCAGCGCGAGAGGTCCAACTGTCATAGGGTCCGAGATGTCGGTTACTTCTCTGTGCCGCTCAACGAGTGTGCTCTCCTCACGGGGGCGGCCAGCATCGATGATAATGGCATTGTTATGATGATGGCGGCGAGGGGATGGAGATCGTGTTTCCACAATCTTGGTTTCTTTGGCTACCTCGAGGTTCTTCCCCGGTGGTGGCGAGGGTGCCGTGATGACCTCTTTCGTGACGCGCTCTTCAATGACGGTTCCGGCTTCAGAGCGGGCCCCGGACATTTCGGCTTCTGATTACACAAAACCATTAACATTTATTTCCACATTGAAGCGGCTACTGAATAACAGAGGCACAGTTAGGATTTGGTGAATATAGGAACTTACTCTCTGACGCTTTGTAGTCCTCGCTCAGCTTAATAACCTCGTCGATATTTTCGCGGCCGAGGGCTTTCTGGATAATGATCACATCGCCCTAAGAATGTTAATCAAGGACGAAAATGTCATGGGTGGAGCGCAAACCTCTTCCTCGAAAGGATAACCCAAATCGATAATTGCTTTCTTGCTCACAAGTTTGGCAGGCATTCTCGTCTTTCCCCTCTTAGGAAACTCGCTCTTGGCAACCTCGCTGACAGGACTGGCGGATCTCGAGCTGCTGCTGCTGCTACTTCGCGCGCTTTCCCTGGTACTTCTACTCTCTCTGCTTCTGCTTCTCCTCCGTCTCCTGATAATCTCCCTTTCCACGACGCGCTCTGGGTAGCCCCTAAACTCGTCATCTCCATAGTAATCTGGCTCAGCAATCCTGATGTCCTCATAATCCCTCTCGGCATATCGTCTTGGCGGTGGGAGTCCCCTCGTCCTTGGTAATGGAATAGGAGTTAACGGAGGGGGTGGCGGGGCCCTAACCTCCTCCCTGTAGATTCTCGCAGGAGGACCATATTCCTCCCTCTCTCTGAATCTCGCAAGTGGTCCCCGATCAAACGTATCCAAGCTACTCTGTCTCCTGATTATTCCCGGCCTCGGGGGGGCTTCATATCGTGGAGGGCTATAGTACTCCCTCTCCCTCTCCTTCTCAAACGTAATGCTGCGTCCCCTGTCCCTGCCAGTCGATCTCTCTCTTGCATATCGTGGCTCGTCGTCATAATACTCTCTTCTTTCAAATCTATCATCCTCATAACCACCTCTTGGACCGTATCGTTCTCGCTCATAAACGTCGTCAACGGCGTACCCGCCTCCGCGGGGAAAGCGTGAGTCGTGTTCTTCGAAGCGCTCTCGTGTTTCAGTGCCAAAGCGATTGCGATCGCGCTCGATCTCAAAGCGTTCACTGTCCCAGCGCTCACCTCGTTCGCGGCCCCCGTAGCGAGACATGTTGTAGGTCCCTTGGGGCCCTTTTCGATATGACTTGAGGACGTGTGCTAAAAGGAGTGTAACTATTCCAAAACTCGGTGATCCTGGTGATGCAATGATGTACCTTCGTACGCGAGACTCGTCTTACTTCTGCCCCCGCTATTGGTGAAGAGGGCTCGGCGCAGAAGGCTGGGAGAGTTCGAAACAACAGACGACGTTGATCAGGTTGGATCGATCGCAGGACAGTCCACGGAGTTGTATTGTGTCGTTACTCTTGCGAGACAAGAGGGAGGCTCACGGGAAGAGGAGGCTTTATCGTGCGTGATGGATCGTCTCGAAGCTGGAATTGGTGGGGTCTTGGAAAGGAACCTTGCAAGTGATGCCCGGCTGCAGGATGGGTTCCACGTGATCCTCCTCTATTTTTACTCCCACAGCCTCCTCCTGCTGTATCGAAGCCCTTCCCGCATGCAATAAATGGCAAAGATGTTCTGTCTTGCCTGCTCCTAGAGCGCAGAACAAGTGTCCGGATCGAAGAAGAACGATTTCTGTGTCCAGACGTTGAAAATCCCTGGGTGACGTTTGGTGTTGGTCGTCATCGCGTAGAATTTCTGATGACGTAGGGGTAGCAGGTCAAGCTTATAGCCAAACTGGCAGTGCGAGTACTCTATCAGCATCCGAGTAACTTCTTTTCGAGAGATATAACAAGAGAAGTTGTTCATCTAAACGGCCCAGGAACGACATCTACAAATACAGCAAAGTACTGGGTGACTAGAGGCGCGGCCCGAGATCCAGGCCCAAACGTTGGACTCTTGACGGAGGACGCAAATTGTGGGGAAATGGGGCCTTTAGAAGTGAGGCAAATTTTTGACGGAATCTCTAATTCTCATCACTGATATCTTGCGTGGCTATCTCTGAGCTTTTAATTTAGAAGACCTATCAACTCCCCCGTCCCTTCATCCATGCCATCCATGCCATCCATGCCATCCATGCCATCCATGCCATCCATGCCATCCATGCAACGCCACGCTATGCTCCGAAAAGTGTGCTCCTATTGAGATCTGACCCGGAAATGCAAGGAATGTATCACGCCTGTAGCGCAAGAGGTGTGGGCCAGAATCAGCCCTCGTTGCTGCAAATGCCAAAAGCACTCCCCTAGCAACCCTGCCCTGCCTCATTTCACCTTTCGGCTCTTGATGTAATCTCTCAGCTGTTCGTGCCTAGTCACGAAAAACATCCTCTTCGCATCATTTTTCCAGATCAGCACTCCGATCTCATCCGCATACCGCGAACAACCTTCATACTCCTTTTGATTTTCAAAATCCCTGAACAGAAATCCAGGTGTAGCTTTCATTCTTTCATTCTCAATCTGCCATAATCTGATCTGGTCTACAACCGTTGGAGGCAACACTGGCCCTCCTCCTTGTGCAGCCGATGCTTTCAGCAATTGTGGATGAGCATGCGTAGAAAGATAAGAAATGATTTGGTCAGATGTGATGCCCTGGGAGATAGCTTGGCGGATCGAATCCCGTGTTACACGTCCGGCAACCATGTTGGGATAGCGCGTGCTGAGCTTGGTGAAGAGAGATAGAACGGCAATTTGTAAAGGAGAAGATGTGTAGGCGTAGAGGCGATAATTCGTTTCTATGATGATAAATCCCTTCGTTCCCGTTGCAGCGCTCGTTGCAGCATCGAAACCGGCAGATACACTACGAAGGGCACTGGCGTCGGATGTGAGTGTTGTAGCTAGTCTTGTAGGGAAGAATTGGGTAGATGTTGAGGGCGGGATGTAGACAAGGCCGAAGTCAACTAGATGTCCAAGCATTCGTTGTTGAGATTCTGTGAGAGTGGTAGTATTGTATGCACGACCGAGTTCGAGAGAGCCAAGCATAAAAAGAAAAGAAAGAACATCGACGTTGTCCATTTCCATCTATTTATGTTAGCTTACGTAGACCCTCAATGGGAGGCGGACATACCTTCTCAGCATTTTCAATCCAAAGTAAGAGGAGTGTCCACACTTGGGCATTGACTTCTTGCAAGAGAAAAGAGAATCCAGCTTGTGTTATTCCTGAATTCGCATGCCTTCCTTTTGTGACCAAGTTCCCGGCCTGTAGCAAGTCCTTCACTGCCTCTGTAGGTCCCCCCGAATCGTGTCGCATCCCGTCTCCTACGCTGTTCACGACATAATGCAGAATGCCCTCCCACTGAGTTCTCGCGTAGTCATCGAGAAGACCAAGGTCAACATCTTCAACCACATCGCTTGAAGGTACCCCGAATGATTGATGGTCACCACCTCCAGTTAACGCGAGTTGTAGAGCGGACCGAAAGTTTTTCGTCAGAGATACGACTTGGGGTTCTTCTCGACTCGGCGCGGTAATCGTAACTATGTGCAGCCGAGATAGCAGCGAGAGGGCTTGGTCTTTTTGTCTGCGGCACATTAGCTAAGACCCATGACAAGTAAATGTTGATGCTAACCGCTTGCTATTAGGATGAACCCAGAGGTCAAGATCGGTGAGAGGTAGTGGCTTGCTCATGTACAATAACGCCATTACGAAAGTCTTTGCTGTTCTCTATCAGTCGCCATACTGGTATCATCAAAAGATGCCATACCAAGATGTGGAAGCATGCGCCTAAATATAGCCAAGGACGTTGAAGGCTGTTGATATAAACGCCTGAAAGTCGTCCCTGGAAGCCTCTCCAGGTAATCGAAGGAGGCGAGGGTTGAGACAGACATCTTGAAGTTGTCAGGATCCCAAGTCTCGAAGTCTCGAAGACTCGAAATGGTGCAGCCTCGCCATGATTGAAGTCCCGAAAGCTCACGCTACGCACGGACCACTTGCGCGAAAGCCCGTGATGTCGCGGGGCAAGCTTTCAACGAACGTCCAACCATCCATCACTATTTCATTGTTCGTTTCCAATATGGCGGCTCTTAGATTTGTACGATCGGTATGTTTAAATTGCCTTAATATTGAACTGATAGCTAATCGATGAGCAGGTCCTGAAATCATTCCAAGCAGAGTCTGGGCTAGAGCCGAGGTAGTTCTCCCGTCTTCCGTCCTGTCCGCAGTCCAGCTCTTGGAAGCATAAGAGTTTCTTTACAGCCATGTACCTTAATTTAGTATTGCCCCTTTATCAATAAGTCTGTTGATATAGGGATAATTGAAGAAGAAGGGTTTACTACTTCAATTCCTTTGCTGACGCGTCTTCTGTGGCCAGACTGTTTGGGGAGCATGTAAGGACTCCTTTTGGTTATTGTCCAGTTCAGTGTTGATTATTTTGCCAGCTCCGAGTCACAGCCGCAGAGCCAGGCCGTGTCGAGTTCGAACTCGACATCCGTAAAGAGCATACTGTCAGTTCCCTCTGTATTATTAGCCTGTCGTTTTTATAGCTCATTCGGGCCACAGAATCGACTGAATATTCTCCATGGAGGAACTATCGCGAGCATGGGTAATTAATTGTTTACCATGACAGACAGATTCCTCATTGCTGATACCTTAGCAAGTTGATTTAGGGGGATCCCTAGCAGTGGCATCACGCGGATTATATGCCACTGGGGTATCTACCGATCTAAATGGTGCGCTAGATTGAGAACTTCAAAGCGAAGCTTGCTGAAATTATTCTTTTAGTCACATATCTCAGCTCTGGCGGTCAGGTTGGGGATACGTTGAAGGCAATCGTCACCTGCGATAAATGTGAGCGAGCCCCCACCAGCGGAGACATTGAAGCCACTAGTCTGATAATTCATAGTTGGAAAAACGTTGGCATACACGTCAATTCAGTTTACCAATAGTAAAGGAGAATTAGCCGCAAGGGGCAGTCATACCAAGTAAGATCCCCACCAGTAGGGAGGTCTCAATTAGACGCTACGCCAGATTATGGGCAGGCTTAATCGTTGCTTACCACTTAACAGATACATTGCGCTTGCTTGGAAGCATCCTGAGAACATTGTAGGGGAGCTTTCCCCGAGGAAATAAGGGCATGTCCATTCAAGGCTGGCTGAGCGAAGCCTTAAACTGCGTATAGACCAGAAATCCTATCCGGAAACAATAGAGCAACATTACTGAACCCTTCTGATTTGGTCTTGGACATTGTTCTCATGGATTGATTCTAATGAGCTCGCGGTTATGAAAGCTCCTTTCACGTGATATTCGGCTGGGAGAAAGAGGGAAGCTTTGTTGCACATCGCGTCGCCGCTCGTATTCAGGATGTTGGACGTTGGTTTTGATGGCGGTGGGATTAGCATCACGTGACTAAGAAAAGGGGTGCATCACGTGCATCTTACTTCCCGCTAAGAAGATATCATCAACGTCACTCCATGATTAGCTTCAATGTTCTTCTGACGACGATTTTGAGTTCTCTAACCGCCACGTGCATGACGTAGATTACTGGTGGCTCGAATTCACAACAGCATCCGGATAATAAGGTCACGGGTGTCTGGAGGTAACTTGAATCTTTCTTCAATCTAATGGCTCTTTTCTTTACTTGTTGCATGTTTCTTCCAACTCATTTCCTCCGGCGTTCCAAAATTGCTTCCATTTTCTTACGATCCAGCGCAAGAGGCGGCAGCTGTAGAAAGTTCTACAGACTGTCACTTCGCCCGCAATTTTTTCGAAGGATAAAGGGCTACATAGACACCACCATGCCTCCCAAACGCAAAAGATCCTCAGCCATAGCTCCGGAAGCTTCAACCGATGGGCCAGCCCCAGATCCCCATGATAATCTCGTTCCTCCACCAGCGAGTATATCTACAACCAAAGCCCCGACCCCAAAACGACGGACTTCTCGTCGCTTCAATATTGATACAAACCCAGACCGTAATACGGAAATTATAGATGGGAAAACGGCACTGCGGGCAAGCCCAGATTCAGTTGAGAACGAAGAAGTCTTTGAAGTAGACAAAATAGATGGTGGGACTCCTAAGCCAGCCAAGAGAAATGATACCAGGGGGACTTTTCCAGCAGAAGATAGTGATTCCCCACTTTCAGACATCCCGACAGAGATCCCTGTATCTGCACCACCGCGGAAGCGGAAGAAACCACCCTCAAGTAGTTCAAATGCTGCAAAAGGGGGGGCTAATGAGACGCAGGCTCCGAAAAGGGAGTCTTCTGCAAACAAAGCAGCAGTGTCAAAGGCAGAGGAGGTAGATGGTGATGAATCGGTTGAGAGGCAAGATCCAGACGGTGATGAGGCTGTTCCTTCCGAGGATTTGGATACTATGAAGAAGGAAGCAGGAAGGCCACCTCCTGTTAATAGTGATTATCTCCCACTTCCTTGGAAAGGCAGGTTAGGATATGTACGTACACTTTGCTTATGAGTTCCGGGGATTGCACTGATATTCAAAAAAAGGCATGTCTGAATACTTATCTTCGACATTCCAACCCTCCCGTATTCAGCTCTCGAACCTGTCGTATTGCCTCCATCCTGGAGCACCGACACCCTTTGAAAGATCCAACTCAGCCAGAACATCCTACCAAAAATCGTCCTGATAAAACGCAGCCTGCATCTATTGAGAGGGGGCAGCGATGGGTGGAAGAGCTGGGACTGGCCAATGCCAGAGACATAGTGAAGATGCTGAGATGGAATGACAAATATGGGATCAAATTCATGAGATTGAGTTCTGAGATGTTCCCGTTTGCTAGTCATTTGGAATATGGGTACAGACTTGCTCCTTTCGCAAGCGAGGTTTTAGCAGAAGCAGGAAGAGAGGCAGCTAGATTGGGACATAGGCTGAGCACTCATCCTGGACAGGTATTTTCTCCGGCTGTTCTGCAATTCAGAGTCACTGAACAATCGCGGCTAGTTCACGCAGTTGGGATCTCCTCGCCCTGAAGTAATTGCAAACGCCATTCGCGACCTGGAATACCATGATGAGATGCTTAGCCTCCTAAAGCTCCCTCCCCAATCTGACCGGGATGCAGTCATAATCCTTCACATGGGCGGCACCTTCGGCGACAAAGCCGCAACGATCGATCGATTCAAATCCAATTATAAGGATCTCTCCCCATCGATCAAACAACGACTCGTCCTCGAAAATGATGACGTCTCATGGTCCGTCCATGATCTCCTGCCGGTATGCGAAGAGTTGAATATACCATTCTGTCTCGATTTTCACCACCACAACATAATTTTTGATTCTTCCCAGGTAAGGGAAGGGACCCTCGACATCATGAGTCTGTTTCCAAGGATCAAAGCAACCTGGGATAGGAAGGGAATGAGGCAAAAAATGCATTACAGTGAAGCAACGCCAGAAGCTGTCACCCGTAACCAGCGACGCAAGCATAACGCGCGTCCTTCAACCTTGCCTCCTTGTCCCAACGATATGGACCTCATGATCGAGGCCAAGGATAAAGAGCAAGCTATTTTCGAACTCATGAGAACATATAAGCTACCTGGTTGGGATAACTTTAATGATATAATCCCGTACGAGAGGGTGGATGAAAACAATGTTCAACCGAAGAAATCGAAAAAGAAGTCGAAGAAACAAATCAAGAAGGAGATCGAGGAGTTTGGGAGAGAGCTGAGCGAAGCGGAGGAGGTGAAGGAGGAGATTAAAGAGGAGGATATTGGGATGGGAGGCAAGGAAAACAGAGTTTATTGGCCGGTGGGGATGGAGGAGTGGTTGAGGCCAAAGAAAAGGGAGGTCAAAAAGAAGAATGGGATGGACGAGGAGGAGATTTTCAAAAATCCAACGCCAGCTAACTTTGCTGCTCGGAAGGCAGTGATGGCTCGGAATAAAGAGCCATTGAATGACGAAACGAAAGAGAGGTTGAGAAACGCGACGAACGTGGCCGATATACAGAAGATCTTGGAGGACATCAAAAAGGAGCGAATAGACCAAGCTGGTCAGGAGAATGCTAAAAATAGCAAGCCCAAAAAAGAGGCAAAACCTAAAAAGACCACTCCAGCAAAGAAAAAGACGGCCAAGAGTACGCAGAAACGAGGTGCCTCAAATTTAGAAGACGAAGAAGATGAAGACCTGAGCATGCCTGATTTATCATCTGCAGATGATGACGAGACTGGGGAAACAGCGAAAATGACTGCAACCGCCGCCGAGCAGCCAAGGCAAAGTGGTAGGGTGAAAGGGAAGAGGAAGAGCTACGCGGAAACCGAGATCGATCAGGAAGAAGACTAGAGCTCTGGTTGGATGCTTCCTCGTCCTTGAACTTATATCAATCAACTTCGTTTGAGCTCCTCAACCTTTCTTTCCAGTGGAAAAGAAAGCAAAACTAGGAATTTGTGAAGACATAGGTTGTCAGAGTATTTATATAAAACAAGCGATCAGACAGCCTCTGTTCATCTTTCAACTGTGTCGTAATCGTCATCCAGTCGCTCAGATCTGACGATGGATAGATACGTAGCTTAATAACATCATATCTATAGCCACAATGGGACTTCTGGGAATAGTTGGTCTATCATCCTGCGCTAAAAGCTCTCTTCAGCAAGATCTTCTCTTATAATCATCCATATTCTTCACGACCCTGAAAATTGTAAGATTGTAATGCATGAAGTTGTAATATTATAAATGAGCTATTTAGAGAGCTCATTGGTACTGCATATGCTCGCCTCGATTGATTAGCCATACAGTAATATAAACTTCATTCTCCCGCTCATCCTGAGGGTTCATTGACGAGCACCAATACCAAGCATAGAATCCTTCCTTTTTCCCAGTCCCATAGCAGTTCGTGCTCCCATAGCTCTGCCGACTCTACTGACCCAACCAGCACGCTCATCCGACATCTTCCCTCCAGTTGGTAATAACTTTGGCTTGCCCTCCATCCTAGCAAAAAGTAACTGAAACTGCCACAGGCTATTCTTCGCCTCATTAGTAGTGCACAAAGCCTGCAAATGAATAAACGCTCTATTACTCCTCCTATCATGATCTTCAGTTATGTCGTCTGTGGTCGTGGAACGTAAAAGCTTCTGTGTCCCTTCCGTTTCTTCGACGCCTTTAGATTTGGCCTTGCCTCTTCCCTTGGAATTGAAGGGAGGAGGGGAAGAACTGGAAGAAGAACTAGCGGCAACATATTGTTGGAGCATCTCTGAATCCAATAGACATGCATCGAGGACTTCGCTGTGGAAGCGGTCGCTGAGAGCTTGAAAGCGGCCGCACCAATAGGAGTTAGGTTGTGCAGTATGAATCTGGCGCATGTTGGTTGTAAAGAGAGGCAATGGAGGATTAGTACGCACAGAAGTAGACATTGCTGCTTGTGTAGAGGAGCCAGAGGCCTGTCGACTGGCATTAAGATTGATATTGGAGCGCGAGAAGGATGATGTCAAACTGGATAGCATACCCATTGTTCGAGACTTTGGAAGAAGAGGAGTAGGATTATCATAAGAAGGAGATATCGGATGTTGAAATCGGTGGGCCTTGGGCTGCGTATTCTGCAAAGATGTTAGAAGACATTGCAAGAGGGTCTAGATCATTGAAGACAGCTGGTAGATAGATACTGCTCATCACAACAGGAAAATCGAGACATAGGGTAAGTCCCTGCAGGGGATCTCACCTCTTTCTCCCTCTTTTGACTTGGCAGAACTGGCGTGCTAACATGGCGAACAGGAGAAGATTTTGCTTCCAAAACTGGACTAGGAATTCTTGTAGGAGTAAGTCTGTGGATCTGGGGGAATCGAGGTCGAAGTGGCTTGGGGGAAGATAGACCTGGAAGATAGGGATATCAGTAACCATTGAGTAACAGAGGGAATCAAGATATTCTTACTCAGGTCATTCGTCGAAGCTGACGCTGTAAGGCAAGAATTGGCAACCGTAGGATGGCTATGCAGAGTCCCAGATCTTGGAAGGGTATTGGTAGTACGACGACGATTATAACGACTCTTGCGATCAGGGGATGGCGGGAAACGCAGGAAAGGCTTGCTGTCAACAGTAGCCATAGAAGCTGATTTTGGTATGCTGGGAGAGTAATTGGAAGGCCTGTATCGGCGCTCATTGGCCGCCATATTTGATTGTGGGATTGCCTATTGATTGCAGTTGTTAGCATTATGAGCCAAGACAGTCTGGAAGGAGATTGGAGATTGGCTCGGGGGAAGGAACACCGCAAACCTTCCTCCGGCTGTGTTTTGTAAACGAACGAAAACTTGGTTTGAATGACAAAGGAGTATAAGAAACGGAGAAGAACAGAAAGGATTAAGTTGGGGCTCCTCACCTAAGCTTCTGGGTGTGGACCCAAGTCGAGAAGAAGGTTAAACCAGTTGCCTGTGCCAATAGCTATCGTGACAAGTATCATGGACCAATAGGTTTCTTTGGGGATGAGGTGCGTGGCTTTCTCGAAGGCAACAATCAGAAAAACCACAAAGAGGGTACTAAGCACGATCTGTTGTCTGTTGATCCGGTTGGCTTCCTCTCTGGGGACGGGGTTAGGAGCGTAGGGGGGAGGAGCCTGCTCGCCGACGACAATGTTGTTGTCTGGCTGTCTACGGCGGAGGAGAGCCTCGCCGTCGCCAGAGACTTCGAGGGGTGTCTCCTGCGGCTCTTGGGTAGGCTGTCGATTGTTGAGTGGGGTTGGAGGACTCATTCTCGACCAGGTAGAGAGATCTTCTCGGTTGAGGGTTGTTGCTTAGTCGTCGAGCTGTCGACTTTCGAACCAACCTGCGCTAAAATCTACTTCAGGAGTGGAGTTTCAGAGAAGACGAGACAGTGAAAGGTTGGGAGAAAAGATTGTTTTGTTTACATATTTAACCGCAAAGAAAGAGCATCAGAAGGCAAGCGGACGGAACTCACGCCATACCTGGTACTGCAGGCACGCTGACAGCTTTGTTCTATGAAGCAATGGCAGTGGCAGAAGACCTCGGTCATTGTTTCCCAGCACAACATTTACATGACATTTGCTCCATTGCTTCTGTGCCGACTTAGCACCACTTGATCTCGATCTTTGGATAGAGCAATTAGACTATCTCATCTCCTATCTGCAATGTCATGCTATCAGCGATCTACAATATGGCGTACGGATGGAATCAATTCCCCTTACTACTTTCTCCGCCCCATCCTTCAATCTGGAACTTGAATTTCATGTCCCCTTTACCCCTTTCTATAGGATTGCCTTCGGCATCCCACAGTGAGCGCTCCACGAATGTCACGTGTCCCTTCCAATCCACGAGAACGATGGTCTGCCTTTGGGTGCCATATATGCCTGTCGTCCCGCTAGTGGTCTCTGCATCTGGACATTCTTCATCCTTCAGATCGGACTCGGAATTGCCGTTCTTTGCTGCAAGGTGGTCCATCCCATTTGGTCCGGGCTTGGGGACATCTTGAGGCGTTGCTCGGCCAATTGGAGGGATGAAGACTGACTTCCTCAACTGATAGATATAGGACTCGAAATCATCGCCATCCTGTTCCGGAAGAGTATTTATGTCAAGCACAGAATACAGCTTCTCCACCAGATCCTCTTCCCCCAAACCCGCCTTTACGACTTCTTCAATAACCTCTACCAACTTTTCCTTGCCAATTTTGATTTTTGGCCAAGTTATTGGATCATCATACGAGGTATTGCTCAGTCCATACACCTCTCCTCTTCTCTCGACAAGCCATGGCACGTCGTCCGGACTCCCACTCCTGTTGGATATGATTGCCAGCGGTTCCAGCTCGCCACTCGAATCTTTCCGCTTCCTCAATGTCCCGCACAGCAGCGAGAAGCCACCGACACCCTTCACGCCCTCGCCTTGCAACAAGCGGTATACGAACTCCTGCGTGCTCTCCTCCTCTGGACTTGACAGCCACGCCGTCACCATCCCGCCTCTGCTCCGGGTCCCTTGTATCGGATGGTCCGCATCATTGGTGTCTGTCTCGCGGTAGTTGGTTAAAACTGCGAACTTGCCCGTCCTTGTGACGCCGAGCCATGTGCCTCGTTCTTCCCGTTGGAGGTCTCTTGACGAGAGGATTTGCTGGCCATTCACTGACCACCAGTGCGGTCTGCTTGTCGGACGGAGGATGAACTCATCGCGGTTGTCGAGGACTATGAGCGCGTACGAAGGGTGGGCGGTGGTAACGAGGACGATGCACATTTTTGTGGCCGTTTATAATGTGTCTTGCAGGCAGTTCGTCTACGCAATCTCGGGGAGGTATGACGATATCCGCGCTGAACATAGTGTGAAGGAAAAGGTGAAAGCAAAAAAGCGTCCAACGAAGGCTGTATCAAGTACTGGGGCATGATGGACCAGATGTCCCTCGACGTATGGCCTGATCACATCTAGTCTGCGGGCGTTGTGCTTTGTTGTTCTTTCCCCATCGTCCTGTCCTGCGTTGGGCAGGGATGGGACTCACGTGCTCAAAAGTCACTCGATTCTGGGCTTAGGTAAGCACGGGGTAGAAACCGCCGAATCCCCGAATCAACAGAATACGTCACTGCCAGGCTTTGTCTTGAATTCTCCGCAACGAATGATAAACAACAATTCAATCAAATGGAACCTTGTACTGGGGTCTCTATCACAGCTATTACCTCGCAGAGAACCCCCATACTGATTTTGTTGCCATACGTTGCGGGGTATTCAACCCTCTTGACTTGCTGAGACCAGAGCTATGCTCGATACTTCCACGCCAAAATTAACACTTTCGTAACCCTCGGTTCTAGTGGGAGAGCCCGGCCAGTTGCAAAGAAGGCCAAGCGCCCTTTCTTTCTCTAGAGAGATTCCGATGAGTTATACGTTGTGGCATTTGATTCTCATCCTCTTCAGCTCTCCTGTGCTGTACAGTAGCCTTCTGCCTCGGCCTTCTCTTATCGAACGCTAATCAAGCACCAGGGTGTGCGATAAGGACTTGCCGCTAACGATCGCCAGCTCTTGACCTCATGAGTGCGTGACCTGACGATTACGGAGCTGCTCTCTCGCGCCTTTTGCTCGTTCAACTATATCCTTCACCTCTACAACCTCAGTCATTATCTGGCCAACTCGGACGCGATCTTATGAACCCTCCTAAAATACCTAGGTACTACTCACAAGCATTCAGAACGTGAGCTTCAAAAGCGACCATGTTTGACACCTTCGCAAAGCTCTTATCGCAAGTTACCCCGCCGCCAACCTTCGACGACGTCGATAGATGCGAGAAACCATGCTGACGCAGGACCCAGTTCTATTCCTACGTTTCTGTTTCCCGTATTTGCCTCCTATAAAGCTCTCAAAACCTCCGACCCGGCATTGCTGACACCATGGCTCATGTACTGGGTTGTGCTGGCCTGCGCGTTACTCGCTGAATCATGGGTTGGATTCGTCCTTGTCTGGTAAGAATGAAAATATCTAGAGCATCTTCTACCGGAATCTTGCTAATAAACTGGCCTCAGGATTCCATTCTATGCCTGGTTCCGCCTATTCTTCCTCTTGTATCTTATTCTACCACAAACGCAAGGCGCCAAGATACTCTATCAAGAACACGTCCATCCCTTCCTCCAAAAGAACGAACTCGCTATTGATGAATTCATCTCTTCTGCTCATGATCGTGCCAAAGTTGCTGGTCTCACATACCTCAAGCAAGGCATCGAGCTAATCAAGCAATATGTCCTCGGCCTCCCGCCCAAAGAACCCACACCTCCCCCAACACCTTCACCTTACAGCTATGCACAAAGTCTCATCTCCCGCTTTAATCTTCCGGCTGCGCGACCGGCTTTCCCATCTAATTCTATTGGCGGGGCAACGAACACCGCAACAGATTTCTACGCTCTGCTCGCATCAGCGGTCGGCGCTGCTACATCTTCAAGCCTTCCATCGGCTTCTGACAGCAGATCTCGTGATCTTTCTAACTCCGGAACTCTCATACCACCTACCGTACAAGGCGAAGACCGTCTCTCATTTATAGCAGCGCAGCGCGAACGTCTCTCGATTCTCCTCTCCGCTCTTGATGAAGAAGCCAGTACTCTGCAAAGCCAGACTGTGAAGTCTTCAGGTCCAAGAAAGATGTCAGCCACGCTATTCGATGGGCGCTCGGACGAAGAAATCATAGATAGGCCGAAGAGTGCGATGAGTAGCAGAAAGAGCGAGCCTGATTTTGAGAATATTGATGCAGAGAGTGGAACAGAAGAAGGGGGTCAGCGAAAAGGAGCTGGGACTTCTGGTGGGAGTTGGATGCCCTGGAGTTGGGGTGCTAAGACAGAAGCCGCTAGTGACGTGGATACAGTCATGTCGGAAACTCCAAAGGCAGCAGATAAGGGTAAGAGCTCAGGTGTTGAACTTTAATTAATACTCGGGGTTGGGAAGGGACTGCGCTCAATAGTGCTTGGTATCTGGGAGTTTTATGGTTGGAGGCGGTCGAATGTAGACAGGTGTCTCGCGGCTTATGATCTTGGGATAGGGCCCCGAACACTGTCATTTACGTCATTGGGATTGGTGATCCACGGATCTGGGCCATACTACGGCAATTATGGCAAGGCTTACTTGGGAATACAGGCCGTTTGATGTATTTCACCTGAGTGTTTATTCCTCATGACCTAGACCTTCTGGTCTAGAGTAGCTCTTGCTACCCTGGTCGAGCCTCATTGCTTTGCGGTATTTCATCTCAGGTACATTGCCTAGCAATGGCAATGTACTTGATACATTTGAACAATTGGGCTGGTGAGGACAAGCAATCAGAGACGAATCTTATTTGACCGCCGCCGATTATTCTTTCATCATAGAGGCCACGTAAAGCCAGCAAGATATAAACCCTGAAAACAGGTACGTTTTCCCAACCACATATAAGCCCAATATGGGATATAGGACCCAAGGCCAGGTCGCATCCAGATATTCTACTTCGTCTTCCATTCACGTATCAACCCCTCCCTCCCCTTGCCATCTTTTTTACACATAATTTTTTCTTTTCAGTCCCAGCCATGGTATCAGTCATTACAATGTCGGTGTATCATCTGTGAAACTCGATGTAGACTTTCTCTGTGACATTTCCCTACCATAAGATCACATTGTCTGGTTTACATGGACCAATGTTTGATAGACAATACAACCTCTACTAGTTAAAGTCGTTGAACTACTTACTACCGCTCTTATTTCCATGTTTAGCATATTCAACTTGGTATTCTTCTGATCATTGATGTACATTGCTATCGAATTTATCTTTCATTCCTATTGGTGTTTTATTGGACGCAGAAGCAGAATATTGGAAACGTATCCGCTGTAGGTTAAAGTTCGAGCTGGATTTATATGGAATAGTACATTTGCTCTATTCGGACGAATCCTCAGCAATAGAAATCTCTCAACTGAACTATCACATCAGACACTTCACAAGACCGAGAGGGATTAAGATCACTGCCCATGAGCAAGTGCCTCCAATTCCAGAATCAAAGCATCGCCCAAAGGCAACTGCATTAAAGGGATGTACTGTTGTGATCCATGCACATCATCTTCCATAAATCCTCCCGAAGAAATCACCACACCTTTCCGGGTTCTTGGCAAGGTTGCCTTGAAAGCCAGAGCATGGTCGAAGAATCCACACCACACAATATCATCAGTGGAGCCGAGGTTGTATATCTTCGCAATAATTTCTGCGCATAGGAGCCCAGAGTTCTTCACAGCCTGGTAGACTCGGATATCCTCGAACAAGATGTCGAAGGTGAGCTCGAAAGGGCCGGCATTCTTTGATCGGATGACTTTAGCTATGTCATTAAGAGTTTGAGGTGAGGAAGAGATAGATATCTTTTTGCCAGCCCCGTCTATAGGCTTCGGATTTTGTATTCGAAGAGGCTTTTTGCCACTGCCACTGACCGGATCTCTACCGTCAGGAATGGATCCATTCACGATGACTTTCTTCCAGCTGAAGAGCGGTAGACCGCTTCTGACTCGGAAACCACTATCTGTGGTCAATTCCCGCACGCTTTCCTCCCCAGCCTCCAGATCCATCAAATGGTATATTGAAAACTCGGCACATTCTCCTAACGGTAAATCGAGCTTACCTCCAATCCCCATGGCAAAATTTCCCGATGTCCCTTTCTGGTTTGGATACGGTCCATGTGTACAATAGATTCGAGCTGAATGTGAAACCCCATTGGCAAGGTCCTGAGTGTCGGCCAAGATTTCTCCGACAATAAAGACCTGTTTGGGCACAAATCCAGGTGACCGATCCATACTTTCCAGGCCAGTTAGATGCCAATCAAGTTTCCAGGAACCTGCAAATAGCGGATGCTGCTGGGAGACGTATTTACGTCCTATCTCTAGGAAATCCGGCAATTGTTCGATCAAGATTGGGTCCCTGAAAGATCCAATAAAGATTGTGCGGTATCCAACGACCCTCGCACCTTCCAACTTGACGGTATATGGGGATCCGGTACTTTTGGTGAAGGTAAATGTGGCTCCTCGAACCCGAATTGAGATGTCGTCTTCAAGCTGCTGATATTTGGTATCAGTCAGATCGAGCCATCCACCTGGCCCATAAAGGAGGTCTGGTCGGGTCTTTTCATACAAAGTATGAGCTGCAACACTTAGCGGAGTGCATCTAGCCTTTGGATCTGTGGGGGTGATATCGAATGTTCCGTCCGTATACACTGTTGCAGTAGCTCCGCGACTCTTTGGTGTTGCGCAGAGTCCTCCGCACTCCATGATTTTGCCCATGTGAGTAAAGCCTCCCAAGAGACTGCTTCCTAATGATTCAAAACTTCCAGGGCTCTTTTTCAAAGCCTGGAAGGCACAGAATGCAACATAAGGGGCAGGATCATAGGCTCGACCAGCGATGAGGATATCGAAATCCGGAGAAGCAGTCATGGTTTGGAGCAAGGGTTCAGGCCCCATCTGGGCAACGATAGTTGGTGAAGCCTCAACATTCTCGACCGTCAAAGTTGGAACTACTGGACCACAACCTGCCACTTTACCCTGTTGAAGTCTTTCTAAGACTAGACTCGTTGAAACCTGGGCATATACCGTCAAGACTGTAAGTTTCTTCTCACTACACCAAAATTAGTTGATTTTGTTTCTCAGCAAAGACTTTGGGGTATACACGCACAGATCCTCCATAATCTCCCTGATAATATCAACGAACTCCTCAACATGAGCATCACTTCCATCGCCCCCAGCCGACGAAATCAACAACTGGATACGGTATTTCACCACCATCTTTATCAACTTCGTGAGGTCCCTCTTATACGACGATCGAGGGCAAGTCGAAATCCCAGAAGCTAGTTTTGAGGGCCCACCGTCAGTTGATCCAGAGTCTAAGATGATAGCTGTGGGAACGTCAAAGGAGGTCAAGTGTTGCAGTGATGCGTCGAATTCATGTTCGTCGAAACCGTACCCTAGCATCCCAACAGGAGTTGCGATCTGGCAAAGCGGCTTCAAGTATTCAGCTTGAGTATCATGGTCACAATGATATGAAACGGGAGCTTTATCATTGGCAGACGCCATGGTTTCTGTGAAAAGAGTGTTGGCCGTCTGGTAATGGTAGACTCATGGCCTCTCAGATACTTCTTGGTGCTCTTGGCTTGTTTATATACAAGGCCCTCCATTCTTACCATCGGCATTACGCTCTCCGTGCATTCGTAATGCCTACATCTTTCCTACAACCCGCTGCGTATCTGCATTGGAGTGCTTTGGGATGTTGACAATGGAGTCACGTGATCATTCCGCTTTTCGCTTAGGGAACCGAAATTCGGCTATCCATGAAAACCTCAGCGAAATCCGCTCGCTCACCGAACATCGCTCATCCTCCTCCACCAGACTCCATGCCTAAGAAAACGAAGAGCGCGATGACAGGAAAGGCGGACGAAAAGCACAAAGTAACAAAAAGAGCTTGCACAACATGTCGCCAATCTAAGGTGGGCCCAACAGCCCCCGCGACAAGCGTCAACGGGAGGCGCCGTAGCTCACAATGACACTAGATTCGCTGTAATGCCGCGGAGACCTTCCCGGCGCCATGTTCGAATTGCCAAAAGTTTAAGAAAGAATGTAGATCTGATGCCTCGTTTAAGAGGACTCCTGTCCGGGGGTAAGCCTAGCTATCCACCTTGGAATAGACGGAGATGGGCTGACAGGTTTTGGCTCAAAAGTCGATTGGAGGAAGTTACCAGACAGCTGGATAGGATAAAGAGAGCGCAGAGCTATCAAGAAGATACTCCTCTGTCTCCTCGCTCTTCCTTGGCTTCTGCAGCCCATTTACCTACGCCCAGTTCGACTGAAGGGGATGGGTTACCGGATCCTGCCAGTGCATTCGGACTAGATCAGCTAGACCTTGAGGCTTCTCAAGTCTCAGCTCAATCACTTGAGAGTTATTATCTGACTGGTACAGAAATTCTAAAGTTGTTCAGGGAGTATGAAACTACCAGACCCTTTTCTGGGAGTGCCGTCTGATCTTGATACAGCTTTGCATATCTCTACCTACCACATTGTCCAATCCTCGACACACGGATGTCCATCAACGTGATACACCAAACGAGCCCTCTGCTCTTTTGGACAATCATTCTCATTTCCTCCCGCCACACCGAAATGCTCATTGAACCCTACAAGAACTTACTCTCCAGGCAGTTAATCGAGCCAGTCCGCTCCTTGTATACAATCCACGCCCTTCTCCTCTTCTGTCTCTGGCCACTCCCTGTCCGGAAGCAGATCCTCGATTCGAGTTGGAATTATTGCGGATTTGCAGTCAGTGCTGCGATACGCATGGGTCTGCATCAATTAGAGGCCACGTTTGAGTATGATTTTAGCCAGTTCTCGGCCCAGGATCTAGAGATTCGGAGGAGGACGTGGCTGGGTTGTTTCATTATCAGCACCTAGTACGTCGAACTTCCGATAAGGATATGGCCCCTTATTGACGAAGACCGTTTAGTTTGAGTTCCGATCTGGGACTACCGAGTATAATAGGACCTGCCATGGACCTCGACGTCTTTTCGAAACCAGGCCTAGTATACAACCCCACAGATCCTCTGTGCATACAGTTCGAGATCGAGCGGCACGTAGCCAGATTCTCAGCAGCGTTGAGTCAACGCACTGGATCACACGTCCGAACTTCTCTCATCCAGATGTTCGACCGGGAGCTCAAGCCTCTCGGAGAGGAAGTGCTAGCGCTTTCTAACCAAAGACTAGAGATGCTCTTCCTAGGAGCAAAGCTGAGCTTGTACTCCTTTTCGATCCTTGGCGAGACAGCCGCCAGCACAGAGACACAACACATCGATCCTTCCATGAAAAGTATCTGGTATCTAGGAGTCGAGACTGCAAGTCACCTCGCATATCTCTACTCCAACGTCGCAACGGCGAACTCGGTGACAGGCACCGCAGCCCTATCTTCATCATCCCCGCACTATTCGTACCCCAAACACAATTTCTGGATCCTCCTAAGCAGCGGCTATTACCTCCTCAAATTCCTCTCCGTCAACACTTCCGTCACAGCCTCCGAAGCCGAGCTCGCGCGGAACAGCATCCGGCTCGTGTACTCTACCATGCAATCCTGGTCTCGCCATTCCATTGACGAAGCCGCGCGCCTCGCACGGATTATCTCCTTGCTTGCGAATGCGGAACTCCAGGGGACCCTCGCGGAATACAAGAGGATCAATAGGAGGCCGCCTTTGAGCGTCGTGGCGGATGTAATGGAGATCACCGCCTGGTTGAGGGCCAAGTTGAAGAGGGAAGGGAAGGCGAACCCGGCGCCGGCGGGGACGGGCACGGGGGAGAGTGGGCTGGGGGTCGTGCCAGTGCAGTTGGAAAATGTTGTCATGGAGCCGGTGTTATTGGATGATGAGGCACTTTGGGAGGGACTGGATGAGTGGTTAAGGTTAGAGGGTGATGTGGGAAGTTTTCTGTTGCCGTACTCGGAAGGGGGATATCCTGTGAATTGAGGGCGCGGAGTAAGGTTCTTTATTTAATCGTAATCCAAAAAAGGGGAGGGTTCCCAAAGGGATTGTATATATCTTGAAAGCAATGGCGCGGGTGATTAAACTGGACCCCATGGAGACGGGAACTGGAATACTAAGCATACCGATCAAGAGTAAATGAAGGACGATGATCACCCACCCGTGATGGAAGCGACACAGCCTTTCGAGCATGCTGCACTTCGTTGAATGCTCCATAGGAACTATTCTAGACCTTTCTCTTCAGCAGCCCCTTGAAGAAGTCAAAGCTATTACTATCGCTTTGCAACTCCCACACCTTCCCAGTTGGCCTATCTTCCCAGCCTAGCTCTTCTGCTCGTAAGAGTCCCCAATTTGATGTGATCCCTTTGATTCTCGCCCTTGCTCCGCCCTCTTGCTCTAGAGTGACAATCTGGTCCGTGTGAAGCCAATGACTATAATAGAGGTCCTCAAGCTTCTTATCGAAACCGGTTCGGCAGAAGCTTTTATAGATGGTTTCGAACTTTGTGAGGATTCGAGCTAGGAGCTTCTCGAGGGAGAAAGGTTCAAGGTTAGGAGGTAGGAGCGAATTTAGAGATGTTGTTGGCGCAGCGTTAGCCGTGTTCAGGCCGATCCCGACAACTAACTCGTAATTTCCAGACGCATAGGATGAATTGACGAGGATGCCGCCAATCTTGACATATTCTTTTTTCCCGGGTTTGGAAGGATCCAGTGCATCTGTTCCTATTTGTTAGAACACAATTATGAACAGTCCTACAGTCATCGAGCTTACAGATATCATTTGGCCATTTCAATTTCACAGGCACATTCTGGTACCCGTGATCATATGAATGGATACCCTCAACAATGGCAATCGCAGCCAGGTATTGGATGAAGACAACTGGGGCAGTATTGCTGAGTACTGCAGAATGTTTCATGCACATCGACCATAGCAATGATCCAGCTGGGGAGACCCAGACGTTCGAGCCTCGGCCTCGGCCAGCAACTTGGGTAGTCGCGGTAAATGTGAAACCATTGGGGACATGAGCGAGAAGCGTTGAGTTTCTATACTTAATCAGCAGGCCTCTTAACGAGAAGAAAAGGAGTACTTACTTTTCTAGCATCGTGCTCGTGCTCGTGACAACTTCTCCATAGAGGAGAAACTTGCCAAATTCCTCTGCCTCGCTTGACCTCTCTTCTTGGTAAGATCGTAGATTCGCATAGAAGATATTATGATTGAAGGACGGTGTTTCTCTCGTTCCCGGCCACCCTGCGTCATGTGGGATAAGACTCTTGGTGACCTTGCTATAGTCGAGAATTCTATCATTTGAATCATCGCCACCCACTTGGTCAGTCGTCTGCTCTTCATTTCCCCCAGAAACACCAGGAATTGGAAGATTCTTCGCAAGAGAGTTCAGAGACCATCTAGAATCTGGCTTTTCAAGGTGGAATGTATCATTCTCCCCTTTGATGTATTCTTCGCCATCTTCCTTTGTGATGATTTCTTCCCACGATGACAGTAGTTCAGGCACCAAATAGTGATGCAGAGAAGAAAGATGTAGACGAGAGAGGGATGGTACCGGGCTTGTCTCTTGGCTCACTATCAGCCCTAATTTGGACAGACATGCCTTTAGAAAATTTGTCCTATCCTCGTCATCCTCAGCCAAGTCATCGACTAGCTTTGGATATTCAGGCCCAACACAATTGCGATCAAGATTGGCTGCGGCAAACCTGGATAAGGAGTGAGTGATGAACCCATGACAGGTGCTTTTGTGACTTACTCTGGGTGAGTCCCTGTCAACAGCACTCCGCCTTGACCTACTTTACAATAGACGACGGCTGCTGGTCGGTCTCCTCCTTCAACGTCCAGAGGATCCGTATAAGATGCCAGGATCTCGACTCCTTTATCGGCAAACTTCCCAGCATCAACGAAGACACCACCGCCATTATAATACGACCGGAATGTCTCGGGTACAACAACCTTGTTGAACACCTCGCTATTCACTTTCAGCTCAGCTGCTTTGGCTCCAGCCTCACTGTGATACACAAAGCCTTTGAAGGCACAGCCGCGACAGATTCCGGGGAAGAACGCTAGTTCTCGGCGCCCGACGACCTCTAGCAGCCTGTTCCCGACCTCGAATTCGCACTTTGCGCTTCCATAATAGCCCCCAGCGCAAAATCCAAGGTAAGCACCACCTCGGCGGACGTATTGGTCAATCCGTCGATTTCCTTCACCGTTGAGAGACCGGCAATATCCCATATCGGCCCCTCCGGGAAAAACTAGGAGCGCACAGGAAGCTGTCCATGGTTCTTTGAGAATGGTCGTCTCAGTCACGGGAATAACGGCGTAATTTGGTGAGAGCAGACGCCTCAAAGTATATAGACAATGACGAACGGACTCCACTGTGCTTCCATTGCCTATTTTATGTCTTAGAAAAAGTGCCCTCTACAGAGACGCAGCCACATACCCGAATACACAAGAACGTTCATCTTCCTTGACGACGCCATCTTGAGTCGGTTTCCAACCGAGGCTCGTCAGGAACAAATATATTTAACGATCTCCGAAGACAGTCCTCCAACAAACAAAAAGCCAAGAATGTCGAAATCAGAGAGCGATTCAAAGGCGGCGGCGGCAGCAGTTGAAGACGACGATGAGCCGGATGACTGGTAATGGACGCTGATCCCAACAACGTGAGCCCCAACACTAAAATTCCGGCTTCTGCAGGGACAAGCGGATCTTCAGCACTGGGTGCGCCGGTAAGTTGAGTTTCTATGGGCAAATAAGTCGCCGGCTTTGAGGAAACATGCTCATTAATGCTGGCAGCGGAGAATACAAAGATGAACGACTGCTATTATGAGAAAAAGGATTGGAGGTTATGTAGAGAAGAGGTAAGAGGCCCCATTTAGCGATTTTTTCATCTCTCTATCACGTGTGCAAGCAACCCGTTGGCCCTTATAGAGACTGATGTGAGGACTTGGGGATGCAGCTTGAGAACTTTAGGAAATGTTGGAAGCAGCAACAGAATGATAAGAGGACCGAGATGAAGGATGCTTGAAGGGATGGCGAGAGCAGTCAGGGGCCGGAATCACTGGACGCTCAACGCATTGTAACATTAAGACTTGTACATATATAGAACACCTCAGCTCCCCTCAAAAGATATCTGAAAAGAATTTTACAGAGCAACGTTGGATTTTATTGGACTCTCTCGTGGTGTTGATGGCCCCAGCACGGAAGGCCGTGATAAGTGAAGCGTGACTTCGAGGAAAGAGCGCGACAATCCGTTTCGCGTCAAGAAATATTACATCAACCACACAATGGCGGCCACGATTCCCAGAGCTGTATGCTCTGTTCTATCAGAATCTTCATCAACTCAAATCTCGAGTCTGCTGCGGTCGCAAGTACAATCGGCACGATCTACCGCCATCCGGACTGGCAATCGAGGACGGCAGCAACTCTCTAGAGCCTTCTCTACGACATACCGATATGCAGCGACACCAGCTACCAACAACTCGCGGAAAAACGGCGATGCATCCAAGACACCTGTTTCCAACTCGAAGCCAAACTCTATTGATGACCAATCCCCTATCCAAGATATGACCGCCGGCCTCGCGGATGAGCCACTGATCCTCGACGAAGGCTCCCGACAAGTAGACTGGACACGTTCATACCATGGCTTATCGGCCGAGCCATTCTCCAAAGAGGCTGCAGAGGTGCTGATGGCACCTATACCATTTGACGATGTGGAGGTTAAGCCGGATGGAATTATATATCTGCCAGAGATCAAGTACAGAAGGATATTGAACAAAGCTTTTGGACCTGGGGCCTGGGGCTTAGCACCTAGAGGGGAGACGATTGTCACGTCGAAAAGTATCACAAGGGAGTATGCTCTCGTTGCTCATGGACGGTATGTTTGAATCTGTGGTATTGTCAATTTTTCTCAGACGCTAATTCCATGGATGATTACAGATTGGTATCCATAGCACGAGGTGAACAAGACTACTTCTCTCCCGAAGGCATCCCCACTGCGACGGAAGGGTGCAAATCAAATGCCTTGATGCGCTGCTGTAAAGACCTCGGCGTAGCCAGCGAGTTATGGGATCCGCGATACATACGAAAGTTCTTGAAGGAGAGGGCGAAGCAAGTCTGGGCCGAGCATGTTGTCACCAAGAAGAAGAAGCAAGTGTGGTTAAGGAAAGACGACGAACTTAGATATCCTTACAAGGAGTCCAAATTTGGTGCGTAGAAGGACCGGAATGATGTTGGTGTATATTCCAAGTAATGGGATGGGTCTACATGGGGAGAGGGGAGTCATAAGAGGGTCTGCACAGGAAGAAGAGAGTCATAGAGGGGGCAGTGGATACATGTCGAAGACAGCATCTCCACTCCGGATACCAGACACAGACAGACACTATGTACCTCCATACCTCCCGCAATATTAATCTATCCAACGTCCGCGGCAGGAATCAAGCTTTGCGATTCCTAGGAGCCCCGCCGGGCTTTGAGAGAAGCTTAACATGATAGCCGCATCCTGTCATTCCTTGGGAGATCGAACACGCGATGGAAGAGGTGAGTGTGAAGTACATATGGCGAGGCCGGCTGGGGCTCGTTCATCGTGGGGTCGTGGATAGGCCATCGCGATGGGGTGAAACACTGCTGCGTTGTTCGTCTCCATCATCTAGGATCAGGATTGACGGCGATGATAACTGTTGCGCGAAGCAATGTGAAGATCATGAATACACAGTATGTACTTGAGCCCAGCGGAATGCGCATTTCATCCTCTCGAGTCCTTCGAAGCATCAACAGCCTCAGGACATGGTCTGTTCGCTTCGGCTCGCTACTCCTTTATTGGCTGAACGACAAGACAGGATCTGGTGGCTCAGCCTCAGCCTCATGCGACAGCCAGATATCACAAGCAATCCATAATCCCCCAATCCAACCAAATCCCATCTGATCCTCAAATCTTCTCGCCATGGAAAGTATAGAAAACGCTGAGCTGGCTCTTGGTATAAGTAACATATCCCATGCCTCGCCGGGCACTTCAGATTCCATCCTCTTTGCAAAGTCTCGAGGAACTTTGCAAGGCCAAAGCTTTTTTTACATCAGTCTCTTCGGTTTTGTTTGCAATCATTCATCATGTCCAATTCTTCTCAGGGGACGATGGTCGCCGGTCTGCCGGGCATCGCTTCCAATATCACCTATCTCTCACAATGTACACCCGCCCTTTGCGACATGAAGTATGCCTCCGTTAGGTATGTTCCCAATCTATATTGGAATGAAGCATACCTTGCCATATTTGCCGTCTTCCTCGTCGCCCAAGTAATTATGGTCTTTTTCTACCGCACATGGAGTTACACATTTGCCATGTTCTGTGGTCTTCTCATGGAATGTGTGGGATACTTTGGCCGTCTTGGGATGCACCACAAGGTTTTCGAAACCACTCCATTCTTGGTGTAAGTCAATTCTTCCTCTACAAATGGTTATGGATATCACAGATTGCTGATGTCAAATAGAAACATCATCGGCCTAACCATCGCACCTGTCTTCTTTACCGCTGCCATGTATCTTACACTCTCCCGTATCATCATCCACTACGGAGTACACAACTCATTCCTCTCACCGGGGTGGTATACTGGGATTTTCATGAGTGCTGACGTTATTTCTCTGATTCTCCAGTCTATTGGAGGTGGTATGGCTGACGCGGCAAGCACACTGGCAGACTCCAACAATGGTGTCCATGTCATGGTTGGTGGTCTGGCTTTCCAGATCGTCAGCATGACATTTTTCATGATTTTGGTCGCCAGCTTCTTCGTCAGAGTGCGCAAGGACCTGATCCGACAACGTGCCACAAACTGGGCGGCTGGAAAGATTGACCCTCCAAGCAAACACGTCAGGGGGTACAAGGTTTTTGTCTGGAGTATATCCATCCCTCTTCTGACAGTCACTATTCTCCACCTACTGACATATCAATAGTGTTCACAGTGGCATTCTTCTTCATCCTGATCCGCTCTTGTTTCCGTGTAGCAGAACTCGCACATGGTTTCCAAGGCAAGCTCGCCAACGAAGAAATCCCGTTCATGATCCTTGAGGGGGGCATGATGATCGGCGCCATTATCCTGATGACCATATTCCATCCTGGATGCTATATTGGCAAGGACTGGAAGAAGAGGAAGCCCGAGTCAATGGAGACAATTGAGGAACGCAAGTTCTCACTCGGCAATGGCAGCATCAATAATGGCAGCGGATACTACCCTAACGGCCGCCCCACAGCCGCAGCTTTCAATCCGGCGGTGACCTCAAACCAGTGGCCGATGCACGACGTGCGACTACAGTAGATGAATCTTGAATAGTAAGTGTAGCCTATTCGTTGATTAAGTTAACTGAAGGTTACCTGCTTGCAATTGAAATAAAGGCGGTGATGGCGTTACATTGGACTTGGCGGAGGTAAAACGGAAAGATCAATGGAGCATGGGGATTCTGGATGGGACAGTCTTGGTTATTTTCTTTTGTTATCGGGCGTTTTGGAATGGAAACAAGTATCAAGATACAAACGTCTTTCTCAACTGTAAACTTTTTAAATGAACTCGCATGTCCAAATATCTTGTAAAATTATCTCCGATCTGACATATGAGTAGTTCATCACCGCAAGGCACCTTTGGTAGCCTTGACCAGAATGGGCTCAGTACAATTGTCGGTGAAGCTTTACTATCAGAACAGCAGGAACACAGCCATGAATTTCTTGAATAAGCAATTTGGTGAGTATTGAGAGGCTTCTTGGCTTTTTGGCTCCCCAAAATTGCTCGAGCCTTTGAGAGATGAGACTCCCCAGGAGTGCCAAGTCGCAAAGCAGAAGCGCCAGACAGAAATCACGCTCAACTAAGCCAGGAAAGGGGGCAGGGATCCAGCCTAGGGACAGGGCATTGTTCGTTTGAAATGAGATGGGACAAACATCCAAGTAAGGTACACAGAAGAGACAGAAACATCTGATGTTTTGTTATTGCTGGTCTGATTTTATACGGAATTCGGAATGGAGAATCAACCCCGTCCGGGGATTCGTGCAGTAACTTCTGCTGATAGGATGTCATCACTGCAACTTTGAGTGGAAAGGAGAATGAATGGCTCCCTATTCTTTCCCGCCCGTCGACCCATCAGGCCATTTCTGACGTAGGAGAAAGGTAATCACGAAGCTGTTGAGTGGATGAAGGATTGCTTAGCAGTAGTAGAACCGAGGGGCGGAGTTGCCGCCTCCCCAACCTCAATTATCTGCGACCAATCACAGCGCAGCTATTAACAATTCCAACTGTGACTAGGCGCAAGGCTGATGGTATGTAGCCCTTCCATACGACATATAAATAAGAGCCCCGCCATCACTCCTCATTCCTTCATCAGCAAAGATACATCTGCATTTGAACTTCAAGATCCTCTGATCTCCAAATCAGTACAGACTTTATCAAACAATCAAATCACCGACCCGACAAACCCAATCACAATGCCTACCCCAAGCACCTGCTGTCGTAAGAGTGGACAAGGCTGCGTGTGGTATGGTACCTTCTTTACCTCTCGCTCCTGCAGCAAAGCTAACAAAGTCTCAGCGCAACGCAAGCCAAATGCTCCTGTGGCCAGAAATCCGCTCTGCACTGCACCTGTGGCAGAGCAGAGACTGAGAACACCGTCGCTGGACCCCGCTGCTCATGCCGTATGTTACCCTCTTCATTCCTTTCTTTCGTCGATTCGCTCTTTATTTTTGCATTTTATTGAATTATGCTAATGAATGGTAGGTGCGAGACCTGCTGGTGCTTGCACTTGCGAACGTGCGAGCACTGAGAATTCGGTACCTGGTGGTGATCTTTGCTCTTGTGGTGTTAGACCGGCTGGTATGTTCTACCACTTTAAAAGGATATCATAATAGTCAATACGCACCGTGCTAATAGATATTCGCAGATGCGTGTACCTGCGAGAAAGCATCTGACGGCGGTCTACTGCCCACCGAGACGGACTTCACTACCCGAGCATAGCTTGTCGCACTGGCTCTCCTAGCGACTTTGATCTCCTAATTCAACTTGCATAATGGCGTTTATGGAGTTCGGGCTCGGGGCATACTTTTTGGCACTTGTCTGCATCATCATCTCCTCATTGATTATATCCTCTCTCTACTTCGAATGGCCCCGCTGTTGGCTTTCCCTGGCATATAAAGGATGCTCAACCTTGTTTAGCCAACTCCACATCAATATCTTCCTCACCAACTCCCCCAATGACCCCGAGAAAGTCCTCACAAAACTGGAACGTGAAGATAAAATTGGGTGGCATACGAAACTATGGGCTGGCTTGGCATGGCTGCGGAAAGGGCGAAAGCCTAGCCGTGAATTGAATATCGAGGATCTTCGCAGGGAACACAGGCGTCGAAATTCCGACCATGGGTTGGTCGAACCTGTGGCGGCTAAGAGTGGCACAGTGGACAAGGCGACTGGAACTACACCGAAGGGGTCTGTGGGTAAGAAGCAGGGGAAAAAAGGCAAAAAGAAGAAAAGGCGTTGAGATATACCTAGCAAAGAATTGATACTACGTTACCAGCACACATCAGATCTTCCAATTTGCCTTGACATGTATTCCCAACTCTGAGCGGGATTCAAATGATTCATATCTATCCGAACTCGTACTACTACTGTAGCTGCAGTCTCTAGAACATTGGATCTCTTGACAAGGAATCTGAACATAACCCGCCACCCCTTTCCCCGTGATCCGCGTGGAGTTGCTGTCTGAAATAGCCATCACGTGAAATCGAGGGGTTGCGGAGTTGTGGGGTACGGGGTGCTTACCTAAGACGTCTATCATTGTATGCACATGTGATTATGATCTGACATGCATATCTACACTGCCCATAATATATAAATAAACAAATCATCATCTCTATCCTCTTCAGTTTTCCTGTCTCCAATCTATCATTTCAATTATCCTATCTCCAATCTATCAAGCTACGCGCAAGTAACAACCGCAAGACAATATAATATCAACTCTCTCCACCGCCAAAATGAGCGACTCGCCCCTCCCAATCCGGCTCACCCAAGCCGTCGGCCTCACCACCTCCCTCCTCCTCGGAGGCGGCAACTGCGCCATAAGCGTTCTCTTCGTGCCGCGGCTCCTCGAATCGCCGGCGCCGCTGCTCCTCCAGCAATGGAACAACCTGTACCAAGTCGGGATGCGCACATTCCCGCCCCTCGCCATCGTCGCATCGGTCTCGTACTTCTACCTAGCGCGCGACGCCGGGTTCGGGGAGAGCTGGAAGGCGACGGCGTATGCGATCTCGGGCGCGCTGACGGTGGGCATCATACCGTACACGTTGCTGTTTATGAAGAAGATCAATGGGAAGCTGGCGACGAAGCTGGAGGAGATCAGGAACCTGGGGAAGCCCGAGAGTGTGGTCGAGGAGGAGGAGAGCGTGGGTGAGGAGTCGGCGCATCAGTTGCTTGATCTTTGGGGCCTGCTGAATTTGATGAGGGGCCTTATGCTCTCTACTGCTGGTGTGCTGGGAGTGTGGACGGTGCTGAATTAGGCACTGCGTCGTAGTATTGGGGGAGCTGGAGTGATTGTATGAGAAGCTGGGTGAGGATGCAAAAATGGGAGAAAGGGATGCACTTGGTTATACGGTTCTGGGATTCGCTTCTGTGCTGGACGAGCAAGGATTGTTTTGGTTATGATTCGAAGTATGTAATAATACCACATTCTCTTGGGGGCGGAACAGGAGCATAGTATGGCGTGGGCAATTTACACATTGGCTGGGATTGGGCCCTATTGCGTGTGCTGGTAGTAGATATGATACAAATATAGTTATTCCATTCAAACATTGCTTAGATTTGCTCGATGAATTCTGCTCTTCGCCATCCTGCCCCTATATTTCGAACATGACGGCACCCGTCCAGCCAGCTCCTCCTTTTGAACATGGCAGTCAAAACAATACCTGATGTTTCATTCACTCTACCTACATGGAAAGCCGAGCGCCTACTTACCTACTCACATTTATATTATATAGTTTCTCCGTACATTCCCTCTTGCCCCTAAACTCTCCCTTACCAAACTCGTCTCACGGTCTTTGCCTAATCCCATTATTCAGGGGCAACCGGACGAATGGTGCCAGACCCGGGTAACGGATGCGGTTCCGTAAAGCAGGAAGAATTAAGGATTTCCATGTCTTAGGGGAGGTCGCTAGAGCATTGTTGGAACTTCCCCAAGAATACTGGCGACCTTCGCATTCATGAATGCACTTGCACTAAGACGTAAGATAATACGAGACCGTTGATTCTGCGATCTCTTGGTGACACAGCCAGGCCGGGCCTGTATTACAATAACGTGATATACCTACAATACTTGACGTCCCTGAGACCAGAACTCCATAGGTATTTCCCGCACGTCGGCGATTCCCCAAATGCTACCCGTCCAAACGCCAGCGCAATACATCCCTTGGCTCAACCGCCCATTTCTTCATCGTCAACCATGTCAAGCGCCCTTGCATACTGAACTGTGAGTCGCTGCAAGTCCCGGAATTTCCCTAGTAACGGTCAGTCGGGAACTCACTGAAGTGCATGGACGGAGATGCCTTACCAAGTATTAATACAACCCCTTTCAGAAGCTCCTTCCGATCCCAGCCACATAATTGGTCGTCTTCGCTCATCCAGCCTTCGCCTTTCTCGCCTTTCTCGGCTTCTGCCCCGTCGTTCTTCTCTTGGAGCACGCCGCCGATTATACTCCGCAGAAGCTCTTCGACCTTATTCTTCAGGCCCTCAGCACCAAGCCGTTTCGCGTACATGTACAAATAGATCCGGAATTCTTCTCTGGCACCAAGTTGCAAGGCAGCAGCAACACGATTCTCCAGATGAGCAATGCTGACACCGGACTCGAAGCCTTCGAAACCCTCCTTTGACAACAAGCTCTTTATCAGCCGTTGCAGTTGATACGCCCTGCCCTTGAGGAGCACCTCATTTGTGGTGTGTCGTTCGAGGTGTGGAATAACGCCGGCCGAAACTTTAGAGGCATCTTTGACTCCATCGCGATGCAAATCTGGTCCTACGCCGGTAGACTGTAGGCTACTAATGGACGAGTCGTTCGAATTCCAGTACTGGCTTCCAACTGCCCACCATGCCTCGGACATACGCTGCCACACATACATTGTCGGTGAGTATGAATACCCATCACCGTTGCTCAATGTGACAATGATGCGGCCGGTTGAGTTAAGATGTGCGGAAGTTACGCCGGGAGCACTGGTGGTGTGGGTCCCTAATGAGTGCATGGCGATTTCCAATATGGGCGCGAGAGAGACGGGAGGATGGGGTGAAGAAAGGGTCTTCAAATTCCAAACGTGACACAATCCTACAGCCGTGATGCAAAGGAGCCACCAACCTCTGCACTCAATAATCACGGGTTGGGATTCTAGGACTAAGGCATTGAAGATCCTTCGTCCGGCTGGTGTCCAGGTATAGATGCTTCCATCTTCGCACGCAGCAGACCAAAAATTCTTGTTTCCGGTAACAAGTATCACAGCTCGTGGAAGGAAATCTTGCCAAAGGGTGACGCCTCTCTTTGTAGCGCTAATTCGAGCAGGGTCTTTGACGGCTTGGCTTGAGCCCGGGTTTTGAGCTTCAAAGATAACGTCCTCTGATATTTTGACAGACTCATCGGCCCCATTAGTCCCGTTGGTTGTGGTTGCTGGGGGTAGGGTTCCTCGGTCTAATGATCTGAGGATATGGCTTCTAATTTTTGGTACTGCTAACCGGACCTGACTGACAGCCATGCTTGGATTGATCACTGCTGGTCGGATGAACTCAGGCGTCGGCACGACGCCATTTTCTTGAGGAAGAGGCACAGCAGGCTCAGCACCGTTGACGCCATTGACCATAATTGGGATCGGTCCATTCATACCTCCTAGATTTGGCCTCTTGTTTAGATGCTCTTCCTCATCTTCACCTTCGATAGCAGTCCGGTTTCGTTTGTTGCCCAGTAACAAAGCTGCAAGACCACCCCTTGGAAGTCCATCGTAGGGTTTCGAAAGATCTAATACTGATTTCGGAGCATCGTTCTGTGCGCTGCTAGAACTTGCGGCCACGAGTTGCGATTGGGGCAGTGATGAGAGTCCAGTTCCGGATGAAGAAACCAATAAAGGAGCGACCCGCTTCTTGCCTTCCTTTGTAATAGTCACACGCTGTTTCATTGCCTCTATTTTTGAAGCATCAGGATGGGAAGCAGGGTTTGGTGATTCTCCCGCCTGATCACCGTTTGTTGTCGCTGGAGTTGAACTCGCTTTAACTGGCGCCGTGGAATTTGAATTCCCGTTCAATGTTGGAGCAGGGACAGGATTTGAAGTGCTAGCATCGCCCATAAGAGCCCCCATTCTTCCCTCCGCTCCTCGTAGTTCTCCAGCCTTGCTGATCTCCTCGAGCTGTAGCGCAGAAACATCTTCCACTACACCAACTCCTCTGCGGCCAACACCGAACTTTTGTAGTGCTTTGTCGTTCTCGGACCAAGGTGCAACATATCCTAACTCGCCTGTCTCGAAATTCAGAGCAACAATACTACCATCTAAACTCGATGCGAAAATAGTCTGTCCGTCGGGAGACCATGCCAGATCTGATATAGATTTCCCAGCTAGGTCTTGACACACCACCAGAGGTCTGGAGGAACTGGTATTCCAAATACTCAGAGTTTTATCCTGACCAGCACATGCGATGACTGTGACTAGGGGTTGTGTGCTATAACCATTGTTATCTGTCGTATCGGCGGTGATTTCCTTCTTACTGAACAATCGCGGCGAGAATGTGCACACTTCTGTAGGCCCTTCATGACCAATAAGATTGATATCACTATCCCAAAGCCCCCTGTTGATAATTGCAACAGAGCTTACACGTCCATTAACCGCATTTGCTGCCGCAATGTGATTTCCATCTGGCGACCAAGTACATCTTCGAAAATAGGTTGTGAGAGGTGAGGAAGTAAAGGGCGCAGCGATCGTATAGTCAAGAACGAAATTATTGATCGAATCGTAGGAAGTAGCCGTAGGGCTGGGGGACGTGAATCGAAAGAGTTTGATCGTGCGGTCGTCGCTGGCCGTAGCAAAGTACTTATTCGCAGGATCGAACGTAATTCCCTTAACATGACTCTGATGTACCGAAAGTGACTTCAGCTTCTCAAATGTATGCCCTGACCACACTACTATTTTCGAGTCCAGACCAACTGACACCAGTATGGATGAATCGTAAGACCAGCCAAGGTCCTGTACATCGTTTTCGTGACCTATCAGACGCCTCTGGATTTTCCAATTCTCGACTGGGGGTGGCTCGTTTGTTCCTAGACATTGAATTAGCACTCATCAAGCATGTCTGAAGCTTCCTGCCACTGTGCATACCGAAGGAGACCGAGTGAGCGGGGGGATTCGTGTCCAGTTGGTAAATGCATATGATCTTGTCATCGGCGCCCGAAGCAAGCCAACGTCCATTTGGAGAGAATCTGACAGTGTGAATCGTCCCTGAGTGATAGCTCATATGACATAATTGCTTTGGTTTCGAATATTCTGGGTCTCCTGCTTGGAGGATGGCTTCTGTAGACCAAATGCGAACATGCCCATCTGTTTGACCACAGAGCTTAGTATATAGCTCCCTTATCATACTTATCAATTCACTTACCTCCAGCAGCTGTTGCCAGTCTAGTTCCATCCGGCGATACATGGCAACTGTAGACTTCGAAGTCTTTCTGCTCACCTGTAGATCGAGGCGCAAGGAGCGCCAGAAGTTAGCCCAGTTCGGCTTCAGATGAACAATCTGTCATCAGGACGCTGTCCTCTTGTACGATAGACTTACCACTATGTGTAAGCCAGGCTGGCTTGATGAACTTCATGATTGTCACCAGAGCAATGGCCGATTTGCATCGTTGGTTGGGTGTTTTGCGCGTCACTTTGAGAACGCGGCTATTCTACCCAAGATCTGAGGAAGTCTCGCTTCAGCAGACGCGCTTTAGACCGCGCTAGGGCGAATGAATATATTGAATTACCTAGGTACAAGGTACCCTCCGTAAGGTACCAACAAATTTCGTCCTTAATACAGTATGCTTTTGACTTCTATTGAATGTAGCTCTATTCTTGTTTATGTTCATCATGAATGATTTCCAGTAACTAGTGTTATAGTAAAGCAGATAATGGTAGTTGACAGTTATCAGACAAGAAAACAGACCTTCCTCCCTTTCTTTGTTAGACTATCAGAAAGCGATGAATAGTTCACACGTTCTTAGAAAAGGAATGTCCTGGTTCCATCACAATTAGCAGGTAGAAAGCCGTGTTTTATAGCAATTTATGAGCCCCGGCTTGATGTCTCTGAACTGCTGGTCGCCGCGTTGAGGAGTACTACACATGTCAAAGACAGGCAAAGGAGCGCGATGATCTAGAGCTACTAGGATTGGGAAATACTATATGTATCGAGTGAACGTAGTAGAAGCATGGCTTCTTGAACGCCGCATGGAATTCATATAGTGTTAGGTGTATCCACAATGAACAAAGACATATCTATTTTTGTTTAAAAGAGTTTGAATAGCAGCTAGCTATTGCTTTGCCATACAGCTCATTTCGTATCCTCAATCTTGAAGATGTACTTGGTAGCACTGACAGCCCCATTCTGCAAGTTCGTAAGAGCCTTCTCCAGACCATTGAGTCCTCCCGGGACTACTTCGTATGGATGACCACTAAACCACTATAGGATCGCAAGTCAGCATTAGGTAGAATGGACAGTCTGGAGATATCTCATAGGCAAAGCAGGTAGGTAATAAAGCAAATGTACATACCCCTTCTTGAAGACCCCTAGCGAAGAGTCGGAAGAAAGCGAATCCAAAATCCTTTTCTCCAGTCTTGATCCCGGCCTTTCCAGCAGGTGAGTCGGCAGCAATATCCGTATGAACGCCCGTAACCAGAGTAAGGCTATTCTCGACATGATCGGGGAACTTATAAGTCTTCTCGGCAGGAAGAACCATTGTGATCTTGCCACCTTTGCCCAAAACCTGGCTGATATTCTTGTAACTGTTGTGCTCACTGACGGCATCATACGCGTGATAAACCTCGCTTATTCCGGCTTTCTTCAGAGTTTCCTTGATCTGGGAAACGACTGCTTCATCACCTTGTCGGTAATCAATAATAGTATCACCTTTGCTTCTGTCGATGAGTGTCTCGACGAAGGGTTGGCCTCTCCCAGCGACGACAATAAGAGGATGGATGTTCGAGGCACGAGCAAGCTTGATGGCATACGCTCCCTATGCGTTCATTAGATACATAGAAAATTTAGAGTCAAGGATAGGTCCGTACCACAGCGCTAGCTCCGCCATAAACGATAAGTGGTGTGGGAGTAGTTGTCGCGTGCCAAGGTTCAGGGAGTCCAAGTCTGACGTACAAACCCAAAGCAGCAGTCATCGCAGCGAGGGGGATGGTTGCAGCCTAGTCTGTAATGTAAGCTGTCCGCTCAAAAACCAAATCCGAGCAAGAACGAGCCTCTTCAAAACTTGTCTTCTTGGGCAAGTGAAACGTGGTGTACGCCCAAGCAATAGCATATTCAGCGAAGCTTCCATGGTCTGCGCCGATTTCGTGATATGCAGCAACTCGATCGCCCTTCTTGAACTCAACAACATTCTCTCCGACCTCTTCAACTATGCCAGCAATATCGTCTCCGGAGTTATGAGGGCTAAACCAGGTAGGTCTCTTCCAGTCTTTGGGATTCGATCCTGAATAGACGACCTTGATCAAGACTTGGTCCGCGTTGGGCTTTGGAACGGGAACATCGTGAATTGTGACCTTAGGGCCCGCGGCAACAATCGCTTCCTTCATGCTGAACTATATCGATATGCAAAATGAGTATCGTTCGAGGTCTGTTTATGGAACAAGTGGGTTGGCTCCGGGTCAAATCGCGAGTTGATAAGGTGATAATTCAACTTTGCTTTAGTATAGCTCGAGTGGACACAGTCCGTAGAGTCCGCAGGGCGCCGCTCATATTTGTAAAAATAATTAGGACAGGGGTAAGAGGAAAATGGATTAATAATTGCAAAGCAAGAAGCTGATGACGACAGCGGGGTACCACTCGCTCGTTGACCGCTTGACATTGCTAAGGTAGATAGTACCCGGAGTTAGCCGCACGTTCCCGAGCTAACAAGTGCATTTAACGGTTTAACCCCTCGAAAGATTATGTTGGAGCTTCATTTCTTTCGAGGAGTTGCGTCGTTAGGTTGGTAGAACTTATGAATGGCACATTTCTCAGAGGCAGCCCCCTGCCCGATGTTTGAGTCATGATGCGACAATTCGGCCTCTGTATAGAACGATCAGAAAACTTATATGAAAAATGAGGCATTGAGGGGTATGCCTTGAGGATTCAATAGCCAGCACATCATGCTGTACAACTTACATGTATGTCCTAGTTGGGAGCTAGTTGGGCGGATCTAGAATGTTCGAAACTCTTCAGGTGAATTGACCATGGTGTCGATTATTTCTGTCGGATATTCTTGGCTTTCCTCTTTTTGAAAACCACACCAGGCGCACTTTGCTCCTCGTTTTCTTGCTTCACACTGCCATCCAACGGAGGAATGGCAGTAGGTATATTAGGTTCCCCATCTGATGGCTCTCTCTTGATACCGGGTTTCTCCTGGTTCACTGGTACGTCCGCTGGCGAGATATCACTGGCTCCTGGCTCCTCCTTGATCTCCTCCTTGATCTCCTCCTTGATCTCCTGTTTGATCTCAGTCTTCGTAACCGGTGTCTTGACGTTTCGTGTTGCGTTGCTCAACAGTGCGTCCAAATCAGCATCATCTTCTGCCGGGTGTGTCTTGTATGCCGATCCCCATTTCCTCTTCTTGGTCTCAAGCTCTCCTTCTTCCTCTTCCTCCTCTACAGCCCTCTTTCGAACCCCAAGCGCAAGAGCATCCGGTTTCTTCTCTCCCTCCGGTTCAATAATCCGCTCCGACGTGACCTGCCATTCTCCAGCCATCGCCATATCCGGCCTGAACTCTTCCGGTATGCTAACACCCATCTCCGCCAGTTGAGCCAGCTGCTGCTTCCTCTGTGCAGGCGTTGCCTGTGGCTTTGGTGCTGAAGGTGTGGGACCTCTGCCGAAGCCAGAGCTCGTTGCCATAGAGCTAGATGCTGCTCCACCACCCCCAGTGATGCCATTCAGGCGCGCGATCTCTGCCTTCGCCCTCTCCTTGTCTTTTTCGTCTTTTTCATTGCCCCGGTGAAGGTCTCGTAGAAACCGCTTGAGATTACCTTGATGCTTCGGGGTGGCTTCATGATTTGTCCTCTCGAGTTTCGTGTCGCGGACATAGGTACTGCAGTGCTTGCACCAGTATCTGGGCTATCATATAAATTAGTACAGTACTGAAGCTGCATGTGAAATTACTTGCCGTTGATTTCCAGTATTCTGCCATCTTCCCTGTAGTCACTGATAATTGTTTGCAGCTGAGGTTTGGACAGCGATAAGGGGAGAAATGATTACAATGCGTAGTCTCGCAGGGCACCTTATAGTCTGTAGCGGAAGTGGTCGAGCCTTCTTCCCTTTCGCCTCGGCCGCCTCGCTAGAATTTCTCCGAATGCGTCGTTGCTGACAAGGCAGAGAGAGCTTTTTGAGCTCTTGTGCAGGACATCACTATTTTGATCCCATCGCCCGAATTTACTACAATAAGCACGATGGCTTTAGAGGCTGCGTCTCGCATGGCCTTGAGCGGACCAATGCTCAGTAAGAGCATGCGCGCTGCAGTCCCATCATCTCTGGCCACGCGATCACTGACCCTGGCAAGAGCTTCAACCATTTCGCAACAACGAAGACGACTCCAGACCTCCTCCCGATCCCTCGCACCAAACACCGGCTTGCTGGGAATCAACAGCTCCAATGTTCCCTCCTCATACTTCCAACGTCCTTCGTTACCCACCAATACCATCATTCGCTTCGTACCCCAACAAACGGCATGGATCGTCGAGCGTATGGGGAAGTTCAACCGGATTCTCCAGCCAGGTCTTGCTATTCTCTGGCCCTTCATAGACCGGATAGCATACGTGAAGAGTTTAAAGGAGTCGGCTATTGAGATACCCAGCCAGAGCGCAATTACGGCAGACAATGTGACCTTGGAGCTTGACGGCGTGCTATACACACGGGTCTTTGACGCCTACAAAGCGAGGTACGTTCTGTCTCTTTTCAGTCAACACATATAATCTAATAAGGATAAGTTACGGAGTCGAAGATGCAGAATACGCCATCTCTCAGCTCGCGCAGACCACCATGCGTTCCGAAATTGGTCAACTGACTCTCGACCACGTCCTGAAGGAGCGTGCAGCACTCAACACAAATATCACAGCAGCGATCAATGAAGCGGCTCAGGAATGGGGCGTAGTCTGCCTCCGATACGAGATTAGAGATATCCATGCGCCGGATGAGGTGGTGACGGCAATGCATCGCCAAGTTACTGCAGAACGTCAGAAACGAGCCGAGATCCTTGATTCCGAAGGTCAACGGCAATCAGCGATCAATATTGCGGAGGGAAGAAAACAAAGTGTCATTCTTGCCTCAGAGGCTTTAAGAAGTGAACAGATCAACATGGCGAGCGGACAAGCCGAAGCGATCCTCTTGAAAGCTAAGGCTACAGCTGCCGGTATCGATGCTGTAGCACGAGCTATTGCCCAGGGAGAAGAGAGTGCACAGAATGCAGTCAGCTTGACTATTGCCGAAAAGTACGTTGATGCGTTCGCCAAGCTGGCTAAGGAAGGCACATCTGTTGTGGTACCGGGCAATGTGGGGGATATTGGCAGCATGATTGCAAGTGCAATGGCTGTGTACAGCAAGGTGGGAGAGGCTCAGAAAAAGACCATAGCAGCGAAGGTGCTGGAGGCGAAGAGCCACCAGCAAGAGGCAGATGGACAGACCTCGGAGACCGAGCACCCGGCCGATGAGATGAAGAGGAGTATGCTTAATGCATTTGAGAACACTACGCAGCAGAAGTGAGGAAAGAAGATAAAGTTGACCAGATGCTGGAATGTATACTTAAGTTGAGGTAAAGGGGAGTTCAGTGTATAAGTACAGAGCGATATCTTTTGTTTGTGGAAACAAGGCAAGGCGTCAAGTCAGCAACTGTACAGGGGCGGCGGAAGAGTCATCACACAACTCAAGAACACCTGAGAGATCAGATTATGTAGCGGTATAAATAAGTACCATAACAGGTTAATCCCAAATCGATCAAGAACAAAGTTCAAATCAAGTCCAGCCAACTCCAAGTCACTTCAAACATGTTACAAACTTACTTCTACATCAACGTAATCAAACACCAAATTCCATCCCGACCTCGTCGAGCGCTTGTCCAATCCACTCCAGAACCTCCTGGTCTCTTGCTGCAGCCCTGACTGCTTTCACCAACAACGGATACAAACGATGCAAGTGTTTCTTGCCTTCACTATCCACACCCGGCGTGTCTGGAATCGCATCTGGCTCACACCTCAATTTTGCCAGCGCTTTCAAGATATAAAGTAGCTCTTTACGTTGTGATAGAGGCTGTGGCATTCGCCCTCGTAGTGGCTGGTCGGCGATATACGCGCGCAGCGTGAGACCTGCTCTAAGTATGAGATAGGGGGCTGCAGCTTGAGCGAGCTTGATGCGTGGCGCCGAGCTGTCATGTAGTGCCACAAGAGAAACGAGCTCATCGAAGCAGACGTAGCTCATTTCTGAGCGCGGTGAAGGCGGAGGATCAACAGTACGTCCTTTTCGCGGTTGGTAGAGGCCAGCAAGGAGTTCTTGGTTGGCTCGAGGCAATTCTTGGGGTTGGGGCATGTGAATGAGCGACATGTGGAAGAGCGACTCGGTGTACGTTCTTCGAGTCTTGTCGGGGATTACCGGTGAGCCGAGAGAAGGCGTTATAAGTTGGCGGAGGGTGAGAAAGGAGGATATATCGAAGTCTTGGTCAGACTTGATGTCGACATTTTCGGGGGCGTTGTCGCAGTCAGCTGTAGTTATGCCGTTGCCGATAGTTACAATCGAGGACCAGATTGAGCGAACAACGTCTTCTTTGAGATTTTCTTGGGTGAGGATTGGTAATATAGCTTTCAAGATAGCGAGGCTTGAACTAGTAGCCTGCCGCCAGGGTGAAACGCTCTTGGTAGTAATTGGGAAGGAGTACTTGAGCACGATTGGCTTTCCGAGCGCAATTAGAGCGGACGACAGTGCACCACTCGTGTATATGTGATGATCTGATGAGTGAGAGAGTATGAGCTTTTCTAACAACGTCATGGCCGCTTTAGACAGTGCAACATAAGTTGGTCGTTGTTTTTCGTCGGCTGCTTTCACTTCAAAAGCGAGTGCCACAAACTCTGCAACCTGGCTAATTAATGAAGACGGAACACCTTCGATATCACTCCGAACCATCTTGAGTGATTCCAAAACCTGAGTTTGAAGCGGCGTGAGATAATCGATGTCTGCAGTATATGTTGCTGCACTTGCTTGCTGTATAGCTTGGCGAAGGAGACTCAGCAATCTCTCTACTTGACCAACGTTTAGATCCGGCTGGACCAGACGATATATCTCCGATAGAGAAGAAACATATGCAAGTAAATAGTCCTGATTATCCAAGCGCTTATCTGATCTCTCCAATGTGACGGCAGGCAGAGATTGAGACCAGAGATCCCAGGCAAGATTAATTCCTACTTGATCAAAGTTTTTGGTCCCATTAACGTTGCCCTTAGAGAGTATCTCTCTCAAAGATTTGAACACTGCGGTGTTGATCTCAAGGACTTTGAAGTCCAGAAATGTTTTGAAATGCACCAGCAAGCTCTTCCATGAAGCGTCGAACGTTGGATGGCCTGACAATATATCAAGATATTCAGCTAAGAGATTCGTGATGCCAGTCAAGACAACCACAGTAGTCTCGTTCCAACCAATTTTATCTTTATCGGATATTGAAGACTGGGGATCATATGTCATTTGAAGTTGTTCCTCGATAGAAGACAGCAACTTGAACATGACGTTCTGGAGGCACATCGTCCAAGCCTCAGGACTCAATTGATCTCCATATGCATCGAAGATCCTGAGTAAAGTTTGAATAGCACCTAGGGATAAGTTAGCGTCAATCATTTCCATGGATAGAAAGCTAACTGCACTCACTGTTCCTGAGTTCCAATCTTTCATCGGTAGCAACAGCTGTCAATCGTAGTAGTAGCAGCATCCATAATGCAGCATCAGAAACGGCACGATCATCGCCGGATGCCATCTCTATGAGACCCTGCTCACTAGATCCCTGAATGAGATCAGGGTTGATCGAGAATGAACTAGTCCTGTTGGAAATAGAGTCGGACAGCACCCAGAAGAATGTGACAGTCTAGAAAGAAGTCAGCGCTTCTGTAGAAAAGGGCATTTCAAATCATGACTAACCGTCAGGGAGATATTGAGATCATCATTTTGAGAACAGAAATTGTAAAGGGTATCGACGAGTATTAAAAAGCAAGGGTTTGGGAGAGAGGAAAGAAAATCAGAGCAAATAAGTTGGAGCGAGTTGAACGCTGATCTGATCAACCGGGGAGACCTTGTATCGACTCTGGTGTTATTTTGGCTCTTGTCCTCCAGGGAATTCTCCACGAAGACACTTCCGATAATTTCGAAAGCAATCTCCCAACCGCTGATAAAACTTTCACCGCATTGTTCTAGAACACTCTTGAGACCTTCAAGAATAACTCTGTGAACATCGACATCGGCTGTATGAGTCGAAACTAGCACCTCGCGTTTGTCTGATTGCAGCGGTTTCAAAGCTCGACTGTAGGCCTCCAATAGCCGTAGCTGAACTATGCCCCGTGTTTCGCCTGGCAATGACAACGATGCTGCGGCAGATTCAAGAACAACTCGTACAAGTATTTCCGCCGCTCTCAATCGGACAGACGATGCCATCGAAGAAGAGCAAGCGGCCGTTATCAATTCTGATGTCAAAGTTGTCCATCCACTGACATCCGGGTTGTAGGACATAAGGCGATCGATATTGATACTGGCGACTTCCCCCAGTTTGGCCAATGCAAATAGATCCTCCTGATTTTGAGTAACTGGGGCAGCATTGAAGCTATGAACCCTCCGATGAGTTTGAGCCGGCCGTGGCGACGATGGCATTGAAATACCTAGACCCTCTAATTTAGACTCATCATCATTTCTAAATAGCTTGCACAACGCCTCGACGACCTCCAAGAATGCTTCATTTGGAAAATCGATCGTGCTCTCTAGCAATCTTGAGGCAGCTGTCTCAACAGCTTTGATCTCGGTGCCAAAATTTGCTAAGAGCGAAGAGCCATCACTGGTATTCTGACCCCCGAGTTTCTGGGAAGAAGCCAAGGACCTGGCTGATTTACTGCTTGAAAATAGTACCAGGTCGGCTTCTTGAAGAGTCCCTAGAATGATCACCCATGCACTGTCTAGTGTTGGGCCAAGAGCAATGCCCAAGTTGAGGAGGGCTCGCAAGCACAATAAATTGCGGGTGTTCAGAGAAGAAGGTTGACCTGCATCAACAGAGCTTTGTCTTCCACGTTCAGATGGGGAGGAACCCCCAACTAACGAATCAACGCTCAAAAGACCTCTTGCATTGCTAAACATGCTAGGGCTCTCCGCCGGTGGGGTCGGCGGGACTGGGTTCTGAGTTGTGCTGGCTGTCAAGACATTCGCGGGTACTGCAGCTTTTCCTAAAGTCGTTAGGAAGGCGTCCCTGGGAGTTGCAAGGCGTAGGAGCCCGGCTACGTGAGTGAACTTTTGAAATGATCTAACCAGACCATGATAATATTCTGAGTCAAGTGCAGAATACAGGAATGTTGAGCATGTTGCCAATACTGCGGGCCAACATTCTTCCACGATGCCTGCACATATTTTCACGTCTTCATGTAGCGGGTGATCCTCGAGTAGCAACGGATTGGCGGGAACCGGGTTCTTTTTGAACGAAGGTTGCCTTTCAAGAGTGCCTTGAGAAATGGGGGTTGGAGGTGCTGTATCCGACGGTTTGGAGTCTCCCTCTGGTTGCCTTGCCTTCTTGCGAGGTCTCTCGGGAACAGTAAGCGGCAAGATGAATTTCGCCAGTCCTTCAGAAAAGCCACTAATACAGGCCAGCGTTAGGCTGTATATATAAGACTCAGGAATTGAAGGAGGGTCTGTTTTGTCCAGTTGGTCAATGCAAGGCACCCTCATTGTGCTCCATTGTGTACTAATCCCTGCTTCAGGCTCACTGGAGCTCGCGGAACTACTAATGATACCGGGAATCACACTAGCTTCAAGCACGACCGGATCAGACCCTCCAGTGTCACCTTGACTTGCTATAGGTATTGTGGACTGGTGGCTTAGGCCAATCAGTGACGGCTTCTCTGTGCTGATTCTGACAAAAGCTGCAACAAGATCTCGTAAGATTGGCTTCCTGCCGTTTGCATCATACATTGCAAAGATCCGTCGTATAAGGGCGCCTTCTGCGAATACTCCCCTCAAGACTTCCATGCACAATGACCTTTTCCACATAGCAGTATCTTGGTCAAGCATGTGTGTGAGTAGGCCAAGGGCCATTTCACCCTCAGAGGCGAGAATGCTAAGATGTCTTCTGAGGAGAATGTAAAGAATTCGCACGATTCTCACAGTCACGGCAAAATTCAACTTATCTGAGAGAGAGCTAATGATGAATGGCATGACCCTCGTACGAAGGATATCAGCTTGTTCTGGATGTGTCAGAAATATCTCCGCATGATTTGTCAGAACTGATTCAATCAACTCGAGGCCAAAAGTCTGAGGTAGGCCTGCAGACTTGAGGAACTGAGGCTTTTGAGCTTCGGTCAGGAGACACAAATCATCGAATACTCTGTGCGCATCCAGCGCAGCCGCTCGAACTCGTATTGACCCATTTTCAGTACGAACGTCGCCAACTGTGGGAACTTCGAGTGATATCTCTATATGCTCGTTAGAAGAAGAAGCCTCCTAAAAATGGAAAAACGTACTATCTTCAGCCACAACCTTGTCAAAAACTGACACCACGAGTTGCTGTAAAGTTGCGGCAGCAGTATTATTGACTATCCCATTCTTGCTCGCTTGCAGGATAGTGCAAAGGTTCAACGAGGTTGCTAACAGATCTCCCTTCAAGTCGTCCGCATAATTCTGAAGAAGGGAAGGCAAAGCCTGAAGGATCTTGAGCTGAACATCCAGACCAGAGGATGTTGCCTCTCGAAGCGCCTCCAGGACTTCCCTCAGCCTTGATTTGGGAAGTCCACGTGACACGACGAGTCGTTGCAAGCACACGACTGCAATTCCCGTGTACTTGGCATTCTTGGTGCCACAGGCAATGAGAAAGGGTGTCACGAAATTGGGCCTCTTTTTAAGATCTATCTGGATTAGCAAATTTCCTTCAACGAATTGAAATAGCTTACCGGCGGCTATTTGAGCCTCAGAGGTAGAGCGTAGGCCCTTCAGCTCATCCAGAGACTTTTCTGCAGCCTTGTGAGGTCAGCCTGGGTTCTGAGTGGACAACGCGTAAGCTCACATTTCTCAGATCTGTATGCTTCCTTTTGCTCTCCTGGATAAGATTGGCAAGCTCTGAGGCGAGTATTTGCGCCGTCATGTTAGCTCTTTATAATCAATATCTCCATAATCTTGGTTCATGCAGTGAGAGCGTGACGGGAGTGTTGCAGGTTGTCCTTTCGGCAGCCGATGTCAATCAATGCAGCCATGGTTTAGCCGCAGTTTCTCCGGCGGCATCCCCCACCCCGATCTGGGAATCCACATTTGATGAAACAACTGAGCCGGACGACTCACACTTCTCAGCGAACTACATATTTCCTGTTTCGACTACCATAATACCATACACTTAACACTATCAACTGACAAGATGGGTGCCAAAGTGCCAAGAAACTTCCGACTGCTGGAGGAGTTGGAGAAGGGAGAGAAGGGCCTTGGAGCTGGTGAGCAAGATACCCGCATAGCGAGAAGGTACCTCTGAGCTGACGCCCCTCCAGAGGCATGCTCCTACGGTCTCGCAGAAGGTGATGATCTGCTGATGTCGAACTGGACTGGCACAATCCTTGGTCCTCCCCACGTAGGTTCCTCCCGGGCCTTCCTCTCGATGCGCACCAGCTTACAGGCCCTTCTAGAGCGTTCACGAAAACCGCATTTACTCTCTCAAGATGCACTGCGGTGACCAGTATCCCGATCAGCCACCTACCATCCAGTTCATTAACGAGGTGAACCTCCCATGTGTCAACCCAAGAAACGGCGTGGTCGACCCGAGCAAACTTCCATGCCTTGCCAACTGGAGCAGAAACAACACAATGGAGACTGTCTTGATTGAGCTAAGAAGGTGAGCACCACTTGTGTTTCTCTGACTATGCATATCTAATAAAGGGACAGATACATGGCCCATCCAGCGCACAAGAAACTACCCCAACCTCCTGAGGGATCCACCTACAGTCTACATTAAGGATTCTTTGCGGATTCTCTGACTTATACTGAGAAATGATCTTGGTGCGGGGTGTCAGGACGAAGGATGGTTGCCATAACAGGGGTACATGGCGGGATAGTTTTATGATCGGATGCATCAGCGCGGCGAATAGGTTCTCTAGCGGCTCTGGTGTCTTTAGTCTTTACATGAGAGGTTCATGATTTTACATTTCAATGGTTCCATTGCCGTCAAGACAGGAGAGCATATATTGTGCAACATCTTCCCCTTCAAATGCATCAACTCTCCCTCATCGACTCTTCTTTCCTCCTCCTCCTCTCAACATTCTTATCGTGCCTTCTCTTCTCTCTCTCTTGCCTCCACATCTCTTCTTCTTGTTTATAAATTTCGACCATCTTTAGACCAGCCTCCTTCGCCCTCTTCCCATCCCGATCAAGACGTGACCAAACCTCCTTCCTAGCATCCCTCGCATCCTTACACCATCCATCCCGCCTTCCCCAGTCACCCCCCACCGTCTTCCACCACTCCTCCCCTCCCGCACCCTCCCGTCGCAGCTCATTCAAGACGTTCATTTCCCACTGCCCCTCCCACGCCCCCAAATTCTCTACATGGCCATCCAGCTCCCCAATCTTCTCAAACCTATTATGTTTCTGCATGATCTTGTCCCGTAGCACCCGGGACAAGAACGGACTCTGCGGTTTCTTGAAGCGGAGGAACGGGTAGCCATTCGTCTGCGTCACGATGGGCACGCGTCGGTTCCCACTCAGCTTCTCGAGAGGCAGCGGCCTCGTCTCCAGAACCTTGGGAGCCCCGGGATACGGCCATACGCGCGGTATTTCTCGTTTCGGCGGCGGCGGCTGTTGGGATTCTTGTCGCCGAGTATGTAGACGGCGGAGGAGGGTGTGGATTTGCGAGAGCGCAGGCTGCGATCCGGATGCTGCGGTGCGGAGCAGCTCTTCGGCCTGTGCCAGGGCATGACGATTAGCCAGCTGCGTGTCTGGGGGGGTTTGGGAAGTAGAGGTAGACGGACATTGTACCCAATCTTCAGCGCCTTGACTGCAAGACGTGGAGATCCTTCATACTGACGCCTCCGAAATCCTTTGCGGATTAGGTGTTTTATGGGATTAACGGGTCCTTGCGGGGGCAGGTCAGATGGGAGAGGAATTCGTGGACATTGTTCGAGGAGAGCGCGGTAGAGCGCCTTACCTATATAGGTCAGCGGAAATGGGAGTTGATAGGAATTGGGACCACGTACAGGCTATTCGATGCGGGCCTGAATCGCACGGGGGCCTGAATCGTTGTACCCATTTGGCCATTGGGGATCGCGTTGAACTGAGTTCGATTTTTTGATATAGAAGCGATGGATCACGTGCATGGCGGGAGAATCTCACGTCGTCACGGGGAAGGGGGCTGCGATTTTACATAAGTAATTGAAGCAGGGAGATATTTCACATTCAGAAACGGATGGTTTCATAAGTTGAATCTTGTTCATCTATTTGGTCTCAGCTGTTGAGGTCTCCATGATCACAACTATTTGACGCAGCTACTGCAATTCAACGCTCCCGGAAAACCCAGTTCCTCCGCCCAATTTTCTTAGAAATAGAACTCCGAGCAGCGAATCCCGCTATAAAAATCCCAGATTGCTCTCCACCAGTTGCGCCCCTTGCCTCTCTTCCGCATGCTCATATAGAAACATCATGCTCCTAACTCCGTCCCTCGTATTCTCTCCAAACTCCATATCAGCGATCGTAGTTTCATGAATGTCTATAAAGCTCTTTTGATGTCTTCTGTGATGTTCTGTGGAGCGGTATAGAGTTTACCCTTGCATTGGGCCAGAGGTTTGAGGGATCGATTTGTCACCCTCGGTGATTCGCATAAGGTTTCGAGAGGCACATAGGTATTGTACGTTTGCACCCAATAACCTTAATCAGGTCCTTCATAACAAGGATCATGCCGGCGGGATAGATGGAGTTTCATCCAGTACGTACCCGGCGGGATGTTCCCGTATGACGAAATTCGTGAAAGCTTCGTCGATTTTGAACATAGCATCTGCTTCACTCTGAGAGGCCAGAGATCGTCGGCCCCTCGACATTATCCCTTGAGCGAGCAGATTCTTGCGTGACATTGGCTTTAGTGAACGATTGAGGGGTTCTGACTTTTTGTCCTCATCCTCAATTGCAATTCCAGAGTCCCGGCGGGCTTCTTCGATCAAATCCACAGATTTTGTCGATTGATTAGGAATTGTTGAATTTTCATTCTCATCCTCGTCCTCCATAGCAACTCCAGAATCCCGACGCGTCTCTTCCGTCAGATGCTTGGCAGGGATTGAACAACTATCAATCTCGTGTCCCTTGTTCCTGGCTGTTTCCCTTGCCATAAGAGATGGTACAACAATTTCTGCTGAAGCTGGAGTCAGAGTTGGGCGATAGATGATTGTTGGTTGTCCCTTCCGTACAGGAGATGGTTTGAGTTGAGGGCTTGCCACCGCCTCAGCTGCTGCTTCCATATTGGTTCGTCGAAGGTAGTCGAGTTCTGACTTGTCACGTGATATATCTGGTGGGAGATCCAGAGTATATTTTTCAGACCAGATTCCTTCTTTTGTCGCCATTTCCATTGTGACTGTTGTAAAAAATTTGTGTCGAAGAGGAGATGGTCGAAAGTTGTCGACAATTGAAATAAGTCTTTCGCGAAGGGAGCAAAAGGAGGTAGAGCCTCCTGAAGGAATGCCTCCTAAAGGAATGTTCGACAATCCATCGCGAATCCCATGATCTACGGCGGATTTCGAAGCAAAACTTCGAGTGCAGAAGATCGTCTGAATAATTATACTCGACATGTCGAAAATATTGTCTGGCATTGGGCGACGAAAATATTACTGTCGGCCAGTTCAAGTAATGGTGAGGTTTTTGTGTTGGATATTGCCGAGGTGGGAAAATTGGCAGTGACAGCGATCTACCTTTTCAAAGACAGCATTTGAAAATTGACTGACATTTCCATCCCAGTGATAACACTGGAAAATAATCTGATAGCCAGAGCTAATGAAAAGATATTTTCGTCGTCGCGACCGTAAACGATTCTAGTTATACGGAAGCAGCTTGACTGGAACAAGAAGGCTTAGTCCAAAAACCAATCTTGACCATCAGAATCAGAGTTGCGCATTCACGATAGGCTAGCCTCAACTCGATATGAAGTCTCGCAATTATGATTGCGACAGACATCACGCTCTGATTTGCGGGCATATGCCCAGAGACAAGGTGACTCAACACCCGGCATTTACTGCCGCAATGATAGCAGCGTCTACATCAGAGGGTTTGAAACCAGGTGAACGTCCCAAGCAAACTCCCCTCTTAATCAACTCTGCACAAACAAGTTAGCGCTAAAGTAACATTACAAGAGAAAGTGACTCACCTTCCAAAAGGGTCGTGACGTTGATGGTAACTGTTTGCCTATTACCATATCGACGGTTACTGATGACTACATCAGGCGTTCCTACTCTTCGTGCACTTTGACCCGACATTGAATCAAAGATCGGATCAATGAAGCCATTGTTACCCTTCATAGAGCTGTCCTTTTCCCAATTGGTGAAACCTGACGGGAAGGGAAACGTTTGTGTCAATGGATCGAGAATCGTCAAACCGTTACCAGCCTTTTTTGGGTCGAGACTAAGAGCATTCGAATCTTTGTCGGTGTCCAGAAGTATGGCCCCAATAGGACTATGTGGAGTTTGCGGAGAGATCTTTGACAAGCTACTATCGCTGCTGGCACTTTTTGGACTGGGAGCTTCAGATAATGCTACCAGATCAAGCTCAGCGGTGACGAATTCAGCGGCAGGGGGGATATCAAGCCCACGGTCCCGGAGATATCCCTCGACATCATAAGGATCAAAGAATTCTCCTTGGAATCCGGGCAGGATACATTTCATATCGTCCTCCAAGCTTTCCTGCGCTTGGGCAATCGCTGGTGAAAACGGGCCCATGGAATACCCAGTACGGAATTTGGGCATGAGCTCTCTGTCTACATCATGCAAAGGGTAATATGTACCAGCGCCCCCGACGTGCACAAAAGGCGCACGCCATTCCTGAAGGGTCTCCTTTGTGGAGCGGCCCAAGACTCTCTTCAGTCTTGCTCCGATGGCCTCCTTGGTTTCATAGAGCAAGCAGAAGCCAAACAGTCGCTGGAATTTTTCGAGGTCATATGGGTCCGTAGAGTTGTAGAGTCTGAAAGCCCTCTCAATCGCACCCCTGTGGATCCGTCGGGCGAAAGAGAACTCATTATAGTTGTATGTATCGGGGAGTGGTAGCTGTGACTGTAAGGAGAGATCCTGCGAGTAATCCTGAATTTCCGGAACCTCGGCACGGTATTCTTGTAGCCCCATCCAGTCGAAAGGGAAGCTTGCATTGTCCTCAGTAGGCCGCGTAATTACCTGGTGATCTGATTGTGTCGTCCTTTCCTCGTTCTGTTGTTTATATCCTATACCCATCTCCTGGGGGCTTTCTGCGGAAACGGTAAACCCACCCCACGCTGAAGTAGGCTCGGAAGGTTTTTCTTCATGAGGTTTCTTCGCAGAAGTTTTCTGCGCTCTGGGACGACGGCCAGATTCAGCTTGGTCATTCCTTGCACCGCCTTCGTGATCCTCCTCTTGGTTATCGTCACCTGCCGACGCTTTGGCTAAGGCCAAGAACCTTTCAGTAGCTGACTGAAGTTGCTGTCCAAAGTCGGGTTCACGTTGGAGCAGACCTTTAGCAATTGCAAAATCGTAGAGATTGATGAAGATATTGTTCATCTCCTCATTTGTGCTCCTCAAATCTTGAACTTGCTTTTCCAGAGAAGAGATGGTTATCTCTTTACGATGGCGGTAAGCTCTCTGTGCCATGCGTATTTGGGTTCTCCGGCGCTGCACATTGTTAGAAGCCGTTGCAATGCATACCTCCCTTATACCAATTGTCGCAAGTTTCAAGCATATACTCATACCAGAATCGAACACTGGGGTGACTTACATCGGCGGCCGTCTCGTCCTTAGTATCGACTCTGGGCCTCCCTCTGCTCTTTCTCCTGGCCTCCTCCTCCTCCTCTTTATTCTGAGTTTCAACCTTACGCTTTTTCTTCCTCCTCGTCCCGTCATCTTGCTCCTCACTATCCGCCCGTAACTCAGAACGCGGCCTGGATCTTGAACCGCGTGTGACGCCGAACGGCAACATACTCTCTAGTTGTGGCTCCACCCTCCTATTTCTTAAAGCTCCCCTCCCGTCATCATAAGATTCCGCATCTAATATGCCCAGATTGGTCCCATAATTGGGCGATATTTGCGATCCGATTCCCGGGAACGCGTTATTCAAATACGGAAGTTGACTCCCAGTGGCTGGCGGGTTGAATGCCAGAGCGTCCATGCCTCGCGCCGGCAACCCCAGGGGATTATTATAATCACTGAGTATATTCAGACTCCTAGGTTGCGTGAGGTGAGGGCCCCCAGACGGGCGACCGTTTTGGTGATTAGTGATCGATGTCGTCGAGGGTCCTCGGATGCCAATGCTAGCCTTGTCTTTCGAAGCGGCGCCCTCTGTTTGGTGGGTGTGTATAGCGGCGTGAGTGAGCATGTTCAAGGCATAATCATCCTGGAGAAAAGATGGGGGAGGGTCCATGGGATTTGAGTTTTTATACAAAGCGACTGCTGCTGGCCGCCTACAGAGAGAGATAAAAGTTATATGCTGTGGATTGGTAAAGTGACGTCTTCACTGGCAGCAGAATTCGCGAGGCGCAGGCTGAATAACCTCGGCGAGAGACGGTGAGCGTCTGTCCGAAAATGGCCGTCAACTTTTCTGCTAGGGACTTCTCCTACTGTGCTCTCCTTACTATGCAGACGTCAAATTTGTCAGCTTCAGGGTGGTGGGGTGATCTGAGTGCAATATGGGGCCCCTGCACATTTCCTGGAGTCTGGAGAGCCGCAAATTTTCAGATATTAGTGATCACCCCGTGTGGATGAAGAGCTTTCTGGTTAGAACCGTTAGAGGCATCTACTTCTGATTACTCATTGCGCCGGCCAGACGTCAAATAAAGAAGAGGATGAATAATCCAGCTCTTACGTCAGGAGGGAGCGAACGTGCTAAATGGTATAATTGGTCCCGCAAAAAGTAGCCTATTGCTTTTTCAGAGCACCCTCGTGATAGCAACAACAGCAAGCCGATGGTTTAAGAGTTAGTTCTTTTGTCTCTAATGCGCCATAGAAACTCCAGCCCCGGAAACGCTTTTTACACCCAGCTAGAAGACAACACCTTGCCCAGGAAATTGCCCCGCTCACCTCCTATGTCATCGTCAGACCATCTACCTCCCGGAATCATGTCACCCGTCAACATGTGTCTATTCCTGAAGACAGGACTCCTAACTTACAACATCATCCCAAGCTACCTTACTTAAACGTGTCCCCAACGCCATCCCAGTAATGCAAGAGAACCGCACCTGAAGACACCAGGTAAATGAAGAAAGAAATGACAAGTTTTAGGCAAGAAGTAGATTGCCAACCCCCCAGGGCTGGTGCAGCAAATCCTAGCCATCAAACCCGCTGAACACCCCCAAGCCAACGCTGAATCACCCTGCAATGCTTTTTTGTGAAACCGTTGTATAACCACTGCAGAGACTGACGGAATGTCGAAAAGACCGGGTATCGTTGTCTATGCAAAACCGAAGATGAAATCCCACTCGTTTGCTTCGTGTCAAGCACGAGGGGGCGCTTTAGTATGGTACAAAGGAAGGAGACCGTTTATCAGATGCCCTGGTGGTTTCCCGAAGATTCGACGACATTGTCCGACAGATTTATCAACAGCTGGGCAAGGCAGCGTTTGGTAGCAGCATCATCGCGTAGGACTGAGGAGAACGTGGCGTCGCGAAGGGGTTCAGGGAGACACTGTCGGAGGGCTTCGCGAGCGCGAGCATTGTCACTGAGTCTATACCATTGTTAGCACAGGAAGCCCACTGCCTCGTAATATCATCTTACCGAAGAAAACAGCGCACAACATGTTTCAAGAGCCGTGCTGTCTGCTGCTCAACAAGCTGCGAGACCATGTTGCTGAGCACTGTGCCAACTGCGTAGAAACGCTCGTACGTGGCGCAAATATAGTTCAACCCGTGGTCGTCAAGGAGAATCTTCTGAACGATGAAGATGGCAACAGTCTTGCTGAGCTCTGAGCCCGTCTCCATGATTCTAAGGCACAGAGGGATGATCTCGGTTGTAAGCAAGAAGTTGATGACATCTGACGAATCATTCTTGACGAGGGCTCCAATGACACCAAGAGATGTCAATCGCAGATATTCGAAAGGCCGCGACTTCGAGGTAGTGTTGAGGAAAGGGTAAAGGAATAGAGGGATGTGTGCTATTGATATCAGCATCTCATACTACTTCCAAGGGAAGCACACGTACCATTCAGAAAGAGAGCGCGGGTCTCATTATGAGAAGCGACACATTGTAGAAGAGCCAGAGCATTGCATACCCGGTTCGAAGCCGCAGCAGTGAGTTGCGACGGGTTAAGGAGCGTGTAAACGGATATGATCTCCTGCAAGAGAGAAGTCATAACTCCTGGCATAAATCAGCAACTACTCGTTTTCAACTCGCAACTTGATACGTACCGAATGAGTGCCACAAAATCAGAGCCAGTTCTGGAACCTGTTCACGCTTCTTGCTCAATTCCAAAAGCGCCGCCTCTCTTGTGTCCTCATTCAGCAGGTCAGCGATAAAGGCCAAGGTGCGCCTATTCTCCTCCGTAACATTATCCATCATGCTTGTATCCTGCGCATGACCTGAACTAATCGAAGCAACAGAGGTGTTGTGGTTGGCAGCAATCCGGTTATAGTGCTGCTGCTGAGCCGCAGAAGCTGCTGCAGCCGCAGCTTGCTGGGCATGCTGATGGTGAGTCTGCTGGTGCATCCATGCTGGCTCACCCTGCGGGTTATATTGATGCTGATGAGAAAATACGTGGGCCCCTTGGAGCATCGTGTTAGATGGTCGGAGTAGCCAGCGAGAGGACTCGAAGGCTGAGTGGTGATATCGGGTATGTTGTTGAAAGCGCGGTCAGAGGTCGCGCCGGATCTCCGGTGCTATCCGAGGTATGGCGGTGGATTCAGGAGATGGTACCTGACGAAGTATGGCTAGCGACCTTCAGGAAGGACGTTGAGAGTTCGCTGTCCTCGAGTTGAAACGTGGAAATACTTCCAAGGTGGTTATGCTGCTGGCGAGGCGTGGGGGATGTTGCCAAGCACGGGCCTTGCAAGAGGCTATTATGACCTATCACGTGATCTAGCCGACTTGACGCTTGATCATCCGGGTTCAACTTGGGTTCAATAATAGAAACTCCCCAGTAAGTGTTAAGAGCCGATACTCTATCATTTATGGAATTTCGAAGCTCGGATCGATAATCTCCATGTTATGTTATCAATCAACATGTAGACGCAATTTCCTGAATAATCTTAAATTTTACTAAACCCCGCCTTCGTTCCTATGGTGGCCAACCCTTCCAGGCCATCAACTAGCTAAGAACGAGTCTGAAATGTACGACCCCTCCACAAATCCCTCGACTTCATCCTACATGAGGCAACACCCTCCAACCATCCATCAAGCACTCAAAAGCATAGTACGTGTATATGCGCTTTAATGCCCGCCCCCAGATAATAAAAGAAGGGCCGTGCCGCCTTCAGTCCAATCCTACACCTCCATCTTTATCTTCCTGAATCTTCTAGTTGTTTCGTCCAGTTACAACGGGTGTCAGGGGGTCACCAGATCAAAGCCTCAGATCCCTTAGAATGTGGTCGGCCATGTTCTTATACTGCCAGGTTCCACCCGCCAATCTCTTGAACTGTATACCGTGAAGTGAGAGGAGAGGAACTTTGACGATAAAGATCTCGAACTCGAGGATCATGCTTCCGCCCAGCTCGCTCTGCACATGCGTGCTCGTTTCACCGACTGCGCGCGCAGAGGATCCGTGGCCATCACGGCCTACGCTCTCGTCCGAGACGTCAGAGTTGGTGTAGGTCGTGTCTGCACGAGATCGGCCTGGGCCTCGAGCTGTGCGCGGTGACTTCTCCACCTCACGAAAATCTTCGCGGTCTCGTTCTTGGCTGTTCCTTCCAGTCATAAATCCCCCGAGGCTTATTTTGCGGCGATGACCAGGCGTCTGGTTACTATGACTACCTGGAGGTAGATCGACTACCTTCTGGAGATCAATGCTAGGTGTATGTCGACAACTGAACCCACCTCGGATTTCTGTATATTCTACGCCCAATTGCTTCAAAACTCTGATAATGTCGGCGCGAATTGCTTGGATCGGCTTTGTTGATGTCGTCGAAACGCTGAAGAGGCCTTTCAGGAATACCGGCTTCACATTCTCGGCACTCTCAACGCGCTCCGTTGACATTCCGCTGGCATCGCCAAGTTCTAAATCTGTCTCCTCGGGCACATTGGCTTCCCGTGCCTCTTCCCTCCGTGCACGACGTGCTTGGATGCTCTCTCGTCTGGCATGACCAAGCGACTTGGTTCTCGTAGTAGCAGCAGCTCTAGGGTTCAAGTGAGATTGATTCTCGCCATCACGTGACGAGATCTCGTTCACAGTTGAATGATCAGATCCACTGGTCGGAGGTGGAGGTGGCTCTTTGTGAGAGACAGGAGGAGGTGCCTCCGGAGGCGCTCGTCGACTCTCTTTTCTTCGAAAATCGGCCGAGTTGACACTCGTTGATCTCCCCAAAGCTTTCGGACCTCGAGAGTTATTGGCAGACCCTGGAGGTGTCAAAAGATCGCGGTGCTGAGGTTGGCTGCTGCCAGAACGAAGCGCCGAGGTAGGATGATCATCGGAGGCAGGTTCACGCGTTCGGCGAACGCTGAAGCTCTTTCTCAGTGTGCTAGGTTCGTGTGGTGATTGCACAGTGACGACGGGAGGGTGGGACCGGTCAGTAGATGGCTCTTTCCGTCTTCTCGTGCTGAATCGCCGTAGAATACCGGCTGCAGTGCTTTCTTTACGTGGTGGTTCGGGTGGGGGTTCGACGATTGCAGGGGACGCCGGATTGCTGGATCCAGAAATCTTGATATGCTTGACCGCGTCGACGACTTCGTCCTCTCCGTGAGTCCGAGCGCGCGGTCGTGATCGTCCTCCCGTTGCCTGCTCGCCAGGCATCTCGTAAGTTGCGGCGTTTGTGTGGGCTGGTTTCGGCGCAGCGAGGTCGGCCATTTGAAGCGGCGCTTCACCTGGCGATCGTGGCACGCCTGTAACCACTGCATTTGCGTTGCGTCGATCGCGCTCCTGCTTTTCCCTCACAAGATAATACACCGAAATAAGGGGATGATAAGCATTGACTGGATCCGTGCCAAGCGCCAAGCCTTCTAGACTTGGAGCTGTGAGATTATCCCGGCTTGTTGAAGAGTTACGTCTCTTGTAGAAATCGAAATTGAATGCCCTCTTCTTTTCTGGGTCTTTGGGAGCCGATTGCAACTCTTTCTCTTGCATAGCCAGTCGTACGGCACGTTGGTAAGCCTGTGACTCGATCACCTCCGTCAACTGAGCTTCGATCACATTTGGAGCCCCAAAATCAAAGCCAGTCATTGCTTGAATGACGGCTGGATCGAGCGGTAATTGAAGAGGCTCGCGGTGAGGTAGGTAGTTCTCTGGTGGTGATCCGAATCCCTTGATCATCCAGGGGTGGTTCATTATCTCCTGCAGGCTTGCACGCTGCTTCGGGTCAGTTACAAGCATTCGCGAAATGAGGTTCTTGCACTCTGCAGATAGTCAGTATTATCACGCTTGAAGATAGTGGAGTTCTACCCACCGGGTGAGAGCCAATTAGGATAATCCACAATGCCCTTCTTGATCTTTGCATGCAAGGCGGGCATGCTTTGATCGTCAAACGGCACTTTGCCACAGACCAGAACGTATAACACGATGCCAAAACTCCAAACGTCTACCTCAGGCCCAGTGTATGCCTTGGCCTGCAACAATTCTGGTGCCGCAAAGTACAAGCTCCCACAAAACGTCTTCAGATGACTCTGCGGGGAAAATAGATTACTCAAGCCAAAATCGATGATTTTGATATCTCCAGTCTTGCTTATCAGGATGTTTTCAATCTTGAGGTCTCGATGAACAATGCTGTTCCTATGGCAGTAATCCAAAGAACTGGCGATTTGTCTGCTGAACTTTCTGGCCTGCTTCTCCTTCAATTTTCCGTGCGAGATGATGTAGTCCAGCATCTGCCCGCCATTGACATATTCAAAAAGCATATACCAATGATAAGTCGTGCGCACAACATCTCGCATTGCACATATGTATGGATGATCCAAAAGAGTGACAATGGCGGCTTCTCGTGCTGTTCGAATTTCTTTCGAACGCTCTGCTCGTTCTCGATCGGCTCGACTTTGATTATGTCCATCGTCCGCGGCGCCTCGCGGCACGATCTTGACTGCCACCTGGGAGAGTAATTAGTTGTGATGGCTGGGTCCTCCCTTGATCGGCATGATACGTACCTGCTCGCCGCCTTCGACTCTCCTTGCCAGCTTGACTTTGCCCATGCTTCCAGCACCTATCGTCTTGCCTAGGGTCCAGTTTCCTGTCTGCGCCGGTATCGTGGTTCTCGACTTCCCCGAAGGGCGTTGCCTAGATTCAGTGGGGGTTACCACGGGAGCTGGTCCCCCACTATTTGCTGTAGCTGTCGTCATATCTGTTGAGTAGCGACTCTGGGATCGGTGATGGTGGTGCCCGGACGCGCTTCTCCCTGGTTCTGCACGAGATTGCTGTGGATGATCTTTACTTGGTACTCTTGATGTTTGTGGAAGGTTCGAGGACTCATAGTCGGCCTGCGGCAAGATCTCCTCGATAGCCCCGTGACGCGCCGATGCTGTTCGATTATGGCTGGTAGAGTTGGAACGCCCCGGACTAGGTGTTACAGTACTCCTCGTCCTTGTTGATTGCGACCTTGTCGGTGTCGAGTGGGATTGGCCTCGTCGTGAACCGTTCCGCTCGATTGTAGTGGGCGATACGGAGGTCGTTGTTGCCATCCTCACCCGAACAAGTTCCCGCAACAATCAACCGAAGAGCCGGTGATTCCTTTTACGACGTCGAAGCCGTGGCTGTCAACGCAAGGAGTCGCCGCGATGTCACTGTCACTTCCGAGCTGCTCGCAGATAGATAGACTTTTGTTTGCCTTTGTGGAGGCTGACGCTTGTGGGGTTGTTGTCGCACGAGGGATGGAATGATGGCAAGGTGGTGACGGTGTTAATTGGTGTAAGTAGGACGCAGGTTGGTACGGCCTGAGTGATATGGTGGTGGTGGTGGTGGTGGTCGGTCAGATTGAATTGAGGTGGGTGGGACGGCGAGACGGTCGACTGCCCGGATTTACTGCACGAGCGGTACGGGTGCCCCTACGCAGCAGCAATGCGCGGAAGATAAGGCGGTAATTCTCCGCAGAATGGTACAGAGTATGGATAGAGGGGCGCGTGAAACGGAAAGGCAACGATGGAGATGAAGATGAAGATGAGGATGGAGATAGCGGGTTGAAACTTGACGGCGAGCGAGGCTGATTCCCGCCTCCTTGATTAGCTTTAGGCTACTGAGCGTAGCTACCCAAGCGCCCCGGCTCAATCCAGCTCGGTACAGTGCAGTCCAACACGGAATCAGGAGAAGATCTATGGACTGATAATAGTACGGGCCATTTCGCATTGTCCATGACGTTGACGACTGAGCTATGTTCAGGTCCTGGACTATATCGTGTTGTCCGACTTTACGGTGCCTCTCTCGCCGGTGGAAGTCCGTACCTAATAGTACCTGAAATACGATACCATCCCAGGAGCAGCTGTACAGAGGTACGGACTGGAGTACTCCGTAAGGTATATACCTGTGTACCTCGCCTTACACACATATGCCGTGTGTAGCGTCCCGGGATTGCGATACTATCTATTATATATTAATAATACATGTGTGCCCACACTCATTACCCCAGAGCCTCAACTCATCCTGTCCCTCCTCCTGCCCTTCGGTGCTACGAGTATCAGTTGACCGTGGAGTGACAGCGGCTCGGCGGTAGAGTTACGTATTGACACGACTTACTACCTATCTACCTATGTAGCTAATGTACCTGGTACTTACACCGTACATCCCCTAGTACTGGAACAAACAAATGCGAGCACTTGACACTTGACACCAGGAGGGCCCGCGCTTATCAGCCAATTAGAGCCTCACGCCCAGCCATGCAAAACCTCTCTACATCACAAGGCTGAGTCTCGCGCTGTAGGGCTGTTACAACCTCATATTCCTAATTCTATGTCTTACCATGTCCGGCAAGAGGTCGCGCGCAGCCTACGAGGCCGATCTCCAAGCGCAGCAGTCGCCCTTTGTGGTCTTCGGAACACCTCTTCCCCCACAGGATCCAGATGTTCGAGATGACGGCTCCTATGTCCCGGTCTGGAAACAGGAGGTTCGGGATGAGAGAGGATTGAAGCGCCTCCATGGTGCTTTCACTGGCGGCTTCAGTGCTGGGTAGGTTCCTTGGAGGACAATCTATGCTACCTTGGACTGACAGTTGATTGTAGGTACTTCAATACCGTCGGTTCGAAAGAAGGATGGACACCCTCGACATTCGTCTCCTCCCGCTCGAATCGAAAGAAAGATGACCCGAAGGCGGTTCAACAACGGCCGGAGGATTTCATGGATGATGAAGACATCGCAGATGCCGCAGAAGCACAACGGGTTCAAACGGCAGAAGGATTCGCTGGCCTCGGATCTACACAGCATGATGCCATTCGGCGTGGCGCCTTTATTGATCTGTTCCGAATAGAGGGAGAGACGATCGGGGTCAAATTATTGAAGAAGATGGGCTGGAAAGAAGGCCAAGGTGTGGGTCCAAAGGTGCGGCGTAAAGCACGTCTGGATGGCGTAGAAAGGCCCGATGATGTGAATACCACATACCTATTCGCACCGGAAAATACAAAGATGATTAGTTTCATCAAAAAAAGTGACCACAAGGGGCTGGGGTTTGAGGGAGAGACGAGATTGTCGCCGAGAACTGGGCTTGGGTCAGATGCAGCCAAGTCAGAAGACGAGGATGATGATCATGCCACTCTATTTGCTCCACCAAAAGCAAAAAAGAAGAAGCCGAAGAGCGGTGGGATAGGTATTGGGATCTTGAATGACACAGGATCAGATGATGAAGATCCGTATGAAATAGGGCCTCAAATATCATACAATCGGGTCATAGGAGGAGACAAGAAGAAGAAAAAGCCCGCAAATGGCATTATGAATCCGCTTCTAAAATCTAAACCAGTCTTCATCTCAAAGAAGACAGCATTAGCAAATGCATCTGCCGGTTTACGAAAATGTCATGACGGGCGACTACCTCTCGATGGCTTTATACTAAGCAGCACTGACGAATTCTCCTCCATCATCCAGACCTCGACGAAATATCCCCCGCCAAAGATACCGGAGAATTGGAGATCCTCTAAAACCCCAAAGGCCGGCTCCCAGGCCTTGACCTACCTCTCCACTGCCGAGGCAGCCAGGGCTTCCAAATTGGACCCCAAAGCCCGCGCCTCCATCCTCGGCGAAGCAGCCCTACCAGGGAAATCTGTATTCGACTACCTCACCCCCGCTGCTCGCGAGCGTCTCGTATCCGCATCAGGAAAAACCAATCTACCCGCTGCACTGGGTGAGGTACCGGAAGGCTATGCCATGACCGAGGAAGAACGTCGACGAGAACTCCTAGCTCAAATCCCTAAAGTCGATAAGTACATCGCAGATGCTGCCTTGACCAGAGGGGCAACTGGCTTCATGCCGTATGGCGAAGATGAATCAAAACGCAGCCGTTACCGGACATATCTAGAAAACCAAGCTGGCATTTCCCCCAGTCTGCCTGAACGTGGTCCAGGAATGAGCAAAGAAGACTGGCTAAATGAACTCCGCGAATTCGCAAACTGTGCTCAGATCTTCAAACCCATGTCTGGGATGATGGCCACGCGCTTCACTTCTTCCTCCACAGCTCCAAAGCTGGCGTCGGATGCTCAAGACCCTTCTAAGGAATTACTGAGTAAGCCGACACCGAAACCTGAAGATCCTGCAGAACAGGCGGCAAAACTGGGTATGTATGGCCCTATGACTAGGAGTTCAACGCCGTGGTATCCCACCAGATTGCTGTGTAAGAGGTTTAATGTTAAACCGCCGGCGCATGTGCAACCAGGCAGTACAGAGCATGCGGATGAGGGTGCGGCGACTAGAAACATGGCCCCAGAGTTGGTTTCTAGGGATGCAATTAATGCTATGATGCGTGAGTCCGGAGGGGGGGAACAGCTTTGGGAGGATAAGGAGAAAGTCCCAGGAGCCGCAGTGCCGGAACTAAAGAAAGAGGAGATAGTGGTCGATGCAGACAGAAACGAGGCACTCGAGGGACAAAGGGCTGGAGAAGCAGTGTTCAAAGCTATTTTTGGGGATGATACTGATGAGGATTGACATTCTTTATCAATCAATAATCGAAGTCATATAATCATCTGATTACTCCCGTCACCGATTATTGTCCTTACAGATCCACCCCGTTTTCATTCTCCTCTCGCTTCCAGGTGGACAAAGTGATGGCTAGGAAAGTTGTGGGGAGCGTTGATGGAATTGATGATAGCGAAGGCGTTGCTTACCCGATTATAAAGAATAGGGGTACCGGGGCCCAGCGAGGGACAGGACGCCATCATTAGATTGGCTTGTAGAGTTTAAGCTTAAGAGGTCAAAAAGAAACCACATCGAGCTCCATAACCCATAATCTTCCAGATAAAGTTTACGAGTCCCGTATCAACAGTCCCGTAAGACTACACTGCCAACGAATGGGAAGCGTCTGATCTAGGGGTTGTGCTAAGCCATTCCGGAGACAGCCTGGAGTAGAACGTAGTAACTGGCCAGACAGATGAGCTTTAACCTTACGACAATGCACTTGTCTCAGCTATTTTGAAGTTGACAGGTAAACTTGGCAGAGCCATTGGAGGTTGAACGAATGGCTTTGAGGTGTGATGTGACTGAAATGCTGTTGCACGGACTAAATACATTGAGTCTAACCATTTTGGGCCTTATAAACGCCCTGGACCTCGTTCCTGCAATCGCGAGCATTCATTGATGATTCTACACCCCTCTGATCCGGACTCGATGAACCCCTTTTGTGACAGTCGAGACCGCTAGACTGATATCATAATTCCGAGCCGAGTTCAGAGATCCAGTCACCACGTTGTCAGGTACGCAAGAAGCCAACGACGGTCCGTCCGTCGGGGTGGATATTGACGAGAACGTCGACCACGCATCGAAGCTGGACGACGAGTTGCTATCCCGCGCAAATTCACCACCTCCTAGATACCCCATTTCCGAGCCTTCAATCTCTCCCCCAGCTTCTCCTCGACCTCCACCCTTCTCGTCCCTCTACGCATCCACCGCCGAGGCTGTTGAAGCATACAAGACAGCTGTTACTGAAGCTGGTTCATCGGCATCTGTTCCAGCATACGGACCTGTTGCGCCGGTATCACACCAACCCTCAACTTCCTCTCAAGACGTTGTCGCGGAAACAAAGGCTGCTCTACCACAAGACACAAAAGGGGAATCTTCCAAGAAAGACGAGGATAACGAGCCACCTCCCGCATATTCAGAAGGCTCTAGCCCGCTCCAGTCCTTCACATATCTAATGGCGGCCGCTGGAGGAGCTGCGAGTATTATTACTCAGGTTCAGCAGGGTGGTGCACCACCTCTGAATACTCTTGGAGGTATGGACTTGTCAGGAGAGAGACGATGTGTCAGTAACTAACACGAGGTTCCAGATGTCGGTGCAGATGAGCATATTACTATGGACCTCCGGTAACAAGGCGATGTCCTGTGGCAAGCGTGCTGAGACAAATGTACTAACTCGATTGGATAGGGGCACACGCTTCACTCTTTCACGCGATGAACTCCTCACACTTCCCGAATTCGTTCTCCTTTCCCTCTTCCCAAACGGGCTCCTACCCGATGGACACCTAAATGCATACCACGAAGGCGATGCCTTCCAAGTTGATGTTCGTGAGATTGAATCTACTTGCAGAATCTTGCAAGATATAAATGTTACATAGCTAACATATCATCTCAGTACGACCCCGTCTCCTTACAATACATGCTCGAGTTCTTCCGCAATGTTGCGCAGACGATCCCATCAGGAGGAAACTCCCCTTCTGCGGGCCCTGAAATGGATGCAGTGCCAATTGAGCCGATGCCGGGATCAGCTAGAGAGATGTTACAAGATCGAGCAGGGATAATTGTTCTGCGAGAGGACTTGGACTTCTATGTTATACCCCCATACGCGGATATCGAGCAACCGGAGATGATCGAGGTGAAGAGGGCAGCTGGAAGGGCACTGCTGAAGCAAGATGGGATTTTCTCTGGTCTGAGAAGGAGTGAGGAATCAGGGACGACGGAGCAACACCTGATTGAGATGTTGACTGCGGGGTAAGTACCGAAGCCCCTGAAAGAGGACGTCTACTAACTTCGAGCAGAGGATTCAACCATGATGATCGTTGGGGCCACCGAGCGAACGAGCCAAACAAGGCCGTCATCTGCAGTCTCGCGCTCGCCAGGTTAAGAACCGATATCCGCGGGGGTGAGATGGGGAACAACGCCGTGGGGATGGCTCAGAAGCTGCTCCTCTTCTGGCGGAAACCCGCGCGCCGATGCTGGTGGGAGGGCGTAGAACTCGAGGGTGTGGACGGTGTGCAGGGGAAGCTCAAGCTCTGGATCCGGCGGGTATGGACACTGGAGATGAGCGTCATCGGGCTGCGTTAATCATTTCGTTTTTTTTCTCTCTTATCGTTTGATTCCCCCCCCAACGTCCTCCTCCATATTTGTGCGATATATATCCCAAACAAGCACTGAAAGTCCAAGGACACACAGCAAAGCGAGGTTTTTTGTTTTGCGTTGCGTTGCGTTGCATAGCCCGAGTCCCATTTTTTTTCTCGTTTTTGTTTTGTCTGTCTCTCCTTCCTTCCTTCCTTTCCCTCATCTCTCCTTTTGTTTTCGTCTTTTTTTGTCATTCCTGTATGTACGTATCCCCCGACCTGTTCGCATGGCGTGCGATGGTGTTTTTGCATTGTCCCCCTCTTTCTTTTTTTTGAATCCACATTTTCTCTCTATCCGGGTGATGGATGATAAAAAAAAACACACATCAGATATTAGCTAGCACTTGGATGTGCAAAACGAGAGGGAACAGAAACGTTTTCAAATCGTTAAAAAAAAATGGAATCTCAAGATCGATCCGTATCTAGCCTCTCGTTTCTTATATGATTGCATGCATGTGATTTGTGGATTTGGATGATGATGATGATGATGGGGTTTAGTAGGCCGTTGTGCGATTTGCGGATTTGCGTGAGCTGGGCTTGTGATAAAGGGAAGAGGGGGGGGGGGGAAGGAGGGGGGGGAGCGGTGATTGATAGGGTTCCTATTGTAGATCTTGGAAGAGATTATCTCTTTCTTATCCAGTAAGAGGTCGAAGAGGTAAGGTACCTAGGGGTTATATGTGCCTACCTACCTACGTACCATGTATATAAAGCCCTCCCTACCTTATTCCCTCGAGAACCATCAGACGCTGCCTTCTTTCTATACCTATACATATAATATAGGATGACCTACCTTACCCAGCATTCCAAGGTTTACGTCCCAATCCCGCACGTACATCTGCGAACCCTTAGTTATTTATTTATTAGCAATATCAACACAATTCCCTAAATCTTTCAAAATCTTTCAAGCTTATCCCAAGGAAAGAAAGGAGAGCACCGTCGATTCTTACACCTCTCTTTCTGATAATTTGTTGCAGAGCAGTTTGAATAGGATATACCTAGATAGTAAAACGATGAATAAATAATGAGATCTAAAGAAAAAAAGAAAAGATAAAAAAGGGGCATTACCATCTGGACTGATGATAATGTATGTATGTATGTCATCCGCCCAAACACATATTCTGGTCTGGACTGACAACACTCTGAGAAGTTATATATATAGTTCAGACCATGGCCGCATCAAAAACTTGTCTTATGTCAAAAGTTCTTTTGATCCTTCATTCATCCTGATCCGGTAGAGAAGATCTCGAATTATACCGACAACCACTTGGGTTTTATAGTGAACATCCTCCTCCTTCTTTCTACCTTATATTGTCATTCATCTTTTCCTCGGAATCCAAGACTACAGAGATTCAAAGACTTCTTTTTTTGAAGGCCGCCTTGCGATATACTTCATTCCTCCCTCTAGTCATCATGCGTCATGAGCAACAGAAGGCTCTCCCCTCATCTAGCCAACCCAGCAACACAAGACGGGAGGATGCTACGGGCATACTCGATCCATCGTCAAACGAACTGAGAGATTTCATAGTCGAGTATCCAATTACTGGGAAACGAAGAGTTGTCGAATATGAAGAGGTCATCATCCCAGCTTCTGAGACCCATGCTCCTCCCGATGAAGACGAGCCAGGTCATGTAGTCCGGGCTGCAGATCCAACACTCCTGTCCGCTTGGCAACAACCCGCCACCGTCCTCCGAGGATACCTGCAAATGTACCGCCAGACGGTGTGGGTGAGAGCACCCCAGTATAAAGAACGGAATTCTGTTGCCCAGGGTAATTTCTACCACACGGGTCATGTAGTGCGGACAATTGAGCCCGCGCTGGCACGCTCCATATTGGACAGGTTTGTAGCTAGGTATCCCATGACAGGGAAGAGCTGTTCTTTCCTCTACCGTCTCCCCACCGAGCTCCGCCTTCAGATCTACAGCCACCTGTCGGAACAGAACCATGTGATTTACTTGCTGGATCCGAAAAGTCATGGGGCTCTCCACGCACTATACAATACGTGCCATAAGACGAGAGCAGAAATCAGAGACTGGTACGCGCATGCTAGATCCTGGGTCATGCGCTACCATTGCCACGGTCTGGAGTTCCGAGGAGGGTTCAACCCGCGACTTACGACCTTCTACCTCGACTTCAGTGAAGTGATCGGACGCGAGGACAGAGACCAGCCTTTGTTTTACTTGGAGTGGTTACTCGGCATAGGGCGCGTAGCGGGAATCCAAAATTTCTGCCTGGACAGGATAAACCGCAAGAACGTCCGGCATCTCATCATCGACTTGCGAGTCTCACGAGAGACTCTGATCAATCCGCGACTGCTGTGCATATCTGAGCTCTTCCGAGGCCATCTTACCGGATTCAGTTATGTCGAGGGCCTCGAGAGCGTGGTATTGGTGTTCAGCCCTGACCAGGTAGCCGATTACTCGATCAACGATTGGTTTTATTATGAACTCTGGATGACGTTCTGGACAGAATCGTCTTGGTGCGCACCGGGTCGTTGCTGTAATTGCTGTGTTCTACCTGAGCTGCGCGTGTGTGTCTCAAGCCAGAGTAAAGAGGATATAGCTATGTCAGAGGCAAATGGAGTTCCACTCTCCGCCCCGCTCCCCCCTGATAGAGAGGACACCGAGATGGCTGGGTTTTGGTATTCCTATCCGTTCCTGGTCCCTCCGGCCTCTTGGGAGTTTTACGCCTCGCATCCAATGCATCAAATAGATGAATGGACAGGTCAGCGTCGATCTCACTTCGACTTGGCTTGAGGTCTCTAGTCGGGATGTGGTACCTTTAGAGCCTGGGAATCTGATGTACATAGAAATTGATAACTCTGTAGAAATCATAACTCGAAACAAAAGAGCTAGAAAATTGTAGAACTTCGCACAAGGGCATAAGAAGGCTGTGAAAGCTTGAATCGACTAGAACGTATTGTTGTTCGGTCCCCGACCGCCTCTCCCACCCTTCGGCATTTCTTTCGCCCACTTGAGCAATGACTAGATCAGAATGTGATTAATGTCTTCTGCAGTAGTACTTCCTGCGATGCATCACCGGCGATAAGGGGATCGATCATGTTGAGATGTGGTTGTGGAAATTCGCTAAAAAACCATGTAAGCCGGGTTTGACACCACCTCGTTTCAGACGTGATTTGCTTCTTTATCGTTTCCATTTCAGCAAAATAAAACATGAGTGAAAGAAGATCTAGATCTTTATTTTTTCAAAAAAAGGTTAGGGGGGAATAGTTAATACGAAAATTCGGAATGAGATGTTCTAAAATCAAGTAGGGTTCTTGGATGGGTAGGGGATGCACTATTCACGTGGTCTCAATCTAACTATCCCAAGAAACGACACCAGCCAGAATATATTCGTTCTGTGGATTTTATTCTAGGTTAAGATCTACACTACATCTCTCATTCTGCCTGTTCTATGGGCCGGTACCAATTCAGCGGAGGAATGCCTAGGAGTTCCGAAATCACAGTGACCACAGCGCCACGCGGTAAGAGTGCTGGGAGGATCGTCACTCCCTTCAGCCATGGCATATCGATCCCGACGCTGATCTCGGGCAGCGTGGGACAGCAAGTACAGCAGCGTCCCGGATGGCAGAACGCCGAGTATCTCCAGAAATCATTCCAGATGCGGTAGAAGAAGTCGAGCCAGAAGAATTGTGCGTTGACGGATTGTATGTCGAGTGTCTCGTTGTGAGAGAATGTAACCTGGATCGAGGTGAGATGATTCATGGTCTCGAAACCTTCAAAATAAGGCATGTGCCTGAGAGTTCCCGTAGGGTGCCAGGTGAGGCGGAAACATAGTTCCAGGTGCTGGATCGTCCGGCAGGCTTCATGATTCCAGAATCGATCCAAATGATAGCGTGCGCTGTCCCAAAGAGCAAAGGACAGTTCTGGTTGCCGGTTTTCGTATCCTATCACCTCGCATAATGCCACATATCCTGCACAATCCAACCAGAAGAAGGTCGTTTCCGGGGCAAAGATACCGATCTCGGGCATCCTCGAGAGCCGCGAACCGTAATGTTTGTACCATAGTTCGATCTCTGACCTGATTGTCTTGCAGGTTCTTGAGAGAGCTTGTAAATTTCCCTCACGCATCCTCCCCATAGTGAGATCAGGGTTTAGGGGGCTGGAGATAGGCGAAAATAATTCTTCGCGGACGAGCATGTTGTAAATAACAAAGCGGACATCCGGTACGAGAAGGGTTAAGAGAGAAAATCCTGGTTTCGAGTCCTTGGAAGTAGGTGCAGCTGCTCGTCTGCGTTCTCCTAAGGCTGCCCACTTGTCGACGACGTTCTGATCTAGTTCTGTCGGATGGTGAGATACACATTGCTGGAAAGAGCTATATGGCAAATTCGAATCCATGTTGTCTGAAGTGCACTGGTGCAAAATAGCCCCTTACGAGGCTGCTTCAACTAGCTGCTTGTTTTTTGATCTCGATGGGGTGAAGACACTGTCCAAATATTGCTCTGCAAGCTGTAGCAAGACGTGAGGTTAACAGGACAAGAGAAATATGTATTGAAGACAGGTTTCCATTTTGTAGGAAGAATCTCCATCTTGGTGCCATTGTGATCTGGTCTAGTATAATTTCTAGCGAAGATTTCCATGCAGACTGCTCATTGGGATTTGAACTGAGGACAATTAGAGAGGTGCCGATTGAAGCCACAGAAGCGATTTGCGCTACCTAATTCTTGCTTGAAGATCTACCTCTGGGTCTTGATGTGGGGGAGAAAGTTGGCAATTGCTTCCAATCTGTGGCAGAAAAGCATGAACGAAAGACGACGTATATTGATATCACAAAGATGTTAGAATCCCCTGCAGTTGATTCTACCCTCACACCGGTACGTATCTTCACATGATCCTTCGAAGGGTATGCACGTGCACCTATGGATGTAAAACAAACTCTTGTTGCACATCGCAAGTCTTCTAGGGCGAGCACGTGTGAAGGCACTGTTGTCTTGTACCTAGGGTAGGTAGCACTGATACCCAACCAATGTCACCTGTGACAGTCAGGGCTGGGGAATGTATCCAGTATGCCACATGGGATAGTATGTAAAGATAGAAAGAAAGAAACAGCTATGTGTAGAGATCGACATAGATATAGATACTCAGTTGGAGGTTGGAGGTTGAAGGTTGAGTGGGGTTTATCACATGTTATCACGTGACAGCGCATATGTCAAGAAAGTGTCTTAACCCTCCAGCTGTACTTCCCTTACCATACCCGAACTTCTCCCCGAATGGCTTCATTCGACGATAGAGGAAGTAGTCGAGTCTCGTGCGCCAGAGCTCGTATCGTGTCCTCACCGCCATCACCCATCACCCATCACACAGCCCGTGGGGAGCCAGCCGTGCCCTTCTCCGGACTCCAGACTCCAATGGTACCTTGACCTCCGGACGGGGGGCCACGGCGAACAAGCAGCGTGCGTCGATCCCCTGCAAGCCCCTGCAGCACCGCAATCGATCGAATCGGAGGGGCGTCTCTTTAATATTGGGGGACGGGATCAAACGCCGAGTAGGTGAGTCATACGGCGCAACTGTTCTCACGATCTACGACTTTGACATTTGAAGTGTCGATCATCCTCCGTAGACCATAGAGGACCTTTGCACTGATTGATTACTGGGACCGATGGCAAGGGACGGTACTGTATTATGGAACATCGTACGACTCTGCTGGGTAATCTTCCGAGGAAATACTCTGGATTACTCTGGATTACCGTAATAATGCCACTGGAGACCCGATTGAGCCGGCTTCACGCCTGTCCCAATACAGCTTACCGAGACTTGTAGATACCTCGTGATGCCTTAGGCATACCACACGCATCAGCCCGTCTCGCGTACATCAGGCAGATGAATAACAGACACACACGTAGGTAGATATGTCTACAGGAATGCACATAGACCTCGTCTTCCTGCTTGCACCTTTATTTGAGACCATCCATCTATACGTAGTATATAGGTCATATGAATCCGCAGGATCCCATTCTCCCTCTCCTCCTCTTCTCCCCACGTGCACGACGGAGATGCGTGAAGCTGACTGCTCGAGGGCCATCCGTTTGGCCGCAGCAGCCATCTCCTCCGGCCGTGGAGATGGGCCCAGCCTATCAGGCATGATGATCTCGCCAGGATGCATGCGCCGAGGACCTTACAGTGTAAGGTTACCAGTGCTCGATGGCTTGGCCGCCCGGGCTTTGCAGTCTGGAATCTGGACGGTGGTTTAGACTCGCCTTGGATCCTGGTGGCGGCACAGCCCTAGGCTCCCTCTGCCCTCTCGTCTGTCCTGCACAGTGGTACGCATATGTCATCGGCCAGCCAATAAATCCCTCCCTCGGTCAGGGATCGGTTGGCAGGGGCTCATCCGCAAGGCGCACACTCTCACGAATGGAGCAGAGGGGCTGGGAGTAATTCCCGCGGGACGAGATTGCAGATGGATGGGAGATGTTGGAAAGTAAGGTAAGGTAAGGTATTGCCTGTAGGAGGATGGATGATGATGTACTCTGCGTGTGCTTATGTAGGTCAACTCCTGGATGGGGGAACGCGGCCACGGGGGAATGCGAGGAAAGGCCGTGTGAGTCACCGGTGGTCGGCCCCCAAGCGAGCCAATCAGCGGCGCGGGACTGCTGGCACACTGGAAGGGACGAGTCGCTTACGATTGAACCGTTGGGACGCACCTGCGCTTACCCTTTCCGCTCGCTTCCCGTTCTTGCCCGTTTCGTTTCTCATCTCGCCCTCCCACTAACTATTAATTGTGCGCTGCCCCCGTCGTCAGGCAACTTTCTTTCCTCTTTTTTTTCCTTTCCTCTCCAAACCCCTTCTTGACTGCAATACAACACATCAACACCAGCACTTTCATCACCAACGGACACAAACATACACTGAACATTTTGCTGAAGGACATCATCCAAGATGTTCTAAATTACCTGGCCCAGGTCACTCTGACTGCCTGTTGACTCCCGCAGTCATCATTCCGTCCTCTTCCACCACCAATTCTCCCCCCTCAATCACCTTCTACCCACCAGATTTTCCCTCCCAGGAAAACCTGAGTCCAAGCACAGCTTCGCGCTCCCGCTTAAGTCTCTCAACCGCCACAATACCTTCACAAGAGTTTAATCTCTTCAACACGGATCCTCTACCACCATGGCTTCCCTCCAGTTCATCCAGCCTGCCGGCACACTCACCGCAACAACCGCTCCACGATCTCCCGCGTCCCGATCAGCGCCCGCACCCCGCGTCTCAGGACTTTGTGCTCTTCGAGACCTCGCCCAGTCCTCGCAGGACCCCTAGTCTGTCTGCCCAGCAAGCCGTCACCGGCCAACATCGTCGTCACTCTTCCCATCTTTCTCAGCCTGCCTCGTCGCTGCAGAACCAGAGAGTAGCTGCGATCATACAATCTACTGGACATTCTATTTCTACTTCGGCCCTGACCAACCGGTTTCACTCTGCGCAGCACCAACCACAGTTCTACGCCTCTTCTGCGCCCGCACCTTCCACGCCTTCGCAGCAGCAGCGCCCGACTCGCCCTCAAGTCCCCCTGTTCGCGCAAGCCTCTGGAAACATCCCGCAAACTCCCAACATGGCTATGCAAGGTATGCAGCGTCACCCCGCACATTCACCTGCCCGCGCCCGTGACTCACAGCAGCTCGCAGACCTGGATCTCTTTGACGATTTCACCCCCTTCGAAGGGGGAGCCTTGACCCACAACACGTACAACTCGGCCTACTCTTCGCCCGCCGTGCCGACCCTCTACGATAGCACGATGAATCTCTCCTCGTCAAGCTCCACCAACATGGGGACCGTCTCGCCAAAGGATCTGCTGCGCGATCCTTTCGCGTCTGCGCCCAACTCCACTGCCTTCACCAACCTGACCTCTCCTTCGACCTACAACGAGTCTCCCGAATACAAGGACAATTTCGATGTCTCTCCCTTCATTGGCAACGGCGATCTTGATCACGCGCTCGCGGGTGACCCTTGGTATCCTCTCTTTCCCCAGGAGGAACTTGTCGACCCCCCAAAGCCAAGCCAGTCCCCCCTCGTTCTTGATGAAGAGCTCGAGGTCGCCGAGCGCATCCGAACAAGCACCACCCGTCGTCGATCTGGAACGAGCACATCCCCACCTGCGACTTCTCACTCATCTGTCTCGGGCGTTGGCTCCCGCAAGCGGGACAAGCCCCTCCCACCCATCATTGTCGAGGACCCCACCGATACCGTGGCGATGAAGCGCGCGCGTAATACCCTTGCCGCTCGCAAATCCCGACAACGTAAGATGCAGAGATTCGACGAACTCGAAGAGCGAATTGCGAAGCTGGAGGCAGAGCGTGATCATTGGAAGGAGATCGCCTTGAGGAGAACTGGCGGACAGTAATTGGTTGAATGACAATCTTGGTCATAGTCGCCGGCAACTCATGGATTGGGGGGAAGAGCATCTTCGTTTCGCGCTCTTCACCCTCTGGAGGTCAGTAGTAGCAGCCGTTGCAGGGGCTCGGTAATGACGCTACTGACCGTGGATTTCAAAAGTTCTTGTGTATTACATCTTTCCTTCTTTGCGGCTGCGACCAAGGTTGCATTCGATTTCTTTAGGCGACGGACCTTCTTCACGACCTGATATGCTCCTCAAAAGTTCTTGTCTGCTTCGACACCCTTTGTTATTCGTCGATTTCTTTTGGCTGAATGAAGGGATTGCTCGCGCGTTGCGCATTTCGTTGGCTTCGGTGTCTCCCCTCTAATGAAGGGATGGTGACCCAGGCGTTGTACCTAATGGAATATACAAATCATCGTTGATCCAAGTCATGTCCATGATTATAGTGAGTGCGAAGAACTGTAAACATGTCTGCTGTGTCTGCGTGCGTACCACCTACCCAGGCCTGCGCAAAGACTATGAATAAGTAGCCAAGTACGCAACGTAGGTGGGTGCGAGTCATTTAGCTACAGTGTTATGATGCATGCCTCCCTTATATACTCAGAATCTCAGATCCTGCTCAGCCCGCTCCCCTTCTCCAAGCACAGACCCCATTACTCTCCCCCGCAACCCCAACATGTGTAACCCCAACTCCCAAACATGCATACCTTATATATATTGGATATCGAATATTGAATATTGAAAAGAATTAAATCCAAACTTGAAATCAAAAAGCAAAGTAAAATAAAGTAAAAGCTCTCGACTCGCACAAGGAGTCCAGATGTAAGCACCGTGCGTCAAACTAATCATGTCTCTTTTATCAGCTGGCTGCACCACTACCAGTACGGAGTATTCAGTCATGCAACCTTACCTACCTAGTTGGAATGGGAGGATAGGAATAGTGAGGAGAGGGCGAGGGGATGGAATATCTATTTTTTTGGGTTGGAGAGGGGGGAAGAAGGGGGTTAATGCCATCTACCCACCCACCCAACCCATATTGATTCTCTACAATATAGGGAAATCAGGTCCAAGTCGGTTGTGTATACAGTACATGTGAATGAATCCATCTCGTATATGATGAATATCAGAAGTCAAGAAATAGGTAGGTAGGAGATATATGTATAGAGTCGGGATATATATGGTTTGACTATCTTAAATTTTAGAAACTCGATGGATGGATTGCGAGAGATGGCTAATAGATAATAAGTATACTTGGTTTTTGGGGGGGGGGGGGGGGGGGGGCTAAAGTATTGGGTCTTGGAGGTAAATAGAGAAGCTTTAATTCTTTGATTGAGAGGATTCAGGGGAGAAGAGGGATAGGATAGGATAGGAAATGTGTGAGGTTAAAAGGGGGGGGATATAGAAGAGCTGGATAATCTAGTTGGCTTGGTTTTAGCTTAGGCTTAAGGGTGTATTGTGCTTTTGATATCGACGACGGCGACGGAGAGACCGAGTTGACTGCTTGCTTGGAACAGATGTATGGATGGATGGATTCATAGGAGGACGTAGGAATGATGGATGGGTTCTGCACTGGTGACATGCTTGCTGTAGGAAGAGGGGGGGAGGGGGAATATACAGAAAGCTACGGTAGCGCTGGGAAAATTTTGATATAGGAATGGAATAGAAGAGAAAAGAAGGAATGGGACGGGGGTACGTACGGAGGCACAGCGGGTGGTTCTTCTTCCTATGTATGATTTGACCTCAAGTGCAAAATTGATTGGGTAGAGAGAGAAAGAGAAACACACGTGCGATATATTATGGAGGAGAGATTTTGGTTTGATTGTTGGGTTTATCATGCGTGTCATTGTACGCACCGTTTTTGGGTGGAGGAGGTTGGTTTACGATAGATAGATACTACGTTGAGAGGACAGCAAGCACGAAGGAATCATCGGGGATCCCGATTTCCCAGAGATAGGCCCTGCCGAAGCTTCTGAATGGGATATCTTTGTTTACCTGACCCAGAAACTGGCAGGAGATTGGACTGGAACATCAGGGTTTCTGTTGATTCGAGACGGAATGGAGCGCGCTGAAGGTACAATTCCATGCGCAGGTCAATGCCGTCTGCGCTTTTCGATTGATTCTGTTCCTCAAGCTGCCGCCAATACAACCAGAAGAGAGGTTCAAATCCGTGAGATTTGATAGTTGGCCATTTTAGGATAGAGATATATAGATTGACCATTGAACCTAATTTATCCCGACACCTTGACATGTTGGGGAACCAAGTAGCTGACCACTAAGACCACCGCTATTGCCGGAAAATAGCTTTTCCCACACGCCGCGGCCGAGACAGCATCGACTTGGTTATTTCTGGCTCCGATTTAGTCAAAGCCAAACCTTTAGACTCAAAAGATCCAGGGACACAGAGCGTTAAGATTCAGGAGGAGGATCGAAATATTATCCAGGGGTACCGGCGCTACGGAAGTGGCTGAAGATCGCTCCCGCCAGTCTCCACTTCCAACAGCCAAACCGTACACACAGATCATAGATGCCTCGACAACCACCTGCAGCAGTTCAGCAAACAACAGAGGAACTGGTTCATCGTTGATGGTTCTGGCCCCTTTGCTTCCGAGAAGCTAGGTGCAGTGCGGCAATAATGCAATGCAGCAAGTGATGTGGGTTGCCTCACCGCCTTCACCACCGGGATTCGTACGGCGAACGCCCCTAGTTCACAAGTGCCGGTGGTGAGGCTTAGATGTGCAGAAGGAAGAAGACGAGCCCAACGACAGAGAACCACGCATCTCAGCTCGGTCTCTTTGGGTCAATCACGATTCACGATGTCAATGTTGGGTCCATCAGCATGTCAAAGGGGCCCATATCACCATTCAACTTGACAGGAACGCAAGGGTCGGTCGCCCCGTCAAGGGAAAGGATCTGCGGCAGTCCCTGGGACCTATTCTAAGAAGCGGGTATGACGTCGGGCTTGGCTCTCGTATTTGTCGCGTTGATACGAGGTCGGTGGACCGTGATGCTGCTTTCCTTTGCCTGACAGGCTCCTTTTCTTGCTCGCGGACACACGGGGAGTGGAGGCGTGGGCATGGTAGGGCTTGGTGGGTTTGCTTTTCTTTGTTGTGTGGAGGAACGTACAAATAAGAGGAGCGATCCTGCCTTCGCTTTCTCCATCACCAGTGATTCACCAACATCCACACTGCATCCACATCTCCGGGACAACAATCCCGATTACAAAGTATAAGACCTTTTCACGAGTCACCGAAACAAAATCCTGCAACTCCTCGTCCTCCTTCTCCTCATCATCCGCAATCCAACACAAACCAAACAAACACAAAACAGACAAACAAACAAACATACCGCCAAGATGAAGACACCATCCACCCTCTTCTTCGCCCTCGTTGCCCTCCTCCCCTGCGCTCTCAGCTACCCCTATCACCGCCGAGAGCTTGCCTTCCCCGTCTACCACGTAACCAAGTACACCACTGGTTGCTCTCCGGCCGGCTGCGCCTACAGCTTCAACATCTACTACACGCCGGGCCCGTGCACAACGCCTCCGGGCTCCAACACGACGGAGATCTGCGAGCCGGGCTTCAACACGACGTGCACCGGCACGGACATCCAGGGCGGCTGGCGCGCCTGCGCCGACGCCGTGATCCAGAGCAACGAGATCCCGGGCTCCAACAACTCGACGCTGATGGTCCGCCACCAGTGGGACCAGGACGTCACGACGGGCACGGGCGGCGTGGACGGCACCTTCGCCTCGCTGGCGAACTACACCGTCGTCGTGGGTGTGGGCGAGGGCTCGGCGACGAATGCGAGTTTTGTGATGCCGGTCACGCTGGAACAAGGAGAGGCCTAGATCTAGTATAGGGGTGCAGGACGGGGTTATGAGGGAAAGTGGATTGAGGGGGAAGGAAGGTGAAGGTTGAATGAATGACAGAGGAGAGGATGATTAATGAATCGCCTGGCGTTGGGTAATGGGTTGTATTGTGTTCCATGGACGGCTATTTGCATATCAAGGCGTCTTCTGTCTGTCCTCATACTCATACCTACCTAATCTTGTACAAGTAGTAGTACCTACTCATAAAAAGCTGCACCAACAGAGGATCCCAACCATTCTCACGCCTCATGGATGAAAAGACTTGAATCATGAAAATGCATGTTATATCTTTCTTTGCAGGGGAGCTATCAGTCTTCTGATCTTGAACTCCGAAAAAAATAAATTTAAAAATAGAAACATCCCCCCCCCCTTGTCCCCAGTGCCCCACCAACATAAAACACCCCAAATAAAAAAAACCCTCAAATTCAAATCCCGAAAGAAAAAAAAAAAAAAACCCCTCCCCCCTCCCCCGTTACAAAAAGAAGCAGTCATTTTCTATTCCAAAAAAAAATGAAAAAATGGAATGTCCTCGGTGAGACTCGAACTCACGACCTTTGGATGGCCAAGAATGTTTATACATTCATGTCATATGTTAAGGATATGAGACCAACGCTCTAACCAACTGAGCCACGAAGACTGATGTTTTGTGTTTTGTGTTTGTTGTGGGCTTTGGGGCGTATTGGGGTTGATATTTTTAGGATGGTGGGGGGGGGGGTTTTTTGGGTGGGGTAGGAAGGGAATGAGGGTCTAGTAATACAGATTACATCCAGGCATTGTATTTGCGGAAGTACCTAGGTAGGGATCAAGCAAGGACCCTGATCCCATTGATACGCATATTAAATCTCGATCAATCCATCAATTGACTAGTTGATCTCTACTCTAATGTTTTTGTACAACGCCATTCGCATCCGCCTGCGCCGTGATCCTCTTCTTATACGCCTGCACATCACCGGGGAACTTCTCGACCGTGCCATTGTCACAGACCCAAAGACTGGTGCAGACGGTCTGCAACATGGTCACGTCGTGAGAAACCATCAACACGCCTCCCTGGAACTGGTTCAGCGCCGTGCTCAGCGCGTCCATGGCCTCGATATCGAGATGGTTGGACGGTTCGTCCAGGACGAGGATGTGCGGGTTCTGGAGTGAGAGGCAGGCGAAGGCCACACGAGACTTCTGTCCTCCGGATAGCAACGCCATCTTTTGTAAGCCCGTCGTCCCAGTGATACCGAAGGCTCCTAGGTGTCGCCGGTACTCCTCGTCCGCTTTCCCGGGATAGTTTTTGGCCATGAAACTCACAGCACTGGCGTTGAGGTCAAGAGCATCGACGTGATGTTGGGCGAAGAAGCCGATGCGTAATCGGGGATTCTGGGAGATGAGCCCGGATGTTGGTGTTAATTTGCCGATGAGGAGTTTGAGAACCGTGGTTTTACCCGCACCGTTGGGCCCGACGATGCCGATCCGGGAGTCGAGCTGTACGTCCAAGTCGACGTTGCGGAGCAGGATCTTGTCTTTGGAGTAGCCGAATGTCACATCGCTCATCTGCACAATTGGTGGGGATAGCTTCTCAACGTCTGGGAACTTGAAATGGACGGTGTATTCGCTCTCTGGTGGCTCGAGGACGGGCATCTTTTCTAACTTTTTGATACGAGATTGAGCCTCGGAAGATTTGGCGGCGTTGTATCGGAACTTGTCGATGAAGGCTTGGAGATGGGCACGTTGTACCATCTGGTTCTCGTACTCTCTCTTTGCAGTCTTCCGTCGTTCTTCCTTGGTCGCGTAGAAGGACTCGAAGTTGGCTCCCTTGTAGTAATCAAGACGTTCAGAGTGTTGGTGGATGATATCTGTTGCAACCTCGTTCAAGAACGCTCTGTCGTGAGAGACTACAAGGACTGTACTTGGATAGCTTTGGAGGTATGTGGCGAGGAAGGTAATCGAAGGGACATCCAACATGTTGGACGGTTCGTCAAGAAGTAGAAGGTCAGGTTCGCAGAAGAGTGCTCGTGCTAACGCCAGTCGCATACGCCAACCTCCGGAGAATGTCTTCGTTGCGTATTGCTGTCGTTCAGGAGAGAAACCCAGACCTGCCAGGATGCTTGCTGCTCGAGATTCGGCTTTGTCTGACTCCATTTCCGCCAGTTTGGCTTGAACGTCTCCTAGAGTCTGATCAAGACCTTCACGGTCCCTGTCTAGTTTTTCAGCATCGGCAGAAGTATCTGCTAAGGTGGACCGTTCAGCCTCAATATCTGCAAGTTGCTTGGTAATTTTCTATATCGAATTAGCCAAACCTAGAACGCCTAGAAGAAAGAGGAGAATAGAGCTGTTTCAGGGTCTGAGGAGAAGGTGACTTACAGTTTGTTCAGCAAGTAGATGCTTCCGCCACACGTCTGCATCAAGAACGGCTTGTAAAGCAGGGGTATCATCTCCGGTAATCTAGTAAAGATATTAGTAAAGGCTACGTGTAGGAAGACTGATCAAAAACATACCTCTTGCTCAACGTGGAGAATGGAAATATGCGTAGGGATTGCAAGTTCTCTTCGTGCCAACGCCCGCAACAGAGTAGACTTTCCTATACCGTTTTGACCAACCAAACCATATCTTCGACCATAAGCCAAAGTCAGGCTGGTATCTGTCAAGATTCTCAAGCCGCCAATTGACACATCTATTCCATCCAGCTTGATATCCTTGCTCTTCTGCTGGCCCATGGCATTTGAGCCAAGTTGAAGCGGGTTGACCGCCATGAAGAACTCTTCGTACGATTGGGTATCATCTGGCTGGTTGAGTAACCTCGAAGCTTCATACTCGACGGTCTTGAAGGTCTTCTTGTTCTGCTTTGCGGCAATCTTTCTTTCTGCCTTCTCCAGCTTCTTCCTATCAACTTTGGATTCTAGTTTCCTAGTATTTGCGGACTCCAGATCCACACCACCAGTTAAAACACCGAGCGTAGATGACATATTCCGTTGGGCTTCTACTTGGAAGGCCCGGTCCAACCGTCTGGCAGCAGAAGACGTTTGTTTCTGCTGTCCATTTTCCGCCGAGGCGCTGAACTTCTCCACCCATTTTCCAACTAGCTGGCTAATCTTTTCCACATTTTCTGGTGATGGGTCCCCTGAAGCAGATACCAACAGAGATGTGATTGACAAGGCTGCTTCTGCTAAAGGTGATTGCCCTGTGGAATCGGAGTCTGGGACATATGCGTTAGATGCATGGGTGAGGTATCCAACAGAGTATTCAGAGATCACAGGATCAATATTGGGCAAAAAATTCTTGATTTCGGCTTCCATGATTGCGGTGGAGTCCTTGAATATTCCTCGATGTTCTCCAGGACGTGGCAAGGTCCGTTCCAATATGGAAGTCTTCGATATTTCGCTCACGTGATATCGGTTGAGCACCCCAATCAAGCTAACTTTATTCAGTCCCTGCATAAACAAAGCTAGCCTAACGCGAAGCGAAAGTGCTTCACCGCTGCCTGCCCACAACTTTCCAAGTCAACACAACAACCAGAGACATCCTCTTGCTCTTTCATCTGCTTGTCAAACCTTCAAGAACCGACACCCAATTCAAGCACCCAATCCACCTTCAACATGCGTGAAATCGTAAGTCTTTCCGAGCCCGCCGAAGCCTCAGCATCGCTCTACGGCCTCAACGCGTTCTAACCCCTGAATGACCCCGCTGCTACTCCGAGAGAGACCACGAAGCTGACCAAGTCTTCTTGCATCGATAGGTTCATCTCCAGACCGGCCAATGCGTAAGTAGCATCTGTATCGTCTTCATTCTGCTCTCACTGACTTCATTCAGGGTAACCAAATCGGTGCTGCCTTCTGGTTCGTTTTCCCTCAATTGCCGGACACCTTACGAGACACAAACGCGACATATAGGCCTCAATACTGACAGATATACAGGCAAACCATCTCAGGCGAGCATGGCCTTGATGGCTCTGGCGTGTAAGTTATTCCTAGGCGTGATGATAGCAGATGTTTAGTGTTGCTACCTGCTAATACCACGATAGGTACAATGGCACGTCTGACCTTCAACTCGAGCGGATGAACGTTTACTTCAACGAGGTATGAATCACGAAACAAGGCAATGTCTGTGGTCCTAACATTACACAGGCCTCCGGTAACAAGTACGTTCCCCGTGCCGTCCTCGTCGATTTGGAGCCAGGTACCATGGATGCTGTCCGTGCTGGCCCCTTTGGCCAACTCTTCCGCCCCGACAACTTCGTTTTCGGCCAATCCGGTGCCGGTAACAACTGGGCTAAGGGACATTACACTGAGGGTGCTGAGCTTGTTGACCAAGTTCTCGATGTCGTTCGTCGCGAGGCCGAAGGATGTGACTGCCTCCAAGGTTTCCAGATCACCCACTCTCTCGGTGGTGGAACTGGTGCTGGTATGGGTACGCTCTTGATCTCCAAGATCCGCGAGGAGTTCCCAGACCGTATGATGGCCACTTTCTCGGTTGTTCCATCTCCCAAGGTCTCTGATACCGTTGTCGAGCCATACAATGCCACCCTTTCCGTTCATCAGTTGGTCGAGAACTCCGATGAGACCTTCTGTATCGATAACGAGGCTCTCTACGACATCTGCATGAGAACCCTTAAGCTCTCCAACCCATCTTATGGAGATCTCAACCACTTGGTCTCTGCCGTTATGTCCGGTGTCACCACCTGTCTTCGCTTCCCCGGTCAGCTTAACTCTGATCTCCGAAAGTTGGCTGTCAACATGGTTCCATTCCCTCGTCTCCACTTCTTCATGGTTGGATTCGCTCCTCTTACCAGCCGTGGTGCTCACTCTTTCCGTGCCGTCACTGTGCCAGAGTTGACCCAGCAGATGTTCGACCCCAAGAACATGATGGCTGCTTCTGACTTCCGCAACGGTCGCTACCTCACTTGCTCTGCTATCTTGTAAGTTGTCTTAAATAATTCATCACTATCATATGCTAATTCGTTACAGCCGTGGTAAGGTCTCCATGAAGGAAGTTGAGGACCAGATGCGCAACGTCCAGAACAAGAACAACTCCTACTTCGTCGAGTGGATTCCTAACAACGTCCAAACCGCTCTCTGCTCCATCCCACCCCGTGGTCTCAAGATGTCGTCCACCTTCGTCGGTAACTCTACCTCCATCCAGGAGCTTTTCAAGCGTGTTGGTGACCAGTTCACTGCCATGTTCCGACGAAAGGCTTTCTTGCATTGGTACACTGGTGAGGGTATGGACGAGATGGAGTTCACTGAGGCTGAGTCTAACATGAACGACTTGGTCTCCGAGTACCAACAATACCAGGAGGCCTCCATCTCTGAGGGAGAGGAGGAATACGAGGAAGAGGCACCATTGGAGCAGGAGGAATAGATACCTTCTACTTTGCTTGCATGATTGGGCAGTGTGACACAGATCCTGCATTGGTGTCAGGGATGTCGAATCATATTTCTGCAAGGCTGGGAGCGTCTCTGGGGTCCTTTTTTCATTTCTTGATTTTGACAGCGACGGTGTGAGGGTGCTTTATGAAGAACAAGCAGATGAGCGGCGGCGATACCTTCAGTAGTAATCCAGTACATGAGCGCGAATAGAAATTCACAGACCCACGAGTCTAGAATTACGCAATGCTGAATACCCTGCAGTGACAATTGATCGCCTCCAATAGCGAGTTGAATCTCACTTATCAAGAGTTTGCCTGCGCAGCGAAATTTTCCTTTTGCTCTTGTGATGTCAAAGGGGGAGGGGATATTTTCGACACTAGCGTTATCGGCGCGCTAAGAAAAATGCTTGGGACTTGTTGATATCCATCTCCGTATGCCCCAACACCTCCTGCTCTTCAATTGAATTTCAACAACACTCTCGCAAACGGTTAAAGTCATTTATTCGACCTTCTACGAAAAGCTATTTACCGCTTAAAGGAGAGATAGAACCAACTGCAGCAAATATGGCAAAGGAAAAGGTAAGATATGTTTGAGTCATACCTGGCGGTGAGGATTGTTGGAGGAGTAGGGAGGGGAATTGAAAGAGGATGATTGAGAATTGAGCTGATGAAGTACCAACTATAGGTCTGTCTTGCGTACAGTGGTGGTTTGGACACAAGTTGTATCTGTGAGTACTCTGGAATACTTGTTGCGCCGGGATTCGAAACTGATGTCACCGTGACAGTGGCCTGGTTGATTGAGAAGGGTTACGATGTTGTAAGTCATACCTGCTATACGTCAAAATGTTAGGATGGTTGGATGAGGACGTACGCTCTGGGAGAAGATAAAACGACGAGGCTGGGGAATGGAAGCTGTAGGTATGCAAGGGATGCTGATAGAGTCATAGGTTTGCTTTATGGCGGATGTGGGACAGGAAGGTATGTGCTGCAATCCCTTATTTTTATCCTTTCTTCTTTGGGGAGAACATGTAATTACTCGCATTTTGGGAGGCAATTGCTGACTTATGTGTGTATAGAGGATTTCAAAGCCGCCAAGGAGAAGGCATTGAAGATTGGAGCCGTGGCGTGTTATATTGAGGATATCCGCAGAGAATTTGTTGAGGAACTGTGCTTCCCTGCTATTCAGGCGAATGCCATCTATGAGAACGTGTATCTCTTGGGTAGGTTCTGAATCTGTCCCTGTGTAGCAATGACCAAGTCCTGCTTGAACAGGTTGGCACAAGTAGCATAAGCTAATTCGGGAAATAGGAACTTCCCTTGCTCGACCCGTCATCGCCAGAGCCCAAATCAAGGTTGCACAAAAGGAAGGATGTGTTGCTGTTTCTCACGGCTGCACTGGCAAGGGCAACGACCAAGTCCGCTTTGAATTGGCATTCTACGCCCTTCAGCCCTCCATCAAAGTCATTGCCCCATGGAGAATGCCCGAGTTCTACGAGCGCTTCGCAGGCCGCAACGACCTGCTCGACTACGCAGCCAAAACCGGCATTCCTGTTAGCAGCACAAAGGCCAAGCCCTGGAGTATGGACGAGAACCTTGCACACTGCAGTTATGAAGCCGGTATCCTAGAGGACCCAGATGTCACGCCTCCATCAGACATGTGGAAATTGACCGTGGATCCTCTGAAGGCACCTGACACGCCAGAGGACTTCACTATCGTGTTCAAGAAGGGATTGCCAGTGGAGCTGATCACCGCAAAGGGAAAGAAGATTACCGATCCCGTCGAACTGTTCTTGGAGTCCAACGCTATTGCTCGTCGTCACGGTGTTGGAAGAATCGATATTGTGGAGAACAGATTCATCGGTCTCAAATCCCGCGGCTGCTACGAGACGCCTGGCCTCACCTGTCTGCGCGCCGCACACGTCGATCTCGAAGGTCTGGTCCTTGACCGTGAGGTCCGGGCTCTCCGTGACCAGTTTGTGACTTTCAACTATGCCAAGATCCTCTACAATGGTCTGTACTTCTCCCCTGAACGCGAGTTCCTCGAGGAGTCCATTGTTGCAAGTCAAAAGAACGTCAATGGACAGGTGAGATGCCGGGTTTACAAGGGATCCTTCACGGTTCTTGGACGTAGCTCCGAGACCGAAAAGTTGTATGATGCCAGCGAGAGTTCTATGGATGAGATTGGAGCGTTCTCACCAGCGGATACGACCGGTAAGCACATTCTCTCATCTCTTTTCTGCCCAAGATATTCCGACTCGTATGCACACTTGACAGCCTCCGGAGTAAAACAACACATCCTCAATCCCTCCCAACCCCTACCATCATTATTAATACTAATCCGAAATGTTCTAGGTTTTATCTCCGTCCAGGCCATCCGGTTGAAGAAGTATGGTGAGGCTAAGGAAGCCAAGGGAGAGAGATTGTAAAATCGCTCTGAATAAAATTCTGCCCGGACGGAAACCAGAGCAGACCTTTTGGGTCGAACATTTTTGGGACGGACTTGGGACGGATTTATCACGGACTTTGGAATCAAACATGGGAGGTTAAGGAAAAGTAAATAGAATTGCTTCCTGGTGTGCTAGGCATCCTTGATCCTACCCTATCAAGATCTGTTCTTTCTGTCATAATGAATGAAACGTAATGCCACTGCATCGAGAAAATCTGTTGCTATCATAAGCATCGTTATAAAGCACAGCTCTAACTACCTGGTTGCCTAATCCGAGAAGTTCACAAACCTCACATGGTCACAAGTACGGTGTTGAGGCAATCGGTGAGCCAACCCTTGTAATTGCATTTCAAAGAAAATGATAGCCATATAATTCGCATCCTTACAAATCCCTCATGAACCCCGTCCGTCTCATTGGATTCATTCCATAATAGAAGTTTGAGATACGCGCATGAACGGCGCAATATTCAACCGAACTCAACCCCCCAAAGATAGGCAAGACACTCTCGGTGCTGCGATCCACTATTCCGATGGCTTCAAGGGTCCCTGGGTGTCCCTGTGATCTTTCCTGTACTACGGGCGATACAAGTCTGGGCGTTCGGGAGTTCCCAAGTCGACTTCTCTAATTTGGTAGCGAGGACCGCTGTATGCGGCGGGGTAGCATGGACGTGGGGTTCGTCTATTTAATTACAGAGACGGGAAAGGGGCTTGGTACAGTGGGGATTGTTGGCGGTCCCGGCGGTGCGCGCGGTCTGAGGTGAAATCAACTGAATGGACTTTGAGTCCGTTGTCTCAGCAATGGCCGAATAAAAACACGGAGTAGAGAAGTGTTCTTTGCCTCGTGGCGAGATCCATGTGGTTGGTACATAGGGGGGAGGAGGGGGTGGCGATGAATAATGTCGTCGAAGATCAGTAAACCGGCTTAGCCAAGCAGTTTTGGACCCGGTCGCTGAGATGCCACGAGTCAAACCGGGTTGGTTTATGGGGGGCCGCGTAGGGGATTGTCCACAGGGCCACAAGGGCCACAGGGCCACATGGCTGAGGCTGAGACTGTCACTGTCGACTATAGATGTGAAGGAGTGTCAACAGCTGCATATCCTAGAGTAGTAATATGCCATGATTTCAACCTGGTTGCGGTCAAGCTCGGGTATGACATTGTCTCGGGCTTCTTTCTTCGTTCGAGATTCTCCCTCCGTACTGCTGCTGTACGAAGAGTATATAGGAGCCGAGACCTCACTTCTTCTGATTGGCCCGTTCGCGGAATTCCCACGTCTCCCCAGGGGAAACAGTCCCAATATGGTTGAAGCTCCTAAGAGAAGGGATGACAGCAGGACATACGGAGTACACAGCAGAAGTCCCAAATAATGCTATGACAAAGATGTATCTCTTGGCAGGTATTGCTGTGTATGGCTGTGTTTCGGAGCATAGAGTAGGATGGCATAAATTGGAAGCCGGAACGAGGGACGGAGAAAAGATGGGCTTGCATACGAGCGGAGGATCGTGATCATTTCATTGAGTATATCATTGAATCAACCAGGTTGGCTGCTGTGCGACCCGACAAATAGCAGGGAAGCGAGACCTTGACACGCATAGTCGGTGAAGATTTCCAATCGGTGATGTAGCTGGTATTAAATGGGACGCATCGACGATGTGAACCCTGACTAACGAAAATGGATGATTCCCGGAGGATGTATCCTAAGGAGATGATGCCCCTTGAGACTGGACTCGTGAGCATCCTTTCTTGTAAACTTGTGCATCAGATATATGGGAATTGGGTGACGTCTTGGAGGTCAATACGCGAAGAATTCAGGGTTGCTTTATGGCCGTACTCTAAAAGAGCCATCCAGATGAATCCTGCTCTGTACTAGTACTAATTGCATTATTGTCTTCTTGCGTTATGGAGGGCCTGAACACTGTGTTCTCGTTTAGGTCATTGTTTGGGTGATCTCGGTAAGGCTCCGAAAAGGCCCCTGGATTGGAATCGGACACTAGATTAATGGCCGATATCGAAAGAATGGAAAGAGAAAATTCTCCTTCTTGAGTACCAAAGAAACTTGAGTAGCCAGTCAGTGAGAGTACTTTTGGGTGTCCAAGGCACCTACCTTCTCATCATCAAGCTTAATCTCCTGACGTTCTTCAAGTCCAGAGGCTTTGCATCTTTCTTCTCTCGTCCTCTATACGTCGCCTTCAAATCTTCCCACTTCACAAATACCTTCCCCTTTCCATTATCTCCCTCCACCTTGAAATCATACTCCCAACTTACAGTACTCTGCTCCCTCCCATCCGAGCGTTGTGGCAATAACTCGTCCTTCAATGCCACAGTATATTTTTTCCCATCTGACTTCTCGATATTCAACTCCAATCCATCAAACCCAGTCAAATCCCAAGTTTGATGTTCCCTCGTCGTCCGTTGAGAAGCAAAACCAGCTCCACCCAGGGTTTTGATATCAAGATGTCCGTGAAATTTGGCGGTGGGGGCAAATGGACTGCAAGTGAGAGTAGAGTAAGAGGAGCCGCCACGAACACGGTCATCGGAGCTCGTCCAATCGAGAGGATTCCATGGCCTAGGGTTATGAGCGTAGTTCGGAGGCGATGTAAGGGGAATGATGGACTGGGGTTGGAAGGAAAAGCGTACTTTTTACCTCCGAAGAGGTAGACTTGAGATGGAGGATCCATTCTGACATGCGGAATAATACTAAAATCTAGCCCTGAGTGTATTCTCCAGTAATTCAACCATGTATTGCCACTTTGCTGAGAATGGGCATGAATGTCCGTGAAGAAACAGGGAAGAAAAGAGTAACGTCCCGGCCGAAACTATTCGTACTGAGGGGACTGTTGATAGGAGATCATCGATTGGTTCACTTGTGCAATATGATTCTTATGATAACCAACAAATGAAATATCTATTGTTCTGTTTGCATCTGATCACATATCGATTTCTGAAAGTGATGACCTCAAGCGTCTCCATCAGCCCTATCCACCATAAACTCACGTCGCGCTTAGGTAGGCGCGCGTCTGGACCGGGCGCTTACCATAAGGGGACAAAGCTGCGGTTAGCGCCGGAGTATTCGCGCGGCGGAGGTCGCAACGCTGAGTTTCAGACCCAGCAACTCGGGAACATTTCAATCAAGCTACGGCCGAACGCACCCTTGTTTCCTGGCGGCAATCTGCAGGCCGATATATCGGGCCATGTGGGTACTGTACTTACGAAATAGTTGACCGGGCTGTCTTCAAATCCGCGCGCTGCGAGCCTCGCGTACGGTCGGCTTCGGGATCAATCACAGATCTGTATCTCCGCCACCACATTACTGCCTGTACGGACAGTAGGCGCCAGGCTCTGCGCCTCATCCTCACAACCCCAGAGCAGGCCTACCGACGTTCTGGACTGGCCGTTTGGTGGCATTGCGGGCTTGTTTCAACTCTCGAGCACGCGGTTCCATTGGGGGCCGGAACGGGATGGCGGGTATGATGTGTTTGGTAGGCTGGTTCGTGGAGGTAGACGCTGAGGGACAGAACAGGTACATGTCCTTTTACTATTCTGGCCACGCAAGGCTGCGAATCCAAGGGGCTGAATCACGGCTGTGGCGCAACTGTCGACTACTGGAATGGATGAGAAGGCTCAAGGTGGAAGACAAAAGTGAGTTGCTCAATATCGACCAGAGTTGAAAATTGGAAGACGAGTGGTGAATTGTAATAGAGGCTAATACATATACGGGGTATTTGAAATATAGGAAGCGGTCCATCGTGTCCAGGAAATGAAGAACATAAAACACCATACTACCATGCTACCCATTCTCTACTTTAGTCAACCATTACCAAAAAAAGATCCCTCTACCATAGAGTGAGTGTCGAGCGCTTCGAACTCCTAGTTTTCCCATTTTTTCCATATCAGCCCTGCCGTTTTCATACATTCATCCCATTCATATCTGTGTCATAAGTCGTGGTGAAGGAGGCATGGATAATGGCGTGGTAGGATATTGATATCCCGACTCGGAACATGCTGTTGAATGGTCGTATGAATGTGAAAGAGGAGGAGTCTGCAGATGCTTGTTAGCATGATTTCGCCCATGTTACATTGCTTTGGTCTGACATACATGAGGGTTTGGGTCGTCATAGACCTGTTGCCCATGGATATCGAGTGAAGGGAATGCCTGATAGCTCATATGGAATGGGCTCATGGTATCCTCATGTTCCCGTTTAATCGAATCGTGGAATTGCATCATGGAAGGCAAGGTGACGGGAACTGGTGCAAGGTAATCTGTGTCCGTTCTTGACCAGTCACCACTGCTGGAAACTTGACGGTACGGTTGTGAATGACCGTAGGGGGAGTAGATGACATCCCCCGGAACTGGGTATGTGTGATATGCGAAAAGAGGAGGTGTCCGGGAACCGTCACGCTCAAAACCGTGGGTAAATATCACATCATCATCGCTTTGCATTGGAGGTGTGTATTGACTTGGTAGTGAACTGGGAGAGAGTTGCTGTCTGATCTCTGGACTGCTCTTGAACTGTTGGCCATCTTTGTTGACCTGGTTCGTTGGTTGGATCTCTGCATGCGTCTGAGGTGGTGAAGCCGATGCTGACCCTGCCCGTCTCTCGAGGTCTTCGAGGCGTCTCTTGAGCTTCTTACCTGCAGTCAAGAATTAGTCGGGTGTTCTTTGTGGAGTATGCTAGAGAGCTACGTACGGTAGTTCCGTTGGGCAATGCGGTTCTGGATCCGTCTCCGTTCAGCGAGGTCAGAGATCTTGGTCCAGTCTTCATCTGGATTGGCGGAGCTGCTGAAAGCGCTGCTGGTACCGTGGGTAGTGATATGCCTCGACGCCGGCGCGGTCGAGTAAGAGTAGTTCTGTGGTGACATGGTGGAGGATATGTGGTATGTTGGAAGATATATTGACACAATATCAATGAGGGGACCTTCAGAGAAGTCGAAGTCGGTTTTCGAGGAATGTGATGTCTGTCAAAATAAGGCTGGGAAGACGCCTCGCTCGGGGGTGCCTGGGGATATATATGTGAATGCGGCACACACAGGTAGGTCGGGGTATACGCCCTCCGCAAGTAGTAGACGGGCGGTACTTCCAGCTGAACGACAAACGAAGGCAACCCTGTCAGCTCATGGCCGTGCTGCTACTCCTCGAACCCCCATGCCCCATGCCCCGCCCCCTGCCTACTGACGCTACGAGAGCAACGGCCGCAAGGACAGCGGCCGGGAGGTGCGCCTTGCAGGCCATGGCACGCAACATGGGCCCGACTTTCTGCACTTCTGCAGCCTTCGAGTCTTTGGCCCAAAGCGTGCTAGGCGCAGAAACCCGAATTCTTGAGCCTTGGACACTACACCACTTCGCACAGGGGGCACCGAGGGGGTTGTTAAGTTGGACCACCCTGGGTCCCTGGCCCCGCGCTAAAGGCAACACAACATTGAAGGCTAATTAGCAACATTTTAAAAATAAGTCGCATGCAGGCTTCGGCTGCGTGAAGCAGCGCCAACCACTCACTGCTTGTGTCGGTGCTCTTGGAAATACCAGCCACCACAGAGCTGCTGCTGCTCGGAATAGATCTGCGCTAGATGGACAAATAGGATTCCCTTTGGACGGTACCAGCCCTACGAGCTGCGATGTGATGAGGACAATAAGGCAGGCAAGCAGGCGCAAATAATCATCACCTTACTACTTAGGCACTGCTTGTCGACCAGCCAGGGGAGAGTGACAGAACAGGAGGGCCCTTTTTTTGGAACCCCATTGACATTCAAAATAGCCTTCTTCGCCAAGGTTCACTCTTTGCGACAAGTCATGGCAGTATAGTAGGTGCAGCTTCATCGTCGAGCGTTCCCTGCATCGTCCTATTACTGGTCTATACAATTGCTATATATACGACGCCAAATCGTATCACACGACTGACAATTTCTCCATGGGGAACAGTGTCTAAAAATGGGCTTCGTTAATCATGGGGCGCAGAGCTCCAAGGTTTTGAACACTTTCTGAATGGGGAAATCAAGAAACAGGCATGCTTGCTTTGGTTATTCTTGAAATACGGGTCGCCGACTACTGGGTCGATCACCTTGGTGTTCATAGGCGCATACTAATTTATTTCGGCGAGTAAACATGTCGTTGTTGACTCTCTCTTTTTGGCCGGCTCGGCGAAGGAGGATGCAAACGAATGCCAAATGTCGCTCTGGCTCTGGCTCCTCTCTGGATCTGCGTTTGCCCAAGGCATCTATCCATCGTATTTCGCACCATACAGCGGCCACCTTACTGACATATGCGCAGTACTTGGGATACTTGGCGGATTGCAGCCTCGGGCAGCTAGGAGGAAATTGCTCTGTTGCTGTGTTGCGCTATGAGCCTGTGCGATACCACTTTTGACCCCTAAATTACTACCGGCCTTGGCCCATCACGAACCCGAACCTGCGGATCTGCACCCTTGACTGCTTCTAGAAAGCGAGGGCGCTTTGTCATATGTTTATTTTTGCGACACGATTACCAAGATACCTAACAGGGAAAGCAGTGCGATCATCATTGGACGCTTCTCCCTTGGCCTCCGCGAGGACCCGAGCAGACGACCCCATACGGCCCGCCAAACCAGACCGCAGGTTCGTGTGGCATGGAGGGGTCAGGAACCCTGCTATGCAGGCCCTCGACCAATGAATGGGTGTGTCTCGTACTTTAGCGTGCTCGCCGAATATCGACACGACGGTGAAGCTGTCACAGACTCGCAGACACGCTGCGCATCACTATCAACGCACCAGTCTGGAGAAGATACCAGGAGGTCATACTCCGGACAGCTCAGCAGTTGGCACGACACGCAGGATAGGACCGATTGCAATTCTCTTGATCCCCTGCTGCGCCTGCTGCTCTGCATTCTAGAAGCCCTGCTTGAGTCCTCAGCCCTACCCGGCCTTCATGCTCCACGTCTCAATCTGCTGCCTCGATTCAGTACTCTTATACATGATTGGATTGCAGCTCTACGCTGCGATCCTACGCTCGCTGCACAGTGTCAATTCTGGCTGTTGATCGCTTATTTATTCTACCATTGGTAGGTATATTTCAGTCGATTTTGATCGACATTATGAGAGAGGCCGGCGCTTTCCTCGCGGTGAGAAGAATATCACCGCCTCCCTTAGTTCAATACCGTGGTATTATGACTACGGAGTATGTTCGTGTCATCAGTACCGGCCAGCGTTTGAATGTTGCCTCGATATCCGGATATCGACTCGTTACCCTGTAAATCTGATATTGGTCCTGGCTTCATGCCCCCCACTCTTCTCCTACCCCGCCGCTCTGGGCACAGAATATGGCCAGACTTGGGTCTCGTCATTGCATCTGTTTCATGTTGTTAATAGATTAGGTGTATCGTCTCATGACTGCCATCATTCTATCTTTGTGCGATCCGAGGATTCAGGGGAAATACGAAGGGGTCCCAATTACATGCTAACTCCTTTTTCACAGTGATTATTGTAACTCAAGGTGGCATGTATGCGGCCAAGCTTTTCTGGGGAATAAGACCCTTGACCCATCAATGTCAGGTCCACGTTGCAGTGTTGCATTACCAAGGCGCAGAGAAGCCCTCGTTTCAGAGTACACATCTACGGGGGAGGCCGAGAGGGTGGAAGCTGCAATCTTCTCTCAGCAACTGTCGATGAGCTCAACATACGAGCGAGCGCAAGCGCCACTCCGTGTCTGAGGCATCTACGATTATTCCCTACCCTCTATCATTGCGACACTTACCCACCAGTCAGATTCACTTCATCTTCGTGCATGTCCTCGAGGATCCTGTTACTTTCGACTCTCGACTCTCGACGTCGCGTTCTAATTCTAGCGCGAGCTGGTACCTGGCAGGCTCAAATCAGCCCTGCAGTATCTCTCATTATCTGAATTAGAATCTCTTCTAATCAACCACAATGATAGGGGTGCCCTCATTCTCCCCTGAGAAGAATTAATGTTCTCACGAAAACGTGGCCTCAGGGATAGTTTAAGGTTCTCACTACATCGTCCCGCCACAGGAAACGCAGTGTGACAGCTTTCCAAAACTAAGGACATAGAAGCCTGGGAAATCTGAGGCAGGCCCCTCGAGTGGCTACTCCGGGATCGTGGTTTTGTCCACTACCGAGCCATCCAATACCATACGGCACCCTACCCCCCTCGAGATTCGTCATCTTCGTGTGTTTACGATGTGCCGGCTGCTTGTGGTAGTCACCTCCGCGCACACGTATGTTCGCTAAGATTTCATTGTGTAGCTCGACAGGTCAGGCTGTCCAAGGAACAGGCTCGCTGCACTACATAGTGTCTCGGGACCCCAAAAGCAACACTTACCAAGCAGAGCTTGCAGTTCGCCATGGAAGCATACTGCCTCCTGTCGATAGAGGACGCCTATCACTGGAGGCTGTCTGCTACTCTACTCCGTAAGTGCCTCGCTTCGAGAGAGTCCGGAGTCGAGACATAGCTATCGAATCACATCCATTACATGAATGAGGAATGCATGTGGCAGAATCCCCGTAACCAATTCATGAACTACGGTAAGGAATGGAATGGCTGCAGAAATCGCATTTCAATTGCAGCAAGTTTGTAAATAAAGGTAAGGTAGATGGGATCTATAGAAGACAAAGCTAAGATGCTTCTAAAAATTGTGCCTTCATCATTGGGTTGGGGATACACGCTCCCGGCATTTGGCGGGAAGGATGTGGGACTGAGGGAAGACTTGTCGTGGTCTGGGGATGTCTAGAGCGGGGAGGCAGTCTTGATTCGCAATTGGCCCCAGGCACTCAGGCATGGTTCTGGAGAGAGCCCGACTAATGTCTGCGATTGTTCATGATAGGCTTAGGAGAGAAAAGGCTGTGCGCAACGTTACGACCTCCGCAACACTACAAGCTGTTACCCTGAGCGAGAGCGAGACAATTCGACAGTAGTACGCCATTGACTCACCGGCGAGAACTGGGTTGATGCACGACCGGCCTTCGCGCCATAAGGCTGAAGATTCCCAAATCCCCAATCCCTACGGCTGTGGTGCAATTGGATAAGCCTCCGGCCGAGTATTCGGAGCTAGGACGGCGCGCAGGATAGGATATGCTCCTTCGACACTCGTGACGCTCCTCTGCCGCTGCCGATCATGATGGCGGAGTTTAGTACGGACTACAGACTAAGGCCTCGTAAAGAGAAGGAGGTTAATAAAATGATCGTACCCGTGCTGTTGCGGCGTGGTTATGCCTCCAAGAGTCCAAGCCTCAAGGGGAACGAGAATCCAAGACCCGAAGGCTCCAAAGCAGCCACAGCCCCCAACCCAAAGAGGACAATTAGCTGCCATTTCATGCCTGTTCGCTGTCTCCACGTGTACCTCCATAAGGCTGGGGTGGTGGGACCGACACCCTTGCCAACAGCGGCAGCCCCTGGCCTATCGCCAGCCATTGGATCGCCCGACAGTGGAAATTGCCTGATACGGTAACTAACTTGTTCTCCTCGCGCCGCGGGGGGACTCGTACTTTGGACCAATGAAAAAGGCCTGTCTTGAGTAGCCTCACTCGCTCTCTCTACTCTCCTCTGAGTCCCGTCCATACTGTACTGTACTACGCACATTACGTACAGGACCGACCATAGCCGGCTTTCAAGGGAAAGGTCGCCGGTGACTTATCTTCATTGAGGTAATTTCACTCGCTGGCGGTACTCCAGAACCCGAGGAGCAGCTCTAAATCCGAGCTCCGGGATCTCTTCGTTGATAACCTCGTTTTTACGGGCCTTCACTGTCGTCATACATCCAGTACATATTGTACCCTCCCTGCTCTCGTTGTCTATGGCCAATGACGAGAGAGGATCGGGTTGTCAGCGTTGCGGTTTGTAATTGCCTCTGGATTACGATGCACGATGTGGATGCCCTTCGAGGAAGGCATCTAGGGATTCTAGGCTTCCAAAAAGACTCCGCGATACCAAATAACTCTCCGATCCTGGATGAGGACCGCTATGTATCCCCCCTTTGTGCCTAGGCTTCCCGCAAACGCCACGCAATGATATCACTGCGCTTTGATGTGCCCTTGCCGGCGGCATTTCTCTTTCGCCGACCGACTCATGATAATTGTCAGGACGACATTTGTGTTGCGCCGATGCCCGCGATGCTTTGCAATTGTCTTCTTCACTTTGAACCACCACGCGGCACTAGATTCTGCCTATCAAGTGATGCATGCCCTAAACTTTCAAGTCACCTCCAGATCCGCCGAGTAATTTGGGTGGATTGTTTTCGCCCCTGAGATGTTGACTCCTCAGTCGACAAGCTCCACTATACGTTTCTCCTTCGGTTACAATGAGCTTTGGTAGCTTAGTATCAATAGCGATACGAGCAAAATCGATGCTGGCCTCGGATCCTCATGGCTTGTGCGATGTATTTTAAGCAAGTTGCAAGCATCATTTCGTTCTGCGAGTCATTATTTTCAACGCTTGATGCTGTCTTGGAGCTCTTGAAACGGCCCAAGGTCTTGAGGCGTGTGGCACAGCCGCATCGCTCGCTTTCAACGCTCTTTACGAGTATCCTTGCCCTCCATTTACGGAGTTGCCAGTATCCCTGCCTCCCACATAGACACACCGTATATGCCATCAGTGTGAAACAACACCGACAGATTCCTATTTTGTTTACTCTGTCTGTCTGTATAGTGTAAATAGTTTCTGTTGGCTTTGACCCTTTAAGCGCCGCGGGGATGCGTGTTTGGGGCACATTGGAAGCCCAACGAGTCTGCCGTACTCTAAGTGCTGCCCCATCCGTGCCCCACAATCTCCCCCAAGCGCCCTACCCTAGGGTCTGTCTCTATGTTGGAACGTGGGAAACCATGAGTTCACAACGTCCTCCATGTCGACACCAATTCTCAAGTCTTCCCAAATGGCTTTATCCTTGAGCTAGAACGCGTCGCGCGTACTGTTCCTCAAATTTCAACCCTCAAAGATGCTGCGGTGAAATGAGCAAACAGTGCGGTTCGTTCAAGTAGACGCTGTCGACAGTAGGGGATCCTTGTTGCACAATCGCGGTAATTTCCCACGTTACTGTACGTACACGGAGCGCTTGGGATACTTGGTCTGCAGATCGCCATTCAGGAATGTGGTTTCCAACTTCTCCAAGCCGCTGTACGTTGGAATCGAAGCCGAAGCCGAAGCCGGTTGGAGTCGAGACTCCTGACAACGCACCTTATTTTTGATGGCAGCGTGAGGAATTGTTGGATATTTCATGAAGTACGGTACTTTTACCAGCCTCTTCTACTGATGTTAGTAGGTGAAGGCGCTAAAAACATCAGCGCCATGGGCCAGAGCAGTACATATTTGACCCAACTCGGTGGCCCCATGGTCTGGCGTCACGACGTTGGATATTGATCCCTTCAACATCCAACGGTCTCAAGATTGGCCACAGCTTTATCTCATTCGCGTTGCTCGCAGTCTTCCCCAGCCCACGGGCTCGTTGGCGAGGCGCCGTCGTCCTCAAGGCTGTGTCTGCATGGTCTTCTGAAGTGTCCATTGGGATTGGTGGGCTCGAGAATCACTCGATATACTATTGACGTCCAATCCACGCGTCTCGCTGTTTGAATTGGGTTCCTATGTGGAGGACTGGGATTGCAGTGCTCTTTAAATGCTGATGTCAGATCGATCGATCGATCTACTGACCTCGTGGCTTTTGAAAAGCCAACAAACAGGGTGACATTCGCCTGAGTAGCCTTCACAGTGACAGAAGGAGGATTTGCTCCAATTCAACTGTCGACTATGTCTTTTACAAGTCGTTACGGATGCGCCACGGCGTCAAAGGTTCTCAATTCAAGAGCAGCGTGCATTCAGATTGCATGCTTACAGCGAGGAGTTGGTTCAGCTGCGGTATCGATCATTTGTCTAGCCTCTAAGAGAACTCTCTTTTGCCGCTGGCAGATTGGTTTTCCCTCCCAAGCGGAAAGGGGTTCCATTGTCAACCAAAGCATATGGAGCTGCGCGATGAAAGCCGGATTCAGCAAGGCTAAAGTGGAAAGATCCCAATTTTCTCTGTATCTCTGCCCAACATCTACTCATTGTCGACTTTTGAGGCATGATAAGGTGCTTTCTCTGTTAGTTTCTGGGGAAAAGGGGGAAATATGTACGAAAGGAGTATGTCGCGTAGCCTAGAACTCTTCTCACCCAACATCAAGAACGGCGGAAGCCATACCAAGTACCATGTACATTTCCTTCTCATCTCTGTAAGTACGAATGAGTCTTGGCTATTCAAAAACTATAGGTTCTCAAATGCAGAAATTTTATCCTCGCACAAAAGATATGGAGATCGTTTGGAAGCTCACAGAAGCAAAGGTCCAAGAAGAACCTATCGAAAGTCCTCCGGCCGAGCTCTTCTCTCATGACTGCAGATAGCTTGCTACGGCGTATCACTGTCTGGACTATGACCAAGGGAGGTCCGGAAGCAGTTGAGCCAGTTGTTTACTTGCCCTCTTTTTCTGTTGGAGTCATTCTTGCCTATTTTATTATACGTTACTTGAAGACACTGCATCTCCGTCAGAACATCGCGATCTCTTGAAAAGTGCTGGAATCCGCCGACCTCCGAGATTGTTATCGCAAGGGTGGGATGCGGGGCGAGGCTGCGAGGCTGCGATGCAGGCGGGACGGCCTGGTAATGGGAGTATATCAGAAGCCGCAAACTGTTGAAATACGAGCTTCGAGAGCCAAACGTACCCCAATCCCCTAATCCCACGCCTTGTTGACTGACCCCTAAAATCAAAGAGCCAAAAAAGCAAAAGAACAAAAGGGACATGACGGTCTCTACCAGCTTCAACATCCCAACTGTCGACATCTCCCCCTACCTCGCATCGCCGACCTCCGTCGCAGCTCAGGAAGTCGTCGCCCAAGTGCGCGACGCCTGCATCTCGACAGGTTTCTTCCAGCTCATCGGCCACGGGATCCCGCGCGAGCTGCAAGACGAGGTCTTCGCCGGCTCCCGAGCATTCTTCGATCTGCCACTCGCGGAGAAGAAGGCACTGGACAAAGCCGGGTCTGTGGGGGCGAGTCACCGAGGCTATGAGCTAATTGGGAATCAGGGGCTGCAGGAGGGCGCGCAGCCGGATCTGAAGGAGGTGTGTTCCGCCTCTCGCTCATGATTTTGCTTAGGCTGGAGGATATTCTCTTGCGTGTGGTGATGGAAGATCCGAGCTGAGCTGATGGACATGTGCAAAAGGGCTTCTACATCGGGCGCGACATCCCCGCCACGGACCCGCGAGTGCTGAGACATGCTTTCCTCATGGGCCCCAACCGCTGGCCGGCCTCACTCCCCTCGCACATCTTCCGCGAGCCCATGGAGCGGTACTACGAGCGCGTCTACAGCCTCTGTCTCGCAGTTCTAGATATCCTCGCCGCGGGGCTCGCCCACGGCCCAGACATCTTCGCTGACTTCGTCGCCAACGACCCCGTCGCGGCGCTGCGCCTACTGCACTACCCGCCCCAGACGACGGACGCACCAGACCAGCTCGGGGCTGGGGCGCACACGGACTTCGGCGCCATCACATTACTGCTCCAGGACACGATTGGCGGGTTGCAGGTCTGGGACGACGCGGGGGCACGCTGGGTCGATGTGCCGCCGGAGCCGGACGCGTACGTGGTGAACGTGGGCGACATGCTGCAGATGTGGACGGGCGGGAAGTATAAGAGTAGTCGGCATAGGGTGCTTAATAGGAGCGGCACGGATCGGTATAGCGTGCCGTTCTTCTTCGATGGCAATCTGGAGTGTGTGTTGAAGCCGATGGATGGGAGTGAGGCGTCGGGTGAACCGCTGACGGTCGAGGGCCATATGAAAGAGAGGTATGCGAGTACATATGGAAGGGGGAAGAAAGTGAGAGAGTAGCGTTTGAGTTCTCTCCCGGTAAAAGAGCTGGAGGAGTTTCCTGGGGCATTCATTACATTCGAAGATGGAATTTCTAAACGATCAGCACCCTACCCGGTTTTGTTGAAAAAAGCGAAAAAGAAGGTTTAGATACAATGTTAAAGGGCATTAAAGAATCATCTAAAAGCCAAGAGAAAGCCTACCTAGTCCTTACTTACCACCCCTTCTTCCTCTGTGCACTCACCCTTTTTCCTTTCCTCCCCCCTCAGCCACCACCAGAGTAATATATATATAAACCTGCCATGGGAAAGAATGACGAGACTAGAATCCGAATCATGGGGAGGATAGAGGTAGAAGAAGAGCATCCTTGTTCTCCGCATCGTCACTGAATTAGAGAGAGCAATCACTAATGTAGACAAATCCTCTGTAAGTCTAGGAAATAGCTTTGCGCTCGAGAGAAGGGGACGACGAACAAGGGGGTAAAAGGGGCTAGGTACAAGGGGGGTAACAGAGATAGATATTGGCCGGTTTTCTATCAACATTAACCCACCAGTCTCGATCCTCATTCTTTTTTCTTCCTTCAATAACTCACTCATAAACTCGGGCCATAGCACAAACCACCTAAGTTGACGAGAAGCCTTTTTAGATCCAGGAGAATAGCCTCTGTAGGAACATAGGGGTAATGAACCGAAAGCAGAGAGAATCAAGCCACTATGCTACTCATTAGTAGGTCACTTGTCCATATCACAAACATGTCACGATCGCAGATATGAAGAATAACCATTGGGTAACGTGAAGCCATGACTTCATCTCTTTTTTTTCTGACCTTTCGCCAGTATCTACCCATTCTTTGTTCGTTGACTGCATTTCACATCACATATGAAATGTGTATTCCTTCCTTTAGTCATTTTGATGCCGCGTATGCTGTGAGCTCACACTTTCCTCATCCCAATCCGTCCCATAACCTTCTCACAATAGCGAGCTTGGGATCCCACCCTTCCACTTCGTTCATCCATGTGTGTCTCGTAGTTCATACAGTCAGAAGACCCGTCCCATCTCCCATGAATCTATCAGCACAGCTTCTATTTTCCATTTCCCACGATTTATGTGTGGGAGCATAGAAGCAGATAAAGGCAAAAGAAAAGCCCATCCCTCATGCAAACATTACGCACGTTGTGCCTTGTGCATCTCGAGCTTATCATCGACGCTGAGATGTCTGTCCTGACCTCCAGCAAAATGCAAATGCGAAAACCGTCTTCCCTTGAAAAGAAACCTGCAATCAATACCATCCCACTCTATGCCACCTGACATGAGAAAAATAACCCACGACGCTGCCGATTCAATAAACAGCAACCCGAAAAAAAGGAAAGTGACAAAAAGAAAACCGTCGCTATGCATTACAGAGTAAAACGAAACCGACTCCGTAAAGGTGTCCCGAACATGTACAAAAATTATGTTTTGACCGTAGTATTGGTCGTATTGGAGGTTAGGGTATGCGGATGAAGGTCTTCAAACCACAGTCATCATATGCATGTGTTGATGCAAACTCCTTGTTGGAGAAATATCAGTGGAGCCAGTGAGCACGGAACTATTGCTCTGGGTTCTCCCTAGATGTTTTGGTGGGCTAGCCATCGGATCCGTGAAGACGCGGGTGAATGCTGGACTAGACGCCCGTTTCGGGCTCGATTCGGGTGTTTGATACGGGCCGTCAGACTTCCTGATTATATCTGAGAGCTTGTTTCTCAGTACGCTTGCTCGGTGAACAAGATCTCGGAGGCTCGTTGTGTCAAAGGGCATCTTGTTAGAGGATTGATAGGTTAATTCCGAGAGAAGCGGGTCAGATGTTGAGCGCGTTTGATGCATGGTTTGCATCACTGAGCGGGCGTATTCTGATGAGGCTTTCATACTTGAAGGGCGAGACGAAGCTGGTGGGGGCCGCAGATATTCTGTAGTTGTAGGGCTCGTCAATGTAGGTCCGTTCCCGAAGATCTCATCGTCGGGTGAAAATACAGAGCGTCTGCGGACAGTGTCGCCATCATAGACGAGTCCCGTGGGCTGACCATATCGATTCAATACCTCAAATGGGGCTTCTGGTCTTGAGATATCCTCGGCATCGGGCCCGTGCTCCACAAACCTCTCATCCACAACCTCCGAACCAAAGAGAACTGAAGTCGGAGAATGTGTGGGGGATAGAGTTGGATCTTCCTCGTCTGGTACGGCCAAAGCGATAATTCCTTCAGCCTCCTTCCATAAAGGTGCTGAAGACCCATTCAGCAGGTCCTTGTCTCGTGCAAGTAGTCGCAATCTCTTCAGATCTTCAACCAACATGCACACCTCCCGAATCTGCCCAACGTGTCCGACTACATTTTCTTGGCTGGCTTGAATAGCAGGGGGGACAAGCATGGTACTGCCTTCCATCTCTTCACCCTGGACAGCAACATCGTCATTATCGAACTCGAAATCTCCATCCCATTCCTCGCTGACTCCTTTGCCGCCCAAGCCCCACGTGCCAAATTTCGGGGCCAATTTGGAATTCTCAAGCTGGAGAGAAAGATCAGGTACCACGGGGACGCTCTGACTTCGAACGTGTAGCGCAGTTGGGCCTCGCCTTCCAGACGTGCGGCCACCTCTGCCATCAGTACCCTGCTTGACATGAGCCGTTTTCGGCCGGGGGTAGTTGCCCATATAATCGATTTTGTCAGTAGATGATGGCTCTGACCAATCAAACAGATTACTCTTTGGCCGCTCTGCACTGGGAGCAGGATTCCCGTTCGCAGAACCACTATGGGTAACGTCGGCAAGCACTGTTCGTGAGATCGGACTAACCCTTCGGAAAGTCAACAAGGTTGAAGGGGGAGAAAGCTGTTGGATATCTTGATCTTCGTCATCTCGGGTCCAGTCCTCATCTTCGTCCTCGTCATCCAAAGAGAGACGTCCAAAGTCCTTTGTCGCAAGGGAAAAGCTAGGTTGGGATGGTAGAGTGTCGGGATCCAACGTGTGTGGCCGGTCCACACTTTCAAGGTCCCCGGCTCTCTCTTGCGACGACCGAGTCCCCTTAACCGGCGTGGGCATTCCCTCGTCCTCCTCCACAATTCTATTATTACCTTCTCGAAGGTTACCGCTGACCAATAACTCATGGATTGAGAGTCTCTTGTTCTTTGAGCCATTAACACTTGGGGGCGATTCATCAAACATAGAGTCCAGAGGAGTATTACGGGATCGTAAACTTCCAGTTGCTCCCGATCTTAAAGAATCGAAAACAGTCTCGCTCTGGAAGTCCATGTCATCCTCATCACCAGAAGTAAAAGCTCTCGCATCGGCTTCAGAGCCAACTAGGGTCATAGCTTCCGATGTGCGATGAGGCTTTGAGATGAGAGGGTTGTAGTAGGATGGCGAAGAGGGCTGCAGGTGACCTTGCGAAGGGACAGAAATGGACGTAGTATCGGGTAGACAGGCTGGAGAACTTGGACTTCGTCGAGGCTGGGAAGATGAAGATGAAGACAGGCCTAGGCGGGCCATATCAATATTGAAACTCGACAGCCGAGACAGAGGCGGCAGTGGGGATGAACTATTCCGACTCCGGGTTTGGAAACTCCTGACTGCAAACGAATCCTCTGGAGCTGAGTTTTCTACACCACGTTGTCTTTGAAAGATAGTTGGGTCTGTAATTGACCGGTGGTCATGGGGAATAGGTCCCCCTGCTGTGGTGATCTTCCGCCCAGGCAATGTTGACATTGGTGCAGAAGAATAACGCCTCCCGTTGGTCCTGCCATCCGGATTCCTCTTGTTGCCCCTTATACTTCCTGCTCTCGATATCCAAGAACCTGATGAACTGAAATGCGTAGAAAAAGACCGTCGTGGGCCCCTCTGGGCCTCTACCGGGCACGCTTCTCCGGGCTGCACGACTTCCTCCTCCACAGAGTTATCATCATCCATCTCATCTTCGTTCGCGAAGCTGTCATCCTCGTAATACGCAGTATAGCCTGTATTCGACGTGTTGACCATTTCTGGTTTCAACAGAACGGGTGTAGCCACCTCATCGGGAAGAACTCTCCTCGCCGTCGGGTGCGAATTATGTGTTGCTCCATCGCTTGACCTTCCTGACGATTTCTCCTTCTTAGGCTTTGGTTGTCGAGATTCGAAGAATGGCCTCCATGTAGTTCGAGATTCCGGTGAGCTGAGTCTACCCGAAGGGGGGATCTGGGTGGGAGGCTTGAAGAGGTTCTCTGCAAATTGATTGATCGGTTCAGACGCGTGCTCTCTGAATCTCTGTTGAAGAGTCATTGCCCGCTGACGACTGGTGGCCGGTCTGCGGAGCGTGGGCACCTGTAACCTGGAGCCAGTTCCTGCTACTGATTCATCCATATCCTTCCCTGCTGTGCTTCGCTTGACGAGCTTATTCGGTGATAACTGCGCCGAATTATTTGAGGGGTTCGAGGGTGTGAGAGCGGCAGAACGCTGGGAGGCTGCCACCGACGAAGATTCCGGCCCAACACTTGACCTTGGGCTGTTATTCTGCGACGTGGTTATTGAAAATCGTCGCAACCATGATCCTCTAGATGAAATTGAATCTCTTCTTGGCTCGTCCCCAGTGTCCTGAACCGAAGAATCGCCATTTCGAATCAATGAAAACCTCCGGGCAATTCCATTACTAGAACCCTCCAATCTTGTCGTCGAGGGACGCCGAGATGCGTCAATGGGAGGAGCTGCGGGTGCAGTGCCCAGCGGGGGGAATCTCTGGAGTGCTTCGGACGTGGGCATCGTCGAAGTCGTGGCTGGCCGTTGAATCGGAGAGGATATGCCTCGAAGCCTGCCATCGATGTCTGCGACATCTCCCACTTTCCTTTTCCTCGAGGCAGGGCGTGCAGGAGACGAACGCTCAGGCCTGCCGAGTGCCAGTCCGGCGGCTGCGATCCCAACGGTGCTCGAGGCAACCAGCTGCATACATGTAGATTAGCACATAGTACCTTTCGCATGAGTTGACGACGCTCTCGAGGCACAATTGCAACGAATGTGGTGCTGCGGCCCTTGGAGAGCGATGGATTGGGCGCAAACAAGGCGAGAACGGGTCATCTCAAGAGGGAGGAGAGAACTCACACTGGGGACGGTCTTCATCGTGAACCAGTATCTTCTTGACGCCCGACCGACGAGAAAAGAAAGTAGCGGCAGGCGTGGGCGTGGTCGTTGGGGAACCTCATGAGCATGGCAAAGAGAGGGCCATGGCCACTAATTTCGAGGGCGGCGTGGAGGAATGGAGCGAGGGACACGAGAGATGAAGCCGCCAGGAGGAGCGTAAACACGGCAAGAATCTCGCTGGTGATGCGGCCAGGGAGCAGAGATCCGAGTCGCAGCCGGGCCCGTCAAAAGAGTGTACACACGCAAGAGTGTCGACAACCACTGGATGCGATAGAGACTGTGTAGGAGAGGGCCAGGAATTTCGCAGACGAAGATTGTTATTGTCTGGCAGGCTGGGCGGAGTTGGGTGGAGTGGAGTTGAAGTGGAGTTTTGGGACAGGTACAAAGTAGGTACGAAGAAGCACAGTCGCGCGCGGATTGACCAAGGACGAGCTCGCCCGCAAGACAGCGGCGGTGCACTACCGTTGATGGTGTAATAGGAGCTGATAGTAGTGACGGTAGTGAACCATTCGAGGACTATTGCCTCTTGGATCATAATAATAACACGGAGATATAAACTAGGTGAATTGCTATTTACGAGCCGTGTCCAGACCATCCCAGTTACAACTCACAAGAGGCGCGTGCTATTGGCCCACGCCGGGCGCGTTCGCATTTAAGACTCGAACCGTCCGGGATACTCTTGGCTCCAAGCTATCTACAGTAAAGACCGTCCTCCCCCCGGACTCCTACTATGTAGAGACTGGAGTCTACGGAGTGCTGAGCTACTCCCTACTGAGAAACTCGTCTCTGTAGGTCCAGCTTCCTGACAGCTTACGAGAGCCATGGATAACCATCGTTGTAGGTTCTGCTTCATTATCTGGCCACGAGCGCCCCCCTCCTTGCCAGATCCCACGGCACTCGACCATTGTACAGCTGTGGATGCTACCAGCTTCAGAGAGACGAACGTCGCATTGCCGCCGCATTCTTCGTATAATATCTCTAGGAGGGTTTTGCATTGCTGCAGGAACAGTTGATGCTCATTAAAGAGAGTTAGAGACGGTCTCACCTGTCGTGACTCGTGATAGGTGTGCCTTGGTGCAGAGCTTGATACAGTACAACCTCGCATGATCGTACTCCCTATATCGCACCTACTACCGCCCTATATCATACATGCAATATTGAAGCCGGAGGATACAACATGTCTTGAGGAGTCAGGCTGCCGAAATTACTCCCACGAGGAGGGGTAGCACCCATTGTTGTCGTTTGTTTCTGTGGCCCGGGAACTCTGCTGCCACTCGGTGTGTACATAAAACGTACAGTATAGTCTACTGGCCGTACATACACACACGCACTCAGCGTTCCAGACTCTGTATGAGAGGGAGGTATCTATCCGCATCCCGTAAGTCCAGAGAAGCTTCGAAAGGTGGTGCAGCGCAATCCTTCTGCAACAAGCATCCAGGCGGGGCTCTGGCCGCACCAGCCGCAATTGGGTATCTGCCCTGGCGGTTCAGTTATAGTATTACAGGCTACTGATACCGCACATCCCGGCAATCCTCGCTCCTTCAAGATCGACCAATCGACGATCCCACTTGGGGGAGCCGAGGCCTGACAGAAGCGTGGTGCTTTGGCAGATCTCAATGTTAATAATCTGGCCCGCAAAAGCTCTCCGCTTCAGCCTTCAGCCTCCTTGCCTGCTGGACTACTTGTCAGAGTCTCAGGACTGGCAGGAGAGTCAGGAGAGGTCATTGGACAAGCTTTACCAACTGTTGGTCTATGGTAGCGAGAGGGCAAAGTAACAAGCAAAAAAGGGACGGTAATTTGTTACCTGTCTGGAAGCTGAAAGCTCCGCCCGAGCCGCTGTGTCGAGACAAAGCCCAATAATAATCGTCTGCAAAGGCCAAATGCCTCGTCTCCCTGTCCTTGGCGCATAGTACATACATACGCGTGTATTGTATTCCGTACATACATCACAACAATGCCACTGTACGGTGTTTGCTATCTTTCTCCGATTTGAAATACATACATGCTGTCATGCTGTCATGCTGCTTTTCTGCTTCTCTCCTCCCAACGGTCGGCAACGCTCTGGCAGGAAGAAAAGAAAAACGACTCTCCACCTCCATAGCGTTTCTGATCGCCGCCAGTTTCGAAAGCTTCACGTACAGTACTGTCTACGATCAACGATGTGACGTAAAACTGGGCCAGTGCGACCTCCTCCATACTTACTCTGTACAGTACCTGCTCCGTAAAAGCAGTAGCTGAGAAACCCCTCGATACCTCATACATAACCAACACCGAGCCCTCCCTCCCAATGCCTATGCCATCCATCCACCACCACCACCACCACCACTTTTGAAATCCTCCAGCTCTGCAGGCCAACGAGACCCTCAGAAGGCAAACGGTCTGCACCGCACGTTCGGAGTTCTGCGTAGCTTTCCCAAATAACAGGTTTTGGGACAGGCTGCGGCTGCGGCCAGCATGATCGGTGGCATGGATGTGTGCCTAGGCCCTAGGGCCCCGGAATGGGCGCTTCCTCGAGATACACAGATACGGCGCCAGATTTGGGTGAGGTGAGCGACGCGTTACCTAGGTATTCCTTGAACGTCATATTTTCGCGTGTTGTTTGGCCGAGATTGTTTTCAATTTACGAAGTCTTTAGCCGTCCGCCATTCATATCAACCCTTCCGTTACTGTTCCAGCTTCTAAGAGTCCGCTCAAGATTCGTACTGTGCGAACACGCTTCAAAAAGGCCAAAGCAATTTAAACGCCAGGTCCCGCGATATAATCTCGGCAACTCAAGGATGCAACGCGGTATTTGCGGCATGCGACTCCTCATTCATTTAGCAACCCGCGTTTGTCCCAATCTTCCCAAATCCTCTATCAGTTGACGGAATATCTCATAGAGTACTGTCATTCTTCCGCTCTTTTCTTTTTCCTCATTGTTATTATCAAGATCCTGCCAGGGCTCCGTATGCCAACACCCAATCAACCGCCTCATCTCGCTGGTCAAGAGAGATCAACGCCCCGTCTCCACTTCTGAGTCCTGACATGCAAGGGAACATGTCACAGCCAGCCACACAAGGAGCCAACCAGCCGAATCTAATTATATCTGCATAACATTCCTTGGTTTGGCCTACGGAGATAGTAACACGTGGAAAAAGTACGGTCTACACAACATCTCTCCGTGAGTACAAAGGTAAGATTCCTATCAGCCCTTTGTGTCCTCGTTCTTCTGCGAATCAGCGCTCTTCTCTCCCTTACAAAACACCTACCTAAGGTGGGTAAGCTATGGTACTCCTCTACTATAAGCTTACAAATCCCAAGAATGAGGGGTAGACCACATCCCCGCGTCTCTATAATACGTACGATGTACATACCTTAGGTATCGGTACTCGTGAAGTACCAGGTACAAAGACGGACATCCCCCTATTCACCACGTGACCACATCAATCCTCCCGCATACCCGCATCTACATACTATCTACCACAAACATACCTAATTTCCACCCTCCCGAGATCTTCCTCTGACTCTATCCGTCTCTCTGTCCTACATACCAAGTTGCCAACAGCGCCCGATTTACTTTTCCTTTCTGATCCCGCCTTTTTAAATTCCTTTTTTCCTTCTTTCTTTCCTGTTTGCAGCTCCAGAAACTTCAGAATCAAAGACACGTCTCCCAACAATAGGATGCAAGGAGGCGACAGGCACGTGCAGGGACTCTGCTAGTAGGAGACCTGCCTACATTATCGCATATTGCCGTTCCACTGGCACGCCGACAACTTGGCTACCTTCCAAGGAGCCTCTGACCGGATCCAGGATTATCTGTTGGGGTTTAGAATCCGACGAGCTCGAGTGAACCGGACTGTTGCATGATTCCTGGCTACTTGGAAGATCCTCAACCTCCTTTTATATATTGAAGGATGAGTTGTTTGAGCCTGTTGCGCGCGGCGGATCCCCTGTTTATTTCTTGCTGCAATGGGCATTCTAGATCAAAATCCACAACTCTTGCAAAATGGAGGTTGAAGAGACAGTGGCTCGCAAGCGCTCGTTGCCCCCCTATGTTGAATTCCTTGTAAAAGAGCAGAACCCTAGTCAGATTCTCCGTATGATACGCATTAAGAATCTGCGAAGTCACTGGAATGCATACTGTTCCTTGCCTCAGCCTGCTGGTTGGAGTTCGTTCTTGAGATGTTCTGTCATGGGATAGATCTCCGATCAGACACTCTCACTAGAAACCATGTTGTGAAGCACCTCTGATCTATAACGCCATAAGTATAGAAAGACTTGCATCTACCTCAAGAGCCAAATTTGGAACCTCGGCTACTGTCATCCTATGTGGTAGGAAGTTCAGAAGGCAGCAAGTCAAGCCAAGAAGCTAGAAGCTCGACCATTTGCTGGTAAAAGTCATGAAGCTCTCTTGACGTCATAGTGCACAGTCACGTCATAACTCTGATCACACACTTCTCTTCCTGCTTGCTCGTCTTTTACCAGTTGAACAGTTGCGAGTTCGCAAGATGGAGGAGGGAGGAATGATCCCGAATCTGTAGCCTAGCGCGATGGAGCGGGCGTAGAGGACAAGCAAGCTACAAAGAAGCAAGATGAAGATGAGCTTCCTGAAAGCAAGCACCATGTCCATTCGAGTCCACCGAGGAAATACAGTTTTGAGGAATGGGCATGGTATCTAAAATTAGTGGGTGAGGATGAGAGTGATGCTGAGGGACATCGAAAACCTAGGAGGAAAGTGAAGAAAGCGGAAGTTGATCAGGCCATTCAGAATAAGGTGCCTTTTGGTATTGATAGTTCATCTCCCTTCAGCTTCCCAACTCCCAATCAGCCCCTCCTATGTCTCTCACCCAAGTCTCTTACCCAAACGTATTTCAGCACCTCGTCTGGACTCGCTCCATTTCAACAACAACTCTCTCAACTGGTGATCATATGATATCGCCTACTCAAAACCATCCTTTCAGGATAATAATCCTCAACCCCTCCATACCTACCTACACCAATGACCACAAAAAACACCTCCATCCTCTCTCCATCTATCCATCCATCTATCTATCCATCCATCCATCTATCCATCCATCTATCTATCCATCTATCCATCCATCCATCTATCCACAAACTCCCATTCCATTCCATTCCATTCATTCCCTCATCTCCCTCTTCCCCCTTCCACTTTTCTCTCTCTCTCAAAAGTCCAGGAGCTAGCTCCACTCCCCGGCTCGAAGGAGAGATCCACATCATCATCAGCTTGCTTCCAGATGATAGTCTAATAGATAGGTACAGCTTCTTTCTTCAGCCCGGCCCTTTGAGAAGCTCCCCAACCCTACCTACTTATCGATTCCAATCAAATAATAAAGGAAACATCACACATCCCGTATTTATATAATCCGAACGCCAAGTTTTCAATCCTGTGCAGTAGCTCAAAGTCTTTTCAAGAAGCTTGTTTTCCATACGGAAAAAAGAAATAAAGCCATGACTCTCCCGCGCCCCGCACGGCCAACGGTGTCGCTCTCGAAGATTGAAAAAAGAGATTCGGCGCTATCTTGGCTTCATTACTCTTAATCACCGTTGCGTATAGGTACTCTATGCTGAACTCGTACTTGCGTATTCCTCGTAGTATAAAAAGCGAGCGAGCGTCTACTGTAGGTACGTCAAGCTGTTGTTGAATTGTATATATATATCCGAACCCCCCCCCAACACTCCCTCCACCGCTACCTACCCCGCGTCCCTAGCTTATACAGAGTTGCGCACGGTCTCGTTGCTAGTATCCCCTGGGTTCTATAATTAATCAATCAATCAGATGAGTAAGTACCTAGTGGGAATTAAAGTCTCTAAGCCATTATCCTAATAGGTGACACTTATGGCTTAATCTTGAAGGGCCCAAGGGAAGGCTGATGCTAGGTAAGGCTGTATTACGAGCGGGCCGCTCTAAGCGATTACGCGAACAAGCCAGGTACCGTACCTGAGTTGAGAGTAGAGATTTGATTTGATTTCTTCTTGAATAACATTTCCTTTCCCCTACACCCCCTTTAACCTCCCTCTCCCCTAATCTGTTCACCTTCAACATCAACATTCAACTTCAACATCACACTAATCTAATCCACCCACCCCGCCCATACCGTCACCTCTCGAGACTTCTGCGCATTCAAGATGGATGGCTATTTCTATTCTTAGAGGCTAGCAGTCTTTTTAGGACCCGCCTCTGCTAGTTCCTAATCACCCTACCATACCTTACCATATCTACCAAATCTTACAATAAACATGTTACAGGAAGGCGGCAAGCACAGGCACAATTATTCGCCCATCCTACCCACCTATCTATCTAAATAGAAACGAACAGAAACAAACAAGCAAGCTTACACGAGATCGGATCTCTCTCCTATTCAAGAGCGCCGCTCTACTTCTTATCGTCCTAGTTACTCTACCCGGGCAATAAGGTAAGGTAGGTAAGGTAAGTAGCTAGAAATTCCTCTTCTAAGGTACCTATGTAGTTTCTCAAAGACAAATCTGCGAAGAACTCCCGGTATCCCCCCTACCATTCCTGCGAGCGCTCACTCGTTCTTACAGTACTCTCTCATCTATCTATCGTGGGTGAGTTAACAATCAAAAATACGCATTCCAGCAGATTCTTGATGATCGAGGGGGGAAACAGTGTGTGACCACTGGCCATCCAGTGAGTGGAAAGATGGTCGTGTGGCACTGCTAAGAGAAAGGGACGACATCCTGCCAAAGCAGCTATTGAGATATTCTCGCGCCCCGTCTTGGTGATTTGATTTGATTGGCATTATTTGTGGGAAGTTAACCAGCTAACACATCTCATTACAAGGCTTAACGAAAGCAATAAGGAGGTCACACATGCAATGGTTCTTAGGAGGCGATGTAGTAGAATACGCTTTCATTAGGGAATAAGGGATGGATTTCTTGATGGGACAAGACGACTTTCTTACTTGTTAACTCCTTTGGGGTGTATTGTCCTGGAGAGGGGTTGAGGGAATATTTCTGCGGTTTATGGGTTTGTAAATGTGGGATTAGAAGAGAAAGGGAAGACAGCATATCGAGTTAGACTTGTCAACCAAGACATCACATCCCAAAAGCAGTTCATTCTCTCGATTCAATTATTAGTGTAGGGTATGTAGGTAAGTAATCATCGACAAACTCCGCCGTTCATGCAAAGCGTCCTTGCCATGCTTCAAGCTTTGGCACGAGTGCAGGGTATTCTCCACGGCAAGCGTTCGACCTCGCCGTCATCCAATCAAGGTCCAGTCCAATGCAGTTGTGAAGCTATATCCACGTCAGAAAACAACAAACAATAAAATTTCAAAGCCTCTTATGATACACTCCATCACATAACGAGGTAGCCGAGTCCGAGACCCAAGGCCATGACGGCGAAATCCAAGACGCCAAATTTGTGCTGGGGCTTCATGCCGTTTGCGGCACTGGCAGCTAAAGGAGTGGCGCTAGACGAAGGGCTGCTGGTTCCGGACGCCGTGGCTACTGCGCCAGCGCCAGCGCCGGACGCCGTGGTAGCCAACGTGGTCGCAGCAGATCCAGTCGTCGAGGCGGCGCTCGAACCTGAGCTCGACTGGGCGGCTGTCGATGAAGCGCTGGAAGCGGCCGAGCTGGAGCTGCTGGCGCTGCTGCTAGCACTGCTGCTGGAACTACTACTGGCACTGCTGCTGGCGCTGCTGCTGACACTGCTACTGGCACTGCTGCTGCTGCTGCTAGCGATGCTACTGCTAGTGCTGCTGCTCACAGCGCTACTGCTGCTCGAGGCTGAAGGTCCGCAACCTCCGCTTGACTTGATGCTCTCAAAGCTGCCGGACTGGTCGCCATACGTGTATGTCTGGGCGCAGCCGTAATCCTGGATAGTCACCGACTTGACGAACATGGTGAACGGGGCCTGGTCAAAGTTGGCCGCTCCGCCAGCCCACTCGCAGGTTCCTTGTGTGCTGGGGTCAGTCATGGCAGCTTGGTCGGCGCAGCCAACCCAGTTGCCCATCTTGACTCGCATCGGGGTCTGGGGGAAGTTCTTGCCCTCGAGCGCAAGAGCGTCGCCGTAGTTCAGGGTGCGCACAAGGTTGCTGTCGATGTACCACTTGATGTAGGAAGAAGTCCAGTCGACGGTGTAGGTGTGCCAGGTCCCGATGGGATCGGCGACGTTGTGGTAGACGGCACGGTTGTAGCTGGTGGTGTTGCCCTTGCCGAAGAAGTTGCTCTCGACAGAGGAGTCGGTGCTTCCCAGCCACTCCCAGTCAATCTCATCGAGGTCGTCGGACTCGAGGATGAAGCTGCTGATGATGCCGGTCCCGGGGGCGGCCTTGGTGGTGACGGAGACCTTGCCGAAGAAGATATACTTGGAGGAGCTGATGGTGGGCGCGTCGGTGGCGGTGTTGATGACGAAGTTGGCGCCGTCGCCAGTGTAGGACATCTTGGTTGCGTCGGCGAGGGTCCAGAACTTGTCCGCGCCCTTTGTGAAGTCGGTGGTGAGGGTGGTTCCCAGGGCGGGGTCGGTAGGGCAGTCGGCTGTAGCAAATTGTTAGGAGGGACTCGACGGGAAGAAAGTGTTCTAGCGGAGGGACGGGACTCACTCTTGTCCAAGGGGTTGCAGGAGGTGTAGGTCTGGCCATGGGCGTAAGGGATGGCTGCGAGCAGCACAGCGGCCGCTGTAAGGGCTGAGCGCATCTTGACGACTGTGGGGAGAAGCAAGAAAAGGAAGATGGAGGAGAAGAGGAGAAGAAGAAGAAGCAATAGAGGAGAGAGCGAGAGACAAGAAGGCCGCGGTGTCTCGGTGTAAACGAGAGTGGTGCCGGAGGAGGCAAAGAAAGAAGAAAGTTGAAGGCTCGAGGGTGAATGACGCGGCGGCGGAGGAGGAGAGGAGCAGAGGTGGAGATGCGATGTGAAGGAGCGACACAAGGGATGGACGAGGTAATAAAGGAACAAAGGAGAGAGCAGAGCACAGCCTTACCGTTGCTGTCAGGAATGTGGGTTGAGGGGGAGGGGGGCAGCACTACTGGATCAAACCCGCGCGGTATCAGAGAACCAGGCCTTTGGTGGTGAATGCTGACGGGCGGGCCTCATTGGGCAGGGCGCAGTTGGTCAGGAGTAAACACCAAGAAATCCCAAGAGAGACCAAGACTTGAGCACAGCACGAGAGAGTACGACGCAGCGCACTCTGCAGTACGAGTGGAGAGTGGAGCGACGGGGCGTCGTAATGATGCGTCTCTGTCGTCGGGGCCATGGCTGATCAGTAGTGATCGTGGACCGTGACGGTGGAGACAATGAAGAGAGAGAGAAGATGGGTCCGGATCCACGATAAACAACGGGGACCGGACCCTGAGGCTCCTGTGCTAGGCTGTTCTGGGACTAGTGACCACCGGCCAATGCGTGTCGTTGGATGGTTACACTCGCGTCGCCCGCCGCTATGCCTCTCTGGGCCCCATCCGGATCTCAGGCTTCAGCCTCTGCCGTGTTAAGGTGTGCGAGAGATACGTGTGGTGTCGCCAGATACGAGAGTATAAAAAGACCTCTCTCTTCTCTCGCCTCTCTTTCGAATCTTGACATGAAGACGATACGATATCACATTCTTTTCTCGTGTCAATTTGCTTCTCGTGTCCCAGACAAGAGCTTTCCCTTCCCACGTCATTCCCCTATCCCGCCCCCCTCCCTCCCGAGTCCCAGTCCCGTCCGTCGGTGCAAAGCAGGCCCGTCTCACTCATCCAAGTCAACGCCTGTAGGAAGGGAGTGAAGTCCTTCCTTCTCCAGCCTCCTCCAGCCCCCTCGGTCCTGCTCCTTCCTCCTTGGGCTTTTGTCAAACGAAACGTTCCATGCGCCGTCTCTGTCTCGTCTGTCATGTCTCATGTTTCATGTCTCATCCCTCACGTGTCCTGTCATCCTACCCAGCCCTCAGGTCAACCTCAGATCTCAGGCTTACAGAATCCATCCCCCCTCCCCACAGACAAACAAGGGGCCCGTCCGTACCTGACCTTACGCCCTCCTCCCGTCACATAGATCTCCCGACCTGCAGTTAATCCTCATTTCCTCGCCCGTAGATCCCAGTCGCATCCCTTTTCTCAACCGAGAGGAAGATAAGAAGTATTTGATTTCATTGCCTTTGTGCCGAATGCTACTGTACCTACGTACTGCCTTCGTATAGGACGCGCGCAATAAGATTACCTTACCTCGCAGACGCTACTCCGTCCACCGTATCCCGTATACATTCCCAGCCTCGTATCTGAGATGCCGTGCCGCGAGGCTCACTAGCCGCTTCGGGCGCTTGCCGACCGTCTCTGCACTCGCATTTATATCTTGTCGACTCTTGGATTCCCGCCTTTCTCTCTTGGCCGCTTGCTTCATTTCCTTGCCTTTGTCTGAATGGTTTATTCTCGGCATTTCCGCCCATGGTCGCGAGGTCTTGGTGCGGATATATGCAGGAGATACGGGACGGTAGGTAGGCGCCTTACATGTAGGTAGGTTGGCTAAGGTAGGTAGGTAAGGTAAGGTATGTACATACCTTGGCAAATCCTTCCCATTTCCAAATTTCATGAGAGAGTTCCCATCTGCTCCCGTATTTCTTCTCCCTCTCTGAACCTGCGACTAATACCCATCAGGTCGAAGAATTCATCTTCGAACACCGTGTCCCCCTTCAGGACCCGGCGCCAACACCCCTCTTCATTCCCCTCTCCCACTTCGATTTCGCAATTATGGCAACGAGCTCTCCAGAATCTCCCCATAAGGACTGCTCTTATATGGCACATCACCTGCCAGCCCCCGCACATCTCGCGGACCCGGGATTACCTCTCCAGTGGTCTTATCTGGTTAACGATGTTGTATTCCTAGCTCCACTGCTGGGCGAGCATGGAATCTTCCTTGTTGCCTGCCCTGATCTGGAGATTGGGGTTGTACATGTTACCAGAGTCTTTCAAGCAGGTGCTTCACAGAATTTGGGTCTGGACCGATATTCTATTCCTTAGAAGAAAGTCAAGGGCGAGCGGTGTGTTGAAAGACGTACTGGCATGATGCCCAACCATCTTGACTGCCGCTCAGCCTGCGCCTTCACCTCTGTAACCAAATCAGGACAATCACCGCAAGCAAAGAGGAAATCCTACCACGCCAGAGTCTCCCACTGCAGATCTCATAAAGGACATCAGATTCCACGGTACTGTTGTCCGAGATGTCTCTATCATCTTAGAAAATACCATCCAAGAGATGAAGACACCATGAAAGAGAGGGTGCGAGAGGAGAGTACTATACATGATTCCCATTCATTCCGCTCCATGCTCATTCTTGATATCGAAGAGATCCCCAATGATCCAGCAAGCGGCACCCCCCGCACGTTCTAATCTCAAAACATAGAGCACATGCCCGGCGCGTCCTTCAGCTGCAGCAACCTCAACCCCATCCCAATTTCCTAGAATAGGAATCGGGGTAGTTCTTCTCCTTTACTATTCCTATCGAGAGCCCTAGTATCCGAGTTAGCCCTGAACATCGGATAATTCCTATTATCATACGCCTTCTTTTCTTCTTTCCCGGTCTCCTATCTATCTTCTCACTCTCACAACCCGTTCATATCTATACAAATAACAAAATTCCTATCACATACGACCATAGACTAAGGACTACTGGGCATCCCGTCCGCTCTGCCATACATAAGCCTTAGATCGGCGGATTAGTAGTTGGGTGGGTGACCACCAGCGAATCCCCGCTGTTGTATGTTTTTTAGTTTCTAATGTTTATTTTCCCTCTTCCTTTCCGGTGCTTTCATTTAATTCCTTCCTTCCATTCCGCTCTTGCTTGCTAGCTACGATCTTCTTCTGATACCTAACCTACCTACGCAGTAATAGTCAACGAATCCATGCTAACTATATACTTCTTTCTTTCTTTCTTTCTTGCAAAAATCATGTACATAGGTAGACATCCCTCAAGATCCATCCATATAGTAATAAAGAAGTACAAGATATACGGATAGATAGATAGATCCATCAACAGTGATAAAATCCCCCCCTCGCAAGGCAAGCTCCTTTTTCCCAGATGCTACTCGCTCAACTGCGCGTCGATCTATATATATATATAAATCGACCCCTCTTAACAGCACCTGTAATTTCCATTTCCATTCCCGCAAAACCTCTTTGATTTGATTGCGTCCTATATTAGGTGTGAGTTTATTATATATGAAAATAATGTTATGTATGTATATTTCGGGTCTTATAACCCTACCTACCTGGGATATTTCGAGATACAGTAGACAAGCTCCGAAAATACAACTCTACGAAAAGACCCCGGATCTCGCGTTTCTATGATTAGTACCGAAATTTGGGCTTTCTTTTAAATCATTTTTCTACAAATTCCTGAGTATTCGTGAGTATTTCATATTCATTCATTCATTCATCATATACCCTTTTCTTTTCTTTCTCTCCATTCCCTCTATTCCTCTCCTATTCCCATTCCTCTCCCACAATTTTCCACCTAGCGCGCAAGTTAATACACAGAGATGGTTTTCCTTAAAAATTAAAAGAGATAGATGTATGTATAGGTTTACAGTAGCCGTAGCCGCTGTCAAGCTGTCAAGCTGGCTCATCTTGTATATAGTAGAGGTTCTGTATAGGTAGCTACTGGTTGGGTCGGTGGAAGAGTAAGGAATAATGATGATGGGATTGATGGGATTGATGATGATTGATGTCCTTCTCCCCCCCCGCGGCTGCCTAAAAGGAAAAAGGGGGGACTATCAACCAAACACACCAAGCCCTCAGACCAGAACCTCCTCCTCATCTAGCCCACGCTTAGAAACTCAGGCAAGACCAGCCTATTCTTGGTAGGTTAGTAGCTTTAAAAGGGCTTGGTAGATTGATTGATGCGGGGAAATGGGGAGGCGGGGCGACGAGGCGCTGTGTCGCTTGGTAGGGGATGGGATGGGAGGGGGAGTGGTGATGAGGGGTAAGTAAGGGGTGGCTGGCTGCCGTTCTGATGGATGGATGGTTAGTTGGCTGGTTTGGCTGGCTGAAGGAGGAATTTGTTCGTTTTATTTTTTAAGTTTAACTTTCTTTTTTTGATACACACTGATATCGTCCAAGGGTATCGAGCAAGCAGATTCCATGTCTGAGCCTTGCATAAAAGCACTGCATGATTCGCATCGCATCGCATTGATCCGATAACCTTTTCTGATCCCGAAAACTATAAAGTACATCCCTGCTTACCAGCTCGGTCTATGCATGCCTCCCTCCCTCCCTCCCGTCCCATGCCAGTCCCATTGCATTCCATTCCATATCAACCGCCTCGGGGTATTTAATTCTAAAGTACAGCAGTAGTACGTATAGTACACATTTCAAATCAGATCTCGTCCGTGCGTCCCCTATCCCTGAATACATATCCGAGGAAGAGGAGTTACTTGCAGGAAATCGATGTTGAGAAAAAAAAGAGAAAAAAACGAGTTTAGAAAGTACGAGCGAGGGAGCTACGCGCGCGGATCTTGGCTCCGAAGAAATAGATGAAGTAGATCAGGGCGCAGATGCCGAAGGAGATGAAGCCGATGGTGGCCATGGCCCAGGTCGTGGACATGTTCTCGAACATCAGGATCCCGAGGTGGGCGAGTGCGGCGGCGATGATGAAGGAGGGGATGAGGAAGGCGGCGATGGCCGAGGCGGCGACGTTGGGGTAGGAATCTGGAGCATGATGGTTAGTAGGGTTCGGTGGGAGGATGGCAAGCGGGGAGGACGTACCAGTGATGTAGTTCAACATGCTAAGCCAGAGCAACGGGTCCGCGAAACCGAGGACCGCACCAGCAACGACAGGAGACCAGTAAGAAGTCTTACCATTGCTAGTAAACCCGAACCAGAGGAGAGAGGCAGGGAAGAGCCAGACGGTGACCAGAGATACGATGAACCGAGCCTCAGGACGGTTGTGGCCATGCTTCTTGTGGTCACGGGTGTAGAACCAGGTTTGTACCGGGACAAATGCGAACATGACCACGACACCAACAGCGAAATTGAGGTAGGTAAGATCGGCTGAGATAGTCCTGATGTACGTTAGTATCAAGGGCCTAGATGGAGGTTTCAATACATACGTGAGGCCGTTGTTGAGAACGAAGACGTCGTAGACGCCGTCGAGGTAAAGGAAAATCAAGCCGTAGGCCAGGCCATTGAAAAGTCCCAAGAACAGAACGACTGGCTCAGTTAACATGATTCGGAAGGTCATTGTAGAGACGAATCTCAACTCCTTCCACACATTGACCTTGCTCTTCAAGATCACAGCCTCTTCGGCAGCGACGCTCTCTTGCTTAGAAACTGCCTTGGCAATGACCAATCGTGGCAAGGTCTCAGGGATGAAGCACATGATAACTGCAAAACCAAACCCGATGATCACGTTGATGAGGAAGATCCATTTCAGGCCCAAGTGGGGATTGTCAGCGATCCATCCTCCGACAGGAGAGCCAAGACTCGGGCCAACGTTGGCACTGACGACGAAGAGTGCCATTGCTTGTCCCGCGCCATCAACATCACCAAAGAGATCAGCGATTGTTCCAGCGACATTGGAAAGACCCGTTGATCCAGCCGTGCCGGCCAGGAACATGAAGATAATGAGCATGGGGAGGTTCCGTGCATAGGCCGTGCCCTATTGCAGATCAGCACCACCCCACCACGCGCTTCTGAGCCTCTGAGGAGCACATACGAAGTTCAGGATTGCGTAACAGGTTATACTAGCCACATAAACCCATTTGCGCCCACCAATGTCCCTATTGTCGTCAGCCTGCCAGCCGTGGCCTGGGCACGCGAGCGCGTCGCGCGACTTACGAAAGAGGGCCCATAAAGGCTGGTCCAACCGCAGTTCCCACGATGAACAAACTCTGCCCGAGCGTTACGACTTGTGTGCTCCCTCCCCATTTCTCCTGGATCAGGTACTCGACCCCAATGTACGACGTGCTGGTTATAGTGATGAACACCTGCAAGAGGCAGTAGACGCTGATGATTGCCCAGCGCTGCCAGGTCGGCCAGTGCATCGGATGGTGCGCATCATTTGCCTTGACCAGCTCGAGGATCGCGAGAGTATTGTCGTCGGCGCCGCCAGCAGAGAGGGGAGCCGCAGGGTCAATTGCGGCGCCCTTCTCATAGTCGGCGGTCGCGTCGCTCGGGGAGCTGTTTTTTTCTTGATCGTCTTTTTCAAAAGCCATGGCCGCGGATCTCGACTCTGGACCTTGTGCTAGCGTTCCCGGTTTTTTTTTGGAGGGGGCGATTGGGACTTGGAAGGGACGCGCCTCGACGGGACGAAGCAGTGCGAGGTAAAGAGAGGTGAGAAGGTCGAACAGGCACGATTCACAGCTCCACGAGGCTCGGGCTCGCACATAAAAAGAAGTTCTGGGTCGCGGACATCGGAGGCTTCCATAGATCTTCTAGATGCTGTGTGCGCAGGGCCAGCCGTTCGTCAAGCGGGCCCTGGCCATTTTGGCTTTTCTTAGTGGCCGCACCGCTGCCCATATCTCCATATCTCCCTATCTCAAGCATCTTGATTGCTTGCCGACGCCTCCCCCCCGTGGGCGGGCTGAACGATAGCTGTGCCGGACGGCTCCTACCTACAGACATACTCGACGATGCCCTGCCCGGTCTGCCCGGAAGCGTGCTTGATTGGTGGCAGAGGAGGCGAATGACCGAGAAAAGCAAGTGGTGTACACCGTCAATGTACCGTCGCACGGCTCCTGGCGGGATTCGAGAGATAAGAGCTGGTGGTGGTGGTAATTCTGATTACCTCAAAGTCCAGATTATCACCGCTCCTCTTATTTGCCCGCATAACGTAAGAGCCCAGGGCCAGAGTCACGTGTGCACACCGGCATCCTGGTCTTTTCCTTACCTGAGGTAAGTAAGGTAAAGTAAAGTTTATCCTATGATATGGAATGGAGAGATACAGTCGTTCAAATAGGCTTATGCGCTCGATCATGACGTTGAGCAAGCCGCTTTGACTTACAAGTTAGCAGAGAAGAGAAGAACTGGAGGGGCGGATTATACGTAGACCCAGCTAATAATTCGGCACACCCCGTACATTAAACTAAGCCTGTTGCGGTTCCTGCCACCCGCCTTATGGATATCAAGGGTCCTGCTAAATCTACCTTAGTCGTCACTTTCTGAACCTCGGTTACCTAGCCTGATCTGGAAGGCCGGCACTTCGCTGCTCGGCCCTACCTTAACCCGTTTGAGAGCTAAGGTATCCTCAACCTCGTCGTCGCTACCTTGTCGTCGCTACCCTACTCCCTTCTATTACTCCTGCTACGCAGTCACCACCATCTCCATTACCGACCTTCGCCACCAAGCCAGCTCTTGAGAATAGCTTCACAAATTACTACTGGCAAGGACTGATTGCTTTGATTACTTCATTTGGAATTCATGACTGTAGGCGTAGTTGGTTGTCAAGTGCCTTACTCTGGCAGCTAAGCGAGCTCTTTACAGTGAAGCCTACCTACACTACTTCTTCCTCCTCAAGATTCAGTATCATCTTTTCATCTGTTTTCACTCGGCTATCCAATGCATCACCGTGGCATTTACTTGGTCTCAGAGCCCCTACTCCATGTACTTACGATCAATTCCCTCCTACTGCTATCGAGATGCAGTATTTGGGAGGCCTGTCTAGTTCTTCCAAAGTGAAATAGATTATTCTTATCTGACCATGATGTAGGAGATCAAATTGATGTGTTCTGGCAGCTCTTGGCTTAGGAAAGAAAGGTGTTATAGAGGAGAAGAGGGCTGCGTCTTCTCTTGGCAATGGGACTTCGATTGATCTCGTGTAAAACGACGTTGACCATGCTACATACAAGGCTAGAGTCGGACATGTTGATACAAGGCGAGATCTATTTGACTTATCTGAAGTCTCTGCTGCCTATATTCTCTTTAGCTAGATGTTCGATTGCTTGGGAGAAGTTGAGAACATTGTGGGATTCACCCTCGATCTGTTTCACCTCAGTTTGTGCCAGCAGCCCAGTCTACTCCAGTACCAAGGCGCACCGTGAAATACCCGGCCGGCAACAGAACAACAGAGAAGTGAGTTATTCTTTGCCTTCTTTTTCATACGTACCTTTGGTGGTCTGATGTTGTAATGACCACATCTTAGCGCCAGATCTTTACCTGCCTTCCGTCACGACTCACCACTTTACCTCCACATTGCTTGGGGCGAACGCTGGCAATAATGTCAACCAAACCCCGCGGCAGCAGGAGAGAATTGAATTATGATCCGGATGCAGCATATATGTTGTCCTGGGCATCAACTTCGCCTCGTCCTACCAGGAAGTGCGCTGCTCGTCGGAAATACTATATTGATTCCGACTCGGACCCTGACAATGATGATGATGATATGGTTGCCGTCAATAAGAGAGCTACTACTTTGCACAATGCAATCCAGGGAATTACTCTAGGGGCAGGCATCCATTCAAATCAACGAACAGTCCCGCCTGTTCAAATCGCCACGCAAGAGCACAGCAACAGCAGACTGTTCAAGTCGCTCCCAGTAGAGGTATGCTCAATTTCCATCCATATTCAGCCACTGCCACAATCCTTCATAGTTTTTTAGTGCTCTGCTACCATAACTAGACTTTGGCATTTTCCAAAAAATGATCTTTGTTAACTCTCCATCCTGTAGATCCACCAGAAGATTGTTGACTACCTTCCCAAGGATCGAGACGTCACAAGATACGCACAGATATGCAGAAGCACTTCTGTGTCAATCACAAGCAGCGTCTGGCGCAAGCGCTTTGCCCGAACCTTTGACACATCGGAGGATATGAGCTCACAACAGTTGGCGAGAGAGTATATGACCATACGGGGTATCTCGAGAAAGTGGTGTTGCTTCGACGAGGTCAAATTAAGAGGGTCTGTCACATGGCAACTCATGGAGGAGCAAAAGAATAATAAACCATTGTGCTTGCAGATGCTGAAAGGCCTGATCATAAGTGTGTTTAATGGCTCGTTGAGGGAATAATGCTAATAGATCGCAGATTCGAATGCTCGCAAAGAACTTGACAAGGACGGCAACGAGTGCGTTATCGGTTTGAACCACGACTATATCCGCAAGCTGGTAACCCAAGATGCCGAGCAGAATTCTAAGAACGAAGTCCAGTTCATAGATATCATTGACGCCATTCTAAAAACTGATGTGAATGCATTCTCAGAGAAAATCCTATCCGCCGAGGACGAATACTTGGTCCAGGTTATCCAACTGTGCCTAACCCCGTTGAACCTTCATCAAAAATACGGAACCAGATTTCACCACTTTGACTTATCCCAGGAGATGGCATACGCAAATCCTTTAAAACAGCCAGTATTCTTGGGAGAGTGGAAGCAGAGACTCAATATTTATTGGCTATTAGCCACAATCAACTTCTTCAAATTACACCTCCAGCATAACGGAGAGGGACTTCTTGCTGGTGAATACTTAGACCTTGAGCCGGGTCAATCGCCGCAGACTTGGCTCGGTAAACTGAAGGATGAAACGCAAGAGCTCGGAACTTATTGGAAGGGGGCGTATAGTAAGTAGACTGCTTGGTCTCGATATGAACGATGCTGATACAAATGCAGCATTCATGGAGCAACGCGACCTCGTAAGCTTTCGAAGAGCATGTTCTGGACGCAATGGCAACCCCACCGTATTTGTCGATGACTTTGAGCCTCTGCAGGTAGGTCGATAGCTTCTAGTGCAAATGAGGCAACTAACTCTGGCCTAGGATATCTCGATTTTCTTCAACGAGTCCAAGTTTCCCTCCAAAAAGTGGCCAAGGTCCTTTGAAAAGCTGAACCAAACCGATCCTTATGTAGAAATACCTTACAGCTCCTTGCAACCACGGAACTTGCGATCCAGAAAATCCCCAATTACTGAAGCCGAAAATCGCAGATATCCCTTTAAATCCTTCTATGGAACCGCCCGAGGTGAGAAACTAGCCCACTTCTATGGCCGTATTCACGCTTTGCCCCCACAGGGCGGCATACCGGGCTTCCAGCGTGTTTCTTTGATCAAGTTCTGGGAACATGATGGAGAGTTCGATCCCAATATGATGTGGGCATACGAAGGCTGCGTTTTGCCCGGTAATCGCATCATCGTGGGAAGATGGTCCTGGATCACGGATACCCAAATTCAGGACGACGATATTTTCTCTGGTCCATTCATCTTCTGGAACGTGGATGATAGTAGAGCAGATCCACCGATCGAAGAGACAGAGTCGTTGGACTTCTTGGAATCCCTCAAGGATCTTAAAATCGGGATCTGAAGTCACGCAGTACAACCCATCAACATCAGCTGCGAAAGCTAAAGCAATTGATGCTGGCAAGTATCTCGATCAGAGCACTTCCACCTGAATTGCCTTCCTCATTTTCGGATAAAGAACTCATAAGGTGGCAACTAAAAACCAAGGGACATTTACCTTTGATTCTCGATCCAAACAGTATCTCTTCGTCGTCAGCACTCGATCTGACTCGATACCTCGAACAGTGCTTGGAGGATACGTCCCGTCTTCCAAAAATGTTCCATTCTCAATTTTTTCCCTTGAAATCACCACCTACGAACCCAGCACAATACAACAGCACACACAGCATTTCCATTTCTCAAGCCCCTTTTCATTCCCCACTTTTTAGTTTCCCCTTTTCTTCCCCTTGCATTTGACCTTTTCATTTAAAAATGGGCGCCATATGGAGAAGTTCTCATAACCAGGCGTTTAGAGAGTGGATCATCTTCGATGCATGTACTGGCGTTTCCTTGAAGACTGATCTCTGGATTTGAAGCTGGCAATGGGAAACATGGAGAGGTGATGAATGAATAAACAAACATAAGCGATGATTTGTCTATAGGCTTTGGGACTCTGGGTCTCGGATGGATGCGAGTTATTGAGCAAATAAAACGGATTGCCCTTTCATCTTCACTGCTTGATCGTATTACACCAGTATGAAATAGGAGTTGTGAGCAGAACGGGCTTGCTATTGGCTGTGGAAAATCAGACCCCCCCCCCCCCCCTCCTCCCCCCTTTTTCCTATGGAGGATGGTCGATAAAAACAAGACCCCTTTAAACCCCCTGATCTGAGTGCACCTTAAGCGAGATGGCAGGACATAAAACAAATGCCTACTTACTTGACTTTTGTTGACAGAGACAGCCAGCCTGATCTGGAGCGATAAGGCAGCTTGTTGGTAAGCTGTAATGAAAGACAGTGTATCCAGACGCACAAACACTTGCAATTGATCAGGGAGGCGTAGAAGGATTTGCATTGATTGAGCGCCTGATGCTAAACAAGGTGTTGTGCACGCCTTTTGTTTTTCCATTTCTTGCTACCTTTCCTTCCCCCTTTCTCGATTGCCCCAAACGCCACGCCACGCGTAGATAACAACCTCGGAACTTCCGCCGCTCTATCTCTTCATACATTATCTGATCAGAGAGACACGGAGTGGCCTTTGTTCCTACAAAGAAATAGTAAAGTAGGCATTTACTCCTCGATACTCTTCACGCATTCCCACTCGCCCCGTAGATTCTCCTTCCAGAGAGAGACTTTGTTGTCGCCTGCTGAGACGGCCAGGACGTTGCCGCTTAATGACCAGCTTACGCGCCAGACGACTGTCTCGAATTGAAGAACTTTGCTGCTCCTGTATCATACCATCTCATCGTCAGCACTGTTTCATCAAATCAAGCAGGGGCCTGAGGGGCATTCGTAGGTGAACAGCAAAATGCACATACCAGACATTCGGATTGCTAGGATCGCTTGTCCAAATCCTGACCGTCTTATCCTGACTCGCACTCGCAACGTAACTCCTCTGCAAGACGCTCGGGCTCCAGGCCACATCTCGAACCCAGTCGCTGTGTCCCGTCAGCGGCTCCCCTTCCTGCTTGTAACTCTGGCTCGCAGCATCCCACGCCCAAATCTTCAACACATTATCTGAACCACCTGTCACGAATCTTCTTTGGCCCCCTCCGGTTTGGCCCCCGGCAGCGGAGACCAGTGACCCGGCGCTCGTTGATGGCGCCCAGCTTACACCATTGACTCCTATTCCGTGTGCATGGAAGATCTTGTGGTCCATGCTGTTATCCTTAAATTCCAACACTGATACATTGCCGTCCGAGGAAGCGCAGGCAAGTAAGCAACCAGATTCATGCGGGGCCCATGAAAGTGTGTTGACGGAGGCGGTGTGCAGCGCGAAATCGTAGATGCGCGTCCACTGGGAGTTCGTCTCACGCCAGATAAAGACCTTCCCATCATAGGAGGCGCTGGCGAGGATGTTTCCGTATTTAGGGTGCGCCCAGGAGACGGACCAGACTGCGCCTTCGTGTCTATTGGATTTGGTGGTTAGCTGGATGTTGAGAACTGGGAATGTAGAATATAGGCTGCATAGTTCGAAAAGGAAATACGAAAGCGCGAATTTGGGGAAGCAATGGGTAATGAGGCAGAGGGAAGAGAGACGTACCCCCTGAGAGTCTCGGTCAGACGGTGTGTCTCTCCTTCTACTTCGAAGATCTTGACGGTTCGGTCGGAGGAGCAGGTTGCCAGGCGGCGACCATAATAGTCGAGGACCGCATCGTGCTGAAGAAAGCATGTCAGCTAATGCTTTGAATGCGCGTGAGTTTGAACGAAGGGGCACGAATGTTCGTTGTGCGAAGCTGTACCGCAAGGAGGAAGCCCAATTCTAGTAAAAGGGGAACTCACGATCATGTCATCATGACCCGAATTTGAAATAACTTGTGCCATGTTGACACAAATTTGTGGTGTTCTGATCAGACGTCTCTCGAGGACGATTGGACCTCAACTTCACTGTTGCTGCCAGGCTGTTGTCTACTCCGGAGGTTGGGCGGAGCGGAATTTCTATACGCCGAAGTTGAGTGAGCGGCTGAATGGTGAAAGGCTGAGGGGCGGCTCGTGACAGTTCCTCTTTCCCCTCGGCTTTCCAGTGACCATGACTCTCATTCACCAACTTCAAACCAACCATCTCCTATTGTTCTTTGTCTCGGTAGCTACGTAGGGGCATTCTCATTCCTTACTTCTTTCTCAAACCTGCCTTTTGGATACTGAATTCCTTCACCCGGAGGATCGATGGACTACCTCGGTTCAGCTACGAGGTAATATTCGCCATCAACTCGACACCCAAGCCTCGAATTAAAGACACCCCACCAGCATCACATCATGGCGGACGGCTTGTGCGGGCCTTCAAACGCTCTGCAGAACTTCCAAAAACATAGTACCGTTGATCGGACATTACAACAAGACCGTTTAATCTCTAGACAATCACCCTCCCAAGTATGCCTCCCAACCAGAATCCTCTCATTTTTGCCGGATTTAACAATATACGCAGGGCTTCCGATCCTCGCCCGGTCCGAATGCTGGGCTATTAGATCCCGAATTCGAAGCCTTCCAAGCAGGCCACCTGCCTCTCGAATCTCATCAACCTCCGTTCCAACAATTCTCTCACAGCCCAGCTCCAAGCCTTCAACATCCTGGCGCGGATCCGTCTGCAGCATGGGCTAGTGACTTCCAGCGCCTGCATGTCTCGAGCCCACTCCCTCAAGCTCAGCAAGCACAGTTCAACCCGGCGCAATTGAAGCAGAATACGGGGGGATGGCACCAGGATTTTGTACAACAGTTTCAGGGGGAGCAGCGGGGCATGGCGCAACCGCAGATGAATGGCGGTTTTGGTGGTCAATTTTCACCCATGTCTAGAGGAATGGCAATGGGTGTTAGCTTGCAGCCGCAATTTACAGGAGGTATGGTTGGTCTTCAAAGCCAACAAGTGCAACAACAACCGGTAGAAGCATTCGATGATGAGGCATTTGCACGAGCATTTGAGGATGCTGCTCAAGCCGAAATGGCCAAAGAGGAGTTGTCTCAACCACAAGAACAGAACGGAGTCGAGATAGAAGAAAGCACCCAACTCGCTGAGTCCGCCGAAGACTTCACGTCATCAGCCACTCTCCCAGAGAATCCCTCTCCTTCAGAGCAAATACGCATCGGCGCAGACCTAATTCACGATCCGTCTGATCCCTCTCACCCACAGACCGAAGACCCGGACGCGTTAGCACGGACAGCGGGGCGGTTGTTGGAAAGTGTGAGGAGCAATACGAGTGAGAAGTTTCAAAAAAGCCAGTTTCTACAACTGATGAGGCAATTTCGTGACCGGGAAATGGTCGTTGAAGGGGACAAGATCGTGGGAAGAAATACAGATGCAGATGGCATGGCCAGGGTCGGAGAGTGAAGTCCCTAAGTGGTGGAGGGGAAAGGGGCGTTAATGTGGCGCCTTGGTATATGTAGACAGGCAAGGATACCGGTTCTGACTGAAATACAGAATATTGCAAGCCTTTAATGAGTTGTCTTCCCTTGCTCCCGTATTCAAAAATCATCCATCGACTGTGACCCTACAATGGGTTCTAAAATCACTTGAAGCAGTAAGCAAAACACCATCAACATGTCCCCAGCATGACCGCTGATGCGATGTGCAACAAAATGGAAGACAAGCACACTCGAGTGAGGTCCCACGTGATGCTAATCGCATCGTTATCAAAACCAACGTTCGACGTTGCCAAGATAAGCACCACTGCGATGTGCAACAGAATTTCCATTCTCTCCCCTTCTACTTATCACGTGATGCTAATCTCACAACCATCCAGATCCCCTGTCAACAATCCGGGAATCATCTCAGATCGCGATGTGCAACAAAACCTTCTCTCGCACAGCGCATATCACGGGCCCGGTATCACATGATGCTAATCCCGCAGCCGTCGAAAGCAACGTTCAACGCTCCTCGCATCAGCGCTAATACGATGTGCAACAAAAGACCAAGCACACTCGATACGTGAGATATCACGTGATGTTAATCTCTCCGCCATCAAACCGACATTCAACACTCTCATGATTGTCGTCGGTGCGATGTGCAACAAAACTTCCGTATCACGATCCATACATCACATGATGCTAATCTCGCCAACGTCGAAACTGCCCTCGACATCAGCGCTGATGCGATGTGCAACAAAATGGAAGACACTCGAGGAGGGTATCACGTGATGCTATACCGCCGCCATCCACCAAACGTTTCTTTGCGAAGCAACTACCCACCTTAGAAGTTATAAGATCTCAGCGCAGCAGGGAACAATATAAGGTACGGGTCTGCGCTCATATTCTATGCACATGTCTATCAAGGTGCCTCCTGACCTCATCGGCTCGGGGTAGTTTCCGGCGAACTGCAGAATCATTGGCGAGTCAAACCTCATGCCTGGTTGACTAGTTGACCGTTGAGGCCACAAAACGGCAAAATATCTGACTCGTGACTCTCGAGTGCAGCATCGTGAGTAGCATCGTGCATTACTAACAATATAAAAACCATTCCACGATTTGTTCGAAAGGGCCGATTCTCTCCTCCGCATCAGTGGCCGTTCAGAGATCATCACCCGTCGAGCTTCTTATCCCAGCTTCTTCCGTCCCCGCCGCTCACAACCCTGATCTCGCGATGCCATGTCAAAAGAGCGGGGTACGGGCCTTGGGTAGAACGCGGGGTCCTGGTACCTGCGGCGAAGTGAGACTTTCCCGGAGAATATAAACATATAGAACGCGATTCCCCGAGTGTCAAGCCGTGGTTCAGTACTCATAGTATTGTTTAGTTGGCAACTCCTTGTTCAAGCAACAAGGTTGAATTCCAGTATGGGATATCTCTTCCTTACTGTCGCAGCAGTAGCTGCCTCTCTCTTCACGTCTGCCCAGGCGCAATGCCCCGACTATTCAGAATATTCCCAGCAGATCCACCAGCCGGTGAGCTCAGGGAAATACCGGCTCTCGTACATGCGACCAGCCCCTGCGTGTCGAACGTTCAACTCAACGGCCGTGGAAGACACGATCACGAGCATGCAGAATGTAATCAAGGATCCTGATCTCTACCAACTGTTCCAGAACTCATTCCCCAACTCTCTCGATACGGCAGTCAAATGGAAGGGCTTCTCTGCGAATAACCCTGAGGAGGAATTGACCTTCCTGATCACGGGAGATATCAATGCGATGTGGTTACGAGACTCGGCGAACCAGATGCAAAGTTACCTCAGTCTCCTGACCGCAGACAACAGTACCGACTCCCTTGCCAGTTTATATCGCGGTGTCATAAACCTTCAGGCGCGCTATGTGCTTGAAGCTCCTCACTGCAATTCTTTCCAGCCACCTGTTGAGTCTGGTCTGAAAGCAACCCAGAACCAGGCTTTACCTGATGAGTTTTACCCTCCGGTGTCAAACCTAACGGTTTTCGAATGCAAGTTTGAGTTGGATTCTCTAGCTGCGTTTCTCGAAATATCAACAGACTACTATGAGCAGACTGGAGACATCGATTTCTTTCGGAAATTCCGATGGGTAGACGCGGTGGAGACCATACTCAATACGACGCAGGCATTGCTCATCGGAACATACGCATCGAATGGCTCCGTCAACGCGAGTCCGTATACTTGGGAACGGACAACTACGAGTGGAACGGAAACTCTGGATAACCTAGGAAGAGGCAATCCCGTACAGGATGGAACTGGATTGGTGCGGTCTGCTTTCAGACCAAGCGATGATGCGTAAGTGATATACACAGATACGGACATATCGCGAGCTTACAAACTTCCTCAGAACAATCTACCAGCTATTTATTCCCGCCAATATGATGTTTTCACGGTATCTGGACTCAGCCTCTAGGATTATGGCTGCTATTGGTGGGCAGAGAAATCTTGCAAACCACATGCATAACTTCGCACAAAGTATCCGGGCAGCAATTACCACCCATGGAATTGTGAATGATCCCACCTACGGGCAAATATATGCGTTTGAAGTTGATGGCTTTGGCTCGCGTATGTCCCAATATTAGAGTACCAATATTACGTATTGACTGACAATGAACAGGGAATCTCATGGACGACTCCAATGTCCCCAGTCTCCTCAGCGCCCCTTTCCTGGGCTACTTGAATGTCACTGATCCCATCTACCAAAACACCCGGAAGTTCATACTCAGCAAAGATAACCCCTATTTCATGCGCGGGCCGGTTATAAATGCGTGCGTATCCATTTGTGCTCTCTGTTCTTAAACTAATGATCTCCTTTCAGCGTTGGCGGCCCACACGCCGGTTTTGGTCAAGCTTGGCCCATGGCAAGCATAATCCGGATTTTTACCTCCTCCGATGACAACGAGATCAAAACTGCCCTCCAGGAGATTGTCAGCAGTACGGATGGACTAGGACTGATCCATGAGAGTGTCAATTCGTTTAATCAATCGATATGGACGAGACAGTGGTTTAGTTGGGCGAACGGGCTCTTTGGACAATGTTTGCTGGATCTGAAGACCAGGAAGCCAGAAATCTTGGGGGCGAGCTTCCAAGGCTAATTAGGAATGAGGCTTGATTATAATGAAAGCTCAAAGGATAAGCAACCAAGCATCTTTTATGAGGCATTGGGAAGCTGTGCTAAACTAATAAATAGCCTTAAGTTACCTCTTATCAGAATATTAACTATAATCCTACACCTCATACCGTCATCGAGAGAAGGAACTGTTTTACATTCACTCTCATCCCCTACATCAACCACGCGTCTCAGAACCTGACACCTCTCCTTAGCTTCTAGGGGTGCTATATAATTTCCTTATCTCCCTACAATTATCCATTCGCCGCCAGAGCGCACTCGATCCCTCTTCTACCTGGCTTGTATTTCTTCGTTGTGCAAAAACACATGCCGCTGTGCTGGGACTCACCTGTGTGACCCAGGAGGGGGCGTAGCGTACGAATTGTGATCGCTGCAAGGGAAATGACAGCGACAACAGAATTGACAACGACAATAACATAGCATAATCTCAACAGAAGTCCGATCCCCGAGAGAGAGAGAGAGAGAGAGAGAGTAGCTTGTTCAGTTTCGGCACACGAACGAGGAAGGAATGGCCAAATGAGCCTTGCGCTTCGAGGTGTCGCTGTCATTTTCCTTGTCGCCGTTATTTTCCTTGTCGCTGTCAATTCTCTTGTAGCTATATTCATTCTTCTTCGGCTGTTAGTACGCTATTATCCTGGATCTTTTCATATACTTTCAGTTTCTTCTCTTTGGCCTAATTGTTTCCTAGGGTTTTAAGGTCCAATTCTAGTCTTACTAGCCACCTACCTTAGTAGTCTAACCTATAGTCTAGGTCAATTATCCGCTACTAGTTGTCACTTTTGCGTCTTTGTAAAATGTACCGGGAGTTCTACGAAGTTCTTGTCTGAGAACTAGAAGAGGAATATTGCTCTGGTAGATCAAGACGAGAGGTAGCACGGCGAGCGTAGCGAGTAGCAAGAGCCCGCTCTTGAGGTGGCCCTGATATCCTGGAGACCCTAGTGACGTAGGAAGGGAGCATGTGCCGCGTACCCTTCTTTAGGATTACCTTATCTAGGTCCTTGTGGTATCCTATTGCGATCAATATTGGTATAGAAGACATTGTTACGAAGTATCAACAAAGTCCCATCTCAGAAGCTCAACCCTCCAACGAATACCCCACATCCCCACTATCTGCCCCCAATTTCACCAGACGCCGTCTCATACCTTCTGCCCTCTTCCTCTCCTCCTCCCCCAACCCACTTAGATCAATATCCTGAACCCACTCTCCAATCCCATGCTGTAGTACGTTCCTGGCTCTAAGTCTACTGCCCTCAGCATGTCCCATACTCCCGTGCAAAGTCATTCTCTCGACCGTGCTCTTGTACGCGCCGCGATGAAGGATGTTGTTGTTATAAAACACCACATCACCTGCCTTCATCTTAACTCTAATCTCACCTGGTAACCCCTTTTCAAACGGGTCCGCGCTCCTCTCAACTGCCGTTCTCGCCCGTATATGCGAACCAGGGACAACGATGAGACTCTCATCGTCATACAAAGCCAAGTTCCACTGCGCGCTCCAAGCCGGCTGGCTCAACCTCTCCAGCTCCTCGTCCACTGTAGCGGTAGCTGGGATATCATCTCTATGCCACCTGAGCTCGAAATCCCTATCAGGCCGACACAGCAAATTAAAAAGCTCAAGCACCAAATCCTCATCGTCACATTGCAGGAGTTCCTTGACGATGTTCACAATTGGAGTGGAGAAGTAATTCGAGATGAAGGTCGGGGATGAGGGTAATGACGGGTGCATCAGGAATTGAACTCCCCAGATTCCGCCGGCTGCGGGGTTGGTGCCGGGCGCAACGGTCCAGGGTGGGAACTGCTTGGGGAGGGTGCGCACAGAGGGCCATTTCCCAGCGCGGGCGAGGGCGATGGTCTCTGCGGAGGCGGCCCGGAGGGTATTGAGTTGGGAAGAGGTTAGGAGAGAGGGGATGTGGACGAAGCCGTCGCGGTTAAGGGCGTCGAGATAGGGGGTTTTTGCCATCTTTGATTTTCTTGATGGTCTTGTGATTGAGGAAGTTTTCAAAAGATCGATACAGATAAGAAGACCACCTTCACCAGTTGCTCCTCTTGTGTTTACCTAGTTCTGCTATCGAACGTCGTCATGACATGTCAGGTGACGAGTTGGATTGATTGATTTTGAACTCGTGAACTTGCTCCCTCGTATTGAAGCTGAAGCCGCAGTCCGCAAGTAATGATTGCCAACGAAGTTATGATACTAACACCCATGCTACTCGTAGGGATGTAACGTAGCCAAACCAACGCAGTACTTGCGCATAATTGTGTACTGTACACGAAAGTCGTTGGTCGTAAAAAGGTGGGGGAGCTTCTGCCGCTGCCGGGATCAATCAAGGTTGGCCGTTGGCAGTTTGATGTCACGTGATAAAAGCCGAATCCCTACCAGGTACCAAAGGCACCCTATATATCTCCCCCGACATCAAGGAATCTGATAATCCCTGAAAAGCCGCATCTCGTTATGGTTTTGTTGACCAGGAACCTTCCTCACAGACGATGAACGAGAAGTCCCGAAGTCCGAACTATGTCCAACTCGCGAGGCAGGGCCAAACGATTGGCATTTGGCTTTGTAACCACACTTGATCCTACAAGTCATGACGGATGTGTGCCAAGTCCTAGTGAGACAATCCGGTAGATGCAGATGCTGTACGTTATTTCCTGCAATGGGGTGGTCTCATTGTCATTGCACCTGCAATTGCAACCTTTTCGACGCCAAGTCCGGTGAGGTAGCTCTCAAGCTCTCATCACTCGTCGGACAGGATTTTTATCGCTAAAACACCTCATATCCTCTATTGGCTAACGAGCGTAGCTAGAGTCAAAGATTCTTCGTCCACTGTGAGATATATTTGTTGTCCAGAAATTCCGACCGAAAGGGGGTTCAGGGGCTTTTCGCCCACGTGATGACGAGTCGCGAGCGCGGGGCGCTAATCAAGGAACGCGTGAACCTTCACGCTTGATCTCAATTCCTCCCATGCCAATTGCCACGCTGCATTGCCTCTTTGGCGCTCCTATTGTTTGGATCTCGATGTACGAACCAGTATATTCAAGTATAAATCAGCGCGCGAATTCAGCGCCGTCCTGAACTAAAACGCGATCAACAATGACAACGGATGATCTCCTCGCGAACCTCAACCCTTCTCAACATGCTGCCGTATCTTCATTCGCGGATACATTGGCCATTTTGGCCGGACCTGGAAGCGGGAAAACACATACCCTGACATCACGAACGGCCTGGTTGCTGGCACAAGGGCTGCAGCCATGGAATGTTATTGTCGCGACTTTTACGGTCAAGGCTGCGCGGGAGATGAAGGAGAGAATTGGGAAACTGATTGGGAACGGGCTAGAGTCAAAATTGATATTGGGCACATTTCACAGCATTGCAAGGAGGTACTTGACTCGGTATGGACATATGATTGGTATTCAAAAGGACTTTGGAATCGCAGACAGTGCCGACTCACTCGCGATCATCAAGCGGATTGTTAAAAGGCATGATTTTACAATTGATCCCAAGGTAGCCCGATCACGCATAAGCGGGCGAAAAGCCAAGGGGAATGGTTATAATGATGAAGGTAGCGGCGTTTCGAGCAAGGGACCTAAAAAATCCGTCGAAGCACAAGAGTTTGAATGTTGCTACAACGAATACGAAGCAGCCTTGCAACGATCGAATTTGCTCGATTATGATGACCTTCTCCTGCGATGCGTCGATCTGCTACGAAAATACCCATCTTGCGTGTCAAATGTTGAGGCGGTTTTGATTGACGAATTTCAAGATACAAATGTTGTCCAATTTGACTTGATGCGGTTATTTGCTTCACAGCGGAAACGAATTACAATAGTTGGAGACCCTGATCAGAGTATATATGGATTTCGGGCAGCAGAGATCAAGAACTACAAAAGGATGCTTCACCAATATCCGGATACTGTTACGATTGCCCTGGAAGAGAATTATCGTTCATCTGGTGCTATCCTTCTAGCTGCACTGAGCGTCATTGAACAAGATAGCTCAAGAGTGGAAAAATCTCTCATGCCAACTCATACCGTTGGGACTCGGCCAGTTCTCCGGAAACTCTCGAACGCTCATCAAGAGGCAGAGTGGATCGTTACTGAGATTCAGAGGTGTATGGGAATGACTGGAGATCTCCTTGATTTGAATGATATTGCCATCCTTCTACGGTCAGCCTCTCTGTCTCGACATATTGAGAGCGCGCTGGGCAAAGCAGGGATACCATATCGCATGGTCGGTAAGTCCTCGATGGTTCCCGCACTACATAGCTAAACGTCTTGGACAACCCTGACCTTTACAGGCGGCCTTCGATTTTATGATCGAGTTGAGGTCAAAACTATTCTAGACTATCTGAGAGTCATCAATCAGCCGGACAACAATGACGCTTTATCTCGAGTGATCAACACTCCATCTAGAAGGATTGGGGAGGCAACCATCAGGGCATTATTAGAGGAAGCTGATCAGTCGAAAATAACTCTCTGGTCCTTGATACTCGGAGCCGTTCAGGGGAGAGGAGCAACAAAGACGAAGCTTGCAAAATTGACAGAGAAAGGCATCTCGGAATTTGTCAACATTATTTTGACGGCGAGGAAGAAGATATCGGATCTTGAGAATCCAATCAGCACTGTCGAACTCATCAAATTTATTTGCAAGCAAACAGATTATGAAAACTGGTTAAAGGACCATCATGCTGACGTCCACGGAGCACGCTGGGACAATGTGCAAGAACTTATTACCCAGGCTGGCGATTTTCAGGATCTGGTCGCTGCTGGATACGAAGACGAGTCTCTGCCCGAGATAGATGGGCTGGAGCAGGGTGAGGAATCAGGCCACCTTTCTAGATTTCTGGCAAATGTAGCTCTGGCATCAGAAGTCAAACATGATGAAGATGGCGGGCCGGGCACTGCTCAGATCACAATATCCACCATCCACGCAGCTAAGGGATTAGAATGGCCTGTTGTCTTCATCCCTGCTACCTACCAAGGATCTATTCCGCACTCCAGAAGTGAGGATTCAAATGAAGAACGCAGGCTTCTCTACGTCGCTATGACAAGAGCTAAGGCGTTGTTGTACATGAGCATTCCCCTCAAGAACTCGCAAGGTGAGGAGACGACCCTGTCTCCTTTCTTGTCGCCTCCTTCCCTGGCACCTCTTCTAGATCAGAGAGGCCCCTCGTTACAGTCGTCCACCATACAATCGATTTCTCAGATTCTTCGCCGGCCTTTGCCATCTGCAGAATCTATCTCCAAATCAGCTGCCGATCTGTACAGCATGGAAGATGATTTATTCCCTGTTGGTGGTGAGGATATAGACATGGATAATGAATCAAGATACTCAACCAACTGGAACCCGTCCTATACGCGGGGCCAAAAACCTGCGAAGAGGCAAAAAATCGAGCTTGGGCGATCCACTAGCAATGTGGTAGATACGAAAAGTGCTTTTGAGGGCTATAGAACGACAATGGATAGAGCTTCGAGCTTCACAGTGGGCTCTATGAATTGCAAGACAAGCTTTGTTAGCGCAGGATCTCTCCCGGTGCTGAGCGAGCAATCAATAAATCGCACGGTTTCAACAGGGCGTGTTGAGGATACCCAGAATACATCGAAAACGAAAGCCTCTGGTTCTGGCAGGCAAACAGGCAAAGGTATGGATGGTCAGGGAACCTTGCTTGGCTTCCTGGGCAAACCAGAACCTCGGACACTCAAGCGACTTGCTCCCAGCAATGACGGTTCGGCACATCTTGCAGAACATAAGCACGGCTCGGAACCGTCTTTTATGTCTAGGGATACCCACAAGCCACGGCTGCCTTCTTCTACGGAACCAGTGGGCATCTCCCCGGCCTTAGCAAAGCATCGTCTTGGCGCAGGACAGACAATACGGCCAAAGCCCGTGTTGGACGACGAGCAGCATAAGCGGAATGACTATGTGTTTCTATCAAGCTCACCACCAAGGCCGGACTCCTCAACACTGGAACAGAAGACTATTCAGGCCGAAGCTCCTACTGATGCAGGTGTGAAGCCTGCCTCTCGACCTTTGCTCCGGCCCGCAACTACTATGCATATGACCAGCGTATCGACTGTTCAAAGTGGCGGTCACAGGAAGACATTGGGGGTTAAGAGGAGTATGGCTGGATGGTCGAGTCAAAAGGGCAAGGGATTTGTGCCACCGACGATGAAGAGACCTGGGTGATTATGTTATACGCGGGCGTGTGTTCGTCCTGAGGCGGGATTCCTAAGGCTGGATGGAGGAGTAAGGGGGGAAGGCGAATGGCGCATGGAAGCATAGCATGAGCAGTACGACGCATGATCTCATGACAGCGGGCTATTGCAGAGTGCAGGATTACCTCGGCTTGGCTCTTCGCATATACCGGTAGATGGGGGGGAGCGAGAGGGGAGAGGAGAGAGGGGAGAGCAGATGGGGAGGTAAGGTAGACGGTATATCATATATGTATATCCAATGTACGTGTATATATATATTACTAATGCCAGAACCAATAATCAAACTCTCGGAACTCGCGGCAGGATCGATATATCCGCGCCAAAGTCTGGTTAAGGTACCATACACGCCGTTCAATGTTTTCCACATGTTGCCCGCGAGCCCGCGACGGACGATTCGTCTTCTGTAGCCGAAGCGAATCCACCAAAAACCCGCAAACCCCGCAATGATGTTTCCCCGGCCTCCCACCTCCGCACCCCCCCGCTCTCCCGCCCACAATCTCTTTTACCCCAAGTAATAATATCTCGTCCGACTCAGCGCCACGAATCTCTTTCTACTACAATCATGGTTTCTCGCAATGGAGGCTCAAAGCCTGTCGACCTGCCCTCAATGCGGCAAGACGTTCCAGCGCAAGGCCCATCTCCTCCGACATCAGCGTCAGCGTATGTCCAATCCCCCTTATTCCACACCCCCCGGTCTCCCCGCTTCCGACGAGCTCTGCCGCGGCTCAATTCAAATCACGAAAAAACTGACCTCGGGTTTCCATGCAGATTCCGGAGATCGCCCGTATAGTTGTAAATTCTGCTCCAAAACTTTCAAACGCAGGTCAGTCTTGGACTCTTGGTGTGCGCGCGCTTCTTCTTCTCCTTCTGCTTGCTGACTTTCGATGCGCGCAGCGATGTCCTGCGAGATCATTTCAGTCGCTGCGACCGTCGTGGCAGCTCGGCCATCCCGAATTCCCTGGAGCGCGGCCGCAAACGACATGCATGCGACGAGTGCTCGAGACTGAAGATCAAGTGCGACAGCAATGTTCCGTGCCGGAAATGCAAGGAATTCGGGAGGGAGTGTGTCAGGAGTCGGGTTATAGGTGAGGAATAGATTTTTATTGGGCCTTTTTTTGCGTGTTTATTCGGAACCTTGATTTTCATTTTTGGGTTTTCGGATGTTTGTTTCTGCGTCTTCCTGGAGGATTGCTGGTATACATGCTATGATGCTAACACTTCCCAGCCGCTCCAAGTCCAGAGACGGCGACGACCGCTTCCAGTACTCCTGAAATCTCGGGTTCTGATCGCAACTCCATCGGCTTTCTGCTTAATTTCCCCGGCGAGACCGATTTCATTCGCGAGTTCCCAAAAGATACGACGTTAAGCCCCCAGAGTAGCAAGGCAGAAGTCCTTCCTAGCCTGGTTGTGCTGAACGGATCCGAGCCTAAGGTTCGAGAATTGCCAGGACCTATCCCCGTATCTAAAGGATTCGAAAATGCACCGATGGAATCAAACTTGGACGCTTTCCTCGGCCATCTCGAGTCCGGAGCATTCGAACGACAGAGACACAATTGGCCGATGGCTGGCGAGAATAAAGTAACGTGGTCGGGGCGCGACATCCCATCCCTCGATCGAATAGTGCTTGAGCAAAGGGCTTTTGAGATTAGGGATAGGTTGAAATATACGGCGGCAACAATGAACCAGCCGAACGGGCCTTCACAGGAACTGCTGGACGCCATTGAGTCAATCACCGCAAGGAATATTGGCACCTGGTGCAGATTGTATTTCAGGCATTGGCATAAGCATGGACCTTTGGTGCATGAAGCCACATTTGATCCAGTCAAGGCTGCGTTGCCTTTAGTGTTAGCTTTAATGAGCATTGGTGGGATGGTGGGTCTCATGAAGCTCTCTCTGACTTAATTATGCTGACCATACTACTAGTATTCAACAGAGAAGGACGAAGTACAGAAGCTCAAGCTTCTACTCGATACAATAGAAGCCTACATCTACTCAATACCAGGGTTAAACGACGAATACGATCTACCCGGTCGGAAATATGTCAAACACGGAGAAGATTCATCCTTTGAATGGCAATACTACCAATTAGAGGAACTACAGGGCGCTTATCTCATGCTTGTGCTACAGTATTGGACTGGGAATGCCATCGCAAGAACAAGAGTCCGGCAACAAAGATTTAGCAGGATTGTTGCTGTAAGTTTGATACCCCAGATCTCCACACCGGCTAATGAAAGTAGATATTTTATCACTTGGAACTGCATACTATTCAGCATTCTCCAGACTTCGTTATCAATGATCAGCAATCATTTCGATGCTGGATCCTGAAAGAATCATACCTTCGGTACGTGTGCCCGCCCTTCCAACAGAAGGAGTACTAACTTCGAGATAGCATGGTTGCTCTCGCAACAATGCTAGACAATGCTTTTGGCATTTTTAACAATGCATCCCCGCGTTTTCAATGGGCAGATATTGATTTTGCCTTTCCAAGCGGTGATCGCTATTTTAGATTAGCAAATTACGAGGAGCTCATAGCGACGCGGTCATCTCCTACAAGGAGGATGAAGGTCAAAGATGCTTTTTTGATTCTGTTCTTGCCGCCCGAGACTTCGAAGTTAGGGGCTTTGAGGGATGACAAACCTTCAGCATTAGATATGCACATGCTGATGCACTGTACGTTCTGTTCTGCCTTCTCTATCCATTTTCCTGCTTGTTTGCCCCCCTTCTAACATTATGCTGCTACATAGTCCTTTACACTTACATCTGGGCCCACACATTTGGCAACCCGCTCGTCTCCCTCCCCACCACCAACCTACACACCGTGATCCTCCCCTTCAAAACCGCCCTCTGGAACTGGAAGACCATCTGGGACGAGATCAAAACCTCCTATACCGACAGCGAATGGGAGAAACTAGGATTCCAACGAACGGCCCAGACGTACTACGAAGCGCTGGGTGCCTTACTGAATGTATTTGAGCGCACGGGAGGAAGGATTGAGGCCATGAAGGGCGATTGTGAGCGAGGCAGCCATCTGAAAAAGTTGCTCAGTATAGCACTCTCGGAAGACGAGGTGAAGGAAAATTGGGAATTGGGATTCGGGGAGTTTGAGTTATAGCTAGGCAGGTACATAGGTAAGGTATGAAATATATCCAGGTCTGCTTTTGATTAGATGCGTATTATAGAGTGTTACTATTATATAAATAATACACTCTGTTCGCTCTACATACAGCCTTGACACTTGAGTCTTGATTTTGCAAATTCACTACGACCTTCATCGCACTATCCAAGTTCTACAAAACAACAACTTCGATCGAACTGTTTAGCCCGGTCTTGTTACATGGACGGGAGGATTGTGTCTTGGCAGTTTTCATCCATTCTGAGGAGAGAAACATTTCCCTTAAAAAAAAAAGGATATTTCTAGCCAAGTCAGTCAGACGTAGACGCTTGAACTAGGTAGATTCTCGGGTTTCTAACTAACTAAATCATGATCCTCGATGTCCGAGCTTCCTTCCTCCTTCTTATCTTTCTCTGTATCTCCCGGTGCTACGGCTATAAAGACCAGTCAGTATCCCTTTCCTAATAGATGATTACCAATTGGCTTATCGACCGTGACGGAGGCGCTGAGCACCCGCCTGGTATTGAATTTGAACATCGCCAGCCAAGGGCGTAAAAAGAGCGAGCACGCTTCGTCAGCTCCTCTTCAGTAGTTGTGAGCCAATCAATATCTACCTACACAAATCCTTATTCAACCTGATATGATATCTTCACGTCGTAGAACTACCTATCCTTTTAAAACTAGGATCCGAAAATAGTCCTCGCATCATTCGGTAGGTAGCCCACAACGGGTCCAGAAGTTCGACTAGGTATGGTTTTATTCAATTGCACTAAGTATCTGATTCGCTATAAGTGTTCAGCATGGATTGATGAGAATGGTGGAATTGATTAGATTATTGAATCGTCATCTTCTTGATCGTTGTCATCTTCTCGACCGTTGTCATCTTGACAAGCGATCGCTAGCAGCCTATTAAACCATCTGAGCAATGCTTGCTTACTCGGCCGCCGTGGTTGCCTAAGCTCCTGCTGACGTTCGAATCGTCGTACACGTCAATTTAAGATGTGAAGTTTCCGTGCCCTCGAGCTTGATGCCCAAGTGCTTGAACGCCACATCTATCGAACTCGATGTCTGATGAGTTAGTTGATCTGTCACGTAATCAATCGATTCACGTGAGGCTTTGTTTCGTGGAGTTGGGAAAGGAAAGGATGCTATGCAATAAAAACAGATATCTTCAAAGCTCCACTTGGATATGGTTCATGTCTTTTGTTGTCATCCCTTAGTGTAGATTTGGGATCATCAGTTACTTACTCAGTGCTTCTGAGCATGCTGTAGGGCGCGATTCGATATCAATGAAAAGAAAAGGTTTTTGGCGTTGCTAACTTTGAAATACAAATTCAAAAAGATAAGATTTCAGATAATGATTGTTAATACAGTTTAAACTTCCTAGCACCGAAACCTATAGATAATTTTTCTCAACTTGAAACAGACAGAAAAGTTACAAAGATCGCTAAATTCCAAGAAGTCCTCCTGGAGACTTCCTACTTTGCAGGCCAACCCCCTTATCAATACGCAGTAATACGACTCCCCATCCGATCTGGCACTAGCTCGGGCGTATGTGAGCGAACCGGATATTCTGTTGCGGGAGCAGCCAGTAATGTGCTCGTTACGGGTTGTGGGGACAGTATGCTCGGTTCTTCCTTGGCTTCTGGGACAGGCTCGACGGGTTCTTTCCGCGGTCCGGTGCGGACTGTGGAGGGAAGGATTTGCTCGAAGCCTTGAGACGAGGCGACTTTTTCGATGGATTTGAAGTACTGTGGATAGGTGAGTATTAGTATAATACAGGAGCAAGTCGAACGTACCTTGACGGTCTTGACCTGCAATTCTAACGTCGCGTCTTCATCCACCACAATCATGGGATGCGGATGTAATTGCAACGAAGAAAGTGTCCACATATGGTTCACGCCCCCTTCAATACATCTCTGCAAGGCAAGAGCCTTGTGTGCACCCGTGATGATAATGACTACTTCTCTAGCCTCCAACACCGTCTGGACACCGACTGTCAAAGCCATCTTCGGCACTTTTTCCAAATCATTCCCGAAGAATCTGCTATTTGCAAGAATCGTATCGTAGGCCAGTGTCTTGACTCGTGTTCTGGATGCGAGAGAGGAACCGGGTTCATTGAATGCGATGTGCCCGTCGGGGCCGATACCGCCGAGGAATAAATCGATGCCGCCATGCGCTTTGATGGAGGCTTCATAGGCCACACATTCTGCTTCTAGATCCGGCGCATTGCCGTTCAAGATGTGGATATTTCGGGGGTGAACGTTGACATGTGAGAAGAAGTGTTTGTACATGAACGTGTGATAGGATTCAGGGTGTTCGCGGGGGATACCGATATATTCATCCTGGTTTATTCCCCATCAGCCAGGGCTATTGGGGTAAAAGCGAATGAGGTTCGGAGGGGAGATAATTGAGGCTATAATATGACGTAGACGAGGGGAGGGGAAATACCATGTTGAATGTAACGACATTTTCAAAGGATATTTCGCCCGCCTTGTATTTTTCAACGAGGATCTTGTAGATTTTGACAGGAGAGGAACCCGTTGGCAGACCCAGTACAAAGGGGTGTTCAGGCGTTGGGGCAAAAGCTTTGATCCTGTCTTTTGGAGTTTTAGTTGAGGGGAGATTGGAGACCGGGGTTGGAGGGGCATACCGATAATGTACTTGGCGATGTAAGCCGATGCTGCATCAGGGTCTTCTCTGATGATGAGCCTCATTTTGATAGCACGTGTACGATAAGAGATTATAGAGCTGAAAGAGTTGAGAGGAGAGAGAGGAGAGAGAGAGAGAAAAGAAATTCTTTTGGAGGCAGCAGACGTAGGTATACGGAACCCCAGCTTTTGAGCAGCTGCTCGTGCAAGGAAAAGGCCTGGCTTGATCCCAGTTGCAAAGAAATGCTGATTACCATCATAACAGGCAATGAGATCAGAATCCACGTGTGACGGAATTCATTGGTAGACGGGGGGATTCCAGCAGTGGGTGGCCATGAAACGTCACGGTCAAAACCCCATTGTGCCCTCGAAGGCCAGTGGTCCTCTTACCACTTGGCTAGGACAGCCATTGCCAAGTCTTCCATGGAGGACGGGACCCGTGAAGCACCGCAGCGGGAGTGGTACTGGCCCAAGGAGAGAACATTGATGATTCGATGTGCTCTGGACGCTGGACGCTGGGGACTCAAAGAGAGAGAAGCGCGAAATGTGTGGGGAGCAGCCGCGAGTCCCAACACGCTTTAGGCACGGTTTTGCCCAAACACCAAAACACCAGCCCGTGGGTCGCAGGATTGTAACGTTGCGTTTTGACAGCCTTTTTGCCCATCCGTCCATCGCCCATCGCCCATCGCCCCATCCGATCCGCGCTGTAGAACCAATGCGACCAGCGAGTGCCCATCGGGGATAGCCGCGCCCATCCAGGGGCAAGCCCGCTCCACTGCTCCAGCCAGAGCATTCGACCCGTCGGCTGTGGTGCGCTCAAGGGGCCATCTCCTTGCCTCTCCGGGGCGAAGAGCGAGCTGCGAGTCCACAATAATTTCAGAAGGTGACTTGACGCGTTGATGGACGCTCTATCTGCGCTGAATGCCAGTCTCATTTGTTGTCTTTACATTACATGAAGGAATTGCGCATGGTCCGCTAGTAGTCCTTCAAGCACCTATGGCGAATCTGCCTTGACTTCTTGACTCTTTCTTTCCCTCTCACCCTATCAACTCGTGCATCTCCATGGCGCAATAAACAAGCTGTACTGTCTCTTCTTCGTATTGTTACTTGCCTTTCCCGATCCAACAGACACACGTCTCAGTCAACCACGGAGGACGAAGGCACCGTACCTTACCTTACCCACTATCCAGCCACCTTTCCCCCCTAGGCCTCCCCCCGAGCTGGTGCTTTTCTTAAAAAAGATCCTTTTCAAATACGAAACAAGAAAATTGTACCCACGGTGTCTCTCATCTCCTTGCACGTTACCACGACCGAACACATAGAATATGGAGAACGCACCCTATCGATTCACCCCTCATTACTACCCTAGCCGCGCCTAGTAGCGCCGCAGACTTATATTTCTATATGTATCGACGCTTTATGACATGCAGCCGTTCATTGCTGCAATGCTCAAGGTACGACAGGCCTTCTATGCCGCCGCCATCAGGTCGCTCCTACGCACCAAATCGCTCTTGAAAAGCATACTGAGCTTTTGGATCTCGCCGTCCGTTCTGAAAGCCAAGGACGTGGAGACCGATGTGGGTAGTCTATTGCAGACGAGGATTGAGGAATTCTTGGAGGATGTGGAATGGCGTATGAGGAACGAGGTGAAGAAGGAGAGGTTGCTGGCCTTCTCGAAGGGACTCAAGGGTCAGCTTGAAGATAGTTTGCTGGATAACCAGCAGTGTATGCTCCCGTCTTACAACCACCAACTTCCGACGGGGCGTGAATGCGGCACTTATTTGGCTGTTGATGTGGGAGGATCGACCTTCAGGGTTGCTCTTATTGAACTTTCGGGGAGGGATGGTGCTGCGCCGGAGAGCAAGATTTTGAAGAGCAGATCTGTCAAGATCAACCAGGCAGTGAAGCAACTGAAAGGTCTGGCCTTTTTCGATTGGATGGCGGAAAGGATTGAAGACACGCTCTCTGGACAGAGTGAGGGCCAGGAGACGTCTGGAGCTCCTCTGGCTATGGGATTGGCTTGGTCATTTCCAATTGAGTATGATCCCCTGACAACCTTTATTAAGCAGACCAGCTAACAAAATCAGGCAAACCTCCCTTAGAAGCGGCCTTCTTCAGGGAATGGGCAAAGGCTTCTTAGCCGCCCATGGACTTCTGGGTCAAGATCTCGGGGATCTCATCCAAGATGCCTGTTCAAGAAGAGGACTCAAAGTCCAGCTTAATGCGATAGTCAATGACTCTTCAGCCACCCTTCTTTCAAAGGCCTATCTTGACCAAACCACTCGGTTCGCTCTCATCCTTGGAACTGGGTTCAACATTGCAGTGCATCTCCCTGTACATGTCTTCTCCCCCTCGAAATTTGGAGTCCGTCCGTCAACATGGCATGAAGCAGCCAAACATGTCATCGTCAACACGGAGCTATCCATGTTCGGAGCCGGCATTCTCCCGTTCACGAAATGGGACGACTTGGTCAACGCTTCACACCCGCAACCGCAATTCCAGCCCATGGAGCATTTCGTCAGCGGTGGGTATCTTGGTGAGATTGTTCGCTTGGTTTTGGTCGACGGGATCCAAACCGCCGGCGTATTTGGAGGGGTTGTCCCACCTAGTTTGAGAGAGGAGTACTCGTTGGATACCGAAACGCTGTCCAAAATTGAATCGTAAGTGGCTCCATGTGAGGGTTGAATGACCGAGAGCTGACCTCTGGTCCTAGCGACCCCTCTCCAAATCTCACAGCGGCGCGGCAAATTTTCCTTGCGCGTCACCCAATGACTTACCAACCGACAGTCAATGACCTTCAAGCTCTCCATTCCATCGCGTCCAATGTGGCATATCGGGCAAGCAGCGTCGTCGCCGCTGGTATCCACGCTCTCTGGGAATTACGTAACGACGCGGAACATATCTTAGCCAGCGACTCTGAGCACACCCTCGTGGCCTACAATGGCTCGGTCATGGAGAACTATCCGGGCTTCAGAGCATCGTGCCAGAGCAAGCTGGACAGCCTGGTGGAGGCCAGTGGTGGGAAGGCGGGGATGGTGGAGTTGATGTATGCGGAGGAGAGCTCACTGCTTGGGGCGGCTGTGGCGGTTGCATGTTTGGAGGGGTGATGCATGGCATGTGCATAGTACATTAGGGTCCGCATTTCAGGAGTTAGGGCTAGGCATGGAGGCTTCATTGATGCATTATTTTTTCCTTTCTCTTTTTTTGAATAGTGAAGCAACAAGTTTTTGACGGTGTGAAAAGCCATTATTTGCGTGTCTTGAAGCAAGCTCGGTGGTTGTTAGTACGGGCCCATGCGAGGAGCGAAGGATCCATGATCCATGAACGAACGAGTCCAGGCCCGAATTGACGACGACGGGGCCGTCTCGTGCTCCTATCATTCTACGTAGAGAAGGATAAAGTCGGGTGAAGAAGTGAAGCTATTACTGATAGTCATGTCTCTCGGCGCTTCTTTTTTCACCACAGCATGATGATTGCGCGGAGGATCAGGAGCAGGAAATGAGGGGGCGACGAGCCGGCAGCGCCACCAGGAGGAGAGTGTGGGGAAAGCTTTCCGAGTCCGAGGCACAGCTGGGGGGAGGGAAGAGGGATCCTCTTTGGAAGGCTGCTGCTCCTTTATTCCTTTCTGTCCTTTTGCTCGATGGGCAGAAGTGAGGATATATAATCGGGTATTTAATGTCTGGCGTAGATAGAGATATACATATATAGATTTATATTTATCTCAGATATCTGAATGAAGGGCCCTATCAAGCAGCTAGTGCGGGCGTGGGTCGCTGATAACAGAGATAGAGAAGAGCGGGCCCGTCCCGATCGGGGGTGGTGCCGGGAGCCTCCCATCTGCCATCTGATGTTCCCTGAGGATTATTCCCTCTTCTCTGGTTCCTCTCTGGCTCTTCTCTGGCCACTCCTCTCTGGACCAATAATCCTTAATCCATAACCCAAAACCTATCCAGTCCCATCCATACCATACCATACCATACCATACATACCCACATACTACACCATACCCCCCCAAGCCATTGAACCTGCCGCTCGCCTTCCAACCGTATCGGCCCCTCTTCATTATTCTTCCTCGCTCACCTCCCTGCCTCCTGCTCCCATCCCGTCTCCAGAACCTGCGCGGCTGATGGAACCCGACGCTCAATGATGGCAGGCTATGATACCGGCACCCTCACCGTCGCCAGTACCACCAGCAGTTCCCGACGAGAAATCAACGTCGCGCAGCACGATATCCTGCGTCTGACTACGCCCGGCTCAGCCCTGCTGGGCGGCCCCCTAGAGATGGATGCCTTTGATCACGATCTGACCTTCGAGGCGGATGGTTTATTGTGCGTGCCATCCACCTCCGCAGATCGAAAGAGAGCGCGAGTGACGTCTTGACGACCTGGCTGACGCCTTAAGTACAGAGATGACGTGCCCAACAGCCTCCCTTCCCTCCCCTTCACGCCCTCCTACGAACTCTCCGATGCCTTCTCGACAACCTTTGAAGATCCCTTCTCCTACCAGTCCGGCGGTGCCTTCGAGTCTCTCCTCGACGATACGAGCATCGCCCAGAATGGCGACGGCGCCGCCGCCGACCTCGACAACAAACTCCTCGGCTTCGGCGCCCCGATCCTGAAGGCCGCCGTCTTTGATGATCAGGGCCAGACATGGCCCGCCATGTCTGCAGAGTTATATGGCATGTTTTTCGTCGCGGAAGATGTGTTTGGTGGGGAGACCACGGGCAGGCCGATGGAGCTGACCTGCTATCGCCGGAATCTGTTCCAGATCTCGGGCTCGGTCACGCTGTCGAGGAGCATATCGCACACGATGAACGAGCAGGGACAGCACGTGCCGATCTACGATCTGCAGGCTACGATTTCGGCGTTGGAAAGTATTGAGGGAAAGAGTACGGAGATCATCAGCGTGCCGTGGAAGACGAACAATGGCCTCTCGACCGAGGATAAGGCTGGTGCTGCACCACCGAAATGGCCGTTGGATCTAACCATGAATCCGGAGCTGGATCCCATGTGCGTCTCTATTCCGATTGCCTGGAAGAGATTGCAATTCAAACATGCAACAGCCAACAATGGACGAAGAAAGGGTTTGCAGCAGCATTACGTTATCCAGATCAATCTCATGGCTACATTGGCGACCGGAGAGACTGTGAAGATATCAGAGATCCAGAGCGGTCCCATCATTGTTAGAGGGAGAAGTCCTAGGAATTTCGATAGTAGGAAGGATGTACCGCTCAGTGAGAGGAAAGTGGATCTTAAACAGAGGGCCATGAGTGATGCAGCCCACCCAGTGAAGGTTGACCCCGCCGTTGCAAATAGCAATTACAGATTTTATGCAATGCAGGTATTTCCCCTGAATCATCCCCATTTTCCCGTACAATTCTAAATCTCGTGGAGAGACTTGAGAGAATCGAGACTGACATATTACTCAGGGTCATCCTCTAGATATACCAGATTGGACCGGAACGAATCCCACTTCTCTCCCTTCATCCGCCGACAACACTCCAACGCAGCACCGCCAAACTAAGAAAGTTGTGGCATCTGTGAATCTACCCCGCCCTCCAGTGCCGATAACGAAATGGAAGACGGAATCCACCCCGACGAAAACGGCTGCTGCAACGGCACCCATTGATTTGTCTCTTGCAGATGACGATCATGGACGTTCAAACAGTTCGGGGTTGAGGAGTGGGAAATCATTTCGCGGGGGAAGCGGGGAAGGGGAAGTAAGCCCGAGCGCAGACCGAGGGAGAAAGTTGGGACTTGGAAGCCCAGCTGAGAATGCAGACCTGCTTTACGAATACTTCCCGCTGAGTTTGGATGATTGGATGCCGCCAGTGGACGCGATATATCGGCCGCATGTGGTGCATCATACGATTATCCCGCCAGATTTGAAGGCGCAGCACTTGAAGAATAAAACGAAGAGATATTTCAGTGCTGATGACTAGGGGAGGAGGTGGAAGGGCTGTATGATATATATGTACGTGACTGGAGATTGCGGTTCTCAGGAACTGGTGGGATTACGAAGGCGATCAATCGCTTTTCAGCAGAACCATAGGGGGAGGAGCGGCAACATGTGCCGAAGAAGAAGTCAGAGTCTAGATCAAGGCTCGAAGATAAGTCGGCATACAGGCTGTTCATGTCTGTGAGATATCACGGCAGGAGTACAATAAGGGCCGGCCCTTTAGATTACCAGCTTCCGGCGAGGCTTGACTGGGGGAAATACTGGCGTATGTGTGTTGATTAAGGGAGATACCTCAGAGCAATATATCCAAGAATTTTTGTCCTTTCTACAGACCATTCGTTAATTTTGCAGTGAATACAGATTAGAAATCATTGACACAGAGGCCTAAGGTAAGGTAAGGTAAGTATCTGAATATAGAAGGGGAGAAAACGGAAGAGAAAGAAGGGGGGGGAGCAGTTGTTACTGGAGTAAGAACAACGGTATTGACAGCTGATGTAGTAAGGAGGGGAATATATACGGTTTATTATTTGTTGTAATGAGATATTCACAGAGCCATCTACTTTTGGGTGACTCGGAAAATGCTACGGCAAGAGTCCCAAGATGATGCTAGGACTGATGAGCTAGGTGAAATCAGCGGCGGAGACAGGACACGAGGAGAATATGCCGCGCCCTCATCGACAGTTACTTAGGTCATGGTGTTTGTTTATTCCCCCCCTTCCCGCCGCCAAGTTATCCGCCGCTAATGTCATACCCTATAAATAGGCTTATTTCCCTCCCTCCGATTTATCCTCAGATCTTGATAAGACCTATTCAGTATCAAGTCGAGTCTACAGAATATTAACTATATTGGTTGCATCTTCTTTTTATTTGATCCTTCACAATATACTACCATATAGCTTTTATTTAAACTCGTCTAATACCATACAGGTCAAGATCTTAATCTGCTCTTAGGACTATCGAACATTTCACCATGGCTGAGTCTGTCGCGCATCTCAAAAGCCTGTACAATGTGGAAGCCACATTCGAGTATACGGGCCGTAGGAGACTTGCGCGAGCCCTGTGCGACTTCTTCCATTCTACGTCCGTTGATCACTCTTTCCGGCTTGACGACCACAAAGTGCTTATTACTGGATTTCCGCTTCAGCTGCTCAGAGACGTTGATGTACCGCTTTATCCAGTAAAGGGACGATCATTATACTTTCACGACACTCAGATCTTGATCCTGACGATGCCGGGGCTTCCACACGAGATTCTCACCGATGAGTTACGCCATCTCTTTAACGCCAAAGTCGACAGCATGAACTGCCAAGAAGAACTGATTAAAAGAGGCTCCACGACGGAAGAGCTCGACAGGAAAGATAAAGAGGCCGACGGGTCCTGGGGACCGGCAGCCTTGCGCCGTCCTACTTGTGTACTCGAAGTAAGTGCATCACAAAGCACCCGGCAATTACAGCTTGATGCCAGGCGCTGGCTAGAGAGTGAGATATCTTATGTAACACAAGTTATCACTGCCAAGATACATCCACAGCGACATGAAATTATCCTCACCATCTGGCGGAGAACAGCTTCTCGGCAAGTCGAGAAGAAGGACGAGGTCCATATAGAGTTACACGATAGCCAACCAATAGTCGGAGCGAATAGGTGCCTACAAATCTGCTTCGAGCAACTTTTTCGGCGACCACCAACCCGCGGCACTGCAGAGAGAGATTTGGTTTTTACGGCACGAGAGCTGAGCGGTATTGCCCGCAGCGTCTGGATAGGTGCTGGTGTGATTCCTCCTGGATAAGGGAGAGAGGGTTCTGATTCTTGTAGCTATCCTTAGCGTATTCCCTAGACAACTGCCGGGCAATAGATTCTGTTTCCAGATACCGGTTATAGGACAGTGCTATAATATTTTTTTTAAGATGTGTAAATAGCGACTCTCGTGAACAAGCATGTTGTAACAAAAGAGAAACCGTAGTTAAGGTAAGGTATGTTGTATCTGGTAGATACTAGGCAGGCAAGTTATAATACCGAGAAAAAGCAAAGGTTAGATCCCCGGTACAACTTCAAAGATAGATCAGACGGAAAGCTCCAGGTACTGATCTTCTCTCCGCGTTGAATAATATGTACCTACTTTCCCGACTTGGCCCCTGAATCCGCAGGGCGTTAGAATGTGGAATTGAGGCTGGAGCCCTCGCCGCGAATAGCGCAGTATCAGTATCGTGGGGGTATTGTTGTACCTCCGTAAGTGGTGGAGATGTAACGTTAGATCTGGCCGGAGAGACCGGCGGAAATCTCGGATTGGTCTTTTCGTACAGAAGAAGGCCGCCAAGCCTGCAAAGTGGGTAAGCTGGCGCCGGGTGGTGAGATAGAGGATAGAACCGCCAGAAGCACATTTGGAAGGTCGTTTCGTCGTTCTAGACGCTTTGGTCTCGGAAAGGGAAAAGGGGGATTCTCACGAATTCGAGAGCGCGAGGGGCATATGTCATCACGTGACCATCACATCAAAGACCCCGGTCCAGCTGTACAACGTAAGCGACGACGATGTGCACTTCATGATTGATACCCCTTTGGCATCAGTGCCACATCGATGTGAGGCTGATCTCCAAGTTCCCCCAGACGTTGCAGTGTGGAGACATGTCCGTATGCGCACGCCAAACTTGACGAGAAGCGACGTTGTGCCAGGCTACCTTAACTTACCTTGGGTATACGAGAATCCTGCTTAATAACGTGACAGCCAGCTTGACGAGACTCGAAGCACGAGTTCACGACGGATCCCTCACGGGTACACGTGAAGATGGAGTCCTCCGAGGATGCTCTGGACCCGTTGTGGGATGATCTGGACTGGTAGGTGCTTGGCATCCGTTGAGAGGAGGAGTGCTGATGGTTGAATAGGGCGATGGGCCAATGCTTTATGATGGGTTGGGAGGGAACGGAGGTCACCCCGCAGATTCGGACTTTGATCGAGGATCATCACTTAGGGGCCATATTACTGACCACTAAGAATTTGAAAAGTACTGATCGATTTCTTGCCTCTTGTTTCACTCTAGTCGTTGATTCCTACTCAGTCTCACTGCTCTGAGAGCTCTCCCATCCAGCAAAGTGTTCCAAAGAGCTCAGTTTGCACACTCTCTCTTGTGATCACCTACTCTCATTTGCTTTTTGTTGCTTTTCGTCGCTCAAGTGGACTCAATACTATGGACTTTGCTATTATATACGCGATCGAGTACTGACCGCCGCAGCCGCCCAAGAGACAGCACGGCTCGTCCAAGAACTTCAAACTATCGCCCATCAAGCCGGCCACCCAGTGCCCCTACTCATTGCTCTAGATCAGGAAAATGGCGGCGTTAACAGTCTCTTTGACGAGGACTACATCTGTCAGTTTCCCAGTGCCATGGGAGTCGCAGCCACAGGTTCTCCGGATCTCGCATACGAGGTCGCAAATGCAACAGCAAAGGAGGTGTCTGCTGTTGGTGTCAACATGATCATGGGCCCAGTTCTTGATGTCTTGACAAACGCGAGGTATCAGCCATTAGGTGTGAGGGCGACGGGAGATGACCCTCAGGAAGTATCACAGTATGGTATTGCTTCCATGAATGGGTACAAGAATGCCGGGATTACAACCTGTGGGAAACACTTTCCTTCATACGGAAACCTTGATTTCCTGGGGTCATCCCTGGATATGCCGATTATTACGGAGACCCTGGAGCAGTTGAGTCTCGGTGCCCTCGTTCCCTTTCGAAATGCCATACGAGAGGGATTGGATGCAATAATGGTGGGTGGATGTGCTATAGCTAATGCAGGTATGCATCTTCCTGATCCCGTCTCAACCCTGAACACTGACGCTTATGATAGGTATGAATGTCATGCACGCTTGTTTAAGTGACCAAGTCGTGGACGAACTCTTGAGGAAGGATTTAGGGTTCAACGGCGTCACTATTTCCGAGTGTCTCGAGATGGACGCCTTGAGTCACGACATTGGTGTTAGAGGCGGAACGGTCATGGCAGTAGAAGCAGGTTGCGATCTAGTCCTTCTCTGCCGCTCGTACTCGGTACAGCTAGAAGCTATCTCCGGTCTCAAACTTGGTGTTGAGAATGATATGATATCACGAGAGCGGATCAATGTCTCTCTGAAACGGGTGCTTCACTTGAAGTCAAAATGCACGTCCTGGCAGAAAGCTCTCAATCCACCAGGGATTAGTCTACTATCGACTCTCCACCCAACCCATCTCGCACTATCTACCAAGGCGTACGATAGCTCCATTACAATAATGAGGGATAATGGCCATCTTATTCCACTCTCAAATACATTCCACGCAGAGGAAGAATTACTGCTTCTTACACCTCTCGTAAAACCATTACCAGCTTCAGCGACGAAAGCTGTTGCAGAAACAAGGGCAGCGTCAACCGAGCACGACAAATGGATTCACAGATCCTCGATCATGAGCGGCGAAAATGTGTTTCGCGAACTGGGCCGTTTGTTGGCGCGGCAGCGCCGCGGAAAGCTCCTCCATACCTCATACACAGCCAATGGCGTGAGACCTGTCCACGAGAACCTCATCAACAGAGCATCATGCATCATTATAGTTACTGCGGATGCCAACAGAAACCTCTACCAAAATGGCTTCACGAAGCATGTGGCAATGATGTGTTCCATGCTTAGTTCAGGCGGAAAGAAGAAATCTCTAATCGTGGTGTCTGTCAGTTCTCCCTATGATTTTGCCATGGACAAATCGATCGGAACATACATCTGCACTTTTGATTTCACCGAGACAGCTATGAGTGCTCTAGTCAGGGCGCTATTCGGGGAGTTCGTTCCCCAGGGCACCTTACCTGGGACTCTTCGAAAGAGTAGAAAGGTGCAAAAGTCGCGACAGCATTGGCTAGTTGAAAACTGGAACCGAGATCGGGATCATAGGGGGTTACAAGCACTTATTAAAACTATCGAAAAGACTGCTCCACCTAATCAACAGTCTGGTTTGACAGGAGCATCGGCGGCTTCATTCTCACTGGTATGTTCTTTCCGATCCTCATTCAACTATAGGCTAACAAGTCCAGCCCTTTTCCTCGCCCGATGAAGCGTTCGAAGAATCCCATTACGTGGTCCGCAACAGCTCAACCCAAGCACTCTTCGGTTTCTGCAGCACGTACTACCACCTCGCCTCGGCGACAGGTATGATCGGATCCATCTTCGTAGACCCCGCGAAACGCAATCTCTCTATCGGGCACTCGCTACACCAACGTGCCCTTCGTGGACTTCTCCAGAAACCAGGCATTAAAAGTCTCCAACTCGGCTCTGGTCTCCCCTCAATCTTCCTCGGTATTCCTATGAGCGATCTCTCCGAGGGTGCAAGGCTAAAACGCTGGTTCGCCACCAATGGATGGGATATATCTTCCCCGAGACTGCTGTATACGCTCACGATTCGGAACCTTAGCAACTGGGCTCCTCCTGAGGGGTTGCTGCAAAGTGTTCAGAGGGTTAGTTTTGGATTTGATTTGATTCATGGAATGGAGAACGCGTCCTCGGTCCTGGAACATGTATCTACGCACGCGAGTCCCGAGGTCCTGGCGCTCTACAGACTTGCTCTCGCGGATGCTAAAGCATGCGGGATCGTGAGAGCAAAATCTCCTGTTGACGGCGCCTTGGTTGGGACGGTCATTATTAGTCGTTCATCTACGATCTTAGAGACTTATATGCCCGTTCTCCATGTGGAGAATGGGGAGAATGTAGGAGGTATCTTGGCACCGGTAGTACCGAGTAGCCCGCAGGCAAGTATTGTATTGCAGGGACTTGCATTATTGGGTATTAGACAGAATAAGGCGCATAAGAGCGCGACGTGTGTGTTAAATTGGGTATCTGGGGACGAGAGAGACGTCCTTCTTGGTATGGGATTCGATGTTCTGGATGCGTGGGAGGAGTTAAGCTCTGATTCGGAAAAAGTAAGTCCTTTCTTCATTGAAAATACCGATGAACACAAGTGTATGCTGACTGTGATATAGTTTAGCGGGGTGAACTTGGGCTAGTGGAGAGGAAACACTCTCGTAAGGGGATATGTATAATAAATTTCGACTTATCGTCTTTTAACCCGTCTTTCCGCCTCTAGCCACCCTCATATGACCTTACAGCGTCTTCCATTCTACAGATAAAAACTCGCGCTGGCTCAATACCTGACCGATTCCACCTACCACCAAGCATACAATGTCATCCCATATTCCCCTTCCCTCGCTTTTTAAATGGATCCACAGCAACACCCGCGCGAACAACCAACTGTTCATCTTTTCACGAAGCTCGGGGAAAGATGCAAGCCTTCAGACCAGGACTCAAAAGAGAGTCGAACCCTTGCACAAGGAGTCGAAGTAGCTTTCTGAATGGGAGTCATCTATTACTGCTCTAACTTATGGGAGCTCTTGTGAGCGTGGCTGGCTGTTGGAGCTATCTGATCTGCTTGTCTTGGGGATATCTCTTAAATGTTTGATGGGTGCATAAGTTATTGGTTTGAGATGTGTTGTTGGAGAGAGAAGGCTAATAGGATGAAATTAAATATGGTGAAATGAGGGGTGCGGGATGAGGGATTGAGGGGGAAGGGTGAAACTCGATTGATGTGGAAATGTGAAGGTTTAATGCCGTTCCTGCTGTCGAAGAAACCAAACACCAAACTCAAGGCACCGAAGTTGATGCGCTCTCTGGTTTGATTAATTCCAGAAAGAAAGGAGGTCTTTTTATATATCGCGGAAATAACAATTTCCTCTGGATACTGTATGGTTAGGCTGGAGTCGGTAACCCCTGAATCTTCAGCACACCTATCTTACCCCCCTTTATGTCACTGAGTTTAGCTGGCTGGACTCTGTCAATCAACAGGATCTGAGATAATCCCACCAGGGGGAGCCAACACAGTTTCGTCACTAAATTTCTCCACCAATCACCCGCATTCTGCCCCTCCATTCCCTCGCCGAAAACCCGACCCCCAAATGCCCCCCCACTTCCATGGCTACCACGTCTCCCAAACCGTAGATATACATATGTATGCCAGGCGCTCCCTTCACAGCCATCATGGTCGCTTTTGACGCTCCATTCTTTTACCTCTATATACCTTTTTGCACAATCACCAAGTGAGTCCTCGGCTCGCACATAAAGCCAGCAGTCAACGACACAACATAGGTCAGGAAAGAGAGCATGAGCATCATGTCCGAAATCACAATCACAGGTTGGGATACGAAAGATGTGCGATTCCCGACATCCCTCGACAAGACAGGCTCAGATGCCATGAACACAGCTGGCGATTACTCCGCCGCATACTGTATCCTGAACACGGATTCCAAGTATTCCGGCCATGGAATGGTACCCCTCCTCCCCCATTGTCCTTTCCGTACCTTTGTCGTAACCCAGAACTAACGGTGCTGACGGCTAGACATTCACCATCGGTCGAGGGAACGATATCGTTTGTCGCGCAATTGACCACCTAGCGGACCGGATCAAGGGCCGTACTCTCAGCTCCCTCGTCTCGAACTGGGGCCAGACCTGGCGACACCTGGTCTCGGACTCGCAATTGCGATGGATCGGGCCGGAGAAGGGCGTGATCCACCTAGCGCTTGGAGCTGTCGTGAATGCAATCTGGGATCTCTGGGCCAAGTCCCTTCACAAGCCTGTGTGGCGCATCGTGGCGGAGATGACGCCCGAGGAGTTCGTCAGGTGCATTGACTTCCGATATATCACTGATGCGGTCACGCCGGAGGAGGCGGTGGAGATGTTGAAGAAGGCAGAGGAGGGTAAGGCACAGAGAATAAAGGATGCGGAGGAGAGCAAAGCGGTCCCTGCGTATACTACGAGTGCGGGCTGGCTGGGATACGGGGAGGATAAAATGAGGGCGCTGTTGGAGGAGACGTTGAGTAAGGGATATAGGCATTTTAAGTTGAAGGTGGGGACGAGCCTCGAGGCTGATAGACGACGATTGGCTATTGCACGGGACGTAATTGGGTACGACAAGGGGAATATATTGATGGTTGATGCTAATCAAGTAACGTCCCCCTTTCCACTCGCCTACCAACCCTTTATCCCTCCTTGACTGAGTATGAGCTAACGTGGTGTTGATATAGGTCTGGTCGGTCCCAGAAGCAATTGAGTACATGCAAAGTCTCAAAGACTTCAAGCCCTGGTTCATCGAAGAGCCCACCTCCCCCGACGACATCCTAGGCCACAAAGCAATCCGGGAAGCCCTCCGGCCCCACGGAATCGGCGTCGCCACGGGCGAAATGTGCCAGAACCGAGTAATCTTCAAGCAACTCCTCGCCAGCGGCGCCATCGATGTGTGCCAAATCGACGCCTGTCGCATGGGTGGCGTGAATGAGGCGCTCGCTGTGCTCCTGATGGCCAAGAAATTCAACGTGCCTATCGTTCCCCATTCCGGCGGCGTGGGCTTGCCCGAATACACGCAGCATCTGAGCACGATTGATTACGTCTGTGTGAGCGGGAAGAAGAGCGTCCTGGAGTATGTGGACCACCTGCACGAGCATTTTGAATACCCGGCTGTCATCAAGGAAGGTTATTACCAGACGCCCATGGAGCCGGGCTACAGTGTGGAGATGAAGCCCGAGAGTATGGTGAAGTTTGGATTCCCGGGAACGGAGGGTAGTTGGTGGCAGAGTGAAGAGGCGAAATCAATCTTGGAAGGAATCAAGATTTAGGAGAGGCAGGATTAGAGGGAAAGGGGTCGAGAGTTTTCATGTTGGGCTCTCGTCCGCAGGGCAACGATGGCATCCTGTACAACACATAAAAGTGTTGTCCCGTGTGGGATATCTAAAAGGGGTCGAGCAAAGGTCTCGTTCCGCAGGGTAACGATGGCATCCTGTACAATACGAAGAGTATTGTCCCTCCCGTGTAGGGTTTCAGAACGGGGTCGGGAGTTTTCATGTTGGGCTCCCGTCCGCAGGGCAACGATGGCATCCTGTATATCAGCTTGATATCCAAAACATAGTGTTCCAATACATCTGGCCATATACAAAAGCTTCAACGTCGTATATCTACCCACGCAAAGTAGGTAGGCTATTAGAGCTGATCCTCTTTGTCCGAACAATAGTATTTCAATCACCACTAAACACCCCGCAACGCGTGCGGGAGCGAAGTCATCACGTGAACGCGTGTTTAGGCCCGGGCCCTCGTCACCTATAGTGTTTCAGGCTCAACAATATCGAAACATCTCCGGATGATGCTGTCCAAGGAGAATCACCAGTGATGGGATTGAAAATATTTTTTTGATATCAATTGTCCTTTGTCTTCCCGATACTCACCCCCTTCTCTTCCCGCTATTATGGCTCGACCCAATGCCTGGAAAGAGAAGCGGCCACCCCCGCGCATGCCACGTGGAGACGATCCAAAGTTCATCAAGGAGAATTTCGAGAAAGAGCTCAAAGACTTAGCATCCAAGGCCAAAGAGCAGACTTGGATCAAATGGGCGGGGAAGCAAGTTTGGGTATTACTTCGATCGGGCATCCTCCTTGCTCTCGCGGCGATTTATTCGAATGTCTCGCAGCTCACATTATCACCTGTTTATGGGTCGATCCCAGCTTCGATATGGCACTCGAAAGGTGTTATAGCTGCTTGCTTTTTGGGGTGGAGCTCGAACTTGTTTCTTAGCAACACTTTACCTTACAAACCGGTGAAGCTTTTGCCCATCATTGCGGCATATATTCCCGTGATGCAGTTCGCTCTTTTCAAGATCAGTGGATTCTTGGGTGCGAATTACGGGCCTCTCATTACTGAAGCTGTCACCTTCTTCCCTCTGCTATTGCTCTCAGTTTTGTGTACCGCTACTATCTTGGATGATCTGGAAATGAATCCAGGGAGGCTCCAATGGCTCTCAGATGCAGCCCCAGGAATGTTTTCCTATGCTTTCTACAAAAGCATGGAGTATTATTCGAGTATAAAAATCACAGAGATGATAGGAGAATCCTTCTTTCAGACCCGTCTTGGTCTTCAATTCTGCCTGACTGGGCTTTATTCGATTTTAGCACCCTCAAAACTCCTTCTCTACATCATCCCACCATTACTACACACGGCCTTTTCGAATGTCCATGTCCCGGCTCCATACACAACATCTTCTTTGAATGCTACTATGAACGGCAACGGATGGTCATTAATTGCCCGTCAAGAATCTCTGACTGGGTATATCTCGGTTATCGAGAGTAAGGAGAGGGGATTTCGGGTCATGAGATGTGATCACAGTCTCCTTGGAGGAGAATGGTTGAAGTCTACAACCAAAACTAATGTGAGAGAGCCCATCTACGGCGTGTTCGTGATGTTAGAAGCCGTTAGACTGGTGGAGGTACCTGTTTCGGTGCCTGATAATGAGGCCAGTGCTTTGGTCATGTGAGTTAATATCTTTGTCACATACCTAGTTGACAATGCTGATGTATGAGTAGTGGTTTGGGAGTTGGGACGACTCCAGCAGCCTTGATGGCCCATGGAATTGATACCACCATCGTTGAGATCGATCCAGCAGTCCACGATTTCGCAACAAAATATTTCGGCCTACCACCAGATCACAAGGTGGTTATTACTGATGCTGTGACTTATGCTTCTCAGCTAGCAGAATCAGGGCAAAAGTTTGACTACGTTGTCCATGACGTTTTCACTGGTGGTGCTGAGCCCGTTGATCTATTTACCCTCGAGTTTCTCCGCGATCTCCACTCTGTTCTTAAACCAGACGGGGTAATTGCCATTGTGAGCTGTCCCTTCTTATTGCATTGTTACGTCAATTAACACTCCCAGAACTATGCCGGCGATCTCCTCCTTCCACCAGGGCGCATAGTAATCCACACTATCCTCTCCATCTTCCCCACATGCCGCATCTACCGCGAATCTCCAGCTCCCACCCCCTCCAAGCTCCTCGAAGAGGGCCGCGATTTCACCAACATGGTGATCTTCTGCACTAATTCTGCCAATGGAAATATTACGTTCCGGAAACCCATGGGAAAGGACTTCCTGGGCAGTGGGGCAAGGCAAATGTTTCTTTTGCCGACGCATGAGGTTTTGCAGGATTCATTCAAGATACAGGAAAGCGATGGCGGGCCTTTAATGAGGAATAATACGGAGAGATTTACGACCTGGCAGCAAAAGAGTGCACTAGGTCATTGGGAGCTTATGAGGACAGTACTACCGAATGAGATTTGGCAGGATTGGTGAGCAAGCCAAGGGAGATGATAGATAGAAGTCAAGGAAATAATGGAAGGCCGCAAGAGAGAGAGGAGAGAGAAGCGAGGGAGGAGAAAAGTCTATCTATGGCTGGCCATGGATAGACGATGTATAAAACAATAGCGCATGGAAGTCTGACAGTAAAGCTTCCTTTGTAAAACTATGCTTGCTAATACTATTAGAATTTAGAGGAAGAGCATCTGCTTGAGGCCCTCCTTACATGCTGACATGGTTTCTGGGCCTTTCTTTTTGAGCTTCAGGAATGAGAGACATTTTCCCAAACCCTCCTCCTTCAAATGTGGGCTCTTGTGATAGGATGGATCTCTTTCCAAAGGATCTTAAACCGTGGCTTTCTTTCTCGATCACAGTCATAGTGCAGTCGATCTATGGTAATCTGAAGAACCGCTTGATGAGGAACTTATTATCTGTAATACCGCAAGCAAGGAAAGCATCGTGAAGCTGGCTACTCACCCACTCAATTATCAAGCAGACCTCACTTCTAAACACTATGAGGACAGCCTTGATCAAAAATCCATCGGATATGAATTGAAATCTCATCTAGAGATAAGTAGATAATAAAATAAAAAGTAGCTAATATCCCAGCATGTCTTGGAAGACCGACGACAGTCAAAGAATCCCCACTCCTGTCCTCATGGTATCGTAAGTCCCCATCCTCCAATACCCCTACATTGGATTCCGTTCCGAACTCCATCCATCCGTACATAAATTCGATGAGGGAGGGCACAAGCAAGCAACCAAGCGGCTCTCCTATTATGGGCATCTTACGCCTCTCTCCCGAGGAGCGTTCTAATACCCGCTATCCCAGAGATCATCCGCGACCAGCTCAGTCCGCGGCGATAGACCCATCTTCTTCTCCTGCTTCTTCATCTTCTTGCGGTCCTCCCTAGTCACCAGGCGCGGCGAGATTGGGAACATGGGCGTGAAGGGTTGGTACGGGCTGTATGGCACGGCGCCCGCGCTCCATGGCGTCTTCAGCCCGGCTGTCGTGGGGCCCTTGGATGGGTCGGGCGTCGTGCGCTCCAGTACGGTTGTCTTGGTGGATTGCTGGAACGAGGCGTACGAGGGCGAGGCCATGGGCGGCTCGAACTGTCGCAGGGGCAGCTGCCGCATCGAGGAGGTGGCGCTGCTGGGGGTGATGGTGCTGCTGGGGGTGACAGCACTATTGGGGGAGGCGGTGTTAAGATTATTGGATGGCCCGGGAGTAGAGGTTGATATTGGGAAGAGAGAGGATCGTGGTTTGGGAGAGGAAGGGAGGGTGGGACCAGAGAGCTGGGAACCAAAGCTTGCTTGTGAGCGGTTGTTGTGGAATGCTGAGGTGGATCCTGGTCCGTACGGTTCGAGTTGTTCCGCAATGGTCCTCGTGTGGCTTGCTACAGAGTTCCCAGAATTCTGCCTTGTTGGCTGGTAGGGGACCTGATCCGTGGGAATTGGTGGTGGTGGTGGCGGGGCATAATATCTTGGAGTGAGAGGCTCACGTTCCTCCGCTGTGCCCCCGGGATAATTCCCATCTTTCGGCGACTGAATCGGGCTTGAAATCCGCAGGTTCTTCTTGAAGCCTGATTTTCTCGGGGATACTATGGAGGAGATTATCGACGAGGCTCGAGAGCTTTTAGGTGATTTGCTCTCCTCTGGAACTAGCATGATATTTGCTGGCCGCTGCTTCTCGGCCTTCTTCGCGGGAGAGCGTTGTGAAGCGGCCGGGGGAGCTGGGCCCGCGTTTTGCAATTTCGCAGGTAGAGGCATTTCTGAAATTGGTACACCTGCAGCCTTAGCCTCCTCTTGTTGCATAACATATGAGTATATCTCCTCCAGATCTCGCTCCATCAGTTGCTGGTCCCGTTCCACGACTCGACTGTCGACGTTCGGATCCCCAAAGCTGGGAGGTGTAGTTGGGGAGTAGGGAGATCTGGGGGAGCGGGGTGATGTTGGGGGAAAGACGTAGGGGTTGGGAGCGGATTTCTCTTGTGATGTCCAGGATGAGGGGGAATTGAAGGATCGTGGGCTGGCTGGCGACTGAGGATTGAACTGAGGATTGAACTGAGTATTGATAGAATGAGGGACCGTCTCTATCATTTCAATATCTCGTGCCTTGTATGCAGCTGCGATCCGCCGCCGGAGACTTCTACCGACGAGGAAGATCCCGATACTGACGATACAGGCCGAGAGGAGGTAGGCTCCAACGATGCCACTGATCTGAGCTGGGAGCAATGACTTGTTCCTCGATGCTCCAGCTGAGAGAGGCGGTCCGTCTTCAGGTGGTGGAGCTGGGCCCCAATCGATGTTCAACGGATTGCTCCTTGGTATGTTGGTGAGAAGGTTCGCGGAACTTATATCGATCGAGGTAAGAAAGAGCAGGATCGACTGTGCTGGGATTCTCGTCTCAGTTCCAACAAGCTTCATGCTGTCTCTGCTATCGTGACGAAGACGAAGCCCCAGCTATTTTAAAAAGAACCTCATGGGGACGAAACGCACTCCGATACAGACAGAACCTGGAGTCAAGTGCGTTTTGACTCTTGAGCCTTTCAAATGGGCGGTTCGAGGTGATATAGTGGCATGGTCGCCATTGGACGAGGCTGGTGACAATGATTCTCTTTGGCTGGTCCAGTCATCAGGAACATGCATGAGCTTCCCCTCAGTAAGGGACACTCGATATGGGAATTGTGGTTGGTTGTTGCCAAGTGCTTTTAAGCGCCCGGCTTTGCATGGTTATCGATCGCATGGGCGTCGTGGATTGTTGATCATTGGCAGACGGCAGACGGAGATCCACTGCCGCAACGACAAGTTGAACCTCGCATCTCTTCAGTCACAACTCCTCATCGCGAAATGCTTCTCATTCGAAGCTGTTTTGCTGATCTTCCCCCGTCTATTCCGAATCAAAAATAATAGCTGAATCACAGCGTGTTTTTCGTTGTCGCCTCCAGCGCGAGATTTGCTCTCCGGTCCTAGGGATAGATCCCTGACCGAAGCGCGGTACTGGGCATTACGAATGATGGGATGCCAGTTGCGTTCAAGTCATTGATTTACTCGCAAATGCATTGGTTGAATTATCAGTGAAGAGACAGGAAAGCTTTCTTTATTGAAGTTTCTCATCGTCGCCATGCAAAGAACATCCTGCGCCGCCAAGCATTGCCGGGCTGTCAGGCACTGGGGGCATCCACGTGACCAAACACATCTTCGATGTCAGACCAGTATCTGATTCGAAGAGATTCGAAGCAAATGTTTAAGGTATATGACAGATTGGACCAGCGCTGTGCTGTACGGTTCTGTATCAGCAAGCTACGATGAAGAGCAGAGACACAAAGCCCACTTCCCAAAATCCATTGGTTTCCTTTTCGTCGTATCAAGTGCAAGAGAGCATACTGGATATGGTTCTTCTTCTCCGGTAAATGGTTCATTTATTGTGTATCAGTTTTCCTTTCTTGCGTCTCATCAGTGCCTCTGGGAGTCTCCCGCTCTTCTCCAGTAAGATTCTTCAGTACTTCAACCTCCGGGCCCAGCGAACATCTCAGGCTGATGTTTGCATACCTATATTGCTGTAAGACCATCTATTGCAGCTAATGAGCCCATCTAATGAATCTAGAAGCTGAAATCAGCCCCAAACCTCTCCCAAATATCGGCAAGCATGGATCGGTTCGATCATTCTTCCGGTACTTGTATACCTTGTCGTATCATATATACCGCGGCTCTCATCAAGTACTCCATTTGTTTCCAGCTACTAGAGAAAAAGATATCCATGCTACTCTCCCCTCTCAAAAGTACGTAGGAAGCTGTAACTACAATTTTGCCTTAATAGGTCCATCAATTAACTTCCTTACCCTCTCCGCTACCCCAAACGAATATATATATCCAGCTCCTGAAGCACCATAAGCATGTACCACATCTCCCTCCCGTTCCACTCTCAATCCTCCCTTCCTCCCTGGCCGAAAGCCAATGATATCCTCAACAGATTTTAAATCAACATTCTTGAATGTATCGTTCGTGAGACGGTTCACTCTCATCAAGAAATCGCTCTTCAATTCCTCGTCCACCTCGGTATCCAGTCTGTCTGACTTAACCCCACCAATGATAACACCTCCAGACCCCGCTCTTGGAATAACATATGTATACTCAGATCCGTCTTTCATGATCAACTCATTGAAATCAGTTTTAACGAACATCGTCTGACCACGGATAGGCATCACACAATCATCGCCTGCCAAAGTTTTCGCGCCAACGCCAGAAGCATTGACAATAAGCCTCGCCTTTGTTATTGCGCGAGCCTCATCGAAGGACTTGACTTCAGCCCTCACAAACTTGACACCCTTGGCCACCAACTGCTCCTTGAGCCATGGTAACAAAATTTGAGGATTCATCGACAGCGAGGTGTATTTTACCCCGTGCGTACATCCACTGGGCAACTCCGACTTGGGGATAACTCGATAACCTGGCATGAGAGTCTTATACCAAGTCTGCGAGTCATCCGATCGATCATCGAAATATTCCGTCAGAGGCAGGACTTGCACCCCACTTTTCGGGTCCCGATGTGCGAGAGCCCAGTAGTAGTGGAAGGAATCCATTTGCATTTCTTGTGCTATTTTGGTGGCTTTATCTTGCGGGTGGAATGCTGCACCTGCCCTGATACTTTGTTAGGAACCTAGGTTGTATCACGGAAAATAGGGTGATGCGAACCATGGACTCGCCCAGTTGAATCCGAGGTCGCCTGGCATATCTCGAGCGACGATGGTGACTTCGTGCTTGGGAGAGAGGACCATGGCAGTGGCCAGGCCTGTTATTCCAGCGCCAATAATTCCAATCGGCTCCCCCATGTTAAAATCAGTCACTCGAGTGATGAAACAGGATTTAGAGTGGTGATTTTGAACAGTGCTCCGACATGAAAGTGAAACCTTGAGGAAAGTTGGTTACGAGAATGAATTCCGAGTTCGTATCTGGCAACTGGCCGAATATATATTCTGCATTAAGTGGGTCATCCCAGAAGTTCCATATCTTCATGTACAACGTTGTATATTTGTCGAAGGTGGGGTGGTAGATATAGGTACCGTTGAGGCACAGATTCCGTCATGGGAAAGACACTTATCACTTGTAAGTATCTCCGCGGTTGACTGAGTAACAATATATCTCTGAATCTAAGTCGCAGTTACACCGCAGAGTTGACTCTGGAGTCGAATATTTGAGAGGGAACTAGGAAATAAAATGGCTGCTGACAAGAGAAGACCACGTGACATCAATGAAGTTGGCGAAATTTCGGTCGAAGCGTTTTGTCCACCAGTTGTCGAACCTTCGTGAGGCCAACGGAACAATGCCTTTCGGATACTCCAATCTGCGATCTTATCAAGCCCAGGCAAAAGAAGCATTCTTGCTATTTCCATTACTGATACTCGACCTCTCATCAACTTGCCGAGGAAGGGCAAGAATTGCGTCTCATGTCTTTGGGAAGCCCAAATGGCCCGGCCAGTGCCCATTCATGCTAAATCCTAGTCACAACGTGACTTAACTGCATTGTGAACTTCGTTATCCACGTAAGCTCACAGTCATATTATGACACTCTGCAAATTACGTCATGGCATCCTCATATTACCCATTAAATGGATCGAAAGGGGGTTTGGCGCAGGTCTGAATAGTTATTGCTCCTAAGGAGGTGTGTGTGGAAGAACACGCATTCCGTTCAAGGCTCTGACATCCTCGCGCATTCTCTCGTCTTTATTACATTTTTACTTTTGATTTCGATTTGGACTTTTTGTTGTCATTCATCTCTTCTATTCAATTCTATGTACTCCCTGTATATGATTTTACAATGGATCTGTCGGTCAAATTCTGTGTGGTTTCAGTAACCTGATTCTACTGTACCGATTTCTACCGTGGGATATTATTGTTTCAAAGTGATATGATATCTCTAGGATACAAATGCCCTTTCCCATTCCTGTTGGGGTTCTGTGCTCCGAAGAAAGATAAGGTAGGGTGGAAAGGGGAAGTAACGAGGGTGCAAGAAAACAAGAGACCTGGAAACTTTATTTAAATCGTTCATATTTGATTCCCGAATGATTTTTACAAACTTCACAAGTTCAATTATCTGTATTACTACCAAGTGGAACACTTCTGCAAGTGAATATCATAACCTCACCTGACGACTCCCCCTTTCTTTAAGGGAAATAGTGGTTTCAACTCCCGACGACTACCGAGTACTCGAGGGATCGGAAAGAATAATTTTGAATTATTTATATGGTTCAATGTACTCATACTTGGTGAAGTGTCATCAATGATCAATAACTGGTAGGTTCTTGCTACATCTAGTTGTTGGTCGTCTGGATCCTAGAAACCTTTTGTGTGATCCTGTCCTGAAGAGTCCAATTACAGCAAGCACTTCCTCTAAAGAGGAACTTGGGCATCTAGTTATAGTAATGCCCTTTTGTACTGATGGTACGCGCAGAACTATAGAAAATGGCCGAAATCCCTCAGCAATGCGTCTTCTACACTGACGACGTCTTCTGTTGCCCTGTCAGCAATCTCCGGCTAGCCAGCCCGCTTCAGGTAGTGGAGGAACGGGTCCTAGACTTCTTTGTCCAAAACCGCCTTGATTTTGTTCTACAGCCCGCGTTATTGTTACCAGAGGACCTAGCCGCTACTATCGCCAGGACGGACTTCGTCGCCGCTCTCGAGCTACGGCTGCCGTCCCTGAATCTCCATGCCAGAGAGTTTTTCATACCACATGCGAATCGACTGGATGTGGCTATTGAGCTGGAGGAACAGGAGGTGAGAGATTGGGGCTTTACTTACAGTGGTCATGGTGTCATTTACGATTGTCCCTGCCCTCGTCATTGTCGATATTATGTAGCTTTTATGAGGAGACCTGTGGGACCCGTCGATGGAGGAGCAGCACCACCCAATCCGGGGGTACTACCCCAAAGGAGTTTGGGCCAAATGCCATCCCGAGGATTACCCCAAGGGCCGTCATTACTTTTTCAAGGACCAGTGCAACAAAGGTCATTACCCCAAGAGCCATTACCCCAAGAGCCGTTATTACAACCTCAGCGACCATTGCAACAAAGTCCATTACCACCCCAAAGACCATCGTTTCTCCCAAGGCCACCACAACAAAGGCCATTACTCCGAAGGCCATTACCCCAAGAACCAATAGCCCCAAGGCCATTACCACCTCAAAGGCCATCGTTTCTCCCAAAGCGACCACAAAAGAGTGATCCGAAGAACCAGAAGGGCGGCAGTTAGAAAATGAATTGAGAGGAGCAGAAGATGATGGAAGTGAAGCGGAAGGAAGGGGAAAGTCTTGGTCTACCGCTATTCTACCTTTCATTGTCTTTGGCTGTACACTCCTGAAGTTTGATAGCAAGCGTAGCCATTCTTTCAAGGAATTGTTTCTGCCGTCCAAGTTTGGTTACTATCCATCAGTGTTCAACATGTGGTCCTGTGGGCGCCACTGATTTAGAGAAAGCGAGAACGAAAACGGAATTGGCACCACGCGTCAGCTTCAACCCAAGTTCCATTATTATTAATGGTTTGAGAATACTGTGAATCCCTTATGTGAAGCGTTGAAAACGTCTTCGGGACACGCACGATGTATATATATACCATTTTCAGGGAGTGGACCGAAACCAAGAAGCATTACTCAAGAGCGTCACCCCGACGTCAAATAACATCTTATAATAGCACTTCTGCTATTCCAGCACACAACTTCTCCTATCATCTTCTTCTATCTACTATAATATAACAGTTTGATAAACGTAGAAAGCCTTTAATTATAGCTGATCTGGATTCACGATGTAGACAAGAGCCATCAACCACACGGTTCCCACCTAAAGATAGCCTTCACACTTTACAACATCCAAGTATCACTCTCCTTTGGCCACAGACTCTTTAGATTTCGAGATTTTCCAACTCTCTCCGCTGTCATCATCACAGATCTTTTCTCTTCTGCTTGCTCTCTTCAATGGCCTTCACCTAGGTCCTGGGTTCCAGAATTGTCATCATATCACTGCTGATGAATAGAAGGCAAGTGGTACTTGGTAGAAGCTCCCGCTCAAGATAGGGACATCAAATGCTGAGAACCGGTGAGAATGGAAGAAATTGATTTGAACACATCACACGTGATGGACGAATAGCCCCAGAAAAAGCTTGGATTCTATTCAAATCTTCTAATCTCAGCCGCCTGACGCTTGTTCTCTTGTTCTCCGTGCAGGACAATCTACCGATCCAATCCACACTTGGAGCTCTTAGGTCTTTTTGCACAAGTGTCACAATGATGTGGTGCACAACTGTCCTCCTTGCACACCTCATCCTTAACCGTCCTGATACATTAATATGCGCAGCATCTGACTAACGAGTCGGATGGGAGGGCGTCATTAGGGAAGGACACAGTGAGCTCCTGCACGCTCGCGGTTTTGCTCGTCATCAATTGTCTTCACATGTTTGGCGGAAAACTTCGAAGTCTTCTTTCGTTCACCGGAACTAATACCGAGTGAAGACCCAGAGGAAGAAGTGGATCCAACGCGAGGTAAAGCATTCGGATGTGCCTTGACAACACTCTTGTGAAGAGTCTCTTGTTTTGCATTTGTCTGTTCTAAGGATGGAGAGGTTCCCTCCGAGGCGTGATGCGACCACTGGGTATCTTGGTTCTTGATAGGATGGCTTACTGTAGCCCTAGAAGCATCGATTTCAGCATCATGAAATAATGTCGAGGTGAGGTGTGGGTCAAATGCTGAACTATCTAGAAGCGGAGAATACCAATCCGCAGCTGGCTTTCTGGAAACCACATCTATTAGCTCATGTACGTAAACTCCAGATTTAACACGAGGCAGTAGCCTGGCTTTTGGGGGAATTCCGGAATATGGAGGTCCGGATGGGACTACTGGCGAAATTTAAGAAGAAGGCGTCAATCCATTTGAATCTAAACTTGATGAATTGATAGTCATGGGGATATTCTTTTGCGACATACTCCAGGACCACCGGTGTATCGAAGCTGTTTCGTTCTTCGAATCAAGTCCGTCTTCTTTGCCACTTTCTGGTGATTCGAACAGTGGCTTTCCAGGCGCTGTCTCCGAATTTGTGCTTGAAGATGAATTATTCAAAGCCTTGCCTTCTTCTATCATGTAGGTTGTACTTTGTGGAGGATCTCCTGGCTTCCAGATAACCTCATGTGCAGTACTCTCGCAGGGAGCTAGTGATAAGGCTTTTGCACTTCTCTCAGCAGTTGACACAACTTGAAGATCGTTCACGTAGTATTTCCGTGTTGCAGTAGTCGTCTGGACTTCAGCGACCGTGATAGTAGTTTTAACGGGTGATGCTGTCTTGGGAACGAGGCCTTTCCTGGTGAAAGTAAGCGCTCGCGTTACTTTCGCCGTCGAAGAAATATTAATTGAGAAATGAGCACCGAGACATTTGTGAGGTCGAGAGTTCCGTTCCATATTTGTTCCAGTTGGTTCAGTGATAGAATCGATGCCTTTTCTGGTGACTGGGCACTCAGAGGGGCACCTATCATGTGCTTGACTTCTTGAACATGCCGAACCTATGTGGGGACCATTTGTGGATGCCATAGTATCGGCGATATTGCTGGCCTCTGAATCCCCATTTCCTTCACTTGCTCGATGCAATGTAGTTATCGTAGGAGTTCGCAGAGGTTTGGGACCTACCTTGCGGAGCGCCAGCTTTTCTTGAATGGTGGGGGCAATATTGTGATCTAAGGAACCGCGTGTGAAGGTTGAGCTTCGAGAGCGCTGGCTTAGGTTAGGACTCATAGGTTCCGACGCGGCAGATCTTGCTAGCAAAGTTGATGTAAGGCATATTTGATGTGTGCCACTCTCCACGGAACTCCATCTTCTCGAGACGACTGGGAGCATCATTCGTCTATACATCTTGGCTTTTCCTCGACTAAATTGTCTTGTCCTAAATGTACCAGTGTGCCCCCTGCAAGCCCTGCAGAGCTCCTTTTGACCTTTCAAGGCTGTTGGGGCGACTGGACATCCAGGAACGTACAAACGAGGGCGATATTCGTATGAACGGGATTTTGCGCTTCTGTGTCCTCGTTTCGTGGAGTGAAGCACCCTCCCATGTCCCATTGTCTTTGCACTCTTGGGTATCGGCACCATTGATAAGCTAAAAGAGTTCTTTCTGCGGGATCGGGAGGGAGGATTTCCATCGTCGGTCTGGAATGAGGGCGGTGTAAGATGCCCGCTGCTGCTTATACTGAGCGGACTTTGACCTGTCTCTGGAGAATAGAGGGATCCTCCTGAAGAACCGGAACCTGTGTCGTTTATTGATAGGTTATCTAATTGCGATGCAGTTCGTGTAATTTGAGTTGTGGGACCATCGCTCAGTAGCAGGGGAGAGCGTATTGGACTGTCATCTGGAGGTAATTGGCAGGCAGCTGAGAGTTCGACCGGGCGTGTGTTTAGAAAGGGGATCGATGGTGTCGTCCTCTCGGAGATGCAAGTTCTAGTTATCGAAAGATAGTTTACATGAGAATTTAGGATGATGCTTTTGTCGGTTGGAGATCGAGATCTCTGGGTTAGAGGTGCTTTGCTTTGACAAGCCAAGGGGATTTCGGAGTTTGAAGACATCGTAGGAAACATAGGATACGGGAAATAGATAGAAAAGAAAAGAATGACGGTACGCCGAGTCATCAAAGACCATCGGAATACTCCGAGAAACTTCGAAACGTATGAGCTACTCCCTAACCTGAAGGGAGACCACTTGGTAATTAATATAAGGAAGTTGCGGAGATGAAAACGTTTCCACAACAGCCAAAGTCATAACGGTTTCGGTTTTCACCAGGCCACCAAACAGTCGACGTTACTTCAATGGAAGATTCATTCTCATACTGAAGGGTTTCGCACACGACAAATTGTTCCTACCTTACCTTAGCTGGATTGACGAAAATGTTGTTTGCGACAATCCGTCGGGTCAAAAATTATTTTCCTGAAATATTATCTATCTAATCACGTGCACCGCCCCTTTTCCTACCCCTTTTTTAGACGATACATCACCCTAAGTCAAACTGGACAGTTGCTTCTTTCTTTTCCCTTTACTCAACCCCCCATCGATCTCCATTCTCAAACTTAATTTATAAATACATATAGTTTTCTACTGCCTCATACGTTATTTGTTCCAACCTACCATTGTAACTATGTCTCAGCGATGCTTGTTCCAATAATCAATCCACGGTGTGGAACACTCGAAAGAATGCTCGTATTTGCATGACAAGGATCTCTTCTCTATTGCAAAAAGCCAATTGTCGTCGAGACTGGGGGACTTCTCACTTGAAATTGAAGCGTGGAAATGTAAAAGAAAGAGCTGAGAGTTGGAAATGACGGGAACTTGTCAAAGTACCTAGGAATGTTCTAATTCTTTTTAATATCTTATCTTCTGATACTTCGTAAAGATTTTCTATTCTATTTGCCTTCAATTATGCAGTTTGTATTCTAGTGAGAATGACAAGAAGGGGCGATTAGACTTCGTTTCGAAAGACGTTCTTTCCGCCTGGGTTATAAAAGCTTCCGGGCGAAATAACCCTCCGATTTCCAAATAGCCCACTGACACTAGATACACATTATTCCAACTCGAGATACATGGTTGGTATACAAAATTGCCATGGATACGGGTACATCTGTATTACCAACTCCCAGAATGACACCAATCAGTCCGCAGAACTTTACTCCCAGTCCAAAGGACCTTACACCAAGAATGAATGAACCGAGTAACTTCACACCGACAGAGAATTCGCAGGCCAACTTTATGCAAACAATGAATCAGCAGAGAAGCTTCATACCAGCCATGAATCCACAGAAATCCTTCTCTACTCCAGTTACGACCCTACCGGATTGCGGTGTCGACTGTCCCAACGCCGTGACAGAGCAGATCCTCCTCAACATCATTGATGGCTCCTACCGAGACTGGGACAGAATTGCTCGAGACTGCGGCGAACGCAAAGAGGCTGTTATTAATCGCTGGAATCGGTTGGTCGACGAAAGGGAAAACATAGCCGAAAATACTGCAAAGGAAAAAAGTGCCGAGGAAGCCCAGGCAGATGTCAGACTACTCTTGTGCTTTCTTGGCCTCAGATATGTGTCCCCTAGTGCAATATTGGATCATAAGGGCGTCCATATGGCAGATGTAAAAAGGAGATGGCACGAGAGGACTGCGGCAAAGAAGAGGAAGAGAGCTGAGATGGCGAGTTCTGGACCGGTTGATGTGTTTCAGGGTTCTGAGAACACTGTAAACCAGCCGAGTACCATGGGTATGGATATGAATTGGTTTTCCAGAGCTGGAAGAGTAGTGGTCCCAAGTGGAAGCGTTGCCGCGCAAGGGCAGAGTAATCAGCTGGGACACGGCGATACGCAGGTGCATGGGCAAGGATATGTCCACATCGCGTCGTACGGAAACATGCAACAATTTGGAAATATGCGTCACTACGGAAATATGCAACAGCATGCAAGTATACAACAATCTGGAAACGTCAATCAGTACAGAAACATGCACGTCGATGGTGGGATGGATTGGTCTTATAAGACGAGGAGAGGCGGGCCATGAGTGTTATGGTTATGGACTCTAGGAGGAGCAATTCGATTATGAAACGTTGAGAGGTGGTTACAGGTTTCGGGGAGGGTATTGGATGGAGACTTCAAGACTTGATACAAAGAAATCCTCAACTGAAGGCGAAAGGGGGTCTCCATCTATAATCCAAAAGCTATTCGAGACCACAGAAACCACCATAGGTTCTCTTGAATTGTTATCCAACATTCTTCATGGCCGCGTTTGTTGCACCGTGATTTCATACTGCCATTCACGCTGATACCTAGCCATACCTCTACATTTATTCAGATGTGCGAGGTGAAAATGAAGCTGCCGAATAGAGATGGAGACTTATGGAAGCTCAAGCGTGATTCAAAGCGTTTTCCCGACAACCTATATCCTACGACCCCGGACAGAGGGATGACGGTCCTTTAGCAATTGAAGGCCTACCGAAATCTACCTCGTACAGCTGATCCTGAAGAAATGCGAAGGGACAACGAAGGAGTCGTGCACCACGTAGAGAATCTCCCAATCTGCCGCTTAGAGATTAGGATTGATTGCAAATCAATATACTGGTTGTATAAAGATGAGAGTAGTGTTCCTGTTGACGACCAAGTTTGTAACTTTGTAACTTTCCACTGGGACGCCAACTTGGAGGTAGAATATTAAACTCAATTGCTGTTTCAACAGAGAAAGGCTCAAGAAGGTTAGTCCAACGCAGTGTAATATTGTCTCTTTCAAAGAGGCCCATAAAATACACGCCCCTGTAAGGGCATATTACGAAGAAGGTTCAGAAGCAATTCATCATCTGCTTCTCGATCAATATGATCATTCAAGCGTATACCCGGTCTATTCAGGTAGTCACGTAATATCTCGATCCTCTCGGCCTCTCTCAACTGCTGAATAGGGTCAGGTGCAACAACACCACGGAGCAATAATTCGTCCAGGTGATCTTGGGCCGTCTGAACCATTCTTGGCAATCTCGGTGGCCGATGCTCGGCATCCAATCGAGCACCAACAAGAAACAGAGGGTCGAGAGCCTGTCTGATTCTGGCATTCTCCATATGTTGTTCTAGTCCTTCAATCCCGCCTTGATCTAGGAGGCCATCCTCTTGCAAAAATGGATTACGGTGACGAGGCTGAAATAGCTGAGGGTGATTGACGGGAAGCCCGTGATCGATGGGAAACTCGCGATTGATGGGAAACTCGTGATGAATGGGAAGCCTATGATTGATGGGAGGCCCGTGATTGATGGGAAACTCGCGATTGAAGGGGAGTCTGTCATTAATGTCAACCTCGATTGCCGCAAGATTGGGCTGATCGGGCCAGTAAGAACAACGACATGTCTTCCACTTCGCTCCACACGTATAGCAGAAATGAGCCCCGCACACGCACTGTGATAATTAGCTTTTTGTCAAGAGAGGCGTGTAGAGGAGAGCTGAGCTTACTATCATATGATTGCACCCATCTATACGTTCTACAATCTGTCCACAAGCCTTGCATCTTTTCCAGTTGTTCTCCGTTGCTGTCTCGAGTGCTCGTTGTAAGTTTGTGTCAGCGGGGCAGTCACCATAATGAGCTGCTCCCTTGCATATAGTACAAGTGATAGTTCCACAACTCGAGCAAGTAAGGTTATCATCTTTTCTGACGGTGTCCTCCTGTAATTTACCATGGTCTTTACAAGCTCGATTTGGACAATATGCCTGATATCTCCGTCCGCAGCGTGGGCAATCTTCCTGAACGACTTCTATGCGAGCGGTCCCAGGATAACCTAGGCAGTTCGGACTGGCGCAGCGTTTTCGGAATTTGGCTCCGCAACCAACGCAAAGCGTAGCGGGTTTTCTTGTTTCTATTGGCTTCAAAAATGCTGAGCACGTCTTGTTTGAACAATAAGTGCGATTAGGCGTATCGCGTTCTTCTTTGGTCCTCTTGAAATCATCTATTAATTCTGCAGTCAAGAACTTCCGTACAGATTCGAGAGTAATGGGTTGGCCGCAACATTTTGGCGGGAACATTGACTGATCTTTTATCGCGTGTGTGAATAATGCAGTGCTGCAGTCCTGGCAGTATTCATGACTGCAAGAGGCCTGCACCAACTCCGTGATCGGGAATTGATCTTGACAAGCCATGCATGTGTGCGGTCCATCATCTGCTGTTGCTTCTGTTGAACCGGGGCCTTTCGGCCCTTTCCTTTTTGAAGCAGTTGTGGAGGACTCCGCCACAATAGGAGGTGGCCTCTTTGCTGCTGTCACTGATGATTCGGGAGTAATATGCGTCCGTGACCTCTGAACCTTCTGCATAGATAGGGGTTGGATTTTCCGTGGTTCAGCTGCATTGGCTTGACGTGGAGTATCGTCGTTTGCAACGTATTCTCCAACCCTTCCCTGACTAGGATGAAGTCGTTCTTCAACGTGCCCTAGAACGCCTTGGTTAGAGAATAACATGGCGAGTCGTCTATCTGCGGCTTCCTGCGCTCGTCTGTCCTCGAAGAGAAGTTGTGCGATCAGAGCGACAGTGCGCTCATCTGTGTTTGTATCAACCATTTTTGAAGAGGAAGCTATCCCTATTATATGGGGTGAGTAAGTAAATCAGTGTGGTGAAGGATTGAGGAGGGAAACCGTAAGCCAGATTTGATAGTTGTTTTATAATTCAGCATCGAACTCAATTCTCGCATATTCATTCACAGCTGTTAGTCACCGATGATATGTCTAGGTAGTTATTCAGATGAGTCTTGCCGCGAAAACGCTTTCTTGCTCAATCATTTCCTGCTTCAACGCTCTATGCCGGGGTAAAGACTACCACCCTACATTTGGCAAATGCTCTGGGATATTGCTCAACCTTGAATGTCACATCTCGTTCATTTGACGGCCCCGGCGATGATGTCCTTTGTCAATGTTCTAAGCTTATGTCGACAGCTAAATAGACTTTAAAGGGCAAACCTCCGTCATCGTTTTACTTCAGCTGGTAGAAAGCTTGAGCACCTCGGACTTGAGCAGCATACACGAGTTGATGGAGGAATCAGTATCCACCTCAGATCTCTCGTCAAAGCATAACGCTATAGCAGGCAAGTTGGGGTAAAAGAAGCGTGGCCGAATCAAGCAGGAAATGCCTACAGAATGTGACTCGTCTGTGGTTGCAGCGCTGAACATCTGCCCAGTACAGTCCTTCCAAAAGCCATGCTTGCAAGGCCCAGTGCTATGCTGGCAGAACATGGAGATTGTGTAAACGGTTCTGTAGATATTGCTGAAGCTGTCATTAAAGACTCTGCTTGGACATGGCAAGGTTTCTGTGGTTCAGTTGGTCAACTTTGATCCTGCCGACTAGCAGGTTCATTTTGAAGGGCCCAGGCCGAGTGAAACACCTAGTTCGTGAGGCTTTACTTCCTCTTGGCAAAGTCGTAATATAATATCTCCATCTGAAAGTCACATTCCGATGCTTCCTTTTCCTTCTCCTTTTCTTGTAGTTGCTGCGCGAGTTTCTGTTCGCATAGCTCTTGGAGTTCGTTTGCGCCAGAATCAATGAAAACCCAGCGCTGTTAGCCGCCGGAATTTAGCCGAAAAGCGTCAAATCCTTCAACTTTATGTCGCAAACATATACTCACTGCCTCCCTTATGGCATTCGCATACCATGGCAGAACCTACTCCCAGCGATGGAGATGAATACACTCGGCTACATATAACACCTCTAACGCCCTCTCTTCTCCCCACGATTCTCTCACAATCCCTCCTCCCTATCGCCCGGAACATCAGCTACCACTCTATCCAAACCTTCCCGGAACGCGCATACGGCTTCCTGGAGCTGCCGAAAGAGGAAGCCTCTAAATTAAAAAAGAAACTTAACGGCGCTATTCTCAAAGGCACGAAAATCCGCATTGAATCCGCACGGCCACAAAATATACCTGTCCCCGAAGAGCCAGAGCCAGAGAAGCCGAAGAAGGAGCGGGGCAAAAAGAGGAAGAGGGATGAGACTATACCTGCTGTTGAGATTGGGGAAAGGAATGTGAAGAGGGGCTGGACGGTTCCCGTTTCTAAAGTAGGGAAAAAGGATGACAAAAAGGAGAAGAAGACCAAGTCAAAGTATACCTCTGGGAAGGAGTGTCTATTCAAGACGGTGGTACCGCCAAATAAGGTGGACTTGACGGAGAAGAGGAAGAAAAAGAAGAAGGGAAAGGGGCCGGAAGAGGTCGTTGTGCATGAGTTTGAAAAGACCGTGAAACATGCCAGTTTCTTGAGGGCTCCAAAAGTAGAGGGGAAGGCGAAAACAGCCAGTGAGTATGTGGAGGGGAAAGGATGGGTAGATGAGGATGGGAACCTGGTTGAGGAGGTTGTTATAAAGCGGAAATCCGATAAAGCCGCAAACCCTATCGAGAAAGATGTTACGCCTGAGAGCTCATCGGAGGAAGACAGCTCGTCAGAAGATGATGGATCATCAGAGGGCGACAGCTCGTCAGAAGAGGATGAATCGTCGGAGGGTGATAGCCTATCAGAAGATGGAGCATCGAAGCCCCAGGAATTATCAAAGCCAGTGGATGAAGACTCGAGTGATACATCTGAGGACGAGAGCTCCGATGCCAGTTCATCAGAGGAAGATTTAGCTGCGGCCGAAGTGGAACCAGACTTACAACCAGCTCCTCCTGTCCAAAATGGCACTTCAAAATCAAGCTCTAGTTCATCGTCAGAGGAAGAGTCTGAATCTTCATCAGACTCTTCGGACTCCTCAGACTCAGACTCCGAATCTGATGCCGAACCTTCAGGGCAGGAGCCCCAGAAAACACCCCAATCAATTCTTAAGAACTCTGGAAACGCCAGCTCTCGACCGGTCTCATCCTCCGGTCTAACACTTACTATTCCTGAACCTACCGCCTTTGCAGCGCCCTCCGAACCCAAAGTTGTCCATCCCCTCGAAGCGCTTTACAAACGACCAGCCGCTACACCAGACTCCCAACGCCAGGCAACCGGATCTAACCCCTCCGAGCCATCATTCTCCTTCTTCGGGAATGATGAAGATGTGGAACCAGAAGAATCCGAAGCGCAGAATCAGGTATTGTTTACGCCGTACACTCAAAAGGAGTTTGAGTTCAGGGTCCAGAGATCGGCGGCTCCGACGCCAGATACGGCGCATGTGAATAAGAAGTTCGTGTGGCCTACTGATCAAACTGCTGACGACGAGGAAGAGGATTCTTCCCCTGTTAGCAAGATCAAAGGGAAAGGAGTTGCTACGGAGCACAAGGACGGCGAAGGCGATGCAAAGGGAACAGAAGCAGAGAGTGAGTTCCAGAAATGGTTTTATGAGCATAGAGGGGAGGCGAACCGGGCGTGGAAGAAGAGGAGGAAGGCTGTTGCGAAGGAGAAAAGGCATAGGGAGAATAAGAAGAGGGGTGGCAGAGCTGCTTGATTTGTTTCTCCCCCTTTCGAAGTTGCATATCATGGCATCTGTTGAAATGATTGTCTACAGCGTGATTGATCACCGATACCCTACAATCTAGTTACTTTCCGCCTGCTTCTCGTTATAGGGCTCCAGTTTATCCTGCCGATTGGTGAGTGATTTCTTATATGAAAGACATCAAATAAAAATTAAAGTGATTCCTACACTCCCAATCCTCATCCATGACAAAAGTATCACGTGATCATCACACTCCCCATCCCCCCTTATTATCTAAACTATAGTCTATCAAATTCTATTATCTCGGATGAGGAAGGCCTTGCTCCCTCCCTCCATGACCATCCTCGAAATTGCATGCCAGTCTGAATTATCCCTTTTAGACTAACACAAGCAGATCTTTCTACCAAGTGGTGACGACTAGTACTTGTAGTACTTAATGTTTGATAGATGAGCGGGCTCGAACGATTGAGACTCTTGTCCACTCGCCAACCTTTTTTGGGCTAATTGACAGGTAAACAGAAGATGGAGATGGGTGCTGTCCACAGCTACAGCGGTTTGAAATCATGCCATAAAGAGGAAAGGCATCCACCGCGAAAACCGTTTCGAGAACGCTCACTTATTAATTACTGGCAAGTGATAAGTAATGTACTCGTGAGATGCAGGGCTCTGTTGAAACTCTTGTCTATTCATAAATCGCAGGAAGGATGTCCTGCTTTTTCCTTTACTCTCTATACAAACGCCAGCAAGACCAATGACAGATGATCCATGATTACTTATACATTCGGTGATAACAAATCGTACTTAACACATCGTTCGACCTAATATCGTCAGTGTTCCGTTACAAAAGGAGGAGAACCAGGGGGATGGGGGATAACTTACATCCTCAATACTGGCCTGCAAGAATTTCCTTGCCTCCAGCCCAGCCCACACTTTCAGCATGGAGAAATCACCCTTCCTCAGCATTCCACCACCGCTCTGTGTCCCAAGCTGTCTAAGAATAGGCAGCGCACTAGAAAGGAGATCGATATCCGGGTTCAAACTTCTGCCGATTCCCTCTAGTAACAGAATTGAGATAACCACATTTACAAAATCACCCTCCATCCGGACATGATGCTCCCTGACCATGCCAAGGACATCATTTAGGATGTCTCCAATCTTCATCTTTCCTAGCGCTAAGGTACGGCTCTTGACACCAAGCACAAGATGCTGCATCCTAAGAGCGAAAACTTCCTCATTCAGGACAGCTTCGGGTTGGCGACAGCGCTCACACATCAGGTGCCCGGCTTTATAGCCGTCAAATTCTGCTATGGCTTTGAAGAGATCGAGGAAGTTCTTGCGGTTTGTGTCGTTCAATTCTGTGACCAGTCCCGTATCAATAAAGATGAGTTGGGGCCGGAAGCCCTCTTTATCTATTTTCACTAATTCGGCTTCCCACGCTTTGATATCCTTCCTATGCCTATATGGGCGGAGGCGAGCAAGCACTTGTTCCGTGACATCGGGTTGTCGCTGTGGATCCTCGTCGTTTTTGAGTTTGCGGAATGGGAGATGAGGCTGAGAAGACTGGTAGAAGCGAACCATGATATTTCCTGGATGAAGGTCGGCGTGTACAAAGTTATCCAGCAAGAGCATCCTTAGAAATGCGTCGAGACCTTCATCAGCAATTTCGTGTTGAAATATGCCACCGCCATTTTCCATAAAATCAGAAAGTGGGATACCCTGGGCATATTCTTCTACCAAGACTTGTCGAGTTGTAAAAGCGGAGTAAGGGTACGGGAACCACGCTGTTGTTCGCTCTTTGAAGTTCTTCCTGAAGATCGTCAGGTTGGCGGCTTCAATTCGAAGGTCAAGTTGTAACCGCATCATTTCTCCAAACTGTCTGACTTCGTCTGGAAGCGAGAGCCACTCGATGGTTGGAATTGCATTCAAGACCGAGGCAAAGAATCCCATTATATTTAGATCTCGTCTGACCATTCTTTCCACTCCTGGGTGCAGAACCTTTATAGCAACGTATGAAGATGGTACCCGTTGAGGCGTGCTCTTGATCAAGGTATCGACATTCTTTCGTACATTATGTCGCAGACTAGATGGTTCGTCCAGCTCCGGATCTCCCGGTACAGCCAAGTCAGGTTTCAACTTCGCCCTGTATACTTGGGCAATAGCTCCTACTCCCAAAGGCTTCTCTTCAAACTCTTCAAATATATCCTCGAATGGTCTCCCATCAAATGCATTTTGTATGATCCGTTTTGTTTCGTGAAGGGGATGAGCCCGGGCATTCGAGTGAAGTTGGGACATGATTTCGCACATCTGAATTGGGAAGATATCTGACCGTGAGGCCGCCCATTGTCCCAGCTACAAAGCATCAGCGACATCCCAGTCCAAAATTTGATAGCCATACCTTAATAAAAGCCGGCCCAGCTCTCTCCATACTCTTCACCAAGAAAGAATACCACCATAGCGTGCCTGATCTCTCATTGCTCCTCCTCTTATCCCTCTTCCCAAACCAAATCACTGGGACTGTCACGAAAACCGGCACGAAGATAATGACCAGATGCAAGAACCTCAATCCCGTGCATAGGGGTTCCCAAACATACAGTTCCACGAACAACACCAAACTATGTCCGAGACGTCGAAGTCCATACACGTCGTCCCCTACTTTCTTCTTGATCTCGTCTCGGGATGCCTCAAGCATGCGCTCCTCGGCCGTTTGATCGCTACCTTCATTGTCTTCCCCCGCGAGTTGAACGAATACCGCAGGACTTAGACTGAGCGCCGCTGCCAATATCAAGCCTGGGCGCCGCGGGGGCTGTCTCCAAAATCGTCCTCCACTACCTCCGCCATAAAATCGCGCGCGGGGCTTAGTGGCGGACCGAATTCGGGGTGCTTGACGGAGGCATAGACGGCCTATGGCCAAGGGCGACCTCATCGTCCCTTGAAGATGGCTTCGTCAATTGTGTGGTTGTTATCGAAACTCCATTGGCAGTACGTTAGGTAGGATAAAAGGCAGCGCGTATGAGTTGAACAAGACGTGACGTCAGGCTTTACAACTCGGCATTCAGGCATGCGTGCATAAATTGTGCCGATATGTACCAAGGGTAGAGGACTCGAATATCAAGATGGAACGTTTCTAGAAGGGGGTTCGCAGAGTCTTGAACCATATTGTCCTTGAGGCTTACGGAGGTATCTATAGATAAGGTACCTTAGGCATGCATATAGTTTTTGAAGATATAGTAGGGAATCTCTCTTTGAGGAATATTTAATCACTTTACCCAGACTAAAACAGTACATGAAGGCTCTTGGGAGTAATACTGCACCAAGCTACAACGTTGCCCTCATAGGTAGCTCTCTCTAATGGACTCCGGGTTTAATATCTTGAATCAGAATTGCTACTCGCCCAGAGTGAAGCTCTGGCACATTCCAACCCTTGTCCAAAGGGTTCCAAGTTCCAGCAGTCCGCGATCCAGCAATCAGCGCCCTTCCCCAGGTCTACATGAACGGCTGGCACCCTTGACCTCATCAGCTGTTAGTGAAAGTATTAGCTTCATTGTTGCGGCTTTGATACACAGGGGAATTGTTGATTGGCCGCGTTTAAGCCGCTATTCACGACGAATATCTCGTACTTTGCCATCGACGTTGCGTGGCATATGGAGCAATTGCCCTTGCTCTGTTCGATGGGGACACGACGACAATAGAAATAAAACGATCGATTGCCCAAAGCAATGGTTTATAAGCCCGATGAGTTGAAAGCAGTGCAAAGTATTCGAGGTACCGTACTCTGTACCTAGTTCTCATATGAGGTTAAAAGTTGATAGGGTGACCGGAAACAGCCGGAGCGAATGGCAAGAAATAAAGATTCGCTGACTGGACCTTTACTTCGCCTTGGCATCCGTCGACCAAATCGCCCATACAATCACATCTTGACGCGCAAAGAAAAAAAACATCAAACCTCATTCAACCGTGTTCCAATACTCCTCCTTCTAATTCACATTGTACTATATCTTCTTCTGATCGGAATTCATAATCACCGTCAATATGGGATGGTTTTGGGCAGACACCAACGCCTCAGTCGCTAACGCGCGAAGTGCTCCTCACCCAATGCCCAGCGATGCCAGTCTATCACCACCCGTAAGTTTTCATTCTCTGCCTTCTGCTCACAACCTAACAAGAAGCAGCCAGGATGCCCGATGCACCAATCTCCCGCCGTGGCAAAACCTCCAGCTCCCCCAGCGGAATCAGCATCAGCCTGCCCCTACACACCCCCAGAAGCTACATCCTCTAAGCAAGAATCCAAATCTTCTTCCAAATACTCCAAATATAACCCTCTGAACTACATGTTCCCCGATCTTTCTCAGGAGCGTGCCCCAAACCAGACCGTTTCCTTGCCCACCGAACGAGAACCAAGTAGCATTCCCAAGGGTTCTGGGGATGGAAACTGGGAATATCCGAGTCCGCAACAGATGTACAACGCCTTACTACGGAAGGGATATACAGACACCGATGCCAGTGCAGTGGAGTCCATGGTATCTGTGCATAACTTTCTGAATGAGGGAGCATGGGCGGAGATCGTGGAATGGGAGAGGAGGTTTGCCGGCGGCCTTAAGCGCGGTTGGGAAATGTGTAAAAGAGGAGAACAGGGCAGTATGGCAGGTGCAGGTCTAGAGGCGGGAGCGAATGAGGCCGAAGTTATCCAGCCGAAATTAATTAGGTTTATGGGACGGCCGAAGGAGATGACGCCCAAGGCTGCTTTTATTCAAATCATGGGGAAGATTTACCCCAGTGCTTTTGCGTACGTTCATTCCTCAGTTTGGATGGTTTGGATAGAGCTAATGATTACTAGGACTGAGCCGCCGTTTGATCGTCATGATTGGTTCGTGCAGAGGGAGTATAAGGGCCAGAAAAAGGAAGTCAGATACGTGATCGATTACTACTCGGGACCTCCGGAACCGACTGGGGAACCAGTCTTCTATCTCGATGTTCGACCAGCCCTTACCCCAACTGCGGCGATTGAGAGGATGATGAGATGGGGAGGAGACGTGTGGTATAGAGCAAGCGGCGCCAGTGTGAGAGAGATGGAGAACAAATAAAGAAAACGTGCCGGGCATACACATCTCCGATCTCATGTGGGCAATTAAGCTTGTTTATTTCTCCCTGGCGCGAGAGACCTGGAAGGGATGACTTGGGTTTGGTTGAGCGTCAGTCAGTACGGTTTCAATTCTCCTTGGTTTTGATGGTACTTGCTGCTGTGTTCCTCCTTTCCTTTCTACTCCTGTGTAATACTATCATGATACCACGGCCATACGATTTCACCTGTCCTCTCTTTATTGATATTCGATATGCAATGAGAAACCAGTGTTGCAAGAATGGACCCTGAAAGACAAGGCGCGAAAGGTTAGGGAGACCGAAGAAGGTAGGAATATCGTTCGAGAACATACACCACGAGGGGGTCATGGATGGCAACGTTTGTGTGTATCTTGGTTGATTGTCTTTCTGCTAAAAATTCTCGTTGGCTTGAATGGAGCTTGATAGTCGGCAAGCCCAGGAAAGGAAGAGTCCTCGTGATATTCAAGAAGGGTATCTGGGGACAAGTTTGCGTCGATGGCTTGCTTGGAATTTAAGTGAGGGTGCTCATAGGTAGCCTTACCCTTCTATCCACATTTCCTCGCTGCCCCTTCCACTCTTGCTCGGATGCTTACACATCTACTCTAGAACATCCTGATTGGGTTCCAACAACACAGGACCTTCGTCCCTAAACAATCTACCTACGTACCGAGGGTCACCAGACTTTAAAACCGGGGGGAGAAAGGACAAACCTCGCGCAGGAATCTCCCAATGATCATCGATATCACTTTGCATTGCAGCTCCTTATAGGTACTAATAAATCTTGGTAACAGACTCTATGGGATACTCGTCACCACGGCCCCAACGAATGATCCATTTTGGGGGTACCTCGTAGGGATTTGTATTGATACATGAATTCTCCCTCCACTCGAATTATCACTCTGATCAAGAACAAGACTGGAAAGGGCACTCGGGGGGCTGGTCTTGAAAGATCCACCCCAGCATACCTAAAGCACCTGGTACAGCTGATGTTCCAGTACAGCTGCTGTGGTATACGCTAGATTCAGAGTCCGATGAAGATTCCGTGCCCGAGGACTTACACACCATATTCCCTCAAGCCGATGTTACTGTTCTCGAGCGGCATACAATGTTCCGTCCGATGATATGGCGCTACAGATGCACGGAAGACGGAGACACAGAGAATGAGGGGGGAAGATGGACCCGGGTATTGCGCCTACTGGTCTACATGAGTTTTGAGTTTGAGCTTAAAGAGCTGCAGGCGGACTCTATCATGCCGGCAAGGCTTGGGCAGAGACAATCGGACTGCCAAAAGTAAAGTGGCGGTGTGTAAACAGGTTCCGGTGGTGTGAACGATTGGTGGGTCTTTGCTCTTGTCTGAACGGTGTTCGCAGTCATGGTCGAAAGTTCCCATTCTCGTGGTTGGGTACCATATGATGATACCGATGTGCAGGAGGTTGCTGTTGTGCTCAGAGCAAGAAGGTCCCCAGTTAGCCCCTTGCATTGTTTGTATGCCTGAGTATCCCAAATGGTGTTCGTAGGGTAGGGATGAGAAATTCCGAACAGGTTAGCCGCCGATTACTGTAGTACAGTATTTATGCATAACTAGCCCCGGACTCCCGATTAGGATTATCGGAACCCGATTTGGTTTAGGGCCTTTTAGCACCCTGTACTATGTTGTCACGCCATCACCTGACCCAGACCACTGGCTACCTCAGACGTCCCATCTACCTTTGTGTGGGCATGAATCCGGAGCAGAAGGCTGGTAGAAGGCTGGTAAGGAAAGCTCCTTCATCGAGTAATATGTTATTATTTCTCTTCGCAATTATTTCAGTGCCTCTTGTCTCACTACTTGGCATTTCTATATTTTACTCTGTCATCAAATCATTGTGATATGTGATAACACAATCCGCTCCCTTCTCGAGAGGCCAGTCCTTCTTCATTCCGCTGTTCTATAGTCGCACTGTGTCCGTCAATAGCTAGATGCTGTTCGGAGTCTCGAAACTTGCGTTGATTCTCTATCTATAAATAACATCGAGTGCGGTGGAAAAAAATATGATAGATCCCCAGGCACTAAGGGGGTGGGTTGTGGAATACAAGGATGGAGGTTTATTCTAGCTCAAGTTCAGCTTAAGGATGCAAGTACAGTTACGTACCTATTCATGCTTCCACCTACTTTTAAAGCAGCTCCCCCTCTCACCCTTCTCCCTTTTGTTTCCTCTGATCAGGGTTGATGCTGATTCTGACACGAATATACATTTTTTACCTTCTATGAAAATGACTTTGTTACCGAGACGAAACACCTTTGCGTCCTGGAATGGGTCAGGTGCAAGTGTTACACCGACTGAGACTTGTTCCATTTCCAGTGATGGAGTGACATTCCTCCCAGCAATGGTCGATGCCTCTTGTGGAACTTCAGCAACACACCATAGACAAACAACTGCGCAAATGTTCCTCAATGACCTGAGGATTGTGACACAAAGCGTTCGATGCATACCACAGATGGCAAGATCCGTGCTTAGTATGAAGTTTGCACGAAGTATCCCTAGGTCTGTGCCAGATATTTGGGACATATGCCTACAAGGTATCCTATCCATCCTGGAATTCTGGGCGTTGATAATTGCGGTCCCCGCTTTCCTCTACCTCCCTGGGATTGTCTTCGTGCCTCTCTGTGGGGTCTTCATAGCTCTCGTCAGGGTATTGTCCTGGCCTTTAAACAAATCGCCACTTGTCAGAACTTCCAGAGGGCTCAAAGATTCAACCAGAGTATTCCCAGAAGAGACATGGATGTTTATCCCCGGTTCGGCAACCAGGTATGCTTCTTTCCTTTTACCAAACAACAACAGGCATATTTAACTCATTTGTAGCAGCCGCCAACTCGCCAGTTACCTCAGGGAACTGCAAACCATCTTCTCTCGTCCCATTCTAGGAATACACAACACGACCTATGGTGTGGTCGTTGACATCCTATTACATCTATCACCGTTTCCTATTCGGAAATCTTCATCCAGAACTTTATACAATCGTCTTCGATATGTGCTTCTCAAGCCGTCAGTGAGTAAAGTGGTGGTACTTGCCCATGGAACAGGAGCTGCGTTACTGGCACAGACCCTGGATGCCTTATTTGTTGATCTAGGCGCTGAATTGATGGGGAAAATCGAAATATACACCTTTGGAAGCGCGGCGAAGTATATGTCGAACCCGTGCTCGGTAGTCGAGAAGAGGAAATCAGACAGTGCAAGAGGTGTCCCGACGAATGGCGCCATGGATTGTCCTCCAAATGTGGACAGAATTGAAAAGCGCAGACGCGCCATACCAGTATGTTCATCCGGATCCTCCCCCTTAATTATAACAACCAGTCAGAGAATTAACTTAAGGATCAGTACATTGAACATTACGCCCTTTCAACCGATCTCCTCGCAGCTGCAGGAATTCTGCACCACGCCATCAAAGTCCTCGATAATAATTACTGCGGACGTATCTTCGTTTTGAACGCACCGTCTTATACCGGCTTTCTGTTCTCCCAGTATCTAGCCTACCTCTTCCCAGCACTGAACCACGCCCAACCAAGCGCAAGATCGGTTCTAGATGAGATTGTGAGGGTAGATACCGCCACAGCCGAAAAGCACGAACTCACCGCGCAAGGCATTTCTTTGCCCATGAGCCCGACGACCGTCAATGGAGAGAAGAAATCGAGTTCTGGAGTGAGAATTATGACGGATGGAGGAGAGAAGGCACGCAGAGGAGCGAGATGTGCCGAGGGGAAGACAGTTAGGCAGCTGAGTCGGCTTTGGATGTATCGTAATGGGGGGTTTCCAGACGGTGAGGACCTTACGCTTAATGCTGTGGATTTAGAGATTGGTGCTGATCTAAGCGACTTGGAGAAGGGGGATGGGTTCGAAATGATTGTGTCTGAGAAGTTCGGGCCTAAGAGGAGGTCTATATGAGCGGAGGTGCGCGGAGATGAGAGCATTGTATGTGCGAATGAGATTGATGAAACGGACAGTGAAGAGGAGGAGTTCAGCAGGTACTGGCGTATATCCGGACTAGGATAGTGTGTACATCTGCAACTCTTTGGCTCTCCTATCTTAGATAGGTAGAATACTGGTAGTAGTCACTGCAAACAAAGGAATTGGTTCTACTCTCATACAACTAAAAGCTTGTTTGTGGTACGATCTCCAGCGTAACAAAAGGTTAGCAAGAACTCTATCATACTACCTACATCAAAGTATAGACAGCACCCGACCTTTTAATGATGTTGAAGTTTGGTACCTAGTCATCATGCCGTACCTTAGGTTAGATATATTTAGGGGTCATTTCAATGAGGACTAGTCTAGGACCACCACCCCCACCAACATTTTGAGAGCACTCAGTCTCTTGATCCTTCCACCAATATGCCAATTCCCTTCTCATGTGTTCCTTCTCTAGAGCCTTTCTTGAACAATTACAATACTCATATCTCAGGTTGTGACTGTACGAAACCGGATTTGATAACGAAATCACTCCTCGTGGTAATTTGCATCCTAACTGAAGGTTCCCGCATATCCACGATTTCGAAGTGAACTGAAAAGGATTTGAGACAGACATTATTTAGATTCGCATTGCCTCGAGAGGCATTAAAACATGCCCTTCGATAAAGTTGGAATCCTTTCATCCGAACTTACGCCTAAATACTGCGTGCGGATTTGGTGAATTTGAGCTGCGACATATTGTCGCCGAGTCACACCTTCTTTACGCCCTCTGTCGCGCGGTCATATTAAAGTCAAAATAACTTTCTCGAATTTCAAAGCTACTAGGTACTGTATAACCTCCAAGTTTTCCACGGAAGCTCATACTGTTTGTTGACACCTCCTCCCGCCTCAAACATCTTGGGCTTCTACAGCTTCATATACTGTAGTCTCGCGAAAGAGAATGACCTCGGAGAGACTCCAGCTGACTTGGGAATATAAGTTTGCTTACCTATTGTTCTTTCAGATACCCGACTATCTACACGAGACGACGTTTGCAGAAGAGAACTATCACCTTAGTTAGGCTTGCCGGGGTCATGTCTTCAATGTAAGTCCGTCTACCACGGCATGTTCAAGCATTCATGCGTTCAGTGCAAGGCCGCGGGTGCTGATAGCGATGAAAGATCTATTAGGAAAATTGATAATGAGAACGCCATTCCGAACGACAATACCACAACCTACCAAGCTGTTGTCTCCGGCATGGGATACCTGGTGTCATCAGATCGTCGCTCCTATTCGGTCACCAGATATGGAGGCCCCTTGGCCCAGTCCCTCGACCACCACATCTACCAGGTCACTCGAACCGGACCGAATTACATCGTCCTTAAGCATAAGCCATGCACCATAAACCGACTCGCGCGGTTCATTGTAAGCCCCTCGGGAAACACCTTCAACGTTATCCGAGAATACAAGGATTTCCAGAGCGTACGATATACGGTCACAAGGAATGGGTCTGAATATGATTTGGGCAACGCTGAGCCCTCTGACCTGGCCAAGATAAAGCCGCACATTGAGGCCCACATACATATTGAGGCGTTTGCGGCGTTTGATGTTGGCATATTTCTGCACGAGTTGGAGAGGAAGAAATTCAGGGAAGATATGACGCTCCTCCATTTGACCGAGGATATGGCAGGCCTAAACAGCTCTGAGGAATCTGATCCTTGGGTAGTTCTTTAGGCGAAGCAGATGGGCAGCCATAAGGAGATGTAAAAAGGTTCCTATTGGTAAAATGAATACTGTGATGGTTTACAATAAATATTAGAGCCAAGCGGGAGAGTGGATTATAGATGCCAGGTCTGGGAGATTGACTTCTGGTCTTCTGGAGTCAGATCTTATATCAACTCCCGTGATATAGGTTGTCTTTGCCTTCTGAGACATCCCAGTCAAATTGTCTGGGTCTGATGGTAAAAGGGTGGGTTTGATCTTTGAAAATCAGAATACGGCTGCTTCTCACTTGAGAGGAAGTGTTCAGGAAGACTAAATAATATATCATCAAACTTGTTAAAGCTTACTGCGTAATGTTTCTATCCTATTCACCTTCAGAGTTTAGGTATTTCCTCCGCTATAGACGTCGATGTCTGCGATTTATGTCAATGATGGGAACTGTGGCTTAAATATGTAGTCTTGGAAATATTCTTGAAAAGGGTATTTTTGTACTGTGTAGATAGACAGAGAGAGAGATGGATCCTGTGAGAGGATACGACACATTTTGAAAGGAGATCTGCTACAGAATCATAGCCATAATTTAGTTCAAGAGGCACTTACCACGTGATTATCCTCTGACTACCCGTCCCCTACCTAGCTGCTCTTCCCCAAATCCTTTCGAAAGAAGGTAGCATCACACCTCCTCCCATCTGGCCAACTCGCATAGTCCCTACACGTCCCCCACTCTTCCCACCCAAGCCTCCTATACATCTCCATCGCCGCACTCTCCGTCGCCGTATCCAGCGTCAGCATCTCCTTCCCCATCTCTCTCGCGAAGTTCTCTACATACTCCATCAGCCTCCTTGCGATGCCCCGGCGACGAGCCGATGGAGTGACCAGCAGTTTTAGGATCTCGGCGCGGTGCAGATGCGTGGCTTTAGGAATGCTGAGCAGCTGGATAGTGCCGAGAACGGAAGGCGGAGCATTGGGCTCCGCGGTAGGTGAGAGAAATATAAAGAGATGCAGATTTCCTTGAGGAATGAGCGAGGCGACTGCTGTCCAGTATTCATTGGCATCATCGGCGGAAAGGGGGGCTAGGAAACCAATCGAGGAGCCTTCGTTGACGCATTCTTGGAGGAGAGTGGAAAGACCTTGTCGATGGGCTAGAACCTCTTCTGAGGTCTTGATTTGGATGATAGTGGGCTCTTCATATCGAGCAACCGGTGTGGAGAGTATTATTGTCATATTGAAGTTGGCGATTTGAGCCGAAGTTTCTCATAGAATGTGGCTTTTATACCGAGATCACGTGCTATGTCTGGATCTCTAACAGACCTACCATGTGAAGTGATGTCTCTACAGTATTAGTAGGTAGGTATCAGAGAGGCATCAAAGATTTTGAAACGAGTGACAAAAAAGACTTTATATATGATGAGCTACCTGGGTAGAAAGTGATCTATTTCAAAGATGTGCACAAAGATGTACAAAGATCTTTCAAAGATTTGTTATACAGGTAGGTATAGTACTGTAAGAAGTTTTGTTATACATTACAAAATCTTTATACAATGTTTGTATACCTTACCTTCTGACTCTGAAGTAGATAGATTACTGTAAGCAGAAATGGAGTCACACATCACAAATTTTTGAGATATCTTTGTACAGACTTAAATCTTGAAATGCAGTGAGAAAGAGGCTTTTGTCGCACATGGTAAAATCTTTAACTGACCTTTGTATACACTTTTCGTCAAAGAGGTTACGATGTGCGACAAAAGCTATCCAACAGGGAGTCAGGGACTATTGGATTGAGGGGTAGTGTATTGAGGGGTAGTGCATTAGAGTAAGGGGTAATGATTCCTGTCTTTCATGCACCAGGGATCAGTTGGTGATTAGGAGAACGTGATCCGTTCCCCGGTAGATGATACCCCAGATCGACAGCAGCCATCAATTGACCCGAATATTGACCCGTCGTCCACGCGGCTAACGGTGAAGTGAAGTGTACGAACTGGAGTGGAAATATCAATCATGCGGCGTTGGCCAAATACTATAACCGAATGATTATATAATACGTCGCTTAAGATCAATGAGACTTCAGGCAGAGTAGTCGATTGTGGACTCCAAGTTCAGGCATGATAATCCTTCGGATGAAAACGCGAATCTATCCATCCGTCTGTGGAGCCTGTGCCCTCTTTTTATCGAGAACCAAAGTACCAAGTGGAACTTTGTACCCTTCCCGAAGCTCTGATAAGGCCGCAGCTGCGAAGTCTTTTGCCGTCTGATCGTCTGATCGCTGTGGTTGCCTACCTGTACCAAATGATGAATCTCGTTGCGATAGAGCCGAGTGGGTTCATGTTCGCCGAGGGTTACTTCACGAATGCATTCTTCCCAAGGACAATGTCCACAAATTCCGCTGGTTTTGAGACAGTCTTTCAGGGAGTTTTATTGGTTCTTCTTTTCCCCTTTCTCTGCTGTAATCTCGGGCTGAATGCTGAGCGCTTGAGTCTGAAGAGCAATAGGCCAGCGTAAAACTATCCAACATGTGAAAAAGCAAGTCAACGAATCTCCCGAGTGGAAGGTCTCTGTGACCCAAAAGCATGCACAAGCTCTCCCGCCTATCTTACGCAGGTAAGAATCCGCGTTCTGCACTTGACAAGTACTCTCCCGGCCGATTTCACTAGTATCATCATTCTATACAGAACCGACAAAGTCGTCTTTCCTCCTAATAGCTTCTCTGGCATGATCTTCGCTTTCGTAGTCAGCAAAGCACCTTAGTGTCCTATATTATCGCGAATAGCCATGGGAAAATGTTTCGTTCCGGTTCTCTTCTACGTTACGTGGCTTTCTAAACTCAAGACCCGGGTCAAGTTTCGTAGCATGCCTGCTACTTCTGCCGACGACTCGGAGCTTTTCCGAACACAAGAGCTCTTTCCCCGCAAATGGGAGGGACGTAGAACGGAGAAAAGGAAAAAAAGTCTGATTAAAAAAGGGGGCCCCGACGTCAAGCTCAGAAATGGCCGCGCAAGCCAACAAATCGGGATCCCAATCGCATAATACGCGATTGTGAAAACTGGACCCCATAAATCCAGCAGTTCATCCCCCATGTCCGTTCACTCCCCCATTCCCCCATTCATTCAACTTTCATTCAACTTTCATTTAATTCATATCAAATTTATACTCAATTCATTTACGATATCATCATGAAGTCCTTCTCTTACGCCCTGGCCCTCACGGCTATGCTCACCGGCGCAAATGCCTCCTGGAAAGGTTTCAACAACCAAGCAACCCTCTCCAACGGAGCTTGTAAGGCTCAGTCCGACTGGGAAAATGACTTCAACAAGCTGAAAAGCTTGCCCGGTGGCTATTCTGCCATGCGTGTCTATGCCGCCTCTGACTGCAACACCCTCGCGAATGCTGTTCCTGCAGCCGTTGCCACGGGCGGGAAGATTCTGGTTGGCATCTGGACTGAAGATTCGAACCATTACAATACAGAGAAGCAGGCTCTCTTGTCTGCGGTCCAAAAATACGGATTTGATTGGGTTGCCGCAGTCAGTGTAGGCAGTGAGGATTTATACCGGGGCGATACCACGGCATCTGCTCTTGCACAGCAAGTGAACGATGTTCGAGGCATGCTTTCCACGGTCAACGGTTACAATAACTCGGTGAAGGTCGGACATGTCGATACTTGGACTGCATGGACGAACGGCCAGAGCACCGATGTCATCAAGGCCTGTGATTTCATTGGCACTGATGGATATCCGTACTACCAGACCGTGAACGCAAACAGCATCGACAATGCTTCCAACCTCTTCTGGCAGTCGGTTCAGGCCGTTAATGATACTGTCCATAGTGCTGGGTCGAATGCACCAGTCTGGATCACGGAGACCGGTTGGCCAACTTCTGGGTCGACAGAAAATCAGGCCGTTCCCAGTGTGCCCAATGCTCAAAGATATTGGTCAGAGGTTGCTTGCTCGGCATTTGGGAAGGTGGATACTTTCTGGTATTCACTTCAAGATTATAATGCCAACCCCTCGTTTGGAGTTCTGGATTCTAACGGCAATCCTATCTATAACTTGACCTGTTAGACATCAGATGTCTGGCAGTCCGTTTCATGAATCCGTTATAAGTCATCGGCGTATCGGGCATATCAGGACGGTGCATTGGGACGGACATATCAGGATGGTACATGTGGACGGTGTATAGGATTGGCATTGGGAAAACAGGAGGAATCAAACTGGATTTGCATAGGATGTGAAGGGTAAACAAAGGATTCATTTGCATTTTCTGTAGCATTAACATTATCACATTCGTTATTCTGTCTATTCTCATTCTGCCGCATCTCATATGTATTCCTCGTTTCAATTTGGGGTTGAGTGGCTTGGCCTGATTCGAAGAAACAAAAGTTTTTTCTTCAAATTTCATCCTCATTGCGGAGGGACTGCTCCCGGCAGACCATGAACCCCGTTACACACACTTTCCAACTCTCTCATTCCAATACTCCCCACCAGCGTATTGCCCTTCCCAAACTCCACTGCCGTGCCATTCGGTGCATAAGGCAACCATCCCTGCGCGGGCAGTCCCTTCACAGGATCACTGATGAAGGCCAACCAGAGATCCTGCATCCTGTGGCTCAGCGTGGTCTCAAAGGGCGTGCTCGGCCCATGAGCAATGTCCGAAGTGCCGAAAAGCAGGGGCAGTTCCGAGGAATGGTACGCCCCTTGCCATGGCCGAGGCGAGATGTTGGAAAAGTTTCCGGCGTAGAGGTAGCGGAATGTGGGAACGCCGACAGCGTAGCGGTTTCTAGGGGAGGTAAGTAATGTTTATAAGAGGGAGGGGGGAAGGAATACTTGGTGGTTTGATCAGCGGGGCAAAGGAACATGTTCAAGGTTGCGGAGTTTGCTTGTGTCCTGTCGGGACCGTTGGGATCCCAACCTACGAGGGACACTCCCTCGTTCGCGTTTGTTCCTATTATTGCAGGCTAGATTTTCGTTATTAAGGGTTCAGTAAACTCCCCAAGAAGGGAAACTTGCCACTTGAGAGAATCCCTTGGCAAGTGCCCTAGTAGTATAGTTTGCAAACTTCGTTCGATTATCGATCACGGGGTTGAAGGAGATAGGCGGCTGAGTTCCATTGTCCTGATAGGCCTTGAGAAAGTTTTCAATTTCCCTACTGCGTATTTTTCTCATGCACGCCAGTTCTGCTGGTGCTGAGAGGTTTCCGCAGCCGAAGTGGCCAGCTACAAACGTGAAATTGGTGTGTGTTGGGTCATTTGTTCCTAAAGGGGTAAAAGCAGTGCCCGAGTCCATAATCAAGCCAGAAACGATGGGATCATGTGGGTATGCAAAGTTGTAGTAGTCTACCGACATCGAGCCCGCCGATTGACCCCATAGCGAGATCCTGGATGGATCACCGCCAAAGGAAGCAATGTTTGAGCGGACCCATTCGAGGCCCAGACGTTGGTCTAGGAACCCGAGATTGAGATCTGTTTGATTTAAAGCTGCTGCATTTGGGAAACCAAAGATATTAAGACGATAGCTCGTCTGGTCAGCGTGTATGCAGAGCTTCGTGATCCGACTACTCACTTGATCCCCACAACGATGTGAGATTGGCTTCTCTGTACCCATTGGCTTGGGATCTGATACGCAGTCTCTCCACCACCGGTCTGAAATGAACCGCCATATATCCAGACAATGACCGGAAGTTTCTGAGTACAGTTACCTTGAGTGGTCACCGGAGCCCAAATATTGAGAGTGAGGCAGTCCTCGGAAGTCTTGCCTGGTGTGATCAAAAAACCCCGTGAGTCTATGTTGTATGTAGATGGTATTGAGCTCTCATATTGCGGACAAGAAGGACTGAAAGACGTTGCATCGATCCTGCTGACGGGAGATTTTACGGTAGGAGGAGACCATCGAAGCTCTCCTACCGGCGGCTCTGCAAAAGGGATGCCGAGGAATTGCGCGACGTTCGGTGTAGTGCCGTTGATCAATCCGTATACAGTTCCTACTGTCGTATCGACCCTCAGAGAGTTGACCGCCAAGCAAGTATCTAAAAGTGATACTACAGCTAGAAGCTTGGAGCAAAGTTGAACATTTAAGTTTTTGAAATGCATCTTTGACTCTGTCTCCAAAAGAATTTTGCACGGAGGTTAGATTTTAGAAGGTTTCCCTACCTTACATATATCTACCTCGACGTCATTTTTCAAGACCAGCGCTCGAGTCTTAAACAAGAGCAGGTTTTAAGACATTACAAATTCCGGGTAATTAGATCGGATATTTCGGAACTTTGCCTTGAGCGCGGGGTAGACAACGCGGGGAGGAGGACAGCGCGGGCAGATAGACAGAATAGATTTCTTGTCTTGTAGATCACTTGTATGCTTCTCGCATATACGGGATAATTGTTGAACTATCATCCCCGTCTGTTCTCGTTTTCCTTCTACCTACTTTCTCCACACTGATCTAGCCAACAACACCTGAGATTTTCCGGTATTTTTTACGTTTTCAATTTCAACATCGAGAAAGATACATGGCATCTTTAAACTCAGATCTATTAGCACCCGTTTTCCCATTTATGCTCTCTATGCTCTTGCTACGCAGGATCTAGGATGTAAAAGAAGCGTCCCCGAGGATAGGAAGTCTTGAAAACTACACTTGGTGTGTATTTGAAAAACGTTCCCGTCATGGGGCTGTGTTCCAATTCACTGCTGATTGCTAATCCAGTCCTTTGGGGCGGCGTATTGGGTCTGAGTAGATGAAGGAAAAGCTTGCAGTCATTGCCGTCATCTTTCTTCGTTGTCATTCCCCTACTTCGTTGCCATATCAATTCTTTCGTTGTCGTTCATCTAGGTACCTTTCACTACCACCCAGATTCACTCCCTCCCCCATATACCCTCTGTATCCCTTCACCTCAACCACAAATCCCAGTCCTAAACATGAAATCGCCTTCCTGAGGTTTGGAACCCATTCTCCTCTCCGTCTCCCACCTCTCCCAATCTTGGATATTGCGAAAGAGGGGGAGAGGCAATCCTTATAACACAACCAATTATGTAGCGAGAAACGACTGCCAATGGTGAATATTATGTATTAAATACTGTTTGATTAAATGCCATGTACTCATGATGCATATCAACGACATCTAATCGTTGAGTCTGAAAGCTATGCGCTTAGATCCACGCGTCTCATCTAAACAAAGGAGATATCGACCCCAACCAGGGGATACGAATATGGGTATGTTCCAATCTTTTCTTTTCTCGCTCCCAAAATGCCAGCAAATCCCATCTCGTCTGTGTATCTCATTCTGTATGCAAGGGTATCACGCAGTAAAAAGCAACGCTAATTAAACTTGATCAGTCATCCAACTTCGTGAAAAAAGCACGATCTCCTTAACTCCTCCTCCCAAATCTGAGACTCGCCCACTTTCCCAGAAATCCGGGCTTTTGCTTCCGACTTTTGGCATTATCAGCATCGCTGTGCGCTTTCTCTTCGGGCAGGGCCAGCCTGTACCGCCGGACGCTGCCGGCATCCGAATCTGCATCGTCGCAGTGGAATCGGGTCCGCCGTGAAGTCGCGGGAAGCATGCAATCGGGGACTAGCTTATTAAGGAACCCCCGCATGCCTCTACTCGCTGCGTCAATCGCCGCATACTCCAGCCTTCGCGTCGAGTCCGAAGTCCAATAGTGTACTGTAGCAGGAGGCGGAGGGGTTGTTGCAACGCAGTCTGATTCAGATGGTGCTGGTTCTTGTAGCGAGGGGAAATAGAAAAACTGATGCGGGGTCTCGTTGGCAATATTGGCAGAAGCTTGCCGGGTACGCACAGAGGGCCTTTGGGACGAGACAGAACTGCGATTCCGTGAAGATGGACTTCCTTTGGTAGCTCGTTTTGTGGCTGGTCGTGTAGTGGTAGGGGTGCGTTTCGCCCTCGAGGCACGTGTTGAGGAGCAAGAGGTTCGCTGTGAGGAGGCTTGTGAGCGGACGCCGTCAGAGAAACCGGAATCTTGGCGGCTCGTTCTGAGAGATTCGAACTTGGGGGAGGATGGTTCGGGTTGTTCTCTCGACGGTGATGTAGGCCGCCGGGAAGATATGATCTGCGGCTCTGGTGTAGGATATCGGTTCGAAACAGGGGAGGGTGGACGAGTCGTAGAGAGACGGCTAAGTTCCAGATGAGCGTGTGCTGAATAGAAAGTTGCAGCGTCAGAATTCACACTCGATAGGCTTCGATTATGCCAGTGTGTCTTGAGCGGAGGGAGCTTGTTCAGGCCATTGGGAGACATCTTGAGGGATGGGGTTCTCTTCGTGCTTTCTGGACCGTGATAGTGAAGGATTCCTTAGCAACATTCTTTTCTCAGCCTATATACGTCGAAGAGGTAGAAGAGAGAGTTCTGGACTGTGTTGTAGTTGCGCGCTGGAGCTAAAGTCGAAGCGGGGAGCTTTGGCGGGGGAGTAGTTCAACATAGATGGGCCGGGTTATGGTTCCTCCAATCCCGTTCTGTCAGTAACAACTTGTACGCGTCAAGATGGCAAGTAACAAGCGTTGCGGCAAGTCTTGTTCCTCAAAACGGGATCGTGGGTCGAGCCAAAGTTTTGCCTCCGATTGCGTGGTTGTGAATAATGTCGTCGATATTATATCTTAGCCAGAGATAGCTGACGAACCCCCTTCGGATAATAATCTTAGCGTGGAGTTCGAGATCCGACGTGATAAGCCTCCAACACTGACTCGTGGCACTCTGAGGGCGAAAGGGGATTTGCGGTGAAGGAGTGAAGGGCTTGAGAGAAATGAGATATGCTCGTGGAGAAAAGATCAACGGAATATGATTTGAGAGTGCTTGCGGACGGGCCTTGTAAGTCGTGACCGCCACGCCCTGCAGCAATTCCGGCGGATGCACTGCAACGGCAGCGTGCAGGTTGTCGACCGTCCTGCGTATACTAGCACTGCTAGCAGCAGCAGCAACGACTTCCGATTAGTAATTCTCCTGCGATTAGGACAAGGAATGGGATCTGATTTCGTTGAATTCGTCCGATATCGTTTCTGCCGCGGGGGGAGGCGACGCGGTGAGTAGATGGAGCAGTCTGGATTGTGGGACTGAGACCTGGGACTTGTGGACTTGGACCTGGACTTGGACCCTGGATGGCCCGCCAGGAGTCGTTCTGGGTTCTGGAAGATTGAGAGCTTGTAGGTGAGCAGTTGAGTAGTTGTCCTCAATATCCCGTATATCAGCAGTTCTCCTGACACATTTTCAAGACACCGTCCATCTCTTCCCCTTTATTATCCCATGCCCTCGGGAGAAGATCGAGCATGTGGATGCTCTCCACCGCATGGCATGCCAAGGGTACTCGAGGCATATCGCATGGCAGAGCCAGTCCACGCGTGACAGCGACTGGCAGGCGAAACCGTCTCCATTATTCTCCCGATCAACATCAAACGAAGGAACTTGCCATGTCCTACTGCTGTCTCCTACGGAATGCACCACCGTAAGTACCCAGGTACCTCCGGAGCAGCGCCTGGGGTCTGGGCCCAGTCTGCTCCACCTCGGCAACGAGCGCATCTTCCCCTACCAATCAATCATCTTCTACGGTCCACCTGCTTTCTAGGCCTCGTCGAGAAGAGTGCTTGCATGTCACTAGATGTCACTACGGTAGTATGGTGCTACACCGCCATCACTTGATCAAGTTGATCTCTTGGGGTCGTGCTGGTATGGTACGGAGAACCATTCGGCATACCTACCAACGCCAACTGCCAATAATCAGAGGCATATGTACCGCGCGCTGGATGATACGCAGGAGAGAGAAGACGAAGCGCTGCCCCACACGTGGAATTGCTTCACTTGTACTCCGTAAGTCCAGAGTGAGGCTTCCGCAGAGCTCATCTCCAGTATTGGGCGATTGGATAGAACGCCTTCGCGACGAAGGACTATTTTCGGGATCAGCAATGGGAACACAGCATATGGCTTGATATTGTGGCGTCAAAACTTGACCGCTTGGAAGCAATTCTTCAGGATCACGGATTAATATACAGCAGCCCCCAATATTTCAGACTGCATGGGACTTCCGAGGGGATACTCAAGCAGAAGGGGCCTTTTTGGAATCAGAGCAGCCTCGTCCAAGCAGTTATCATGCCTCTTGAGACTTTAGAATAGCCTCAGCGACACGCTCTCCATATCTGTAAAGGTAGGTCGACTTCGCACGTGACTACATGCACGTGACTTATCTCAATACCTCGAAATAGTCTGTTCTGGACATTGAAGAGGCTCAAGGACCAAACGGAGCAGGACTATTCGATACTTCATGCATTATCGAGAATGTGGATCTCACTCCTTATCGTCAGGTATCGACGGTAGTCGGTGGCCACTCATGCTAAGTCAAACTAAGTGGAGGCAAGAAAGTCAACGAACTTGAACAAAGAAGGAACAGCACTCATAGTGTTGAGCTTATATCTAAAAATGCCTCTTGCCTTTGACCAGAGGGTGGATCACAGCCCTAATAGCGGGCTCAACTGGGGCTTCTATCTTCCACATATCCATTGGACGACCGAGTGTGAGGCCCAACTTTCCTACCCGAAGACATGATCGAAGAGTAAGCTTGTCCTTGCCATCCATGGAGACCCTTTCAATATCAACGCTTGTCTATGATTCGATGGTTCTAAAGCCGATTTGATGCAGGTACAAGTGTCGAGTTGATCCCGAGCAGCCGGAAGTCCGGCGGGAAGAGACCACCCAAGATGTCGAGCCAAAGTTTTATCTTCGAAGTTTGAGCCAGTGCGGACATTTATTAGTTGACGTAGTAGTATTTCCAGCTATGATGTTGGGAATTTCCGCCAGGTTAATGCGATCGCCTCTTTTCCAAAAGTCTCTGAAGTCCAGAAGCTCTGGTATACGTCATGTTTATTTTGGCTCTATAGCGAGACGGAAAGAGACTCTGGACTATACCACGATATCATATATCGGATACCTCTGGATATTTTCTTTTTGTTGGATAAAGGATACGCTCCTTGATCCCAGAATGTTTGCCCTCGAAGTAAGTTGACGTGCTTAACTATTGAAGTTATATGGTATGGAGGGAGCTTGTCTTCTCATTCGAAGTGGCCGGACAAAGTATTGTCTTCATAAAGCCTTCAAGGGCATGCATGTAACGTGGATTTTTTCTGTCGCCATCAATCAAATACGTCCAGGCAAAAAATAGATCTTCGAAGTATCTGAAGAAGATGATATTTTATGAAGGACCATCATCAAAGGAAGTTGTCTTCAGATGGGCTTCCGAATGAAGCAAAGTGTCTCTTGCTTGTACAAGAATGGGATTTCCGGCCATTGCATGGGATTCTGATGCACTGCGATGTTTCTCTGCCCCATATCGAGATCATAACTGAACAATTCCCCCCCCCCCCCCCCAAAAAATCCCCCAACCACAACTGTCTCAACAGACAGGAAATAGACTTTTCATAAACTCTCGCACGATGCTTTGGGCACGGCAGATGGCATAATTACATTCAGGAACCATGAAGAAACCATGCCAGCAGTAGCAGTCCTGCACAGTCAATATCTGCCAAACTGCAAAGATGCACCAGTCGCGAAGCAGAGACCGCATACCGTCTCAGAATCCATTTGTCATGCAAACCCGAAGGGTTAGAACATATTGCTGCGATATTTGAAAAGAAGGCGTTGTTTATTTTTTTTTTCCCCCTTCTTCGTATGCATAGGGACAAATAGTAGGTAGTACTTTTGTGCGCATTGATCCTGGATCAACCCAACCCGACGATACAATGATCAATTGACCAATTCGAGCATATATTCCCCAGATCATGCAAACAGTATCAGACAGCAGAACACTTAGCGACATTGGTGTAAGATGAAAAAAGTATGAAGCAGCAAAATTCTAAGAATTTATATAATCCAGGTGTCAACTACCTCATGCGGAGGGAGTATAAATAGATGTAAGTCACTCAAGCAAATCCAAAGAAAAATTAAAAAAAGAATTACAAAAAAAGAAACCGACACCTGTGTGATTCGAACACACGCTCCCGAAGGAAATGCCTGGATGCTTTGTTTTTGACAATAGCAGGGCATCGCGTTAACCACTCCGCCAAAGTGCCTGATTCGGTGGTTGTTGTTGAATGAAAATCGCTTATTTGGAATTGAAAGTTCAAACGCGCTTTTCCCTTTCCCTTTTTCTTTGGTTTGGATTCATTGTCACGTGGCCCAAATCCTTTTATTGCCAGGTACGGTACCCCCATTGATAGCAACTTGTTCATAGTTGAACTACGGCTCTGGTTTTTTCGACTTCGTCTTCATCTTCAACTGAAAATGGCTTTCTGTATTTCAATATCACGAGAGGCTAACAGGCTGACAGGCTCTGATGCTCTTTGGTTCGAACATACCGCACTCCACCCGGAACAAAATCCCTAGAACTCCAGCAAATCATGAAGGAATGACCTTAACTTCCATCATCCATGTATCGGGCCGAGACCGCACGTGGTGAGATTCAGCATGTCTCGAATAGTCGCAAGGAAGGGCTTCGTATTGTTCGAGTCTTTGGATAATTCAACTTCGCTTCTGTCTCTCCTCTCCTTCTTCCCGATGCCGCCTTTCTTTGTGCTTCTCTGCGGGCTGGAAACTTGGAAAGTCTTAGTCTTGTCTTACCTGAAAGTTGAGCCCCTTGGACTTCTTGGCTGCTAGATGCTGTAAGGACGGCATTTAGAAACTTCCATTGCATCCGGAGGAGTGGGGGACCACATCGTGTGAACCTATTGTTCTGCAGGCACCCGCATACTCCACATAACTACGCGGATGAGTGTCTCTTCCTCTTGCGGTTGTTACTGTGTTACTGCGCATTCTGTTATTGCGGTATATTTGCAACTTCTTTCTTCGAAACCTGCCATGCTGCCCCGTTACAGGCGTCTCGGCATCGGGGCAGGCCATGGGTGCTCGGCAGCCCGAGCTGACCCCTCGCAGTGTAGCTGGCATCCCGAAGGCTGAAGCATTATTCTCAATTCTTCCGCACCTGCTTGTTGCAGCCTTCCGTCAGCCACCGCGGCTCCAGCCGTTGACAGCGGCACGAGCCAAAACGGGTCACACATCAGTCGGCTGACGGTCGTGATGTACGGTGTTATGCCTCATTCTGAGTGACACATGCCGCCAGGTGGAGCGGTTAGGTGGAAGTCGAGAAGTAACATAAGAAGATGTTGGTAACCGTTGGATTTCTCTCTATCTCAAAGCTCAATTACTTGAGCTTCTCCAATTCAAGTCACGATGTTCCTTCAATTCAGACAAGTCCTGGTGAGTTTGGCATTGGCGACACTCACACTAACACTCCAAGCCAATGGGTTCGCCGCGCGGATAGATACGACGCCAGGACTCAAAGGAAAGAGATACTTCATTGAAGAAGATGGCATCAAGCGTACCGTGTTTGAACATGAAGATACTGGTGCCACAATTGATTTTGTAACGAACTCTGGTATCTGCGAGACAACCCCCGGTGTGAATCAATACTCTGGATATATCTCTGTTGGCAGTAAGCCTGGTCCTATCTCCTCTTATACTTAGTACAGCTGCTGATTTGGACTTCTAGAGAACATGAGTATGTGGTTCTGGTTCTTTGAAGCGCGCCATGAGCCGGAAACTGCCCCTTTTGCACTATGGTTGAATGGCGGTCCAGGATGCTCCTCAATGCTTGGTTTATTCGAGGTAAAAAACACATTCCCTCCAGATAGTGATTGAGAACTAACTATGAGGTAGGAAAATGGCCCTTGCAAGTTCTCCAACAATGAGTCTACTCCGTCCCTAAATCCATATAGCTACAACGAGTACGCCAATATGTTGTATGTTGATCAGCCAATTGGGACTGGTTTTTCGTATGGAGACGACACCGTGAATTCTACTGTCACTGCTGCTCCATATGTTTGGAAATTGCTGCAAGTTTTCTTTGCCAATTTCCCTCAATACGAGTGTCGTGACTTTGGCCTTTTCACAGAGTCGTATGGCGGGCATTATGGACCAGGTAAGTTTGGCCACAATCTAGGTTTACTATCATATTGATATAATCAGAATTCGCCGACTACTTTCAATCTCAAAATGCTGCCATTTGCGACGGGCACCTGGAGGCCGAAAAAATCGATCTTGTTGCCCTCGGAATCAACAATGGGTAAGGAACTCTAGAGCATTTTTTATTCCTCAGACATGTCAGGGGACACGGGAGCAGCAATCCCCGGCCATACTCCCTCAAACCCCTTTCCCACTCCATAGGTAATTACTGACTTCCCAATCATATAGATGGTACGATGCCAGTATCCAAGAGAAAGAGTATATCAATTTCAGCCGCTACAACAGCTATTACCCCCTCATCAACGAGTCCACCTACACGGCATACCTGAACGCATGCGAGACGCAGTGTCTGCCCGCTCTCCAGAACTGTACCAGCACCACCGGACAGCTCACCGAGTGCAACGCCGCCCAAACCGCCTGCGACATTGTAGACACCGCCTACGGAAACTATTACCCCAGTTTCAACGCCTACGACATCCGGCAGCCTGGCACGGGGCCCAGTTTCCCACCCGATACGTATGTTGCATATCTGCATGATCCGGCTGTCATGAAAGCCATCGGCGCGAGGAGCACTTACACTGAGTGTCCTGAAGCTCCCAGCGTAAACTTCTGGCTCACCGCCGACTGTACGCCATCCCCTCCCCCTCTTCCCCCCTCCCTTTTACAATCCAACTCTAGCTAACCAAACAAAAAAACAAACAGCTTCCCGTTCTTTCGAAGCGACGCTCTCATCCGTCGTCCAGTCGGGAATCACGACCGTGATGTTCGCAGGCGATGCCGATTCGGTCTGCGATTGGTTTGGCGGCCTCGCGTGCGCGAACGCGGTCTCGTATCCAGGGGCGCCGGCATTCAGGAATAAAGAGGTGGCTAATTATACGGTGAATGGCGAGGTCAAGGGGACGTTTAAGAGTGTGGGGAAGCTCAGCTGGTTGAGGGTTTTTGATTCAGGGCATGAGGTGCCTGCGTTTCAGCCCGAGTTGGCGCTGCAGGTTTTCAAGCAGACGATGCAGAAGAAAGGCTTGTTTTCGACGTAGATTAGGGGGGATTTTGCTGGAGATGTGTAGCAAGGATACGGGATACGGGATACTTTTCTTGAGTGTTGGATTTTGCGATAGAGATGAATTGTTTAATGGCCTGCAAAGTCTACTAGAGGTAGTTTAAGGGAATAGGCATGGTTTGTGTGTTTCCCAATTCCATTGCTGGTTTCTGAATAGCTGCTGGATTCTGATTGAAGTCTTTGAAAGAGGGACAAATATTTAGGCGTAATGGTATGGTTGCCCCCTAGCCCCCTTTTTCGAGGTGTGATTCTTGGATTTGATTAGAGCTACTACTTACTAACTGCCAATTGGTCGAATTACTAATCTAATTCCAAGATATCTCACATCTGAGAGAGAGCTCTACGTGAGGTTTACCCTGAGCCCCCTATTCTGTATCCCCTCTCAACGCATTATAGAGTGCGATGTCCTCCTTGGGACCTCCATCAGCTTCAACGACAGAATGTGAACCTTCTATGATGACACTTACAGCTTCCAAACCTCACACCAACAAGGATGAGGACACGCCATGGCCCTCCCTTAACCCAGGAGAATCAATAGAGGGATCACCATCCCGAAGCTCAACTCCGTCGGTAACGCGGCTTTTCCGCTGAAAAGACGCCGCGATATCCTCGAGGCTCATGCCCCGGGTCTCCGGCATAAACAAGACGCAGACTGCGACGACTAGGAGCGAGGCGCCGCCAAATAGGAAATACACGCCACACGAAGAATGCGCTAGGAAGATGGGGGTCGTAAACGCCACGATCCAGTTCACAATCTAGGATGCATTAGCCAGGGCGAGGATGGAAAGGGTAGGATAGGATAGAATGTCTCACCCAGTTTGCGGATAGACTCAGGCTTGCGGCGCCGGCTCGCGTGCGGCTGGGCTGTATCTCCGAGACGTAGACGCGGAAGCCGACAGCCCAGGTGGCGCTGAAGACGGCGGTGAACAGGTAGATCATGACGATGACGGCCCAGCGGGCGGCGCCGTGCGAGGCGTGCACGCTGCCGGAGGCGTAGAGGCAGCCCATGGTCAGCATGCAGCAGGCTTGCAAAAGGCCGCCGACAATGGTGGACGTGGTGCGGCGCCAGCGGTCGGCGAGGAGGATGGCGGGGATGGTGATGAGGAGGATGAGGAGGGCGGAGACGCCGGAGGCGAGGAAGGAAGCGGTGCTGCTTTTCAAGCCGGCGGATTGGAAAAGGAGGGGCGCGTACTGTTAGACATTTCCTCAGTCTGGTCCTTGAGAGCGAAGGGAAGCGGGATATACGTAAAGGACACCATCGATGCCGCTCAGTTGCTGCATGCCCATCAGAAACGCTCCGAGGGCCGTCTGTCTCCAGACATCCTTCCCGAATACAGCAAGAAGATCTTTCATCCCAACTGGCTCCGGTACGGTGGAGTTGGCATTTTCTTCACTCTTCTCTCGCTCTGCGGCTCCTATGCCGAGCTTTTCCCATACAGCAAGGGCCTCTTCATGCCTCCCACACCCTGTCAACCAGCGGGGACTTTGAGGCGAAAAAAGAAGAACAGAGACCGTGAAAATCAATGCGACGAGAGCTTGCAGAGCAAAGGGCAGACGCCAGGAAAGTGACGATGAGATCTTCACACTGCCATAGCAGACAAAATACCCTGTGCAAATCCCTAATGCAATCATAAGCTGCGGAATAGATGCCAGCGTCCCTCTGGAGCGCGGCGGTGATATTTCCGTGATATACCTACGAAGATTAAGAAGTCAGTCTTTCAACCCACCACCCCCTTCTCGTATAGGGTACCATCGTTGAGTGGGATATACATACACAATAACGGTACTCAAGAACAGCCCCTCGCCGATACCCTTCACCGCTCTCCCCGCAAACAACATGCCCAGTCTAACACTCGCGCTCTCCACCGCAGCACCCAGCCCGAAGATCCCACCTCCTACAGCGACGGCTCTGGGCCTACCGACCAAATTAGCGACATGCCCGCCGAAGAACGACGATAGCGCTGCGGTGATCAGGATCGTGGAGACGACCAGGCCGCGGACGGTAGAGGTGAGGGTGCCCAGGCTGTCGCTGAATTGAGGCATGCTGGTTATAGGCCCTATAGTGCCCGTATCAAGACTTGATTGGAGTCATTAGTCTAAGTCTGGCTTCTAGAGGACAGAGGTAGGTAAGTACCCGAAAAGAATCCCACCGAGAGAAATGAGGATCGAGACCTCGACGTATTTCGAGACTTGGAACATGGCTTTGTCCTTGAGACCAAACCGCATAGATCTGTGTATATATTTTTTCTTCCAAAATGGACTCGACAAGAACGGTGTCTTTGTTTTTGAAATCCAGCACGCTTCTCTATTCCCCTCCTCGCCTTCTCTCCTTCCTTTTATATCTCTCCGTCTGAATCCAATTCCAAACAAAAAATCTGAAGAGAGATATCCGAGTAAAAATGTCCTCCTACCTACCTTCCCACAAATACACAACCTTATGGAAGCCTGGAAGGTCTGCCGAGTTCGCTGTCCTTGCAGCAAGAGTGGGATAATATAGGACACTGTGTATAGCAGCACTTGCAGGACAGCAAAGCGATGACAAAAAGAGAAAAGAACAGAAAAAAAAACAGAAAAGAAATAGAAGGTTGGCCATCATGAGGTCATCTTGATTGATTTTGCGTATATCTAGATAGCCTATATGTATAGGGCAGGGAGGAGAGGGTAACTCAAATGATAATGGGAAACAAGATGTTCGATCCCGCGCAGCATTTCAGTGGTTGGTTTTTTATTCGTCACCACGTGACACCCAGTTCATGTGACTAGGTACAATGTGCAAAACCGACTCAACCCATACCTGTTGAAGAAGAGTAGAGGGTAGTTGTCGAACACAGATAGGTCTTGGATCTGAGGCACTTTTAGTAACCAAGGGAAGTGAAGTGAAGAAAAGGACTTGCGATATGGACAGAGGAGATAAATGGGAAGGCCTGATTAGGGAAAGTAAGGAAGGCTTATTATATACGTGGGTTTGTTTGAGACTTATCAACATCATACCTATCATTACGACGCATTATCCCAATCCCCCCAACAACGAGTAACAGCATCCTGCTTAGACTCTGATCCTACCTATATAATAATCATGAAAACTAAGCCCCCACCCCCAGCAAATCAGCGCCATCCGACAAATACAATGAACCGTAGCCAAAACCTATAGACATCACACATTGCCTCACATCAACCCCTGATATGCCGGTAAAAGGCGTCAATTGACTTTCTTTACGGCCTTCGTAAATTGCATGTCCGTCGTGAGTGACCCATAGCTCGCAATCCAAGTATCCTTTAAGTAATTATTTCTCGGTTTCCAAGGCCCCACGTTGGACGTTCGCGGCAACATTTCCTTCGCCTTCTCAATGTACGTTGAACTGAGATTCAGCAATGGTTTCGACGGCATAATCGTTCCCTCCTTCACTCGAGGTGTGGCTGATGCCATGTCGTTTTTGTCCATGTATTTCAGTAATCTGCAGACATGTAGCGCGGTGGTATCTGAGCCCAGTGTCCAGGAGGCATTGGTGTAGCCTATGACGAAGGCGGCGTTGGGGACGTCTTGTAGCATCATGCCTTTCCAGATGAATTTCTCTGATGGGACAACGGGTTTGGAGTCAACGCTCATTACAGCGCCGCCCGCGAGCTGCATTTTCAGGCCTGTGGCTGTGACTATGATATCCGCGTCCAGCTTCTTTCCCGACTCCGTCTCAATGCCCGTCGCAGTAACCTCCTTGATCTTGTCCGTCACGATATCCGCAGTGCCATTACGGAGAGATTTGTAAAAATCGGCATCAGGACAGACACACAATCGCTGTTCCCATGGAGAATAAGATGGGCGGAAATTCGGGTCATGAGGGATGCTTTTCGGGAGCTGCTTTTCTACGGCTGATCTAAGGATCCTGCGAGCAGCACTTGGAAACCTGCAGCAGAATTTATAGAATAAGTAAGGTAAGATGAGGGATTTCCAGCGTATGACTTTGAGGGCCAGCCACTTAGGGAGAAATCTGCGGATCAACTCGCCAGATGGGTCCACCGATGGCAATGGCAATATGTAACTGGGGCTGCGTTGGAGCATTGTTACTTTGGAGGCTTTTTCGGCGAGGCAGGGCAATAAAGTTACAGCGGTGGCACCACTGCCAACCAATACCATCTTCTTGCCTGTGAAGTCGAGATTTTCGGGCCAGAATTGGGGGTGGACGACTTGGCCTTTGAAATTATCGATACCAGGGATGGTGGTTTTGAGAGGCTCTTTGTAATCGTAGTATCCTGTACTCAAAATCACAAATTGTGCCCTCAAGACCTTCTCTCCATTATCCGTGTCAAGCGAAAGCGTCCATTGTTGATTTTCCGACGACCAGTCGGCTGCAACGAGTCTGTGGTGGAATTGGATCTTGCGATCAATGCCATAAGCTTCGGCGCATTCTCGTATATAGTTGCGAATCGAGGCCCCGTCCGCGATTGACTTCTGCGCGGTCCAAGGACGCCAAGGGAATCCGAAGGTGTGCAAGTCTGAATCTGATCTTTCTCCAAGTTAGCGGCAACATTTCCGGGTGAAGAGCGAGAGTTCTGATGCCATTCCCTGAGTCACAAGATAATCTGGGACCAAGCATGCAGAAATATGTTCGGGAGCACGAACCTGATACCTGGGTAACGAAAGAAATCCCACGTCCCTCCTATGGCACTGCGCGCCTCAATGATGGTGTAGCTGTAGTCTGGTAATTCGGTCTGCACACGATATGCCGCGTTGATGCCAGAGATGCCAGCACCGATAATGGCCACGTCCACGTCCGCGAAAGCTGTGCCTGTGCCCGATCTTGGGTCTGAGTCTTTGGTTATGGATCCCATTGTGCAGATGAGGTGCGTATATGTAGATATCGCTGTTCAATGGGGGAACCAAGGGAGGGAAGACGAAGAGAGCGGCAGAGGAGAGGAGGGAGGTTGAGAAAATAAGAGAAAGAGACAAAAGGGGAGGGAGAGAAAGGAAAAATGGGAGAGATCGAAGAGGAGACTTCAATTCACCGGAAGAGACAGAAGAAGCAGCAAAGCGCCGAGGTCCATCCAAACGGCAGATGCAAAAATGCTGAAGATTCGCGCTGCATGCTCCATACAGAGCAAAGGCTATTCGACTTTAGAGTTGTGTACTCGGTAGTCTGAGTCTGTGACACTGTGATTATTGTAGAACAAATCGAAGTACCGAGGCACCTGTGATGCTCTAACTGCACACACCATGATGCATCCATTCACAGCCAGGTCGCTGCCTGCTCGTCTGGTTGACTGAACCAGCATTGATTACGTTGCAACCAGTGCCCCTTGCCTGCCTCCGTCTATATTATTGGATACCACATCGCCCCGCTAGAGGTTCTCCGAGGTTCAAAATTTAGATCCTTGTTGGGCGAGCGAGACTGGGGCGATGAGGATTCGCCGTACCGCGGGCCCTGGGGTAAGTCCCTTGGTTCTACTAAAAGCGGTAAGGCATTATTGAATATTGAATCTTATCGATAAGTCCCAAAAGAGATGCTTCTCCGAGAGATAAGGCGAGGACTTCAGTTCAAAAATATTCATTAACCTTCTGGATCTGAGGGTATATAAGAAAGTTCACTCCTCACAATCCCATCGCACCAATACTCATACTGGGAGGCAGATCCTCCTCCTTTGTTCCCCAATCACTTTCGCTCTCGCCCAGGACCAATTCGAGTGTCATGCCTTCTGTAAAGAACTCATGCCCGATCCAATTCCTCCTATATGGCACCCCGTTCAGCGTTGCATTCTGTATGTAAATTCTCGTATAGCCTGGATCAAAATTTATATTCCGGATCGTGGCCGTCTTCCCTGTCTGCGGGTGCCTAAAACTCACACTCTCGAAGAAAGGGGGCGAGATAAAATAGACATTCTGGCCTGGGTTGGGAAACATTCCCATCATGCAGAAGGCTGTAAAGGATGCCATGGCACCCGTGTCGTCGTTTCCGGGGAGACCGGTAGTGGCATCGTTGAATTGTGATGGGATATAAGAGTGTATACGTTCAGTAGAAAGGGCGGGTCGGCCAGCATAGTGGTAGAGGAAGACGGTAAGGAAAGAGGGTTCATTGCCTATATCTGTGAGGCCGCTAGTGTGAAGGAAGTTGAGTCGGTTTATGAATTCATTAGGTCCGCCGAGAACAGAGATCAGAGTTGAGAGATCCTGTGGGACGAAGCTGGCTTGGAGTTAGTGGATGTTAAGAGGTCAGTGATAAATGGTACGAGAGGAAAGGGATAGTACAATTGGTACTCCCAAATGGAGTCTTCGAATGTCTCCTGGGGGTTCGAAGTTAAGGAGCAGAATCCATCAAGCGGACTGCAAAGTATTGGATCTTGAAATCCCCATGTCCCGTTCAAGTATCTCGGTTGGAAGAAGCCCGTAAATCCAGTATCGTTCCCATTGATGTAAGATGTTTGGTCTGGCTTGAAAAGATTCTTCCAATTTGTTGCACGAGCCATATATTTCCTATAATCATCCTCTTTCCCTAGACCCTTTGCAAGTGTCGCAACACAGAAATCATTGTAAGAATACTCAAGCGTTCTTGAAATACTCCTCGAATTCGTACCAAAACCAAGATAATCGTAATCCAAGGCCGGGATGTAGTTCAATGCTTTCCAGCTCATCAATCCACCTCTCCCTTCATTGGACCAATCCAAGGGTTCGTTTTCGGCATCATTGACAACTGCTTCGTAGGCAAGCGTCCAGTTTATTGGTACGGGACCGGTCAGATTCTTCACAAATGCGTCGGCTATCACAATGTCGGCATTCGATCCACCTTGTGTAAAGCCTTTGCAGAGACTCATGCGACAATCTGGAAGCCAACCAAGGTGCTTATAAGTGTCCAGCAGGCTACTAACCATAGAAGAGAGGGTATCAGGATCGACTATGGTAAGGAAAGGGAGCTGAGAGCGGAATGCATCCCATATACTAAGCGTCTTTCAGTAAGCAAGAGGGAACACCAGCTCTTCAGGACGTACCAATAGAAAGAATCAAAATATGGTTGGTCACTTTCCCAGAGGGGATTTTCACCTGTATAGTTTTGCGGAGACATCATAGTCCTATAGATCGCGCTCCAGAAATTGGTCTGAAGGGAGTCGCTAGCTCCCCCTGGCACGACCGATACTACACCCAATTTCCTTCTCCAGATATCCTTTGCAGTCTGTTTGATCCCTTCAAAATCCCACTGAGGACCCGGTATCTCAGTTTCGGCATTTTGACATGCTTTGTCGGCGCTGATGAAACTGACACCAACCCTCGCGCTCAGAGTGCCGTTCTCGGGTCGATCGAACCGCACAAAACTGCCAGCTTCGATATAGAAAAGATTGATCCCCCGAGTGACGAAAAGCTGTTTCGGTTCCGTTCCCGCACGGTTGTTGACCCAGATACCTGTATCTTTGATCGAAGAGCCGGAGAAATCAGCACAGAAATGTAAGACGAAAGACCCGTCCCCAAAGCTAGGAAGGAAGGTTCCGTTCCCTTTCATCCTCCCATCTGCATCCATACTGACCGTCGCATTCTGTCGACTTGCATCAAGGTCTGTCAGATCCAGTAGAATCATTGGGCTGAGAGTTGTTCCATTCGCTGTGCTTTCCGGAGGAAATGTGAAGTGGTATAGAGCAGCATGCTCTGTGACCGTCATCTCTGCCTGTATACCATTCACGAGACTCAAAGCAAAATACCCCGGTGTGGCCACCACAGAGTCATTGTCATAGTGGGTCGCTCGAGCTTCTCGCAGGAAGTTGCAATTATCCAGGATATCATCTGGGCAATATTGTGGAAAGAGTGGAAAGTTTCCTAGTGAGGGATTCCCTCCTGTTCCCGAATCGTGCATGTGGGAAAAGCCCGTCACATTGCTGCCATCAGTGGAGAACCCGCCGGTATTTTGGCCATCAACGTCGGCCACTGCTTTTGCCATCCCGTACGGGAGAGTGGCTCCAGCGAAAACATTTCCTCCATTATCAGTTCCAATTAGTTGATTGATGTACTGGAATACATCAAATGTGGAATTCTGAGAAGCTGCAACTTGCAGAAGAAATAATATCTGGATCAGCCTGACTACTTGCAGTATTGAAAACATGGTAGAGTGGTGGACAGCAGTCGTGGTTAAGTCCACCCCACGGCGAACGAAAGAGAAGAAGAGAAAACAGATGAGGGGAGACAAGATACAGCTGATTTACCTCTGATCATAGCGGGTTGTGACCCCAAAAAGTTGTAGTCTGCATGCACTGCTACGTTGCTGGTAGACTTTCCTATCATGGTGGGAGGGACGAAGATCCGGGCGAAGCGGCACGTGCTTCCTGGTTATCTTGTGTGTACAAGGCCTGAGAAGACCACTAGATATTAGACCGGAAGTCTCTGTATAAAGCCAAAGACATATTTGAAACTGCGAAATGAATATGGAGAGATATGGGATTTGAAACAGGTCAAATTTGTTCTTTCGACGGTTGTTGACTATCGCCCTTCTACGTCGCTCGCTCAATGGACTAGAACCCATGTTTCAACATTTGTATCGTTCAGGTCATCATTCCATGCAGGCCTTACGAACTCAGAAACTTCGTAACGAGTTCCGCAAATTCCTGCGGCTTCTCGACCATAGGCAGATGTCCGGCTTGGTCAATAACCAGATACTCAGCGCCTTTCTCGCCATAAGCAGCCGCCATCTCCTTCATAGTCCCAGGCAAAACGCCATCTCCGGCGCCCACCAGAAAAGCCCCCTTCGGCTTGCCCCCCTTCATTTCGGCCTTCAGGTCATAGGCAAACAATGCTTCAACACTCTTCTTGAAACCTGCAAGACTATTTGTAGCAACCATCTCTTTCACCTCCTGGCACTTCTTCTCCAAGGCACCGCCATCATAGCTTTCTTTCACGAACCATCGTCTCGCCGTCATTTCTGCAAGCTCTTCTCCGACAATTGGTTCACCGGATGAGCTGGTAGCGGCTTCCTTCTCAGCAACGGCGATCCGATCACCCCAGGCTTTGCTGTTTCCCGCTGGACTCTTGCTGCTTGTATCGCAGCTCACGAAAGCTTCCACGCGTTGTGGATACTTGAGCGCTGTGTTCAAAGTTGTCGCGCCACCAAGAGAGACGCCGATGACTGCTGCTGCTTTCTTCACTCTCAGGGCATCAAGTATAGCGATGATATCGGAGGCCAACAAGTCGACAGTGACAGGCAGTGAACCACATTTCGAGGACCGACCTCGAGTCAGGTAGCGAACGACGCGGTATTTTTTGTTCTCCGGACGAGAGAAAAAGGAGGCGAGGAAACCGTCCCAGATACCGTATGTGGTGAGAATAGAATTACTGAGTATTATTAAAGGTGCATTAGGATCAGGGGAGCCTTCGAGGCGGTAAGGAAGCTCGACGCCATCTTTGGTCGTGACCCAAGATTCAATGGCTCCCGCTCCGCCCACAGACTGTGTGATTGTTCTCGTTTTCGAACTCTCGGGGTCAGACAGTTCCCAGGATGAGAGGTTCGGGGCGAGATGTCTGGGGGCGGGGCCAAACGTGTAGTATAAATCATAAACCCTCCGCTTCTTCGACCTGACTGTGTTCGACATGACTTCGTCATTCCACTTGGTTGAAACAGCAGCTTGGAACTCTGGCCCACCGAGTCCATTCTTCGGACTGTACTCATGCAGGGCGAGGTATTCGACAGGAGATTTGGAATCAACACTGCTTGTCACGAATCTCCTTGTTCTTAACCAACCTGGCACTTTTGAAAGCATTTCGATATGCTCCTCCCTGTACCACTTATCTAATTGAGCTTTCTTGTCTGCACCGGGGTACAAAGTTATAAACACGGCGACCATAACATTACCCTGCCCTTCGTTCTGCACCTCTTCCAACTTCTTAAAGTCCTTGCTCTCACGGCTCTCCACGAAGTCATATAGCTTCCGCACAACGCTAATCTGCGCCATGGTATCGGCTTCGCGCTGACTTTTCACGGGTGGGTCTCGCAGACGCAGATAGGGGGTCTGCATCATGGTATCCATGTCCGTGATATCGTAGATGGCCATCCATTCTGGCTTCTCTTCAGTAGCACCCTCTGAGACATCGCTGGCACGGTAGCGAAACCCATTTGTGAAAAAGGGGAGGCGCAGGCGGGTCGGGCCATGTTCGTTGTTGTACCAGTCGTGGAACTGCGAGAGGGAGAGGGAAGGCTTGGGTTGCATAGTCACATAGAGGATTCCTGCAGTCGGGCCCATCTTGAACTGAGCCTCTGGTGTTGTCGACTTGGGGGGGTCGGGGTAGGGGATTCTGGCTCTGGCTGTAGATGCGGGGAAGGGGAAGGGGAAGGGGAAGGGGAAAGGGAAGGATTCGACGTTCCGGTTCACGGTTCCTGGGTCGATAAAGGGGGGATAGCTTCACTCTCAGTCAGATCTTGAGGGAGAAGAATTAACCGTGTAGAGTCAGGCATGGAGCAGCTTCGAGCACACCACCGTGATGTGTCGGTGGGGTATGGGATTCGGTATTTCATGCGGTTTGGGGGGGTTTCTCCAGACCGGGTAATGATATTCCCTCGCCGGAAAGTGGTTTCCGGGTTGCAAGGGGAGTCACGTGATACACGTGACTCCAACCCCCGGTGACCCCAGACACAACGTCTGTCTGGGTGTGCCTCCTGGTGTTGGTCTGGATGAATCTCAACGAAGCTGTCAGTAACGTCTCAGGCAAAGGGGGAGCCATCGGAGCAGTCGGGCCGGGGGGTCAGAAACGTGACCTGGAGATATGTTTTGCCGGTCCATCTGCTAAGCGCTTTGCCGGCCCTCTTCCCCGCCGTGCGGGTGGGCAACATGGGACGGGACCCCCAGATATGCGCAAGTAATTGCCTTCCATTCATTCGTTCGCCGCGGACTCTGACAGCTCCTAAGCAGCCATGGTCAGAAGCCGACTGGGCCTGCCGCCATCGGTTGATTTGGACGGAGGATGTGGGATGGGGGAGGGGTAGAGTATTTACGCCTGTTTGAAGTGTATATATACACATCCTCCCATTGTTGGAGGAGACAGACCATTCCGCCTCTCATTCCTGCTCTCACTTCCCTCCCGCCAGATCACTTCACACTTCACTTCCTTCTCTCACGCAGCTCGGTCCTGTGACAATCCCACATCAGCAGCAATGGCTAGCAACAAGGCTTCCAGATTCGACCCCAACTTCACCGACCATGTCATCAAGACCATTGGCCCCAAGACCAACGACCGAAACCGTGAGGTTCTCAGCTGCCTCATCAGACATCTCCACGACTTTGCTCGCGAAATCGAGCTCACCCCGGACGAGTGGATGGCGGGTGTGCACTTTGTCAACTCCATTGGTCAAATCAGTACCTCCAAGAGAAACGAGGGCCAGAGAATCTCTGATGTCCTTGGATTAGAATCGTGCGTCTCCCCGCTACCCCCAAATATCTGCTATCTCTAACCTTCGGTTGCAGCCTCGTTGACGAGATCGCCCACAAGCACCTGAGCGAGACCGGTGCCGACCCCACTTCCTCCTCCATCCTCGGCCCCTTCTGGTCACCAAATGCGCCCTTCCGCGAGTTGGGAGGCAGCATCATCCAAGACCCTACACCAAATGGACAGCCCGCCCTCATGCACGGCAAGGTCACTGACTCTGTGACCGGAAAGGGTATCCCTAACGCCGTTGTCGATATCTGGCAAGCATCAGCGAACGGAAAGTACGATTTCCAGGACCCAGAGAACCAAACCGACAACAACCTGAGAGGAAAGTTCCGCACCGACGCGAACGGAGAGTACCACTTCTACTGCTTGAAGCCAACTGCTTACTCGCTGCCCACTGATGGACCAGCCGGTGTTCTCCTGAACCTGTTGGACAGACACCCAATGAGACCCGCCCACATCCACTTGATGGTGAGCCACCTTCCCCTACACAATCATTGTTCAGGGGAATATCCTGCTAACAGACTATTCTTCAGATCACTGCCGAGGGCTACAAGGCCGTTACCACCCAAATCTTCCCCAAGGATGACCCATACCTCACCACCGACACCGTGTTCGCCGTCAAGGACGACCTTGTTGTGGACTTCAAGCCCCGCAAGGATGACCCCAAGGCTGCATTAGACCTTGAGTACAACGTCATTCTTGCCCCTAAGAACTAGGGCGATTAGGCAGATGGCTTGCGGCTGGGATTTGATGTGGTCAAGGGAACGAAGTGGAGAGGAGGTTTGGATGGAATTCTGATGAAATGCTTTGCTGGCGTCCTTTTTTACCTTGGGAATGATGATGGACATATACCTCATGAACTGTATATATGAACATTCCCCTTTCTAGAAATCTGAAGCGGGATTTCTCTACTATCGGGCTGTCTTTGATTATAGTTTTTTCTTCGGGTGTACATTGACGATAGAAAGACTTCTTGCCTAACCTTCTAGATTCACACAATACTTTTTGCATTAATGTGCGAATCGAGGTCTTGTTACGGAGGAAAGCAGTCGTTTCCTTCTCGATTTGGAGTAGGGCTGAAGCAGGGGGGGACAGAAAACGATGCGGGGTTAGGGGGTTAGGGGCCAGAAGCGAATGTGGAGGCGGGTGGAAGACGGGGAACGTTTTGCCATACTCGGTACGTCGAATATAACAAATCCCCTCGTTCATCTAATAGCCTAGAGTTACCTATCTACTTTATACTAAAACTCTCTACCTATTCATGAATTGTCCTAACCACAACCCCGAATGCAAGAATCGTTTGGTGAAGAGTACAGGACAGAGCAAGACGGATCAGCTGTTTGGTATCTCTGTAGCGGGAGAATTATTTTCTTTCTTTTCTTTTGTGATACTTGGCACTCTTTGTTCCACGGGCGGGAAAAAGAAAAGAAGAGGAAAGAACGGAAAAGAAAAAGAAAAATCGCCGCCGATATGCTTTGACGCGTTCAATACTCGGCACGCTTTATTATCCCTATTCCCCGACAGGGCGGGATGATCTTTGCAAGATGATCTTCCGGATGGATTGCTGCTGTAGCTACCTATGTCGGTCTACGAAGTCTTTAGCAAGCTCAATAGGCGCGAGATAAATAAGTATGGTATATACTGTAAGAATGATTTCGTGTCATATATCAAGACACAGACAGAGATGAGTTGGTAGGTGAGAGAATATTCGATCCGGAGATTTCACTGAATTCCCGCACAGACTGGAAGGACACTGCCGCTGGGGCCTCCTCGGGAGGTTGATCGATCGATCGGCTCAAGCAGCACATTACCGTATTTATGTATAGCTGCACGACGTCAGCGAATAAAAGCAAGGATTTCTCCCCTTTCTATATATATACACGCTTTGTTGGACCATCCACGCTCAGCTAGCTGCATAGAACACGATGAACACCACGATGAACACCCTGGACAAACGCCTTTTCCAGGGTGTTCACCGTATGATTTTATACCAATGACGGGGCACACCGTAACATTGATGGCCCGGTTCGCTGCACGACACCTCCTCGCTAACCAGGCCGCTGAAGACCCCTCACACAACGCAAAGATGATGACCCCCGGGAACAGCCCAACAAAGAATATACTTCATCTGACAAGTCTATTGTTGTTCTGTCCAAGCCCTCGAAAGGACAATGGAATGATGGCCTCCGGCTCGTCCCGGGAGAGTCTTGCGATATGTTCGACCGGACGTGGTTTTCAACACCATGCAGCGGCAGCATCCGCAACTTTAACCCTGAGCGGCTGAGGGGATGAAAAGTTGAGGGTGGGTGACCCTTCCAGACTATTGGAATCTGCACACTGCGGGACCAGTGCAGGTTGGCAATACGAGAAGTAGCTTGCTTCTTGATTGCGAAAAAAAGAGACTTCATACGATACGTGGCAGCGAGATCATTGGTACAGTACATAATAACCTCACGATCTCCATGTTTGCTCACGGTGACAACTATTGCCTGCCTTCAGAATTCTGCGCAAACCGGCCAGCGATCACCGACAGCGAGTTTCTGATATTTTGAATACTTAGAGGCTGAGGTCTGATTTAGCTACGTTGACGTCGTCGACTATTTTGCGACAACGTGGGCAGAGGTCGAAGATCTCCTCACCTGCCAACCACCAACACCACCACCTCGCCCAGAACAATACAACTGACCGTTATAGCGAGCACAGAAAGCCTCCTCGAGGTGTTCAGACAGACTCTTATCGTGTTTTATCGTGCGGAGGTATTCTTGATGTTGTGACGGAAGTGGCTGGACCCTGAGTCAAGAAGCCGAAGAGCCCAGCCTCCCCCAGCCTCACGCGAGATATATCTCCAAAGCAACCCGCAAACGAGACGCCAACTCCCCTGTCCCTGTCCATTATTTCGGCGTTCATCCCGGTTGGTGAAATGGAGTTCGAGGTGCTGAAAAGGACGAGAGCCAAGTCTCCGTGCTTTTGGGTGGGACAACTGGATTGTTCCCCTTCCCACGGAAGCGATTTGGCGAGGATCCTCGCAAGCGAATATCAGGCTTTGTTACCACCTCGCACCTTCACTCCAGTGCCGGAGCCACAGATTCTTGGGAAGAGTATCCGGAAAGTCAAAGGACAGCAAAGCCTTCGCGACCTTATTGAGAGAGATAAGCAAGTAATCTCCGTCTCTTCGGATTGCGACACTCTCGTCGGTTCGGAATCGCCTCGTTCGCCCCTCTCGCCAACGTCAGAACATCCCTCTGAGGATGAAGATCCACCTTTGTCCCCGACTCACTCCGAACAAAAAGCGCATCTACATTACCAAGTTGCAGCCCAGGATGCAGTACAAGAAGAAAAACCATCAAACCCAGCATCAGTTCAACCAACAGCTGTTGGCTTCCAGCTCTGCCTTGACCTCCTGACCGAACAACTCTCCACGGGACTCTTCAAGAAGCACCCCGCAGAGGAGCTAGATAGTCCTTCCAGCCTCCAGCTTCTGCTCATGATTGAATCCTACGAGTCTATACGGCAGCAGATCCGTCGCGCGAAATCCAACCCTTCGCTGACGGGCAAGCAATTCGATCACATGATCGATATCGAGCAGACCTTGGAGCATTGGCTTCACGCCTTGTATGGTGTTTATGATAACACCGTCGCCGACACTAAGGTCAATAATGATAGCGCTGACAGCGCCACGGTCAGCAATGATAGTGTCGAGAGCTTTCACAGCTGCCTGTCATATATCTCGACTTCGGCAGAAGCGCCATCTTCAGTCGCGGGGGAGCCTGCGTGTGTTGATGAGTGTGCGCCTCAGGAGACACCGTCACGTCCTGCGAAGGGACAGTGGAGACCATGGAGGAAATTGCAGAAGCCGCAAAAGCGATCCGGGCGTTGGTGGACACGGGAGCTCGGGAATTGATGCCCGAACGCCCTATTGTCGTCCGCCGACATTGTGCTGCTTGGATTATATGGCGAGTAGCACAATGCGGAGGATTGAATATGCAGGACGGAGCCTTGATCCGCACTGCTGATAAAGCCAAGTTGGAGACCTCCTCACAACCCCCGAATGGTTTCTGTGCCATGGTCTTTCCTGGGGAGTACAATTATTCCCTACAAAACAAGGACCTTTCGCCACGTATCAGGACGGAAAAGCTTCCCTTCCGCCCTCTCCAAGTCCGAATCGCCCTCTCGAAGTTTTGGTCGACTTCCACAGGCCCAAGTTTTGCACTTGGTTCGCCCCACCAGCCACTCCCATCTCATCGCTTCTCTCACTCGACACTTGACAACCCGCATATCGCCCCCAGAATCCTGAGACACAACCCAGTTGCGTTGTTTCCCCAGCTGGGGCGTCGAGCTGGCATCGCGGCTGGCTACGCTCCATGACTGCTGATGCGGAGACCAGGCGGTATGTATATTTATTATCAGGGACGTACAATTCGGTAGCCGCGCGGCGGGTGTAGGGAATTCAGGATAGGTGCTGTAGGATTGGTTCGAGGAGTGACTATATATACGTCCTTGCACTAGGCTATATACCTTATATACGAATCCTGCCCTTGCTCACCCATATACACGCCAGAAGAAGATCAGGAGGGGTACCGAAGTTGCGGCATGAGGGTGGGAGGGAACGTGATTGCAGCAGATGGTTGGGTGGTTTAACGATATATGTTCACGATGATGAGTTATTGATGTATGGTATGTCAAGGATGAGTTAACGAGAAATATGATATTTATACCTATCCCTCTTCTCTGGGGCGGAGTTTCGACCAGACCAATGCCAAAAGTGCAGCATCGATATAGTGAGCTAAGCTTGCTAATGTGTAAGCATGATGATGATTGTGATAATATCAGAACAATGCCTCATATAGTGTCCGCCGCATCTTGGTGATTGTTTGAGGGAGGGTGGAGGACTGACTGCCTCCAGGGCAGGGTAACTAGGTAGCTTTCTTGTGAAGTGCAGACGCAGTGGAAAACATCGCACAGAAAGTTTTTTTTTTTTTATCTTGCTAATTAAAGTGCAATGAATGGTTCCGATTGACAGCAAATACCGGTAAGCTTCATATGTAAAGGAGCGGATATTGGTGGTGTTGGAATATGCCTTTGTATAGAATAACATCTGGGGAGACAATATGCGCCCCCGGAAACCGAACCTGAAATCGCATCCATCGCGAACTTCCTTCGATAATAACCCCATCTCTTTTTATCTGCGGTCTTTTATTCGGGAGACTTCGAATACTTTCTTGCTTTCTTTCTTTCTTTCGCAGAATAAAACCATATCGCAATCGCGTTTGATCAAACGAAAAGACCACGAACCCATCTTCTTTTCCAGATAACCAACCAGGGCGGCCGAAGCACATTTCCGTAAAAGGCCGGCTCATCGAATCCTCGTCGGAATCAAGAGACACACACGCGCGACAAGGCGATTCAAGCCATTATCGTATGAGAGAAGAAACGCGAGCGAGGGATTCTACCTTATATGATCCTCAATTGCTCTGCTCGATTCGAAGGAAGAGGACAGGAATCGAAGGAGTTGACGATAGGAAGCAGCAGGATGTTCGCACAACACAGCCCGCCCGCTTAGCTAACACTGGCCAGCCCGCCTCCAATCCTCTCACCACCAATTTCCCCTGGATTTTCCATATGTAATGTAATGCGAACCTGTATTTCGTGTAGAGATTTGGGGCCGAGAGGATTGATTATCTTGCTCTTGGTATTAGCTGGGAATAGGTCATGAGGCGGGGTGAAGGCTCTTGGTAGATGGCGCAGTTTTGTATTATCTTCCTAGGACTTGGGACATGGACCTTCTTCAGATGGAATGCGCATCGTTGCCAATCTTCTATTCAAATACCTTCGATCGTCCGCGTGAGTAGAATTCTCCCATAATCCATTTCACAAAATACATACCAGAGGTGTTCGGTGATCGTGCAAGTCGTCGTCCGTCACCAGCTTACCTTACCTTTCTTCGCACATCCAACACTCTCTCTCCTTTTAAGATGCCCTCAAATAATCTCTTCTCCCTCCCCGCCGCCCCCCTCCTCCTCACAACAGCCCTCCTCTTCTCCTCCCTTGCCGCCGCCATCCCCTTCCCCCAGCGACTAGACGACATGACTTTCCGGCCCCGCTCATCCGTCGAAGTCGCTCCGCGCTGGATATCCGAGCCCAGCGGTCACGTCGGGACGAGCGTTCTAGGTCCTCCGCACGGCAGCACCAAACCACTCAAATCTCGAGCAGAATGGCCGGTCGTCGAAGAAGCTACTACTACTTTTGACCCGATAGAAAAGCAGAGGACCCAGAAGCGCAGCAGCGCCGGGGAGCCCGAGCCCCCCGAGAATTCGCTGAGGGGCGATACGAAGGTGTATTCGGGCAGTTATTGGTAGCGGACCCCGTACTATCTGTGATTGTCTTCTTTCCTTTGTTGTACTGTTTGTTGGGTCAGAGTATTCGGCGTTTGGACAAAATTAAAAATTGGGCTTTCTAGAAGGACTCTTAGGTTGGCGTTCGGGTATTGGGGAAATCAATATTCTTTTTATTATCATTAGGTTTCAGGGTTGAAAAATGAAAACTTGGTCAACAGAAGACCGTTGTTTTTATCACCAAGTATATGCCACTTTCGCAGAGCGCTGCGTGCCATGTGTACAAAGACTCTGCGCCCTGGGGAACCGAATAAAAAATATGCAAAAAATACAGCTCCCTACCCGGGTCGAACGAGTGACCTTAGGATCTGCAATCCCACGCTCTACCACTGAGCTAAGAGAGCTGATTCTGATGACTTTTGTTGGTTGTGGAGCATGTGGCTTAAACAGTTAATAAATTGGGTGTGTTTATGCAGCAAACGAGTGCCTGCAGAGAGGTCATACAAAAGGGCAGCCTGATTGGTTGGTTGGTCTATTGCTGATTCCAATTCATCACTCACTCCTTCATCAGCCTTACCTTACAATCTGATAGTCTATCAGACAAAGCAGAGGGGACTGCGACGACAAAAGTAGGATTTGATTGTTTGGAAATTGATATAATCAAAATATACACCAGAATTGAACACAAGATTTATTCTCTGCTGTTGGGAGCTTTTGCGGGGAACGGCAGACCACTAAAATTAGCCACAAGCGCCACAGAGCCGCAAACAGCTACCTTATATCGGATACGACGATTGCCCGCAAACAGCGACAACGACCACACAGTCTTGCAAGCAACACTGACGAAGGAGCGCATGTTGCGAGTCCCGATGCTGACAGCAAAGCGCGGTTCGACTCTTTAGACCTTCGGTGTGAGACAAGTTTATTCTTTTGATGAGGTTTTGAAAAGAGGGTTACGAAACCCGTATTCTGAATCCTATTTCCGCTTGTTTTCACTAGCAAAGCGCGGGAGAACTGTCCAGAGTAAGATTATGATTTGTACAGTATATGTTTACAGATATCTTACAGGTAGAAGGGGAGAGGCGCCACGTCACCACCCAGCCAAATCTACGCTACTTCAAAAACCCCCCTAAAAGGACCTATGACCTCCCTGAACTCGTTTTGTCCTTGTAGATCCGATGAGCCTTGGGGATCTTGTAATGGCCGGTGAACTTCGGCTTCGGCGCATTCTTCTCCGCCAATTTCTGCTCTCTTTCTTTCAATTCCTTCTTTAGATTCTCCTGCAGCATTTGCACCCTCGTCTCGGGATCAACACCTTCGTATGGGTCCTCCTCGAATTCTTCACTACCAAGGCCTTTCTCCTTCAGTCTTCTCCTACGCTCCTTATACTGTTCTTTCTTCTCCATTCGTTCTTCCAGATCCAGCCATTCTGTCGCTGTATGCTGCCTGTTCGACCACGCTGATTCCTCTAGGTCGGTCTCGTCCATTTCCGAATCCATCTCCTCAAATTCTTGATCCTCTTCTTCAGCCTTCTCCAATTGTTCTTGGCCTTGCGTCTTCGCTGCTTCTTTCTCATGGATCTTCTTTACATGGTCATCGTGATTCTTTCCCGGGTATTCCAATCCGGACTTCTCGTATTCCTCATCATCAACCACCTCGATGACCCTAATATTATGCTTGCCCCTCCTCAGAATCAATAAGTTGTCATCGATCAAGTACGTCTTCGTTTCTTCGGGCTTCCAGAGCTTGATGCGAGCGAAAGATAAGGCACCATCATCCATGGGCATTTTGTGCTTGGTGGGAGCACCGCCAATGTAGACAGCTTGCTTGGCAGCCAGACGATGACCGTCGGATGCCGACTCTGCAAGGCCAGCTGCGAAAAGAATCTTTCCGATCGACTTGGTTTCAATGAGGCTGCGTGGGAGCTTCATCTGGGCTTTTGGTCGATTATTGACATTGACTTGTTCCAACTTGAGAGCGCTAGCACCAGACAGATCCGACGCCTTATCCCCTTCATCCTTTTCACCCTCTTCATCTTTTTCTGGAGAAGTTGAACGGCTCTGGAAGACAAGTTGATGTTGTTTCTCGGCATTTATTGCTGCTTCCCTTCCATGAACAAGCTCCACAAAATCGCGAGCTAATCTGTGCTGCGCTTTTCGCTCAGATGGTGATTGCATGTGCTCTTGAACTAGCTTGTCAATTTCCTCGAGGGGAATGAACGTAAAGAGCTTGAGGTAACGTCCTACGTCTGCATCGGATGTTCGCAGGAAATAGCCATAGAGATCAAAGGTACTAGTCAGTTCGCTATCCAGCCAGATTGCATTCCCTGCACTTTTCCCGAATTTCGCACCAGATGACGTTGTCAAGAGTGGGACGGTAAAGCCAAATGGAGGGTCGCTCGTTTTCTTCGGAACCGCTGGAGAGGGATGGTGCTCAGCTATGTACTTCACAGCATCCATACCAGCGGTGATGTTTCCGTACTGATCAGATCCGCCGATCTGCATTCGAATGCCCAACGTATTGTACATGTGCCACCAATCCCAGGCTTGTAACAGCGGATAGGTGAACTCGGCAAAAGACATCCCGTCACCTTTTTGCATTTTGTTCTTGACACTGGAATGATCAGCAACTGATTTCTTCCTATTGTCTGGAGAGGGACTCACGTTTCCTTGGCCAGCATTGGTCCTATTCGAACTCCTGGACCAAGGATTTGAAGCACCTCCATCAGCGGTAACTTATTCATCCAGGCATTGTTATTAACTAGGCCCCTTTTCCAGGCCCACTCCCATCTATATCCATATTTCAAAGCGTATGCTTCCAAGTTGACCCATAACTTCTTCAGCTGATAATGTATATTGATCATGTATTGCGTTCGAACTTTTCGATGTATGCTCTCTCTTGAGGTCAAACGATCTGTTGGATCGCCAATTTTCGACGTAGCTCCCCCAACGAGTGTTATAGTATGATATCCGTGAACGTACATCCAGAAAAGGGACATCAGCGGCAGAAGGTGTCCAACGTGTAGAGAGGAGGCAGTGGGATCGATTCCAACGTAAGCACCCACTCGCCGTTCCGTCATCATTCGATCGACCTCATCACGGGTGCTGAGTATCTAGTCAGTAATTAAAAGACTAATTTTCACCGAGCTGCGTACCCAGTAACTGCATGGACAAGACCTCGCTCCTCGAGGATGGTGAGCATGCTCTTCCTCTTGCCCTGCTTGATCTCCAGCGCTTGTTCTTGCCATCTCATTTCTGCATCCGCCACCTTTGCTAGATATTTCGTACCGATACATCGTCTGGCTGTTCTGCCAGAAATCTTCAATGCGCATCCAGCGCAAATGTAGATGTCCGGTCGACTCGCGCTTCGGAACAAGGAATATGGTGCCATATTGGCGGTCGGGAGGAGTTTCTAACAAAGCATTGGCCGTCTTAACGCAATTGCACAGCCTCCCTCGAGTATTCAGGCCAAGGGACGAGTGAACCGTACAGGTGCTCCGGCTATGAAACTGCTCTTTCACGAGGAAAAAATAAATTGACTGGCACACGATAGACGCGCGCTTGAGAAACATCACCCGCGCGCTAGTCAGGGGTTGGCCATTAGCGTCTACTAGCGCCCATGCGCTACGCTCACCTCCATGACGCAAAGACAACCACGTAGGTGAAGTAAACGCCGTGCATGGTACCGCTGTGCGTGTCACCACTGACTTTTCAATTAATTCTCTTCCTTTCCGTTCCTCTCTCTTGTCTTCGTTCCCGTACGTGATCCCTCTTTTTCTCGACTCCTTTTGTTTGTAGTTGCATTCATACATCCATCATGGCAGAGCAGACTTTCATCAGTCCAGCAGATGGCAATGAGGTTTTCCAGGCTAAGTATATACCAAAACAGAAAGGTCCTCCGGCGTTGGACTCTCCCAGCATGAAGGCATACATATCCACCTTCCCGTCGTTGGGTCGGGTAACTTCAATCGACCATAGTACAAGTGTTTTTACTGCTCTGCTTGAAGTTGATGAGGGTCGTGCAAATGATCCCTGGCAGGTTTCATTATGGCATTCAAATGGTGGGGAATGGCGTGAAGTTCCAATGGAACCATTGACGAAGGCCTCCTCTCAGCCCATATCTTTACAGGATTCCAAAGTAACCTCAGGTCTGCATAAAATCTACTTCACCACATCACTGGCAATCAATCTACCAACGAGCTTTACCATCAAATTCCGCAATGGCCCTGACAAATCCTGGAAATGGGTCAGGGATCATCAAGGGACGCAGGACGGGATTGTCATGTTGAAGACTATCACAAGTCAGGATGCAATCTCACGCGATTTGAGGGATTATGTCGAAGATCTCAATCCCATTCTTCAGTCGAAGAATTATCTGAGCCAATCTCCTGGGACAACTCTTTGGTCTGTTGAAGTAGTGGTTGAAGCGGCTGATGGAGAGAAGTCTGCCATCAAAAATTTCAAATTCGGCATACCCTGGGGGTACCAAAAGTTCTCGAGGTAGGTGACATTTCAGGTCTAGCTACGGAACATTCGCCCAATGGAGGAGCCCTGCGTTTATCAATATATATTATTCTGTTTAACAACTTACCTCTGTATTTATGCTGACACAGATAGATGGTTTGCCCTGACCCGCATTTGGTCTCCTTGGCTGGCACCAAGACATGGCAAGGCTCGTTTTGAACTTGACAAAGAAGCCGTCATGTGCTCTTTTCTGAGTCTGACTGGTAAACATTTGGTTTTGCTGGCTATTAGCGGTGTTGAAGATGTCATGACCTTATTCACAAGCGTTGATGGTGCTGTCAATTTGCAAGTATGATTTGTGTCTTGAGCCGATGGATTTAATGAGGCTCCGCTTACCAATAAACAGGTGCGGAATGATAGCAATCAACAGAGGGTTGCTAAAGTTCTTGTTGGACTAGGCGATGACTTTGAATCAGCTAATGCTGCTGTCATGTACCACGCGAGGGGAATTGTCGCCGCTGTAGAAACTGCGACGGGGGAACAGCAGCAGGAGATTGCAGCACTGAAAGAGGGTGGCGAATCAACGAAAGTATGGGCAGAAAACTGGTATGATGGTTTGACTTACTGTGAGTCCCTTCATCAGTAAAACCTGGTAATTTGATACTGATCACACCCAGGCACGTGGAACGCACTCGGCCAACGACTCACGGAGGAGAAGGTTCTAAATGCCGTTGAGGCACTGGCGAAGAACAAAATCAATATCACGAATTTTATCATTGACGACAATTGGCAATCAATTGACTATCTCGGACATGGCCAATTTCAGCATGGTTGGGTCGAATTTGAGGCCGAGCGAGAGGCCTTCCCAAGTGGCCTCAAGCAACTAGTCTCTAAAATCAGAGAGAAGCACCCGAGCATCCAACATATCGCAGTATGGCATGCTATCTTGGGCTATTGGGGAGGTCTCTCACCAGATGGAAAACTTGCGAAGTCCTACAAGACTCGAGAGGTAGTCAGAGAAGATGCTAAAAGGAGAAACTTGCCGCTTGGTGGAAAGATGACAGTCGTGGACAAAGAAGACGTAGGGAAATTCTACGATGATTTCTATCGTTTTCTCTCCTCCTGTGGAGTGGACGCGGTGAAAACTGAGTGAGTTATGGGTCGTCCTTGAAATCAGTTGATACTGACTTCTGTCGTAGTGCCCAGTTCATGCTTGATACGTTTGTTTCAGCAGAGGCCCGCCGAGAGCTGATTTCTACCTACCTCGATGCTTGGACTGTTTCCACTCTCCGACACTTCAGCATCAAAGCCATATCATGCATGTCTCAAACACCTCAGATCCTCTATCACTCTCAACTGCCCCAAAACAGACCACCGATTCTCGTCCGAAACTCTGATGACTTCTTTCCCGAAGTCCCAACCAGCCATCCATGGCATATCTGGACCAACGCACATAATGCTCTGTTCACACAGCATTTGAATGTCATTCCTGATTGGGATATGTTTCAGACCGTCCACGATTACTCTGGCTTCCACGCCGCAGCCCGATGCGTGAGCGGTGGACCGATATACTTTACTGATGTTCCTGGCCAGCATGACTTTGACCTTATAAATCAAATGACGGGACCTACGCCTCGTGGAAAGACTGTCATCTTCAGACCTAGCGTCGTAGGAAAAGCCTTGGATCAGTATAATGGTTATGATGACGACACTTTGCTTCTTGTTGGAACATATCACGGTAGGCACCTCCGTAACTTTTCTTTTCTACCCTTACTTACATTTTACAGGAGCAGCAGTAACCGGCACGGGCATAATCGGCTTCTTTAACGTTTCCCAAAGACCCCTCTCGGAACTGATCCCACTGTCCAAGTTCCCCGGTGTCATCGAGGCACAATTCTACATCGTGCGGGCGCACTCTAGCGGCCTGATCTCTAGGCCAATGCAAGTTGTTGACCGCAACGCCTTGCTATACATCTCCCTAGGAGTCCGGGGCTATGATATTCTTTCCGCGTATCCATTAAGAGGTTTTGTGGACGAGAAAAAATCCGAGACAACGTGGATTGCCAATCTAGGATTACTGGGTAAGATGTCAGGCGCAGCGGCCGTGGTGGATAACAAGATCACGAAGTTAGAGGGCGGAAGGCTTTTCATCGATACTAACATCAAAGCTTTGGGCGTTCTCGGTACATTTACCCTCCATTCTCTTCTAACTGGAATGCCGACTAACTTTTACAGGCATCTACATATCCGACCTTCCCAAACGGTCATTCCAAGAGAACCTGCTCATCACGATCCTTGGAGAGGTCTTGCCCGTGCACACGGTCAGCGTCAGCAAACTCGACGAACATGTTCTTCAGATCGATACCGAGAAAGCGTGGAAGGAGCTAGGTCTAGAGAGTAGATGGAGTAATGAGGTCGAGGTTAAGATTTATATCAATCCTATACACTAGGCCTGATATCGAATATCGAGCGGCTAAGTCTAGAGCACTAATTGAAACCTGGTCATTTTCCTTGATTGAAGCTGATCTTAAGGTGACAACGCTGAGGAATGCTCTTTTATCTCTCCCTCTCCCTCTCCCTCTCCCTCCTTTCCCGCTTTCCTAATCTTAGTTCTCGAGCTCGGGGTATTTCGACAAAGAAAAGGTTAATCATAGGGCTTTGGCTTGATCTAAGGAGTATTTGACAGCCCTCTAGCTCTACGTATACACACCAGAAACTGTAGGGTAGAAAGTAAGCATTTAGGGTACCTAAAGTAACGAGTATATAAGACGATAACATCAATCCATTTCTCTCTTTCCATAATGCAACTTAAGGCTAAGCATCGCAATGGTGGATGTGGGATTAGGCATGCTGTGCGAGGACCGGGGGCCTTGTACAGCGTAACCAGACAGACCTCACTTGAATGATGAAGGTACCTATCTATATAGCAGCGCACGGTGATAGCTTCAATGCTCAGACAAAATTTCACACACATCAATGGCTCTGCTTATATGCACGATGCTTGCTCTCTTTACTTTGTTTCATAAGTTATATAAATTCCACACTTCACTTCCACGTTCACTTTCCGAGATGGATGCCTGGTATTCAGAGAAAAAAGATATATTTTTGTGTTTTCTCTTCCTTTTTTTTTTTGAAAATAAAATAAAAGCCATGGGGAAATCAACGCATGCATGTACCTTAAATAAATCCCGTAGAGACCGTGAACAGAAGATAAAAGTAAGGAGAAAAGGAAAAGAGAAGAAAGGAAAGAAATACTTCCCTCTTTCTCACCTGGCCATCCATGTCTTTCTTTCTCTTTGCTTGGGGCTGGACTGACTGATTGATTGATTGATGAATGATCAATCAATCAAGTCAAGGAATTGGGAAGTTGACTTACCATCTCTTTCCCACAAGCTGCACCTCCTCCTCCTCATGCCCACCCCCGTTCTCCCAACAGCATATCCCTCCCGATCTCCGCCAAATCCCAAGCATACTCCCTCCTACACATAGGACAATTGGGCCTCTCGACCAACCACCTCCCAATACACGTCTCACCAAAAACATGACCACAAGGCAAGCTCACCCTCTCCTCCCCACCCTTCCCAAACTCCTCTCTACAAATACAACACATATCCTCTCCCTGCCCCTCGCCAGCTCTCACCAGAAACCCCTCCAGACCACGAATTCTTAACGTTTGCTCGCTCGGTCCCGGGTTCATATGTATATCCGGCATCGCGCGTTCCAAAACGCCATGTCCGGGCAACGTCAACACCAACTCAATCAGGCCATCCAATCTCGACGCATAAATCGGATCCAACCTAACCGAAATCGTATCATTCGCATGCTGCCCGAGGGTTCGCAAAGCATCACGCACCCTCTCCATACGATGCTGCTGCAACACCGTAAACCGATCGAAGACCGTGAACCCATCGCTGCCATCACGCATATACAGTAATCCCAGGAGCCGTAAGCGATGAGCGCGTCGTCGCAGCGCGAGAGGCCCGATTGGGGACACGGCGCGAGGGTTCGGTTCAGGTACGTATGTGAGCCGCTGGCTGGCTTCGCGGGCTAGTTCGACAGCGACGGAGAGTTGGGCGAGAGCGAGGGCGCGTGGTGTTTGGTTGCGTGTTGGGGAGGACGGGCTGGAGCGCTGGGAGCGGGGCTGGGAGAGCGATTGTGTGCATTCCGGACACCGGGTAGGGAGAGGCACGGTGAAGTGCCCGTCCCAGGGGCAGGTCGGGTAGTCCGGGCAGATGGCCGGGTGGCTCGTTACGTGCCCGCATGTCGAGAAGAAATTAGAAACTGTGCGACACATGTTGATTTGTGCTGCGAGAACTTTTTTTTGACTTACTTATCTGGTGTGATGAATGATTGGTTTGTTTGTACCTATGGATTGATTTTCGTAGAATGGATGGATGGTTTGAGTGATTTGTTCGTGTGTATTGATTGATCTTGTTGAATGTGTATGTATGTATGTGATTTGAAGAAATCGACAAGTCAACGTTTGTTTATATAACAATTCTAAAGAACACAGCCTCCGAATATAGACAATACCGTTGTTCCCGAACCTCTTTATCCACATCTTATAACAATCCCGTCTACTAACAAAACAAGACTGTTCCGAACAAAGCCTTTTGTTCCTCATCATAAGGAGCTCCACTTAATGAGCTATGCATAGTACACCCAGTAAGCAGAACAAAGGGAAAAGAACAAGGATAAGATACTAAGGCAATCACTTGAATGGAATAGGATATTGTCTTGTACTGATTCTCTTTTGAAGAGGGGGTTTATCTTTATTCTGAGAATCAGCGCGTACAGCGTTTCGGGGACTCGCTTGTAGCTACTACTTTTTCTTGACTGCTTTGGAAATTATGAACCTTTTGTGGAGATTGGGGCTTTGAATGCAGAATAGTGAAAGCATAGAACAGCTATGTTCTCTCTGCGATGGTATGAAACGGAGTAGTTTATTTAGAAAAAGTATAGCGAGGGGGAAAATCTACCTCTTACAATCTTTGTATATGAGGTACCTGAACTTCCATCATACTTGTCATATTCACCTCGACTTACTCGACGAACCCTCCCTTGACACAGTTGAGACCACTGATATGTGCCGGCATCTTCGCACAAACAACGCACCACACAGAAAACATATCTTCCCTTGTATCCCTAAGCCCCACGCTAGTAAACAATTCGCGTTCCATGAACTTTCGATACTCTATCACTTATCCAAGCCTATTTTATTTATACCTTGCCTAAATAAATCTCATCCACGGACACAAAGCCAGGTTATAACTGATACAAGTGTAGCGATTAGAGCAGCAGGAACTGCAAATACCGGCATGGCTAAACCCAGCATTCCAACACTTGTGAGGGTTGCGAAAATTCCTGCTGCAGGAGTAAAGCCTCCGTACATCCAAGACTGGAAGGCGGCTGCTAGAGATCCTATCATACCGGTGAGAATTAGATGCGTGCGTGTTTAGCAACTATGTGAAGACGATAGCAATCTTGCTAACGGTCAATGGGAGACTTACCTGACAAGACGCCTGCAGGACCAAAACCCAGAGTCATTAGAATTGTAATTACGAGCGTGAAAGTGATCCACCAGGCCATGAGAATTGCGAGTACGTCTCTTTGGTGTGAGCAGTTATCTTGCTTACGATTTGAGACGAAAAAGACATACGTGGTTGTGAAAGCCAGCTTGTGAAATCCTGCCAGTACGTTGATACCCATCCCCAGATCAGGGGTCGCTCAGCAAGAAAAGCACTTGCTGCATCTTTGAAGCTAGTTTGGTGGGTGAAATCTAATGAGGCTATGAGCAAATGAGGCATGACTAGTGACCGGATAGTTGGAGTCGTTGAATACAAAGCACGCGAAGAGACCCAGTCGAAGATATTGGGGCACGTTGTCGAGAAGAATATTGTATAGGAGATGTTTACAAAGTGAAGACAGGATTTAGGAGAGGAATTCCCACGTGATGTAAGATGCGTGGCATGCTCTTACTGGGCACTGCGCACATCAACATTGCATCTACAACCGCCCAAGCACAATACTTTCGCCTTCGCCTTCTTCAGCTTCAAATGACTTGAGAAGCCATAATATCAAATGCTTAAGCATATCCTTCGCATTGACAAGGCTGTCTCTGCTGCCGCTTCAACAATTTAACAACCACCTTCGCAAGGCTCAACATGGGTCGACACGGGAACTGAAAACCACTGTATAGTCAGCAAGTGTTTGCAGGAAATGTGTTGTACATAAGTGACGACATATGAGAGATCAGAATGTTGATACGCGTTCGCAGCATTCGCAACTTGTGCGTCTGAGTGAGCTGGGTATAACGTAATGTTGTTCATCATTTCAAAGGCATTAAGAAAAAGGGTGGGAAATGGGAACGTACCGAGAAGGCTATCCCTTATCTCTTGTTCGTGGGCTTGTGATCATGGACACCCTGAACACCTTCATTGAGAATCCACCCGAAATGTCTTTGAACATCCTGTAAAATTGGCATCAAATATATGCGCTGCTCAGAAAATATCTCTGATCTCAGAAAATGTACGAATCCATTCCCTAGGACTCAAGAACTCGCGCAATCTCATTTTTATCCCCTCTTTTATGAAGCGAGATTTTCTCATTGACTGAACAAAGACAATCCATCCCGAATCAGAAGCATTTGAATCAATCCGGATTCGGTAGAATTCTTTGAGCTGCCTGCAAGTAGCTTTGTTATATTTCGAAACCACGGATTAGTACGGATATATATCACGTCCAAAAGCGGTGCGAATGGTCCTTTGTAACTCGACATCATGAACGATAAAAAGGCCTGAATTCACCTGGACCCGATGATGATAATCGTCAGGAACTTGTAAGAAGGAATTGATTCGGCTTCTATAATAATCCCGGGATTTCGAATTTACTAATCTCGAAAGATTCCGTCTCATGAACCGGTAAGGATGCAAATCCAGATTCCTTCAAAGTACCAATCTGCCTAACGTGGATAGTCTACTGGACCGCGTCATGAATGGAAGGGTATGTAAGAAAGCTGCGGTGCTCTTGGGAAGGAGGACTCGCTCGAACCCTCCGCCGCAGCAAGCATCGGACTCTAGTACACCGCCTAATATATACTGTCACGATAGCGAACAAGGGTATCTCGGGCCGGAGCACAGTCCTGCTACATCTCCTGTTGGCACGACAGCTGTAGAGGAAAGCACTCGAGAGCCGCGGATGAGAGGTCGAAGTCAGACGGAGCCGGGTTGCGACAACGCAGACAAGCAAAAGACAAGTGATAATTGTGGACAAGATGCCTCTGTATCGGAGTTCTTGCCGGAGTCGATTGATAGGATAAGGCAGGACTCCCCGCCCAAACCACCCTTGTCATCATACCCCGAGTTATTCATATTCGAAAAACCAAATGAGGAGATTGGTACTGCACTGGCTCTGTCAAAACTAATGGTATGGCGGTGGAACACGGTCTTACAATGTGAAGATAAAGTAGCGAACTACAGTAGAACTATCCACCAACTTCAGAAAGAGGAATTGAACGCGGAAAGAATTATCGAGAAGATAGATCAACGGGTCGACGACGCAGGAGAAGATCCCCTGTTCGATATAGACCAGGCGCGCCGGGAGTTTGAAGATGCCGAAGAAATTCGGTTGAGACTTCGCGCCGAGAGAGCAAGAATCGAACTGAAGCTCGGGCGGAAACAGGACGAGATGGAACTTGCCAAGAGCAAACTGATCAGGGAGTGGGAGAGGTTACTAGCTGAGAACAATCTCCTCGAACCAGCCCCTGCAGATAGCGACGAAGGGTCTCACCATACTGACGGCGGACGCTCACTAGAGCGGAATTCTCAAACCCCAACTGCGAGCGAAGCAGCTCGATACGCCGCAGAGGATGCCCGGGCCGCCGCCATCAAGGAACTGCACCTTCGGGAGCGGCATCTCCAGGGCGCGCGCCATAAACTCGACCACTGGCAAGAACACTACGAGCACGAGTACCGTGCACATCAGGAGTGCATAGCCGAACGCGGCCGCAGCCTGTTCGACAACATGCTGCTCCGCCAGCAGCAAGAAGCAACCGCCGCGCTCATCGCAGCAGAGGAAGCCTTTGAAGCGTCACGTAAACACGTCCGCGCCCTCGGCGTCGTGCTGCACGACACAGACCAGGAATCTGGCTTTGCATCCTATGCGGAAGACGGGTATCGGGAGTCCATGGAGGCAGACATGGTCCGGCTTGTGGATCGTGAACGCATCGAGCGATGGATGAACGAGCCGGATAGGCCGTCTCACCCGGCGGACTGCGATGAATGGGACTCAGAGGAGGTGGGTCTCTGTGATAGCATCAGCGTGGTTGCACAGGGGAAGGGGAGAAAGAGGATCGACCGCTGGCGGTCAATGTGCGAACTGCTCGAGATCGATGCGTTGGGAGATGGTATGTAGGTCTTGAATGGCGTATCTTTCCCCTGTATGTCTTGTATGCATGCAACAAGCTCAAACAGTGTGATGATTTGAGATAATGCGCACCTTCTGTGCAGTTCATGTTTTTTGAAAGATAGAATGAAGTCCTGGGAACTTTTAAGCTCAATTTTCGCGTACTGGTCCCGTGACCCAGTATCACGTGATCATGTGTTCCACGAATGGATGTAGCTGTAATTCCAGAGGCAGGTAGTAGTTCTAGCATAATAGCATATGCCACAGTCGTCGTAGGGAACCAGAAATCAAGAGAATAGGAATCTTCTGCGCATCATTACTTGTAATTGTAACGGATCCAGCCTGCCGAAGTCTTGCACGTGATGCGTGGACCTGACTAGCCCGATATCCAGTACGTTGTCCTCGCAACCAGACTAACAACACTTTCTTCATAAAACTCTCCTCCCCGGAAACCAAATAGGAGAGATATAGAGAGGCGGAAAGGCGTCCGAGATGGCTCTCTACGGCGTAGAAACTTATGTAGAAGGGATAAGACCCCCTCACAAAGCTCATGCTGCTCATCATCAGTTGCGCCCCCTGAAATCAGTAGTTGAAGATGTTCCCAGCCTTGCTTGTGATAAGCTGCCTTTTTTACTTTAGCGTCCCAGGGAGCTCTTCTCTGTACTACTTTACTGTATGTGTACTACTTTGTATTATTCTGGCATAGTCGGCGGGAGAGCAAACGGATTCGGAGATTCAAACTCCAGACTCCACCAGTAGGCATTCGGCAATCTGGGGAAGGGAGATATGAGAAGCAAGTGATCGTGATACGTAAGGGTATTAGGGATGCGGCAGCAAGATCTCACATAGGAGGCGGGTTTAGTCTCATGCGGTTACTTACTTGCTGTTGCTGCTGCTGTATGTTGAGTTGTTGTTAGCTAGGGACTACTACTAGGGGTAGGTCTCAGCTTCAAATGACTGATCATCCATCGCTAGGCATTGCTTTCATCGTTGCTCTTACCGCTGTTTAGCCCCCGAGGAGCCCCTGTCGCGAATAGTATGATATCACTTCATAATGAACGGCTGAGGTACCCCGTACAGAATACTGTACATATGTCGTGTGAAGATAACTGATTGCTGCGCATGCAGGCGCATCTTGATGATCGGTGGTGATAGGCCATCCCGGGGTGCGGTATGTATGTAAGGGGGGAAGGGGGTTGGCGATTCTGCCAACGGGCTTTCGAGGTTCAGTGAGCGGTGAAGGCGCAAAGCATCGCCATCCAAGTTCGAACTTCCAACCTACTGTGACATACAGTATCTGACCATGCCTGACTCCGTATATCTGCATAGCCTAACGCATCTTGGCTCCCTTTCCAGGCGGGCCGTTGTTCGTTTGGCCTCTTCTCTGCCTATTGCTGTGGTACGGCCCAGCCACAGCTAACTACGCGGTGTCGGGTGAGCTGTGAGCAAGATATGATGCTGGATAAAGACGGAGGGAGGCATGCGATCCTCCAGTAGGAATTCTGCATGGCGGCTGTGGGTGTGATGGAGGGGTTCGTTGGATGGCGGGAAGGGAGGGTGAGGGCCTCAGAAGACTCCCTCACTATGTTGATGACGGCGTCTGACACCCTGCCAATGACGTCCAGCGGTGCGCCGCTCACGAATCATGGAGACGGCAGGAAGATGGGGGGGAGAAGGGGAAGAAGAAGGGCCAGAACGTTGGAACCACCTCTCCCTTCATATCAACCTCGAGAGTTAAAGAGGGGTACAGACTGTCAAGAATGGAGGTGCTAAGGATTTGAGGGTTTGGAGATCGCCAGGCGGCGGAGGCTTGAAAGTTGACGATGGAGCTGGAGTGCCGTTAGCTGGCGAGGCGGCGGCGGCGGGGGAAAGGAGCCGGGTGGAGAGTGGCGGCGAAGCATGTGCCATTACTCCGGATTAAGGAAGTCGGTAATGCTGATGTGCGTCCAGACTGCAGAAGAGCAAAGCAAGTCTTGCCATCATTATTTGCCATGTGCGCTGGGTTGCGTTGCTGTGGAGCAGATCCCGAATACACGGCACCTGTATCAACAACTCTCAGAGCCAAATCAACATTCAACAATGTCAACACCCGACGGCATGCTGCTTATCCTAGCCTCGTAGTTCGCGCAAGGAGTAGTCAAAGGAGAGAATACCTCGGGACCGCGCAGAGTTAGAACACGAAGTGGAAAGGAAATGGAAAATCCCGAAGAAGCCGGGAGAAGGGGGAAGGGGTCAGGACTCAGGACCACAAGTAGCAGCTAGCTGGGTTCTAGGTTGCTTGAGGTTATATTGGTAAATTCCCAGGCGCCGCTCTGACGTTATGCCCATGTCAGAATGATGATAATCCACGGCGCGAGGTACGTAGCGCTACAGGGTTCACACGCGATGTGTGTCGGCAAAGGAGGTACCTTGAGGTAGCAGTACATGGCCATCGATGTTATGTTCACCCCCGAGTCGTAGGCAAGGACTGAAGGGGGTTTCTGGCTTGTTTCTCTGCCTCCTTCCCCCCCTCTTATTTTCTACGAGCGTTTAGGTTCTTCTCCCTGGCTTTTAGGTCCGAAGGTTCTAAAACCACTTTTCCGCTCCTCTTTTTTTCCTTTTTTCTCCGTCGCGGCGATTCATGACATGCTTCCCGACCTGCACCGGCGCCGCTCGGCTGGGCTCTAGAGAGGAACGGGCGCGCGCTAGGAGGGGCCATGAGGCTCCCCCTGCGTGTTTGGTGATTTTATCCATCATTTTGTCCGTATTTTACACTTGGTAATTATTATACCTGGAATCCTGGATCCATATTTCCATCCTCGGGATTGCAGATGCCCCAATGCACATACAGGGCTCCGTCTCCTGTCGTGTGCATCTGTCGCGGGACCCCCTGCATGCCACCACGCTGGAGCGCATTCTGCATTGTTATTTTTGCATCTTGGTTTCTGCCGTGTTTTTCTTATGTATAATGTATATTTATTTTCATCTAATTTCGTCGTATTCTTCTGCCTATTAGGTTGCCTATCATATTGTGACCATGCCCCTCCGGTCGACAGTGCAAAGGCTACTGGACAGTGCTATTCCTAGATCCATCGTCGTAGCTCCACTAACTGGATGCTGGAGGCTTTGAGCCTTGCGGATCGCCGTCTACTCGACAACAGCAGATTATTATTGCGACGGCTATGATGGTTGTGCTGATGATCCTGATCATTGTCATTATTATTGTTGCTGCCCGTACAGAGTCCTCTTGACGGGCTCTCCCCTCTCCATCCCCTCCCCTCCAACACCAACACCAACAGCAACTTGATTATAATTGACTTTATTGCCATTGATCTCCTCTCCATTTCCTGCTCTGGCCCCATTGCCCCAGCGTCCAACCCCCCCTGACTCTCCCCCTGACCGCCTTCCTGTGGCCCACTGGTCGCCCCGTCAGAACAGGCAAACAGACAAGGGAAAAATCCTCGACGCCGGCCGCGCCTTAGAATCAACAGAGGGAGAGAGCAGAGCGTACACATCGTCCTCTTGAGACTACTTGGACTGCGTTCTGACCATCATCGCCACCGTCACTCACCACCCGCCTCCCCTCGGGAACCGTCGCCCATCGACCATCGACCATTGACCATTTACCCACCAACTACTTCCAACCCACGACGCAATCCTACATTCCGAACGCCCTGCCCGGTGGCCAATAGCCAATAACCCGCCCGCCGCCTCCCAGTCCTCCTGTCGCACGTCGCTACGAAGATCCACGATCAACGTGCAGGAACAACACAAACAGACCCCTTCCGCCCTCACCTCCTCGCCTCGTCGACCTGGTCCGTCGCAAACAACCACTCTCTCCGCCTCGCCGCCTCTCCGCCTCTCCTCCTCCTCCTCATCCATCATCCTCCCCCCCCCCGCCGACTGCACTACACGACTCCCTCCTCCATCCTCCCTCGTCCCTCCTCTCCGCCCCTCATCATATGGTCGCGCAACCCCTCGCAACCATGCCTTACAATACTCGTCGCAAGTCGCTGTCCCTGCCGTCCTTGGGCATCCATCTCCCCGTCACGCATGCTGAGAGAGCTGCCGCACGCCTCTCACCGCCTTCCACATCGTCTACTCCTGACCATCCGCCACCCAAAAAGATAAAGCGCTCCCACGATGAGTCGCCGTCCATGTCCCCTCCGCCAAAACGAGATGCCATCAAGTACGAGCATACCCCCCCGCCTTCGCCAGAAGCCGAGGGGGACGATTCCGAATGCGACGAGGCGAAGCCAAAGGAGATCGACCTCGAGGGCATCAACGACGAGATCGTGGAGGGCGTGATCTTACAACTGCAGAAGACGGGGAATAGACCGCACCTGGTCAAAGAGCTGGCCGCGGTCCTGTCTCCGACTGTGAAGATCGTCGAAACGTAAGTCGTGCTCCCACTACCCCTCGCGCCCCGACTAATCTCCTCAGTTCTGCGAACCCTTCGGCCATCATCTCTTCGCGACTGTCGTCCTACCTAAAGCGACCGTGGACTGCGCTGGCGCCCTGCCCTATTGCGAAGGAACTGGAGACGGTCCACCCGCGAAGAACGTACTTCTACCTCACCACCTATCAGCACCAACCCATACCAGATCCGTCAACCATCCAATTCCCACAGCGGTCGATAATTTCGCCCGCGCTGTCGAGCGCAGCGTCGCGGACCGATGAAGCCGATGCGGAGCGCAGGAGAGAGCTGTCGCCATCGCCCGAGGTCGATCTGTCCTCGCCGGAGTTCGATGATCACGACATGGGCGCGCCTCCAACACCGACAGGTTCCTACTCGGGTTCCTACTCGGGCTCCTTCATAGGACGCCTCGGGCCAGTGCGGAATCACCGCGCCGCGTCGCCACCGCTCGAGAAGGACGAGAAGGAGTTCACCCAGACGGCCCGAGGGATGCAGAAGAGGAAGCTGGGCAGGGACATACAGATGAGTGGGGTCCCATCCGAGATGGAAGATCACCCTGCGAGGCATCTAGATTCCGATTCATTATTCGGAGACGGGAGGGGATTGAGCGTCTTGAATTCGTCGGTCTTCACCAGCAGTCCGGCGATGAAGGCGAGCTCGTGGTCCTTGAACCCCCTGAAACGAGGCATCGAGGAATCGAACGATCTGTGGGCGCGCATCGACGGCGCTCTGGAATGGGATTTGCGGAGTCCGGAAAATATCGAGCTGGACGAGTTGGACGGATTATTGGACGATTTCTGAATTACGAGACAACGGCCGGTTTCTTCATTTCGTTGTACATGCATTATCTCACCTCTTTTTTGCTCCCATTTATTGCATCGCATCGCATCGCATCTCAGCACATCACATCGAGGACACATCTTGGGCTGGCTAGCCTCATCTATCCTCTATTTACTGCTACCGTCTCTCCGCGCTTCTCTCGCATGGTTTTCCAGATTTACAGAATCCCTTGTACGATGTAGTATAGTAGAAGAGCGCACCGCGCGCCCTTTTAAAAAAGAAGCCGAGGCGAGGCAAGACGAGGCGAGCAAAAGCAACACACAGGGTCAGGGGCTTAGGGGTTTTGGCAAGATCCATCTTACCATCATCATCATTATTTTTTGTGATGGCTTGCAGGCGTTCAGGGGAGGCAGAGACTTGATGAATGAAACTCAAATTATCCTTGTACATTTACCTTACGCTATACATCGCACACCTATATATATAACGTGCCACTAGGTCACCTCCTTGCCTTGCCTTGCTTGAGCCAGGCTGGTAAGGAACACTTTGTAGTTGATAATCTCCACATATCTATTATTTTCTGCTGCCTTGCTTTATGTAGGCGCGTGGCATGTGGCATGTGTTGGCCGCTCACGTGACACCCCCCTTCTTTCTTCTAGAAATAAAACAACTTCACCCCTAGGCAAATTCTCGGAGTCATATATCCATATCCCGTCCGTCCGCTCTGCTATACACAAGCTCCGGAATCACGTAGATAGTAGTGTCAATCGTGCCAATAGGCATAGCAGAGTCAGAAGTGAGGCTCAGTGAGCACAGTGGGCATACTCTAATTTAGTGGCTTACTAAGCAAGGTTTAGACAACCTCGGTCGGATCACTCAACTCTTGACTCTCCAACAACTGCGAAACCCGAACCTGAAAGCCCATTCCCCTACACTTATGTCCAAAAGTCGTACACAAGTCCGCATAGTTTGCATATCTGACCTCCACAGCCTCCCACTTCCCTCTACTCTTCCGCCAGGCGATATCCTAACCGTCGCAGGTGACCTGACCGAGGGCCGCCCATCCCAGCTCCTCTCTCGTCTCAAGGAACTCCAGAACTTGAAATCGCAATTTCCTTTCATCTTTGTTATTGGGGGCAACCATGATCGCGCACTAGACGACAAATGCGACTCGCGCGACGCACCTATATACGATGATCAAGCGGAGCGCGAAGAGTGTCGCAGAGCATTCCGCACAGCTTCCGATGTCGTCTACCTCGAGAACAGCGGTGTCGAAATATGTGTCAATGGAAGAACTATCAAGGTATGGGGCTCACCAGGATCGTTGGCGACTACACGACAGACATGCTTCGGATACACAGCAGGGAAGGATGCGCAAGATTTATGGGCACAGATCCCCGCTGACACGGATATCCTCATTACCCATGGACCGCCACTTGGGTATCTGGACAATGATGGACTCGGATGTGAAGAGTTGAGGAAAGCTCTGTGGAGAGTCAAACCTTTGGCCCACATCTTTGGGCATGTTCATGAGGGACATGGATCGCTGGTATTACAGTACGATGAGGTACAGAAGAATTACGAAGCTGCTGTCTCGGATTGGAAAGCGGCAATCATGGAGGACCAGGCCTCGAAAGAAGCAGGAAAATACATTCCACGGCACCTTGCACCAGGTTTGGCTAATCGCCCGCCGTTTCCGAGGTGGCCAGATGGGAGAGACGTGACCAAACATGGTTCGCGGCAGAACAAACCGGAGGAGACCATTCTAGTGAATGCTTCTGTGAAGTCCATTCCACCGCTTGATCCCATTGTCATCCAGATATAATTCTTTCTATATCAAGTGACTTTATAGAAAGATTACTACTACTTCCCACTGAAGTTCCTGCAGTGCGATCGAAATCGATATCTCGGCAACGCAAATACATAGAATAATAAGCTCGTTTTCCTCCCATCCCTCAGCTCAATAATAGGTGGTCCCCATCACATATCGAAAGGAGGGGACGATTCTTGGCAAGGCAGCAAAGCAATATCGCGAGACCTTCAATATAATATAATATCCTGAGGCCGCTTCACCCATTAAGCCTAATAGCATCATCCATCATCTGGATTACACTGCCTTACTATCCAGGCCCCTTACCTTACCTTACCTTAGATACTCAGCAGATAAGATCAGTAATTGGGTGACCGACCACCAGCGAATACCTACCTTACCTTACTGTTGTACTCTTTTTCGATTTCTCACCGCTGCCTGATAAGCCAGAGGTAATCTACCTTACCTTAAGTATTAAAGTAAGGGAATGAATGGTACATACGACCACAGACTAAGGAGAATTGGGCATCCCGTCCGCTCTGCCATACACAAGCCTTAGATCGGCAGATTAGTAGTTGGGTGGGTGACCACCAGCGTATACCTGCTGTTGTATGTCTTTTTATTTTTCATCTTCCTTTCTGGAAGGGGGGGAATAGATGGGATGGGATGGGATGGATTGGGGGATAGGGATAGAGGGGTAGGCATTTATATTTTGTTTTATATATTTATTTAGGTTGAAGAAATGGCGATCACACATTCCAAATAATCCCCTCAAAAAAGAAAAAAAAACATCACAAAACATCTTCTTTCTTATATTCATCTATTCATACATACATAACCCCCCCATCCACCCCCCAAAGATCCAAATCTTCTCTTCGCCCGCCCTCCCTCAAGCAGCAGCTGTACTCTCCGCCACATCAGGACCCGCAGCTACAGCTGAAGCAGCTTCGGCCTTCACATATACAGTTTGATTAGTATATAGGGTATAGGTTATTATTATGGAATATTCGAGAGAGGGGAGAGAAAAACTCACAGCTGCTGCGATACCCGCGGATCCATTGCTGGCGTTGGGGTTTACGCTAGGAGATGAGGCGGCGGCAGCGGTTGCGGTGCTGGATGCTGCTGCGGCTCCGGCTTTGCCCTGGGGGGTAGGGGTTAGTGGATTGTTTGATATTGGTGAGGAAAGGGAGGGGGTTACTTTTTTGGCTGCGCCGTTTCCGGCTTTGGCTGCGTTTCCTGCGGTGCCTGCGTTTCCGGCTTTGGCAGCGGCAGCGCCCTGTTTCTGGTCAATGTTAGGAGTGTGGGGAAGAGGATGGGGGTTGGGGGAACGAACATTGGCATCTCCCTTTACCTGGTTCTGTTAGCTGGATCCTTGGAGAGAGGGGTTGAGAACCGACCTTTTTCGCTGCAGACTTGCCGGTTCCTACCGCCTGTTGCCAAGTCAGTTGCTGGCATACAAGAATGTGCAGATGGGAGGATGGATCGAGGTAATCCAACTCTCCCCACAGTCTGGAGGAACAAGGAGACATTCTGGCGGAACTCACAGCTACTCCAGAGGCGACAGGCGTAGCAGCCTCCTTTCCTTTCCGAGCCTCAAGCTTTGAGGGGGATCGAAGACCAAGACTGCCTAGGTTGATACCGGTAAGACTCTGGACGATGCTGTCCACTCCACTTTCACCTGACTGGGCGGCCGCAGCGTCATTGGCGTTTGCAGCTCCCTGGCTTGGATTAATGGTTATCCGTGTGTTGATAAGATTGATAACTCACCTTGTCTTGGCTGGCAGAGTTTGCACCACCCTGTTGTGATCAGTAATTACCTCTACCCTGCGTCTCTTCGGGACTTACTTTGCCTTTCTTTCCTGTGTCGGCCGCAGCTGTCCCATTCTGGGCGCTTGAGAAGGGATGAGTACTGAGGTGACAGAGATGGAGACATGATTACATACGCGGAATGAGCAGCTCCTTTTCCTTTCCCTTTCTTCTTGTCTCCTGATGTTGAGCTTGTAAGAGACGTGGCGGCCGAAATAGTCGAGTTGGCTAGATCATATTAAGCGTATAATCAATCCATCCCTAAGGTGATTCTTACCTGCATTGTGCTCCTTGTCTTTCTTGGGGATACGTTCAGAGAGTTTAGTAGTATCTGACAGGTGTTAGATGCATCGATGTATGGAGATGAATGCCGTACCAATTGGATACGGGACTCGCGCCACTAAACCATCCCCAACCGGCAGCGCACGGGAGGTAACGACACCGGCAGAAAGGGCGATGAGTGCCAAGATGGACGTAAAGTTCTTCATAATGATTTGCTGAAAGGGCGTCAAGCCAGTAGACGTAAATGGGTGAAAGAACGAAAATAATGAGCACAGCTACTTTCATCAGCATATCTCGTCATAGGGATTCCGGTTCTACTCACCTCAGTTTGAAAGGAGAAATAAAAATGATAAAAATGTCCTGCACGTGAAAAGGAGGGAAGTAAGAGCTTGAGGTAGGAATAGAAGGTAATGTTATCTCTTGGCTCTTATATCCAAGAGTGGTTTCGGGGATCACGTTATCCATGGACCTAGATGGGAAGTACCGTGAAACGAGAGGATGTCGACATATCAAGGATAAGTCATGACTCGTTTGATCAACGTCCCAGGGAGAATGAAAAATTCCCCGGATGAACGCAGCCATGTCATAAGACGGCAGTCCCCAGAACGGCGGCTGAGTGTCTATGCGGGATCATCTCCGTCCAAAAATAGGCTAGGGCCTGAGATCTTGAGAAAATTACTCTGGAGTCTGAAGCATCAAGTTGAAGTGAGGCAGTGACATGCTCTGCTACAGGTCGAGAGCAGGAGAAGAATGACTGGGGAGTATGCCACGCGTAAGGCTGATCGACGGGTCGACGAGACATGCTAAGGAAATCTCTTGGCAAGAAGAAGCATATCACGTTCCAGAACGACCGGCACTGGAAAGAAGATCTTAGCTGATTAGATGAAATATCGAGGTTTCAATTGAGAGAATCGCACCGTCTCGGTGAAGTCGAGGGTTGGTTTGAAGAGAATCGGGGATCCGCGACACCGTGCGAGTGTGAAACGCATAGCGGCTCCAGATCAAACCGTCGCTCAAACACACTCAGCTCCAAAGGAGGGGATGTACGCGCAATAATAAAACAAGAACTGGCGTGATGGTCACAATCCCGATGCAACTTGCGCCGGATGTGATCATCGCAAAGGAAACAAGTCGAGTGCCATGGCTGTTGCACACATGCTATGATTTTACCATTGGTCCGCAATATGTGGGGTTGATGGAGAAAGGGGTTTAAGCGCCTTGCGCCGCAACATTATAGACACCTCAATTCTTGAATTCCTCTGAATCATTCTCGCGATTGGAAGAAAGCCCTTGGGTGCTATCTGACTACTAGTTTCAGGGGAATGTGACCTTTTGAAGGCTTCCAATCGCGGCCTTTGACACGGTAAGCGAGAATCAAGCACCCTCCGAGGGACCAGGAAACGAGGACTTGAAGAACGAAACGCTCGAACCACTACAATATTGGCCAACTTGTGGGATATTGATATATCTGAAGAAGCCACCGCTTATAGATAGGTCATGACCATGGAATTTTCAACCCCTTGAAAAGAAACCCGACTAAGTTATGTAACCAGCAGTGATATGGAGAAAAAAGCTCGAGAAATATCAATTTCCCTATCCAAGCCGGAGAACGAATCGGGATACGTGGTCGCATTGTAAGGCAAGCGTATATTTTCATCTCCAGTCTCTAATATGTGGCTTACATCCGAGGATTGTCTTCATTGCAGTGGAAAGAACCTTCTTGATCTCATCAAGTTTCGCGTGACCGAGACATATCAGGGCACCATTCCTGTAGATAAGTCAACCGGAAGGAGCGCCTCCCCTGGTTGCATTGAATCGTCCGATGAGAGAGATGCTGTTTAGTATGTTAGAACTGATGGTATAATGGGAGAGTATTAGCCGAACAGAAAAAACTCATTGCGTGGATACTGAACCGTTGCCAGGAGCAAAATGTTCACAGTGATAGAGCAGAGGTTATAAAGCAGAGTTTCTAAAGCAAAGGTAGAAAGAGTTTCTAAAGCAAAGGTAGAAGTATAACCACTGCATTTGATTCTGCAGTCTGGGAGGGCGAACTCGACTATCCCGAGAGTAGAGGAGCCGAGATATTGACGTCGTGGTGCTTTATTCCGTGTTCATCTTTTTAACATTCCCAAAGATTCAGAAACGTGGTGGATAGGACCTGGTTGTGATGCTCATCCAGGTTGACGTAGCAATCAATGACCAGAGTAGCCCCCCTGCAATCTTTTCTCCTAAGGTAGATGAATCATAATCGCGTGGATTTCTTCCCTGGGCCATCTTTTTCACTTGACCCAGAAAATATCCCCTTCATCAGCGTCGTCTTGCAACCATTGCACAAAACCGCTGGCAGGCGCCTGGTTCTGCCTCCTGTGGGTTGAACGAAGGTCCTTGATGTGCTTCGGCTATTAAGCTTGAGAACCGAGGATAGATTCTTGGAGCTGGACTGTGACTACTGGACCTTGAAGTCTAAGGACCGGTTCTCAGATTTTCGTGACGGGGACTGCGCCAGCTTCTGTCAGAGGAAGAGGCATATCTCCCTTGTCTTTCAACAGCTGCATATCTTTTTTGTGGTTTCTGAGCATGATGAGTGCAAGGTGCTCAGCAAAACTGTACGTTCCACTTGCTCGGACTTGGGCGTCGATCACAAAAGCAAGAAGGTGCGAAGAGAATGAACTGGAAGTATTCCGACAACATGACGAACAGTCTATTGGCTGCCTTGCAGTCAGTTATCACAGCCTCGAAAGCGAGCTGAAAACTTCATCTTCCTCATCCTCATCCACATTCACATTGTCTTTTGATCTTATACCAATAACATAGTCTATTCCTCGCATCAGGACACAAACTTGACCGGAGGTCGGCGATTAGTTGTCGCAGGGGGAAGGTATTTCCGCATCACGTGTGACCACCGGCCGGCGGGGCATATAGCCACCGGGCGGTGAGATATTCTGCCATCTTGTTACCAAGACCCGTAAATTTAAAATATACCTAAGGTACAATACGTACCTCTCTCTTCCTTACGCGCCTCCGACGCCCTTCTTCCGATCCATACAGTTGAGTGGCTTGGCGCAAAAGCGGTTTACTTTGACTGCTCTCCCTTTTTGACTCTAACGCAAAAACCCGACCTGGCCCGTGACATTACTCTATCATGGATGCTGGCAATGACAGCAACCATGACAACTCCGAGCAGGGCTCACCCGCCTTGACAGCTTCCAAGCCACCACGAATGCAACCATCCTGCGACTTCTGCCGCCGGTTAAAGGTATTACCAACATGCTCTATTCCATTGGTTGCAATACTGACAAGCGTCAGATCAAATGCGAAAGGAAAGCACCAGGCGAGCCATGCCTCCAGTGCAGGGCTCGAGATGCCGAGTGCAAAAGCACCGTCATTCCCAGAAGACCGAAGACGAAGAGGTTTGGCAAACTGATGCCCTGGGGGTCTGCTACATCTGCTGAGAACTACCAGGAAGGACCATCTATCTTTGATGGAGAGTCGTATCCAGCAACTGGAATCAGCGATCGCCTCCGCCATTTCAGCCCCGGAAGATTCTGAAGACTGGGAACAAGGCAACATCTCACGTCAGGTGGGAATATCAGACAATCTGTCCATGATATTAATAAATGAGCAAGGAGGGTCTCAATTTGTTGGTATGTTTGATACTTCTCCCCGCACTCCCTGGCCACTTGGGGTCTAAGAAGCGCACAGGGTCATCGTCAGGATTCTCTATATTTTCACCTCGTGGCCTCCGGTGGATCTCGGAGAAGACTGGATCTCGAGATCTGGAACGACTTGTAGATCAAGTATTTCATCTCGACCCAGAAACTTGGGACCAGGGGTGCTGGAACAAATTTGTCGATGTTACATGGCACCCGATTCCGCAAGATCAACATGAACCATTCCCAGAAAAAGATGTAGCTCTCAAATATGTTGAAGGTATATTCCTATATAATTACGTCCTCAGTCCAACTTGGCATACTAATATGAACCTAGCATTCTTCAATACTTGCAATTCCATTTTCCCTGTCTTTAACCGGACTATTTTTGATAGAAGATTTGAGCGGCAATACTCAGATAACCCCCCCACGGGGACAGGATGGTATGCATCTTTTAACATGGTTCTTGCTATTGGCAGCGCTCTCGACACTGAACATCCTTTGGCGAATCCAAACCACATTATGCGAAGAGCTTTAGATCTCTCACAGGGTCCTTCTGCGAAGTGGTTGAGAAATGCGACCAGCGTTTTCCTTGATATACAGTTCGGGCCGGCAACACTATTGTCCGTGCAGGCGCTGGTTGTAATGGTAAGCTTATTGCCCATTGTCTCCTATATCCCTACTGAGCATCTGCATTAGGCTTTGCTGTTACAAGGAGCTTCGAATCCACATCAAGTATATACTCTGGTGGCTACAGCTGCAAGATTAGCACATGCTATCGGTCTCCATCGTTGGTTAGACGACTTTGGACTATCCGAAGAGCAGGCAGATGAACGGCGCAATACTTTCTGGCTACTCTACACGGTAGATAAGGGCACTTCTCTTCAGACCGGACGTCCGTCGATCATCCATGATCAGGATATAGGAATCGCGTTGCCGCAGGAGAAAGAACCTATATTGCTGTATCCCAATGGGAGGCGGAGGTTTGATACATTTACCGCCTCAGCAAAACTAGCCGTGATCGAGAGTCGAGTTTACACCGAACTCTATTCTACGCGGTCGCGAACGAGAACCGTTCTTCAAAGACTGAAATCGATAGGGCTATTAGACACCGAACTTCAGAAATGGCGAGAACATATTCCTATCGAGATACGACCGGAGCACGAGATCATATGCGATCCACAGCAACTGATGGCGGTTGTTATACTCCATTACTCTTACTATAATTGTCTTACGGCCATCCACCGAGTATCAATCTATCATGGCCCTTGGACGATCGAGCCTGAAGACCAGAAGCTAGCTCGACATGACATCGATTTGAACCCGCGAGTTTATGCCAGCGAATCAATCTGTGTAGCTGCTGCGCGGAAGGTCATCCAAATTCTTGATCTTTTCAAGAATGAGAGTACTCCACCCATGATATGGTACCAATCTTACCCTAAGCCTGTCCTATCTGCTGTTATCGAGTACTAAATACCTTCCACAGGATCGCCGTATCCCAGCCACTCTGCGCTTCATTGACACTATTTGCTAATATCCTTCAACATCCTCGAGATCCCAACGCCATGTCTGATCTCAACATGATGCATTATGTCACCTCTCTCCTAGCCCAATTAGTTGCTCACGGACATTTCGCTTTTGCTAGCAACACGCTTTCGATCTTCCAGGAGTTGCTTCAAATTGCGAACCTTTTCCTAGCTAGAGAACTCCACCAGTCTCAGCCTGCGCAAAGTACTACGCCAGCTTCAATTCCCCCTGGGACCGACTTAGATCTCTCTCAGCCTGCCTCGGCAAGCCCGGATACGTCGTCTCAAGTCCCTGACATTCCTTACCCAAATCAATATTTCGAGGAGATGACGCTCTTTCACGACCGTACATTGTCACTCATAAATCCGCAAACGTCGTTCCCTCTGGATGAGACGGATGGCTTTGCACAGGGCGACTGGTTTTCGCCTATGGATATTCAGTGAAGATCTTCTTGGGTTGGAGAAAAGCAGAAAGGCTAGAAAATAGAGGATAGAAGGGGTGGCGCAGTCTGTTTGCCGCAATATCTGTACTAGATAATTGGTTCCTGCATTCTCCTGTCTGTCAGCGTTTGCCAAGACATCAACAACCCTCCTCCAGCCAAAAGCTCACTACCTGCTGTGCTTAAAAACTATCGCGTAGCTTCAGCTCCTCGAGTTCCCCGGGCAAAGGAAAGTGTCCTCCATCATCTCCAGTACTTACATTTTAACAACCGTCGCCTCTCGCTCTGGACATGTTGACATTCATTCAAAGATAAACTAGTCAGTCCTACGATCGATCCGCTCTAACCTCGGCCCTATGCGCGGCTCTCTCGGACGTTTGGTCTAGGATCGGGGGATTCGGACGACGGGATCGTCGTTGGCTTGGCCGCGGCGCCTTCCGTGTTCTGGTCCTGTAAGCCCAAGCAAGCCATGGGAATGTGATAGGTAGGATGGCGGGGGAGGCTATGCTATGCACTTCAGCGTTCCGCCAGGAACGGATGGCGGAGCGGGGGGAGGGGGGGTGGTGAGGGGGACGAAGACATCGAATTTTTATATATGCGGATAGATGGATTAGATAGATAGATAGATAGATACTGTAGACAGACGGATATGTAGATATATATTCATTGATTGATCGATTGATTTGATTTGATCTAATTTGATTCGATCAGTTCTCAGCCTTACTATATATACCTACCCAACAATACTGTACTGTACTGTACCTGAATCCCTATCTATCTCTATCTCTTATCTATCTATTTATCTATCTTAGGTAGCAAGCAAGGCTGATTGATCGCAACGCATGACGCGACGATCCCTCTTCTCCTGCGTCGCTATGGCGTCAAGCGCATGCCCGCGAGCGAGGCTGAGAGGGGGCATCATTCATGTGATGACGCTTGCTTGCTTGCTTGCTTGCTTCCATTCTTTCTTTTTTCTTTTCTTTTCTTTTGTTTCGTTTGTATTACCCCCCGACGGTTTCTTATCTTTTGATGATAATAATAATAATGATAATCGGAAGGGAGAGAAATTCAAAATAAGATGTTTTCATTTCATCCTTTTTTTTCCTGATAACTCAATATATCATTATGCTTATTATGACCCGTGATCATAGATACCTTAGATAGGAAAGGAAAACGATATGCGTTTATATGCCCATGTTTTTGTTTATGTTTTTATATATAGAGACATGGAAGATGCTCGAGCGCGCGCGCGGACCGCGAAAGCATGGAATCGCATGGTTTGCCGGGCGAGTCATACATACCTACGGCAGAACGCTGGGACGCATCCGAGGGGACCGGGGAATGCATAATGGAAAGGCGGAGTGATGGAAAAAAGAAAAAAGAAAAAAATAGATGCAGGATGCGGAGATTGAGGGGATTTGATTGATTGCTTTTAGGAAGAGAGGGATTCTTCTCCTTTTTAAAAAAGGGGGGGGGGGGGTTGTCTGGATTTAAGGGAGGATGGGGAATGCAGGATGAGGATGGGGATGAAGATATGGTGGCCTCAGGAGGAAGGAACTCCGAGGATGGGAGAACAAGCATAAAAAAGGAGGTGCGGGGGGGAGGTGGAAGGGGGGTGTTGGAATGCAGAGATTAAAAATAGAAAACGAAAGAAAAAAAATAAAAAATAAAAATAACAGAGAGATGGGGATGGAAAGAAATAGAGAGAGGGGAAGAAACAAAAGCAAACGAAGAAAAAAACACACACAGTCAGTCACAAAGCAGAGAAGAAAAAAAATAGACAAAAAAAAAGAATTCTCCGGAGCGGCTTGTGTCTCGGACTGGAGATCAACCCGGGGCCGTGAGCAGCAGCGAGCATACTTCCCGCCACGGTGGCCTGAACCAAAGGCATGATGATGATGATACCGGATACATATAAGGAACGCGGGGTATATAGATATATCTCTATATATATATCTTTATAATAAAAGATAAAAGATGGACGTACAAGGAAAGGAGTAAACAAAGAAAGAAGCCGGATGCAGCAAGACGCGTAACTCATACCAAGTAGAAACAGCGCAGCCAGATAAAGTTGGCCATGGATGTGTGTGTGGCACAAGCTTCTCCTTTCCTCTGGATGCCACTACAGGCGCCGGGTTTCAGATGGTGGCTGATGGGCGCCTCTCGAGGAAACGGGGGCGCGCGCTGATTGGTTGATGGGGGGCACTCGGTGTTGGGTTCTAGACCATAACAAAACTAGCGTGTGGCGGAACCGGGGGCATTATTCAGCAGTCAAGGCAAGAGCGACTGAGCGAGTGGGGACCGTGGCTGGCCCGTGCGATGCCTGATGGCGGCCTTGCGTGCCTTGCGTGCCTTACGCGCGCTCTGCCGGCAGTATATAAGAAGGCCGCTCCTCCCACCATTTTGGAGAGCCTTCTCGCGTAAATTGGCGGAACTTTTTCGATTTGCCGCACCGAAACCCAGCCGCCTTGCCAACCCGCCTCCGTCGCCATCGCCACCTCCATCCATCTCCATCTCTCCTCCATCTCCATCTCCATCTCTCTACTCCATCTCCCCATTCTATCATCGTCGCAGGCTTCCAAACTCTGCAGCGCATCTTCGCGTCCGGCACATTCATTCATCAAAAGCCCCGACAGGCCGCGCGCGACTCTGATCCTGCTCTTGGTCCTCTTGCGACAATCGCCGTTGTCATCGCGTCGACGTCGCATCAACTTGCGCATCTTCTTTCCCCGCCAACCCTCCCCATTTACTCCTTTCTTCTTCTCTCCCAATAGAATATTATTTCTATCCTCGGTCGCGATCCATCCAAGATCAAAACTGAGGATTATTGTCGAGCAGCGACTGTAGGGGAGACATTGAGTTGTTTTTCTCCCACAAACGGTACGACCATCTCTCCTCTCGGCTGCGCAAAAGCAAACAAAACAAAAACAAACCCCACACCTCTTCTTCTTTGACCCCTCCCAACTCTCTCACCTCTCACACCTCTTCCACCTTGATCCTTCGAGTCGCGATCTTACGCTTTCTCGAACGTCCCGACTATTACAAGTCCTTGACCTCGATCTAACATCAAACCCACAAACAGACCTGCTCTTTACATCTGTGTCCAACTCTCTAGAAGCATACGTACCCTTCTTCAAGATGGATCAGATCCAAACCCATCCCTCCAACGCCGCGCAGGCGAAGACCTTCATCGCTCCCGGTTCGCTGTCGTTCCCAGGTGGCGCTGGTGAACTCACTCCTCCCTCGTCCGAGGCGGATAAGCAGAACGCGCAGAAGGTCAACGGCGGCCAGCAGCAGGGTGCGCAGGCCTCAAGTGGCAACGGGGTGACTCCCGCGACTCCTGCTGCGACCCCGGGCGCAACTCAAGGCGCGAGTGGTATTGTTCCTACCTTGCAGTATGTATAACCCTTGAAGGCCTCGGCTTGCGCATACGTGAGGCTTATCTTGCATGTAAAGAAACATCGTTGCCACGGTCAATCTCGATTGCCGCTTGGACCTCAAGACGATCGCCCTGCATGCGAGAAATGCTGAATACAATCCAAAGGTACTTGCTGACTCTAGGCTTGCTATATTATTCTCCCCTCTTTTCTTGCTAACCTGATCCTGCTCAGCGTTTCGCGGCTGTCATCATGCGTATCCGTGAGCCCAAGACCACCGCCTTGATCTTTGCCTCGGGCAAGATGGTCGTGACCGGAGCGAAGTCAGAGGACGATTCGAAGCTTGCATCACGAAAGTATGCTCGCATCATTCAAAAGCTCGGCTTCAACGCGAAGTTCACGGACTTCAAGATCCAGAACATCGTCGGCTCCTGTGACATCAAGTTCCCCATCCGCCTGGAGGGTCTTGCGTCTCGCCACCACAACTTCAGCTCGTACGAGCCCGAGCTGTTCCCTGGCTTGATCTATCGGATGATCAAACCTAAGATCGTCCTCCTGATCTTCGTCAGTGGGAAGATCGTCCTGACCGGTGCGAAAGTCCGAGAAGAGATCTACCAGGCCTTTGAGATGATCTACCCTGTGCTTCAAGGTATGCGCGAACTGATCGCAGTGCCCTCCATACATATGCTAATATCATGTTCTAGACTTCAAGAAGGTCTGATCGGGGCCCCGCCCAGATCTGCATCAGCGGTACGATCACTCAACCCGACTACCGTTCGGTGTACCAACAACCCCATAACCCTCTACTTGTACAAGTATTTCGATTTCACGAGTTCATGATCCCTTTTTCCAAAAAAAGCAACAACATCTAGTGGCGCATCACCCGTACCGGCTTGACGATCCACATCCGTCTTCCGGCAGTCACCATGATGCGCACGTTGTCCCTGCATTGCATCGGCGTACAAGGGGGGTAGGAGGAGTCAAAACGGCTCCATTTGGTTTTTAGCATGTTTGTCCTTCACACACAGAACATAGATTGCAGCACCACTGGCGATGGCATGTGCGCAGGTCGAAGATGCCGCCCTAATTGTTTCTGATCGCAAAGAGTTATTGCTCATTGGTCACCGTTTTTTATCTGCTGATTGGTATCCAGGGGGGAAGCATCAGAGGACACAGCGTGATTTCACAGGCGGCGGGCCTTGACGTCTAGCAGCCTTTTTACTATCGTGGTGGCAGTATACCGTTGCTTTTTTTCATGCTGCACACTGGCTATTGAGTAGTGGACGGAAGTCTGCGAATCAGTGCTCGGGCATTGCTTCGGGCTGTCGTGAATTTGCTCTTTTAGATAGACTAATTCCATCACGATAGATCGATAACTCCCATCTCATGCATGTGATGAGTGATATGTGTCTACTTTAATTCCCTTCTACGTCTTGTTATAACCTGCTTCCCTTCCGCAGCTCCTGTTCCAAGATCAAGCCTGGCCTCCCTCCTCGACTCCCATCCTGCGTGACTACATCCTCCACGGGATCTTTCGGCCACGCCCACTTATCCTTGAACTCCTCAGGACACTCTCCACTAATACACTTAACGATGCATTCCCCAATCACCGGCAAGAACTTATATCCATGTCCACTACCGCCCGTCGCGATAAACAGATTCTCAAACTCCGGATGGTACGTGATGAGGAAATCGCCGCGCGGCGTATCGCTATACCAGCAGAGTCTCGATCTCGCAAACGGGCGGTCGGCCAGCCATGGGATCATCTCGCGCAGCGCGGCGCGGCACGCGTCCTCGCCCTCGCGCGGCACCCAGAGTTTGGGATCGTCGACCGCGGTGCGCGGTAGGCTCACGGAGATCAGGGATCCGTCGCTCCTCCTCCTCCTATCGTCGGGGTCGCGGATGCGCGTCGGGTTCAGGTAGCCGTAGGCGTGGCGCGCGACCTTCAATACGCGGTTCTTGGGAGGGATTATGAAGAGCCCAGTCGTCATGTTGAGCAGTACTGGCATGCGGCTGAGCCGCTCTTGCTCCGCCGCTGTGAGGTCCACGTATGTGAGCACCTGCCCTGTGGCCGTGGCGCGCCCTCGTAGATCGACGAGTCCGCCCGTCCAAGCACCCGCTGCTAATACGACCAGATCCGCTTTCAGTACGCTCCCATCTTTGACTCGTACACCGATGACCTTCTTCTTCCCCTCCCGAACCAGCTGTGTCACCTCCGCGTGTATGAATTCCACCCTCCCCGTGTCCTGTACGCGCTGCCACAAATACCGCATCCCCGCCTCCGCATCCGCCCATCCACTCCCTCGATTCACATATCCCCAATCACCACTCCCGCCGCCCGTCCCCACCACCTTCTCAATGCTCTCCCTATCACTTAGCTCCTGCACCTCTTCTTCTGCACCATGATCAGCATCGAGCGCGCGCACGTTCTCCAAACTGCCCCGCACGTACGCCTCGCCCAGCTCCCCACGCTTCGCTACCAGCACGAGTCCGCTCTCCGCATACCGGCCATCGGCACCGAGCGCGGTCTCGCGCCAGGCGCGCTGCGCGGCAGATGCGAGCGCTGCGTACGCCCGGTCGGAGTAGTCGGCGCGGATGATCCGTGAGGAGTCGATGCTGGCGCCGTCTGGGGCGGGGAAGGGGGACCGGTCGAGAAGCAGGATGCGGGTGCGCGCGTAAGTCGGGTTCTGGGTCAGGGCCAGCGCGGTCGAGAGCCCGAAGACGCCGCTCCCGGTTATGAGGATCGTGGAGGGGGGAGGGGAAAGGGGCATTGGGAGGAGGGTGTTTGTAGGGAGGGGGTGGGAAGGGGAGGGGAAGGGAGGGGATGAAAATGGATGGATGGATGGATTGATAGATAAATACCTTGGGTAGGGAGGAAAGAAAGATGGGATAGACTCTAGAAAGATGGATATGATAGATAGACGGGTGGAGTGGGAGAGCCCTTGATAAAAGAATGTTTGGTTTTCACTTGAAAAGTGGTGAGGTTGCTGCTGAGCACTGAGGTCTGAAGGTGGGGTCGTATTTTATGATTTACACCTCAGGTATTACGGTATTTATTCCTTATCGGGACCTCGCCAGGGGAAACGTCTTCACTCGCCTCGTATGTGGCCCAAGCTTCTCGCGCCGCGGAACTGAAACCGAGAATCGAGATCCCATCACCGCCATCACCAAGCATCATTCACACCAACACCCAACGTTCCTCCTCCCTCTCCACCACAAACCAACAAGCACCCCGCGAAAAAACGGAGAAAACATGAACTGAGCACTTCCTCACCACACCCACCATGGCAGCGAGCGACAAGAAAATCAAGCACTTCCCCGACCTCGAGAACAAGCTGCAGGCACCGACCAAGAAATCCCTCTTCGAGCGCCAGAAAGCCGACGCCGAAGCCAAGCGGCTGCGCGAGGAGGCCGAGACCAAGGCCGTCTACGAGGATTTCGTGCGCAGCTTCGATGATGACGACGGCGCTGCGGACGGGAGCGGCGCCGCAGATGTGAGTTGGGCCGGGAATCATGGCGGGCGAGGCGGGGGACCTTCTGGTGGTGGCTTTGGAACGGGTCCGCCCAAGAGGCATTTCACGTCGGGACCAGGGAGGGGAAGCATGGGCGCGCCGATGGGACCGGCATTGGGGAGGGGCGGCATCGGCATGGGATTTGGCGGCGAGAGGGGGAGGGGCGCGGGGCTGGGAAGTAGCAGCGGACCGGGCAGTTTGGGACCGCCGCCGTTGAAGAAGAGGGCGTTTGAAGCCTTTCATCAGCAGACGCCGAGGAGGGAGGATAGGGGACTGTTGGCGTTTGACGATTATGAGCAGGATCCGTCGCCCTCGAGGGCCTTGAAGACGTCGGATGATGAGGATGACAGACGCGCCGGTAATGAGGAGGACAGGGCCGTTCCGAAACCGACGTTGAGATTGGCTTCATTGCCTCCGGGTACGTCGCCCGCGGTTATCAAAGCCCTGCTACCTTCGAATCTGACGGTGGACGCCGTGCGCCTACAGGCCTCTTCTGGACCGGGGACCTATGCAGAGAGAAAATCCATGTCGGCGATTGTTACGCTGGCGAAAGATACAGCTGCGAACGATATTGATGCCGCAGTCAATGCGCTACAGAACAGGTACTTGGGCTATGGGTATTATCTGAATCTGCATAGGCACCTCTCCTCGGCAGCCATCTCCAATTCTGCTGTAGTACCAGCTCTTGGGACATCTACGGCATCACAACCCTTCGGCGCGAAACCCGTCTCCCTCCCCACCGCTGGGAGAGGGCATGCACCGCCTACCCACCAACGAGGTTTTGCCCCGCCAGCCTCATACGCTCCCACAGGACCGGGACTGAACCGTGCTGGTCCTCTCCTCCACGTCCCGGTCCACCCACCACGAGATATCAAGGAACTCAAGCTCATCCACAAAGTGATCGAAGCTCTTCTTACACACGGCCCTGAATTCGAGGCTCTCCTGATGAGTCGGCCCGATGTGCAGCGCGAAGAGAAATGGGCGTGGCTCTGGGACCCGCGCAGTACAGGTGGTGTGTGGTACCGCTGGCGACTGTGGGAGGTTCTCACGGGCTCCCAAACCCGCCGTGGACAGGGAAAGTACCTACCCCTGTTCGAAGGCAGCTCGGCCTGGAAAGCGCCAGACCAGCCCTTGGCTTACGAATACACCACGCGACTCGACGAGTTCGTCTCAGATTCGGAGTATAACTCATCAGATGAGGAGGATTCCGGGGATGAAGGCGCGAGGAGACATCATCACAGTGGCGCACCACCCTCTGATCCGAGTTCGTTGGCGGACGATGGGCAGGCATATCTGAATCCCCTCGAGAAGGCCAAATTAACACACCTCCTCTCTCGGCTCCCCACAACTACAGCCAAGCTCCGAAAGGGCGACGTGGCGCGCGTCACAGCGTTCGCGATATCCCATGCAGGTCGAGGTGCGGACGAGGTCGTCGCGGCAATTGTCTCGAATATCGAGAAGCCGTTTGCGTACACATCTGCGAATCCGGATCGGAAGAAGGACAGAGACCTCAGCGGTGACGACGCACCCGCCAATGAAGACGAGGAGAAATCAGACACCAGCGCAGCGAGCCTGATCGGGATCTACCTAGTCAGCGACATCCTCTCCTCGTCGTCAACCAGCGGCGTCCGGCACGCGTGGCGCTACCGGCAACTCTTCGAGGCGGCGCTCAAGCAGCGCCAGGTGTTCGAGAAGCTCGGCCGCCTGGAGCGGAAGATGAACTGGGGCCGGCTGCGCGCGGAGAAGTGGAAGCGCAGCGTCGGCAACATCCTCAGCTTGTGGGAGGGCTGGTGCGTCTTCCCGCAGGAGAGCCAGGAGCATTTCGCGCGCGCCTTTCAGAACCCGCCGCTGACGGCCAACGAGCAGCGCCAGGCGCGCGAGAGGGAGACCCCCGTCGCCGACAAGGGCAAGAGTAAGTGGAAAGCGGTCGAAGTCGCGCCGCCGCCGCCGTCATCGCTGCCGCGCGAGGAGCCCGTCCCGCAGCCCGCCGAGGACGTCGATGGCGAGCCCATGGACCAGGACGAGGATGTGGATGGGGAGCCCATGGACGAGGACGATATCGATGGTGTCCCCATGGATGATGATGAAGACGTCGATGGCGAGCCGATGCCCCCAGAAGACGACGACGACGATGTAGATGGCGAGCCCATGCAACAAGAACCAGATCCCGCCGAAGGACCAAACCCAGCTGCTGCTGCTGCCCCCGATCCTGAACCGGAAAAGGAAAAGGTCAAGACGGAAGAGCAGCAGCGGCGGAGACGGCCGAGAGCGGTGGATATGTTTGCGGATTCGGATTCGGAGGATTAGTTACCTACCTAGTTACCTAGTTACCTACCTACCTAGGAAGGCAGTTTTGTATGTACGTTTAGGTGGTGTAAATTTATAGGAATGTACCTATGTGTGTATGTATATCCATGAGATAATAGATATGCTTGAAATCCAACAATATTCACATGTTCACCCATCGGTATTTTCATTTCATAATTTTTCATCTCATAAAGTCCTCCTGTCATTACCTAGGTAGGTATATAAGGAAACCATACAAACCCAATTCTAAGAACCACCACCTACCCTTCCCCCCCTAGACCTCCTTCTCGCCAACCCAGCACCCCCCACGCCCTCACTGAAACTAGTCCCGATGCCTGAATCCGTCCTTAGTCCCACGCCCTCATCCTCATTCTCATCATCCGCTTCCTGCCTCTGCTGTTCCTCCACGCCATCATTCTCATCCTCGATATCCTCTCGCTTCACTTTAGGGATATATCGTAGAGGCGCCTGCCTTCCATACGTAGGGAATGTTCTTGGGGTATCTGACAAATCCGGATCCTCTTCTAGTAGCCCCTCCTCCTCCTCTTCCTCTTTCTTCACTCTCTTATCCTCATCCTCATCCGTACCTTCTTCTTCTTCTTCCTTAATCATCTTCTCTTTTTTGGTCTTGATATGCTTCGGCGCGAACAACGCTCGAATAACCACCCATCCTACACCCGCGCACAGCATCTCCACGCCCCAAAACGCACTGATGAACACCCCCGCCGCCACGAACCGATAATTATACATAACCCATCTGAGGCCCGCGAACCGGGCCGTGAAGCGCACGCGCGCGTCATAGACCTGGAGCTGTGCGCCGGCGACGGCCTGCAGCTCGAGCAGCAGATGAGCGGGTATAGCACCGCGGCCGAAGCGCAGTGATTCGGCCATGGGCACATGCAGGGTTTCGGACTCGAGCTTGAGGTTCAGGAGATAGAGGGGCAGCGTTAGAAGGCGGGAAGAGAGGGAGATGAGCCGCGAGGTGTAGGTTAGCAGGGCGGGGCGCCGCGTGCTGAAGAGGATTACGGAGGAGGGGATGGTCGGGGGTGAAGGGGGAGATGAGGGCGTGGAAGCGGGCGTGTAGGATGGGGAGAGGAGGGAGAGCGAAAGCATGAAGTTCCCGGCGGCGAGGTTGGGTGGGGAGCGTGGGACGTGCAGGGAGAGGGAGATGTCGTAGGCTTGGTCGTGGACGAGCGAAGAGTCGAGCGATGCTATGCCGTAGGGGTGAGGTCCGTCGCTGCGAGGGGGAGAGAGAGCTTAGCATTTCATTTCATTTCATTTCATTTTCACAGAATATAAAGAGGGGACGCCGAACCCATATTGCAGATGCACAACGCGCTCAACGCCAATCTGCGGCACGTAATTGAAATAGAACAGCACGTATGCAATAACAGCTAGCCCGAGCAGTATCGCAGACGTGATCATGAAGAGCACCGTGTTCAGGTAGGTCTGGCGCGCTGGCTTGGACGTCGCGAGACGGACCGGCTTCAGAAGGAGGTCCTGGAGCGGCGTCAGCTTCTTTTCTGGATAGCGGAAGGGGAGCTGGGAGTCTTCGTTCTCTTACCATTGCTGTGGTGCGGCGACGCCTCGCCCAGATGCTCCAAGAGCAGAGCGGCAGGTTAGAAGTTTGTGGTGGTGTTGTCGGAAGGGAGCTGGAGCTTGGACGTTTGGAATGACGTCGGGTCATCACATGTTGTGGACAAGGGCACTGAAGCTTGAACATCTCATAATGAACGAATTAATACGCTACAATACTCATATATATTAGAAGAGTATCTCAATACATTTATATTGGGATCAATCAAGATCGTATTCTCTCCGGAAACAGTTTCGTCCTACATAAAAAATCCAATAGTCTCTCATCAATGACTGACTCCATACATAATCCTGATCATAAGAATCAAACAACGAAGCAAATCCTCCCGGCTTGTCCACGTATACGCAAAACGAAGGCTCCTACCAAGAGCATAAACACGACTGAAGAACTCGCTACATAATCCCAGGCCGTACGTCAAATTAATTAGCAGTTTTGAAGGTAGTTGCTTGGTACCAGCCCAGTTCGTCCATTCTTTCCGGCCACCTCTGCCTCCCACCATCCATCATCTTGAAGTCTGAGAATCGCCAGGATATCTCCCTTGGCGAAACTCAGCTCCTCGGGGATTGCGGCCTGGTACATGTAAAGTGCACGAGCTAAGAAAGGTGAGCATGTAATGTAATTTAGGGATGAAGGAAGACCTACCGAAGTGCAGGATTGGACGACCATCTCTGGTAAACTGCCTGACATCTGCAACACTTTTACTTCGCTGTCTAGCAGAGCCTACCTGACCAACTTGGCTGCCATAATAACTACTCATCGGCCTGCCAATGCTACCCGTGCCAGATCTGCGGCTACTTTGAGATCCATAACGATCCTCAGGGCTAGATGCAAGCTGCATTGCCATCTCACTGCTCATGTAGCCACTGCTTGGTCTCTGTTGCTCCCGGAAGGGAGCTGGCGAAACCGCACGAGCAACTTCACCTGGCGAGTTGTGACGGTAATAACCTTGATCAGAGCCACGCTTCTGATGAGAGCTAACGATAGATTGGGTACGCGAGCGCTGACTCCCACCGTATGGATTTGGAGACGCCGAGCGCTGACTCCCGCCATATGGATTTGGAGATGCTGACCGGTAGCTCTGTCTGCTGTCTGACTGCATGCTGGGACGAGGTGAAACACTGCGTTGCGGAGCCGGAGAAGTAGCTCTGGGCATATCACTGTTTCGTGTACCCGGACGGGATCCTGATCCATAACCTCCTTGTGACTCTGGTCTTGCTTGGGCATTGAACATGTTCTGAGTCTGATCAACATACTTTTGCCGCGTTTGCTGCATCGCCTTGGAAGTGAAAGCTGGCTGTGGCAGTCCAAGTCTTTGCATAGGCTGGTCATAAGATGGTGGAGGGGTACCTCGCATGCCAGCCGTCAATGCACCATTAGCCATTTGGGGTCCAACCGGGCGAGGGTTTGGAGTTGCTCCAGGAGCTGGCGTTGGAATGCCGTGATAATTGTCTGCTGAAACTCGGGTAGAAGAAGCCTTTGTGACACCTTTGAGCTCTGCCAGAGCCTGCGCAATGGGATCCAATTCTTCTTCCGGCTGACTCGAGGTATTCTGAATGGCCTTACTTTTGTTATCTGGTGTCGCGACATCAAACACGTTGTTGCCTACATTGAGTTGGAAGCTTGCCCGAGGATCAATTGGCTCAGGGCTGCCAGTCGGTCTATCACTGATCATCATATTTTGAGACCCCTGCCCACCCTGCCCGTACATCTGAGGTCGGGCTGGAGAACTTTGGTTGTTTGTGGTGCTTCTGGCGGACCAAGTGTTCCGGCCGGACGGTGTCATAGCAGCCGTTGGATTCTCCTTCTCCTTAATGCTCTTCCGTCTGAACGGACTTTGGAAGAATCCGCTCTTCTTTTTGAGCACTTGCTTTTCTGGTGATGGCTGCTTCACGGGAGAGACTTTCCCACTCGGCGGTTCTTGGCTTGAGAACGATGTAGGATTGGAATATTCGCTATTTGAATCGCGGCTGGATGGCCTTGCAAGGCTAGGTGCGGAGCTTCTCTCTGAAGGGGGTCCGGTTCGGCATAACATGGTCATCCCGTCCATTGGATAAGGATCATGAGGTACTGCTGACAATGGTCCATGCTGAGACTGTTCATATTGGAGCCTGCTAGGTTGTTGCTGATAGTCAAGTTGCGGTTGCCTTGGTCTGTCTGTAGGCGTTACCTTCTGGGGAGTCAGGGAAGGTTCGCGGGCAGGTTCGCGGGTAGGTTCGCGGAGAGGTTCGCGGGTAGATTCACGGACAGGTTCGCGGAGAGGTTCATGCTGAGACTGTTCATATTGGGGCCTGCTAGGTTGTTGCTGATAGTCAAGTTGCGGTTGCCTTGGTCTGTCTGTAGGCGTCACCTTCTGGGGAGTCGGGGTAGGTTCATGGGTAGGTTCGCGGATAGGTTCGCGGTTAGGCGGAATTTGAGGTTCGTGTCCAGGATCTCGACTAGGGGCAGGTTGGGGATCATGATGCGATTCATATGTAGAGGGTTGGGGCGAAGATGTTCGGTAGGCTGGATTGATAGTTCGCTGGAATTGTGCCACTGAATAGTGCTCATCTTCGGACGTTTCTGACTGCGAATCGACATCGCCCCGACGGAAGTTGATGTACTTTGGCGGATCCGGTATCTCTTGACCAGTTCCCCGCTCCTTGATGAAGCTAATAATATCCTTCTCGACCTCGCAATTCTCTAGAGACAGACGGACTTTCTCGCAGGAAGCGTCGTCACTAACACAAACGGTGGAAGAAATATTTGCAAAGCTCCAGAGGCTACTCTTCATGAAATCCAGTCTCTCTTCCTCAAGATCCTGGAATTTATCTGCAGCGGCCTTCCAGTCCCTGTTCCACCGCCCGGTTGTTTCCTCCAGCACTTTCACAGCGTTTTCGTACTCGGTGTTCGTCGATGCAAGGTTGATCTGTGTTTTTTCGAGTTTCGCCTTATTCTTCCGCTCTTCTTGCCCCATGACCATATGGCCTTGTGCTAGGTATCCTTTGATCTTCAGACATTCTTGCTCGTATTTATCGCGCGCCTACAAAGGGTCAGTAGATTATCGACGCTGGATTATATACCACAGTACCTTATTGACATGCTGTGTCTGTTGGATCTTGACCTTCAAAAGCTTTTCAATGCCTGACTGCACAATCTTCCTTCGTTCTTTCATAGCACCTGCAAATGCCGCCAGCGGCTCCTCGAGTTCCGTCTTCATTTGACCTGCAATGTTCTGATGCGACTTACCCATCTGCTCAACCTCTCCTCGCAGCACATCCAATGACGCTCGAAGTGTTCCAGTTTCTTGCGAGCCCAGTGGCTTACGTGCCAGTGACAATAGTTTGCGGGCATATTCCTCTTCAATTGAAGAGCGTGCTACAACACCGTCAGCAGCTGGCACAAACTATAGCCAATGTAGACATACCACTGTAGAAGCTTTTCAACTCATCGCACGTCTGCTTAGCATTATGCATGCGCGAGAGCAAAGGTTCAACTCCAGCATCATCTTTGCCCCAGAAGTTGTTAGCAAAGCTCAAGGCGACCGTTGGCCCATCTTGCACCGCTGAGGGCATGCTGCCCGAGGTTCTGTGGTTTATTTATTGACAACTGTTTTATAGGCAGGCGCGTTCTGGGAGGGCACGTTTCGTTATCGAAGGAGAAACCGACAGATATTTACTAGAATAAAGCCACTATGTTGCAGAGGGCCGGAGGGTAATGATCATATCGGTGTCAAGTGGCAGGGGAGTATCTAGCGGTCTGTTGTGGTTCACCTCGCAGAGTCGTTGGTAGGGCAACTGTGCACGTGACCACCGCATAAGTTGATGTTTGAGAGGGTGAAAGGTTCTATGTGGAATGAGGATGCCGAGTATTTTGCGTATAAAGTTATAAAAGTTCCTACCGTTAAGTTCCTAAAGATGCAGTCAAACATCAGTAGGGTTAAAAAAAAAGATATCTCGGCCGTCCCTTATCCCTGAGATGGTTCCCTTAGATGTGACCAACTGGAAAACACCTTATGCGTGGCGAAACTCTCGAGAAGAGGGACTTAGAGAGCAGAACTCCTTACGGGTAGGTACCTAAGGTACACTCTCGTATATTGTTCTCCTCTTCATGACCTACCTCAACCTCGAGCCTACCTTGCATCATAAGTAGGTAGCCCCCCATGTCTCGCCATCAGCAGTACCTGCAGCTCCGCCGTGCTGGACGATTCTGGAGTCTGGGGAATGGGGATTTCTACCCACAATCCAGGCGGCTTGCCCGAGCAGCAAAGCATCGACTATCGGGGTGTTGATTGCATCCGTAGCCCAAGAAGAAATAAAAAGCAAATATCATAATATTTATATTGAAGTGAAAGTGCCCGTCCGTGGTGTCAGGGCTGAATTCCGAAGGGCAGCTCCCCCAACTAGGCTTAGCGGCTAAAAGCGCGAGCCTCATTCAGACTCCATTCAGAACCGAACTGGCGCGATCTCAACCACTTCACTTCCATCATCTGTACATCCCGCCACATCGTCACCTCCGACTCCTCTCGATCCGACCGTGATCCTTCTTCAACCATCCTCTTCAATGCCCTTCCCTCCCCGATAGGTCTTCTTTCGTCTTTAGAGATCGAGAGACAGCTCGCCGGGAGTGGGTCCGCGCAAGAACACAAGCATCTTCGATGGTCAACTCAAGAGGGGGCACTTTCACACCTTCGCCAGCGCAGCAACCTATTGTGACCGGGGTCAGTCATTCACCACACGGCTCTCACCACAGCACTTTCAGTGCAGGCGCGAGCCCGAGTACAAATAGTCCCACCACTGGGTCCAACCCTCTCGCCAAGATTGTCGTCGCGCAAGTATACCTACTGCTTAGCACAATCAAGGAAGACAAAGATCGCACAAAGTGGGAACAGCAAGCTGAGCAGCTCAGAAAGGTATGCATCTGCCCAGCTGGCTACGATGATGATCCGCGACTGACACGTTGCATCTTAGCTGATCGATGAGCACGGTATGGAAGTATTTCAAAAATACTTCAGCCGTCTCGTGGTTGGAAATGCCCCTCAAATCTTTCCCGGCATCAACCGGTCGGTAGCCAATCCTGGCAACTATCAAATCCTTGTGAACGAGCTGCGCAAGGTTTCTCACGATGTCGACCAGGCTGGGAAGATTGCAGAGTCAATAGAAACGGCAAATGATGATTTGTTCCGCGATTTCGATCTATCAACCTTCATGGAACATTTCAAGCTGGACGCGCTCGAGAAGACAGTTCTAGCACTTGCTTTCAAGACTGGCTCGAGGCCAGATTTGAAGACGAAAGGTTAGTGAATATGAGCCGAAATGACAATAAAGCTGACATGATGAAGCCGATGCCATTCTCTCTGCGAACTTTACACCATTTCTTCAATACCTTAGCCGCCCTCCCCTTGATTACGACAACCCCTCACCCAAATTTCTTGCCACGATCATAGATCGGTTCATACAAGAACACCCTCCAAATTTCGACCAACAAGCAAAGTTAGACCTCCGACTTGCTGTTCGTTTTCGCTATACTCTCGAAGGACAAGATATTGGAACCCCGACCGAGATACTTGCCGCACTTTACCTAATGGCGACTCTCAGCGATGGATATCCTTTGACATTATCCATACGAAGGGTTGGTCCAGCTTTCACCTCAGATGAGGAGACGTGTAGAAATTATCTACGGAGTCTTGGCAACATCAGGCTGGACGAGGAGCAGGTGGCAGCTGCTCTCGTCTATACCACGATCAGTCGAACACTGTCCTTCTCTCCGGCGATCTTGGTTAGCAGCCTCCGAAGGGAGGTTTCGCGAGACTTTAATTGGCAGCAAGTTTTGGAACATTTCGATCAACCTGAGTTGAGGGTCACACAGGACCAGTTTTTGACTCTGTATCAAGCTCTTCGCCCACTTGCCGCCGATGGGGTTATCGACATCCAGCAGATGTGGGGCGGAACCTGGCAGAATTCAGAAACGCAGCTGTCTTTCCTCAGTGCTTTTGCCTCCTTGAAGCCAACGCAACTTGATGCCACCACGATTCCAAGGCTCCAGCCCTCCTTCACAATGAACGATTTTACCGGTTCTGACGAAGAGGTCCGGGAACGGGCCGCTCAGGGAACAAGGCACCCACTCGTTTCGGTGGTCGCCCTTTCGGCCATGTTTCATGTCGCTTTACATACACCAACAGCATCGGACACTGTAGAAGCCAAGAGGTTGTTCCAGGAGGTGGTTGTCCCGAATTTGGATATATTCCTGGTATCAGCCTTTGGTGTTCCCAAGCCTTGGCCAGAGTTGGCAATCGACACTCTCAACAATCTGTTTGATCGGTTTCTCTTCAAGTTCGATCCTAACTATGATTTTGTTCTCGAAAGCTTATGGCGTAAGGACAAGCCTTGGGTAATCGCGCGACTTGTGGAAGCCCATGCAAAGGCACCTATGGAACTGCCTACCATTTTAGATCACGCTCTTAGACATCACTGGCTTGACGAGCTCACGGTGTTTCTCAATGGCTTCGGGCTTGATTTGGCGGCACTGGCCCACGCTAAGGGCGCGTTGGATCTTACAACATGGGCGCAGATAAACTCCGCTCGGAATCAGGAACTTGCCCAATCTCTCCTGACCTTCCTCAATATCAAGGCTCAGCATGAACTTGCATTCCAACGCTCAGACACAGAGCAGCTGCACAGCGTCATGCTCCCGGTTAAAACTGTGTCAGCGTTGTTGAATATTTTGGAGAGCATCCTACCGAAGGAGCCATCACAAGAGTTGATTGTCGTCCAAAGAGCTTGCATCACAGCGTATCCTCGACTTATCAACTATGGAGAAGGATTCGATGATATCATTGATGCCAATGGAAAAGAGAAGAACTCTTTACCCAAGGAAGCCAACGACAAGATGGAGGAACACTACAAGCGAATGTATAGCGAGGACCTCCAAGTTCGAAATGTTGTGGAAGCTCTTGATAAATACAAGCATTCCCGGGACCCGTCAGACCAAGACGTCTTTGCTTGCATGATCCACGGACTATTCGATGAGTATACTCTTTACGGCACATATCCACTCGAGGCTCTTGCGACCACGGCGGTTTTATTCGGTGGTATCATATCACACAAGCTCATCAACGATTTGCCCCTAGAAATCGGCCTCGGCATGATCCTTGAAGCTGTTCGAGATCATCCCCCAGAACAGTCGATGTACAAATTTGGGCTGCAGGCTCTGATGCAACTATTCTCTCGTTTCCGCGAGTGGCCTGGATTCTGCACGCGACTATTACAAATTCCAGGTCTGCAAGGAACTGAGGCCTGGAATAAGGCCGAAGAGGTAGTCCGTGATAGCCAAGAAGAGATGGCACGTAATGGTCTCGGAGGTCGTAGCGAAATGATGAATGGAGGCGTCACGAATGGCAACAGGGATGGACTGCTTACAACCGAGCCCAGTGCACCCCCATTTACTTCGATCCACGTCGACCCCCCTCCTTTCGGCATTGGTGAAGAGCCCAGTGGAGAGACTCAGGAGAAAGTTCTATTCGTCCTTAACAACATCACTGGGGAAAACCTCGAATCCAAGTTCAATGAGCTCAAGGATGTTATTCGCGATGAGCATCAACAGTGGTTTGCAGAACATCTTGTGGAAGAACGGGCGAAGATGCAACCCAACTATCACAAGTTGTACCTGGATCTTGTGAAACTCTTTGGCAAGAAATCGCTCTGGTCAGAAGTTTTGCGCGAGACCTATGTCAGCGTCAGTAGGATGCTCAATGCCGAGACCACAATGCAATCTGCAACGGAGCGGAGCCATCTCAAAAACCTCGGGGGTTGGTTAGGATCGATGACTCTTGCCCGTGATAAGCCAATTAAACATAAGAACATTGCGTTCAAGCAACTTCTCCTCGAGGCTTTCGATACCCAGCGTCTCGTCATTGTTATTCCGTTCGTCTGCAAGGTTCTCGTCCAAGGCCATTTATCAACTGTCTTCAAACCTCCAAATCCCTGGCTGATGGACATCATTCATCTCCTGATAGAGCTTTACCATCACGCAGAGCTCAAGCTCAATTTGAAGTTCGAGATCGAAGTCCTTTGCAAAGACCTGAAGCTTGACTACAAGACGATTGAGCCTTCCTCGGAAATTATGAGTCGCGCTCCTCCAGTCGAAGAGCCAGCCGAGCCTATGGCACCCGAAATGATGGACAGATATGACAATCTCTCCATGAATGGTATGACCACTGGTGTTGCGGGCGGACGATTCTCTCCCCACGAAATCACGTCGTCTATTCCGGACCTTGGACCTTTGCTTCAGTACCCGCCTGCGAATGACATGGTGAATCAAGTTCGATTACAAGAGATTGTGAGAAGTGCAATCACACGCGCAGTTCACGAAATCATCTCTCCAGTTGTTGAACGCTCCGTGACAATTGCAGCCATCTCCACGGCTCAGATGATTCACAAGGATTTTGCCACTGAACCGAACGAAGCCCGTGTACGATCAGCAGCTATCAATATGGTCAAGAAGACAGCCGGAAGCCTTGCTTTGGTGACCTCTAAAGAACCATTGCGAGCAAGCATGACCAACTATATTCGTGCATTATCTGCCGAGCTGCCACAAGGACTACCTGAGGGCACTATCATCATGTGTGTCAACTCTAACCTTGAATTGGCCTGTAGCCAGGTTGAGAAGAAGGCAGAGGAACGCGCAGTTCCCGAAATTGAGGACATGATCGAACCAGAGTTGGAGGCTCGCCGTCACCACAGGATGACTAGGCCAGATGAGCCTTACTTTGATCCAGCCTTGAGTCGCTGGTCTTGGACAATCCCTAATCCATTCAAGCTACAGCCATCTATGGGCGGTCTGAACCAGGAGCAGATGGCTATTTATGATGAGTTTGCTAGACAACCACGAGTGCCATCTTTGGGGGGCACGACTCATGTAGCCTCGTCGTCTGACGCAACAAGATCAATGTCAAATGATATCTTACAAGAACAGTACCCCTCAATGCCCAGCCTACCAACACCGGCGGAACCTCCTGCCATGCCGCATCTCAGCGCTCAGCAGGCTGCATACGCTCAACCAAATTCCGTCATTCCCAACGGCAGGCTTCCGACTCTGCCAATGGACCTAAGAGGCTTAATGGACAGAGTACAGAAGACTCTTATCGAACTGCAGCGTGTGGCAACCGAGGCCCCGGAGCAGCATTATACGGATTTGCCACGTTCTCATCCTGTCCTCGATGTGTTGGATGCTCTATATAGCTTGATTATCAGGAGTGCGCAGGGACCTGAAGCTTTCGACATATTTATTGTCGACAACATTTGTTCAATGCTTTTCAGTGGTATTGAGGAAGAGCTTGTGATTGAGAGCTTGGTGCATGTGCTGGAGAATATCTGCCGCATTGGGGGCCGTACTGCTAGCCGTGTTGCTGTCCTCATTGGACATCAACCAGGCGAGGCTTTCTTGAGCGTGCCCCTAGCCACTGCACTGATCAGAGCAGAGATGGTTGAATGGCCACGTATCGACTTGGCTACTTCCAAAGCATTGATGCAGCGAAAGGAAGGCTCCTTGGAATTTCTGTCTTCCCTACTAGACAGTGTCCTTATTAATGACCGGCCCATTGCACTGTACGCAGACTTTGCAAAGAGCTTGGAAGTTGCATGGCAGTGGATTCAAGATGAACCTTCCCTCGAAGTCGGCCAAACGCTCAAGCAGAAGCTTACTAGCTCTGGTCTCCCACAAGCTCTAAGCCGCGGCGGTGATGAGCAACTTGCTGCTCGTCAAGATCAGATGGAGTATGTTTTTGAAGAGTGGATTCATCTATGCACCAATCCGAATGCCACCGAGAAAGCCGCACCTAACTTCATTTCTCAAATGTACAACAAGCAGATCATTAACAACAGGGATGACCTGTGTCTATTCCTGCGCTTGTCTATTGACTTCTCTGTCGACCGCTTTGAGGCTCACATTCAGAATAATGGCACTATCATTGATGCCTACATTCCGATTGACTCCCTAGGGAAGTTTATTGTCATGCTTGTCAAAGGTCATGAACGGGAGGGCGGAGTTAAAGGCGATAGAGCTGCATTCCTCAAATCAGTTCTATCTCTCATTGTGCTGGTCTTGAATCACCATCATCTCACTCGTGGGGAGCATTTCAATCAAAAAGTCTTCTCGAGATTGTTTTCCACTATCTTATGCGATTTCAATACTTCGGCGGATGCTTTCAGCGAAATAGAACGCAAGCAGATTCTCTTAGTGTTTGCACAGATCTTTTTAGATCTTCGACCATCCTACTTCCCGGGATTCATGTTTGGCTGGCTTGGTTTAATCTCCCACCGGGATTTCTTACCTGTCCTCATGCGACTTCCGGGAGAGGCTGGATGGGAGCCTTTTTCCAACATCATGGAAAGCTTAATGTTCTATGTTGGGGAATTGCTCAAACCAATGAGTATCGCAACAGTCACGAAAATCATTTATCAAGGAGTCCTCAAGTTGCTCGTCATGTTGCAGCACGACTACCCGGAATTTGTGGCTGCAAATCATTCTAAGCTCTGCGCCAATGTTCCCAGTCACTGTATTCAATTGCACAACTTGATCTTGAATGCCAATCCGGCGGCGTACTCAAAGATGCCTGATCCCTTGCAGCCCGGATTGAAGATTGACCGTATCGACGAGATCAGAGAGTCGCCGGAGAATATGAACGACGTCGAGGCACCCCTTCGACAAACTGGACTATCCGATGTCCTTGATCAAGCCCTTCAGTCTGGCCCCTCAGAGGATGCTGTGGCTGTTATTGCGCATGAAATCCAGAAAAAGCAAGGGCGTGAGACCGGTTTTGCTTTTGTACCCATCAATGTGGACCTCAAGCTGATCGACTCTATTGTTGTATATGTGGGTATGCATTCAATTGCAAAGGCTGCGCAGAAAGGTGGCCCGACTTACGTTCAATCATCACCCGATGCCGCACTCCTCTCCATGCTCGTTCACGAGTTACATCCTGAAGCACGATATTACTTTATTAACAGCATTGTCAATCAACTTCGATTCCCGAATGCGCACACACATTACTTTGGCCAGGCACTTCTAGAGCTCTTTGGCAGTGATCACGATGAACCGGAAGACTCGGATATTCGCCAGCAGATCACTCGAATCTTATTAGAGAGACTCATTGGGCATTGGCCACAACCATGGGGTCTCATTGTCACGATTCTCGAGCTCATCAAGAACGACAAGTACATGTTCTTTGAATTGCCGTTCATCAAGTCAGCACAAGAGGTAAGGATAGACTACCAAACATTCGCAGAAAATACTAACATTTCCAAAAGGTTGGCGAACGCTTTGCAGCTCTTGTACAACGACCTTTACCAATGTAAGAGGCGTTGATATATGATGATGTACCGACATCACCGACGGGTCCACCCAACGAAGAGAACCCCGGCCCTCCTATCCTCAAAATTCAACACAATACTACCATAAGACTATTAGGCGCCGAGTTTTTTTCTAATTATTACATTACCTATCCAGTCACAAACGGCGTTTTTCTCTTTGACGCAGGTCATTGAAGATTTGTTCTCTGCATAGCGAGCGAAGGGATGGGTATTTTTGCGAGATCTGCAGTACTTCGGATGAAGCAAGGACGAAGATATTTCCTACTTGATGCATCCTACATGATAATGTTTCGTTCCGGCCTTCTGTAATGGTGGGCACAATACGGCATGGAAGCGTGGGGAAAACAGACATATGGCGTGGGAATGGTCGGCTTGCTTGCTATCATCCGGGGAAGACGGCTGAGTCTTTATGTATCATATAAATGGAGTTTTGATTTTCTGGACCGCTTTCTAGGGAAATATTCAATACTGGTGAGGTAACACGATCTCAGATTTAAGGTCTTGACAAAGATTTCCCTATTTCAAGTTCCCTTTCCGCCTTTAATAGTGTGAGACTTCTTGTAGGACTGCCACGGGTATGTGTGGGGTATCTGGCAGTGTTCATGATTGTTGTTAATTCGGTGTACTGATAGAAATGAATGCGTTATAAAAATTTCTCATGGATTCGAATGTAGTAAAATTACTAATTGTGGGGATCTTGATTGTTGTTGTTTACTGGGTTTCTTGAATCGAATATTACTGCATTACAGTACGAGTCCACCCTTTATAACCAGGGAATTATGCTTAACAAATTATAAATGTCATCAATTAGGGGGGGAGTCGGATCAGTACCCCACATTTCGCTTCGCCCCGAGCTGCAGGTGAGATAACTTTAATGCAAGTCTAATCATCGTTGGACGACACCATCATCTAGAGACTGTTTACACCTTTCTCACTTCTATAGAAATTGGGCATTATGGCCACCCAAAAGGATGTTCACGATCTCCTGCGCCTTCTAACAACTGGCCGCAACAAACTCCCCATGATGGCAGCTATGGGCCGTGTCAAAGCCCTGCAAGACGCTGATCTACGGAGGTACAACATCCCTTGAGATCCCCTCCCTAAGAGAGTTCCTAACACCCGTTCAGCATAGCATCAATAGCCAACGCCGACCTTTCCAGTATCAGCACCGCAATCAACGACCCCAAAGCCGCGAAACAGCTCCAGACTGCATGCAAGGCACTTATCAAAGACCCCGACAAGAAACGCGGCGCCGAGTCTAGCCTCTCGTCCGCAGCGAAGCGCACGAGATCAGCCTACGAGCTTGCATCGGAGCCGCAGACACCCCAAGCCCTCGAAGCTTCGCTCGCCCTCCCGCAGCCGTCCGCGGACGAAGAAGCGATCTCCCGGACTACAGTTTATACGAATAGAGCACCGCTAGTGTTGGCGTTTGCGGTGCAGTTGCTGAAATATACGATGCCGGAGCAGCCGCTGAGTAGTAGATTGAGTCTGGCACAGGCGGTGGTGAGCGTTAACTCGAGGAGCAAGGCGGTTAGTTTGGGATTGGAGAAAGGGGGGAGTGCGGAGAGTGAGGGGTGGGGGATGGGACAGCCGAAGATTAGGGTGTTAGGGAGGGAAATCCATGTTTTGAAGAGGGGAGGCTATGATTGGAGACCTGAGGATGAGAATGTGGAAGGCCAGAAGGAGAGTGTCTCAGACACCAATGGTGAAGGTAGAGCGGGGGAAGTTGTAGCTGAAGAACAGCCAACTGTCGATCCAATACCCGGGGCCGTATCAACTGAAGAAAAGAAGAATGAGTGGGCCGTTTCTGCAAGTGTCACCTCTAAACAGTCAACATTCGTGGCGCGATCGATAGCCGTCTCTTCTCCTTCCGAAGCTAGAGCTGCGCTGCAAAAGCTCATGGCAAGTAACAAGGAAATACGAGAGGCGTCTCACAACATAACGGCATGGCGTGTTCAGGGAGCTCACGGCGGGATTATTGAAGAATTCAACGATGATGGAGAAACTGGCGGAGGAAGACACATCCTACAAGTTATGCAATCGAGTGATGTGGTCGGCATGCTGCTCGTAGTGACTAGATGGTACGGTGGAATTATGCTGGGTCCAGATCGCTGGAGAATCATGAGCCAAGTATCTCGAGACGCGTTGTCCCAGCGTCTGCGGGTCGCTGGGATAATTGGTCGAGAAGCATTATGGGGGCTAGATCTCGAGGCGATGCGGAAGACAGATACACCAGTCACTGTAGGCACAGGAGGAGGGATGCCAATCCACAAACCTGAATCGGCAAGGTCATATATCATGAATGCTTTTGGCTCTCCCCCTCCGACTGGGGATAGCCCCGCAAAGAAGAAGAAATCTGGCGTGGCTTTGGATAGAGAGAAAGAGGAGAATCTAGGGTTGCTTTTGGGCGCCCTGGATATGTTGTTCGCATCTTGGGCGGAGCATATCAGTGGAGACGAACTTGATCGCCGGGCTTGGTCTTGGTATGTGCAGGTACGGCCAGAAGTTGAAAGCGGGGTGGCTGGATGGGGTGGGAAAGGGCCAGTTCAACTTGCGAACATATTGAACCTGCGAAGAAAGGCATGAATCAAAAACTTCTGATTAATCTTTCATCCTTCTCAGATTTATCACTGGTCCATGTGAGGATCTGAAATTCTATCAAAGTATATCCTTCTACTGGGACGCATTTCTGGCTCGGCTGCAATTCCAAAGACTTTGGATATCCCATCAGCACCAATCCTGAGCCCGGCAGCGTTGGTTGTTAGAAAGAGAGGACCGGGCGCTGTCGTTGAGCCGATATGAGCCATAAAATAATCTCCAGATACGTGTTCCAGATCAAGAGATATCTTCCACCAGAGGGTTGATATGTTAGTAACTGCTTGCTCAAGAGCAGAACCATAGTCGGGGAGTACAATTCAGTAATTGTAAAAGTTATAGCAAAGTGATTTGATAGGGAAGATCGTCTCAGGGGTAAAGTATGCCAGCAACGCATATCATCGAGGAATTGGCTATCGATCATCATGGGGTCTTATCGTGGCGTCTGTTCTGTTTGCTGCTAGGGCACCACCCTTCAAGAAAATCGTAATGTTGTGATAGGCAGGATGATAATAAATACCAGTGTAGTTGAGGAGGGTGAGGCTTGGGACAAAGGACTGGACGCGGCGCGTCAGAGTAAAATATCTCCGAGGCTTTCGAGTATGATATAGTTCCAGTCAATGGTGATAGTCAATGAACGTACGACATGTCTTTAACGCCCCATGTCCGTTTTTAGGAATAGGCGCGGTGGAGGTTATCATCGCTCTGAGCCATTTAGTGTAATCGAGGACGTTGGAGACCACGCTTCCAGGTCCGCTGACGATCTCGAGGTCCCTGGATGGGACTGGCTGGTACTTCTCCTGATAGTATACATAGCCTTGAGCCTGGGCTTCTGGGGCCTTTTCTGCAGGATCATGAGAGAAGTACTAATTCCTAGATCAGTTTTGCTGAAGGACAGCAACCCTACCTAAACTTTGACCTCAAGATCGTTACAGTCATTGAAGTGATAGAAGATTCGAGGACTCACTGTAGACTTCATATCCAAAGGCTTCCATATACTACGTTCCCATGGAAAGTGAGTGACCTAGCCACATGCTCTCGAGAGTAGTTTGAATTAGGTGGGATATCACCACGAATATCATGTCACAGTACTGGAACCTGGTCCGGGGCTTAGCCGTCATAGGGAGATAGATCAGGGAGTGACCAAACAGAGTCCTTTGGAGTACTCTTATGCCATCATATCAATTTCCATAGCGAAGTCATATCTCGGTATTCCCGTACGATGAGAAAAGGCATATTCAGATTAGTGAAATGAGGCGTTTTTTTGTAATCATCTTCGAGAACGAAGCCATCCCGGATCAACTGTGAAATCGGCATGTTCCATTGCACCTGTGGATACTTATCATTATCGTCAACCAGGAGTTGACATGGCTGCGGCGATAAATGCTTTGGTCGTGCTTCCTTCCTGCATAGAAGAGAGTCGATGAGTATTCCAGGCGTGTGTCTGGGAAAACAGCAATTCCGTATCCCTATGAGAAATGCACCTTATTCAGTCACTGCTCCAAGAAACTGCGTATTGAAACCAAGCTCAACTAATGAGGAAGAGAGATCTTTTTCTCAACTCACCACCGCTCACATATTCGCTCCATCAACTACTGCAATCGAAGCCCCAGGGACATGCCATAGCTCTAACGTGTCATTGGCCAATTCAGAGAACTTGGTATTAAATGGACTTGCTCCAGCATCCTTTAACACTTTCTGCCGTGTTGTGGATGAAAGGGGAGAGAAACTCAAAAGAAGAGCTGTGAAGTTGGTGAGCATTTTCAAAGCTATGCCACTATCTCGCAGTTGCAAATAGGACCCAATTTTTATTTTGAGGTGGGTGGAGGACTACCTGAACTCTACCTCGTAATGAAGTATTACAACTTCTTTCAAGTTGTGGGCTTCTGAGTTGTTGATGGCTGACCCCAGTATGTCTGCCTGCTATCAGTCAAGCTTTCAGCTGATTATCACCCCGCATTCCGCGCAGCCTAAGCCCATCATGAGTCCCTTGCAAATCAAATGAAGTATTATTACTTTTTGTACGGGTCAATTAATCTACCTCGAAGATAATGGTATCATCATACCTCAACTGGCTGCTCTGGGTATTTTCTGTCTTACAAAATCGAGTGACTATCTGACCATCTATGGTGATAGTTAACATCCATCGCTCACCAGTGCTGTGCCATCCCTGCTTTCCAATCGACTATGGTCAGCGAGAAAGGTCAGAAACCATATTCAGACCCATGCCTCATGGAGCACGACTTATTGTCTCATCATAACTCTTCCTCTTCCGCCTCAACTTTCATGGTGGCTTCGGGAAGTGGTGTATGAGCAGCTTCGGCTGCAGCCACAACGTCTCCAACTCCGCTCGTAAAACCTGCGCCTAGTCTCTTCTGCATCGTCTCGTTGTCCATATCGTACAAGCTGGCCCGGTGCTTCTTGAGCGGGCTTCCAACGACGGAATCAGCCGGTAAACCGGTGCCAAAAACACTGTTTGAGAGGGTTGCATTGGCAGCCGAGCTTGTCTCTGCTTCCGCTGGCGGTGTTGCTCCCAGGGAAGGGGTGCCTATTGAGCCAGGTGATTTGCGTGATTTCGCATTCAGCGTTTCGGCGGAATGTTGACGCTTGAGCTGTAATTGAGAGTCAGAGGAAGCTTCCATAGAGCCGCCGAACAACTTACCTTAATACGTCCAACACCATCTGCAAGTTCTCCTTGATATTTTGCCTCTTCGGGATTCAATGTTGTCTTTACGTCCTTGTCATCCATATCATCCATATTTCCTACGAGATCAACATCATCGTCATCATCATCGCTATCTTCATCCATGGCTCCACCAGCGCTTCCGTTGCTCTTCTTTCTAGACTTGTTTCGCCGGGAGGAAGACGTATCGTTATCTCGGAAGGAGGAAAACCCAACTGTACCACCCGGCTTCAGGGGAGCGAGATTAGAGAAGTCTAGTTGTGTTGAGCTTCGTTTGGTAGGTCCTGTTGCGGTCTTTTGTTGTTTGGGTGCCAGTATTCCCATCTTCTGCAGTTGGCCTTGAGACATAATTAGCAGGATGCACGATAGGATGTCGACAAGGAATAGAAGGCTTACGTTCGCCCCTGTAGAAGAAAGTAAAAACAGCAAAAGGTTTATCCGGTCCATCTATGCCTGTAACAGTTTGCGTACTGATAGATTTAGGGTCCAAGGTCTTTGGCTTGGCAAAGCTTGTAGTATGGTCAATATCTGCCCCATCGCCTTCCGTGTTCTTGGAGTCGCCCTCCTCATCATCATCATGAGCGTCAAATTGCGGTGAATATTCGCCTCTCTTAATTTCTCCAGATGCTAAGACTCGAAACATTGCAACCTTGATTTGTCCAGCTGCTTCAGGTGGTGCATCATCATCTGAATCGGAGCTGAAGTCGTCCTCGTCAGATAGCTTCTCTACTGGTGCACTCTCGTCCGCGCCATATCTCAAGACATCTCGCGGTCCAGGTGCCTTGCCCGACGACATGATATCTGCAAGCTCATCGTCGCTTCCAACCTCTTGCTTTCTGCGTCTTCTGCGCTTTTCAAACTTCTGTCTACGCTTCTCGATCTTGGCTGCTGCGTCCTGCCCGTCTAGATCAAGCCCGTTCAACCATCTCTCCAAACCTACCTCCCGAAACAAGAACTCTCTCTCTGCGAGTCCACCCCCCTCAGATTCAGGTACTTGAACCCATCGTGAATTCACCCAAGTCTCTTCTCCTGGCCGCAACAGCGTAGCAACTTCCTCCTTCGCCCTTCCATCAAAGTAGATATAAGCCGCGATTGTCTCGTTCTCGGACTTCGTGATGGGAATGTAAGGGCTCACAGCGCCTGCATAGCTCCCCCGCTGAGAGGTCATCCCTGGCAGTCCTCCAACGATCTGAGGTTGCGGATACGGATCTGCGGGGGTGGGTTTGGGGGTCGAGTAGGGGACTGCAAGGCCTGGAGTGAGGAGTGTGATGGAGATAGCAAACTTGGAGGGTTCGGGCTTCGTTGAGGTTACATCTTTGGGCTTTGGGACTGGGATGTATGTGTTAACGCGTGAGACTCTGGACTGCTTCTGCACCGAGTATTCTGGAAGGGGAGCGCCCTCCGCATGAACGCTGACCGCGATGCCCTTGAAGCAAGGCATCTTCCGTCAGCAGAGAGCTGCAGCAACCGAAGCTGCACAGCCGTGAGACAATAGTGGTGGTCGAGGGTGTGTTTGTGGTGGAGAGCTTGGGAGGCGTTCCTTTGAGTTGTATGTGGTGGGCTGAACAGCTAGGTAGCCAGCCCGATAAAGCGAGTTGGCGGGCCTGTAGCGAGCGTTGTGGGGTAGCTGGGAGAAGGGAGATCAAGAGGAGAAATACATGGAACAATTGTGCGTCGAAGATGAGGAAAACGCTGGGCGCGATGACGCCGAATACGTAGGAGAGTGAGTAAGTACACAAGTATTTTGATGATAACGGGCTGGACTGTACAAAGGGCTCGGCAAAAATTAAACAGCGTAGGAGACGCGGCGGAGAGCATCACATTACATTGTTGGGCCCGACTATTTGGTCGCGAAAACCAAAATAACATCAGGAGTCTCACGCTTGGGTCACGTACTCCCCGACAAGCACATGTTCAGGTTAAACAAGTCATTAGGGAAAATGGAATTCCATATCAAAGAATCAGCTGCGAGGCATGCTATAGGAATCAGAAACCAATGCAGGGCGTGACGGCCTCTCTGGCAACAGTCCCCTTTCTCTGGCAACCAGAATGCCAGCCATGCCAGCCACGGCACCACATGAAAAACCCTGTCACCCAGGTGTGCACAATGCATGCTAGAATGCACATCAACAGCCCCCCTTTCCCACAGGTTCCCGCGACAGTTATATTGCACGTTCGACATCTATTGTATGTGAGTTAGCGAGAGTCCCAAAGCACTCTTGAACACAGACAGCAGTATGGGTGCACTTGGGTCAGATTGTTGAGCTTGACATGCTATTTTGGATCGACATGGAGAATTCCGTTGGCCGTTCTTAAGAGCAGATTCTATCATCACAGAAAGTGCTGCAAGGGAGAGGGGAAGAAAGTGAGGAAATTTGGAAACGTACCTAGGTATACATACACCTGATGTGGTTTCTGCTGCAGCTGATGAATGATCACATTAGCAGTAGAGTGGGTTAGCTGGATCAAACAGGAGCTCCCACCGCGACTCCCCAAGCAGCTAGCATTGGGGAGTAGGGCTCAGAAGGAGGATATGAATGCAGAGAAGAGAGTCTGGCAGAGAATTTGCGGATGGAAATGACTTCTTATTAGCAGAAACGAGAGAAGACGCTAACGCTTCTTAGCGATGGATGGAATCACGTGCGTCCAGGAACAGAAGGGTTTCGAAATAACCCCGCCAACGTCAATTCGACCCAAGTTAACCCAACCAAAGACCTGTGAATACGTAGACCACTTCCTCTCCACATCACAGATATCAAGATGGCGGGTATGTATGCATTTTCTACGTACATGCTCATGTACATCTGTCTACGTTTATCTACACTTTTCCCCCTCATATACGCCTGTGTGCTTGATCGCGGCAACTGCTAACTCTCAACTAGACTTCCTAAACATCGCAAGTAAGTCGGCATGCCTCCTATAACTCGGTACCCTTTCAGCCATGATCGCTGTATCCTTGATGGCGATATGCGATCGAGGTTGCGTACAATGGGGCCGTGCCATAGGACCGTGCAGTAAAGAGGACCAAGGCTGAGACGTCCTTTCTCGATGACAGACAATGCTAACCGACTCGGCGCAACCAGAGCAGTTCACTGAGTTCTACTACAACCAGTTCGATCTCGACAGAAAGCAGCTGGCCCCGCTTTACGTGAGTTTCAGCTTGTTTTGTAATGCGGGGTACTGCTAACAAAATCCTCAGCGTGATAACTCTATGCTGACATTTGAGTCTGCTTCCGTGGCTGGCACTGCTGGAATCGTTGAGAAGCTTTCGGTGAGAGTCCTTGAAGCCTGCGGATATATGGATATATCTTGCTAACCATGCCCTTGTATAGGCGCTCCCCTTTGAGAAAGTCAAGCACCAAGTCTCAACCCTCGATGCCCAACCCTCTGGAGAGACTGGTGGGATTTTGATCTTGGTTACTGGGGCCCTCCTGGTATGTTTATCATAAGGCTGTGACTACAACTGGATTATAGATCAGTAGGCTGACTGTTACTCAATCCAGGTCGACGAAGAGCAGAGACCAATGAACTACAGCCAGACTTTCCAACTTCTCCCTGATGGACAAGGCAGCTACTTTATCTTCAACGATATCTTCAAGCTGGTTTTCGGATGAGCGAAAGTAACTTTTTGCTGCATGGTTGGTTTGGGTACATGGGAACGAGCGACTGAGTGATGGATTTGTTCTTTTGCAAGCATGATACCGACTTTCTAGAAGGACGACGATGTAGCGATGATAACTCATTCCATCGAAGATACAATGATCAGCGTGAGCTCTTCAGATCTCCGTGGCAAACTTTCTGAGTTGGATTTGCAGAACTGTATCAGTCGTCAGGCACTCAAATAAAGTGGTGAAACAAACTTGCCTTATAATAAATGCGACCTCAAATAGCCGTGTTGGCTCCACCATGGTGACAATCAATGCATGTCATCTAGACTTCCACCGTAATATTTGATCCTAGTACGAAGTATTTTAAGGCTGCTTGGTAGACGGATAAAACGCAACGCCTCAACCTCAGCCTCATCGCTAAATGCTGCACCGCATGCAAAACTGTCTAAGCTCGGGATACCTACGGCGTGGATCCTCCAAATCGCGAACGCGAAACCTTATGAACAGATCATCAAGAACCAAACAACAACCTGCGCCATATATCTCAACAAAGAGCTTTCAAGAACTCAAGGCAACTCTTTATACCCTGTGAAAGAAACACGTCGAACGTACAAGCGCCTGCGGATCTACGGAGCACCTGCATTACAATCGATCAGCATCGACCCGTTCAACAACAAACAGTACTTTTACCTACCTCAGCTACCTGCTAGTGCCATCGCGCAAGAGCAAAGATGACGCTCGCAGAGGAATTTGCTACGAGGAATTTCAGTACGATCACTCTGAGGTGATGAGAATCATGAACGCTCTGCTAACCCTGGATTTTAGGTATCTACGGCCAATGGTAAGCAACCAGCTTTTTGATTCTCGAGAGCAAAGGTCTCCATGTTTGCACGGCAGCAGCTCGAACCCTAAGTCGATCCGGGATTGTCTTGCGAAGACTTCCATATATCTCAGCTTGAAGACGGGCTTACAGCTGGCTCTGGACAACGCAGGACCATATGCTGGAGTAGAGGTGCATTTCGTGGATTATGGCTGACAAGGTACTTGCAGGACCGGAGTGATCTGTATATTCCTCTGCTTCGCTGTGGGAATCTCGAATCTTTTCCATGTTAGTATAATGATCCTCTTCGGTGCAATTTGCGTGTAAGTCCCCCCCATGCTCAAAGCTCAGTGTGATATCTAATTGCCCATAGCGCATGCTCGTTCCTCATCATCTTCGTCGAGGTTCCTCTGCTACTCCGCATTTGTCCAACCTCTGCGAAGTTTGATACCTTTATGCGAAGATTCACAACAAACTACATGCGCGCCGCTTTCTACCTCATCATGGCTATTATACAGTGGCTTAGTCTTATCAAGGAAGCATCAAGCCTGATCGCGGCGGCATGCTTGCTCACAATTGCTGCTGCATTCTATGCCCTGGCAGGAATCAAGAACCAAGGATTTATAGGAAGCAAGACACTCGGTGGGCAGGGCATTGCACAGATGATCATCTAAGCTTCGAGAGGAGACTCAGAGGGGCCAAGACGGTCAAAGCAATTGGAGGGCCGTACGAGCATAAGGAAAGCGTGAAAAGAGGATGGCAGATTTGGGAATTAGCAAAAATGGCGAGTGCTTATGGTTTGGGGCATGGTGTCATGGGAGTTGCAGCTGGTTGATCTGGCTCTATCACGACTGTTTTTTATGGAAGCTATGGAAGCAAGCAAGTCATGGGATCCAAGGGTGTAATTTTATGCTTCCTTTTTCCGAGGAGGCTGATTTTGTTGGGCAGTACTTACCTACCTATTTTGACATTGGGCTCGTGGCCTTTGCCGCATATTGCTTGTGGATGAGAATATACCCTGTGGAAGACCGAAGGATAGCCCTCTGACAAGCAAGAAGCATAGCTCGAGCTCGAATAGATGCATCGGAGATGCTACCTATGGTGTCATAACTCGGCCATTATTTGCTCAAGCCCCAATGACTGCTCGATGACTCTATTGCGGGGGAGGATTTGCCGTGTGTGGGGGCCTTCTGGCTGGAAATCCCTTGTTTGGAGCGGGCACCAGCGAAGACCTTAGAGTGTCTTTTGCCTTTGTGCTCTCTGCTTTGAGGGACTTGAGGAAGAATTGAGACAGGGGCTTCTGTACTGCGGACCGTTCTGGCAATCAAGAATGCATCAATCAACCACGGCGTCGTAAATGGGTCAAGAAATGCAATGAATCAGCCGTGTGCCCCATGTGGCAACGTACTGTGGCCATGCGTTGACGGGCCATGGCAAAGCGCGGCGTTCTGGAAGACTCTCGTGGTCACGTTTGCGAGGCACAGGCACATGGGACTGGACTTTCGTTTCGCAGCGGGGTGGCCGCAGATCGAGGAGGCTGGAGCGCTCAACCGGCGCCTGTCTCCGGGCCCCTGTTGCGAATATGCCGCACGGCAGCCAATCAGGCGGGATGCTTTCTCAGAGTTTTGAAGCCATCCACAAATGATCTCAGCAATTGCCTCGCGCACCCGTAGCGGTAAAGGTAACTGGGGCTACGACGACTGAGGCAGGACGGACGGCTGCTATGGGGACCGTCTGCTAATAATAACCTGGAAAACATGGGCGACGGGCGACGCAGTGGGACCACCGACGACTGACTCCGTAACTGTAATGCTGAATGACGACGAAAGGCCCCAGAGCCCCCCAGAGGCCTTCCCCCGTGATCCCGGCCTAGCCTAGAAGAGCGAGCAATAGTGGGCCACAGGGATCTGGCCTGAGCAGGCATTCTCTCTCCATGAGTCCTCAAAAGAAACATCACCGCTCCCTCTCCGACTACACTCTCTCTGCTCATCAACACCTCGTTTTATATGCTGCTTCAATGATCGACCTCTAGAAGAAACCTTCCCGTCTATCACGACTATACAGGTGAGCTCCCTTCCCCGTTCCCAAGCCCTTGGCCTGCTTCTCTGCAGCGGTTGGCATCCTGCCCCGGCCACCTGATCTGCTTGACGTCTTAAGCCGAGCTTTGTTGTCACACAGCTGCTTGCAGATGGAGGTTGGAAGAAGCTACGCTTGCCATTGGCAACCGCGGTTATCTTTACTGTGCTGTATCAACATGCTCCTTCTCCTCTGCATATCTCTGCGGAGGTTATTGAGCAGCAGACCCTATCATAGCGCAGGTTGGGCAGGACCCCTTGCCAGCCGTCGAGCTTGGCGTTGCATGACCGGTTTTACACCAGCCATCTCGGGCCCGGACTGTGAGATATGTGTTTGAGAAGCCAAGTCGCTGATGGGACCGCCTCCAGAACTTAGAACCTCCTCCTCATTGCCTGTTGTCAATTCGGACACTACACACAATGTCGACAGCTATGCCCCAGATCCCTCCTCGCCCTACTCGGGCCCAGGAGCAGAAGAAAGCGAGTGGCAGCTCCCTGGGCAGCGATCTACCCAAGATTCCCCCACGCCCCGCTAATCGTCGACTTGATCGCTCAATATCGCCCCAGCGTGAGAGCTTCGCGCAATCTCCTCTCAACGAGACGCCGTTCACGCGCCATGGAAACCAGAGCAAATCTTCTATATCCAGTGAAGATGTCTCTGGCTCGGATCAGCCCCGCCGCCCCTCGAGCGTTGTCCTACCATCCCTAGGACAGGAGGGGAGTGAGTACGCCGAAGTGGTGGCAGCCACAGAGGATCTAAGCTCCTCGCCCACTCAGACCAGGAATATCGCCAACGACCTGAAGCTTCATGCACCAAAGCCCTCTCTGCCATCCTCTGCCGCTACGCGGAGAGTGTCTACCGTAACTCGTACGGATTCTGGACAAGCAGCAGCACTTGGGCTCGGCGCGGCTCCCGATGACAAGGAACTGTCATCTCGACCATTAAAGACAAGGGACAGTTTTGCCAGCCAGACGTCGAACAGCGCCGAACGTCCTCCTTCGAGCACTGAAAGCGAGCACGGCATCCCTGAAATCGGCCAGCGTGTGCCAATGTACCCTGATGCTGGCGACGTGCAGGCCCCTTCGCCTTCTCCATACACGACCCCTTATGCGCCTGGTATCGGGTTTCACAATGATGGCTCAAAGCCCAGACACCATTCGCGTAGAACAAGTGGCCGCAGCATCGACATACCCTTTGATGCGTACGGCAAGCACGGTCACGGCCAGATTCCCCACGACCGTTTCGAGAAGGCATACTATGAAAAACACCCTGAGCTTTTGAAGAAAGAAACAAGCCTATACCATGGTCCTTATGCTGAAGATCGACCAGAATGGGCTATGAGCAGTGAAGATTTGAACAAGATTGTCAGGGACACTGCTAGCAGAGGTGCTGGAATTGGTAAGTTACTTGATCGGTGCGACCTGAGTTGGAGGTCATACACCTCTCTTCCGACAGTCTGGGAGTATATCCTACTCCCAAGCTTCGGAAGGCAGAGTTTGTATTTTGGCGCTGTCTACACTCCGTGTTGATAAGCCGCCAACCCATTACGCACGCACGTGCCTCAGTTCAAGGCCCTTCGGGCTAGCTGCATCGGACAAAGAAGAATTCTAATCAAAACTCTAGGGACATCACCAGCGATCGTGGGCACTCCAAGTGAGCAGATCGGTTTTCAAGCATCAGAGGAGTATGCTTCCCGAATATCTTCTCCACGTCCACAGTCTTCCGCGTTTCACCTAGCACACTCGAATGCATCTCAAACGCACGTGGACTCTCCCTTGAGGAAAGAAAGCACTGCGAGTGAGTTTGATAAAAAGGCCGACTTTGAGGGTGCTATATCTAAGAGACTTGACGGTCACGGTCCATCTGACACGGGCCTTGAGAGCGAGGTTGAGGATGATGACGTTATCCACGTCGAAGACCCAAATCATCGCCACAGTATCTATGGAGGTGCTGGCCGTCTCGAGTCAACAGAGGATCTTGGACACCATACTGGCGGTGAAGATGATGGATTCCTTGATGAAAACGGTTATAGCGCCCCCATTCTGGCTCCGGATGAGGTTGCTAAGGAACCTTTTGGCTGGGAGCTTCAACCAGCTGTATCACCATTACACGAGCGCAGAGGTAGCGCCTTTGATGAATACAGCGCCCACCTGCGATCCGGCAGCGCATCAAGTAGTAGGCCTACAAGCCGACCTGCGAGCATTCATGGCAATGTTCCTGGAATTCGACTTCCTTCAGATAGGCCTCTGGAAGCTTTGGACGAGTATGAGCCCTTGTTTTCTGAAGAAGAGGGAAATGAGGGTGGGAAGGATTCAGGCAAAGATACATTGGCTACCGCCGATAGATTGAAGCGCCCTGAATTGAAGGTGAGTTTGTTCTCAATGAAAAAGGTGATGACGACGCTAATAGTTCCAAGAATCGCAAATTCCCAAGTCAAGACATCTGGGAGGATACCCCGAACAGCTTACAGTACACCGCCACAGTGTCAACGCCACAGTTACCCGAAGAAAAGGAAGGGGAGACGAAGCTCAAGCGAGAACAGGAGGTGGAGACACCTGAGCAGGCCTTTGCTAGAAGACAGGAGGAACTGGCCGAGCAGGAGTCTGATAGTTCACATGGTTTCTTGGACCGTGAGAAACGGCCGTGGTCACACGCGTCGCCAGCTGTGACGGAATCTAGGCCCTCCTCGGAATCCTCCCGACTCGGGACGGAGTTCAGACACAGTGGGAAGCAACGATTTCCAAGTCGAGATATCTGGGAAGACACCCCGGACAGCTTACAACTACAGACTACTGTTGGTGGGCCACAAAGCGATGATAAGGATGCCTTGAGCCCTCCATCCGAGAGACCGACCGCAGGTGCTGTCGCCAATCACCAAGAGAAGGCTGCGGCTGGATTGCCTCTTGGCAGTGAAGAAGGTCGTGCTACTACAGGTATCGCAGCCCCCGTAAAACCACAGATCCCTGCTCGTCCGACAAGGGCAAAGCCATCAGAATCCCCTGAGAGGACGCAGCACCCGCCCCCCTTACCTACCAAATCCAAACCTCAAGTACCAGCCCGCCCTTCAAAACCAACTACTCGCGACTCCTCAGAAAATGTCCCGTTAACAACGGTCCCGTCAAATTCGTCGGCCAAGTCTACTGGGTCGGATCAAGGTGTGGCCGCTAAGCCTAAGCCACCGGTCCCGTCACGACCGGTTGGTAGCAAGATTGCAGCGTTGCAAAGTGGCTTCATGCTGGATCTGAACAAGCGCCTACAACTAGGTCCTCAAGCTCCTAAGAAAGAGGAGCCAGCTGCAGAGGAAGTTGTGGAAGAGAAAGAAAAGGCGCCATTAGTCGATGCTAGAAAGGGCAGGGCCAGAGGACCAGCACGACGAGCGCCTGCCAAGAGTCCCGCTCCCGCTAGTGCCCCAGCTGTGGAGAAGCCCCAATTAGCTTGCGCCGTTTCTGTGCCCTCGACATTATGGCAGATTGACCCAGATGAAGATCTGCTACTTGTTCCGTCTCACCCAGAAGAAGTGGCGCCGAAGACAGAAGCGGACGTATCGGCCCCAAAGCCAGAAACGAAAGCAGCCCAGTCGGAAACTCCAACGCTCGCGACAAATATGGCAGGAGAGCCTGTTCACGAAGCATCAGAGATTGCCCCGGGCTCTGAAAATGCTGCATCCCAGCCTTCACCGACAGAAGATGCTCACGCAGAACACTTGGAAGATGCCCAGGCAGAGGCGTTGTCAAACAGTGCTTACGACAATGAGCTTGAGCCGATAAAATCCAGCGACAAGCCTCCTGTTGTTTCTCAGAGTACCGACGCATCAGAAAATATCGACGATGAAGCCTTAGCCGCGTCGACAGACACGTTAAAGCCCCGTACGGAAGATAATGTAGAGTAGAGCCAGACGGGCCGTCAACTACATACTGGTTAGTTTAGTTTCAGGCAAATTAATGTGTTCATAATCGTCGATTTATATAATGTTCCGTTTGGTGACTTGGCCTCCGCACCCAACAAGGTCGTAACGTACCATGGGCGAGTTCAATAACTGTATAATCAACAGCACAGGTGGCCTCTGGAATTGATAGTAATCTAGATACTGGTATGAGCGATTCCTTCTCTTACCCTCGTGGTAGTATCCACACAATATGACCGTTTCCAAATAGAAAGAAAATACAGATAAAGCATCTACTGTCTCTTATCCTCACGGATTCAAGTTTATTGAGAACTTTTCGCCCACTCCTTCGATGACTTACAACTATATACCCCGCCACAGAGGAGGACTTCTGGATAGAGCCCAATCGTTGTTTCCGAGTCCCTTTTCGATAGGAAAGCCCCCAAGGTTCGTGATCGTCAGTGCCTATTCCAATGCCATGTTGACCTTTCTTAATGTAGCCGCTCTCTTTTACAACAGCACTCGTTACACAGGCCATCACCATGGCACGCACCTTTCTCAAGCTTCTCGTGGTGGTTCTCGCCCTCGTCTTGCCCCTCACTCTTGCAACCTTCATTCCCCTCGCACCATCTCACCCGATAAAAGGAGGGATTGTCAATAACCGAATCCCCATCGAAGGCTCAAGCATCCTCAATCGAAGGGGGGAAGTGAACCCCGTGTCCGCGAAATTCATGACGCGGCCGGATCCTGGCATGCCTCCGCCCATGGATTTCAACGTCCTGGCGAAGCGTAGCTTGAGCTCGTGGGACGATGACAAGTTGACGCTCACGAGTGAGATGTTCCTCCCGGGTCAGTTTCAGGCCAGGGTGCCGATTGCAAATGGGTACGTGTGTGGTTTTTTGGAGCCTTTGTCGTGTTGGACGTCTACTTTTTAGCATGTCCGATGTCCAATTTCTTGCGAAGGGTTTTTTTTGAGGAAATATATCTATTTTTCGGGCCATGTTGCACATGTGTGCTTCTCTTCTACTCTGATATCATTGTTATCAGTGGCTGCTAATATATGCTGCAGATATATTGGTGCGGCTGTTTCAGCAGCCGGGCCATTTTATGAGAAAGACGTGAACCAGACCAACCATGCTGGTCCCGAATCTGAGGTAACTGAGGGCTGGCCGCTGTTTGACAGTAGACAGACTTTCTCGACCGTCTCTGGATTTTATGATTGCCAGCCCACCACACCCGGCGTCAATTACCCGGAGCTTCAGAAATATGGCTGTGAGAGTGTCATCTCCGGAACGCCATACCCTCTCTCGCTCCATCTAGTCGTTGGAAATCACGTCCTGAATTCAACTGTGGATCCGGCCTCTATTCACAATTACAAACAGATTTTGAGATTCCGAGATGGTCTCACGCAGTGGAGGTTTACCTGGTCCCCCAGCAAAAGCAACATGTCTTTTGATATTGCGTTCGACTCTTTCATGAGTAGAGCAAGGCCAAACGTGGCTGCGACGCAGCTTCGGGTTACGCCACGCGGGGGAAACCACAAAGCTATTATCGTCGACTTGCTGGATGGTCGAAGCGCGAAGAGATCCTTCTTGGGACAGAAGGGCATGTCTCCCAATTCTACTTCTATTTACGTATCAAACCATCCTGACGGACTTCCTAATGTCGAGGCATGGACAGTTTCTACAACTAACGTAGCCAATCGCTATACCAACAAGACATCCAGAAGAAGGGCAGTATTTTATGGGAATGGTAGCAGTATGACTATCGGACAGCAATGGGATGCTCGACTGATCAATGGCGAGACCGCTACGTTTCAGAAGTTCGTCGGCATCGCTTCTACCGATAAGTTTGAAGATGCTGCGTTCACGGCTAGGTCAGCATCCAATCAAGCAATGAAAGATGGATGGGATACGCTCATCTCAGAGCATATCCAAGCCTGGAATGAGCTCATGCAACGGAGCCTCATAACTGGCTATAGGAATCCCGCAACCGGGAAACTTCCAGCAGGCGATTCAATCATAGAGAAATTCCAAATCGCAGCCGTTGCAGACCGTTATTATCTCATCCAAAACCTCCTACCGGAAAACGGCTTGGATCTGAATGATAATGGACTCAGCGTGAGTGGTCTCTCATCAGATGCTTACGGCGGCATGCTCTTCTGGGATCAAGATATGTGGATGTATCCCGCAGTCGCAATCACCGATCCACAATACGCACGCCAGGTGCTCAAATCACGCCTGAAGCACTTCTCCCAGGCAAAGTTGAACGCTCAAATGCCCTATGTCCAAGAAACGTACAAGTTCAACGACAAGTCGGCGTTGTATCCTTGGACAAGTGGAAGATTCGGAAATGCGACTGCCACCGGCCCAGTCCTGGATTATGAATACCATCTCAATGCAGATATTGCGATTTCTATGTTCCAGTACCTCGCAATCACGGGAGATGAGCTGTACTTTAGGAACGAACTCTGGCCGGTTGTAGAAAGCATTGGGCATACAATTGCGACACTCCTAGTCAGAGATGGGGATTTATGGTCTATCAGGAACATGACTGACCCTGATGAGTATGCGGTATGTCATAGTTCCTTTCTACTCTGCTTTGTTATAGTTCCGATCCAGTTTCATCCGTTATTCCCACTGTTATTCAATCTTCATTGCCACCCAGACCTCATCGTCGCCCCTGTTTCCTGCATTGTTAACGTCTCCGTAGAACCAGGTTGACAACGGAGCCTTCACACTTGCTTCTATGTCCCAAGTGATGCATGATATAATCAGGTACCAGACCATGCACAATATGGAAGTCAATAAAACTTGGGACGAAATGGCGAGTAACGTCAACATCCCTCGAGCAGCTTCTGGAATCACCAAAGAATTCGAGGCCATGCAGAACGATGTCACGGTCAAACAAGCTGATGTATCACTGTTGGTTTACCCACTGGCCTGGCGCAAAAACTACACTCTTGCGGACAAGATGAGAGACCTGGCGTACTATTCGCAGAAACAGACTCCCGATGGACCAGCCATGACCTACGCCATTGCAGCAATCGGGGAAAACCTGGTCGCGTCGACGGGCTGTGCGGCTTTTATATACGACCTGCAGGCCAGGTTCTCCAACTATCGAGCGCCGTGGTTCCAGATGTCGGAGCAAGCCAACGATGACAAGAACGCCAACGGTGGAGTGCCGCCCGCATTCCCCTTCCTGACGGGCCACGGAGGAGCATCTCAGATCCCGCCTTTCGGATATCTAGGCCTGGATCTCACGCACAAGAACCTCACCATCCAGCCCAGCCTCCCATATCCGTTCCAGCATCTGCAGATCGGGGAATTTCACTACGGCGGCGCCACTCTCACAGCGTCCATGAACTCCACGCACACGAACGTGACGCGATTCCCCAGCGACCCCAGCAAAGGCCTCGTCGACCGCTACCTCCCCAACCCCATGCCCCTGATCGTCGGGTCCGCCTACGGCCGCGTGCCTCCACGGCTCTACACCATCGGCATCGACGAAACTATCACCGTCGCCAACGACATGTACTGGCAAGGCGCCACCACGGCCAACAACATCCTGCAATGCCTCCCGGCCTCGTCCCCCGCCGACATCGTGCCCGGCCAGTACCCCGCCGCTGCCACCGACGGCAACGCAGGCACCCGCTGGCAGCCCCTGACGCGGCACCCCGCCATCCTCACCGTCGACACGTCCTCCGTGCCTTTTCAACCCATCCAGCAGATAAATCTCAACTGGGGAGATCGCCCACCATATCGGGCTCGCGTCGCCTTCACCAATCACACCTTCACCTTCACCACCACCAACCACACCCCCTCCTCCACCACCATCCTCGATTCCAGCGCCCAAATCTTCGATATCTCAACAGATCTACTAACTGCTAGTCCTCGCGAAGTGCCACTTCTAGACGTCGTCCCGTATGTAGGAAATCGGACGGAACACGTCTTTAGAAAAGAGAATGATGATGATGATGTGTGGACGGGCAAATATGCGATTCTAGAGATTGAGGGGTGTAGAGGCTGTGGAGTGCTGCAGAGCGTGGAGGATGAGCTGGGGAGGTTGAGGATAATGGAGGATGATGATTTGGGGGCTACGGTGGGGGAGTTTGAGGTTATTGGGAGGGGAGGGGAGGAGGGGTTGGGGGGTGAAGGGGGGAGAGGATGGCAGAAAAGCTAGGTAGGTAAGGTAAGGTAGGTAAGAGAAAGAAAGGAAGGCATTTCAACATACTGGCTGGCTGACTGGCTGGCTGGTGAATTGAGCAAACGATCCATGTGAGGTGAGCTGGGTTATAACGGGTATTCCATCGACCCCCCTAATAACAATACTGTACATGGTCCTGCATGTTCAAGATTCGAAAAGAAAAAAAAGGAAACACCTCACAGCCTACATTCAAGATACCAGAAGAGAAGAGAGAGAGGCGGGAGTTATGTTATGGGGATACTTGATATTTTATAACATAATATGCCCATTTTCTTTTCTTTTCTTTCTTTCTTTTTATCTTTTTGATAGGCTTTTGATTCTACCATTTCAATCACTTGATTGATTGATTGATTTGATTGATACTTGACTCCTCTTTCTTTCTTTCTTCCATTCCATTCCATCCATTCATTCCCTTACAATATCAAGATCATCATCATCATCGTCATCGTCGTCATTATTATTAACGACGTTAGTGACCGCAGTTGATATAACCGCGTCCCCCCCAAAACTCTCCCTGCCAGCTTCGCGAATCCCTTTCGCCGTGACGAAGCGCGTCTTCTTCCGCACGGGTTGGAAACTTTCTCCATCCCTCATCCTTCCTAGTTCTTTAGTGAGGTTTCCTCCCCAACCAACTGCCGCGCTGCCGCTGCTAGATGATGGCGTGTTGACTCTCTTCCGCTTGATGGGACTTAGCTGTACGTCTTTCGCCTTGCCGCTGAGCAGCCCCAACGCCGCGGCGTCAGGTGGTGGTGGTGGTGCTTGTGCTTGTGCTTGTGCTGCTTGCTCTTGCGCTACATCGGTGTTGCTATTGCTATTGCTACTACTCCCCGGCTCCGGCTGTGATGAGGAGGAGCCTTTTTTACGGAGGTAATCTGCGCCGAGACCACCGCCCAAAGCTCCTAGCTTCCTCGCGAGCTCTCGTTCCTTCTCCTGTTCCAGAAGACGTCGCGTGATGCGCTCCTCTTTGGTCGAGCGATGGAATGCGTCAGGGTCGTAGTCCGGGTCGTCAAGCAGGCTCGCCGTCGTTCGGTTCCCGATGTATATCTGCGAGTGGCTCTCTTGATCGTATCTGGTCCTCTTCTCTTGCGCTGTTTTCTGCCGTCGTTCTGCGAACCCCGTCATATCCTTACTGTTGTACTTGCGGGCACCGTATGAGAGACCGAGACCTTTCCCATAGTTCATGGTATTGACTTCCATTCGGTTTGAATGGGTCTTCTTCAAGCTGAGGTTAACGTGGAAATCACAAAATTCCGTATGTTTTTTGTTGACCCAGCTATTGCAAGTAGTCCCGTCTTTCTTGACGCTTTTGCAAAACCCCAAGTCTCTCGCCGTGCCAATCTCCAGGATCGTGTCGGCGTCGGAATTCAACACCAGGCTGAACTTTCCAGTGTCTGCTTGCCCTCGCGGCGGAGGCATAAACCCAGGATTTAAAATTGCTATAATAGTGCCTGGTGTAAGCTTCCAAAACTTCTCAAAGGCCGAGTCGAACAAAAACAGATTCAGCTCCCATTTGAGATCTGTCAAGTCCAAGATCATGTATTTGCCGCGATTTGCGTTCTTTGGGTCCTGCCGATGTGACAGGGGCTGGGATTTCGCGGCAACGATTGCAAATACTACGACGTCCTCTTCTATATCTGGTCCAGAGAAGTCCGGAGCCTTGACCGTTTTTAGCAGGTCCGGTATGACGAAGGTCTTCTTTCCAGTGAGTATGCGAGTGAGCTCCTTGTGCGGAACAATCCTCTTGGATAGATGGATAGATGAATATGGCTCAAATTGAGAGGCTTCGGATTCGCTGACATCGGCTGGTGGCGTCTTTTTCTTAGACTGTTTTTTCACAGGAGCACCACTCGAGGCGGTTGTCGTATCTGTAACGGATGTATCTGTACCGTTGCTCGTACTCCTCATCGCCGAGCGCAAGCTCGGGGCAGTTTTACTGCGCGAAAAACTGCTGGGGTTACTGTATGAATTCAAGACTTCATCTCTGCTGAATTCGGGTGCTTCTCGAGAAGCGGGCGGTAATTCGACCGCAGTTTCTTTAAATTTGCGCATCTGCTCATGATCAATATCAAAAGCCATACTTCTGCTCTTCTGGATCCGTAGTTCTTTCTCCTTTCGTTCGGTTTCTTGAGCCCTGATGGCCGCCATCCTCTCACTGAATGTTTTGGGTCGATCTTCCCCTGAGCTAGAAGTTGTTCCAGAGGCGCGGGAACTGATCTGAGAAGCAGGTCTCTGCAGAAATGGCCCAGCGCGCCTTACATCTTGGAAGTCTGCATCTTGGGTTCTTCTCAAACTGGGAGCTCTCTTTAATGAAACCTCGCTAGCCTTCATGCCTTTATCTATCCCCAGCAGCACTCGTTGCGGGGACCGAGGAAGCTCAGCCGGCTGCGCTCGTCGTACGGGAGACACAGGAACATGCACGCTTGATTGTGATTTCGATCTCCGTAACCGCTCCTCCCGTAATTCTGATATCCTCGACTGTGCACGGTTTGCGGCCACCGAATTCGATCTCGCGAGAGGTGCAGAGCCCGCCCGACTAACATCAGTCTCCGTGTCCGAGCTCTGCTTCGCCTTCTTTTGCAGCGCCTTGAGCTTCAATCGCGCTTGTATCTCCTGGAGTTTCAACTGTAGGGTTTCTTCATCATCGTCCTCCGCCAACTCTTCCAATTCCATATCTTCTTTCGGCAGTGTTTGGGCCCTGTTTCGAACGGCAGAGGCTGATGTTAATCGCTTGGTCGGGGATGGTGAAGGAGAGGCGCGTTCTGCTAGACGTCGAAGTCGGTCACGACCTCGAGGGGTACTCAAAAGGACATCATGGGGAGATTTTGGGGGCCAGTTATCGTTCGCATTGGCTTCATGGTGGTTAGCGGGGTATATGCAGTGGATCGAGAATACTGAGAATACTCACGTTGTGACATGATGGCGATGATGAGTTTGTCCCGCCATTAGGTATTCATGATTCCCCGAAATCAATTCTTGCAGCGCAACGTTGTTTATAAACAATCCATGCTCCTGGGTTTGAGAGCAGGGGTTGAGGCTATATCGACCCTGCAATTAAGATGGGATCCAATGATGAAGAGCTGCTAGAATTCGATGCTTCATTAATCGCGAGAATGTCTAGAAGTAGAATCTCAATTGTTATGATTTGCGAGAGGTTTTGCCGCATTCATGCGCTGCACATTTCTTTTGTCTCACCCGAAAAGTCGATTGTCGTTCTTTACATTTGATAACCGACGCGTAAATCCCACATTATGACATTTCTATTAATAGAAGAATTTGACGCGTTCACGCGTCTCCCAAGTTCGGCAGCGCCCCAAGTTCATAGCCAGATTGCGCCGTACCAAACACATATCTTTAAAGGCCTTTGGACAGACAGGATGAAGACTCGAGCCAAAGGAACTGCGCGAACTGCTGCTGAGGCAAATGAGGCCACAGAAGTGACAACCGCAAAGGTTCAATTGGGCCCCGAATCGCCAAACCCCCCTCAGCTCTTCATATTACCAGAGGGTATCAGCACGGACGCACGAATCATTTCTCTCACCAATCCCAGGTATCTTTCAGAAGATAGATATGTTGTCTGTCCGGAGCGTGGGTTCTACGAATTCAGGGCGATTGCGGCGCCCAAGAGAACTCCCAGAAGTTGGCTGCTTTCTCGACCGGAGGACGAGGTGCCACCATTACAGAGTGGAGAGGATACGACAGAGACGAATTTATCGAAAGGATATGTCACTCGAGGGGCAGACTTATTTATTGCAACTCCAATTGATCCCCTATTCTTTCTGCTACCAGCACTCGCTCCTGAGTCGAAAAGTTCAGGGACCGCAAAAAGATTGTTCCTCTCCAGCGATGACTATCTCGAGAAAACCACGAGTGCATCCCCCGCCCTTGGTAACTTTTTGAGAATAGAAAAGTTGCGTGGTTTATTAGAAAGGAGGATGGCAGCTGTATGCGAGACGGTCGAAGCTGGAGATGAGACTATGTACAGACTGGACGAAGAGAGGCTATTGAAGGAATTATTACAGAAGGCAAAGAATATGGCTGAGAGAGGACTACCGGCAAGCATGGAGGAGAAGCTAGTAAGAAAGCCTCTTGAAGCACCAATGCTCAGTATAAAGAGAGAGGAAAGCTCATTACAAGAATCGGCAAGTGGGGACGTTCCACCAGCAACGTCCGATGTCTCGACTCCTCTTTCAGAAACTCCAGATACCCAAACAAGTGTATCGTCTACGGACAGTGCGACAACTTTATCCTCTGAGGCATCAACAGTAGCTACGAGCTTTTCTGGAGAATCCACGGATCCTGCCCCGTTATTGGAATCAAAAACAGCCACACCCCAAATCGACGCCCCTGAAGGTGTTGCAGACCTATTACGGCTTCGTACAGCCTTGGACTTCATCTGCTCGAATTATATCGCACCTCATATCACAGAGAAGCTGAAGTTGATGCTTTCTTCTACCACGGCTACTACGGATTTTGGCCCGCTAGATCAACATCTTGCACATCTAACGAAGTTGCGCCAGGAAGCGTTAGCTGCAAGATCACTTGGTGACTACTCGCGGAAAAGGGCGATGAATGAAGACGACGAAGACTTAGAAGCTCGGGCAGAGAAGAAAAGAAAGGTGGAAGAGGAGGAGAAGAGAAAGAAAGCAGGAGAGAGTCAAGGAATCAAGAAATTGAAGAAGGCAAATATCAGTGGAATGAAGAAGATGAGTGAATTCTTCAAAAAGAAATAATGCACTTCATTAGCAAAGTCAGGCGTCTCGGAAGGACATTGGAAATGATACCTCTAGGTAGAGGCTTTGGGATATCACGCGTGTTAGGTTGTAGAATAAATCAATAATTTAGCCATAAATTTCGTAATTTATCGTACTCCTCGTGCTCTGCCTCTTGTACCACCAATGCCCCTCCCTATACCACTCCGTCCTGCTGTTGATTGATACGTGCCACGAGGTGCTGGCAAGCTGCTCGACCCACCAGCAACATAACCGGTCCCACTGATGCTACTACCCCTGACCGCGCCTCTACCTCTTCCTCTTGATCCCCTGACTCCACGTACTGCTGTCCCAGCCTGTCGTTGCCTCTCTTCGTCCTCCGCCCGTCTTCTGGCCTCTTCCCTCCTACGCTCTTCCTCGGCGGCCCTCCTCTCGGCAGCTTGCGCTTTTAGGACCGCCTCATTCTCCATATCTGCAACATCTTGACTTGCCCCACGCCAATTAGGATTCAGGATTAATCGTTGATTATGTTCGGTCTGCGAGAGAATGCGAGTCCAGGTGTTGAGAAGAGTGGATGCTGATGTGACTGTGCGCGAAACGGTCTGTATCAATCATTAGCTGCGGGGTTCGCATGAATTGTCCTGATAGGGTAATGCGTACATCCATATTCCCCTTTGCGCATTCAAGACTTGAGATCACGCCTTCTATGACCTCGTTGATGCTCCGTACACTTTCGAGTTCTTTCTGCAAAGCATTGGTGCGAGCTTGCTCGGTATCATATTTTGACTCGGTGTTGCGCTGGGGCGGGGCATTGGTGCTCTCAGAAGCATTGGCGGTGGGTGTTTTGGTTGGCTTCGAGGTGCGCGAGGGGGACGCGAAGAGGTCTTCAGCGTCTGATGAATCCGAGAGATCCAGCTTGGCAATGTCCGGGGTAGCCATCGCGTGGTAGGAGTTTCAAGTGAGGTTGAAGCGAATATCAGAATCCTACAACCAGCGGGCAAGCACGTAAGGTAGTCCGTAGCAACGAGGCGCGTCAGTTTCCAATCTGATAAAACTCTCTAGATTGCCGGGAGTGGAAAAACAGTAGTTCCGACAGGTCTACGCTAGTACCAGGGAGGTAAGCGCCAGCCAGACAGGCCCAGCCACGTCACACGTGCCGGTATCAGTGAGCAATGAACCAATCAGGGTGCCGAACGAGCCAGGGGCAGACGAGACAAGCATGTGCAAGCCACAGGTGCAAGCCACACTGACAACCTCCTCATTTATTTTGGAATAGACGAGGCGCCTTAGATACCGGCCACAACCTCCTGCGTCCCTTCGTCCATGCAAGCAACTCTGGCTCTCCCACCAGCACTGCAGCACTCAAACATTCCACCATTGCATCTGCTTACCTCTTGTACTACCTCCGAATCGCATCGCATTGCTTCGTGTCGCATCATATCCTCGTATCGTCGGTCGTCTTGCGCGCCTCACCGTTGCTTTACTGTCGGCATTTTTGAGGGAGTTGTTGATCGCTCCACAATCTATCTTTCAACCACAAACAACGAACTTGTCCATCTGTCCGCTTTCGAACTCAATTCGACGTCAATGTCGTTGTACAGTGTCTAATTCACATTCACTTCACCTTTGTTCTCTTTGAAGTCTTCTCGCCTTTAGCGGGTCCTTTGAGCGTGGATATTATTCAATTCACCCCGTTCGCCAACATGGCTACTTCCTGTCGCACCGCAACTCCTCCCCCTCCATCCTCCATCAACACGCCTACAACTCCAAAACACGGATGGGAAGACAGCTACCAGCCTTATTCCCCTCGAAAGTCTGCTCGAGTATCGTCACAGCGATCAAGAGCGGCGCAAACACCACCACCCCCAAACCTCCGCAACTCTTCCAAGAAAGTCGCATCTACAAGCACGCCCGGCAGCACTTTATCTCCTCCTCCAACTTCATCGATCATGGCTTCCTCGAAGAGAGTCACCCGTGGGGGATCAGTTTCTGGCGCATTGAACTACGGCACAACTGCCTCTGGATCTTCAGCTCTCGATCTCCCAGCTCCTGTTCGCGACAATGGCATGCTACCTACCCCGGCGAAGACCCCCAAGAAGAAATCGTCTGAGATCGTCCCTGGAATCGCGTCGATTGCGCGCAACTTGTTCCCTATCCGTGGTGAGACTGCTGAAGCGGTTATGCCAACACCCAAGAAGAAGGGCCGCAAGTATGCTGGTTTTTCTTTGGATCAAGCTGAGGACGAGGATGCCCCGATCCCGATCTACACCGACACAACCGATCGCATCCCAGAAGCCGATACGAGTGCAGCCAACCCTTTTTATGGCAATCACAGCGCTCCGCAGCCTGAGCCGACCAAGCGATCAATCAAGCGTAGAAAGATTACAATCCCAGGTGAAGGAGAACAGACTGTCGAGGAGGCTGAACGTCGTGAAGATGGTCTAATCTATGTCTTGTAAGTTCCTGCCATCCCCAGCTGAGAACAGGTCTAACTCTTTACTTCTACAGCCGAGGCAAGAAAATCTTCCGCAAGTTCAGCGATGAGGTTGAAACTGGAACTCCTGATCATAATGACTCCGACGCCGAGGCCGATACTGAGCTCGAAGAAGATTTGCCTTCGAGTCTTCGTCGCCCATTGACTCGGTCCTCCATCAAGCCTCGTCTTCTTTTCCCATCTGCCCACCAAGCTAAAGCTGCCGAGATGAGATCGCAAGCCACCGAAGATGAGGAAGAAGCTGTCACGGACATTGAGGAGCCAAACAATCTCTCTACTCCTACGGCCCAGACGGATGATGTAGTCGCGACCCCAAAGGCACCCAAGTTCGCACCCGCTTCTCCACCCACCACTGCTAGAGTTACGAGATCCAAGAAGTTGGACATGACTAGTTCCCCAGCCGGACCGTCCAGGGATGGAAGTGTCAGTCCTTTTCTCGGTTGGGCAATTGATAAAGGTAAAGGTAGAGCTACTTCTGGCAGTAAGAAGCGAGCAGGTGAACCTTTAAAGAGAGCCGGCGGCGCCAAGAAGACCCGTGGATGAAAGTTGGGGTTAGGTTTTGAGGATTCAGTGGTGTGTAGGGCGTGTTTTGTCTCTTTAATAACGCGATAGCGGGTCCATACTCTTTTCTTCTGCCTCCTTTGGCATCATAATACAGTCTGTAATGGGTTGGGAGGATGCCGCTGTGCGGGCGAACTTCGAAGCAGAACGAATAGGGGAGGGTGAGGTACAGACGTACAGACATACAGACATACAGACATACAGACACCAATCAATCGAGATAATTGCTTTCAGTTTCCAGTTTGCTTGGTGATATTTGCCTTGGCATCTATTGATGTCCTTCTAGAAGTGCCACTATCCAATAATTATAAATTTTTCAGATGTAGGTATCTAATGTATGTACCATGTACTGCACCATGCACTTGTTTGGTTGGTACCTGTCAAACATACTCCGCCGATATAAAATACCCCGCTAAAAGTGCGTGATCGGGCGAGGCTGCGCTGGTACATCCACGAAAGTTATAAATAAATTATTGTTGGCAGCGCACCTCCAGACCCAGGACAGCAATCCCACGAAAGCGCCCAGAAATCCCGTTTATCTTCAGTATTTTTCCGTCAAGATGCATATTCTCGTAGGTTCTGGCTGCAAGACCCTGCTGGATTAACGCTGACGCTGAATCCAGGTCGTCAACGACGATGGCCCTCCCTCGAATCAGTCTTCCCCATACGTTCACTCTCTCGTGAAGTCTCTACAAGAAGCAGGCCATGTTGTATCGGTATGCCTTCCTCACACACAGAGGTCGTGGATTGGAAAAGCGCATATGATCGGCCAGACCGTCAAACCCACATATTTTCGACCCGGCACATTATACAAAGATGATGGCACTACCCACTCTCGACCGCTCTCAGCAGGCTCAGAAGAACAAGAGGAATGGGTACTGGTAGATGGAACACCGGCGAGCTGCGTACAAATCGGGCTCTACCATTACTTCCAACACCGCGGACCTGTCGACCTTGTAGTCAGCGGGCCGAATTATGGCAGAAATTCTACAGCGGTCTTCAGCTTGAGCAGTGGGACGTTAGGCGGCGCTCTCGAGGCTGCGATTTGCAAACGAAAAGCTATAGCGCTTAGCTACGCATTCTTCTCTCGAAATCATGACCCAGAAATCATAGCTGGCGCTTCGAAATTGTCAGTCCGGCTCATCGACTACCTCTACAAGAACTGGGACGACGCAGTAGATTTATATTCGGTGAATGTGCCGCTGGTAGAGGATGTCAATAACCGGAAGGTTATGTGGACCAATATGCTACAGAACTACTGGGGGCCTGGAAGCTGCTTTCAGGAGGTCGAGGCGGAGGAGGGGAGCTCAGAGGAGGAAGAGGAGAGAATCAGGGAGAGAGAGGGAGCGCCGCCAGCGGATGGTACTAATAGCCTAGCTGTTCCAAGGCATACGCATAAGCATTTCAAGTGGTCACCACGTTTTGCAGACGTCTATAAGTCTGTTGAAGATGCGGGCCCTGGAAATGATGGATGGGCGGTCAAAGAGGGATATACAAGGTAAGGTCTTCAGCAGAGAAACTCAGCGGGTCTTATACTGACTCATTGATAGTGTCACACCACTGAAAGCAAATTTTATGCATGCTGCAGCGGCGACGGAGGGGGAGCTGAAGTTGTGAGTTTGACTATGCATAGCGTTGGAGCATTAGGCCATGTTAGATTCAATGCAGGGCTTTGACATTCCGTTCTGCGTGTTTCTTGTCTAACAGGTGATTGCCCAGGCCTTCAGATAATATCCCAAACATGGAAGTGCTGTCTATCTCTCAGAAGCCACGAATTTACGCACTCATAGATTATGAGGATGCTTATGTTCAACCCCTGATATTGGCAGCTCTGAAGTCACGTCTGCCAGAAGATTCATACATCCTCATCTCATCCATATCTGAGCTGCCGGAGCCCACAGCCCCTTTCCTCCAGATAGGAGCTTACGAATCCCTCCCATTTGAGCACATCATGTCGCATTCCACCACGTCTCTCACAAATGCATACATAATCCGCAAGGCTCTGATCCGGAAGCATTACCTTACCACTACGGCCCACAACTGGGTAACCAAAAACCCCTCCTCGATCCTTTCGACAAACATCAAGCCTTCCTGTCATTTCGAGGTCGATTACGCCGAGTTCATCGACGATGCCCTCGTCGAAGCCTGGGAATTGCAGGCTAGCTTCCAGAAGAATGAGGGTAAGGAACCCGATGAAAGGGAATGGTGGATCTTGAAGCCCGGGATGAGTGATCGAGGACAGGGAATCCGGCTCTTCAGCACGGAGGAGGAGCTCCAGACTATTTTTGAGGAATGGGAAGCCGAGACGCCTGATTCCGACGACGAGGAAGAAGAAGACATCGGATCGAACCTCGATGCTGCCGTCGAGAGAAAAGCAGAGGAGGATAACAAAGGAGGAGACTACATCGTCACGTCCCACCTCCGCCACTTCATCGCACAGCCATACATCCACCCACCGCTCCTCCTCCCCTCCAACCCGCGCAAATTCCACATCAGAACCTACGTCCTCGCGTCCGGCAGTCTCGAAGTGCACGTCTACAAGCCCATGCTCGCGCTATTCGCCTCGACTCCCTACGCCGCGCCCTGGTCCTCTGCCTCATCGCCCAACACCCGCGATCTCTCTGCGCACCTGACCAACACGTGTCTCCAAACGGGATCACACGACGGCGCCGTGCACGCCTTCTGGGCGCTGCCACTCCCAGAGGAGCAGAAAACCGCCATCTTCCAGCAGATCTGCGACGTGACGGGCGAGATCTTCGAGGCGGCTGCGAAGGGCATGATGGTGCATTTCCAAACGCTGCCGAACGCGTTCGAGGTCTTCGGTCTGGATTTCTTGGTCGATGACTTGGGCACGGCGTGGTTGTTGGAGGTCAATGCGTTTCCGGATTTTAGGCAGACCGGCGACGACCTGAGGGGCTTGGTGGCGGGCTTGTGGGAGGGCGTGGTGGACACGGTGGTTGCAAGGTTCTTTGGCGTTGGTGTTGAGAGAGATCAGGGGAGTCAGGAGCAGAACATGGTTTTGGTAAGGAAGTTGGATTTGGGAAGGAGGTAGAATAGAGAGAATCAGGGATAGATGGTTTGAAAGACATAGAAAGCAGTATAGACACTATTTGGTCGATCACTCTGTTTACAGTAGACAAAAGCAATCAAAACATACCTCTATACCTAGTCTAAGAGTAAGGGAAAAAGGTATCAGTCAATGCCGCTTCGGGCATTATGTAGAGCGGAGGGCGCGAGCTACCTAATTATCCAATTGTGTAAGAGGAGTTGTATCGACTATTAAGATAAGATAACGGTTGTACCTTGGTTTACAACTGCAGTAGGACCATCTCCAGAAACGCGGTTGTGGATTTACATCAGTCCTAGGACCTGTTACAGAAACCCATACCTAGTTTGCCTACAAGGTAAGGTAAGGTAGATAATGATATTGTCTGAGGTCACGGAGGTAATAAAACAATTTTGTCCTCCGATTCCTTTTTTTGACTCAAGCTCCCTTTCATATAGCTCCCAAATAACATAGGTACTCAATATCTTTCTTCAGTCACACTAGCACTTCTATCTCAAGATGTCTGTCTGATAAGCCGCCTGATGATTGATACCTCTCTGCTCAGCTCACCCCCGACTTACGGTATACCTAGGTAGTTCATCAGAAAAAAATCACATTGCGACGTCGTGAGGGTAGGTGTGTAACGAATCCAGCATGAGGATCTAATTTTTAAGGGAAGGTCGAAACAGCGAGTATAATACTGCCATACAAGCAAGACCACGAAATCATAGAGAATAAGGAAACCCGTAACCATCGTAAGACAGCATGTACCATAGCACATGCCATTAAATTCCATTCCGTCCATCATACATCCTGTCATCCATAGCTAACTCCTCAAACACCAACCTCGCTGCTTAGTAGCAGTCGAGGATAAACAAGGGGTATCAGAGCACGAGTCATTCCAATGGTGGGGTAAAGGTTGGAGACGTGCTGAATGCTTGTCCGTGTTGCTTGCGTTGAAGAGTATCGTTACTTTATAAAGACCTCTACTTCTTCTTGGTAGCAGGGGCCTTCTTGGTCGGTTCGGCAGCCTTGACCTTCTTGGTAATAGCAGCCTGTGTGAGGTTATATATTAGCTTGATGAGCGGGGCAAGGGTTGGCTAAAAACAGGCTGACATAGGAGGGTATGTGTTAGGGATAATGAGGATTCGTTGAGGTAGCGAGTTCAGGAAACGTAAGTAATTCATATTCATAAAAACATATCATAAGCCTGAGATGTGTTTTGGAAGGATGCTTCTCCAGACAGGGATTGTGAACGCGTTAAGTGCGCATCATAACAAAGATACACGGCAACATACCTTCTTCTCTGGGTTTGGAGTAACAGCATCTTCGGCCTTCTTCACAATCTCTTTGGCCTATGGGGGGTATTAGAAAGAACCATAGTAAGTTGCGATAGAAATATCTCACCTTGGTAGTAGTAGTAGCCTTCTTAGCAGGAGCCTTCTGCTTGGTAACGCCAGCGGGCTTGGTGCCCTTGGCAGCAGTAGCCTTCTTTGGCCCCCTCTTCGCACCAGTATTGGCAGTAGCACGCTTCTTGGTGGCGGTGGTTGTCGGCTCAGGGATAGTAGGGAATACTCTCGGTCGCGAGTTTCCTATGTGTGCGGTTCAGCAGAGCACAACCAAGTTACGCGCCAGCAGCTGCAGTGGTTCCAGCGTGAACTGAGGAATGCGATAAGAACGAACCGGTCGCAGAGCGCGTTCCTTCGCGGGCCATTGTATCCTATGAGAGATTTAGTGTCAAGATCTATTGCGGAAGACCGGGAAGTATTGGCGCAAATCGCTGGCGCGTTCCTGACATCTGTGATGCGACGGGGAAGTTTTGAATTTGCTTACGGTTGGAGTGATTCTGTTAAGAACCGACTTGAGGTTGATGCAGCTGTCGCAGTACAAGGCGGTTAATCAGGAAGAGAATTTGAGGAAGACTTGGCTTGATTGATAGAGAGTTGTTGTGGTAAATAGAGGGAAGGAGGTCGCCTTTTGGTCGCAGCATAAACATCCATACCATCCCTCCATGAACGCTAAGCCAATCCGAGTGGTCAAGAACCGAGTAAAACAAGATATATCCCAATTTATTTGAGATTGGAGTTCTTTTAAGTCGAAAGATCCAGTAGAATTTGTGCTTTTAAAGTCAGCTATTTTCCACCTGAATTACCTCACCATACTCTTGCTGGATGTGCTTTCAATGTCACGTGCTGTCCCCTCTCCCCAAGTACCCTGGCTCTCATGGACAAGCGAATAAGCAAACAATAAGCACATGTCGCAGTACATCAAGAAGATGGGATATTGCAGTGGTTGGGGGAAGTCATCAGGGCACATTCAGACTACTTTCTGCCCTGCAAGTTCTGAGTCTTGGGATAGGGGGCTTGATCCCCAATCAAACGGGTTAGAGATGCGGCTTGGAAGTTAAAACCACATGTCTGGGTCCGTTCTCAGGCCTTCATATAAAGCACCTTAGCTATTGAGCTGTCGACTGATCCATGCTCGGGCTTGGTTCATGATATCTTGGATATCAGAACCAACAGTATGAGTTGCAGAAGCTAAACAAAATATTCACTAACGTTTTCCGGATTGAAGCGATCGTTACCCCTTTTCCCGAATTGTGCAAGATCCTGATCCGCAACATCAGAACTCCGATTTCCCCTAGGGACTTGAAACTCTATCAAACAGAGTTCTCGTGTTAGGGCCTCCAACAGAAATTTTGGAGTCTGGACCGTGTGGTCCCCGACTCACAGGTTGCCACATAATGGGAGCCCTGTAGAGAGAGAGAACTCAATCTATAGTATCAGATAAATGCACGAATCTCAAAAATAGTGGTCACAAAGCGTGGCCACCTTTAGATATTTTACTTCAGCGTTCTCTCTTAACAAGGAGGATGCATATGAGTTGGGAAATCATTCGGATAGACCTTAAATCTTGCGTGCTGAAAATTCAATATAGCCATGATATGCTGATAACTCTCAAGGAAATGAACAATACTATACGAGGGATGCATATCTTGAATGGATATCAACTTGGCTCGACGACGCACGCAAATTCAGGATCCATATCAACAATGTGCAATATAGGGTAGATGAATTTTGGTATTCGAAGCATTGCTCTAAGTATGTCAACGCCGAGCACTTGCTTCTTCCACCAAGTCTATCAGCCCGGCTTCTTTAGTTTTCATGTCTTCTAGAACCAGCTGAAATCTAGACAAACTATACAATGGGCTATCATACCAAACAATGCAACGGTCTTAGGCAGAGCCCTGGTCACCTGTACACTTTGAGCGTAGCAATCATGCTTCAGCCCTCATCTTCCTGAAGAAATCCATGACTCCGGTAAAGACAACCAGCAAAATACCTCCACCTGGGCCGAGTCTTAGCACCTTTGGCAGGAAACCCTTGTAAAGAGCTCCGAAACCTTCTTCCTTCATAACAGTTCCCACTGCGGGCCATGCCCAGTTGTATTTTCGTACTGCTCCACCCTCAGTGGTGCTGTTTTGGATGCGCGACTTGACAACATCCATGGGGGTGTTGAGGATTGTACCAACGGTACCACCAGTGGCACCAGAAAGTAAGTCATAGCCCATTTGGGTGGTTTTGTTGTCCGTCTTTGGGAGTAACTCTCGAACTTGGAAAATGCATCCGAAGTAACCGGCATTCCACAAGATATGTCTCCACATTGTGCTCTCTAGTCCCTTGTATAATGCAAGTGGACCTTCCGCCTTAACCGTCTTCACCACAACATCAACCATTCCAGTGTACTTTCCAGCCGAAGCACGATCCTGAAGTCGGATCTTGACAAGTTCGAATGGTACAACGACGAATGCTTCAGTGGCACCAGCAGTGGCACCAGTGAGGACTGAGAGAGATTGGTTCATTTTGGCGACTCCAAATAAGTCACGGTAGAGTTTTCCCCAGGCATCGTTCGCCGCGAACTTGGTCGCTCTCTTTGGTGCTTCCATCAGGATCGGAGCTTCGATACCACGGTACAGTCGTGAAAACCTGCTCAGCCGTCAGCATCTGTGCAGCTTGTGGGGACAATAATCATGCCCTTCATGCTTGATGATCTTCCTGAAGCAGTCGACCATGCCATTGTATGAATCGGCTCCTGTGCCTTTCCCCGTCTGCAATTGTCTGGATCCTCTGTCAACTCCGCCCTTCTATTAGGCCCTCGATATATTCTAGGGACTCACACTCTAGTCTTGACAACATCCAATGGGTACCTGTTCATTTGTAATCAGTAATTGCGCGGATAGCTGGTCCCTCGGGCGTCTGCCTACATGACAAGAATCTGTGGATTGCGCAAGTCAATTAAGCTGTATCTGAGCTTCAGGTTTGGAAAGGCTTACTTCAGAAACACCAGCCACCGCACCTACACATCCTATGAGCTTCAATCAATCTACGGTCAAGGCGGGAACAAGCTTACCTGCGGCGAACTGGTATATGAACGGCAAAGGCTTATCTGAAGACATGGCAGCAGTGTCTAGCCCAATTGTCAGTATATATTGGTGATAGAGAGTAAATCTCTGCGACTTCACGTACTTGGGAGAGATACAACGATTTATAAACAAAGGGAGAGGACTCGACGAAATGCACGGAGTTGTGACAGGACCGCTCTAAAGCCGAGCATCGGGGTAAACCAAAAACCGTTTTCAGCCGCCTTCTCCGGAACTCTCCGCCGGTGAGCTACGTTAGTGGGGGGAGCACGTGACAAAAACAGCCTTTACCTATTTGGGTTTACGTACCTGAGGTACCTTACGCGGTCGCGTTAACGCGTCCGCGAGTCTGGATGGGAAGCGCCTACAGTATTTCTGCATTGATTGTTTACCACTTTTCTCTGAAGACGCCCCCGTTTCTCTGGCGTGTAGAGAGAAGATACTATGCCTCTGCAGAAATCTTTCTCAGACCAGAATCATTCATCGAAAGTAAATAATCCAGATTTGAGCTTACTGAAAGCACTGCTAACTGCTGCAAACAGCAACGGCCTCAATGGAACCGGAATAGGAGCTTCCAAGGGCCTCAAGGCGCGAACCCCAATCTTCATTCGAAGCCCCTACAGGATAAGCCACCAATACCAGTCTCTACGGCCACCAAAAATAAGCTCAAAGTCTTCCACTTTGGCGGACAGCCCAACGCGGACGAAACAGCGAAGCAGGCGGTGGTCAGTCCACTGCCAGATGATGAAAAAGAGAACCGGGTAATAGCTGAAGAACTCTCTGCTCTTTCCAATCCGAAGGAACTCACCAAGGATACTACAAAGTCAACAGACTCGACCCTGTCTGATACCTCGAGAAAAGATGTCCCCTCAACTCCATCTGGCCGGCTGGCTTTACCTGACCTGATCGGCATGGGGGACATAAGACGTGCAGTGCAGGATGTTTCTCCGGAGGATCGTATAGAATGGGATCAGCACAGCGTCGGCTCTTCTGGCCGAATCAAGAGGGCGAGGAAGCGAGCAAGGAGCTCTTCGCCAATACCATCACCAGCTAAGACTCCGGGTCGTTTCAATAAGAAAGGAGAATCTTTACATCCACCAGTCGACCCGGGCTCAGAGCTTTGGGGCCGCTATTCCCTCAACGGTTCCAACGCACCCACTCCTCAAGGGCCTACAATCCCCGCATTGGCACATATCATGCATACGTCTTCGCCCCAGCCTTGCAAAGAAAAAGCAGCCCCACGATCAGCAGTCAGTCTCAGAAGAGCGAAAAGTTGTGGCATTCAGTTCCCTAAGCGCAGAAGAGTTGGAGGCCCCGATGAGGATGATGTCTTCACTGAATCTGTTAACCTCGGACCTTCGAAGATTTCTGTTCTAATTGAGAGAGTGCAGGAGGGGCTAGCTCAGCCTAAACAAGAATATACTGAAACCAAGAGTTCAGATCTTCACCTTCCTCGGGAAACGCATTTTGATGAAGGCGAAAGCCGCGCCCCTGTTGGACAAATCAGCCTCGAAATGGGAACAACAGCACAGAACCAGTCTATAGGTGATGAATCTCATCCTCAACCAAAAAGTGATATGATACCCAATCCACCTCCCGTTCGTTCCGATAGTTCTGATTATGGGGACTTCGACGACGATGAGTTGGACGACGAAACCTTGCTCAATGCTATTACCAAGTCAGAAGTACCTATTTATATTCCTCCGAACAAACCAACATTAGAAGTGCCTCCGGATCCACCTCCCGAGATGCTTCCGTCAGCCAAGGTTGAGTTGCGACGTCCTCTATCAGTGAAGGATTCCAAAACCCTCGAGACCAGCACCTTCAAGACTGGCGATGATGAATTTGATGATTTAGACGAAGACTTACTTGCGGCGGATCTTGAGGACATGGTAGCAAAGTTTGACGACCAAAACCCAACGGAGGCTAAGGTATCATCTATTAATAAGCCTCGGAAGGATGTAACAGTCTCGAAGGCAGACTCAGATGATGAGTTCGGAGATGACGGTCTTGATGATCTTGATTTTGAGGTCGCACAAGCAGCAGCTACTCAGTCCATACAGCAGACAGCTAATAGTCTCCTACCTGTACGTACAAGACTTCCGTAGCATACGCAATAGAATTATCTTGCTAAGGAATTTAGTCCACACAGAAAGTTCAGGCTATTCAGAGGTATCTTGTGACGAATATTCTCGACTCAGAATATGAGGCCCCGAATGGACGGAAACATCCAGAAAAGGTCAGCGTCACATTACTCATTATTGTACCAAGCTGACCTCTGTAGATTCTCTTTCTACAAATCGAGAACACAAAGACAATAAAGACGGTTTATCTTCGAGGTGTTTGGCTCGAGACTCCGGTTGCAACCAAGGCATATGTCCACGTTATTGGAAATTTCGAATCGAGTGGACGATGCATAATTGATGATGCCAACAATCTTTTGATCCTACATCCCGATCATCTCATTTCCTCAACAGTGGTAGCAGACTCATTCGGCTGTACCCGTCGCGCCGTGCTCCAAGATAGGGTTAAAGCAACCAGCGATTCCAGCGCCCCTTTGGTCTATGGAACTATCTTACATGAGATCTTCCAGGCAGCCATGCTTGCAAATCGATGGGACAGAGAGTGGCTGAACGAGCTTATTTTGGAGGTTGCTACAAGACATCTCGAAGATTTGTACACCATCAAGCTCCAGATCCCTCAAGCTGTGGAGTACCTGCAAAGCAAGATGTTGGAACTGCAGTCATGGGCAGAAGTTTTTGTTTCATCTCGGCCGCAGGTATGGAGCTCTTTGCAGGAAAGATGATTTATGCTGATTGAAAATAGGCCGAAGCAGTTGTCAAAGCAGGTAATGGCATGACGGCGACAATGTGTGTCAGTAAACTTCTCGATGTTGAAGAACACGTCTGGTCGCCAATGTACGGGCTTAAGGGCAATATCGATGCCACAGTACAAGTGACAATGAAAGATGGCAAAGAAGAGCGAACCTTGACTGTTCCCTTTGAGGTCAAGACTGGCAAGAATGCTAGTGCTGCTCACCGCGCCCAAACTGCTCTCTACAATCTGCTCTTGTCTGACCGATACGATATCGAAATTGCTTACGGCATATTGTACTACATGGAAACTTCAGAGACGATCAGGATCCCCGCCATACGTCGTGAGCTCATTCATATGATCATGCAACGCAATGAACTCGCTTGCTACGTACGTGAGCGGCATGCTCAACTCCCCCCAATGTTGAAGAAGGAAAATTTGTGCAATAGGTGCTACGCCAAAGTGCCATGCTTCATATACCATAAACTGGCTGATGATGGCAACGGCGAGACGAGTGGAATGAAGGCGAAGTTTGACGAAGTAGTTAAGCACCTGACACCGAAGCACAGAGACTTCTTCCTCAAGTGGGACGATCTCTTAACCAAGGAAGAGAAGGAGAGCCTCAAGTTCCGGAGAGAGTTGTGGACGATGCTTAGCTCCGAGCGAGAGAAGCTTGGGAGGTGCTTTTCGAACGTGATAATCGAGCCTGGTTCTGCATGCGAAGAGAAGAATAATCCAAAAATCAACCGATATCGATATACTCTGGTCAAGCAGGCACCCTCCAATGGTTTTTCTTTCCTCGATTCACAGATCATAGTTGGGGAACCAATTGTAATATCTGATGAAAAGGGGCATTTCGCACTGGCAAATGGTTATGTCACTCATGTACGGAAAAACAGAATTACGGTCGCTGTCGATCGTCGACTACACAATGCCCGCATACGTCGTCCAGGGTTCGATGAGGTTAACAATCAGGTCTTTGCTAGCATTATGGAGGTCGCGCAAGAAGGATCAACGGCCGAGGAATCAGAAGGGAAGATCGTGGAAGAGCCGGTCCTGTACAGACTCGACAAAGATGAATTCAGCAACGGCATGGCAACTGTCCGCAACAACCTTATCCAGGTCATGGCCGAGGGCCCGTTTGGCTCTCGCGAAATTCGAAGCCTCGTTGTGGACCTCAATCCACCACGATTCAAAACGCAGTCTACAGCGTACACGTTAAAGGATCGCGAGAATATCAATGTGGACCAGAGAAGAGCGATCCAGAAAGTAATGAGCGCTCAGGATTATGCCTTGGTTCTGGGTATGCCGGGAACGGGAAAGACGACTACAATTGCTCACATAATTCGAGCGCTAGTGTCACAAGGAAAGAGTGTTCTACTCACATCCTACACACATACAGCTGTTGACAACATCCTTTTGAAGCTAAAGGACGACGATATACCCATCCTGCGTCTTGGCACTATCGCGAAGATCCACCCCGATGTCCAGGAATTCGCAACACTTGCGGCGACGACCAAGTCCTCGTTTGAGGAGATTAGAAGTGCGTGGCATGACCCTCCTATTGTGGCTACAACATGCCTGGGAATCAATCATGCCATCTTCAACGAGCGGACTTTCGACTACTGCATCGTTGACGAAGCTTCACAGATCACTCTTCCCGTCTGCCTTGGGCCCATTCGCTTGGCTAGAACATTCATCCTCGTGGGCGACCATAACCAACTCCCACCTCTGGTTCAGAATGAAGAAGCCCGGGTTGGTGGGTTGGACATCAGTCTTTTCAAGCACCTCTCCGATATGCATCCCTCCTCGGTCGTATATCTCGAGCACCAATATCGCATGTGCGCAGATGTCATGGCCTTAAGCAACGATCTCATCTATAACGGGCGGCTGAAATGCGGCAACCAAGAAGTAGCAAACCGTACCATCTCCATCCCACGTATGGACGGTCTGAAAGATCTTCATCACAGCCCATCCACACTATCCCACAGCGCCAAATCCATCTGTCTAGGTCCTGTTCGTGGCAGATGCTGGATTCGCGATCTTCTGGACCCGGATACTAAAGTTTCATTCATCAACACGGATCCCCTCCTCCCGGCATCCCGCGAAGAGGCAAAAGGGAACCGTATTGTGAACCCTACCGAGGCCACCATCTGCGTCCAGCTTGTCGAAAGCCTCCTGAGTGTCGGAGTGCCCGCCTCATCAATCGGAGTCATGACACATTACCGTTCCCAACTCGCACTCCTCAAGCACGGACTTCGCAGGCACACGGACGTCGAAATGCACACCGCAGACCGATTCCAAGGTCGGGATAAGGAAGTCGTAATCTTAAGCTTGGTGCGCAGCAACGACGCGCAATCCATCGGCGAACTACTGAAGGATTGGAGACGAATCAACGTAGCGTTCACGCGCGCGAAGACCAAGCTCCTGGTCATCGGTTCCAAAAGCACGCTGAAAGGGAATGGACCGAAGGCCGATGGGAGCGAGGAGATGGTGGCGCGCTTCGTGGGTCTGATGGAGGAGAGGAGATGGATTTACGATTTACCGACGGGAGCTCTGGAGTCTCATTATTTTGAGGATGGAGCGACGCAGGTCTCGGCTTCAGACCAGAGTCGATCGATTGGAACACAGCAACAACTACCGATCAAAAGACAAGAGGCGAAGCGGCAACTGGACATGGAAGAACAGATCGAGAAGAACGGCGGGAAGAGGAGGCAAGGAGTAATGACGGAGGATAAAGAGAATGGAAATGATGCGAGGCGGCAGCCGAATAAGAAGATCTGCGGGAACAAACCATTCAAGATCCCTCAGATGTCGGTGCTAACGGATATTCTTAATGAAACATTGCATTGAAGGCGTTAAGATTAGGATTAGGATTGGGATATTAAGGAAGGACGAAAGAAAGCGGATAGGGTATTATTCAGGACTTGGATGTTGATACAATTATGATAATATAACGATGTTATGAACGGCTCCTATTCTCATCGAGGCTCAGTGTGCCTTCCCCTTTACTCCTGTGAGTATTTCGTAATCAATTGGATCGAACCTATAATATAGAATCAGTAAAACAGGACTCCTCTCCGACACAAGTCATACACAGTAGTAAGAAACGTATAAAGGTCACCCTACCCTTGCTCGCCCACAATCTCAATGGTATATTTCTGTAATTGTTCAAGCTGTTTCACGCAGCCGGTCAAGCTCTGGCTGTATGAATAGCTGTAGATCTGAGACCATTTCCGCGCGGTTTCTGCCGGAGACACGGGCCTCTCGGCATCCTCGTCTTCCGCTTCCTCGGCTTGGTCGGCTTCGACTTGAGCCATGCGATCCAGGAGGCGTTTCCTAGCGGCTGCTGCGCTTGGGAGGTATCTCTAGTTCAGATTAGCATCAAGAATAGGTTGGCGAGCACTGCGGAAATTAGGGTATAAGATATCGGTTACTGGAACACTTTCAATAACTCGGGCCGGTTTAAGGGGCTTCAAGTAAAGCTCTGTTCCTCAATCCGGTGACCGACCTCTCGGTAACTGAAAAGATTGCTCTTTGAGACAAATGCTTGCTTGTAGCTCCCTTCATACTGTGAAGTATTGAAAGGGGGCCAGTAACTGATACTTTATACCCAAATTCTTGCGGTATTATGAAACTTACCGGTACTTTCCTATCTGCTCTCAACGCTCCAGCTAGAACATATAAGTTCATGAGAATAGTAGCTACCGCATCCCGTCGGTATGCAAGCAAATCCTCAGCCGCCTGTCGGTTATCGGATATGTAATAAGGGTGGAAAAACAGAGATGACTGGCGGAGAGAAACTAGGTATTCAAAGAAACGCTCGCAGCCCTCGATGAGTCCTGAGTATGGGAGAGGATTGAAGGGCCCACGCAGGCGGATCTCGTGGCGCGTCAAGGCCTAATTCTTCTATCAGCTGAAACCCTTCAGGGGATGTACCCAGTGGACTTACCATGAGCTGGCGAATCCTGACGAAACCCTCGCGCAAACGCCCTTCCAGCATTTCTAGAATATATTGTTAGCCGTTAATTCTCTTGGAATATATTCTTACGAACCTGACTCCGCAATTTCCTTCTCTCCCGGCTCATGTCCTGCTTCGTAGTACACATATTTTGCTACCACTGAACGATATATGATACTAGAGTATATCAGCATGGATGACAAGGCTTTTCTCAACTCGTGCCTTGCGACAAATGGCCACAATATCCAATTGGTCACCACTGCAGCCACTACCCCTACTACGAACGCTAACCCGCGAGTCCATGAGATCCACACAACAGAAGGTAGGCCATCGGCCTCTCTGATTCCCAGAGAGATAACTGCGAATGACATACATCCCACGATTCCTGAGCGAGGATGGGAGCTCTGAGTAAATCTGTACATCATGGGGATCATAAAGATGGCAGCGAACACCGCCATTACATAGGGACTTCCGTCGCCCGCTCCGTACGCCACGCCTGCCCAGACGGCACCCAATGCAGCACAGAAGGCGCGAGTAACGAGGTCTTGAAAGTTGCCGCCGACTCGGGGATGTGCCATTACCCACACCACAACAACTGCCCACCAGCTCTCATTGGCGTTCCACCAGCCCCTACTCGCATCTAACCAGGCCGGCACAGAGAGCAACGACGTACTGATCGCAACCTTGAGAGCGAACCTAGTCTCAAAGCCCTGTAAGCGGTGCAGAACCGTCCACAATCTGTAACGAAGACTAGAAATGTTCGACTTCTGGTTCATAGCAATCTCTTCCTCTTCGTATTTCCCTATGGTGTCCATTCGTGTGATTCCGACTTTGGGTTCAGGGGCTTCCTCCCCGTTACGTTGACGAGGGGATGGCTTGTAAACATTTGCCATTCCTTTCATCATTTTGGCAAGCTGGGCCTGACTTCGGAAATAGTATCCTGCCGTCACACCACCACGGTCATGACGCACCTGAGCATTCGTGCGCTGCAGCGCTTTCGCTAGTGGATATGATGGTAGGTATATCCTCCATCCAGGATGCCGTTGCTGCATTTCCATGACCTTTACCAGCAGAGCTTCTACGCTGCTAGCAGCTTGTCGAATAGGATGGACAAAGAGAAAGAATTCCACAATTTCCTGGTTGTGCGAATATGTAGGCGGTAGAGCAGAACTCTTCATCAAATCATCTTCTTCCTCGTCATATTTTATCATCGCTTTTCGGAGCTCCGTTAAAGCTCCTATTATATCAGACGAGACGGAATCTGGGGGCCCAAGGTACTTGCGATGTCCTGACATCTCCATCAATACGGCGTCACATCTGCTTAGTGAAGTCCGCATCCACGAAAGCAGCTCTAAAGTCGGCTCAGCAAGTTTGTCGGCAACCAATTTCACAACTTGCTCTTCTGAAGGAGTCCTCCGGACCGAACGACGTCTCGGACCATCAATATCAACGACCGTATCCGATCTGGAGCTTTGAGCAGGATCTGTACTACTTCCCCTGCGTGAATCGTCAGGGTTCAGGCTGAACGGGGGAGGCTCACGCAACCCTGAAGCGCTATGCTCTCGATTTTGCTTGAAGTTATTAAACATATAAGTCTCCATCTTCAGAGATAGTAGAGATCTGATAACTCCTTGCATCAGATTTCGCAATTGTTCAACATCCGATGGTCTGAAGCGTGTCAAAGATATATCAAGTACAAGATCTCGATAAGCTTGTGAGAGGTTGACAAAGGTCAAAGCAAGTCGTCGATGCAGAGAAATACTGTCTGGATGGGGCAAGACCAGACCATCTTGCATTACTGCGAAGGCGTTATGTAGGGAGACGGCCAGCGAACGGGCTCCGGCATCTGGGAAAACAATGCAGCAGATCAGAAGAGCGATGGCCTGACCGAATAACCAAGGAATGCCGTAATCGTATAGTTTTCTCCAATGCACATGGTCCGATGTATCTGCCAAACAGGTATAGCTTACAGCAATCCCTGCACAAAGAACAAATTGATACGATCGTATATAATATGATCTGAGAGCTGCAATTGTGCCCATGAAGACGACAAGAAAAGCTGCGAGGATTCCACCATAACCCCTTCGAGCAACTGCTGTGCAGTCTGAAAGCCATAGGGCAAAAGCTCCCCATCCTAGACCTGTGGCTGAACCAACGATTGTCAGAACTACGCCGTCAATCTGGGCGCCAATCGTTCTCCCAGAGTGGTTAAGTATGGCTGATAGGCACATAATATAATTGTAATGCCCAAGCCAATGTCTGACCGCCGGAACCAGACAAAGAATATAGGTAATGAAGAAAGCCAAAAAAGACTTCGTCAACTTGACCCCAGCCCTCGTAGTTGTCACACTGCGGACTACGCCTTTGATCGCGTGCCATTGCTTTGGCAGAAAATTATGCAAAGAAAGAGGTGTCTGTCGGAGAGCAGCGGGAAGAGTGTATTCCGCGTCTCTCATAAGATCTTCGTGGTCCATCTTGGGAGGTTTCAAGAAGGCGCCATCGAAGAAGTTATCTCGAAGTTCCTCGACGCCATACGTATCCAACTCCACATCCATATCTTGGAGGAGCTCTTCAAGATGGCTATTGCTAAAACTGATGCGAGGAGATACTGGTGCGGAGCTTGCAGGAGTTCTGGTGGAATCAGCCAAAGACACTCTTGACCTCCTGCGCGGACTATGGCTATAGGATCCCATGTAGATACTCGACGGCCTGGCTCTCGTCAAGGCGGGCGGCTCAAGTTGTATATGTCGGCCATTGTTCCCCTCAGAGCGAGACTGCCGGTGGTGAAGTCGACGGCGGGGAACCCCTGGCTCCTCCTCTGAAAGTTGCCTCACGGGAGATGAGGTAGGAGAGAGGACCAATCGGGGGGCATCGTCGTCGCCATTGCTCGTCGAGGGATCCATTGCTGTCGACGGGGGGATCTAACATAATGCCTCCTCACTGACAAATTCCTGCTTCTCTGTTGATGGTATGTTCAGTATGTTCGCAAGCCCTGGTCAGAAGCCAGGAAGCCAGGAAGCCAGAGAAGTCCAGGAGGTGTCGTCGTGAGGTGCACGTGAGTTCCCGACTTTATATTTGATATTCCCGGAGCATCACGGCAATAAATAGAGTTTAGCGGCTCTAGCGAGCCAACCGCCACTGAGCTTCCCAGGCATTTGCCGACCTGTTGCTTGTCCCTCGGAGTCGCTCCATTCAAAGCGTTCTAGACTAGCCAAATCTCGTCCAAGACTAAGAGCCACTTCAGACCCCTTGGTTAGTTGCGGCAACTGTATTGCCTCTTCAACGCCCCTTCAACGCCTCTTCTACACGTCTTCACGTCTTCCCCCTGGTGCACCAGAACTCACCTCGGGTGGTGGAGAGAGCCTTCACAATGGACACCGGTCGGCTTTCCCTTGGCCGCGTCTCAAGCAAGAAGACCGCTGGCCATAAGGTGGCGGAGGTGCCCGAGGAAGAGTCCGACTCGGACGACGCGCTTTTAGCCACTGCCCTCCCACGTGTCAACGGGGTTGCGCCTCTGGTCGACTCGGAAGAAGATGGCTTCGGCGAGGAAGACGAGGACTCGAACGATGAATGGGAAATAGACTCACTCTTTGAAGACACTCTGGAAGAGATGGGAGACGAGCACCTCTTCGAAGGTGGTGAGCACCCTATGACAATTTGTGGAATGGCGCGCTAAAGATAGACCACAGAGCCAAATGCGTGTACGCTCGAAGAGGCCGGCGCCTTCAGACAACAGCTACGCACCATCGGCCCTGAGGAGTTTTGCAAGAGGACCGTTGAAGCTGGCACTATCAGTGCGAAAAAGCTATTGACTGCATTTGGTCTCCGACCGCCCCCTTTTCTCGAGGGGTCACCTGACGATGCCTATTATGGCCTTCTCAGTCTCGCCATCAGTCGCGAGCTCTCCAAACGGATTAAGCTACCACAGTATAACACCGTTGACGATGCGGTTGAGCTCATCAAGAAATCAAATAACATCATCGTTCTCACTGGCGCAGGAATCTCTACCTCTCTCGGCATTCCCGATTTCAGATCGAAGGACATAGGTCTCTACTCCAAATTAGAACACCTTGGCCTGAACGATCCTCAAGAAGTCTTCGACATCGAGATCTTCCGGCAAGATCCGAATATCTTCTTCTCAATTGCGCGCGATATCCTGCCGTCGACGGACCGATTCACGCCTACTCATGCTTTCATTTATCTGCTGCAGCAGAAGGGAAAACTCCTGACTAACTACTCTCAGAACATTGACAACATCGAATCGGTGGCGGGCATCCTCCCCGAAAAGCTTGTCCAGTGCCATGGGTCTTTCGCAACGGCCTCCTGTGTGGAGTGTAAATACCAAGTGCCGGGCGAGACCATTTTCCCAGATATCAAGGCCGGGACCATCCCTCGCTGTGACCGATGCATAGCCAACCTCCGGGCCCTTCGCGCCCCAGCCGCTATGAAGCGCAAGCGCTCTCAGAATGGTCACGACAAGAGGAAGCGTCGGTTTGATTCCGACGCCGACGACTCGTCGGAAGAAGACTACGATATCCCAGCTGCGGGGGTCATGAAACCAGACATCACGTTCTTCGGCGAAGCGCTCCCCGATAAATTCTCGGAGCGTCTCACCAACCACGACAAGAACCTCGTTGACCTGGTCATTGTCATCGGCACGTCGCTCAAAGTCGCACCGGTCTCCGAGGTGGTACCTTACCTGCCGGCGCACATCCCGCAGATGTACATCTCGCGGACGCCGGTCTCGCATGTCAACTTCGATGTTGATATGCTGGGGGACTGCGATGTGGTAGTTGCCGAGCTGTGTCGGCGTGCGGGATGGGATCTCAATCATGAGATGGTGCCCAAGAACCAGAAGGTGGACATCCGCTTGCAAGAAGGGTTCACAAGTCGGCACATATTTACCGTTAAGCAGTAGTGGTAGTGATGGGCAAGCAAAGGGGTTAGGTTAGGGGTTATTAGGTTTTGGGGGTTTCCGTTTTGTAGACATGGGCACGCACTAAACTCTTTTGTTTTTTCTTTTTTTTAAATCACGGCGTTCGGTGAGCGTATCCAAGGCAAAGCCAGACCGATGGGGCTTTTTTTTTTTTTTCTTTCTTTGTTTCTGATTTTCGGTTTTGATTGAGCGTCTGACGACACATTTGCTTGCCTTTCCCACTCTATACAACTTATATACAGAGTACAATTGCTAGTAGAAAATTCAGAAGACTTCTTTCTGTAAGGCACAACCTTTCCACATTCTCTCCAATGAACATCCATGATTCGTTCACCGATCCCGATGTATGTTAGGCGTTCTCACAGTCTTTCTTCACAACTCACCATGAGGACACGAGGTTCCAAGAGCACAGCCCCCGTCACCGGCTCACAACTCAGATTGAATCTTCTCGTGGCACGCACGCACGCGTCCGGACCCGGCCATCACATCACATCAGATCAGATCTTATCAAGAATGTCTTGTCTGACCTTCCTGAATGGTGGGTGCACCTTGTTTTTCTCCGGAGCTTGCTTGTGTGGGAATACCAAGAAACGACAAGAAGAAGAAATTGCACAGGGAACTCAGCCTCTCTGGGCGTTACGACACCGACGCACGCCGAGGAATGGATTGATGGATGGATGGGATATTCGGTCGGGTTTCTTCTCCGCTTTCTTGAGAACAGCGGAACCCGCAGCCCTCGCGATTTTACAGGTAGCATGGACCATCGATTGATGATCGTATAGCAAGTAAGGTAAGGTAAGGTAAGTAAGAGTAAAAGAATGCTGTGTAAATGAAGTCCAAGGCAGGCTTGGACTTGACTCGGGGACTCACCGCTCGAAAGTTGACCTCATCATCCTATCCCAAGAAACTTAGGTAGGTAAGGTAAGGTAAGGTAAGGTAAGGTAAACTTTCCGAACGGCGGCTCTCGACTACCTAACTAACGGGAAGGCCAAGCCAAGGACAAGACAAGACAAGAAGAGAGAAAACAAGTACTACCTTACCTACCTACTACTCTGTATGGAGTAAGTAGTAGTAGTAGTGAGTGAGTGAGGAGGGAAGGAAAAACATGATTTCTGGTGGTTGGGTGAACTTGCGGCCACTACCGGCTTGAGGGGGGGATGGAATTATTGGGGCCCGAGAGATTGCCAAGCGTGGCATTGCTGCATTGGCGGTTGAAGTCATATTATTGATTAGTTATTAGGCAGGTACTAGGTATATTCCAGAAGCCGAAGTTTTTTTATCAATTTATCAAGGTTACCTGGCTATTGCCACGGGGCCTCTCCACTCCGGGCTTGGCGGGGGGGAGGAGGAAGGAGCTTCTGGAAGAAGGGGGCGCGCGCAAGGACGGACAGCTTACTTACTTCTTATTCCTGAATCCTTACTTACTTTGCTTGTGCTTGTACTTGTACTTGCTGGCTTGCTGGCTTTCACGGGAGGGATTGGTTCGTTCGATAGTGGGTACAGATGGCATCACGCGAATCGAATGATGAGTTAACTGATCAGAGTGATCAGTTTTAACGAGAGAGATTTTAAGTTCTGACAACGACAGAGAGTCGAGTTGCCTATGCCCGATTGGGGATAGCTTCCCCACCGATGGAGTTATCCAGACCGGGCTAGGATGGATAGGGATTAGTGGTGTATTCTTCGGATAGATGCCGTCGCGGTATATTGGGAGAGAGTAGAAGTACAGAGGTACCTTGCAGCGAGATAGATGATAGCTGTGAGGAATGGACAAATAACAATGAGATGAGATATAAAATGAATAGAAATGATAGGATAGAAATGTTGATGTTGATGTTAGAAATGATAAATAATCATGAATGAAAGACCCAAGGAAGATCAGGAAGGTCAAGAATGTAAGTAAGGGAGGCCAAGAAGAAGAGAGCTCCTCTGGCATGGAGCTCTGTTGATCGGACCGTACACATACATACATAACCTCGCCATACCTTACGCATCTTACCAGCGTGCACAATGCACATATGCTCCGTAATAAATACGACTACGTGTATCATTTATATGTATCATTTATATATGTCGGTAATAAGTAATAATTGTGAAAAGTTCCATTGCGGTTGCAGCTGGGCATCTTCTTGCACAGCCTCAATGCTCGCGCTACGCAGCGGCGGCCCATGCCCGATCCTCGCCCTTCCTCGCCCGCGCATTGGCTGGTCCGGCCCCAGACGACCTCGAACGGCGACGCATTCCTGACTCTGTCGAGAGAAAGTAGGTAAGGTAGGGTCTGCGAGGGCCCGGAGAGAGAGAGCCAAGTCGTGCATCTGGCAGAAGGCTTCGTTCTTCCTTGATCCTCTTCCCTTTTTCTTATTGATCCCTTCGAACGTCTTCTTGTCTTATCAATTTCCCAAGTTCCCTTTCCCCCGCAAGGTAATCAACGCTGTTACTTACCCCCCGGTTCAATCAATCAATCAATCAATCACTCCCTCTCGAGCTCCCCTCCCGCCCCCCGGGGTTATAGAATGGACCGCGGTCCATCAATCCAAGGGATCCCGTCTTAAGAAGCCATATCCAGTTGCCAGATTCAAAACTGAGCAGGGTCCCCAAGCGCCTGTTTCGTGATCCCGCACGAGGTGAGCTTGATTAGCCCGTTGTTTGTTCCCTCCCCCCCCCCGATTCCACGTCCCTTAGCAGCCGGGTGATATCACCCCTTGGGACATGGTCAATAACGAGCCGGGATCAAACAAAACATTTGCTGCGCTTCGCCTGCTTGGCTTCTTGGCTCTGGACCTTCGATAAGACTTGCGTGATTTACAAACTTGAGCTTCCTTCCGCTGATACATCCCATTCTCTCTCTCGACAGACGACAGCCTAGATCAACCTCCCTCCTCCTCGCTGCTCCAACACTGCCCTTCTCAGATGCCGACAACGTTCGAGGCCTCAGCAACTGATTACGCGCCTAGGCTGAGCGCCTTGGGCTGTGCTCTGACGAATCCCCAGAAACTACTGAACCTGCCCGTCGACAACATCTAGGACAATGGCAGACACCAACGGCCCTCCGTCCACGTCGCCCTCGCCCTCGCCCAATCCGGGCGGGCGCAGGCAGAGAGCGTAAGCCATCTCTACCTATACATAGAACCTCCGCCACCCTTGCTAACAATGTTCTTTCGGACAGGCCGACTATCACGATTGATACTTCTGCTGTCAGTAACATGGGATCCGGCGTGCCCCAAGAATTGGACCGCGATGGCCTGGCTCTGAGAGCTTTGCCCAACTCGCCCTCGACCTTGCAGGGAGAATCGCCCTCAGGATCCGACGCCGCGGGGAATCCGTTCAGCAGTCGCTCCTACCATACCAGCCATACAAGTCAATCAAGTCATATATCCGTACCGGATCTTCGAGCGTCGACATCTTTCGAATTCAGTAGACCAACCTCCCCTCATAATGTTTCATCACCAACTTCCAAAGGAGGCGACGGGTTCCTGTCGGTCCCCGGCCTCCGATCAAGACAGAATTCGCTCGATACACAAGACGATGGTCGCTCAAAGACAGATTACAGTGGGGAGACATATACAAATAATTCATCGCACGGCGATAGGGACCGCGACCTGGGTCATTCTTCACACGAGGAGGTCATCGATAATCCCGAGGCATTGACCCCGGACCCCAACACCGAGGAGGATTTTGAGGTTGAAAACAACGTTTTCGCCTTTTCCCCTGGGCAGTTGAACAAACTAATTAATCCGAAGAGTCTGGCAGCATTCTACGCGTTGGGAGGGTTAGCAGGACTGGAGAAAGGGCTCCGGACTGATCGGAAAGCTGGGTTGAGTGTTGATGAGATGAGCTTGGAGGGGACTGTGACTTTCCAGGAAGCAGTAGCTGCGGCTAGAAAACCTGGGTCACCACCACCACCACCACCCCCCGCGCCAAATGATGCGGATAGGAAAGCCCCCCGGGTGCGGACGGAGAGGAGAAGCTCCATACAGTCGAATGCAAGCGGCCCAGAAGTGCACCACGAGGAATTCCGCCGGGCGTCACACGACGAGGTCTTCTCAGATCGGAAGCGTGTGTACAAGGACAATCGACTCCCGGCAAAGGAGGGCAAGAGCCTTCTACAGCTAATGTGGATTACATACAACGACAAGGTTTTGATTCTGCTCTCCGTGGCCGCCGCCATCTCCTTGGCCGTTGGTTTATACCAGACGTTCGGGACGAAGCACGACGCTGAACATCCGAAGATCGAATGGGTTGAAGGAGTTGCTATCATTGTCGCTATCGTTATAGTGGTCGTCGTAGGCTCTCTGAACGACTACCAAAAAGAGCGGCAATTTGTGAAACTCAACAAAAAGAAAGAGGACAGAGAAGTAAATGTGGTTCGGTCAGGGAGGACGCAAGAAATCTCGGTTTTTGATATCTTGGTGGGAGACGTCGTGCTCCTAGAACCCGGAGACACGATTCCCGTGGATGGCATCTTTATCGACGGACACAATGTCAAGTGTGACGAATCTCAGGCGACCGGGGAGTCTGATTTAATACGCAAGAGGCCTGCTGATGAGGTCTATGCTGCAATTGAGAACCATGAAAACCTTCGCAAGCTCGATCCCTTTATCCTTTCGGGCTCGCAGGTCACTGAAGGTGTTGGCACATTTCTAGCTACCTCAACTGGGGTTAACTCCAGTTATGGCAAGACTCTGATGTCGCTGCGAGAAGACCCCGAGGTCACTCCTCTCCAATCGAAGTTGAACACTTTGGCAGAGTATATTGCTAAACTCGGTGGAGCTGCTGGTCTCCTCCTGTTTATCGTTCTGTTCATCGAATTTCTCGCCCGTCTTCCCCACAATTCCGGTACGCCGACTGAGAAGGGACAGCAATTCCTCCAGATCTTCATCGTTACGGTTACCGTTATTGTTGTCGCTGTTCCCGAAGGCTTGCCGCTCGCCGTTACACTCGCCCTAGCCTTCGCAACGACTCGAATGCTCAAGGATAACAACTTGGTTCGACATTTGAAGGCTTGTGAAGTCATGGGGAATGCGACGACCATCTGCTCTGACAAGACTGGCACTTTGACCCAAAACAAGATGATGGTAGTTGCTGGCACGCTTGGTACCAGCTCGCGGTTCGGCGGGACTGTCGACACCTCGGACGAAGGCCCATCATCGCCTAAAGGCAAGCAAGCCCAACCACAAGAGACAATCAGTGACGTACCGGCGCGGGAGCTTGTTTCTTCTTTGGGCGCTGAGGTCAAAAGTCTGCTACTACAATCGATCGTGATCAACTCGACCGCATTCGAAGGCGAAGCCGATGGAGTGCAGACGTTCGTCGGTTCCAAGACCGAGACGGCACTCCTTACATTTGCAAAAGACTTCTGTGCCCTGGGATCCGTCGCGGAAGAACGTTCGAACACCACCGTCGTTCAACTCATTCCATTTGATTCTAAGCGGAAATGCATGGGTGTTGTCGTCCAAATGGATAATGGCAAGTATAGGCTCTACGTCAAGGGAGCGTCCGAAATTCTCCTTGAAAAGTGTACCAAGGTTATCCGGGACCCTACGAAGGATACTTCCAGTTCACCCATGACGGACGAGAATCGCCAAATGTTCACCAGGTTGATTGACAACTATGCATCTCGCTCTCTCCGGACCATCGGCATGGTTTACCGCGATTTTGAAAAATGGCCTGCCAAGGGAGCTCGAACAGTCGAAGGCGAGAAGAACGAAGTTGTATTCGAAGATATCTTCCGGGAAATGGCGCTCCTAAGCATTGTTGGAATTCAAGATCCCCTTCGTGAGGACGTACCCGACGCGGTACGGACTTGCCAAAGGGCGGGTGTCGTTGTCCGAATGGTTACCGGTGACAACTTGGTCACTGCCCGGGCTATTGCTAAAGAGTGTGGTATCTTTACCGAGGACGGCATCATCATGGAAGGGCCAGCATTCCGAAAATTGAGCAAGACCAAGATGGATCAAATCATTCCCCGCCTTCAAGTCCTTGCGCGATCCAGTCCAGAAGACAAGCGAATCCTCGTCAAACGCCTCAAGGAGCTTGGCGAGACTGTTGCTGTCACTGGTGACGGGACTAATGATGCTCCAGCTCTGAAGACTGCCGATGTCGGGTTCTCGATGGGTATCACTGGTACTGAAGTCGCCAAGGAAGCTTCAGCGATTATTCTAATGGATGACAACTTCAGCTCCATTGTCAAGGCTATGATGTGGGGTCGAGCTGTCAATGATGCCGTCAAGAAATTTCTCCAGTTCCAGGTCACCGTCAACATTACGGCTGTTCTGCTCACCTTCGTCTCAGCCGTATCCAGCGGCTCTGAGGAGTCTGTTTTGACAGCTGTGCAATTACTATGGGTTAATCTTATCATGGATACTATGGCAGCTTTGGCACTCGCAACGGACCCTCCTACCCCAAGCATTCTGGATCGCAAGCCGGATCCCAAATCAGCCCCTTTGATTACTGTCACGATGTGGAAGATGATATTCGGAGAAGCGATCTACCAACTCACCATAACACTGCTTCTCTATTTCGGGTCCTATTCGATCCTTTCCTATCAATCCGAACGAGAGATAGAGCAAGTACCTACACTTGTCTTCAACACGTTTGTCTGGATGCAGATCTTCAACCAATGGAAGTAAGTAAAGCCCGATGAGCGGAATTGTGAAACCCTCTAACACGCATCTCTAGTAATCGTCGTCTCGACAACAAGTTCAATATACTTGAAGGGGTCACTAACAACTGGTTCTTTTTGGCTATCAATGCCATCATGGTTGGTGGTCAGGTCATGATCATATATGTGGGAGGAAAAGCTTTCAACGTTGTCCATCTCAATGGTGCTCAATGGGCGTACTCGATCATCCTCGGATTTTTCTCGATACCAATCGGAGCTTGCCTCCGCCTTATTCCCGACGAATTCATCCTCAGCTTGATTCCTGACTTCTTGAAGGGAGGGCCAAAGGGACCCGAGCTTCTCATTTCGGACGAGGAAGAGCATTTCCGGTTCCCCAAGCCCCTGGCTGACGTCAAAGAGGAGCTCAGCTTCCTGAAGAAAGTCAAGGGCGGCCGACTGAACAATCTCAAGTTTGCGATGCAACAGACTCGTGATACGTTCTTACCTCGCTCCAGGAGTAGTTCACACTCAAGGAATGATTCCAACCCACAAACACCCGTGCTTGAGCAAGAGAATAGCTTCGGCTCACCTGTTCAGACCCTTTCTCCCGAATCTCGCAGGCGTTCTAGATCCGGTCGATCACGGTCTAATTCAGCGCTGGGTGCAACTGCAGTCATGGCTGGTATAATCGCAGGTAGTGTGGCTGGTTGGTCACCAATTGAACGAACCTCTGCCGATAATGATAATATGGGCTTCCCCCGTTCAAGAGCAAGATCGGATCTCGAGACAAGGAACGGCGTCTTGATCAATACGGACACGACACCTAATGATCAGGCTGTCACCGAGAGCCCGCAAAAGCTCGGTGCGCCGGCGAGTCAGGTTGAGAATGGTATCCCAAACGGCTCTTCTACAGCCGCTGAAAGTTCAACCCCGTCCAAAGCTTCAAATGGAACGCCTCATTGACAACACACTCCCTCGCCTCAAGCTGAAGGTTGACGATCATGAGTCCATCAACCCCGCGAGATTATTGATCTTTCCATGATCAGTTTGTCGATACTGTAAAACTACAACCCCCTTTCCTCATGTATATATTATCTCTCTTTCCTGGCGCTGGGGTGTTTCGAGTAGCACGAACTACGATGGGCCTGGAGTTGGTGATCTATCTGATGCCAGAAACTTTTACACTGGCACCGTCTCGTGGGTCTGAGCATGTTGGTTGCATTAGGCGTGGAAAACAAAGAGAAAATCTAGATTTCAAAAAGGCTTTCGATATGAAGGTCTTTGTTCACAGTCGTTACGAATAGAGAGGGTTACACACGCGAAGGCGTCTTTAACGTTAGTGTCTGCTAGGAAATAGCGAGATGATATCTGGGCAATCCAACAAAACAAAATTCCATTATACATACGTATTTTACACGCAGAAGTATTGAAATATGTGATGTGATGTTATATAATATGGCAGAAAGAGATACAGACCCATCCATTCCTTACCTTGTTATCTTTCGGATTCTCGGTACGCACATCTGGCGCTCGCTAGGTATGTACGGGTACGGAGTACTGTAGAGTGTAGTTTGGAGTGTGTAGCAAGTAAGTAGTTAGCGCCTCTCCAGCCGAACCTCTCACTCCACTATCCATCCACCACCTCCGACGACGAACGACGAACGACACACCGCACCTCCCACCCTCCCAGCATCAGCGACCACCACACACCCCTTCTCTATCGAACGATAAGCATCAAGATGCCACACATACGCCCTCTCACATCCCGCTCCACCGCAGCGCTCCTCCACCGCACCTCACCCATCAACCGCGCTGCTGCTCCCATCAACCGCACCGCAGCTCCCGTCGGTCGCCTTGCTCCCTTTTCCACAACCCGACGAATCCAAGCCGCGGCACACGAAGAAGACCATTATGATGCCCCCGGCGGCTGGCTCTGGGGTCTAGACCCATCTAAGAAACATGAGAAGGAGGGCTGGGAGAATATTTTCGTGTGGGGATTCTTTGGATCGTTGGGCTTGGGCGTCGTGGCTTATGCGTTTAAACCGGATACTTCGTGAGTTTTGTTTTTGTTTCTGTTATGTGTGATTTGGTTTGGTTTGGTTTGGTTTGGTTTGCTTTGAGAAGAGAAGAGAAGGCGAGGGGTTTTGTATGTTGAATGGGGTTGGGTGGTTGGGTGGGATTGGGATTGGGTGGAGGGGATGGAGGAAAGAGAGGAGAGGCGGATAATGCGGGGATTCCATTCATTCCAACCATCATAACCCAAGAAACAACAAATCAGCAACACAAGCTAACCATTCCACACCCTCAACAGGATACAAACATGGGCCCTCGAAGAAGCCCGCCGAAGATTGGAAGTCGAAGGGATCCTCAAGGAGCCCGAATCTAAATAAATCTGCCCACCTCCTCCTTCCTTCGCCTTCACCGCCGATATAGACCAGTCATAGTGGGAGAGAGAGAGAGATGCTGAGTTGAAGAAAGAAAGAAAGAAGACCGGAGAGAGAAGGAAAAGAGAAACTTGCCTTGCCTTGACATTTTTGAGCTGGGGAGATAGTGATAGAAGACACGAATAAGCCTCGGGGGCTTTGTGTGAATGTTGATGTTGATGTTGATGCGCGTTTTTTTTGTACATATTTTCCTATCGTCATCGATCATCGTTGTTGTTGGGGAAGAAAGAAAGAATGAAAGAATGATAGAGGAATCCTAGTTTGCTTTGTGGAAAACTGGACAATTCGATGATTTTTCTTTGGCAATATTGGCTATGTGCTGTGCAAATTCAAAAACTTCATTGAGAGATTTTTTTTTCGTGAATAGATGATTTATTCGTTTCCTCATCCTTGCTTGGTTGCTTTGTTTGCTTGTTGCGCTTTTGACTTTTTTACTACTAGAAGGGAGGGATGGGTTGGATTGGGGAGGGGGTTGATCAAATTAATCAATTGATTGAACTTAGGAGGGCATAGAAGTGCTGATGATAGATAGATTTCGATATCAATATAGATTTCGCTTCGCTTCAATTTTCTAGTATAAGGTATATATATAACATACATACATGCATCTCATCTCATCCCATCCCAACAAAACACCTCCCTTCTTTTTTTAACTTACTGCGGCACGACATAACTCCACTCATGCTCCTCATCACCGTACTGGCGAGCCTCGATCCAATCCTTCATACGCTGGGCGATCTCGCCCGCCTCCTGATCCGGCTTCAGGCCACACCCGACCAGCTCGCCCTTCCAGCTGATGTTCCGCACGGGGCTCACGACGGCCGCGGTCCCGGCCCCGAAGGCCTCCAGTAAGCGGCCCTCCCGCGACGCCTCGGAGAGCTCGCGCATCGTGTACTTGCGCTCCGAGATCAGCCAGCCCTCGGGCGCGAGCTTCTCGCGCGCCAGCGCCAGCACCGAGTCCCGCGTCACGCCCTCCAGGATCGTGCCGTCCAGGGGCGCCGTCACGAGCTCCTTCTGGCCCGTCTCTTTGTTCTTGAGCGCCACGAACATGTTCATCGTGCCGACCTCGGTCACGTACTCTTCTTTGCCGAAGAGCCAGAGGTTCTGGTGGAAGCCTCGCTTCGCGGCCTCCAGTTGCGGCACGATGCATGGCGCGTAGTTGGCTCCTAGCTTCTTGTCTCCGACTCCTCCTGGCCAGGCTCGCACGGCGTAGTCGGTGGCTTCGAGGGATACGGCTTTGAAGCCCGTGGGGTAGTAGGGTCCGACGGGCGAAGCGATCACGTACAGCAGGGCGGATCCGGGTGGGCCAACACCCAGTGTTCTCTGGGTACCGATCATGGTCGGGCGGAGGTACAGTGAGTATCCCCGCTCTGATGGGATGAATCGCTGTTCCAGGGAAGCGAACTTGGCAATCAATTCAATCATGGCGTTGCTGTCAAAAGTGGGCAGCGCGATGCGTGCAGACGACTTGTTCATCCGAGCCATGTTCTTGGTCGGCCGGAATAGCCGTACCTGCCCCTTGCTATCTTTGTATGCTTTCATGCCCTCGAAACATTCGAATGCGTAGTGGAACACGCAGCTTGCCGGGTCCAGTGAGAGGTTTTGGTAAGGGGTGATTCGGGGAGCCAGCCATCCCTCTGACGCAGTCCATTCGAGACTGAGCATATGATCTAGAGGCGGTCAGCGGTCAGCAGTGATCTGTATATACGTGTAGATGAGATACGTGCCTGTGAAGGTTCGGCCGAAGACCAATTGCTTCGGATCAACGAGCGAGGCGGGAGTCGTGGTCTTGGTGATTGTCAGCTTGGAAGGGTCAATGCCCTGCAAATTTGCAGAAGGTGCCGGTGCTGCCACGCCGGCGTATGTCCTCGAGGACTCCCATATCGCGGTGACCAGCTTCGCAGGCGATTGCCTGAATGCGCTCCGGGGACGCAATTGGCGAAGCATTGTTAGCAATCCGAGGAACCAGACTGGTTGTGGTGCAAGAGGATTTCAATCGGGGGGATCCACTCTCGTATGTAAGGTAGGGTATCTAAGGGATATAAGGGATATATCAATCCTCAGTCTAGGACGGCGGTCTGAACGTTGCGGAGGTGAGGTTGTAGCTGGATTGAGTCAGGACGCAGCAGATATGTGAATAGATGGAATAATTTGGGGGGCCTCCGATGATCGCTCGCCCTGCATGCAGCTTCCAAAGCTCTGGGGTTCTAGCCTTTTGCACCGCGCAAATAAGCGAGACGGAGGGCACCCCTGGTCAGGTCGACTCTCGCCATGGATGATCGATGGATGATGGATGATAGTCCATGGATCGTCCTCAGATTCGGATCCTCTTGAAACCTGTGCCCTTGCTCTGCTATTCCTGACTGCATCTCTGTCCGACGCTGGCAGAGCTTCGCGGAAGAGGCCACTTCATTCGTTGCCTGCGCGACTGCGAGCACAAGTATTATTTACACGTTTTGCGGCTGTTCGGTCCCGAGCACCTCGATCTTACCTGAGACCACTAACCTACCCGCTGTCCATGTTAGTCTAGCTCACGCGATAACCTCGAGGAGAGGCTGCAGCTCCGTGGAGCCGCGCTGCGAAGATGTTCAGCTCGGCGCTGAAGTCGTTCAATTCGAATATCAACTCCAACTACACGGTTGCGAGCGCGCCCAGGTCGACGTCCGGCCCCTGGAGGATATACGATGCGAAGAAGAAGTCGACGGGGAAGGCCGTGTCGGTCTTCGTGCTCGATCGCAAGTCGCTCGATGCCCACTCCGGCTCCCTGGGGAGGTCGAGTGCCTCGTCCATGAAACGTGCCACCGAGGAGGTTGTGGAAAGGCTGAAGAAGGAGGCGTCGTCGCTGGCTAGGCTACGACATCCCAATATCCTGGAGCTGGTGGAACCGGTCGAGGAAACCAGGAATGGTGGTCTGCAGTTTGCCACGGAGACAGTGACGGCTTCGTTATCAAGCTTGCTGCGGGAGAAGGATGAGGAGGAGAGATCTGGTGGGGTGGGTGGACGGCCAAGCCGATATGTCAGAGAAGACGGCGAAGGTGGCCGGAGGCGGAGAGAGGTGGAAGTTGACGAGTTGGAGATACAAAAGGGTCTCGAGCAGATCAGTAAAGCTTTGGAGTTCCTCCATGATAATGCTGGTCTAGTCCACGGCAATCTGACTCCTGATGCCATATTTGTCAATGCGAAGGTGGGATCAACGTTCAAATATACACCGATGTTGACTGATTGCTGGTAGTCTGACTGGAAAATCAGCGGCCTGAGTTTCTCAAGTCCCCCTGATAACTCAACCAAGCCATCGTCAGTGACGCCTATAAATATCTCCGAGGCCCTCAATATCGACCCTCGACTTCCTCGTTCCGTGCAAATCAATCTGGATTACTGCTCCCCAGATTTTGTACTCGACTCGAACTTAAATACGGGGGCGGATATGTTCTCTCTTGGACTTCTCATAATCGCACTCTACAACTCTCCTCATACCTCGCCATTGGAGACAAACTCGAGCGTCTCGACGTATAAGCGGTTGTTTAGCACTCCATCCTCTATCCCGTCGCTCAGTAATAGCTTCCTTTGCTCACAGCCCCTTCCGAAAGAACTGAAGTCTGAAGTCTTGCCACGTCTGATCACCAGACGACCTGCCCAGCGCATGACAGCGAAGGAGTTCCAACAGAGTTCCTATTTCAATAGTATTCTGATCTCCACGATTCGCTTCCTGGATGAGCTTCCTGCTAAAACACCAAAGGAGAAAGCCCAATTCATGCGTGGACTAACCCAAGTACTTGGATCATTTCCCACCACATTACTGGAGAAGAAACTGCTGCCGGCGTTACTTGAAGAGATGAAAGACCGTGATATCCTGTCCTTGATATTGCAAAATGTTTTCAAAATCATTAACATCTTGCCGAACGGTCGTCGACCGTTCACGGAGAAGATCATACCTAGACTGAGGGAGATCTTTCTACCTCCTAGTAATGCCAAGGGTCCTCCTGAGCGTGATCCGGCCAAGGAGTCTAGCTTGCTGGTGTTATTAGAGCACATCACCCAAATTGCAAACAACTGTTCTGGAAAGGAGTTCAAAGATGGTAGGTTACCCATACAGTGCAGTAAAACAGTTGAATTTCAATGCTGACTATATCCCAGACATTCTTCCTATACTACTGCTTGCCATTGAATCTCCCACGCATGCTGTTGTCGATGCCTCCCTCCGAAGTTTGCCCGTCGTTCTCCCTGTGCTCGACTTTTCGACCATCAAGAATGAACTGTTCCCAGTCATTGCCTCTGTTTTTACCAAGACTACTAGTCTTGGTATCAAGGTTCGAGGTTTAGAAGCCTTCGTGATTCTTTGCGGCGGTTCATTAGACCCGGCTTCGAATAATGATGGCCTGGACGGCATCACGAACAATGCGATCAAGAAGAGCAGCTCAAGTGCCCTTGACAAGTATACAATGCAGGAAAAAATCGTTCCTCTTATTAAATCTATAAAAACGAAGGAACCAGCAGTATCTATGGCTGCTATGAATGTCCTCCGGCAGGTGGGCACCGTAGCTGATGAGGAATTCGTGGCATTACATATCCTTCCTATCTTATGGACCATGAGCCTAGGCCCGTTGCTCGATCTTAAACAGTTCCAAGCTTTCATGGAGCTCATCAAGAAATTGTCTTCCCAAGTTGAGGCGGATCGGACAAAGAAACTATCAGAATTAGCAGGTACCAATGGTTCGAGAACCAGAGGCAATGATGATTTCATGTCGTTCGGCGCTGCAGGTGCCTTCCAATCCAATGGTGGTTCTGACAACGCTGAGGTTGATTTTGAAACTCTTGTGAAAGGAAATGCTATTGGTGGAGCGACTATCAACCCTATGGATTCGGGGTGGGATTCGACTCCAGCAAAGGCGGCTGCACAAGTTCCGCAGAATACTTCAAACAAACCACAGCCAGCTACATTTTCTTGGTCTACACCGAGCTCGACTGGGCCCGCTTTCTCCGGGAACTCCGGGAGCTCGATGGGAGCTCTCAAGCCTCAGCAAGCTCCAGCACCACGGACTATCACGCCTGATCTGTCGCGCTTCGATGCTCTCACACCAACTACCACGCAATTCTCACAGCCTTTACAGCCCACTCCATTGCAGCAAACGAGTTCTAGCCCGCCTCCTCTCCAACCTCAGAGCAGCTATAATGCTCCCTTGCAGCCCCTCACGAATTACAAAACCCTTGCCTTCCAGCCACCTCCTCAAACGCAAACATTACAGAGCCTACAGAGTCTACAGAGCCAGCCAACATCCATTGATTGGGGGGCTGCTGCTACCGCAAGCCCATGGGCGAACAGCAATGCGCCAGCATCGAATACTTCCTTGGCAAGTCTAGGAAACTCGATGTCAAGCCTATCGATGAATCAGTCTCGGCCAGCCATGCCCTCACAACCATCTTCATTCTCACTACCCCCTCCGCCCGGGCCGCCGACCAGTTCTTTCGGCGCCCCTCCTCCATCCGCGTTTGGCATGCCCGGCCCGGCCAAGCCTGCGTCTCAACAAAAGTCTGGTTTGGATGCGTATGAAAGTTTGCTATGAGTCACGGCACAGGAGTCTGGCGCGGATACCAGGAATGTAGTCTAGTCTAGGATCAATACTATATAGAGAGGAATAAATGACACTGAAAGAACTTTCGCATAGATATCTTTATCTTTGTCTCGGTTGCAGCAAAGGGGTAGGTTATCATTGATGCCTTGTAGCTTAGGCAGGAACCAGAAAATCAGGGGGTTGGAATAAATGTAGCCAATCAGAAGAGGGTGCTTAGGTAAGCAGACTCGATAGTGACGGTATCGTAAAATGATGTGAGTTATATGCGTCATTATTTGTGTTTTCGGTATTCTTGCTATTATATTGTAGATTGGTAGATATTATCTATAGGTATTGTAAGAGAAGCATAAGGTATTGTGGGAAGAGGACAATTGATAGCAGAATCGAGGTGACAACAATAATACCACAACAATACAACAATACAACAACAATAGCCAAGTTAAGGTGTGAATAGATCGGCCGCTCGCCTAACTGTTACTGTCGCGGTAGACCCTGTGGGCGCTAGTTTAGCCGCCATCTGTTCCTGGTCATCCTTGAAGTTTTGATCGCGACGCGACTTTCTCTGTTCTCCCACAACAACTTTCCACTTCTCCCCCACATAACCTTCAATTCATTTTGTCCCCCTCAAACCCCCCATCATACACCTCACATACACCATCAAACAACCACAAAGAACCATCAACATGCCTCCCAAAAAGGCTACCGCCGCGAAAGCAGCTCCCGCAAAGGCAGCTCCAGCTGCGAAATCCGCTACCAAGCGCAAAGCTCCCGGTGCCTCCACCGACGAGCCAAAGACAAAGAAGGCGAAGACCACCACCGCCGCCGCTGCAGAGCCCGCAAAGCCTGCTGCTACGAAGGCCGCTGCTGCCAAGAAGGCAGAACCCGCCGCCAATAGAAAGATTGCGCCCGTAAGTCGTGTATCCGCGCACAGGAAATCCAGTTGACTTATCATCCACAGGCCAAGGGTGTCAAAGGTAGCAAGGTCACCAAGCCTGCGCCCGCCCCCAAGAAAGCTGCCGCCGCAAAGAAGGCTCCAGCTCCAAAGAAGGCCGCTGCGCCAAAGAAAGCAGCTGCTCCAGTAAGTCGTCATCTCGCTGATCTCAGCGCGCACGGAATCGTGCTAAACTCTTATCAGGCCAAGGCCGAGGAAGCCTCGCCAGCTCCTGCTCCTAAGAAAGAGAAGCCTGCTCCCCAGAAGAAGGCCCTTCCTGCCATCAACAAGATCCCCACTCAGATCCTCGACATCTATGTCTTCGGCGAGGGCTCTGCCGGCGAGCTCGGACTGGGCGCTGGCAAATATGACGGCAATAAGAAGCCTGTTGATGTCAAGCGTCCTCGTATCAACCACTTGTTATCTGCTAAGTCTGTTGGTGTTGTCCAAGTCGCGGTCGGTGGCATGCACTGCGCTGCTCTTACTCATGACAACAAGATCTTGACTTGGGGTGTCAATGATCAGGGCGCTCTCGGCCGCGAGACTTCTCAGGAGGGCAAAATGAAGGATATCACCAAAGAAGATGACTCTGACAGCGATTCTGATGATGAAGGCGATGGCTTGAATCCAACTGAAGCTGAGCCCCGCCAGGTCGATCCCAAGCACTTCCCGGAAGGCACTAAATTTGCACAACTCGTTGCCAGTGACAATGCTACATTTGCTGTTACAGAGGAGGGTTTAGTTTACGGTTGGGGTACATTCAGAGTAAGTTTTTCCACCTTCGTCCGCATTCATTCCTAACATCTACAGGGTAACGACGGTATCTTGGGTTTCAAAAAGGGCGTTGCCGCTCAGCGCACCCCTGTTCTCATCCCCGAGTTGAAGAACATCACATCTCTTGCTGCTGGTACCAATCACATTTTGGCTCTTGACAGTAAGGGCAGAGTCTTCGCGTGGGGTGCGGGTGAGCAGAACCAGCTTGCTCGTCGTGTCGTATCCCGTACTGCAACTGGCGCACTTGTCCCGCGTGAGTTCGGTCTCCAACGCAAGAAGATCGCCAAGATTGGTTGCGGTGATTACCACAGCTTTGCCGTCGACAAGAATGGAAATGTCTACTCATGGGGCCTTAACACCTTCGGTCAGACTGGCATCCCCAAGGATGAAGATGATGAGAGCGACACCATTACCACTCCTACATTAGTCGAGAGCCTCAAGGGTTACGATATTAAGCAGATTGTTGGCGGCGGCCATCACAGTCTCTCCGTTACCGAATCCGGTCAGGTTCTTGTCTGGGGTCGTATCGACAACGCCCAAAGTGGTATGGAAATTTCCAAATTGAACAAGGACGATTTGTTTTTCGATGAGCATGGCAAACCCCGCTTCCTTGTGAAGCCCACTGTCATCCCAGACATAAATGGTGAATACGTCTCGGTTGCCACCGATACCTGCATTGTCGTCACAAAGGAGGGCAAGGCCTACAGCTGGGGCTTCTCGGCCAACTATCAGACCGGACAAGGTACAACAGACGATATCACGGAGGCTACACTGCTCGACAACTCGGCAGTCAAGGATGAAAAGCTCGTATGGTGCGGAGCCGGCGGACAGTTCTCGGTCCTAGCTGCCGAGGCCAAGGATAAGGATACCGAGTTGACTAATGGCGTTAAGGAGACGGCAGCATAGATTTGGGGAATCTAAGCTGTTCTCTATTGGGTTTTCATACCGGTTCTTCTTACGCATTGGTTTCTTGACGGATCTTCGATACCAGTTCTTCCCACCGGTTCTACTTGTACATCCGGTTCTTCACTGGTTTCCTCGAAAATACCAGGTTTCTCCACATTGGTCCTTGCACACTCCCGCTTCTCTCCCCCCCCCCCCTCCTCAAATCCTTCTCTCCGCATATCACAACACACCCATGAAAATATCTCCTCCTCCTCCGCAGCGCGGCTGGCTGGCCTTTGTACATTAAAAAATCAGGTTACGTTAACGTTAAACGTTATATTACGATAAATCAACTCTCTCTCTCACGTCACGTTTTTTCCCTCCCCCGCGGATCCATAGTCTCGCTTCTTTTATCTGTCCTTCTTTGGATGGATGGATGGATGGATGGATGGATACATGGATGGATGGATGGTGGGAGAAGAAGAAGAAATGGAATCATGAGATGAGATATGCATGCATGGTTTTTACTAGTTAAACTCGTACTAGGAGTGGAATTAATTGGTAATTGAAGGGAATTGAATTGAATGGAATGATGAATTTTGAAGTTTGAAATTTGGTTTTTGGTTCTTGGGTGTGTTATGTGTGTGTGTGGATTGTGAATTGGATGGATGGTATGGATGGGCTGTGAGTATGGTGTCTTGGTTTCTTATTTGAATTCATTCGTTGATTACTATACTATACTACCTATACTATATTATAACACCATCTTTTCTAGATACATCCCCCCAAAGCCCCAACCTTACATCTCCCACATCCTCTTCACCACCTCATCATCCAACTGCAACTTATAAACACTCAACAAATCACTTCCCCCACAATACTCTTTCCTATCCCCTACACACAGCATATCACACATGTCATCCTCCCTCTGCACCGCCGTCTCGGGTAGCTCCGCCGCGCAATAACACTCCTGCGCGTACTCGACGCCCGCGTAGACGCCATCCGGCATCTGCTGCTGCCTGCAGAACGCAGTGCAGGATTCGATCGTCATGGAAGTGCTGTTGGTGTAGGAGGCGCCTGAGAGGAGTCGGGAGGTTGTTAGGCTTTCGGAGAAACAGCCTAGGTAGGTGTAGGAGTTTATGAGGGCGGGGTTGCGGGGTGGCGTGTAGGTGGTCTGGTTGTATAGGCTGAGACGGTTGGGACCGCCGCAGAGCTGTGAGGGGTTGCCGGTGCAGGGCATGCTGCAGTCGGTGTAGTTTGTGGTAGAGGAGGAGGCGAGCGAGTTCCCACAGAAGCACTGGAAGGAGGGAGGGGGTTAGTTTCTTTTGGACCTGGGCTTGGATGTGGGGTGTGTGTACCTGTGAGGAATACTCAAGTCCTGCGAGACCATAGTTGTTGGCTTCGCAATAGCTCTGGCAGGCCTCGATCGTCATGGCTGTGTCATTGCTGTATGATGATCCCGTGAGAGCTCGACCGTCGACCTCGTCTGCGCATCCAAGATATTCCCACGTCCCTATGGTTTGGCCGGGGGTTGGTGTCCCGGTCCACAGAGGGGCTGAAGTTGTGGTACTGCTGTTAGACCAACCCGTGCTAGACACTGCTGTCGGGCTGCTGGATGTCGTCGTATAGAGTGTCGAGATGGGTAGACTAGTAGCAGATGCTATGCTGGATGAGTTTGAGTAGGTATTCGATGAGGAGACGTAACTGGGTGTCGGCGAAACTCCGCCCACGGTAGGTAAAGCAACAGATGCGGTGGAGCTGTTCGTAAATGTATATGTACTCTGCGAGCTACTAGACAGCGACTGCGAATTATTTCCTAATAGAGTTGTAGAGGGGAAGACAGAGCTTAAAATGCTGCTCGTCAGGGGCACAGAGCCAGTCGGGACGGATGTCGAGTTAGAAGATGAGACGATAGGAGCCACCTGGTACATGTTCAAGAGGGACCGTCCGCCACAGTACTCGGTCGAGTTGGCTGCACATACCATGTTGCATCCATTCACAGCCGGGTCGCTGCTCGTCTGGTTGACTGAGCCAGCATTAATTACGTTGCCGCAATAGCATTCCTGGCCTGATTTTCTTAGCACACCGTCACATCTCCAGGACAAGAAGCTTACTGTATTCCACTCCGAAATAAGTGTACTGCGAGCAAGCTGCAGCGCATGTCTCTACAGAGGTATTGGCAGCTGGGATTGGAAGAAGATAGCCGTTGAGAGCACGTTCGTTCGTCGCTTCGCTATAGCAGCCAAGGTAGGTATATCCTAGGAGGTTGGTAACAGTGATTGGACCAGCGGAGGAGGTAGGGGTTGTGGGTGGTGAAGTTCCAGTAGGAGCTGAAATGACGGCAGTGCCGTTGAGCGAGTACAGGTCGAGTCTGTCTGGGCCTCCACAATACTCCTTTGCATTACCAGTACATACCATGTTGCATCCATTCACGCTCGGATCCGAACTGGTTTGATTAACTGAACCTGCTCCAAGACTGTTCCCACAATAGCACAAAAAGGGGGTCAGCATTAGATCACGGTCTTGGGGGGAGAAAACTTACCTGGTTCGAATATTCCATGCCAAAATACAAATAACCTTGGCAAGCAGCCGCGCAGAGCTCAATGGTAAAGCCATCAGTAGCTGGAGCGGGTGACAATGCACTTAGAGCTCTACCATTTGTTGCCTCGCTATAGCATCCTTGATACTTGTAACCCCCAACACTTTTGATAGTCTGCGGTCCATAGAGAGCGGGGTCTGTTCCCGCGATATACTTTGTCGGATCGTAGTAGACTGAGAGGTAACCTGGCGCGCCACAAGCGTCATTGCCATCTCCTGGACAGCCGAAATTGCAATAGGTATCTAGAGCTTGGTTTGCTAGAGGAGGAGGGGTGTTCCCGCACCAACACCTAACATTCACATTTGGTTATCTCTCGTATTCCAATGATTGAAAATGATAGGGATTTGCCCCTCCCAGTTGGTCTGGAAATCTTGCAATCACCAAACCCTCGAATATCATGACAGTAAGAGCAGAATTACTTACTCATCCCCATACTCGGTCCCGGCAAAAGCATATTGGGCAGCCGCATAGCAAGCGTCCTGGCAATTGGCGTTATCCATAGTGTCACTGGGATCCAGGGGCTCGTTAGGGAACAAGCGCGGTCCCGCGGTGGCTTCTTGGTAGCAGCCTAGATATTCATAGATAGTCTGGCCCGTAGTGGAATTCACGGGACCAACCTTAACAGATACCACAGTAGCCGTGATCTCCACTGTGTGCACCCCAAAATTAAGGTCATTAGTGTTCAGAGTCCAGGTGTTATTGATCACAAGATCTGGCTGGTTATACTCTTCGGTGTTGGCAACCATCAGGACCGTTCCGTAAGCACATTCGCCGGGAGGGATCTGCTGTGTCTCGTGAAGCTCAGTAGGATCGCTGATGTGGAATACACCGTTTGGGGGTTTGCTCTTGTCGATCTCCAGCGACGATCCCCCGTTATTACAGATCTGGATCTGACGAGACGATGAGCTACCTGGAGCGACATCACCAAAATCCATCAGGAGATTGGAAGGTGGGAGCCATCCGCCTTCGCCATTACTGATTGAGAAGTTGGCAATAGGAGCCGTCGAGGCAGATCCCTCCAGGATGATGTTGACATCTCCGCCGTCGGACCATACTTGCCAGTAAGAGCTATAGCTGCCCACGCCATTGACAGGATCGAAAGTCGAGTCGACAGAAATAGCCGTGTTTGGTGCTATCTGACTTCCGATGGCAGGTAGGTCCGTCGCTGTTGTATTGGTAAGGTTAGCACAGTCCAGTACAACTCTAGTCTACCAAAGGCGGATAATGGAAAATGTCTTGGGTGTTCTACCTGTGAAACCAAGTCCGAGATCCCATATCCCATTGGTCAATGTGCTATTCGTAAAGTTAGGTGGGTTTGAGCCAATCAGTTCATCATTGGTGTAACCATAGCCTAGAATGGTCAAGGGGGACAATCCCGCATTGGAAATAGTGATGATACCCGACTGGGTAGGTATGGCAGTGTTGTTTAGGATCACGATTCCTCCATAATCAACCGTCTTCGGCGCAAGTGTTAGGAAGGGAGCCGTTGAGACTTCGGTTCCAGTCAAACTTATTGGAAACATGGTTGCATATCCGACAGCCCCATTAGTTGTATACAACGTCAAGGGAGCACTCTTGATCCCAGGAGAGATGCTTCCAGAAGAAGCATTAGGATTGTTTTTTATCTCAGCATCGGTCAGATCCCACGTGACAGGAAAGGAGAAGGAATCCCCGGCAGCCAATGGCCCCTGGGGCAAGCTTGCATTGCTAGCTTCAAAGAAACCATCACCTAGAACGAGCCCATCGAGCGCTGTAATGGGGACGTTGGCGGTACAGTTGAGAGATTTGGTGACCTTCGTCCCAAGAGCAACCTGGCCGAAATCAACGGGGGATGTACAATTCAGGGGTAGATTGACAGGAGCACCAAGACCATAGAGAACACCATTGCTGTCTGTAACGTAGACACGACCATCTCCCTACAGAAGTCAGCAATTGACAAACCAGAACAGAAGGGGGGCTGGATAAAGGTTCATGAGCCGCAGGAAATGTCCACCCTCAAGATATTAACTCAGAATAGAATCATGTCCCGCTTCTCATGCAACAGTTCAGAATAGGGGGGGCGCTTTTTAGCTGCGCTAGGAAGTTTCTTACAAAGGCAGGTCGCTGGAACTTATTGGCTCCACCAATTTGAGGCATCGGGATACTCTGCATTGCTCCGTTCTGGGGCACTGCGTACCACGCTCTAATCCCTGCATTTGGGTCTGTCATCCACAAGATTGCGGTCCCGGGCTCTCCTTTCAAAGTTGTGACGGTAGGGATACCAACACCCACACGGCCAGCTGAAGACTCACTGGTCTCTGCGACCTTGGAGAATTGTGGGATTCCCGTTGAAGTAAACCCAAGCTGATAGACGTAAGTTGGATATCCGACCGGTGTGAGGTAGATATATCCGCCTTCGAGAGGGTAAGAACCCGCAGCGCCAAAGACAGCCTCGTTCGTAACTATCGTCTGTAGAATCCCATCGGTCTGACCCATCCCGAGTTTGTAGCCGCCGAGGTTGTTAGCATCCAAGATGTAAACCTTTCCATTCTTCCCTGCGGTGACCGCCATCTTCTCAATTGGGCCTCCGGAAAAGGTCGTGGGATCCAGCAACACAATGCCACCGGAACCAAAATCCTGGTCCGCAGCATCCATGTTCTGGTAGTCGTAGGGCTGGAAGTAATCGGAAACGGAGAGCGTGCCATTGCCCGTATTGTTGAGCGCCAGATTGATGGCTGCTTCTCCCAGAGTTTGGAGGCCGCTGGAACCAGACGCAGGGGCTCCGTTATTGGTGTGTCCGTCACCGTTTCCCGTGACGACGAATATGCGAGCCCCGTCACTTGCGAGCCCCATGCCACTCATCCAGATGCCTCCTTGGCCACCACCACCATCCTGCAGCAGATCATTGGTCTGGGCGGCTGCTTCGACCGGACCGCTCTCGACGGCCCATTGAGTGACGACCTTCGCCTGGTTAACGTCCACACCTATGACCAGACCGGTATAGTTGAAGAGATCGCAATGGCCGCCAAAGGCTCCATACACGACGGAGCCAATCTGGGTTAACGAAGGCCGCTGCAAGACCACCCCGCCCACAAAGTATTTCGCGGGTGCATTATCCGCGAACGTGCCGTCGATAAGAATGGGGTCATAGACATCCTCAAGGGTGTTCACGTCGACTGCGTGGAAGTAGTAGACGCCGTTCGAGGTGCCCGTATTACCCGGCACCCTAAAGTTGGGGATGTACGTCTTGGAAAAGAAATATGCAATGTCCGTGGTCGGGTCAATGACCGGCGTACCAATGATCCCGATGTAGTTAGGTATATCTGGGCTCAAATTAGAATCAGGGTGACTGGCCCCTGGTGGTATATCTGCGCCTACCTGTACAGCCAATATCAGATTGGAGAAAAGGGGTATGGACCTGTCGAGAGTTGATCAGAGCTCCAGTCACTGCATCGAGGGTCCGGATGTAGTTCATGCTCGAAGCCAGGAAGAGGATCTGAGGGCCTCCAGCGAGAGGTGTATAGGTGAGAGGTTTGGCATAGAACTAGATGCGCGTCAGTCATTTCCGCAGAGGCACGAGGAGCAGGAAATGGTGCACCTGCTCATGAGTATTAAATGCGACCTTCCAAAGGAGACCGAAGGTTGCAGAATCTACAATGGCAGGGTCCATGTTATGGTTGGGTCTGGGAAGTCAGATAGGGTCCTGCATGAAATAGAGAGGGATCTCGAGAAAAAGAGATAGAGGCAACTGGCAACCCACGCAGTACTTACAGATATCCTGACTGCTCAACATCCGCATCTCTGTACTCGTCTGTCGGTGCCACGCCGAGGGTCTGGGAGATGCACAGGGCAGTCAACACGGCGAGCACGCGCGAGATCAGGGACAACATCGCGAAGGCAATTGAGGGGCGAGGGGCCCAGCAATTTGGGAGTCGTAGATAGAGCAGCGAGCGTGTGCTTCAGACAGGACATGGAATTGACATGGAACAACAGGCAGGCAACGGTAACGACGGCTCACGTTGAGGGAAACATGGCACAGGAAGAGTAGTGAAGTGCAAACATGGCGAAGAAGGAGGCTCAAGGATGGAGTGAGGTCGAGTTCCCTCCCCTCGTAAGTCCCCTCATGAGTCCCCTCGTATAAGAAGAGCGTGGTCTGCAGGAAGGGCAGACGCCCCGCGGCCGAAGCGGGCAACTTTTGGGCTGGACCCTTCGCATCCAGCTTCGCAGCCAGATTCCAAGGGTCAAGGGTGACAAACACAGTTAGAGCAACGTGCCACAGGGCTCGCGGCCGCAGATGCTACACTGCTACGGAACATTGTTCCTGGCCCAGCTGCACGGGGACCAATGGCCGCCCAAGCCAGGGCGCCACGAGACGGAGACATTTGTCGAGAACTCGAACGAGGCTTCGCGAGACGGAGGAAACGTGTTGTTGATATGATATGCGCCACTCCAATCAAGATCCCTGGGAACTTCGTCGGGATCCCTCCGATGCCCGTTCTGGAGGGAGCGCCGTCCAGATCGGGACTACTGAAAAGGACAAGGGGAGAAGAGAAGAACAGGCGGGACAGGCGGGATGGAGTTGAACAGACGAACGCGGGATCCTTGATGGTTGACGGTCGCCTTGCCTCCGGGGTTGAAAGGATGTAGGATGTATCCTGACAGTAAAGGCGGGACGTTGAATCCGCCAATCAGAGGGCGCGGATGCGCGATGTGCTCGGGAGGGATGGAGATCAACCGGTCGTGGATAATGGATAGATAGATAGCTAGCTACTCCGTAAGTCAGCAAGAAGGTAAAGATAAATAGTAGATACCTTACCTCAGTATATAAATCATAAATAACAGATGATAATTTTCCAACCAATGTATATCGGCCCTACATCGTCCGGAATGCCACACCTAGATAGAATGCCAGTATCGATGCGTCCAGAGCCAAAGTCCAGACCCGAACCCCCCTTCCCGCCCCCCCGCTCGTCCCGCCCGCATCCCGCCGCACCCACTAATCCTAATACAGTACGAGCCTCAGCCAGGAAATAAGTTCCTCCGAGTTCGCTTTTCCCCCCAAGGCGGCTTCCCACTTCATTTCCCGCACACGGGAGGGCGATACCGTACGGAGTATAAGATACCGCGCTGTACCTTGTCCCGCCTGTTCCGCCAGGGAGAGATAGATGGAAGTTGGCAGAGAAGGAGAAGAAGATGAATCATTTACATGAGTGTGAAAATAGGGAAAAGAAAAGGTGGGGGAGAGGAGAGTGTGGTTGATGTTGTGTATATATACAAAGTACCCATGTACCCATCTGGAATTAATACACACATATCACGGGGTGGGAGGGAGGTACGTAGTAGATAGGTACATCGCGATGCAAATCCTCTAAATAAACTAATAATACCCAGCTCTCAGCGCCATCTGGGCCATGGCGCTCGCTGGATCACATTATATCTGGTAAGAGATGTAGGCTAAACTGTTACTCTTTCTCCCCTTTCTCCCCTGTCGTTCAGAAGACGCGGATACCACATGTGGAGATAAGGGGGGCTTAGAGGCTTGGATATCATTGAAACAAGAGACACAGGCGCTTACCCATCAAATCCAATCGTATTAAGTTTGGACTTGGCACCGGAACAACCGGTTGCGTCTATTCCTTTGCCCACAGCCTCTCCATTAGTTAGCTTGATATTGTACTCTCCGGGTTGTCTAGGGAAGACAATAAACTGGGGCTTCAGTTCCCCGCACAGTAACATAGTATCACGGGTACCTCGCCCTCATTCCATCATCTGAACGATAGTTTGGGAACCTGCTTCACTCGCCGCCGTAATTCAGCCAAGATCTGTAGTTCTGTAGTAGCAGGTCTCGATCGTTTCTCTGATTCCTGGAAAGCGTGCGTATCTGCTCCTGAAGTTGAGCAACGCTCACTTCCTCCACAGCAATTATCATTATCGTATTTGACTTCTCATTCAGCACTTTGGCCTCAGTGTGGAACTCGTTCGTAGGACGTGTTGGTCTTAAAGACACTAAATCTATTTGGAAACCTTGAGACTAGGTTACTTCTTCGTTTAACCATCATCTTCTTCTTTGATTAACCATATCTCTGGATCAAGTTCCTCATGTCACTGAGCACCCTATGAGAATATCAGCAACCCCCTTACTAGCAAGAATTCAAAGAGACGCCTACTGCTCTCTAAACGCATGCTTTTGGGTAAAGAGGGCAGATACGTGCGTGTTGAATCTCCTGTTCCGACGTCAGTTTAGTATGAACATCTGAGATACCTTAGCCTTGGAATCGCAGTCTCACAGCTTGTAAAGATCTAGACGGCCGTCATAATCCTCTCAAGGTGGTGATATTTGAACATTGGAGTGGTATGCTGCCAAGTATTCGGGCCCAAATCTATTGCAGATTGGCCGTCATTGACCAAACTCATCTTCATTAAGCATATATATGTGAGCCTCGTTGATTCTGCCCTCACCGGGGAATCATTTAACTTACATTCGTTGTGACCATAGAAGCGGCATGCATCAAGGATCAGAGATTCTCCCGTGTTTACATCAATTCCAGAATTTGCATACCAAAGATCTCCGTGCACAGGTGAGTGCTTCACAGATCGACCTTCGCTCTTCGAGTGGGCGAAGTAGACAAGGTATGACTTTATCAAAGAGGACCGGGACTAGCACATCGAACTCGGGGTCCGGTCCCTTGGCATCGATTTCAAGTTTCAGAGCGCACCTCATGCTCTTTGTAAAGTAACGCTCCCAGTTTCTTCCCACTCGTTCACGGTCCATCTGTGGTAAATTGCCGCTATAAGTAGTTATGTGGAAGCCAAACCTGCCGTTCGGAGACTTGCTGGTTTGGTGGAGCGCTGCTAGATGGGTGGTGAATTCGTGCGGGTCTGGCATTCTATCTACCATGTCTCGATATTCCATAAGAAGTGCGTGTCCGATACGGTCTCGTATGTTCCCCAGGTAATTGGCTTCGGTGTGAATTCGGGCAAGAGCGTATATATAGCTTTCATAGACCCGAACTCCCCGCGGACCATATTCTTGCCTTGAGCTTTCGATGCTACCTTCATAAAAAATTGACAGTGGCGTCCCATCGGCCAGCTCGACGTCGATTCAGCCGGTGTGAGCCCAGAAACTGATACCATGGCCTTCGGTGGATACCACTCGACAGCCCTTCGGTAGTTCTTGGTGTTGGTGAGCAGGGGAATTATGTATTTGCTGCACATCACAACTGACCTGCGGCGACACTTGGATCAAGCTTGATATTTCCTCCACCTTCAGCACCATCGTAGTTCACGGAACCATGATGTCTGCTACCGTCGCTCTTGGAAGACAGTGAGCGGGGGTGTGTCCTTGTTAATGTCTAATCGACAGTACCCGTCAGCTCGCCCATGGCACTTGCTGTGCGGCCCACTCCCTGATACCGAGTCTGACAGCGGATAATCGATGCAGGCGCCGCAAAAGAGCCTTGACCTGTCAGTCATGCACCAGATTTCTCAGCAAACTGCGCTTGTAGAGCTCCGAGAATGATGTGAATCTGCTGGTGAAGTGCGAGAGACATATCGCCACTGAGATGAAGCAGCACTGCTCTGCATGGATATTGCTCGACAATCCCATCAATATCCGATAAAATCTCGTTCTTATTGCGTCGACGAGAACTGCTCCACACAGAAGTTCGTGAGTGCTGGAGGGGAGAGACGGGCCTGCTCGGGTGCGTATTCCATGTATCCCTTGTGGTCACCCGCGGACCGTGGACATAGGGGTGAGATGTTTCGGAGGCCATTGTAGGCGCCCGGCAGGTCAAGAGGGCCCTTGTTCGTGCATTGTATTGGCAGCGAGAGGGCAGCTACCTTTTGCGGAATATGCAGGCGATATCTTAAGGCCTGAGATGGAGATGGCCTTCTCACCCACAAAGGCCCCCCTATCACCCCTGTCGCCAAACCCCTCGCTTCCCGCGCGGCTAGCGGCTACCTCGCCCCGCCCCACCCGATCAACAGCAACAGGGCTGGCTCCTCCAATACTTACTACACCATCGTTTGCACCACAGACCGTAAGTATGGGGTATCCACCGGCATGGGGATCCCCTACAAGCCCCTGGTCCAACTCAAAACAACAACATCCTTCACTGTACGCAGTATATATTACAGAGATACTCATGGGCTGTACCTCTGTACAACCCTCACAATGTATCTCACACAATCGACGGCATTGCGGCAATGCTTCTACGCCATCCACGATGCTACCAGCAAGGTTTCCCTGAAGTAGTTGACACTGCATTGCTCTTATGTGCTTCATTGTGTGTGCTTCATTGTATTCAATAGAGCGAGGTCCAAGCTCTCTCTGGGCTGATCCGAGAGGAAATGCCAGGCCGTATGGTAAGTTCATAACCCATCCCGGTGTGAAGGCTGGGCCAGACGAGGTGGCGGTCTACCTTTGTGCTTCTTCCTGACCCCGACTGAATTTTGCGTAGTTGATTAAAAGCTTTCGGCGCAAGGATATCAAATTGACATCCATCACCCACCCTACCCGGAATAGCGCATTTGCATTTGAAGAGGCTCGCGCCAGTAAGACCAGCACTGTCACCGACGATGGGGTGGATAATCCGAAAGGCCCCCTCGGATTGAATCTCCTCCACTCTCCCTCGGAGCCTCTCATCGATTTCATTTTCGTGCACGGCCTCGGCGGCGGCTCCAGGAAAACATGGAGCAAGACGAGCTCGATTACGCACTATTGGCCGCAGGAATGGCTTCCCAAAGATCCCGCCTTCAAGAATGTGCGAGTGCACAGCTTTGGGTATAATTCAGACTGGGTCAAGAGCAAAGATAACTGCCTGAACATCCATCACTTCGGCAAGTCGTTGCTTGGCGAAATGAGCACGTCTCCGTATCTGGGTGATGCAGACCTGCCAATCGTGCTCATAGGTCATAGCATGGGAGGCTTGGTTATCAAGCAAGCCTACATGCTGGCAAGGCAAGATCCAGCGTATGAGACTCTGGCAAAACGATTTCACACAATCTACTTCCTTGCAACGCCCCACAGAGGTTCTGATTCGGCCAAGCTCTTGAACAATATCCTTCAGATCGCCTACTCGACCCGTGCCTACGTTGCAGACCTTGAACGGGGCTCCGGCGCTATACAATCTATCAACGATGAGTTTCGTAAATATTCTGCCGACATAGATCTCTGGTCGTTCTACGAGACTCAGAAACTCAGTATGGGATTCTTCAGTACCCTCATTGTTGATCCTGATTCGGCTACGCTAGGATATCGAGAAGAGAAGCAGATGCCAATGAATGCTGATCACCGTTCAATCTGCAAGTTCGAGGCACCAACAGACCCAAACTATGTAATCCTTCGCAATACACTTGCCTCTACGGTTAAGAGTATCTCCAAGCTAGGTATGGCACACTGTATAGTTTATAGTGGACCTCGCTAAGGAGTTTGCAGTGCTAAAATCAAAAGAAAAACTACGGCGCAGCCAGGTTAAGGACCTGCAGAAGTACTTGGGGGTGTCCGAGGACCTAGAAGATGACCTCATCACCGTTGAAGATGCCCGCATGTCCGGAACATGCGAATGGTTCTCAACGAAAAGGAGTTACCTGAAGTGGAGGGACTTTGCCCCAGATGCTCCAAGTATACTCTGGGTTAGTGGAAAACCAGCGGCTGGCAAGTCTGTTCTCGCAGGCTATGTTGTTGATCAGCTACGAAAACCTAATGCAAACTGCAGCTATTTCTTCTTCAAATACGCGGACAAGTCCAAATCGCGGCTTAGTACCTGTCTCCGGTCCCTGGCTTTCCAGATGGCTTGTACGAATGTGCAAGTTCGAGAGACGCTCTTAGAGATGCAAAAAGATGATATAGAGTTCAATAATGACAACGAACGCACTTTATGGCGGAAATTGTTCTTATCCGGCATCTTCCAAACGGAATTTCCCAGGCATTACTGGGTAATTGATGCCCTAGATGAATGTGAGGATTTTACTTCTCTTTTCGATCTGATGCTGGCCAAGCTCGATAAATCGATACCGTTAAGAATCTTAATCACAAGTCGAGAAACTTCCGAGCTAGAAAAGCGTTTTTCCAATCTCGACACTCACCTATTTCAATCTGAACGGATCTCAGCAGAGGATACTCTTCCTGATATTAGACTCCTGGTTGAGGCGAAGGTAAAGTCTCTATTCGTGGAGAACAACGAGGAACCTGCTGCCCTAGTGGAAAAGGTCCTGGAAAAATCCAAAGGATCTTTCTTATGGACGGTCTTGGTTCTTAACGAGTTATCAAATTCCCACGGTGAGGAAGAGGTCAACCAAGTTCTCGACGACGTTCCTCGAGATATGGAATCCCTATATCGGAGAGCACTGGAATCAATGTCACAAGCCACACGCGGGAAGAAGCTCGCTAAAGCAATTCTCACTTGGGCAACATGCGCAACAAGGCCGCTGACGATGAAGGAGCTAGAGGGAGCTTTGAAACTAGATGTTAAGGACAACTTCCTCAAGCTGGAGGAGAGCATTGCGGCGCTATGTGGCCAGCTGGTAACTGTTGACAAGTTTGGCAAAGTGCAGATGGTGCATGAGACGGCCAGAGAATTCCTACTAAACGACGATTTGGAATCCGAGTTTGCCATCAACGAGACAGAGGCACACACGCAGATCGCTAGAGCATGTCTCACATACCTCACCGGTGAGGAGATGAAACCTCCTCGAACCAGCAGACGTGGTTCTGCCATGATTACCGCAGGAAAAAGGGCCGAGTTTTCACTCTATGTCTGTGCAGCATTCTCATATCATCTAGCCAAGGCTGATCCCCTTGCAAACGATATATTGGTTCTTGTCGATAAGTTTCTGAAGTCGAATGTCCTGTCGTGGATAGAGGTTATTGCCCGAACACAAAATCTCATCCCTTTGATCCGCGCCGCGAAGAACTTCAGGATATATCTCAATTCGTGTGCCGCGCAACGGTCACCGCTTGACGGGGAAGTTCAAACGATCAGAGGCTGGACGACGGATCTCATCCGTATTGCAGCGAAGTTTTCTGATGCTCTCGTAGCATCACCCTCGGCTATCTACTCGCTCATCCTGCCATTCTGTCCTACGGAGTCTACGGTGTACAAAACCGCAAAACACGGGGGGAGGCTCTCGGTAGTGGGATTTTCAAATACTCAGTGGGATGACCGAATGTCTTGCATCGACTTCCACCAGGGCCAGACGAGTGCTGTTTGCCACGGAGATGAATTCTTTGCCGTGGGCCTGACTACCGGAAAAGTCGCCCTTTACCATGCGACATCCTGCCAAGAATACAAAGTTCTGATTCACGGCGAGTTCGTAAGATTTCTGCAATTTAAGAGCAAGACGGCTTTGATGGCATCTTGCGGCATGAAGACGATTCGAATCTGGGACATTCATAGCGGCGAAATAATTCACAGTTTCCAAGCCCCGCAACAGCCTATGGGTCTGGCATTTGACAGGAACCTGCTAATAGTCCCATCCTATAAGAACTACCTGGCATCGTGGGATCTAGACAATGACGGAGCCCAGCGACCTAACAGGTCGTGGAACGACTCGGGCGAACGCATGAACACGCCGTCAAATCGTTCGCCTTGCGCCATATCGATTTCCGTAAGCCACAAAATGCTGGCTGTCGCTTACATCGGACGACCGATAATGCTTTGGGACCTGGAGGAAGATATGTATTACGGCAGCTGCGGGCTGAAACTGCCTAGTGGTGAAACGAGTACACATCTGGTCACCGGTCTCGTTTTCAATCCCAATCCAACCATTGACCTTCTCGTCGCGTCTTACCACGATGGCGAACTCGTACTCCTTGATCCATTTGATGACCGGGTCTTGAAGAGCTTCCGTGCAGACTGTCATCCGCTCGCGGCCAGCCCAGACGGGCGCCTGCTTGCAGGTGGCGCCGGGTTTGGGATAATCCATATCTACGAATTTGACACCCTGAGGTTGCTCTACCGGATCAAATCTTCCAACTTCTACATCAGGCAGCTGGCCTTTAGCAGAGACAGCCTCCACTTTGCCGACATTAGAGGATCACAATGCAACGTCTGGGAGCCCGCGGTCCTGTTTCGGGACTTCGTGGGCGGCGACAGCAAGGAAGGTACATCCACGTCCTTCGAGTCTGTCGCGTCGGACCCTAAGGTCAAAATCAGCATCAGCGCCATGGTCTTGCATCCCAAGGGAGATGTCATATTCTGCGGCAAGGATGACGGGTCAGTCTCCCTGTACGACTTGAAGACTGGAAACCAGCTGCGGATGCTTTACCGCCACAAGACACTGGTCCGTATCCTTACTTTGTGGCCACAAAGTAGTATCATCATGAGCATCGATTTATCAAACAAGATTTTCGCATGGAATCTGAAGAAGTCTCAGAAGGACGGATGGGTGGCTGAGGAGATATTATTTCAATCTCGCCTGGACTGTGCGAAGTCCATCATTCAAGTCTTACCGGGCGAGGCAGCCGGTAAATTCATCTTGTCGACCCGGGAATCGGACCACCTCTGGAGCATCGATGGCCAGCAGGAGAGCGTGCGGACATACTCAGACAGACAAGGGATCCGGAAATGGATCCAGCACCAGCAATCGCCTCTTCATGTGATCTGCATCGAAGGTGCATCCGCTCGCATCTATGCCTGGAGCGACTGGTCAGAAATCGCATTCGTGTCCCTCGCCACTGACATGACGGGACTGCAGTTGAAGAGCGTCACCCCCTACATATCGGGCCAAAGACGACGGATCCTTCTCGAGCTGTCCGAGCTCGATGGCTCGGCAGAGACGCGCGGCCTGCACCTCCTCGACGCAGCGTCTTTCAGCATCGAGAATAATCCCGGAAAGGATGCCGTTTCCGAAGCAGCCAATGTCGGGAAGGATGCCGACACTATGTTAATTAGGGAGGAAGCCACAGCAGCAGCAGTCTCGAACCCGCTTCTTGGCCCACAGCTCGCCGCCCTCGCCCACTGCGTCGCTCACGTTATTGGCCTCGATGCTACCGGCAAGCTCGTCTTCCTCGACACCCGTTCATGGGTCTGCTCCGTAGATCTCGAGGGCCTTGGCAACAGCTCGGTATTGTACTCAAGGCATTTCTTCGTGCCGTACGACTGGTTCTCCGGGATCAGGGATGTCATCTGTGCGGTGGCGCAGGGAGACATCCTGTTTGCACGGAATGACAACGTTGCGATCGTCAAGGGCGGGCTGGAGTATACGGAGAAGGTCAATGCGGAGATAGAGAGTGCAGAGACGTAGGAGACTAAGGGGTTGCTTGCAGTTCCGGCCGGTGGGTAGGCGGTTGTCAATCAGACGGACTCCTCGACTAGAGTCACCGATGATTTTAAATCGAGCGCATACAGCTGTGTGGATGATTTGTATACGGGTACTTCAACTCATTGCATCCTTCAGAAGATGGCTAATCTGGCGGAGAATACTACAGCATTTTCGAGACTGTTGAGTCTTACATTAATTCCATTGGCCACGGCCACTCGAAGAATAGGCCTGTCTACGGAAAACTCGAGATCAAATATAGTGTTGGCATAGCTAGAGATCCTGACATGTCTTCTCCTTTCGAGAGCAAATAGTCAGAATACTTGGAATACTTTTGACAGTGTACATCGTTCCTGAATTGAAAATTGGCTTTATAGGTGGTCAGTGACCGCGCGGATTGGTTATTTTCTGGGGCTTCGTTACTAGGTTCTCTATTTAGTTTTAGTTTCTTTTTGTATCATGTAGGCGAGTTCTACCTATTCATCTCTCCTGATATTATATTTCGCTTGCTATCCATTGTAACAGAAACACTCTTCCTTGCCTTCTTGATATTCGCAATCCGCTTTTGTAAGCTGTCGCACCATATGAGGATATTACAAGGCAAGAAGAATCATTAAGCTACATAGGAGGCACAATGTAGTGGCATCATTGGTCCAACTACTTTTACTGGAGCTAGAGCAATGATGATAGGCTTCCTTTACCCGAGCCAAACATGAAGCAATAACCCTACTACATCAAGATACCTATTAAAACTGGTGGTGATTATCAACTACATAGAACGATATCAAATACTATATTAAGGAACAGGTAGATGAGTTTTGGGTCTGAAAGGAGAGGGGAAATAATAACTAGCTTGGTGGATTTTGTAGAATAGGGAAAAAAGAAAAGAGGAAAAGGGGGGGGGGATGGTAGCCTCGCACGCCTTTCAGGGTCAGAGATGGTCCGTGCATGCATGCGAGGCTGACCGATTTAACATCCCCCATCCGACATCAGCCCGCACACCCTCAACCCTCATCTCTCCCCCCGCATCCCATATACACACATCACCACAGATCCGCACACATCACCAAACCATGACGACTCTCTCCCCAAGCACGACCTTCACCTACCCACGACACTACAACTTCCCGCCATTCTTCACGCGACAGCCACAGCTCACGACGTTCCACGCGCAATGTCGCAAATGGTCGTTGCTGATCCAAGCCTACTGTCGTTTCCACCGACTCTTCCGGCTACCGCTGGACTCGCCGCTGTTTACGAACGAGCGCTTGAATAGAAGGCTGGTGCCGGAAGACGCGAGAGCCGTGTTGGATTTTATGAGGAGTGAGGGGAGGGCTGAGTGGGTGAGGGGCGGAGAGGAGAGGAGCGTTGCGTGGGTGTGGTGGAGGACGCCCGAGGAATGGGCGGGGATTATTGGGGATTGGGTTAGTTAGATTTTTTCTTTTTTCTCTTTTCTTGTCTTTGATTTTCAGTCCTCTTTCCTCTGATGATTATCGCAGCGGATAAGTTGGGGGCTTGCTGGTTGGCGTCGAAGCAAGGAGGGATCTGTGCTAATCGATACAGGTCGAGGAAACGGCGCAGAAGAATACGGTGCTGACATTGTATGAGTTGACGGAGGGAGAGGCGACAGTGTCGCAAGGTATGTAAAACTTTCATTCCTCTGCATCTCGCGCGCTGCGCTGACTCTTGTCCTTTTAGAATTCCATGGCATGGATCCCGAGGTGCTGCAAAGAGCTCTGGCTATTCTCGTCAAGCGCGGCAAGGCACAGGTATTTGGACAGGAGGATCAACAGGGCGTCAAGTTTTTCTAGGGAGCGGCGGTGAGGTCAAGGCGTTTGAACATCGACATGGAGTTTTATGATATGGGATATCTCGTTGCTGCATACATGGGTTTTCACACCTTGTTACACCCCCCTTGGAATACAGGGTATGACCTATCACGACACCACCACCATAAGCGCCATGCCACCAACGAAACAGAAACGCACACGACCTTATGACTCGTTTTGAGCCAAGTACTGCTCACTCCACTTCAGCTGCTGAGACATCGCAACGTCTAGGAGCCACTCATGAACTACAATCCTTGGTATCATGTTACCCGCCTTTGCCATCTCGTTGAACTTCGGCCAGAGCCTCCTCTCCTCCGGCCGCAGGCCAGTGAGCAGATACACTGGCTCAGGTGGCCCTTCATCATCTTCAGGATTTGTTGGCTTGATTGTGGACCCCCCTCTCGCCCGGTAGACGCTGAAGATGCCACCGTTGGACTCGACGATTGCTTTATACGTCTCCGGACCATTTGGGATCTCTGCCGTGCAGTATATGGGAACGCGGCGCAGCAGGCTTCGCTTGTTGGCCTTGGCTCGAGATATTACATCTTGCAGTTTCAATTTGAACTTCTTCTCATTTTCCTGGTCTTTCAGGAGGAAGTCCTTCACGTTTGGAACCTCGCCATCCCGAATGCACGCGTCGATGAACTCCGACGATACGATAGTCGGTCCTGTGGCAAGGGCGCAGAGAAACTTCTGAGTTCGAACCATCTTCGGGGCCGCGAGGTGAGTACAAGTGGCAGGATCTTGGACGACCAAGATACCAAGCTCCCTTAACTTTTTCTGTGTAGCGTCAGCAGGGCGTGCTAAAATCAAGAATTCGCAATCCTACCTTTTCCGTATCCTCTTTGGTGATATTACCTAGCCATCCCTTGTAGCCAGTAATCAGCAGGCGTATTGAAACTGGTGGCAGACTTGATCCAGTCTTCGCCCGCTTTGGCGTTCGCACATCCTCGTCCGAATAATCGTCTTCATCAATGTCGTGCTTGGCAGCAGGACTTGAACTGCGTTCAAGCGATCTCTTCTCTCTATCTATCTTATTTGCAGCTCGCTCCCCACCCCAAATGTGCCCTTTCCGTTTCTTCTCTTTCTCATACAGTGCGATGTCCGGTGCTAGCCCATGGAGCTTGGAGAGTGCTTTATCTTTTGCACTGCGGCTACTTGTCGATGACGGCGTGGCATTTTCTTTGCCTGCACTAATTCGGCGATTCGCAACAGGAGTAGAGAGCTGGTCGAGAGATGCGGCAGATTTCGGTTTGGGCTTTGGCCGGGCAGCGGTCTTCGGCTTTGGTTCAAGTCCTTCCTTTGCGTCCTTCGTATCTTTATCATCTTGATCACTCGTGGCACTGTGCTCGCTAGACTTCCGCAAGCTCGACGTATTTCTATCCTTCTCATGCATCACCGGCCTTCTTACCGGTTTGGGGTCGTTAGGACTTGGAGTAGGATCCTCGGGGAAATATATTGATTTCAGGACGTCTGCATCGAGTTGCGTCTGTCCAATGATCTCGCCAAGATTAGTTCGTGGAGGGAAGTGGGTGTACCGTGGATCCGTCAGTTTCTGCACCTGGCATTTCGCGTAACTCTCTTCAATCCACAAGTGGTTTACCATTTCGATATTCCACTCCTCAGCGGCAGTGCATTTTTCGCTTGATTTTCGCGCGGTGATCAGATGTGTGTTGTCTTGCTTCATGCTTTTGGTAAATTCTGCTCCGGCGGCAATAACAAGATTTTCAAGATATATCCGTGCCTCACCTCCATAATTTGATAATGTAATGCGGTAATCCTTGAATCCTGGAATGCCGTCTTCAGGGAGCGGGTAATGCAATAACCTGCGGAGGGGAGAGGTCCATTCGTTATGCGTAATCAGATGGTAAAGCCATGAAAGGTTCCCTACGTCTATTCCGGCTCGAGAAGCAAACTTGTAATCTCGACCTGAGCGCCAGTGACAGACATATATATCAGCGTTGTGCACCGAGTTGGTAATTTGTCCGCCACCGTCTACGATAAGATCCTCAATGATCTTACGCAAACGGCTACCAATCCCGAGATCAGCTGAGATCATGATCGTTTTATCTTTGAAGACATCCAATTGGCGCGGGGATGAGAAGTCCGTAGGGATCGGGAAGGTATCTGGATGTGGGGATGTAGCGCCTCGAATGTGAGTTGTCGCAGGAATTGGAACAGCGTCCTCTGGGTTCAGCCGGAATATCTCCGGGTTCGGGAGTTGGTATGGGCCTTCATCTATGCGTTTGCCAAGTTTCAAGCAGTCATCAAACCTGGATAATATTAGACACGTACGATTTCCTTCTGGGCTTAGACATACCAGTGAGGAAGGACTATCTTGGCCTTCAGATTTCTCTCTATAGCTTGTTGGCACTTTGGATGATCCATAGTAAGAGCACAGATGTGGGTCGTCGTCTTTGTTAAACTGCTCGACTCCATGCCACCCATAGCGAGTACGGCGCCAATGATTGCATCTTTGTCACCCGTGGGAATATCAGCACAAGTAACATTGACCTGATTGAAAAAGAGCTTAGGGTCCGGAGTATAGGGGCGTATTGGAGCCTGCTTGTTCCTCAGGAGGGATGCGGCGATCCAAGCAGGCGTGATCACGGCAATCATATGCTCTCGCGCGGCCGAATATTGGGGGAAGTCGCTGGTTGTTGAGATAATATGCGTGATATCGTCGAAGTTCAAGGTGCCATCCCCGGCAATATCAATCACCTGGCCAGCATGATCCTCAATAGTCTGCTGTATCTGTTCGAGGAACTTGTTAGCTCTCGCATTTGTGGGAGACAGCACTTTGAGTATGTACCTCAACGACACGAGATGCTGGGAGATCTTTGCTTGAAACAATGGCAAAGATACAATGCTCAAAGCAAGGGCTTCCGCGATCGTCCGCCATGTTAGGAGGGGTGTTGGGGGCGTTATGAGTTTTGGGGCGGCGACAACATTCGCATTCCTTGGAGTGGCCAAGAGGGAGATGGTATAATAATCCAGTCCTAGCACTTGTAGAGCCCTTGTCGGTGCAGCAGCAATCGGTTGGTTGGAGTTGTTGGAGTTGTCGCCGCACTGGTGGCCCTGTTGATAATGGAGGACGCGCGCGAAAAAACGCGCTAAAGTGGCAGCGACGTTCTGGAGCGAGAATTGACGCGCAGATCACGTGATATACAATCTACGCCCTCAGCTCCCCAAATTTGAAGTTCCCGTGCACGTTGGACCCAAGTCACCTATCAAAAGGTACCTACTCATCCTCAAAAAAGAGAGGAAATATCCCCGTGAGGCTATACGCCCCCGGGTCATCTACAAGGCTGGAGTATGTAGAGGGGGATCTGATTATTAATAGCCGTTGGTTATCTTGAAGGTTGATAGCCTCATACCTAGCCTTGACAAGGTTTCAGAAGCCGGACTTTACCCCGTACTGGAGCCGTGCCTCGGCTTAAATTAAGTTACCCGTCCCGGTCCGGGCGAACCACCCTCACACTTTGAAGAGAGGGAACGTCCATGATATAACATTACCTTCGTTCTTGAAGAGCCAGATATTATTGGTGTTGTTATTGGCGTTTATGTTTATACTCGTATTGATCGACTGTCCCGCTCAACGTACATCTGTCCCACAGGCCCTAGCCCAGAGCCCCTTATGATGTCTTCCTCCGTCTTTGAGATAAGAGAGCATACACTAGAATGCCAACATATCCGAGAGTATGCTCGTGCTACAACACGATCTCAAGAGGACGTGTTGTACCTTGCAATCAAGCAATATATACCCTTGGATAATCTGCATCCGCAAGCAGGAGACGTCACAATTATCGGGGCCCACGCCAATGGCTTCCCCAAGGTATAACGGCCCAAGGCTTTCCGGGGATCACGTCTAAGGCTCTATAGGAACTGTACGAACCCTTATGGGAAGATATCCATGCCCGTTCAAAAAGCAATGGTTTCAGGATACGCAGTATCTGGATCGCGGACATAGCCCAGGAAGGGGCCAGTGGTGTCTTGAACGAGCAGCTTTTGGGCGACGACCGTATGTTGAAGATCCATTTTAGGGAGACCTGAGATCTAACGTGCCTTTAGCCTCGTGGATGGATCATCCTCGAGATCTACTTCACATGATTAATCATTTCCGATCAGAAATGCCCATGCCAATCGTGGGAATTGGACATTCGCTCGGCGGTAACATGCTGGTGAACCTATCACTTATGCATCCAAGGCTGCTCTCAACATTAGTCCTTTTGGATCCCGTCATTCAGCATCACCCATCAGCACCCGCAGGACCAAGCCCCACGCAGCAATCAACCTTCCGACGAGATCATTGGCCATCTCGAGCTGAAGCCGAAGCTGCTTTCCGCAAACAGAAGTTTTACCAGTCATGGGACCCGAGAGTGTTTGACCGCTGGTGCAAGTATGGAATTAGAGAGACACCCACGGCTCTATACCCAGGCGAACACGGATCCGTGACTTTGACTACGACAAAACACCAAGAAGTTTTCACATTCGCAAGACCAAGTTGGCCCGCCATGAACGAAGATGGCTCAAAAATTGTTCACCGTGAAATGGTGCCAGACCTGAATCCAAACGGTCTCGTAGTATTTCCATTCTATCGACCAGAACCGCCAAATACACTTGCAAGACTCAGTGAATTACGACCTAGCGTACTTTATATATTTGGGGAGACGAGCCCCATGTCTACTCCTGATGCTCGTAAGATCAAAATGAGTACTACAGGGACTGGGCTTGGAGGTAGCGGAGGGGCGAAGGAGGGCAGGGTGAAGGAAGTGGTGCTGAAAGGGATTGGTCATCTTGTAGCTATGGAGGCAAGCGATCAATGTGCTGACGCTGCAGCTCCTTGGTTCGGTCAGGAGATACAAAGATTCCATGCGGAAATGAGGAGTTACTTGGAATGGACGAAGAAGAGTCTGATAGAGAAGTCGACTGTGTCACAAGAATGGCAAAAGCGGGTAGGCGGCCCCCCGAGACGACCCAAGGGCAAATTATAATCGGGCAGAGGATAGATACCATAGATTATTATTGCCATATATCCCCGACACTGTCCGTTCCGTCCCTGTCTATAGCATGATCATCTCATTTCATCACGATTTGGCGTTTCGTTGTCACGCCCATCACGATGGTCTAGAATTCTTCATCTGGAGGGACCCAAAGGAGTATTCCGTCCTTATCGATCTTCATTCCCTCTGTGGGGGCTATCTTGAGCACTTTCTGTTTTGTATTAGTATTAAGTGCCTGAAAAGGGTACGAGACTTGAAACCGAGTCAAGCCCTTAAAATTGGCAGGTTTCACGAGCAACGATATAATGAAATATGCTTCCAGGAACACTTACTTGGAAATACCTATCCCTTATAACGCAGCGAATGGGCCCTATCCAGTCACCACGGACAAAAGGTATCAGTCTAAACCTCACTGTCCGTCTTGATAGTGGAACAAGCTGTAGGGTCGCCTGTTTCATGCCAGAGAAAGCGAATTTTTCACTGGGTTCCATGTTTAATCCAAAAGTAAGGAAGTGGCTTGACGAATTCTCGATCGTCACATCGAAGTGGACTGTAGAATGGATAGTTCCCGAATAAGACACTGAAGCAAGGACCCTTGGCTCATTGCTTGAAACAAGAAGCCGAGGAACAGCTAAGATGGTAGTGTTCAAGGTAGAATCCTCTTTATCACGACGCCATTTTATTGCCAACGAAACGTCGAGTGTTGCTGTGCTTCTGTCATCCAAAGATATTTTTTGAGTGAAGACATCGAATTCAGCCTCCTCGAGACTTTTAGGGCTCACACGGATGCCACCGGAAGGTATGGGAGAGGCTTTATTCGTGGTGCACTTAATGGCACCATTTGTGCTGAGTATTTCGATATCGATGTCCTCAACAATCAAGTCCTCTGCTGCAAATGAAAAATATCGGCTAGTTAGGCACCATTGCTGCGCCAGGCCGTGTACTGCAATGTCTTGTGAGGCTGTTCCCGTATTCTCTGTCTCATCATGGTTGAAGAAACTTGGCCACGGATCTGGGTGAATACGAGGGGAGAAGTCATAGTTGGCCTCAAAGGGGTTGATAAGCGTGAGTTGGGTCACAACAGAACGATATATAGGAGTTTCCATGTCAGACACGAGGTGGTAGGAGGCTTTCATCATCAGATCGTACGTCGCAGGCAAGTCGATAGCTGGAATGAGAATCTCAACAAGGGACGAAGCTGCACTTGCGATCTTCCCAATTGAAAGTCCTGGCAGAGAATTGCTCCTGTCTGTTTCTGTTTCTGTCTCAGATGCGGCAGCCAGCTTTAACGTTAGAGGTGGTGAGCGATCCCCTAGCAAGCGCACGTCAAGACTCGTAATCGAATCGACGTCCTCTCCATTGATGACCTCAAGTTGCAGGGTGATATTCTCGTTTGTGTAATATTGATCTTGTAGCTCAATAAAACGCATTTCCACCTTCGGTGGCTTTGGAAGTACTGTGATCGTAGAAGCGTTGGGGCGAACCAGTCTCCTCTTTACAGAGCGCTCTCCCCACCATACGTCTGGAGCAGTCGTATTTTCAAATCTCTGGACGTAATCAAGATCGAAGTGTTCGGAAGCTAGAGAAAATGTGGCAGATACTGCAGTTGCATCCCCAGCTTCTCTCAGCAGGCTGCTGAACCCAAATACTCGGGTCTGGCCCGGCCGAAAGGTAAGATCATCCTCTCCAGTCAAGGTTGGCCGTCTATCCTGACCTGATCCGGACTGTGAACTTCGTTTTCCAGAGAGAGTATCAGAAAGAGATACCGTGCTTAGGAGAACCTCGCCCCGGTCCTGCGTATTATCTTCGGTGGTACTTTTATGTCGCAATATAAGAGGCTTCATGCTACCATCAAACTCTATCCTTACTTCGGCCATTGTTACTGGGGCCGATGCTGGCAGAGCGCTTGATGTGACCGCCAACTGATAATGACAGAGCTCACCAACTTTTCCCTCGGCCTGCTCAAAAACGAAGGTCGCCGATAAAAATGAATGGACATCTTGATCATGAAGCACAACCACTGGTTTGGTCGTGACTTGCTTAACGCCCTCTAAGGATTTTGTTATGTCATAATGCCACTTCGGACGATAAACGAAACCTTTTGAAGAGTTAGTAATGATCTCTTTTTAGCACGAAGATGATGTTTAGAATACGAACTTCTATTCAAGAGTTCCCAGTCCACAGCAACGATTGTTCCGCCATCTCCTACATGTACAGCGGCATTTCTCAGTGCCCATCCAATCTCTTCTACAGCATCCCACCAACCCTCCCTCCTGAATGACATTTTCTGCCAAAGAGGACGAAGAATCTGCAGAGCAGTGTCCCAATCCTCTCGCCTCATGCTCTCATTTGCTGATTGAAGGGACAGCTCGTGCACTAGGCGTGTCTGTTTTCTTTTCTCGAACTCAGCAATCGCTTTTGTCAAGGACTCAATAATCAGCAGAGAATGGTCAACGCCTTTGCGTCCGGGAAGCGGATTCTCTTCATGAGGTTCCGGACAGAGGTATGTGTCATAAGTGTACGCCTTACTCGCAATCTGTGAAGCTGGAGACCAGCCAGGAGGAGACCTGTCTTCTTCCGGGATTGCGAGAGCGCGAGCACGGCGGTGCATGAGATGCTTTGAGGCCAGATAAAACCAGTAACCCGGGTGGTGAAGGCATTCTAAGGGCTCTAACCTCTCCCCGATGGTGATGCTCTTCTCTGGATGCAAGTAGAAAGACGTGCTTTCCGATGTGAATTCACTGATTGAGGCCTTCTCGATGATTTCAGCCATCACGGTGGCCCATCGAGCCTCCCAAGCCTCCCAACCATATGTAGACGAGCCTTTACCTCTTCGATCAACGAAGTCACGTATCCTTTCACGGTGTGAATGCCACCGCCGGACAGCCGCTGTTGAATTCCTATTCCAAAGTAAGCAGCGTAAGATACGTATAGCAAAGACATCGGCGAGAAGACGAGCTTCATCCCATCGGGGGCTCCAGCTGGCGATGGCCTCGAAAACATCTGGCCCAAGCAAGGCATCATAACCACTTTCATATGAGCGAACAGCAGCATCCATCTCTTGCCGGAATTCGGCAAATACTCCGAGCTTGAAGTCATATCGCACATTCCAGCCCTGGCTAGATAAGGTTTGTGATGTGCCCGAGGTAGGCGGGGACGTGGGTAGAGGAATAATGCCTCTATTTCGTTTGCGCCTCGAGTGCTTGCTCAAGTCCCTGTAGTATTCTATGCAAAGGGGATATATTGTCGAGATGATCGTTTCAACAAACGCCTTGAGTTCCACGGGTGAGCTTTGGGGAGGCAGGAAAAAGAGAGAGGTCTTGGAATCGAGACCAGTTGCTTTACGGATGTTGATTAGACGATCTTCGACCTCAGGAGACTTTATAATAGATCCCTCGCTCAGTAAAGCAACTATAAGGCGGGTCCTATAACCAGATTGACTCAATATACGTTTGGTATTGTTTATATCCGATTTCAATTGATTATCATGAAGTATTGCCAACTTCGGATCCGATGTGAATTCGTAGAAAGAGACGTAGGCACTCGGAACGAGGTCTTGATGCTTTTCGACCCATCTTGGATCGACAAGGCCGTCGGGAAAAACGGAGGCTCCAGGGGTCAAAGGTGACAACGGCGAATGCAGAACCGGGCGGTTTACTGGGTAAGAGGTATGGGAATCGAGTACTCGTGAAGATTCGGGAAGTCGAGCGCTACGAAGTGGTAAAACGTATTCCTACTGAGATTCAGTGATTTAGAGCAGAGGAAGCATCGAGTCCGCAGAACTACCCTTCCAACAATCTTAACCTTGAACTTCTTCCTCCCACTATACTCCCGGCCATTCCATGGGAGTCCATCTGCATCACTGTCTTTGAAGTGCCGAAGTAAGACCTGCGCATCTTCTGATTCCACCGGGAGTACTTCAGAGGCTATGCGTACTCCTTCTATACTCAGGTCTGCGCGATCCTGTTGAGCAGAGCCCAGTCCAGAGACCACCAACAGAGGTACATTATGAGCCACATAGGCCGGCGCATACCCGTCCATGGCGTTGTGGTCCTAAAGCCTCCTCCATAGACAGGACCACCGATTTGGCCTTATCGATCGATTGCTGCTGCGAAAGCAAGGGTGCCTAACAAAGTCTCTTGGGGAGTCCAGATAATCGGGTCGAAACTAATTGCCGGCCATGATGCGGCAGATTCCACGGGTGCTTGCAGACGGCGAAGAAGCTCAAATCTTCGTGAATGCTTCAATAATTGAGGATGCAGCTGGGACGAGGTTGCAAGACGTACCTAGAGTAAGGCACCTCAGGTACCTGGGTGTATGCCTTATGCGCTTGCCAGAAAAGAGCCTAGGCTGCCTTACATACTGTATTACATAATGCATAAACCCCGACAGCCTTGCCCCAGTGCAAGTCAGCTTGATCGACCCGATCCAACTCGCCCTTCTTCTTCTCGACAAGCTCGACACAGAACACGACTCCGCGGCTGTTGTTACTCGGGCGTATAGTCACATCAGAGACTCTGCCTATAATCTCCATTCCGTGACTTTTTCGAACCAAGGTTATCCTCCCAACTGCCCTTCTCCTGGAACCCCTCAGCTCCTGGGCTAGGAGGATCGTCCGCCAGAAAGACTTGATCGCGGTCCCCTCTTTCAGTGGTCGCCATGGCCTCCCAGGCAGCTATATTCGCCGAAACCATTGCTGGCATGAAAAAGGCTGTTAAGAGAAAAGCATACGGTACGGCAACACCCCTGTGGCCCGACCAATCTGCGAGAATCTTGCTAATCGTACCCTGCGATGTAGACTCCGATTCCGACAGTTCGGTCGAACAGCTTATGAACCGAGGGAATAAATTGAGAAAGAGGGCGAGATATGTCCATGACGGTCAATTGGCTCCACCAACAGGCCCTCAAGTTTACAAAAGGGTAGGCAATTGTCTCGCAATAGCACAAGGGCCCATCCACACATTTGGCGCATTTGCTGATACTAATACCAGAGAATCGAACACGCCGGTTTTCAGCGGGATATCATAAGTCGAAACCCCCCACTGGTTGACGAGGATGGTTACGAGGTTGATAGCGAGGATGATGACGAAAGGGCCCAGGCTGCGATGGCTGCAGCTGCAGAGTTTGACCCTTATGCGGACGTGAAGATTGAACGTATGGATCCCTCCATATCTGAGGAGTGAAAGCTGGTTCCCCCGCTAACAATATGCTTAGACCTTCTCGCGCCGTTGACAGCTGCATCCGATTTACCTGACCATCCGACCCTGTCAAAACCTTTCCTATCAAATACCCTCACTGAATTAACTCGACAAGCATGCGAGATGGTACAAAAAGAGAAGGCTTCGCTATGGAGAATCAAACATCTGTTAACAAGGCTGAGCGGCGATGATACATGGATTCCCTGCGAGACTGTAGAGACCGAGGACGACATTCTCCTCTTCGGCGATGATCGGGATATGCTCCGAGGCAACCATGGAAAGTCAATTGTCAAGGATGATGGAGAGCATCTGTCAACTGGCACATTAATATCAGACGAAGCGGTGCAGCAAGCCGGGCTGCTGATTGCGGAGGCCGAACAGCCCGTGGAAGCAGTGCTTGACGCGGCAAAAGAGGCGATTAAAAATACCGCAACTGAAACAGATATAACTATGACATCCGCGACGCAAACACCTGACGCAGATGCTGGGCCAAATGAACGAAATAGCAAACTGAAAGAGCTGCAGGAAGGCGATGACCATTCGAAGAAAGCCGAAGAAACACCGGATACCAGTACAAAGGCCCCTGATGATGGATCAATGGAAGTGGAAGAAGGAGCGAAAGCTTCAGGGCATGAGGGAACCACCGGAAAACAAGCACTGGAGACCGAAGCCATCGGTGCAGACGAAGGGATGGAAGAAGAGGATATACCTGCTCCTCATCGCATGCGAACACGAGCTCAAGCACAAGCTGCTTCAGACAACACTACAACTAGTAGAACACGGTCCGCGACTCCCGATTCTAGCATTGAACCCTTTGTACATCCATATTTCCTGGCGCCACCGAATTCGCATCCAGATCGGGACCTTGGATTACCGAAACACGAGGCGGAGGAAACTAGGAGACTATTGCAACTGTATATACAGAAGCAGGAGGAAGTCTGCCGGGGCGCGCAAAGCGTTTATGAAGGTCTGCTTAAGGCTGATCGCTATCGACATTTGGTCATGAAATGGGCAAAAGCCGAAGCCCACGTTGGTGCCAATCGCGATATGTCTGATGGCGAAGACTGGTACGACAAAGAGGAATGGGGGCTGGATGAGGATCTCAAGAAGGGACAGGACGAAGAAGAGGAAGATGCTGCAACCACAGCCAAAAAGACGAGGACACGGCGGCAGTAGTCATGTTGAGTAGGCGTGATGGGTCGGAAAAGGCGCTTGGGAGATGGGCTGTAACTTGTCCCGCACGAAGATATCCAGGATCATTGGTGTATATCAAGGACGATCAAAGCCTTCACGTTGCATTGCTCGTGATCGCTAGGGAATATCCAGGCTTTTATTGAATATTTGGAAATAAATCACTTTTTTTTTCTGAGCAATTATGATAGAGCACTCAGCCGTGTGTCTTGGAAAGTTGAGCCTCATGACCCCTGTTCGGAGCCCCGGGTTCAACCTAACGTCATAAAATCTCAACTTGCCCACCTTTAACTACACGAGTACTGTCACGATATCCACACGACCGCGCGCAACTCTTCCTAATTTCTCACGGGCTTCTGTCTTCCCTTCCTCTTCCCAGTCGCTCATAAAGGATTCAAGATCAAAATGACAAGTTTTGTGGGCAGCAAAAGCCTCATAGACTTTGACCAGAAAAGTCTCGCAGGTATGCATAGAACTACCCAGCCGCCCGGCTAAACAGTCGCTCATAAGGTACTTTCAGTTGCCGCAGCTTCAATTGCGTTCAATCCTATCTTCTGGAAGTAAGCCACAACTTCCACCCCCCAGAATACATCCGTGCGCAGCAAACAGAACTGACGCCCAGCTTTGCAGTGTCGTCGCTCGTCAAGGTCGGTGTGACACCAATCCAGCTCTCCTTCAGCAAACCTAACGAGCCGCCCAGAATACCATAACAAGATCCTCACAAAGCTTGCTGGCGGCAACTCACGTCTAGCATGTTACGGCTTAGCAGTAGCGATCTTCTCCCTTGGCATCTTCCGCGACTTTCTCTATGAACAAGCCTTGAGAACCCAGCCCTCGCATCCGCTTCTCGAGACGGGGCTCACAAAGGTTATCGCAGGTGGGCTCTTCGCTTGCGGTAATGTGCTCGTCCTCTCTTCCATGTGGGCTCTCGGTGTCACGGGCACATACCTGGGTGACTATTTTGGCATCTTGATGGACAGTATGGTTACGGGGTTCCCGTTCAATGTCACGAGTGCCCCGATGTATTACGGATCCACCATGAGCTTCTTGGGAACGGCACTTTGGTTTGGGAAGCCCGCGGGGATTTTGTTGACCGCTGAGGTGTTGGCGGTGTACCTTATTGCCCTGAGATTCGAAGATCCGTTCACCGCCAGCATTTATGCTAAGAGGGAAAAGGAGCAAAAGAAGGGCGAGAAGAAAGCACTTTAATTCAGAGAGAATAGAGGGCCTGGTCCTGTCTGAGGAGATCCTGAGGATTGTGAGGATAGAGTAGCCGTTCGGTAATACCGAATGGTTAAGTTGCGTTGTGGTTTGGCGGCATATGCATGTACTCCGTAGAGATGGCGTTCAAAAAGGGGTTCAACAACGTTGCTTAGATATTCAACTACTTTGCATCGTAGGCGTTGGGGTAGGGCCCATGTAGAGATTCGTACATAAAAATATAATTTTTACTTCCAATCAGAGGTAATAATCAACCTGCCTGTCTATGCTGCGAGGTTAATGGGTGTTGCGAGTTCAAAATGCTTCGTATTCTTGGTCTTCAAACTTCGGGGTATACATCTGTTCTCCTAAGTAACGGCATCTCACTCTTGACCTTCTCCCTGTAATCCAAATCGATATCCACAATCCCAATTTCTGGCTCGGTTCCCTCCCCTGGGAGATCCAGAATGACCTTGCCCCATGGGTCTACGACCATGGAGTGTCCATAACTCCTTCGTTTCTCGTTGTGGAAGCCAACCTGAGCGGCAGCAATAACATATGCTTGAGTCTCAATGGCTCTGGATCTCAGTAAGACCTCCCAATGCGCCTTCCCAGTCGGAACTGTGAATGCGGAAGGATATGTGATGATCTGAGCATTCTGACGCTTGAGAGCCAACGCAATCTCAGGAAATCGAAGCTTATGTGATGTCAGAGGAGGAGCTATGTAGGAAGTCAGGGGGTAGGGGAACGAGGTACATCAAAACATATTGTGAGGCCAACACGACCGACGACCGTATCTACGGGGGGAACGATGGATTTCCCAGCTTCCACACTGTTGCTCTCTTTCAAAGCACCATAATCGAACAGGTGAAGTTTGTCATAAACCGCTTCGATGTCCCCTCTTTCGTTGATCCAGCAGCTCCTATTGCTGAGCTTGCCCTCGCTGGCGGGCACGTGGATCCCCACATTGATTGCCAAAGCGGATTCTTTAGCTGCTTTCCTTAGGCCAAGGACAAAAGGGCTTGTCTCCATTGGTCGAGCAAGTGATACTGACTCCGCCGGGCTGGATGCGATATAACTGATAGTCGGTAAGTCAGTAACTGCTTTATCATGCCACGAAAATGAGTCGTGGGACGTGTTAGTGAGGTGCAGGCGGTCCTATAACTCTCAAGATAGGAAGATGTAGAACCCAGGAGCCAGTTCATATTAGAAAAAACATCTTGCTCTCCAGGGAGCCTTACTCTGCTGCTTCGGGGAGGAAAAGGGCCTGGCTGAGAGTCAGATTCGAAGATTCGGATCACATAGGAGGCGTACTTTAGCTCCAGCGTCCACAGCTTTCTTTACTAAGATTTGACACAGGGCAAGGTTGTGGCTCATTGACGCCGTTGAGCAGAGCTGACCTACAGCCTGACCCGGATCTTAGTAATTGCAATAGTATACAGAAGACAGTGGGATTTCGAGGCGCACGCTTACCGCAATAGCCATGACTGCGGTATCTGTGGGGAACGTTAAGATGGGTATCTTTTGCTTTTTCTAGAGACTAGTAGAATAATACATCACGAGATGATAGGCACTTATGTAGATTTCTCGTGCACGTTGATAACATGATGTTGTTGTTGATGCTTTTAGATTCGGAATAGTCGACCGAGGTTACAGGGGTCGCCCAGTCAGCGATGTCAGCAAGGTCAGCAACGGCCGAGTGACGTCGCGGGTTTACGGAATTCTCCTGTTATTTTCGAAGCTCGCCCTGCCCTTACTGACTGTACCTTACCTTACCTCACCTTACACAAAAGAGCGCAACGACCGGCGATGTTTTGAGCATACACTCAGCATCGCAGGATCTTGTCCAATTACCTGTTATCCCAGCATGTTAATTTGAAAGGGATCGAAATGTCAAATGGCGCTCAGGCTGGGAGATCGTCGTCTTGTAAGCAAGCTCTTCTCTGCTTCTCTCTCTACTCCCCTCCCTGCTCTTCACTCAAGCTTCCGCACCATGTGCCTAACGCCCTTCTAGCATTCCATTTTGTAGCTGGTCTGTCGTCGGGCGTTCTCTCCGCGGTCCTCCTACAGCCTGCCGACCTTCTCAAAACCCGTGTACAACAATCCGGCCACACGTCCCTGCTTGCCACCATCCGCGAAATCTCCAAGTCACCGAATTCCATCCGATCTTTCTGGCGAGGAACAGTTCCTTCAGCTTTGCGAACTGGGTTTGGTTCTGCCATCTACTTCACAGGGCTGAACGCTCTACGCCAGAATGTTGCACGTTCGAACCTCCTGCGCTCGATGGGGGTGGTGGAGAACGGCAGAATGCCAACCTCCTCCTCCCTACCGAAGCTGTCGAATCTCGCAAACCTCACGACCGGCGCTGTAGCCAGAGCTGTGGCAGGATTCATTTTGATGCCCATGACTATCATCAAGGTCCGGTACGAGTCGAATCTGTACTCATATCAGTCAATTCTCGGTGCTAGCAAGGACATCCTCAAGACCGAAGGACTCAGAGGATTCTTTTCGGGATTTGGAGCGACAGCTATCAGAGACGCACCATACGCAGGGCTTTACGTACTATTTTACGAAGAGCTCAAGAAGAGACTGAGCTTGGTAGCTCAAAAAGTCCCGGTTACGGGGGAGCTATCAGTAGGCATGAAAGGATCTACGTCAGCATACATCAATTTTGGCTCCGGAATATTAGCAGCTGGCCTTGCGACAGCCATTACGAACCCCTTCGATGCTATCAAGACCAGGATACAACTGCAGCCGAAGGATTATTACAATATGCTTCATGCCGGGCGGAAGATGGTTCGGGATGACGGCATTAAATCTCTATTCGATGGGTTGGGGCTGCGAATGGGACGCAAGGCTGTGAGCTCAGCCTTGGCATGGACACTGTATGAAGAATTGATTAGAAGAGCGGAGCTAGCCTGGAAAAATACGCATGGCGAGGGCGTACTGTAACAACACTACTTTTTGAAATTGGACCAACAAAGATACCACTCAAATAATTCAAAAGTTTTCACCTCAAACCCCCCGATTCATGACATGTCAAGGACTTGATCTCAATCCTTCGGGCGGACTCTTATTGATTGATTGGGTATTTTCGATTTGGTATAGGAACGAGAATTTTGAAATATCACCAAAAAGCAACAACTCCACAAGGGAGCTCAAGACTCCTCCAAAAATCCAAATCTCAAGATGCACGAGTGTGTGTCGTTACTCCCTCTTCATATCCTCTCCTTATCGCCTGCCACCGGCTAGGTAGGTTAGCAATGCGGAAGGAGACGGCTTCCTCTCGTGGTGCTTCTTCTTTCGCACGAATTCAAACTCGGGCTCATGGTGTTTCTTCTTGCCTTCGATGGCAAGAATAGTGGTGGGCTGTCTGAGCTCTCGGATTTCACGAGTGTGGTTCCACAATAAATCTTGCTCGTGTTCTAAAAGCAAGGTTAGCACTCTATTTTGTTGAATGCAGAGCTTTGCGATAAAGGCAGGCTTCAAGAACCTAAGGAGAAGGGGGTCAGTCGAATGGGGGAATGGGGAATGACACGAACCTGGAACCCATCGCTTGATAAGAACATATTCGGGATCCTGGGATTTCATTAGCTCTTTTCTAATAGTTTGAGAGGGTGTCCTACCATATCGAATTCGTAGTCGATTCGGTATCGATTCAGCGTTTCGATCGAGAGATATTTTCGGGACATTCTGGTGTAGGTTTCCCGGGCTGGGGCTGGGGCTGGCTCGACGAACTTTTCCTTCTTCAAGACAGCGGCAATTTGTTTTTCGTCCATACCTGAGGTAGAAGATTTCTGAGTTAGTATGGCTCATAGGACGAGTACATGTCCAATGGGAGATAGACAAAAAGACATACCTGATTTCCGCAGGTCTTCCTGGAGTCGTCTCTTATACTCCTTCTCCCGCTCCTCTTTCTCCTTCTCCCTCTGCTCCTTTTCTTTCTTTTCTTTGGCCGCTTTTTCGGCCTCTTTCTGCTTGAATTCTTCTACCGCCTTCTCGGCTTCCTTCCTCAAGCGTTCTTTCTCCTCCTTAGCCCGTTTCTCATCGCGTAACCTCTTCAACTCCATCTCCTCCTTAATGCGCTTCTCTTCTTTCTCTCGCTCAGCCTCCAGCTTATACGCCTCAAGCTCCTTGCGAGCCTGCTCCAATTCATAGTCCTCCCGGGACGAACGAGGAGAGACGAAGGAGCGTGGTCGCGACCTAGACCGCGATCGATGATGAACGGGACGGGACAACTGGAGGTAGCGCGCATCCTCCTCCTCGTCCTCGTCCTCATAATCGTTATAGACCCGGTTGTTGATAATTACTGGGGGAGGGATGGGTGCCCGCTCCGGACTTGCTCGATGGCTGATAATTGATCGGGGCCTGGGCGGCGGACTCGGGTCGCGGTATTCAGGGACCCGATAGCTGGGTCCATGGGTGTAAATTATTGGGCGTTGGGCAGGAGGGTGGACGGGAGGGTGGATGGGAGCGTGTCGATGTTCTGGATAGATAGGGGATCCCCGACCGTGACGGATGCGGATATCGATGTCATCCTCGTCAGAGTAATAGCTGCTCATGGTTTCTGCGGGGGGAAATCACAGGTATGTTTCTGTGAATCACCGGAAGGCCTTGGGCAAATCGCGAGGGCTTGGAACACAGCCCTGCTTCCTTGGATGGGACGTCGTCGGCTCTGTACTATGTAGCGGGGTACAGCTATCAACTATACGACTTGACTACCTTATGTATCGGTTGGCGATAGGCACGATACGGGTGCGTCTTCGAGGAAATGCGATCGATCGCTGCTGGCTATGATGATGGAGAGACGTACGAGAGAAGAGGAGTCTGACAGAGTTGGGTGCAAAGATGTGGGATTTAGAAACAGGCGGTGTCAGCGGGAGGGAAGAGGGGGAGGGGGAGGGGGAGATGGGCATGGGGGCTGATTTAAGGGTGAACGCCGCGAGAATCAAACCAGTCATCGTTCAACTCGGCCCAAGCAGCAGCCAGCCCTACTACAGTGCTACTGCTACGAGTACGAGATGCTTGCAGCCTACTGCGGAGCATGCAGCCTACGATGCAAGTTGCAACTCTGCAACTCTACTACTTATCATTACTCCGTAATACTCCGCATCGCAATCGTCGACCACTCCTGCGACTCTCGTAAAAGCGACCTCCCAGGACTCAGAGTCCCAGAGCGTTGTCCCCTGGCACGGCTTGATCGATCTTTTGTCCTTCCCGAGGGGACCCTCGCGATACGCCCTGGGTCCCTGGCTCGCAGGCACACGCGATCTCTCGACTCTTGGTCTCTGCCAAGTTTCCACGTTTGATGGCGAATGGGTCACCGAATCCTTGGGCCTGCTCAAACTAATCTGGGCCCAACCCAATGTACGCAGGTTGGGCCTTGTACGGCCTCAGCTGGCTGGGATGTGGCCCACGAAGCGCCCAAACGCTGCTGTTTTGCTGCGAAATGGTTGGCGGATACTTGGTGGTTGGAGGTCGCTGGATGTTACCGTTATGTATTACATATATATATACCCATTTATTTATCTACAGGGACGCTTTGCACTGTATCGGCACTGCATATGGCATCGTTTCTGACTTGGATTATGTGTTTTTAATTTTGCTTCCTATTCGCCATCCCCTGTCGTGGATTGAGAATCCTGCATCCTGCATCCTCTGTTTGGGGTCCTGTACTGCGACCCCAACATTTTCGAGGGCAAATGTCACGACACTGGGTATATAACACATGATACTCGCTCACGGATGAACCGTGGTGAAACGGGCCGGCAAATCGCCCTACTCGGGACAAATCCACGCCATGTCGCGGACAGAAAGCCCCTGACTTGTTCTTCTTGCCCTCTCTGACACACCCGCCAGTTTGGCACATGTCCATCCCTCCCCATCCCGCCCCATCATCCCCAATCTACCCAGGCTCCTATTTTCCTGCAGCTTCATCATGCGCGCCCCCCGCTCTTGAAGATCTGATCAATGTGCTCCCGGCTATTCTTATGTGTCGTCTCAAGATACTGGAGCTTCTTTCCTAGATTCTCGACATCTGATTTCAACTCTGTTGTTTCGCTGGACAACCTCTTGTCAACTTCGGTTATAGGGCTGTAGACGAACCTGCGAAGAGAGGGTTATTAGTAGTGATCAAACCCGGTAGAAAGACAAAGTCGAAGCTCCGGGATGAAGAAAGAGAAGCGGGGTCATGAAGAGCTTGCTTACATTTTGCCCACGCCCTCATACACGTTGGTATCGGGAGGGAGTGTGGACACCTCGTTGGAAGTGAGCTGCAGCATGCGAATTTCGCGCTGCTTGGCTGATATCTGGGACCTGACAATGTTGATCTGTTGTTGAGCGGCTATGGCCTGGGTCTCAATTTCTTGGACCAGCTGGAATGATGGCTGTCAGTTTAGGTCCTGGAATAGATGTCCACCTCTTTATAGGTACGTCTGTCTTGAAGGAGGGGAGTTGTCTGATGATGGATCCTAACCTTTTGTAGAGCTTCATTTGGGATAGACATCTCGTCGCAGATGTGCCCGCAGTACAAGGGGGCAGACCTATTTGAAGAATTGACGGTGCTCTTGGGGTAAGGTTTGGTTGTAGAGGAGGCCTGAAGGTTTCCGCCGAGTACGGTAAGGGTTCATCAAAGCACCACTTGAGGACTTGAAGATGGAGTCATGTGGCGATAAGAGCACGTGGAGATAAGGTCATGACCGACTAATTTTCATTTTCATTTCTTGTGTTCCTATGTTCCTCGGTACCTTAGGACATGACGTAGCTAAGGTAAGATAGGTGTATCTGTCAGTCTACAGTATGTCGTAGCTAATAATAGTCTAGGTTAGTTAAGGTATGTCTTGTTATTTACCTTACTATTTATTAGAGACGCCTTGCTTTCGCATCCATTCTGAATCAGTCTTGCTAAGACAGACGTGTTACACGGAACAGAAGGCAAGGTAAGCTTTTATTTTCGTTCACCCACGGAGTCTACTATAGGCTACGCGATGACCTACTGCGGGTACGTTGTGGTGTCCCGCGGGAGCCGAACAGCGGTAGTCCCTACCTACCACTTCCCACACTTTACCTTAACTCCCTTTGCCTTTGCCTTATCACTCATCACCCTCCTTCTCCTTCACCTTCACCTTCACCTTCACCTCCACCTCCACCCTGCCTCCAAGATGTTTACCTAGGGTATTCTTTGTCCGTACGACACACTTGAATTCCGCAATCGCTGGCCTCTGCATCCTGATACTGCCTTCTGCATTACCCCTCCTGGCTTTGACTGACATACCGTCCTCCCGCACTTGCAGCGCTCCACAGTCCGAGGTTTCGCGGTGAACCACCCACACGCCCAACAGTAACACAGTTTCGCGCGATCTTATATCACCATGGGCTTCCACTTGCCATCTGTGCCATACCCCCCCACGCGGGAAGGTTTCTGGGCGCCAGTAACGTCTACCATCAATTGGTGTGAGGGTACTGTACTTCCACCCCTCGCCCTTCTCGGGACCCTTACTAATTTTCACTTGCAGAGGATTACTATGCCACGATCTACAGTGCGGAGATTGTTAACACGCTCACGAACCTGCTGTTTATCGCTCTCGGTGTGAAAGGCATACGGAATTGCCTTAAATATAAACACGACACTGTGTTTTTGGTCGCATTCATAGGATACACCCTGGTAGGCAGTGGCAGTTTTGCGTTCCACAGCACGCTGAAATGTAAGTGTTCTATAAGTGCGCAATCCTTCTTGAGGGTTTAAAGCCTGACACGAATCCTAGATCCTATGCAGCTTGTGGACGAGGTCTGTATTACTAGCTATTACCTTTCAAGCAACTTACTGAGTCCCTCTAGCTTTCCATGATCTATAGCTCAGTCATAATGCTGTATTCTTCCTTCTCTGTCTCACGTTCGGTTTTGTTCCGCCAAGTGCTGGGGTTCTCATTGGCGTCACTGGCAATCTTCATCACGGTAGGTGCCCCTTGTCCTGTCTTTTCTCGAAAGCAGTCTGCTGATTCGTCAGCTATATTACCACTACCTGCAAGACCCCGTCTTCCACCAGAACGCCTTTGCTATGATTACTATTCTCGTTGTCGGGCGTTCCGTCTACATGATGGAAATCAACCTTCGACCATCGCTGAGAAAGAAGTACCCAAACGCTTCGCATATTCCCCCGGGGACATTGTCACCTTCCGAGCAATTGGCAAATGAGGAGAGAGACAAGTTAATATTAAGAAGGATGTGGTTGATGGTGGGTTCCGGGGTCTCCATATTCTTAGGGGGCTTCGGAATATGGGCTCTGGATCGAGTATTCTGCTCAAATATACGACGATGGCGTCACCAGATTGGATTGCCATGGGGAATCCTTTTGGAAGGACACGGATGGTGGTAAGTACATCGCATAAATGTTTGTGGCTTACACCCTAACGTAAAACAGGCACATCATGACGGGGATTGGATCGTATTTTTACATTGTTTGGGCCATCTGGTTGAGGTACTGCTTGCATCAGAGCCAGGACAAGTATGCCCTGAATTGGCCGAGTGTTTTCTTTTCACTCCCCGAAGTGGTTCTCATCAAGGATCTAAAACCAACACCTGGAGTCAACGGTTCTCCAGTTAAGGGTGGATACACAAAGGGCGAAGATAGAAAATCTGTATAGAACCGGTATCTCTTGTTTCGCACTCAATAGACTAAAAAGCATGGTCTCGTCTAACAAAATCCAGCGTGGGAGGAAAAATTGGGCAGTATTCTTCCGGAAAGGGTTATCACTATCTCATAGAGTTCTGGTAGTTCTCTGTTGGTCTTATTCCTGAATATCCAAGCGTAAGCGCAGTTGCAACAGTATATCCGCTATCTACATGGTGATCAACTATATATAGTATTCGAGAATATGATAAGGTAGCCCGTCCGAATCATTCTTCTGGACTTCTTAGATAATGCCAATGAAAGGACAGCGCTTTCGCAGCCTCGTCGTAGCCTCGTCTCTGAAGGGATGCTGCTAATTTTAGCGCTGCAAGTCGAAATGTGGTTTCGGGTCTCCTCACCACCTCGAAACACGCAATCCCTCCCCACGCAGCAGTTGGGAATTCTGTGCCCCAATGAAATCTCAGATGCAGTTTATGCCAACAGTCTGAGCTGCCTGGCTGTTTTACAAATTGCGCTCTGGCAATTACCGGGTACACCGTCTTCTCTCCTCTTACACCTACAACGAACTGTGATGTATGACCAGGCGCAACTTCGAACGACGCGACGCGCCCCCATAAGAGAAGCACGGCTGGCATTCCAATGATGGCGGCTCCCACGAAGCAGTCTTCAAGATGGGGTTCATTTCTCCAGCAGGCAGTAGCCAATGTAGAGTCAAGACTCGACAACATCCTTACCGAGGGCTCGGAGGACGGTGGAAGGCCAAGCAAGCCAGCGACAGCAACGCAATCGGTCTCAGTTAAGCCAGAGAGCGGTAGGCAGCTCGGTCTCTAACTCCGGAGGGGATACTGACATGCTACAGGTGTTAGTCGCAGTTCTTCGAGGAGCAGCAAGTCGAACGATCGCTTGCAGGAACGGCTGGCAAGGGCGATAGCCGCAAAGAATTTAGCGCAGAAAGCCGACTCCCTCACAAAATCATTGGCGCCCTCTTCTGACAACAGCACAAATTCGAATAATGAGAGCCCACGACAGAGCTTGGATGTGCCGCCTAGGGAAGCTCGGACGGAAGCTGGAGATGGAGCTGGGACTCAACCAGAAACGCAGGCGGAAAATGGGGAGCCACGTATGATTGACACCAAGCCAACTACTTCTGACCCAGAAGAGAAGTTGGAAAGTGAAGGGAAGTCGAGTGGTCTAGAGGTGAAGGCAGAACAACTCGAGACACTGTCACGCCCTTCAACAGAATCTACCCAGTCCAGCGTACCTCGAGAATCAATAGACTTGATTCGATATCAAACCCCGGAGGCCGGTCTCTCTTCCGAAAGACCGTCTTCTGAGCTCGCAGATACGGGGCTCTCACTAAAAACACCAGCCGAATATGATATCCTTTTGAAGCAATTGCAAGCTGATTTCGAAACCTCTGAATTACAAAAGCACGAAGAGATTCATGGCTATATCGAGCGCATTGACGCACTACAAGCGAAGTTGCAATACTTGGCCAAAGAGAGCGCCGAGGCCTCTAGGAAAGCCAGTGACTCGGCACCTGCGGGTTCTCTGGAAAAGAAATTAGCGGACAAGGAAGAGCAAGTCGCACTATTGATGGAGGAAGGGCAAAAGCTTTCCAAAAAAGAGCTCACCCATCTTACCACAATCAAGAAATTGCGTGCGAAGATCCAAGAAGATAACAAAGAGCTTACGGAAGTCAGGAAAAAGCAAGAAAAGGCAGAAAAGGATGCCGCGCTTGCCGCTGATCGTTTGAAACGAGCTGAAAACTCGGAGAAGCAGGTCAACGAGAAGCAAAGGCAGATACTTCAATTACAAAAGGAAATCGAATCGCTGAAAGCAGCAGGAGATTCCAAAGACGTTACTATTGCAGATCTAAGATCGCAACTGGAGGAGGCGGTAACACAGGGAAAGCAGGCAGAACTTAAGCTTACCAATGAATCCCTCGAGTTGGAAAGGAAGAAGGTTGCAGAACTTGAGGAAAATATTGCAAATATGAAGATCGAGAAGGATCTCGTCGCTGACAGGGCGCAAGCGCAAATCAAAGAGCTTCGGGAGAAAATGGAGAAGGATTCTGAGCGTGCCCGCGTTACAGAGCTGGAGATGAAGTCTGAACAGCAAATGCTAGAAAGCAAACTAGAAGTCATGAGAGCGAGAGCTGAGGAGGTATCGACAGGAGCCACGGGTGACGCACAAGCCAAATTACTACGGCAAATTGAGACCTTGCAGACTCAATATGTTGTCGCGAGCGAAAATTGGCAGGGTATTGAAGCATCCCTGATTGCAAGAGCTACAAGTCTCGAGAAGGAAAGGGACGAGGCAACTCGAAGAGAGGCAGACATTCGACGAAAGGCTCGAGAAGTCGTAAGTCAGATAAGAAATATTGCTATAACTCCTGTTCTAACAAGCATACAGACCCTGAAAGTCAAACGCAACGAGGATGAGCTCGAAGAACTAAGACCGAAACTGCCTAGTTTGCAGCAAGAGCTTGCCGCTCAGAAAGCACAGCTTGATAGCTTGCAGCAACGTGCAAAAGAGGCAGAGGCCGCCTTGATTGAAGCCCGGGCAGCATTCGATCAAGAAAGGCAAGCTTGGCAATCTGAGCTGCTGCAACGTATAGATGAGGAGAGACAAAAATGGCAAGAGGAGACAGCTGGCCAAGGCTTTCTTAGTCCCGGCCGTGTGGACTCACCTCTTGCATCGCCTCGCAGAGGATTTACCCCAGAGTTTCTAGGATTCCAAACCTTGCCGATAAGGGGAACAACGGCTCGCTCTATAACCAGCGATGTGCCCACAGCGGATCGGTTTCAGGCCCGTCGCCCTTCAGCTGTAGCTCTTGGTCGATCTTCAGGAGGGAATGGAAACCCCACAAGACAGGACTTGTTTCAATCAGTGACTGCAAATACTGAAGTTCCGGATACCCCTTCCATACACACCGATCAAGACGACTTCTTCGAGAATAATGCATCACTATCGTCCCCGCATCAAACGATAAACGACATGGTGTCTGCATCTACCGCTGGTGCGGGACCGTCCGTTCAACTGGTAGAAAGAATGAGCTCTGCAGTGCGACGGTTGGAGAGTGAAAAAGTCGCCACCAAGGAAGATATAGCAAGACTTTCTGCTCAGCGAGATGAGGCAAGAGCCGAGATCGTTGCTCTCATGAAAGAAGTTGAAGCGAAGAAGGCTGCAGATGCTAGAGTTGCAGAACTGGAAGCAGAAGTTGAGGAGATCAAGGCAAGATATGAAACGACATTAGAGATGTTAGGGGAGAAGAGCGAGCTGGTGGATGAGCTACGGAGCGACATTGATGATATTAAAGCTATGTATCGGGAGCTCGTTGAAAGGACAGTGAAATGAGAGGATGGGAGGTGATACAAAAATATCGCCTCATTACAGGCGACTTGATAAAAGCGGGATGGTATCAGGAGTTACCAACAGCACGAAGAAAGATGCGGGGATTTCTCAAGGAGCTGTCTTAACGAGGATATGGAAATACTTCGAATTTGCCCAAGATGCTCAATGGACATTTGGGTGTTGCAACCATTTGAGAAAGCTTTTAGATTATAATATTCATAGCACGCTATAATTCTATACCCTCACGCTCTGCACTTTGCAAGATGAACTTCCGGACCTGAAAGAAGTTAATACGCGCTGACTTTATGCATGTGAAACAACTTGCCTGAGCGTCAGGAGCGAGGTCCATTGCCAGAGATCCATCCACGTCCTTTTTATCTGTCTCCGCACCAGCTTTCAAGAGGGCAACCGCTGTGTCACCTGTAGGACTGTCAGAATTTCCCGCAAAGCAAAGAGAAGGCCAAGACCCACCGTGTCCTTCAGCTACAGCATGATGCAATGGAGTCTGACCGGCAATATCAGCCGGGTTCAAGGGACTCCTATGCTTCAAAAGAAGCTCGACCATAGGGACCGATCCGACAGCTGCAGCTCTGTGGATGGCATATTGCCCCCTTTTATCCTTCACTCGGGCCGACGCTGGCGGCTTGCTTTCCAATAACTTTCGGGCAAGATCTAGATTATTCTTCGATGCTACGAAGTGAAGTGCAGTCTGTTCTCCTATTTAGACCAGAATAATACTAAGCGGGGTGTAGATAACCTACTTGACCACTGAAATCTGTAGAGAAATGTGAACAGACTGAACATGCAAGCAATAGGGAGAGGCTGCCCACTCACTTTTGGCATTAACATCTGCCCCTTTCCCAAGGAAAAGATCTACCAGCCCTTCTCCATCCTTGAGGCTCACGGCAATCATAAGAGGGGTCCATCCTGAGCCGTCCTGATGAGGGGTGAGCGATCTCTTCACAAGAAAAGTTAGAAGGGGCCTACCTGAACATCAGGATCAAAGTCCTTCACTGCGGATAGCAGGATTGCGGTTTCCGCGTGGCCGTGAGAAACAGCCCAGTGGATGGGCAACCGCTCATCATCATCACGTTGATTCGCAAGCTTGGGATTGGCCTATTTCATATATAAGTAAATGCCCGTAAGAAAAAAAGATTGGGTGCTCTGGAACACTCACGTTTAAAAGTGATTCGACGACACTCGCTATCAAATACTAGAGTTAGCAGCTGATGAGGTATCGGTTCATGTTGATGCTGAGGCTGATGATCATACTTTTTCCCTCCCTGGCGGCCTCATGGATGGCAAATTTAGAGGGTTCATCCATAGTGTCTCAGACTTATATGAGGCTTGGTATAACAAGTCTTAAAAGAAAGATAATTCAATCAACGAGGTTCATGGTCAAGGGGAGATTGCTGTTCATCAGCTGTTCATCACCCCTCCAGCCTGAAGGCCGGCGCATCACGTGAGAGAGTTTTAATTCTTCTGATTGGCTGATTTCTGCAAGGCTGCAGCTGCACTTCGTAGCGCGCCGCGAAAAATAGACCGTGATCTCGAAAGGACAGCCTCTTCAACCTCATTCCACCGCCCACCAGTATCACATACATTTCCAAGCTCTAGATATGTCGGTTGCAGTCGCGGTCAATGAAACTGTCAATGAGAGCTTCGATGTCGATCACCTCAAGTCGCTTGTGAAACAAAACGCCAAAAGATCAAGAGCGCTCTTCGCGGAAAGCCAGACCAAGGATGCTCCAGAGGTCACCGAATTAGCTGACCGCGTGGGAATCGCTGCGCGCATACGCTCCGAGTATGATGATGTTCGCGAGTTACCACCAGCTCTTGCAGCCAAGCAAGCAAACGCCGCCGGTCCTCGCAAGAAGAAGCCGAAGACCACGACCGATGACAAAGACGCCTCTGACGCGCGGACGACGAAACTTATAGAAGGGGTAGTCTCGAAAGATCAGAATGGTGGCAGCAGCTCATCAACAGCATTAACGGTCCGGGGGCGTGGTGCAACAGAGAACCTCCCGCCCAATGCCAATGGTCCTACAGCGCAACGAAACCTCCCCTCTTCGAGTCTTGTTCGCAAACAAGCGGTTATGCAGATTAAGCCTGAGTGGCACGCGCCGTGGAAGCTGATGCGTGTTATTTCTGGGCATCTGGGCTGGGTTAGAAGTTTGGCGGTGGAACCTGAGAATAAGTGGTTTGCAAGTGGCGCAGGAGACCGAACCATCAAGATCTGGGATCTCGCGACTGGGTCTCTTCGTCTTACCTTGACGGGGCACATATCGACAGTGAGAGGTCTAGCAGTTTCTCCCCGACATCCATATCTTTTCTCCTGTGGTGAAGACAAGATGGTCAAGTGCTGGGATCTCGAGACGAATAAGGTTATCAGGCATTACCATGGCCATCTTAGTGGTGTTTACACTTTGTCACTTCACCCGACTCTTGATGTTTTGGTCACAGGCGGTAGAGATGGTGTTGCAAGGGTCTGGGATATGCGGACGCGGAGTAATATTCACGTTCTGTCAGGGCACAAGGGCACGGTATCCGACGTCAAGTGTCAGGAAGCCGATCCGCAGGTCATTACCTCCTCTCTCGATTCAACAGTACGACTCTGGGATCTTGCTGCAGGAAAATCTATGGGCGTTTTGACACATCACAAGAAGGGTGTAAGGGCACTGACTACCCATCCGAAGGAATTCACATTCGCGAGCGGCAGTACTGGAAGTATTAAGCAATGGAAATTGCCCGAAGGCGCGTTCATGCAAAACTTCGAGGGGCATAATGCCATTATCAACACTCTTTCTGTTAACGAGGATAATGTTTTATTTTCCGGAGGTAGGTGCAACTTTTTCCAGATAGCCTGACCCTGCTAATACGAATGATCTAGGTGATAATGGATCGATGAGTTTCTGGGACTGGAAGTCAGGATACAGGTACCAGGCCTTAGATACCACTGCCCAACCAGGTTCACTAGACGCAGAGGCGGGAATCATGAGTTCGACATTTGATCGTACAGGACTTCGATTAATCTGTGGAGAGGCGGATAAGACCAGTGAGTAACCTTCTCAGACCGCCCATGTCCATGGAATCGACAGCTAACACCGAGGTAGTCAAAGTATGGAAGCAGGACGAGAACGCAACTCCAGAAACTCATCCGCTGGAGTGGAAACCGACCCTGGGGAGGCAAAAGTTTTAATGAGTCGGACACTGCGTTTCCAGATTTCTAGGTCTTTGAAGATCTTAAAAAGCCTAGAAACATTGTAAAAAATCAGGGGTTTATTTGCATCATTGGGCGAATGGCGCGGGAAAGGGAGTTGGTTAGACTACCAGATGGGTAATAGGTCTCCTGGTGGCATTGATTCATTTATACCTACTTAAAATCCAAGATTCTTGATCTCTGGATCATCTTTGAAAGCGAGTTTTACATCTTCCTCACCAATACTCAATCGAATCTTGCTTGTGCGATCGGCCTTTTGTGTCTCCAGACCTATAATACCAGCCTCCATAAGATCAATGACTGATGTCCCCATAGAAAGGACTCGAGGGTCTTTCGAATATTGCCTAGCTGTCGAGTGCATGTTCTTGTTTGTGGGGGCAAGCTCATCCTTGAGCAGAAACTCGATCATGTTACCTCCAGTGTCCATCTTAGCCATCCGCTTGGCTTCATCAAGAACTTCACCAAGTATGCTCTCTGCGATGCCGGTTCTGCGAGTCTTCGCAATCAAGGCAGCAAGTAGAACTTTTGCTGAAAGTGGTAGCCCGCGCAGGCATTGCTGCAAGGGATTCGTCGTGGCTTCATTAATAGCACGCTTCACTGTGGCAATGGTGACTTTACCGAGTGTTTTCGAAGGCTGTGATCCTTTGTTAGCTTTTACTGCGCTCTTGCTTGGCGTTCCCGGGACAGGTTCGGCCTCTAGAGCGTCTGCTTCTGCAAGTTCCACTGCTCTCCTGCAGATGTCGAGCGCTCTTCTTGCATCACCGCTAACAGCTGCAACTTTCCTGCTGGCGAATTGGACGGCATCCGAGTCTACAATGTTTCCAGGAACACCTTCGAGCCGCGATTGGATGATTTTCATGAGTTGTTCATGAGTATATCCAGGGAAAGTTATTCGTGTAAGACCTAGTCGGGGTTGGTTAGCTTGCTGTTTCAACAATGTACATTATAGGGGCATTATCTATCTATGAGGGACAGAGATTGCTTACCAAGTCTACTGCTGATCTTATTGCTCAGAGTTCTTTCTGGTAAATCCATGGTATTTGCTACCGCAAGCACAATCAGTTTACTGTGCCTCAGGCCAGGCCAGTTGAAGAAGTTGTACATGACACTTTGATTCTTAGTAACAAGTTGGTCCAGTTCATCCATCAATACAACGCAGGGTACTCTTCGAGGCGTTGGGTGATTAAACTCACGCTCCAAAAGGTCCAGGGCATGCGAGGGGCTAACCCGATCTCCCTTGAGGGCCTCCCAGAGCAACGAATAAGACTGATGTGGATCCGCCACTTTCATGCCGTTGATCTCGACAAATATAAAGTCATCAAGTTCGTCCTCCATGACGGAGGCATTGAGCTGGGCAACGACCTCTCGGACTGTCGCTGTCTTGCCAGTCCCCGGAGTTCCGGATATATAGATGCAAGCTCCGGAGCCATCTGAAATGGCAGCTTCGAGATGTGAATATACTGAGGCAAATTCGTCCTCCCGGCAAGGTAGTGTATTAGGAACTGCCGAGACATGAAGTCTCGATCGTGCGGTTTGGAACGGTGAGGAAAATACATGGTCAGCAGCTAGTATACGTGTTCCCAGGGGTGTAAATTCAAGGGGCTTCTTGACAACCACTCTGAATATAAATTAGTTAAATGCAACAACAACTTCGGAGCTTATCAGACAATACCTCTTGTGACTTGGTGTCATTAATTTCGAAGGTGTTCGGGGTTTTCGCGGCGTTGACACCGTGGATGTCTTTTGCCTTTTTCGAGGAGTCCCTGGTTCATCATCGACGTTATCCCGAGCATGGAACTCGTCGTCCTCAGTTGGTTTCGTTGCCTTCTGTCTCTTTCTCGTAGCCTTAGTATCACGCTTGAGCCGTTCGATCAAGGCCTCCACATCCTCTTCCGTGCCGTGATAAATATCTTCCCATACAAATTCCTCGGTGTAAGTTGCGGTCCGAGTATTACATCCTCGACGACAGATGAAAGTCTTCCCATACTCCTTCGACTTTCGTGGAACCTTACCAGACGGGTATTTCGCATAGAAGGCTTTGTCTGACATTATTATAGCCTTGCCATTGATCGATTCCAAAGGATTCAGGTCCCAGGATGGTGAGATGTAAAGCTCATTCTGGAAGCATTAGCATATATTCTCCGTGCATGGGAGTATTAAGACATACAGGCAAGAAATCTGATCGCTTCTTATGCTTGTTTGTAATCTCGTGCTCCGAAGAGAACCCTAGGTATAATGAGCAACGTGTTGTCTGAGTTGTAATACCGTCCCGTCTTCTTACACATAACGTTTGCGCTCTTCTCCCCAGTCTCGTCCTCAGCAAACTCGCATATCATACCCACCCAGGCCTTGCTACCTTCGCCTTCGGCCTTCAAAAGAACACAATCACCGACTTGGCACTGAAAGCTGCCCATCCTCGCTCCAATTATCTTCTGGTCCTGGGTTCTCGACGTAGCTCGCACTGGCTTGTTCCTCCGCGTCTTCGTGGAGGCTGCTGCATCCTCATCGTCTCCATTCCCATTCTGGTCTGCCTCTCGGGGCTTCTGCGCCTCGTATATCCATTCCCAGGGGAGGTCTTCATATCCCAGTTCATCATCAGAATCCTCCCTCGAAACCGCCGAACCCGCTAGTAATCTCCTAGCCCGCTCGGCTTTGGCATTGTGTTGCTGCGGTGTTGAGGTCTTATGAGGCATCTCGAACGGTGGCCTTCATTATCTGTTGCGTAGGTACAGTGAATCTCGTGTATGAATGTTGCAAATATATCCTGTAGCCCGATACCTACGTACCTAGCTACAATGTATTGATATCACTTTTAGCGAGACGCGACGCGGCGCGACGTGCGCGAAGCGAGGCTGCTCAGGGGCAATTCGTTTCCAGATGGACAAGTACATACCTTACATTACCTTCCTTGCTATAGCAAAAGGCAATATCATCGTAAATATATAATACAATATGTACTGCATCTGCATTATATTACAGTACGAGCTCCGTAATACATACAATATAATGCACAGCTGTTTGCTTTCTGCCTCCTCCCCTTCGTCCAGTCCAGCAGACGGATGCAAACGCTTCGAATTCCTACTTCGTCTGACATCCATACCTACGACTTTATCGCCCTCCACATGTCTTACAGACCAGAAATTTTGTCCCGCTATCTTTTTTTTTATGCAAGACCTCCCCCAACCCACGGCCCAGAGCCTCTTCTTTGATCGTCAATAAAGGCGCCCCCCTCAATCATGGATCCTCTTAAGGAGTTGGTTCCCCACATTCCTGCTTCTTTCTGTATACAGGCTGACACTCCCCAGTTTCGAGACATCCAACGCTCTTCGTATGTAACGGATATGCTGATTGCACCTTTTGACCATTGCTGACCCATCTAGAATGGGACCAAGAATCTACAATCACCACAAGCACGGAGCTATCACCAGCACTTGCCTCCACAAACCCCGCTACTCAAAGCAATGTAGGCCATGTCGCTCCTCTGAGTCAGGTCGCTCCTCTTGGCCAGCAGGGCATCAATAGGCAACAGATCTTGGGCAGTTACAGTGGCATTGGTGGCAGAAGCTTATCTACTTCTTATGAAACCACTCCTTCTCCTGCTCCCCACCGACAGTCCTATCAAAGCAATGGTACGTGTTTCCAACTCAATCTTCCACGTTTACACTAAACTTGTCAGGAAATTTGAATAGCAGAGCTCCGAATAATGACCATCGCCAGCCACAACACGGGAGTGAACAGCGTCGATCTTATCGAGCCACTCCCGCCTTCCAGTCTTCTGCTGATTCCAGAGTCAAGCTATGGGCCAAACCCAAGGGACTGGTGACTACCAGGATGGAGAACACGAATGTCGTCAAGGAGAAGGAAAATGCAGAAATTAAGAAATATCTTGGTTCTGTCAACGGACAGGAAGATTACCAGGCTACAGTAAGCAACTTCTTCCTTCGTCCGGATTAAACGCAGACCCTAGAAATGAAAGATCGTATTAACTAACTTTCAAAGGGTTACTACCTCTGGCCAAAGAAAGGAGTCAATCCAAGAGAGCTGCTCGGTTGGAAGCTTGAAAAGCTAGATGTTCTCAGGAAGACCTTCAAGGTCATCATTGAGTGGGACGACAGAAAGCAGTGCCTGACAATAAACTCGGACAGGCCCACCGCGGACCACGACATTATGGCAACAATCAAGGGTATCCGACAAGCTGTTCAAAACTGCAATGCCGAGATTATATTTGCCTCCCCGCAGTATATTGTGGCTCCACCATCTGCAGACGTGATGAGAACAGTAATCGGACCTAAGTATGATGATGGGAAGATCATGGGCGTCGAACTTGCTGGACGACAGTTCTCCGAACAGGAAAAGGAAACCTGGGACTCCAAGCGAAGTGAGCGTCTCGAGGAGAATTTAACCAAGTTCCGGGAACACTTGATCAAGCATACCACTTTGCTGGCTCCTCTGATGGGCTGGATGCGTATGCGTGTGCACTTCGGCCACGTCCGATTTGGAAAGGTCCGAGAAGAATTCGTACAGTCCAAATACTGCTTCGATGAGTTCGTTGGGATGATGGAACTCTCTCGAGTTAGGACATCAGGGAAGTTTGACCGAAAGTAAGCCTTTCAACCCCAATACTATAGTCTGAGACTGACTTCTGGCAGGCTGGACGATGCTACGCTTGGCAAAAAGATGCTGCAGAAGATCATAGAATCACCACATATTTTCTGTCCAGTCCAATCTCGAATCCCTAGTCTGCAGGATGTCAAACCTAAGCACATGGAAATCATCTTTGTGAATATCCCAGATGGTGAGAATCTTCGGATCGAGGCGGAAGTCGACCAAGCCACTGAAAATGGTCTCGGTCAATATCAAATTGGTACTACCAGACTCTTCCGTGACAGTAGGAGAAACAAACGTGTTGAAGTCACCACGATTGATATCGAGAGGTAAGATACAAGTTTGGTGCTTTAAGTATTACAAAGATACTAATCTCTTGCTTTCCCCGGATAGGAAATTCGATTGGACCCTGGAAATCATCACGGACGGTTCAATTGCTGATTTGCCTTCGACTATGCTCTCCCTTATTGAAGGTTCCCTCTCTGGAAAGTCGAAAGAACGAGAAGATTGTCTTGGTTTGTCATACCCCGGCGTCTCACCATCGACTCAATACGGTCTCGATGTCAGAAATGTCGTCGTCAGAAGTGTTTATCAATACATGTTAAAGGAGACCGGCTACATCGTTGAGATCGCTGTCTACAGGGAGTGGGATGGCTGCAATACGGCAAAAGAGCCTAAAATGCTTTCAAGCGTCTCTATGTTTCACCCGGTTTGGGATGGCCAGATGGATTCGATCGAATATACGACGAAGGAGCGTGACTGGGACCGGCAACTTCGATGCTTCTTCGAGGGACCTGATCAGAATGGAGGGATTCCAAAATTTATGGAGGATGTCATATTGATTCAAGGCTTATTGACTGATGCAGCTAGGGCCTCCACTGGATCTCCAAAGAGTTCTCAATCCTGCTGAAGCAATGGGCAATCATCTTTGACAGCGCTTGGCAGCTTGCTCCGATGGATCCGATGCTGTCAAAGCCGTCCGATACCTTCTTATGCACTTGTCATTAATGGCCGATTATGTAGGGAGTGTTGTTTTGGCGGTTTCGGGGTTGGCCTTGCCTCAATGGCACTGGTCTTCCTTATCGTATGGCCTTTCGTGATTTCCCGTCTTTCAGGTCTTCCTTTGCTCTTGAGACGATATCAAGCTTTTGTTGGTGCTGCGCTAGAGGCAAGAACTTTCTGACGCAAGACTGTACATGAATGAAAATTAGCATCGTAAGGTAGTCTTCTTTCTGGTCCCTAGGTAACATACCATCCTCAACGACTCGAAGATTATTGGATTTGCCTTGAACTATGGTCTCCAAATCTTTCAGATTTGCTCCAAGCTCACTGATTTTGCCCTCGTAGAATTTCGTTGCGTCCTTCGTGCTCTGCAAGATATCGATTAATTAATCGACCCTTCCCCTCAAATCAACGAACAGCCTTACCTTCTCCACGTAAAATCCAGTGCCAACATCCACGATAACGTTTTCTTTATCTGCCAAGGTTCCAGGCACATACAGCGATGTCGTTAACGGCACCAAGATCGGCTTGTCTTCACCCAGAATTATCAATGTATGCCCCACCATGACTTGGGATGTGCGCCCATACCTCCAGCTTTTGGTGTCACACCAGTCGAGATTGACCGCAGACATTCTCTGAATTTGGCTTGCGCTGCCCGTAATTGAGTGAAGGAATTCGTCAGGTGTTCGAGCTCGTCGTCGAGTTGTTTCTTTACTTGGCTCAGCTGCTGTGTCGAAAGACTTGCGAGGTCGACTAGAGGGGGTATTAGCTATTAGTTGGCGGATATGGGATATCTCTCGTACTGGTTTGTCCTTTCGGCGAAGACATTTTGCGATTCGAATGTTTTGCTCTGAAAGATAGTTGCTGGTGTCGAAGATGTCGTCCTGTGGGGTTGGCGAAGGTCAAGCAATTTGAGCCTTAAGAGGTTGGCCAATTAAACAAATTATTAAGCTATGGCAACTCACAACGCGGACAATCACGTGTCTAGAGCCTCGAAGCTTTTATATTGGTTCAAATAGCTTAACAACTGCACTATACTTGACTGTAACTCCTGGTATAAGACTATAAGGCGATCAGAGAATATACTCGTGTTTGCAGAGCTAGAATAAATCGCCACAGCAGGACCATCAACGCCACACATGCATGTCCTTAGCATTGAAAAACTGCCACCAACGCCTATGCTAAACCCAGAATGATTATGTACGAGCATCTCCAAATAGTACATCAATGATTTCATCTAGAACTGTAAAAGCAAGGTGTGTACTGCTGAAGTTAGTTATTGTCAGAACAAAGTTAAAGTATCAACTTACTTTAATCGATGGTTATTGAGAGTCGCGAAGATTCTCCTGCTTGCAGCTTGTGCGTTCACTCTTCCTACCACACTCGCCGCCAAATCCGGTATAAGAGTAGCCAGCATCAAACTTGCCTCCGTGCGACTCTTTGACTTCTCGGCCGCTGTTCGAGGTTTGCTGTCCCGCTTCAGCTGTCCCCCTGGCCACATAGCATCTTTGAGTATACCGATGTATCTGACTATTGACTCCTCATGGACGAGTCCCTTAACATTCTCTCGCACCTTCCGCTCAATGGTGCCACCGAGAAGCTGGTGCAGGACAACCACAACAGCCCGACCACGCAACCAATTATTACCCCGGTTGAGCTCAAATACTTCGAGAAAGATATCGCAAATTGGCTTCACAAATGGCTCCAGTTCCCGATTCTCAAACGCATTGAGCTCGGCTTCTGCCTCCGCCACGGTCAGGGGATCTTCGCTGATGGCTGCTGGCATAGTTGTGAGCTGGCTAGTTGCAGCGGAAAGTAGATTTTGGCCAGCAGTTGAAATTTGATCAAGGACTGGAATATTGCCAAGGATGTCTTCCATTCCATCCGTGACGGAATTATAGAATCGAGTCATGATGTCTTTCTTGTCCTCTTGGCCATAAACTCCATCAGCGCTAGGAGCAATAGCACTTTGCGAAAGAAAAGCACGCAGCTCTCGACTACGGCAAACGTCCGGTAAGAGAAGCAAATCTCGTAGATACTTCTCGAGGGCCAGCCGCCGTTTATGGAGGAAGTCAGTCTGGAGTTTCATTACCATCCTCCGTCTTGGAAAATCAAGATTCCGAACCGATGGGTACTTCATCCGGAGCTGTTGATGAAGCTCATGAAATTCGCTATATCGACGTGTGATGGTCCAGGTTGCCGCCGGCATCTGTTCTCCTGCTTTACGTTGAACCTCAACAACGTAGATAGCATATTCCCTGCCATCATCCTCTTTTCCGACCACAATTGACTTGATTTTGATCGTGGAGCGACCATACAGACTGTTGTCGCTTTCTTGAACAACATATTGCTGGCGCTGGAGCTCTTTGCGTCGGATCTCTCGTTGTAGGCTTGCTTTAGATTTACGCAAGATTCGAAGCTCGGCTGTATTGTTGGTGAGCTCCGCTTTCCTTGTCAAGGAGTCTACAACGGCATCCTGAGCGACAAGTCGATCAATGTCAGTTGTCAGAGCAGTAATAGCTTCAGCCAGTCCAAGATCTCCCGGTGCAGCCTCATGAACTTCTTCTTCGACCTCTGGCTCTTTATCCTCGTCTGGATCATCATGTTCGTCTGACAAAAACTTTTCCTCGTCAGGAAACAAGTCGTCATCTGTGAAGACTCCGATCCTGGAAGATGTATTCACAAGACCTAAAGATGTGATACTCGGCTTTTCCTTTTCGACTTCTTTGCCAAACAAATCGGGTCGTTTTTGGTCCATTGAGCTCCTTGTCGAACCGTTGCCATTTGGTGATGCTATACTAGGACTCGGAGAATCTGGGGAAAATAGAGATCGTCGAAGATCTTCCACATTTGTTTTATCTTCCATAATGTTATTCAAGGCTGTTTCCATAGCTTGAACAACATTGTTATCTGGAACTATGACCTCGGGCTCCGCATCGAGGCTGTGAAGGGAATTGTTCATTGCTTCATTATCGAGGTCATCATCATCAAACAAAGGAGAATAGGTCTCGTCATCCAGAGACTGTCGGGATGATACCAGTGAGTCAGGGACGCGGGTGGTCGCGGATGCTAAATCGGAAGATGAGACTGCTGCTCGGCGCAAGTCGGTCTTCCTTGAGACAAACTTGGCGGATGTCCGTGATACCGGGCTCAGTTTTGTATGCACTGCTTGTGATGAAAGAGCTCGGGGAGGTAGTTGGGGCTTGTGAAGAGTGTCATTAAGTTTCGAGGGGGCTGGTGGTGAAGCTGGCGGAACTAAGGATTTAGATGCCTCCTGCGACGTTAGGCATTTGTAGAATAGATCGGACTTCTTGAAGTTACGGAAATGATTTTCTTGCATGGTTTCGAGGGCAGAAGTCTGAGCTCTTAATATCGCTCGCCGAGCAAGGAAATACTGCCGCGGTGTTGCCTCCTTGCCTGCCTTGAGAAACTCTCGGACCAGTTGCTTTGAGCTCGCGGGAACGTTGAGCTCGGGCCGGGATAGATATGCATCATTAATCTGTGCAAGATCTGCTCTGTCTGCATCGGTCCACGGTGCAAGTGTCGTGGGGATCTCATCTTCTTCTGCGAGATCATCCTCCAGTGGATTGCGGAAGCCGTCAACAACGATCCAAAACTGTATCAGAGGCATTAGGTTCTGCCTATCCATATACTCCATGAAGTAAGACAATGCAGAAGGGTCATGTAGCAAGTCTACCAAGGAGGCAGTCTCAAGTTTAGAGGCTTGAGTGCCGTTACGGACAGCATTATATGACGACGGGTCGGAGGGTGAGCCACCTGCAGCAGCCAACTGATTGACTCTCTGGTCCAGGATGCGTTTTCCTATTTCAAGACGTCGTAGATATACAGGATCTTGACCTTCTTGTAAAGAATCCCTCTTCAACTGACTTGAAACCTCACTTCGAAACCGGCGGGCATCCGAAAGGTTATTCACTTGGCGAATAGCTCGAATGAACTTTTCAAATCTCCGCTCGTGATCTCCAGGAGACAGGCGTGGGAAGGCCTTCGAATGCTTAGCTTTGGGAGCCGGAGATGCATGCTCATCTAGGGCAGCTCGTAGTTTCCGAACGGTGGAACGGTCTTGCAGCATTGTACGACCCTATCATTGTCAGCATTGAGTCCTTGATTCCAATCCTTAACCTACGTACGTATGCTTCCATAAGCTGATTCCATGTGTCTGGATCAGAGAGCATCTGCATGACTGGTGACAGTACAGCGCATGCAACCAGCTCTTTGATAAGAACACCAACCGCCCTGCTCGCGATAGCACTTTCTGGCAATAACTTCGGCACCAGGTCCTGGGCCAGACTCCGCAGATATTCCTGTTGCACCAATTTCGTATCTGAGTAGGTCAGCGACGCCGCCGGGTGTAACTTTCCATCCTTGTATTTCGCAGCTATCGCCAGGTCTAGTTCATCGGATTCCGTCACGCTGCGATTCAAATTCTTCCCTCGAATAGCTCTCTCTGCTTCATAGAAATCCCGGAAATGCGCAGTCATGATTGGAACAAAACGAGCAGTTATGACCTCCACGATATCAATTGCCATCAGCCTATCTCGTAAATTCTCGAGAGCCAATCTGATAGTTTTGTCGACTTCATTGGTGAAAACTGGATTCTTGCTGATTTTGGAATACCAGGAGCTGACGAAATCTCGTATTATAAGCTCCAGGAGGTCGTCGAGAGCGCTGGAAATAATGAAGGACTCGGGGTAGAGTGGTTTCTTTTGGTTGGCTTGTCGAGACCGCAGAGCAGTAACCTCTTTCTCCCATGCTGTCGCAGCCAGGAACGCCGGGCCTGCAGGGCGGCGCAGAGTGTGCCTTTCCCCATATTTGCTTCCTCTAGAAGTGAGAAGCAGCAAGCCTATCAGCCCGAGTATTGTCAGGACGATTCCTGCGACAAATGCGTATCCTGCCCAGCGTAATGCTGGGAGCCAACTGACCGCATAGCCCCAGGCAACAAAACTGGCGATGCTGGCTAGGATCACATCTCGTCGTCTCAGGGCCATAATCTGTGACAAGAGAACGCGTCCTCGAACAGCATAGCTAGAGGGGGGTGGTTTGGATGTTGCGTTGGAGACGCAACAGGACTGATAGATAGATAGTACGATTGCGAGCTTTCGCAACTCGCGTAGCAAGGTAAATAGCTACAACAAATTTACACGTGCCTCGAAAATCAAGATGATCTCGTTATTGTACTACTCGCAATTTGCAATTATACTATGATGAGTACAATCTCTGGGTATCACAATAAATTACCATTCAGGATCCTCTAAACGCCGAAACAATGCTACGAACTTTGGGCCCTTGTTTCTTTCGACCTTCTTCCCTTCCTCTGTTTCCGTTCTCATGACCGACACACACTCATCTGCTTCTTGTTCATCCTCCGGAACACGCGCAAAGGATGGATGGGAATCGAAGTGTTGAACCATCCAGTTATGGAGGTCCTCCACATCCGTAATCGTATAGATAATGCCTCCTGGGCGGACCACGTATGCATACTCGGAATTCAGTGTAGTAGAAACGATTCGGGCTTTGTGCTTCCGGGCTTTGAAGTGCGGATCTGGGAAGCAGAGGAAGATCTTTGACAGCTGGTGCTTCTTAAAGAAGTTTGGCAGGAACTTCATGGTGTTGGCTCGCAGACATGCAGCGTTCTGGTATAAACCTGTGTCTGCGTTCTGGGCTCGTAGAGCCTTGATACGGTCTTGGACATATTCTGTGACTTGTGTTCGAATCTCCATTCCTTTCGAGCTGTTAGAACTTGACGAACAGGAGAGTAGGGTGCCACTTGCCTAATAACAAAGTATTTGGCAGCTTAGGCGCAAGAGCAACAAGGAGGCCTCCAAATCCGCACCCAATATCTGCCACTTCGACATCTTGGCTCAGCTTCCGCACGCCATCCGTGGCCGCATTCGAATCTTCTACGGCAGATCCTGGAGGAGTTGAGACGAAAGCTGGATAATATGAGGACCAATCCATGCTTTCAGGGCTGACGGGGTACGTCAATTGGTGATCTGAGAAAGGATTGGCGTGGGCTCTCTGTCTGTAGAATTTCTTCTTGGGCAGCGCCACTGTACTCTCCTCGCGGTAGGAGTTCTTGTACTCCTCTCGCTTTTGGCGTTTATTCGCAGGACCCGCCATGATTGCAGGATACAGTCGAAGAGGGGTTGAAGCCAGGCGTGGGTTGCGGAACAAGCAGTTGGACATGAGATGTGGGGAGACGAGGGGCAGAGAAGAAGGACGAGGCTCGCTCTTGGGGAAGGCTGAACCGACCGAGGTTTTTCTGCTCAAGACATTTCTAAAATTTATTTAGATTTAGGATTATATTTCATTATTTTAGCTTTGGTCTTTAGCCTTTCGCCTTTAGGTAGATACCCGTACGGCAATCGATAAGTTAGCAGCGCGATGCCCAACATATACCTTAATAAGTCGATACTGCCGGCCAACCTTACATCCTGTCCTGTAACAGCACGTCCTTGCCGTCCAATCAAGACAAAATACACCGACATGGTAAAGTCGCGTCTCCATACGCCATATATATAATCCGAATCATCCGTCACTTGTCAATGCTGCAAGCTCCGCGGGCAGTCCGTCCTCTCCCCGCTCTGTCAAGCAACGTCTGCCCTTCACTTCCTGGGAATTGAAGCCGCAGCTTCAAGCGTCCTGCCTGGACTCTCTGCTTGATTTCACAAGAACACAGTACTCAGCTCGAGTATGTCTTGGTTCTCTATCCTTCCGCCGAGCATCTCGTTCATTGAAACATGGGCTATCCGCATCTTTGTAGGCCCCCTCAACAATCTCGAGGAACTGTGTTACTGACAAGAAATTCAAGCTCCTACTCGGCGCTTTGTCAATAGGCCCATGGCTGCTGCTCATAGTCTACGACGCGATCCTATATATTTTCCGTACCGCGACATATGATATCCCTTACATTGGTGGCCGAGCAAGAAACAGGCCGAGACCCAGAGCGCCGAGCTTAAGTGAGAGGCCCAATGGAAGAGCCCGAACGTTCAGTCTGACTGTTCCAGGGGTTCCCGCGGCAGTAGAATCAGTGGAAGGCGCAGCGGCTGGGCTAAGGAAACGTGCGGAGAGATCAGATCATGAGGGAAGCAGCAGCAATGTTATGGGAGATGGTCGAACACCAAACTTTTTATTATGACCCTGTTCTAGATTTCAGGTCAATCGTTCAAGGACTTTCAGCAAATCTGCAGTGACCCCCATAGCGGTGACTTCGCCTCCAGCACCTGCTCCCTGTACGATCAGGGGATTGGCCCCATACCGTTTTGTGTAGAAGCTGATGATGTTGTCACTTCCCTTCAAAGCGGCGATTGGGTGTGAACGATCAAACTTCTCCAGCCCAACCTTAACCTCCTTCTTTGCCACATCAATGCTTCCAACGAACCTCACAACCTTGCCTTCTTTCTCCGCGGCGACTTTGGTCTCCTCCATCTGAGCATCAAACTCAGGTAGTCGCTGCAAGAACTCATCTCCACTCCCAACACTTTCCAGCTCCTTCGGTATCAGACTCTGGACTGGGAATGAAGTGGGCGATTCGACCTGTAATCCCGCCAATCTTGCCAGGATAGTTAACTTTCTTGCAACATCCAAACCGTTCAAATCATCCCGAGGATCTGGCTCTGTGTATCCCAACTCCTTCGCCTTCTTAACCTCTGCGGACCATTTGCCTCCTGAACCTTCTGTAGGTGCAAAGGAATTGAACAGGAACGACATAGTACCACTGAAGACACCTTCAATCTTGGTTACGGAGTCGCCAGTGTCCACCAGATCCTTAAGTGTAGAAATGACCGGCAGACCTGCCCCTACAGAGCTCTCGTGGTATACCTTGGCGCCGGAAGACGCAGCTGCGGCAAAGATATCTTGCCAGAGCTTGTACGAACCAGAGAAGGCCTTCTTGTTCGGGGTGACAATGCTAATGCCGCGGGACAGGACTTGTGGGTATTGATCCGCGACATCTTGGGAGCTGGTGTTGTCGACCAGAATCACCTTTGAGGGGGCAGCAGCCAGGAAGTCGATGATCTTTGGTAGAGGAAGCGGCTCTTGTGTGGAGGCTGCAAGCTTGGTGGAAATGTCGCCGTGGGGCAAAGCGACATACTCGGGGCTGTACAGAATCATCTTGCTTCGAGAGACAAGGATAAGAGACAGAGTCGGGGACGCCGGGTTTGCTGAAAGTCGTTTCGAGATAACTTCGAGCTGTGAGAGGAAGCATTTTCCCACCCCGCCAGCGCCTGTCATACTGTTAGGAACTGTAGTTGTCAACGAGGGGTAAAAGAAACCAGTCATACCAATGACGGCAATGTAAACGTCCTTTGGAGCGGGCATCTTGAGATGTGTCTGCACTTGAGATTGATAGACTGTAGTATTTGAAGCTATTCGCAGGATTCCAAGGCTCCTCAATGTTGCGTAGGAGGGGTCAATAGAAGGGGCATTTAAATATTTTGAGCGAGCGCGGGGTCTGTATCAGACCCCGATCGCGCACGTAAGATAAATCGCACCGTCCCACTGGCAGCCGACGCTCAAGCGCGAGGCAAACCTACGGCGGTAGAACGGGCAGTTCCTCAGCCTTACAGTCAGGCAATAACGAAGTACCCATCTCCAACGCAACCCTTTAAATATTCTCCTTCCCCAATTCAACTGCGTCTTCAAACCCCTATTCAAGATGGGCTCAGACGCCGATTTATATGGGATCCGAAAGCCCAAAAATGCGCCCAAGGAAATATCCTCATCCACGAGCCTGGCCTTCTCATCGACGCTCTCCAGCCTCCTCTCAACCCAAGCCAACAACACACAACAACGCGGCCGTCCGCGAGCTTCGAAAACGAAACCCGACATCTTCGCCTCGCATAACAAGAACACAAAGAAACGCGCTGCACGGGATCTAGAGGACGATGACAACCAGGGGGAACAAGTCCACAAGAAGGACATTGGCGCTGTTGACGATGCGGTCCTGCACCGCTCGAAGAGGAAATTAGAAGAGAAGGCGAAACAGTACCGTGAAATGAAGAGGGACGGTTACATAGCGGGGGAAGGTGGGCAGGACGAGCCCCTGATCGACTTTGATCAGAAATGGGCAGAGAGCCAGCGGCAGGGGAAAGAAACCGACGACTCCTCAGAAGCGGAATCGGATGATGGACAAGGAGAGATCGTGGAGTACGAAGACGAGTACGGGCGCCACAGGAGAGGAACGAAGGCAGAGGCCCTAAGAATGGAGAGGAGGAAGCTGAACAAGGCACGGGGCGCGGAAGAGCTGGATCGGATGAGTGCGCGGCCTTCGATGCCGAGCAAGCTCATCTATGGCGATACCGTCCAAGTGGAGGCCTTTGATCCTGACGAACCAATTGCAGCACAGATGGAAGAGCTTGCAAAGAAGAGGGATAGAAGCATGACCCCTCCCGAGCAGAAGCACTATGAAGCGGATAAGGAGTTTAGGATTAAAGGCGTCGGATTTTACAGCTTTTCGAAGGATGCTGAACTCAGGGAGAAGGAGATGGCGGCGTTGGAACAGGAAAGACAGGAGACGGAGAGAGTGAGGAAAGAAATGGAGCAGAGAAAAGAGAAAAGACGGCAGGAAATAGAGGAGAGGAGGAAGGCGATTGGAGAGAAAAGGGCAAAGAAGCAGGCTGATAGTTTTCTAGACGGCTTGACTGCAGACTTAGGGTCCGCGGACGGATGACACAGGATCGGGTTACTATCACCATAGCATGTCAGTCTCAAGCCCGACAGCTCCTGAAGGTAGTGTTTGGGCTTCGACTCGAAGCATATTTCGAGACCCTACCACAGGCCCAGCTTGTGTGTTTCCACAAAGAAATTTTGGTACATGCCAAAAGTCAGAAGGTTGTATAAGATTTCCATTCTCTAACAGAAGTGGGCTCTTTACGTTTTCACGCAAGAGCGGCGGGGTACTAGAAATGGGGCTCGTGGTAATATATGACTATACTAGGTCAGAACATAAATCAAGCCTTCCAATAATTCTCCATAACGCATCAAACCCTAATCGCATCGTATGCCCTCTTTTCGCATTCCAGTGGCACCCACTCTACCAACCTAGGAAGGTACGCCAGATATATCATTAAACGCCTATGCCCTGTCCTTATGTGCACAAATAAGAACTCCAAACTCCAATAGACATACTTCAACAAGTCACTGAGCCAACCACACACAACCACAGGTAGAACTCGATTGCCGTTCACTTAGGCCCGCACCCTCGAGGTTATCAAAAACGGCACGTCGACCCATAGGGGAAACAACAGTAGGTTCCGTCTCGTTCAAGTAAATCGTAACAGGTTCACCCGTACTGTTGGTGTACGGATGGGGCGAGCCGTCTTCATCGATATAGTGTTGAACGCAATAGGGAGCTATACTGTGCTCTCGAGGTGGAATTCGACGTTCTTCAACTTTGACCACCTTCGGGTAACAAGGGAGAAAGACA